TTTTTTTTTTTTTTTTTTTTTAAACACAGTATTTATTTAATATACAGACGTTATCTATATAATTCTATAAAACCGGGTCACCTAACGCATTGGTGACTTTTGCGATATTCTAATAGTAGGTAAAAGGCTTGAAGTAGATAAGATATTATATTCAAGCAAAAATCCTGTGGTAATGTGGTGATATATTGTTTGCATTGTCTTTGATTCAATAAAAGATATTCATACAATTGGTTGACTCGTGTTCAAATCTCTCTCAGATAATGACGACTGTTGTCGTCGTCGAGATTTGATCTTTTTGATGAGTCCGCCAATGTATGAGTTGAGTTTATAAATGTCGATTTTGGAAAGGTATTGGTTCCCAATTATAAATTGAATAGATCTTTCCCTTGTAAAATACTTATCCCATATAGGTTGTGTATCAGTACAGTGGAAAGCGTGATGTATGAGTGTATCGGAGTTGCTGTTTTGACAGAAGCGGCAATTTGAGGGATTAGTATTAGGATAAAACGGATGATGTGAGTAATATCCTAGTGTGAAAAGATGGAGATGTTGTAATGACCCGAGTGGTAATGATTGTGCATTCAGAAGTTTCTTCCAGAATATACGCCAATCCGTCTCTGTTAAGTGGCAAATTGGTTCTATTCTGCTCCAGCCTGTTGGGATGATTGGTGGTGTGTTTTCATGAAATTTTTTTGACCCATGATGAAATGTAGATATATTTAATGGTTTGTCACGCGCATCTACCAAGTCTTCTAGCGCTAGTGGATTTGCTTTTGTAGTCACTTGTAATAGTTCCAGTTCGGAGATTTTGATATCAATTTAAACGCGTACAGGTAAAGCCGCAACAATTACTCAATTAAGTATACACCTGTTCTACTATTCTACTAGTCAGATGTATTATCACGATGTGTTCAAACTGGTTGCCTAGTTATTGTTCATCTATATTGGCTCTCATTTATGAGATAGTGATACTTCACTAACGTTAGGTATGAAGACAGTTGAACTATTCAGATTAAAAGATTTTGATGTTATTGATACAATTTACCTTATTCTATTACCCCCTAAAAATAAGACGGAAAAATTGTAACATAATCTTTAGAACTCCATCTGTTATCATAAAATACTATAATATAATATAGCTGATACTTTACATCCTAGAGCAAGTCAATTCAGAAATTCATAACTATTATGAGAGATGGGAAATAGTCAATCAACTCAACAAAATCATGGTAGTACAATTGAAGAAGAAGAAAATACTCCTTTGTTAAATAATAATAATAATCATGAAGAGGCAAGTCATCCCACAGAATCAGAACCAAATGAATTGACATCAACTCAAACTCAAACTCAAACTCAATCGCAATCTCAATCTACTTCAGCTAACGACATAGAAGCACAAAATAACCAGGAGGAAAATGAATCTACACCATTGTTGAGTAGAACAGAAATACCCCATTATTCAATATTAAAGAAGATATTTAAACCAAATTGGATTCATTTGATTTTACTACTAGTCATTTTAACAGCATCTATTGCTTATTTGACACTAGATAACATCGAAAATGCAATTAATGACTCTATTGATATAAATATTCATAATACAACTTTAGAAAATTTAACATCACTGGGAGTTAATATAAATGTTCAAGGTTCAATAACATTAGATTATAACAAAATTCAAAATAATTATATACAAAAATCAGTTTTAAAACTAGGTTCATTCTTGGTTGGTGGAATCACAATAAAACTGTTAAAACCAATTCAAATACATGTTAAATTAATTGATGTTGATAGTCCATATTTATATTTATTGGATACTATTCCACCACCAATTTATGTAGATATTAAACAATTACATACAACAAATTTAAATATTTCAAGTAATTGTTCATTAGGTCAAACTCAATTTTTTGAGTTTTTAAAATACTACTATAAATTAAATTCAAATGAAATCAATATGGATTTAAAAATATTTGGTGATGAATTTGAAATTAATACTTTGAAATTTATCAGTTTTAATTTAAAAGATATTGAAATTAATGATCAAATAACTATAAAAAAGGAAGATTTAAAATTACCACCACTGATTTTAAAAATTGAAAAACTTGATATAACTTCATCTACTCCAAATGTTATAGATTTAAATATTAATTTATTAATTGCTAATGATTATGGTCTAACATTAGATTTAAATTTTATGTCATGGGATTTATTATTTAATGATTGTAATAATAAATTAATTAAAGTTGGAAATTGGACAACTTTACCAACAAATATAACTCCTGGTAAATTAATATCAATACAAGTTATTGGACAAATTACTGACGTCCCCAATTGTTTAATGGAAGATTGTTTTGATAGAGTAAGTCCAATAAATCAAATGGTTCAAAATTATTTAAATGAAAATCCAATAAATTTTGCAATTCATTTAAATAATTATCAACCTGATAATAAATTAAATTGGTTATTGGAAAATTTAAAAAAATTACCACCAATTGAATTATCTATAAAATTACCAAGGATTAAAATCCCATTAACTAAAATTGAATCAAATTCAACTGATATTTTAATGAATAATGAAAATAATAAAACTTTTGGTAATGAAATTATTTCAACTATTATAAGTAATAATTCAACTTTTCAATTTTTAAATTCTTTAAATTTACCAATTGATTTAAAAAAATTTAAAATAAATTTTAATATTGGGTTGAGTGATGATTTATTATTAAGTGCATCATCAAAAGATTTTGTTTATTCAACCGTAAATCAAGTAAAAGATTTGATTAATATAGGAATGAGTTTATCAGATTTGGATGTTGAAATTATTAACCCAAGCTATGTTGGTAAAGTAATCAATAAATTAATCAATGACCGTAACGACGATCTTTTAATTTGTGAAGATCTACATATGAATATAAGTTTAACAGATATTGAAATGCTGTTACCTTTAATGAAGAAAGCAAATATAAAACAATTAGATTTAACTCAACTTCAAATTCCTTCAAGATTTGATATTACATCAATTGATTCAAATTTGAATATAGACACAATACTTCAACAACTAAATATAACAATAGATCAAATCTATCTATATGAAGTTTCAAAAAATAGTATTGAATTTTTAATAGAATCATCCATATATAATCCATTAAATATAACATTAGATATTCCTCAAATTAATCAACAAATAATAAATTTAGGTTTATTAGTAAATCAAACAAAAATTGGTGTTATAAAATTTAAAGAAATTTATTTACCAAAACATGAAAAAATTGATTTAATATTAAATATAAAATTTCAATTTAATAAATTATCAGAAAAACAAATTTTACAAGATTTTATAAGTGAATATATAAGTTCAAATTCTTCATCATTAGGAGCTAATCAAATATTAAGTATTGGAAATAATTCAGTTTTAAATAATTATGGATTAGAATTATTTTTGAGAGAAATTTCAATAATTCAATTTTCTTTACCTAATATTACATTCACAATTCCAGAATATAAAGCGACTTATAATGAAATAACAGCTAGATCAACTAATAATGAAATAATACCTAAGTCAACTGATAACGAATTAGCAACACAAGATTTAAAAGTATTTGTACTAGATATAATAATTCATATATTAACATCAGAAATTGAAATAAAAATATATAATCCAATAAAAAATTCTGAAATTAAAATTCAAATATTAAGTTCAATAGCAAAATATGATAATATAATCCTTGGTTATTTAAATAAAATTGAATATCTTATAATACCACCAGGTTTTTATACATCACCTAAATTACCAATAAAAATTTATTATGGATCTTCTAGAGATTTATTAAGAAAGAATCTTAATCAAGATTTAGATATTGATATTTTTGTTGAATTTATTTTAAATTTTGATGATTTTAATTTAAGGTTGTTATATAAAGGTAAAAATTTATCTTCAAAAATTAGATTATAAGTTGTTTGAAAAAGGTATTGATTTAGCTTCAGAAATTAGGTATTATAAGTTGGAGAAATTAGGTGAAAGGTAAAATATTTGGGTTAAGGTTAATTAGTGTTTTTAGTTCGTTTGTTGTTTAGACAGTTAATTTTCATAAGAACTTGTGTATGATTATGGGGCGAATGCTTTGAACCATATAAAATTAATCTCCAACTAAGTATTCCAAATCAAATTTGCTGCTAGCTTAATCGGCAGTCATCATACAAAATTCTGGTATTCTTTTTTTCACTGCAGTGATTTTGGTCCTATAACACCAAGATACAGAAAAACAAAGTATATTCTGTTATTTTGCGGCTTTGGTGTTATAGAATCAAAATTATTGCAGTAAAAGGTTGTACTTACGTTGTTCTTTCTCAAACCTGGTTTGCAATATTTTCATGTTAAGTCATAAAATAATTAGCTTTTACATTAACTTCTTGTATTACCTAATATAGCTCCATAATTTTTAGCGAAGCTGATAAACAGTAGCAGATGAATTTTGAAGATAAATTGATTGAAACAGGAAACATCATATATAGTTATTGTATTGAAGTTGGTAAATAAAGACATATAATTCCTTTTAACCACTTAGCATCAAGAAAACCACCATTAGCTTTCCATAGAACTTCCTGATAAGATCAAAAGACTAATACATCATCCGGATCCCGATGAATAAGCTCATCGAAGATTGAAATAAAACAGCCATGGTGCTTCTTTTTCAATGGTAACAAATTTGATAAGATGCCATGGACTACAGCATCTTTAGAATTGAAGGAAAAATTCCCATCATCAATGTTTTCAGTTGATAGGAATTCAATTCTAAACCAAATCTTGGCTTCCCCTTCCTAATATTCTGATCTTCCTTAAGGTCCATTCACTATGATTATAACGATTACCACCACAAACCTTCAATTTCTTCCATAAACTCAATCAAAATCCCAAGATTTTCATTTCATCCTTAATTTTTGTTGGCAGCCTAATTTCAAGTGAGTAGAATCTATTTGAGGTAGTTGATGTAGCAAAAACCTGGAAGTAAGGGAGTAATTAAATCATGTTTCATGAATTTTTCCTTATCTGGTTGCTCTAATTTTTTTAAAGAAGTATCTCCCCCTGACATCAGTGATACAAGCGTATTCGCGTAAAATACTTAAACTTTGGGTCTAAGTATGTTATATGTCGTTTTATTCTTCTCATGTATTCTCATTGGTTCATAATAATGTCTTTATTTATAAACGAAAGAAAATCAAAGGAAAAAACTCAACAATCTCCTGTTCAATAAGGTTTTGAACACTTATGTTGCATGAATGTCCAAAACTTCATTGAACAGGAGAACTTTGATCTAGAATGTACACATATGGTCCCTAAATTGAAAAAAGTCTATTTTTGCTTGTTATATATTACTTTCATTGAGGAAATCTCTTTTATAATAACCTTGTTCTACTCCTTTGAAGTCTTGCCCTAGTATTTGATACTATTATAGAATGAAGGTTTCTTTTCAGGATATTGAACCTATGAAGTTCAAATAGTAAAAATGATAAAGCAATAATATATTTATCGAGGTTTTTTAACGTATTTCAATTCATCAATATTTAACTTATTATAAACTGATGAAATCCCGGAGCCTTCGTTTGGAGTTGACGTTGCTAATTATCATCAATAAAATCAGGTGGTGATATACCTCCCACTGATGAGCTACCGATTCCTGAAAAAGTCACTAACATTCTCTTCAAGATCTGGTTCACTATTCAAAATGTAGCATATTCCAGAAGTTTCATCAATGAACTCACAATTTTGAGTCATGTTTTTGGACAAGTTAGAATTAAATATTGATGGTTTTGTTGTGCTATCCAAAAATCATCTTTCACTTCATCGACAAAGATAATGAAGGGAAAGATGAAATAAAATACACTAAAAAACCTAGGAAAATATATGACTTAGCCAAGTATCAAGATGGAACTCATTTCTTATGGGAATAACAAGTGAATGAGTTTCTTGCCTGATTAATAATGAAACCTTTTTAATTTTTATTATTAATTGATGAAATTCTGAAATCTCATGTGTGGCGTGGTTGTAGTAATTTTTTAAAGTGCTTCCCCATTGATTTTGGTTATACAAATATTGTTTTAAATTATCAATTAATCTTCCATATAAGTTCCTATTTTGTAATTTTTGGTGAAGATTTTTCTCTGGTTTCAACAAAGTATCTCATTTGGTAGTTCTGTTCGTGAACTAAGTTTGTCAATATTGAACCCTTTTGACACAAAAGTCAATGATTAGTTCTAGACTCAAAAATTAAATAGTAAAGATCTTTGGTACTGCATATACTTTTGTTAATAACGTAGTGTACTTTTAGTAAACAATCTTTCAATTCAACAACATTCAAATTATGAAGTAACAAAAGAAGTATCAACTCATAATTTCAAGGGAGGAAAAGGGTGATTGAAAAGTCTGGATTGGTATAGAGACAAAGACCCGACACTGTTCCAGCTGTCTTATGAAGAGGTGCTAATGCTAAACTAATTACTTAGCCTTTAGCAAGCTATTTATAGTAATAGTAAATTCTCGCACTAATAAATACAATTCTAACACAAAACCCATAAATAATAATAAACAAAAAATTTATTACCAAATTTAGACTTTGACTTTATTCAATGAATTTTTTATTGTATGATTTTTGATACTTACTTCTCTTTCTTTCTTTCTTCTTCAACAAATAGTTAACAAACACTTCATTCAATTGAATTATCTTTATTTGTCAATACCATCATTCGTTTATACATATCTTGATACCCTTCAACTAAATAACTAATCTAAGATTTAAAATCTATTACAAATCTCGGCTATATTTAGAAAATTTTTATAATTTTAATTTATCAACAACAACAACAACAATAATATCAACAAACATAGAAATTTCTACACAACTACATAAAAATGGCTTCATTCACTAAATTTACATTCGTTACTTTAATTACTTCATTATTACAATTACAACAAACTTTAGCTACTCCACCTGCTTGTCTTTTAGCTTGTGTTGCTCAAGTTGAAAAAAATGATGATCAATCTTCAGGTTTAAATGATTTAAGTCATATTTGTTCAAATAAATCAAATGACATTAAACAATGTTTAGATGATATTTGTCCAAATGGTGATGCAGATCAAGCTAAAAAAGCATTTGATTCTTCATGTTCTGGATTTGCAAGTCAATCTTCATCATCTTCTTCTGCTTCTGCTTCTTCATCAGCTTCATCATCAAGTGCATCATCATCAGCTTCAAGTTCATCATCAGCTGCTGCTTCATCAAGTGCTGAAACCAGCTCTTCAGAGTCAGCCGCTGCTTCATCCTCTTCATCATCATCAGAAGAAGCATCAGAATCATCTGCTGCTCCATCTTCATCTGCATCAGCTCCAGTTGAATCTTCATCTTCATCATCAGTCATTGTTGAAGAATCAAGTTCAGCTTCAGCTTCAACCTCAGAAGAATCAGAATCATCATCAACTGTAGCTGCTGAATCATCAACTGCTTCGTCTACTTTAGAAACTTCATCAGTCGTTGAATCAAGTGCTGCTGTACCATCAATTTCACAAACTGTAGTTGAAGGTTCAGGTTCAAATAATAAAGTTGGTTTAGGTGCAATTATTGGTTTAGTTGGTGCTGCTTTATTATAAGTTCTTGTAGCTTATAATTAAAGGCAAGACGGTTAGAAGACGAAATTATACAAAATAACACTGATTAACACTTTGTTTACTAATTTTCTCTTCAACGGTTTTATTCGTTGGTTTCGTTTCATTTTATATAGGTCTATTTAAAAAAATTTAAAAATAAAAATTAATTGACTTTCGTTTAAAGACTTGTTCACTTTACTTTTATTGATCTCTTCAATTGCATTGGTCTTGTATAAACAACCTAAGATCTTCGAGATTTTGCTTGTTTTTTATTTTTTATGTGCAGGGCCGATGGAAGGGTATTGATCAACCCGCTCCGATCTTAAGTACTTTCCTCGATTTTGAAAAATCAAAGATTTAAGAAGAAGATTCACAAGATTATTCAGTAGTCAAATTCAATAAACAATTAAGAATTTGAGTAGGTTTTGAAAAATTCTTCTTGAGAATTACCTTGATATTAGGATTAGTATAAATTTGGATGCAAAAATTGAGAAACCTTATAATAATTTTGCATGGGTAAACATTCATCATTGAAATAAATGAATTCTACATACTTTATTGTAATAGAAGGTTGTTTGTATTTATTTCAATGTATAATATGAAGTAAGATTTTTTGACTTAAAATATATATTTCCAAATTTGATGAATAGAATAAATTCATGATTTTAAAGTATTGACATGAAATTTTTCATTATATGGCGAAAATGGTTATCGAGTTCACTTTCAAATCCAGTCTTGACATTCTTAGTGATGGCTTTGAATTACTTTGAAAGCCTGTAAGTATGGATTTTTATTACTTGAATGATACTAAAATTTTGGAAATTAACTAAGCGGAACAACTTATAACTAAATTCATTATAGATTTTGGATTCTTACACAGATTGATGATCGTCAAGTGAATAAAAAATTTACGAGATTTTGACACATCATTTTGTTTTGAGTAAAGTAAGATATTAAGATTCATATTTACTGTACTTCTTCATCAATTCCTAAAAGCAGCTGAATTCTTAAGATGTATTAGTTTCTGTTTATTCTTACTTTCGATTATGAGCCATCAAAAGTATTGGAGTCATGAAATTTAAATTTACCTGGCACGGCTTCAAATACTACCCCTTAACCACTCATAAAAGCGCAAATTAAATTGAGGAAAATAATTTGACATATTTATTGTTTTTAAAAAAATTGTTTTATATTCGTTGGATTGAAGAGCCAACGTATAAACTTTCATCTCAAAAATATAATGACAGATTATAAACCAATAAATCAAGAGGTACAAGATCAATTTGAAGAATTCAATAATAATCCGCAAGATTTCAACAAGAAAGTGGTTGAAAATACCACCAGCCCTTATTTTCAACAAACACCACCACCACCTTTCCCACCTTTTTCAATCCCAATGAATTACATAAATCAAACAGAAGAATCAGGATCATCACAAGCTGGACAAGACTTACAAAATCAAAATCAAAGACAACAACCACAAGAATGTACACCAAGAGGTTTAAAATTTATATTTTGTATGAGTATTGGTTCTTTATTATTTACTCTTTCATTATTTATGGTAACAATTGGAGAAACTAAAACTATAAGAGTATGGGGTTTATTTACTTTAATTATTGGTTTATATTTAATTTTAACTGCTGGGTCCATAGTATTTGAAGTTGATAAATTTATTGGAAATGAAAAATTTTTGAAATATTTTGGTTTAGGATTTCTTGGATCTATTTTATTGCTGTTGGGTGCTATGATATTAGGTTATTTTTTCTTTTAGAAAATATTATAAAAGGTTGGGATAGTTATTGAGGTTACTTCTTTTATAGAAAAAGTTGTTGATAGAATCTTGAAGTACTATTAAATTTTCCAAAAATTGATCTTACCTTTTATGAAACTCTACTTATAAGGTTTAAAGCTCTTAATAAATTCTTCCTAACATTATTTAACTCGATTATTTTTAAAGTCTTACTCCACTTTAAGTTCTGTAATGGCAAATCGCTACAATCTTCAACAATTTATGGCTACACTCTTCAACTAAATATGACGTATTGTTAACATAAGGGTCTCACAGTTTTTTATATCCAAGAAAAATGCCGTATAAAATTTACGAGATTTTGACAAATTTTTTACGACACAAAAAAAATATAAATATTTAGGCTAAGAGTCAAATGTAAATCTTTTATTATTAAAAACCTCACTCTATTCTTTTCAAAATGACCGAATATAAACCCATAAAACAATTTATCGATAACTTAGGAAGCAATCTCACAAATGATATAATTGAGCACACCAACAATGAGGATAACAAAAATAACACCAACAATCCAACTCCTTTTTATTCAAGTCCACCACCTCCATTCCCACCAACATCATCAACTTCATATGAAATGAACAATATGAATAATCAAGGTGCATCATCTTCTACCTCACAAGCAGAACAAGATTTACAGTCTCAAAAAATTCACCCACAACCTCAACCTTGTTCTCCAGAAGCAAGTAAAATTACATTTTGTTTTGGAGTAAGTTGTATATTATTTTTTTTTTCAACAATAATGTTAACAGCTGGAGAAAATAAATATGTTAGAGTATGGGGTTTATTAGGTATAATAATTGGTGTTTTTTTATTATTTATTGCTGGTTGTATTGTATTTGAAGTTCATGATATTTATGGTAATAAAAAATTTTTAAAATTTGTTGGGTTTGGATTTTTAGGAACTATTTTAATACTGATTGGTGTAATGTTGGCATTTTTAAAACTTGTATAATTTAGATTTTTATAGTTAGAGATTACATAAAGTTAATTTTACAAAGTTTAATTGCTTAGCTTACATTGTTAGCTCAGTATAATGTATTCAAACATTTTGTAGACTTGATATAACGTTTGTTTTCCCATCACTCTTAAAATACTTCACAAGCAACGTAATATATCTAAGAACTTTCATTCAACTGATGAGATTTAGGAAGAGCATATGACCAAAATCAATCAATTAAATTAATTAATCAATAAACAATAAGCTGCGGCAAGACATGATAGTCTTCAAAGCATGATAGTTTTCAATCTTTTTACCATGTGGCTCGAAAATCATAATTCACCACAAAGCCTCTTAAGAAATTTACAATAAAGGAGAAAAGCAAATAGATAAGAATTATATTAATTTACGAGAGAACAATTTTATAATATATAAAAGGCACAAAAGAAGCTAAGACTCAAATTAATTAATTCTTATTCTTCTTTTACCCCATACAAGAATGACTAATTATAAACCTTTAAATCAATCAATTGATGATGATAAAAATAAACATTCTACAGAAAATTTAATTGATACTACAACCGATAATACTAATATTAATAATCCAAGTTCTAATCCTTGGAAGTTCCCAATCTCAATTTCCTTCACTTCTGAACCGAGTGAATCAAATAAAGAAAGATCTGAGCTGAATGGAATAGAACAAGAGACATTTGGACTGGATAAATTGAACCAGGAATCATCGAAACAAGTTAAATCAAATCATGAAACATCAAAACTGAAGAAGTTCCCAATTTCAATTTCTTTTACATCTGAACCAAAAAAAAAAAATGAAGAAATATCTGAACCGGACGAAATCAAACAAGAATCAAACCAGGAATCAATGGAACAAGAGAAACCAAATCATGAAACATCCGAACTGGATATACCACACGAAGAAACATCTGAACTGGATAAATTAAATCAAGAAACATCAACAAAAAATTTGGATGATCTTGAAACACAAAGAGAACAACCACAATTACCATTAACAGGTTCAAAAGCTGGAAAAATTGTATTTTCTTTAGTATCAGGATCTATAATTTTTTTTTCTTCAATAATGATGATATCATTTGGAGAAAATAAATTAGTTAAATGTTTTGGAATATTTGGTTTTAATATTTCAATGTATTTATTATTTATTGCTGGTTGTATTATTTTTGAATTAAATAAAATTCATGGTGAACGTCAATTTTCAGATGTTTTGGGAGCTGCTTTAATTGCTACTATTTTATTTCTGATTGGTATTATTTGGTTAGTTCTTAAATATTTATAAGATTTATTGATATTACATTGCATTCTTTTTGAAATATTTAGAATTAAAAAAAAATTATTAAATTAAACTTAACTTTTATCTATAACTAATCTACCATTACACCATACTTTTGTAGTATTACGATCATCACCACTGAAAACCCATTTACCTAATAAATCTTTAATTTTTTTAAAATTTTCTTCTTCATTGTCTTTAAAATTTGGTATATGCCAATTAAAAATATCAATATTTGAATTTTTACTTGATAAATCAATTAATTGAGCATCAAATTTTTTACCAATATCAAAAGAACCAATTTTATCTTGTAAACCAACTGCTTTTGCTCCTCCCATTGTTGCCATATATAAAGCAGTTGATAATGACAACCTAACATCTTCTTCTTCATCGGTTGATTTATTTTTTTTCATTGATAAATGATGACTAACTAGAATTGAAAATTTAATCATTTGTAAAATACTTGAATCAAATCCTCCACTTACATCTGTTCCCAAAGAAACATTAATATTATATTTATTTAAATATTTATATATAGGAGCTTCACCACTTGATATGAATGTATTTGAAGTAGGACAATGAGATATTGAACATTGTTTTTCTGAAATTAAATTTGATTCTTTTTTAGTTAAATGAATTGCATGAGCTAATATTGTTCTATTATTTAATAATCCTGCTTCATTATACACTTCTGCATAACCTTCACTTTCAGGAAATAATTTTTTAACTAGTTTTATTTCTTCTAAATTTTCACTTATATGAGTTTGAATTGGTAAGTTATATTTTTTACTCATTGATCCCAAAGTATTTAATAAACTTGAAGAACAAACTGGTGCAAATCTTGGAGTTATAATTGGTTTTATTAAGTTTTCCAGTTTGGGATTTATTTCATTACAATAATTTATTAATTCATTCATTGATTGAATACAATCTGATTCACTTTCTTCATATTCTTCATATACATCATTATGATCCATACATACTTTTCCAACAAATCCTCTTTGTCCATATGTTAATAATAAATCAGCAAATAATTTAGTTGTATCTAAATCAATTGTAGTAAAATATGAAGCACAAGTTGTACCATTACTCAAGGTTCTGGCTATAACTTTTGAATAAATCAATTTTGCAAATTCAAATTTAGTAACGGGTGATGAAAATTCATTTTCGACTGGATATGTATATTCTTTTAACCAATCTAATAATGGAACTCCTAATCCAACACCTATATTGGGGTATTGTGATGCATGTATATGAGTATCAATAAATCCAGGAAAGAAAAATTTAGATAAATCTTTTGAGTAGTTGATAAATGTTATATCTTGAAGTTCAATTTTGTTATTGTTTGATTCATTTCTTTTTCGTATAAATGTTTTTTTCAATTCATCCTCGTTTGTTATTTGATTATTGTTTTTATAAATAAAATCAATAGTTCCATTTTGATCTATCCCAACTAATGTAAATAAATTAATTTCTAAATTTGATAAAGTTGGAGTATGAATAAAAGTTCCATAAAATATTGTATATTTTATTGGATCTATGGCTTTTGGCGTTATTGGTTCAGTTGATTCTGGCATTTCCATATATGAGTAAAAACTTAGTATCTATGTGGTATAGTGAATTGTTGTAATTATTAATTTAAAATCTGGGGAAATTTGATTGACTTTTTATAGATAGAAAATATTTGTTTGTTTAAAAGTTGTGTTTATTATATTTATCTTTTTCTTCCGTTGGAGATTCCGATTTCAAATTTTGATCTTCAAAAGCGTTTTTGTGTTTCATTAAGTTGAAGAGATGCTTTCTAATTTGCTCTAACATCTCATTACTCAAAGTGAAGTCAACGATCAGTCATCATCAATTGAGGTGCTAGAAACATTGTTATAACTCCATCATTGAAGTGGTTTCTCAAATTTTTTTTTTTAACTCGTCTTCATAATGGATTCGTTCACGGACTTATACCTTTTCGGTGATGGTGATGAACCATATAGTCCATATGATAAAAGAAAAATGATGCTACAATTTTTTAAACAATTGCAACAACCTAATCTTGAACCATTGTGGTTTGTTCATTATTGGGAAGAATTACAAGAATTTTTATCTGATTATCATAAATCAGAACAAGATGCGTTAATATTTATTGCAATGTTAGATTTAGCAAAATCACCAATACCTGATTTATTTTTTAAACAACCTTATTTTGAAATTGATATTGATCAAGTTAAAGAATTTACTGCAAAAAATGATCCAGAATATTGGGAGCAATGAATGTTTTTTCAAGATAACTCGATAATTAAACGATTTTTACATGATTTTTTTTGGTGTAAATTATTTTTACATGAATTTTTTTGGTGTAAATAAAGTCATTTCTAAGTACCCAGAAAGTCCAGTTATGACCTTTTGAAATCTATGAAATGTTAGGTAGCTTACCCGTCAGTTCATTGGGATTGGTATCTTGTCATTGTTTGAGAGCTATAGGTGCCCAATATATATGTTGAAAAAATCTCCAGTCTATAATCAATTATGCAACTATCTTTAATCAATTATGAAAGAATATGAATTCCCTAATCTTTTGTTGTATGTAGTTTAGCATTTCAATCTTTTAACCTCTCGAGTTTCAAACGATCAAGAAGTTATAAATGTACACGAATGGCTAGATGATAAAATAACATACAAATGACGACTTTGTACTTCCAAGGAAATTATAGAATTCATGCATTTTCGTATAAAAGATTTCATGCATGAGTCAAAATCACACAAAACGATTGCAACAGAATTATTTTCGTAAACTGAATGCTCGAATTACTATTCAAGGCAAATTATATTACTCTCCATGAAGACTCTTGTTTAAAATTTTATATAGGCAAGAAAACACTTTACAATGGCATACCTACGAAATATTTTTTTCAGGTTTTCCAACCTTTCACTCTCATTTCCACCATATTCTCATAGTTATCGAAGGTTTGAAAATAAATTTTACAGAACTTATTCCAAGATCTAGCTCTAATATGATTTAGGATTTAAAATTTATTAATTAAATTCTCAATCTATGATACCTGTAAATCTTCTATCCTACCCGTATTAATTCAATAGGATATAGAGTAATCGGTGAAAATTTTAACGGAAGAACGTTATTAAAAATGGGTAGTAATTATAGATCTTCACCTAAATCAGGTCATCAAACAAGTTAAACATAGAACGATTTTGAAGCGTCTCCTCATTATTTTATTTTGGTACTTTATCTTTCTCGGAATATGGAGCTCTACTTAAAATTTGAATATTGACTGTGGTTGATCAGAAAGAAGTAGTTGCAAATTTTAAATTGTCTTAATTGTCTGTCAATTAGATATATTAGTTTGTTTTATTCAACTCTAATTATTCTGGATTGATGAATTTAACAAGAGTTTTGATTGGTGTTCACATTGTTGAACCATAATCAGTTTTCGATTTCAAATTCAAAGAAATTTTGCTCAATAAACATTGAAAGAAACGGAAGCAACCTTAATTGTCGTTATGATACTTACAATTAATTGTGGTTAAAGTATTTAATAGAAATGGTGGCCTTTTGTTTTCTATGTCTCATGTCTCTATCTCATGTTAAAGTCTTACATTCTATGATTTTCTATTGAATTCATCCCCTATATATTTTTATTATGTGAGTTTGTGTCTTCTATTAATTTTCTGAGACAAAATTAAAATATGAAACACAATTCTCGTGTAAATGTTTATCCTTAAATTTGGGGAAACAAAATTACATATACAACACTACTCATAGAATCGCTTCAACTGCTTAAATCAAGACCGAGCCCGCCGTGGGCTATGACATGTTGAGTCGGAGCCTTAATTCATGTTTGTCTGATTTAAAAATAAATGATGTGGGACAGCGGGAACTATGAATTGGTTGAATTTAAATATCCACAAATCACAGTTGGAGACTCACTTTTTTAATTCGTAGTAACATGAAACATTGGTTTGTATCCACATATTTTCTAACCATTGACATAGCGAATAAACTTTCAAGACCAAATTTAATTGAATTGATAGTATGCTTATAATTTGATCTTATGATTACTAACCACAACTTACACAAATTTAATGCTTTAGAGTATTAATAATATTATTACTAAAATTGATTACATAACTAACTATTAGAGTATTATGTAAGCAACAAATATTTATAATCAAATTTAAACCAAAATACTGCATAATGCCACAGCTTAAATCATATCATTACATTTAAACACTTTTAAACAAATATTCAATTGAATTTAGGAGAATGAGTTCAAAAAATTATAAATACACCATTGAATTTCTCAATTTTTAACATCTTCAATTTCAAACATCAATCAATTCAAATTATAAACTAATTAACTCAATTCAATACAATATATAAATAAAATCAAGCTAATTAATAATGTCAAAAGTATCAATTGCCATATTCGGACTTCATGGATTTTTAGGTGAACCAGTATTAGAAGCAATAAATTCAGGAAAATTTGATTCAAAAATTTCATATCCAATAAAAGCAATAACAAGAAAATCAGATTTAAAAAATACTGAAAAAATTGAATATATTTCAATTCCTGAAATTAAATCAACTGAATCAAAATTAATCTCTGAACTTAAGGGAGTTGATGTTTTAATTGAATTAACAGGTCCAAATCCTCAAGTATTTTCAGAAATTGAAAAAATTGTTGAAGCAGTTAAACCAAAATTAGTTATTCCTTCACAATTTGGTACAGATATTGATCAAGTTGATACTTATGCTCCTGGGTTTTTAGCTTTAAAATCAGAACATTCTGCAAATTTAAGAAAAGTTAAAGGAGTTAAAGTTGTTGATATTATAACTTCATTATTTATTGTTCCTGGAAAATTTTTATATGATTGGGTTGGAGCAGTTGGTATAACTGATAATGGAATAAATGTAATTGGAGATTTAAATCAAAAAATTAATGTTTCAACATTGGCCGATATTGGAAATACTGTTTTAGCTGTATCAACTTTTAAACCAGTTGAAGATTTACCAGATGTATTAAGAATTTCATCAGATACTATTACAGTTCAAGATGTAATTAATCAATATTCAAAAAGACATAATAAAGATTTAAAAATTTTAACTACTATTAGTGCAGAAGAAGGTAAAAAACAATTTCAAGATAAATTAAAAGCTGGTTTTAATCCTGATGATTTTTTCTTTTATTTACAAGTTATTATTGCTCAAGGTTTAGATAAGGGGTTATTATTTAGTAAATTAGATAATGAATTAATTAATCCTGGTGAAAGTGTTTGGAAATGGGGTAAATATGAAAAATGACTAGACAGTAAGATTCAGAAATTCAAACTTGCATTTGAATTTTGAGAGGTAAGTCATATGCAAATTGAATAGTATATAAGTTTTATATATTCTTTAGTTATGAATTCAAACAGTGACATAAATTTAAGTGTAATAAATACTAAATAATTTCGAAATAATATGTAATTTTATCAATAAACTATATATATAAATCTACATACTTAGTAAGTTATATGACTTTTTATAAAATAAGCAAAATTGTAATATGTAAAGTAAAATTTATATTCATTAAAGTAAAGTACTTGTTTTTTCTAATTTTAAGAATCTATAATATCAACTAAACTTTTTAAAACTAATTTTTCATTTGAAAGATTCTTTGAATATGAAGATGAATTAAATGATGATGATGATAAATTTTGTTGTTCCTTTTTATTGTTTTCCTCAGTTAATTCTATAGGTGAATTGTTATCGTTATTCTCATTATTTTCTATATCTTGTTTTATTTCTTCTTCTTCTTTTGATTGTTCTTTATTTTGATGTTGTTTTGCTAATTGATGAACTTTTTCAATTTGTTTTTGTTTAGCTTGTTGATCTTGTTGACTTAATGTATTATGTGATTGTTGTTGTTGTTGAGTAGTTGTAGTTGTTTGTGGTGGTGGCTGTTGTTGTTGAGGTTGAAACAATTGTGGATTGAATGACTGTTGTTTGAATTGATTCGTATAAATTTCTGATGATAAAGAATGTTGTTGTTGATAATAATTTTGATTTAAATCGGGATATGGAGTTTGAAGTAATGAATTATTTTTATTTTCATCATTTATGGGAGCTAATGTATTTTGTAAATCTGCCATGTTTTGATTTTGAAATTCATAAGATTGTGGTTGTTGTAAATTTTGAGAATGAGTTGGAGTTAATTGATATTGAGGTCTATAAAATTGTTGTTGTTGATTTATTGAATTTTGTTCTTGTGGCCAAGTTTGATGATGTTGTAAATTTGAATTTATTTGATTTTGAGAAGTTGGTTGTGATTGTAAACTTAATCTTCTATTATTGATAGCACCACCATTGAAAAGTGTTTGTTGTTGTTGTTGATTTTGTTGAGAAATTCCGAATCCTGGTGGTTGTTGTTGTGAGTGTTGTTGTTGTTGTTGAATTAAATTAGGACTTAAATTTTGATTTTTAAAATTTTCAAAAGGTAATCCAATAACAGCACACATCCAAATTCTTGTTTTATAAATTCTAAATAATTCTCTAACTAAATCTCTAAAATCAATTCTTTTTGAAGTTGAATAATAAAAAATTAATTTTTTTCTATCAAATTGATATTCACTATCAATTAATTTCATTTGTAATAAATCTTGAGTTGTTGGTGATATTGGAGCTCCTGATAATAAACAACTACTTGTTGCATTTGCAATTTTTGCTAAACATAATCTACATGCTTTTTCTTCATCTTGTTTTTTATTTAAAATTTGAAAAATTTCATTTGGTTGAGCAATTGATAATACAGATTTTGGAAATTGTAAAGTTGGAGGAGATATTGATGAACTTTGTTGATGATGAGATAATACTGATGGTAAAAATGAATTTATGGAGTCAGTTGTTCCTGGTGATTGTTGTTGTTGTTGTTGTTGAGACATTGTTTTGACTGATAAATCATCTAAAAAATTATTATCAAAATGTTCATTTAATGCAGCTTGTTGTTCTTGAAATTGTAATAATTTTAATAATCTTGCTTCATCAATTGATACATTTAATTTAAAAACTTTACCTAAATCTCTACCTCTATCAGCTTCAACTATAACAAGATCCCCAAGTTTAATTTCTAAATTATTTATATATGATGATGAATTAGTAGTTCCAGGTGAAGTAGGTGATGAAGTAGATGTAAAAGAAGTTGAAGTTTGAGCACTTGAAGGTAAATAAAAAACATCAATTCTACCAGCTTTGAATCCGACCAACACCAACTGGTAATTTCTTAATGATGATTCAATTGGAAATTTTGGTAATTGATAAGCATCACTTAAATATTTTTCTTCATGAAAAAATCTATCATTTAAAATTTGCATTGTAACTTTAACTCTTTCATGAGGATCAGTTTCAAAATACTCATCAACCATCTTCATTATATTTGCATCATTGAGGTTTACTGTTGAATTGGTTTCTTGATATAATTGTTGTTGTTGAACTGGTGCTGTTGCAGTATCATTTGACAAATTATCAGTATATGACCGTCTTCTTATTATATCATACTTAGTTTGTGGTGATAAAGATCCACCATTAACATAATCACCATTAATTCCATTATTAATTTCATCTAATGTTGGAGCAATTTCAGTTATTGAAAAAGTTCTATTATTGGCATTTGTATTACTTGAAGTATAGTTATTATTAATTAATGAAGTATTTAAATTTAAATTGTAATTCGCATTCGCATTATTCAAATTGTTTTGTTGTTGATTATTATTTTGTTGCAAAAATTTTGGACTTGAAATTTTAGGTGGATTACAAGCTGAATTAGTTGAAGGTGGTGACCAAATATTAGTCGAAACTGGTTGCTCTGATATTGAATTCAGTTGTTTTTGAGACCATATATTACTTGAATCTATATATAAACCTCGTTGAGGATGTTGTTGATATTGATTTGAATTTAATGATAAATTATTTGAATTATTCCACATTGATTGATTGATTGAAGTTGGGATTTTTTGATTTAAACTATAATTTCGATTGTTATCTCTAGGACTATTTAAACTTAAATTTTGAAATTGAGATGAAGATAATTGATCTAAGTTTGAAAATTGATTCATTTGTAGTGGTATATCAAGATAATTTGATCTTATATCAGTATTTTCATCATTTGTTGAAATATTAAATTTAGATTTTAGGTCTGAATTTTTAAAATTAATATCTTTAATTTCAGTACTTTTATCTTGATCATTATTGATTTTGTTATTAAGCGATGATGCTAAATAATCAAAAGCCATCATTTGGTATGAAATTAATTAAATTATTTGAACTTCTATGATGATAAATTGATATATAACGCTGAGCTGATTGTAAATGAACTATGAAGTACTCTCTCTATTTTGTCTCTATCCCTCTTATAAACTGTTCAGCTGTTATGTGGTGAATCTTTTCAGTAATAAATTAGTTTGATTTTAAGAAATCTTTTGATATAAAAAAATGTAAATAAAAAAAATAATATGTTTATAATTAAACGTTTTTGTGTAATTATTGAAAACTCCAGTTAAAAAATCTTAAAGCTATTAACAAAATATAAATCTAATGATCAGAATTTTTGTATTAGTGACTGATTAATCAAGTATAAATTTTAATAAGGTGTAAATACTTAATCTTTAATTGCCAAATTGAATAAAATTTGAAAGGAACGTCAGCTTTTATTTGAGATTGGAATAAAATATGTTGAAAAAAAAAAGTGGTGTGGTTTATTTAATGTAGAATGTATTAAATTAGTTGGCTTTTTCCGGTACCTTTTATTGCAATGATTTGGACCAAATTGAAATCGTTGTAATTAGACTAGTTTTGATCAGTTTTGATCACTGTTATTAAGGCTTTGATTTGTGTAAAACTTTATTTTATGAAGTGAGACTTGCTGAGGTAATGAAAGTTTAAGGAAATTCCAATAATTTAAAGTTTCAACTCCAGTAAAAAATCAATTGTTTTTCCTTTTTTGATCAAGATTTTGTGGAGATGCCGAAGTAAAAACTCAAAGTAGATTGAAATCTAAGCTTAATTCTCAAGTATACGGGAACAGCTGAAATCAATGATTGATGAGATCTTAATTTGACTCAAAATAATTTATAATTTGTAATAGGTTTGTTCAATCTCTTTGATTCTCTAATTAGCTCCACTATGAGTGATGAAAAAAAAGTTACTGTCTATTTTATTTTGAAATTAAGGCTATTTAAATCTAATATTAAATTTATAACGGTTGAAGTTTGATTGTGATTTGCTTGACGTTTGATCTAGGACCGTATTAATTGTAAATCTAATTCTGATAATATGTATAAAGTGTTAAACTTAATTTATTGTTTGATTGCAAAAAAAAAAAAGAAAAATCTGAAACTTATATAAAATTGAAATTGAAATTATCAAATTTGATAAAAGATGAAATCAAAAAGTTGGATCTAAGTTGATTTAAATTTATACTTTGATTTTTATTTTTTTTGAAAAAAATTTCCAAAAAGTTCATAAATCAATTAAGTATGAAATCTTTTATTATGAATTTTATGTAAGTATATGCTTTGTTTTTAAAATAATAATATTAATCAATGAATTTAGATTCTTGACTTCAATTGAAATAATTTATTATCTTTTCACTAATATTATAACACTTAAACAAGGGACTTTTTTAAAAAATAAACATCAAGGTTTGAAAAATAAGTATAAGACCACTATATGTCATTAGTGAGACTGGGTTATAACAGTATATGTTTCTTGATTTAATGTACATTGGAAAATGGAATAAAAATGGGGTATCTCCAGTTGCTATTTTATAAACCTACATGGCTATACATTTACGGCCGGCCATCTTTCAAAATATTGAGATAATTCATAAAGAATCAAGATTTAAGACAATGATTTTGATATAAATTTTAACTTTACGATCAATCAATTTTACTATACTCAGCCATTGCCGGTTATTTCAAATATTATTTTAAATGATTTCTTTAAAGTTTTAAAAGTAATTTATTTATTTTTTGGAAATTTAGTTCATAATTTAGTTAATCTGTCAAAATTTATTATTTCATGAAATTGAACAAGAAAGGTTAAACAACCAAAGACATCTATTCATGTGTAGTTAAATTAAATTTCTCTCGAATCTTCAGAAAAATATATAGGCTTCAACCTACTTACTTTGTTTAATAACTTAGATTTACAAAATTGCGTGTAAATGACACACCATAAAAGAAAAGCAATCACGTACAATTATGTATCGACTAACTTTTCAACAATTCAGATATTTTTAATAAAGAAATTGTTTTTAATTTACATGAATAAGCATATTTAAATGTTGTAGAGTTTGACATCAGGTTTAACTTCGGATGCTCATAATTCTGTCAAAAGAATTCAGACGTCATAATTTATCCGAATTATTGATTGAATAAAATCACAAGATGTCTTATTCGAGATAATATTGAGCATTACCTTAGTAGTGCAGGGTTTTTATTACACAGTCCCGAGTTGGAGCTCCAGATTATAGTTGGTGCATACACTAAAGTTACTGTTTAGCAAGCTAGACTACTGATCTAATAAACAATTAATATTGAAAAAAAAAAAAATGTAGTTGTTTTTACTTTAAGTTTTTGCCAGTTTTGCAAAACATCACAAAGTAATTTAATGTTTTATTCTAGTTTTAGATCTTTGTTGGAGAAAGTAAATGTGCCGTAGATTAGAACAAATTTATGAAGGAGGAGAAGCAAACTTGCTAGAATCAGTCGAATTTGATTATATAGGTGGTAGAAGCTATTTTCAAAAAAACTGACAGTTCTAGACTATGAAATTTGCTTTTCAAATTTGCGCTTTCCAATTTGCAATTGAAAACAACAAATTACACCATCAAGTGGAGAACAATCATGAGGAAAGTATATTGATAAATTTTTTGACCTTATTATTTTGCTTTGTTTTTGATGTAATGCTTAATTTTGAGCTCAAAATTACAATGTAATTTTATTCCAATCGTTATTCTGAAAGTAGTAATTGATGATACTTAATTTGGATATTTTTATATCAGCCTCTTTTACAACTGAATAAGGTAAGTCGGTTGCAAAAAAAAAAAAATTACCCTAGACCTGAAACACGATTTGGATAAAAAGAATAAGAATCGACTAAACCCCATTAGCCTACAAAACTTTCAAAGAAATTTCTGCTGTAAAAATAGCGTAATTTATTAATTAACCTATACAAAAACATGAGCTAATCTAAAAATGCAAAACACATTTTTATTGGAACTGAAAATCAAAAATCAAATCACACAAGGCAAACAAATAAAGCAAGCAAAGTATACCAACAAGTCAGCAACTAAAAAACACATAACATTCAAAAATAACGCCTCAAACAAAATGTGCTCATCTTACAAAGCCCCTAAGATTATTGATATTGTTGTTGATTTGGTATATTATTATTTTGCATATTTGAAAAATAAGCATAATCACCATAAGGTACTTGTTGTTGACCACCAGCACCTTGTTGTTGATTATTTTGTTGTTGTTGTTGCTGTTGTGGTTGACCATAATGTGGTGGTAATACATGAGATTGTAATGGTTGTAGTTGAGGATGTTGAGATTGATTTTGATTTTGAGGAACTTGTTGATGTTGTTGTTGTTGTTGTTGTTGAGCATGTTGAGCTGCTGCTGCAACTGCATTTTGTTGATGTTGTAAATGAGCTTGCTGTTGTTGATGTTGTTGATGATGTTGAGGTTGTTGTTGTTGTTGTTGTTGAGGTTGAGATTGAGGTGGTTGTTGAACTGGTACTGGACTTTGTTCAGGAGATTCAGCTTGTTCTCCATCACTTTGATCACCTTGTTCATTATCTAATCCTTCTTCAGGAGCATTTAAACAAGCTTGAATTAAATTTTTACCTTCTGGTTTAGTAACTAATGGTTGTAATTTTGGAGTAGTAAAAGTATAAACTAACCCAGTTTCTGATACAACTAATAATAAAACTTGAGTACCAGTTAAAACACTTAATTCATAAGCTTTTTTCATTATACCAGCTTTTCTTTTACTAAAAGTAATATGTCTTCTACTTTTATCTTGTATAAATTTAATTTCAATTTTTCTTCTTTCTTTTTGAGTTTTTCCAGTTGATGGACCATCTTCATCATCATCATCATCTGGTGGATTAGATAATGATGCTGAATTTATTTGTGGTTCTCCATTTGAATTTTGATCAAATTCATTAACTTCTTCTGCTTTAGTGGACATCTAAAAAAAAATAAAGTTAGTACAACGAGATTTTTGTTAAAATAAAGCTAAAGCATAATCTTGTTGATAGAATGTTTATAATTCATTGTTTTCACTTCAAATAAGTCTGTATTGACCTTGGATCAACTTTAAAACAATGTTTCAAACTCAAAACACTAATGAAAAAAAAAAATTCTCTCCTATATTCTTCAAGAATCCATTGTCATTTTTTAAACATAATCATCCTAATCTTTTAAATACTTGTCAAATGATAATCAAAAAACATTCAATGCTAAAACAAGTTTTTAACTAGATATTTGTTACATACTTTTTAATTAATACACAAATATGTTTACGTTATTAAAGTGTCTTAATATGTTATTGATAAAAGGGTTTCCTAATTGGTAAAATTGTTTTTTTTTTGGTTTCAACATTTTGCCCAATTTGGATTTTTAAAAAAAGGTCGTGTCATGTGTGACGAAAAACATTCATTATATAAGGTCTACTTATATATACATTACATAAGGATACAATAAGAGGATGTAGATTTTATTAAGGAATGACTAGATTATTATGTCCTCAGTTACTCAGTCCCTCAGTTTTCAGCTCATTAGTTCTCATTCACGATTATTTCGTTTTTCAATGGTGATGTATGATCTTCATCTTTAACATCAGGAATAATGATTACTTCCGATTCAATTGATGATGATGATTCGGGATTTGGAGTAATTTCTGGTGTTGTTACTTCTGGAGTTGTTAATTTAGTACTTTCAACACTTTTTATTTCAAAATCTTCTTCAGTATTTTCTCTAACTACAATTTCCAATTTTTTTAGCACTTTTTCAACATTTTTATAAAATTGTATAGCATCTTTTTCTTCGAGTGGTGATTTTCTTTGATTAAGAATTAATAATCTTAATATTTTACTTTTAGTAATAATAGATTTTGGGATTTCATCAATCATTTTATCAAATTCTTTAAGGTCCTTTTGTAATGATTTATAATTTATTGATTCTGATTCTGATTCATCAATTAAATAATCACTTAAAAATTTAAATTCTAAAGTTTTATATCTCTCCAAAGCTTCATTATAAATTTCAATTAATTCCTGTGAATCAGGTATTTTTGAAAATAAATCTTGTTGTTTCTGTTTTGTTTCATATATATAATTTCCTTCCAATTTATCATATTTATTAAAATCGTCAATTCCCCAATCTGAATCATATTCTAACATTAATTTTCTTTCTTCTTCTTTTTCTCTAACTAATTGTTCCTTTTTAGGGTCCTTTTTTAAAATTATTTTTAATTTTGGATGTTTTTTTGTAGTTGTCGTTGTAGAAGTTTTTTGTTTCTTTTTAGGTGGAGCTTTAACTTCAATAGTATCTTCAAATATATCAAAATCTTCTTCAGAAGGTTCTCCATGAGATCCAAATTTAATAAAAGTTTCCATATCTAAAGGATTACTAGCCATTTCAAAAGCAGTTTCTAATACATTATCTTTTCTTCGTTTTTGAGAACTTTGAGCAAAATGTATTGCTATATCATCTTTACTTAAAGGTTTTAAATCATTAGTCTTCATCCAAAAATAAGTATCATCATTAAAGAATTTTATAGGTAGTACCGTCGGTTCAGATTCTGATGATTGAGATTTAAATTTTGGTTTTTTAGCAAAAATATGATCTGGCAATAATGATTCTTCTAATACCATAGCTGGCCAAGCTGGGTATCCTTTTACTTTGGCTAGTACTATACTACTTGCTGGATACTTCTCTGACATATTGTTCGTTCTATGTTGTTATTGTACTGAATTGGCTTGATCTGGTTGATTCTTGATGCAACTGAAAATATTGAAATATTTTGGTCGCGTTTGGAAAATTAAGCGACATCAAAAAACGATACTGATTTTTGGTACTTACTTATGAATTGGAATAAAATCCATGAACCTCTGCTTAGAGTGATTTGTTTACGCTTAGACTGACATGCCGAGTGAAATTATGTGGAGAAAAGATCTTTGACTGGCAAACAATTCCTAAACAATTATTTTTCTTCAGCGGTGTTGTCAATTGGCTTCTTTATTTGAAGTTTCATAGATATATCGGAAATAAGTAAATAAGTCTCTACTTATACCCGTGGAGTTATCTAATAGATTTAAAACTTTAAAGCTGAAAGTATTCAGTTACTTTTGCCACGTTTATATATTACATCATATGATACTCATATCTAATTTTCAAATAAGTTTATACAAACTGTGAGGAAACTCGCTCGTTATTTCAATGTAATTCGCCTCAAGTGCTAAAGATTCAATATCGATGAAAGTCTTGAATTTATCGAATGATTATTATATGTATATCGTCAAAAACAACATTTGAGCTTCTATTCTTTGTCGATTATCAACTTCTCATTAATTGATAAGACCATCTTTACATTATTTTATTTATTAGCATCGTTATCAGTGTTTTTGGTCCCAAATTTATTCCAATTCTTGGACCAAAGCAATCTACTTATAATTTCAAAGTTTACAACTCCGTAATATCCTTTAACCTTAATTTTAATTTTTAATTTTTGTCTACCCCCCCTTAAGTAATTTTGTGTATTGAAATTTTCTGGTTATCTAAATTATCATAATTTTTAAAAAACATGTTTTAATACGTATAAAACGGAAGGGAGATCTAAAATTATATTTTAAAGACCAGCTCATTCGTATTTTTGCAAGATCTATACTCAATTGCTTTGTTTATTTTAGTTTTGCCACGATCAATTCCTTTTTATACAGTCATTTGTTTGCATTTCAATTGATTTATAGAACTTGAGAATTGTACCACAGTCCAATTTACTAATCAAAGGTTGATTGCTCAATTTAGTCAAAAATATAGAATAACAACTCAAAGTTTGAAGCATTTATAAGTTAACTCAATTTTAATAATCAAAAATATTTCATTCAAAATGTCTATGGATTATCTTACACCTTCAACATTACCACAACCAAAATTAAAAAGAACCAATACTGGATTCACTCCTAATCAAATTATAGCATTAGATGCTGCAATTCCTGAAAGTTGTAAAAAAACATGGTTTAAATATTCTCAATTAGATATATTAGATTCCAATAAAAAACCAAATCCTGATGAAGATGTTAGAGCAATAGTTCATGAACCAGAAAAATTTGAAGAAGAATTTGTAAAACATGTTGAAACTAGTTTAGGAAGATCAATGTATAATTGTGATGATTTAGCTGCTTATCAAGCTGCTTCAAATACTGTTAGAGATGCTTTAATTTTAGATTGGTCAAATACTCAACAAAAACAAACAATTCAAGATGGTAAAAGAGTTTATTATTTAAGTTTAGAATTTTTAATGGGTAGAGCTATGGATAATGCTTTAATTAATTTAAAATGTGAAAATACTACAAGAGCTTCATTAAAAGGTTTAGGATTTAATTTAGAAGATGTATTAGATCAAGAACCTGATGCAGCATTAGGTAATGGTGGATTAGGTAGATTAGCTGCTTGTTTTGTTGATTCATTGTCTTCAAAAAATTATTCTGGTTGGGGTTATGGTTTAAATTATCAATATGGTATTTTTAAACAAAAAATTATTGATAGTTATCAAATTGAAACACCTGATTATTGGTTAAAATATACTAATCCATGGGCTTTAGATAGACATGAAATTCAAATTCCAGTTGATTTTTATGGTTATGTATATGAAGAAAATGATCCAAACACAGGTAAAACTAAAAAGATTTGGAATGGTGGTGAAAGAGTTTTAGCTGTAGCAGCAGATTATCCTATTCCTGGTTTTAATACTGAAAATACAAATAATTTAAGATTATGGAATGCAAAACCAACTAATGAATTTGATTTCACTAAATTTAATGCAGGAGATTATCAACAATCAGTAGCATCACAACAAAGAGCAGAAGCAATCACATCTGTTTTATATCCAAACGATAATTTTGAAAAAGGTAAAGAATTAAGATTAAAACAACAATATTTTTGGGTTGCTGCTTCATTACATGATATTGTTCGTAGATTTAAAAAAAATCATAAAACAAATTGGAAAAAATTTCCAGATCAAGTAGCTATTCAATTAAATGATACTCATCCAACTTTAGCTATTGTTGAATTACAAAGAATCTTGGTTGATTTAGAAGGTTTAGAATGGGATGAAGCTTGGTCTATTGTTGTTAAAGTCTTTGCTTATACTAATCATACAGTTATGACAGAAGCTTTAGAAAAATGGCCAGTTGATGTAGTTGGTAGATTATTACCAAGACATTTAGAAATCATTTATGATATTAATTATTTCTTCTTAAAAGATGTTGAACAAAAATTCCCAAATGATCGTGATTTATTAAGTAGAGTTTCAGCAATTGAAGAAGGTAATCCAAAATCTGTTAGAATGGCATATTTAGCAATTATTGGATCACATAAAGTTAATGGTGTAGCAGAATTACATTCAGAATTAATTAAAACTACAATTTTCAAAGATTTTGTAAAAGTATTTGGTCCAGATAAATTTACAAATGTTACTAATGGTATTACACCAAGACGTTGGTTAAGACAAGCAAATCCTAAATTATCTGCATTAATTGCTAAAAAATTAAATGATCCAAATTATGAATATTTAACTAATTTAGGTAGATTAAAAAAATTAGAACAATTTATTGATGATGATAAATTTTTAAAAGAATGGGATTCAATTAAATTTGATAATAAAAAAAGATTAGCTTTATTAATTAAAGATGAAACTGGAGTTGAAGTAGATCCAACAGTATTATTTGATGTTCAAGTTAAAAGAATTCATGAATATAAAAGACAACAAATGAATATTTTTGCTGTAATTTATAGATATTTAAGAATTAAAGAATTATTAGCTGAAGGAATAAGTATTGATGAAATTAAAGAAAAACATTATATTTCAAAATGTTCAATATTTGGTGGAAAGGCTGCTCCAGGTTATTATATGGCAAAAACTATTATTCATTTAATTTGTAAAGTTGGTGAAGTTGTTAATAATGATACAGAAATTGGTAATCTATTAAAAGTTGTTTTTATTCCTGATTATAATGTATCAAAAGCAGAAATTATATGTCCTGGTTCAGATTTATCTAATCATATTTCAACTGCAGGAACTGAAGCTAGTGGTACATCTAATATGAAATTTGCACTTAATGGTGGATTAATTATTGGAACAGTAGATGGAGCAAATGTTGAAATTACAAGAGAAATTGGAGAAGAAAATATCTTTTTATTTGGTAATTTAGCAGAATCAGTTGATGAAATTAGACATAGACATTTTGTTGATGGTGTTCATATTCCAGAAACTTTAGAAAAAGTATTTCAATCAATTTATGATGGGAAATTTGGTAATCCAGATGATTTTAAACCTTTGATAGATAGTATTAAATATCATGGTGATTATTATCTTGTAAGTGATGATTTTAATTTATTTTTAGATGCTCATAAAAAATTAGAAAATGTATTTGGTCATCATGGAGGAGATTCAGAAGATTCTGATCATTTACATAGATGGGTTAAAAAATGTGTTTGGAGTGTTGCTAATATGGGATTTTTTTCAAGTGATAGATGTATTGATGAATATGCTGAAAATATTTGGAATGTCGAACCTTCAAATTTCTAAGGTTTATAGAAGAAGGGATGAATTGAAAATCTTTTGATTGTCTATTTAATAAAACTAATTTAAGTGTATAGAAAAGTACATTAATTTTTGAGAGTCTATTAACGTAATTTTAAATTGATTACAAAATCTGAAACACACTCATTTTGAAACAAAAAAGTGAGTGTTGTGAAACTAGTCGAATATTGGAGATCCTGAACGACAAACCCTGCGAAATTCGATTCAATTCTAAATTAATTCAAAGGATGCGATCATTACTGGAATGGATTTAGCTGAACAAGGTGGATTCTCCAAATTCAAAATTTACCAAATACTAACTGATCATAGTAGTCATAAAAATTAGTAGTTTCAAAAAAATATGCAAAAAATTTGGAGTGCAAAAAGAATAGTAAGAGGATTAATCCAAAGTCAGTTGTTTCGTGATGGGATATATGAAATGAAGGAATATCTATTGGGAATAAACTAGATTAAATGCTTTATTGGTCTAAATACTCTTTCACGTACGCGTTAAAACACGAATTCAATATTTTTTTTCCTAGAATTTCTTAACAGATCTATTTTGAAACAAAGTTTGATTAAATATATTAAAGAATTGGCTATAAACTCATCTTATATATCAACACCTCAATATTCATATGCCTGATATACTTCAATTGATTATAAATCAATCTTCACCAGATAATAATGTTAGAAGAAGTTCAGAATTAGAATTTAATCAAGTAGTTAAATCAAATCCATCAGAATCTTTTTATTTAATATTAGAAGCTTCAATTAATAATTCACTTCCAATTGATTTACGTCAATCATGTCTTTTAAATTTAAAAAGGTTAGTTCCACAATTTTGGTCATTAGGATTTAATTCTTTTATTGGACCACCAATTACACAAGATCTCAAAAATCTAGTAAGATCTAAACTTTTACAATTAACTATTACAACTGATAATTCAAAATTAAGAAATAGTGCTGCATATGCTATTGTACAAATTGCATCAGTAGATTATCCTGATGAATGGCCAGAATTAATGAATGTATTATATCAATCAACAACAGATTTTAGTAATGTAAATTCAATGTTGGGAGGTTTACAAGTATTAACTGATTTATTTGATGATTTAATAACAGAAGAACAATTTTGGGAAGGAGGAGTTGGAATACAAGTTTGTAATCATTTAGATTTAATTTTTAAAAATGTTAATATTGAAATATCTGTGAAAAATCAAGCTTTAAAATTATATGAAAATGTTTTAGCGATTCTTCGAAGTCCTGAAGCATTTGAAAATTCCAAGAGGAAACAATTTACAATTTCACAAATAAATATTACATTAGAAGCATTTATTAATTTAATATCAATTACTGGAAACAATTTAATTGAATTACAATTTAAAAGTAATTTATTCAAAGTCATATCATTAATTATTGGACAGTTTCATCACCGTATACCTCGAGATGTCAAACTAAGCGTTTTAAAATTAACCCTAGAAACTTTACACTTGTTATCACCTATTTACAACGACATAGCATTAGATACTTATCAAGCACCATTATATTCAGAATTAGAAGCTCTTTCAGTTGTTGGAGAGTTGATTTATTACATATTCCATACAATTGCTAGCATACAATCTGATATTCCTATAGCAGAAATAATACCCATTCCACAATTCCTTAATGATTCTGTTATATGTACAGCATTAGCTAAAACAAAAGTTGAAGAATATGAAAATGATATTAATGTATATGTGAGTGAAATTACAGGTTTATCTGTTGATTTAAATCCAAGAGATGCCATTCTTGATTTATGGGGAGAATTAAATGAAGCAGATGTTAGAATGAGTTGTAATGCATTAATTGATCTGTTTGATGAAAATGATAAAAGAATATTGGAAGCTCAATTATTTACATTACAAGGAATTTTATCAAATGATTGTCAATTACCAGAAGTTCCTTTAAAAAAATTACTTTCATTTATTACATATGAATATAATTTAGTAACTTCAGATTGTTTTTTATTATTACCTAAATATTTTGAAAATTTTATGGAAAAAGAAGCAATTAATGTATTTAATGATATGTTAAAATTTGCAGAAAAAAGTAATGACGCAATTATAAAAATATCAACGTTAGTAAGTTGTACTTATTATCAACATGTTTTTGAATTTTCAAGTCTAAATAAAGAAGCTCAATTAATTTTAATAAAAATAGCGGAGTCTTTAATTGATGAATGTGAAGATGATGGGTTACCCACTTTATTAGAAGCAATAACTCAAGCCATTTCAATTAATCCTGCCAATGCAGCTACTCTCAAAATAAATCCAAATGTCAGTGTTATCGATCTAATCTTCATTATTGCATTCAAAGATCCAGCAAATGTTCAACTAATATCTGAAGCTTCAGAATCATTATCAACTTTATTAAAAAATATTAATATGTCTGAATATATGAAAGCTTGTGAAGATTCATTACCATTTATTTTTGAAAGAATGCAAGAAAGTAATGGAGAATATACTCCACAATTATATTTAAGTTTAGAACTATTAAGTATAATTATTCAATCAGCTCCTGGGGATGATTTACCTTCACAAGTATTTGAATATGCATTTCCAATTTTAAAAAATATATTATTAATTTCTAATGATAATCAAATTTTACAAAGTGGAGGAGAAGTTTTTAATGAATTAATTCAAAAAGGAAGTAAATTATTCTTGGAATATCAAAATCCAACAACAAAAGAATCAGGAATTGAATCAATGATGCAAATCGTTAATAAATTTTTATCACCTGAATTAAGTGATAGTGCAGCAAATAAATGTGGTATTATAGTTTTATCATTAATTAATAAATTTCAAGATTATTTATCACCTGAAATTTTAACAAGATTATTAGAAGCAACTGTAAATAGATTAATTATATCAAAAGAATCAACAACTATTGAAAATTTAATTATGGTATTTTGTCAATTAGTTTTAAAATCTCCAAAGGAAACAATAAATTTTTTAGCTCAAATTACAATTAATAATAAATCAGGTTTACAAACTATATTACCAATTTGGTTTGATTCATATGAAGTTACTCGTGGATTTGAACAAATTAAACAAAATTCATTAGCTTTAGGTCAAATTTTTTCTTTAGGTGATCCAAGAATTGAAAATTTAATAGTTAATGGAGAAATTATTCCATATGAAGGTGAAAAAATTATAACAAGATCAATGGCTAAAACCATGCCTGATAAATATACTCAAATATCTGCATCATTAAAAATTTTAAAATTATTAGTTGGTGAATTACAATTTCAATGTCAACAACCAAATGCAGGAGATTATTTACCAGAAGAAGAAGATGAAGATGAAGAAGATGAAACACATCCAAAAGCAATTCAAGAAAATGACAATTTGAACGAAGATGACGATGAAGGTTGGGAAGATATGGAAGATATTGGAGTCCCCAATTTTGCAAAATTAAAGTCATATGTTGAAGATAATGAAAAAGATTTAGGTGGAGATAATAGTTTAAAAAATTTATTAATTGAATTTTTTAAAGAATGTACTTCTAAAAATTTAGGAAATTTTGGTATTTATTATGAAGAATTAAATGAAAATGAAAAACGATTGATTAGTGAATGTTTAATTTTTTAGATTTGATTAATGACAAATTTGCATCATATTATGTTATAGATTTTTTTTGTTTCGTAAATATGCACAAAATCGATTATCATCTCTTCTCTAATAATGAATCATAGTCATAATTAATGAGATGTATTAGGAGAACAATGTCAACAACTACAACTACTACTACTCCAATAAATACCAGAATATTAAGAGTTAATCCTGAATCTATAGTGTTTAAAAAGGATCAAATACTACCGCATATCTTAGATAAAGAAACTGAAGATAATTTAAATATAGCTTCGGAACAACTAAAATCTTTAAATGTAATTGGTTTTCCAACTGAAACTGTATATGGGTTAGGAGGATCAGCTTTATCAGATAAAAGTGTTCAACCAATATATAGAGCGAAAAACAGACCTGCTGATAATCCATTAATTGTACATATATCATCAATTCAACAATTAAAATCAAAATTATTACCATCAAATACAGAAATACCAAATATATATAAACCATTAATTGATAAATTTTGGCCAGGTCCATTAACTATATTACTACGAAATGATCCTCAAAATTCACCAATATCATCTTTTGTTACAGGAAATCAAGATACTTTTGCAGTAAGAATGCCTCAACATCCCGTAGCAAGAGCTTTAATTGCAATTAGTGATTTACCATTAGCTGCACCATCAGCAAATTCATCAACTAAACCAAGTCCAACAATGGCAAAACATGTATATTTTGATTTAAATGGGAAAATTCCTTTAATATTAGATGGTGGTTCAAGTAATGTTGGAGTTGAATCTACGGTAGTTGATGGATTAAGTTCACCACCTATGTTATTAAGACCTGGAGGAATATCATTAGAAGAAATAAAGGAAGTTGGTGGAAAGCAATGGGAAAATATTCAAATTGCTAAAAATTTAAAAGATGATAGTAATGAAAAAGCTAAAACACCTGGAATGAAATATAAACATTATTCCCCCAATGCTAAAGTTATATTATTTATAAATTGTGGAGACGGTTTGAAAATAATGAAAGAATATATAGAGAAACATAATTTAGAAAAGTCCAAAATAGCGATTTTAAAAACTAGAAATTTTCAAAATTTAGAAGGAATTGAAATCATTAAAAGTTTGGGAGTTGTTGGTGAAGAAATATCAAGAAACTTATTTAAATTACTTCGAGAAGTTGATGAAGAAGCAAATATTGATTATATATTTGTTGAAGGAATTGATGAAACAAATGAAGGATTAGCAATAATGAATAGATTAAATAAAGCAGCTGTAGAAGTTATAAAATTGTAAATAGTCAAGGACATTTTTAATGAATATTTGTATTAGTACGATAGATACATACATTTGAAGTAGGCTATACTAACATAATTACTTAACAGTAATAACCTAACTTAGTAATTTCTCGCAGTCGGACTTTTTCAATCAATTTTTATGCGATCAATTAATTAGTAATAATCAATTTGATGCCATGTCTTTGAAGTGTTGTGAAATATACAGATTGACCGACTGAAGGAAGCAAATAATACAATATAGGTTCAGCTGTATTGCAACAGTCAAGTTATATAGGCTATTGTTAGTTGAGATTGAATCATTTCAACACGTAATTATTACTCTCTTCATCTATTTTCCCTTCAATCTTTGTGATATTTGTTATCAGATTTTGAAAAATGCAATTTTTTTCAATTTTCATCAACCATTATTCAAAGTAATATAGCATCAAAAGAAGCAATACAACAGCTTAATCCACGTCCCTAATCTCACATCCATATCAAGCTGAAACTAAATAGATCAGAAGAACAACTCAAATCAGTATTGTATCCATCATACGAGAGTAAGGACTATAGATTATTTCATCAAATCATAATATACCTTTTTACAACCAAAATATGAGTAGTAATCCATATGATATAAATACAGATCAATTAAAACTACCACATAGAGCAAATACACCATCACTAAAGTTTTGTTCAAAAACAATTGAAGAAACAGCATCAGAATTAAATACTGATATAAAATTAGGTTTAACAAATAATCAAGATGTTTTAAATCGAAAATCTATATATGGATCAAATGAATTAAATAATAAAGAAGAAGAAAGTTTAATATGGAAATTTATACAATCATTTTATCAAGATCCTTTAATTTTATTATTAATTGGTTCTGCAATAATAAGTTTTTGGATGGGTAATAAAGATGATGCAATAAGTATAACATTAGCAATTACAATAGTTGTTACAGTGGGGTTTGTACAAGAATATAGATCTGAAAAATCATTAGAAGCTTTGAATAAATTAGTACCAGCAGAAGCAAAATTAACAAGAAATGGAAATACTTCACATGTATTAGCTTCAACTTTAATACCTGGAGATTTAGTTCATTTTTCTCAAGGTGATAGAATTCCAGCAGATATAAGGTTAACTAATGCAGTATATTTAACAATTGATGAAAGTAATTTAACTGGAGAAAATAGACCTGTTAAAAAAACAACTGATATTGTTACAATGAAAGATCCTGGTGTAACTGATAGAACAGATATAGCATATATGGGTACATTAGTAAGAGATGGACATGGAAGTGGGATAGTTGTTGGAACAGGTGCACAAACTGTATTTGGTACAGTATTTGAAATGATGAGTGAAATTGAAAAACCAAAAACTCCATTACAACAAGCAATGGATAAATTAGGTAAAGATTTAAGTGTTTTCAGTTTTATAATTATTGGTATAATATGTTTAATTGGTATTTTCCAAGGTAGATCATGGTTAGATATGTTTCAAATTTCAGTATCTTTAGCAGTTGCTGCAATACCTGAGGGATTACCAATTATAGTTACAGTTACATTAGCTTTAGGGGTGCTAAGAATGGCAAAACAAAAAGCAATTGTAAAAAGATTGCCAAGTGTTGAAACTTTAGGAAGTGTTAATGTTATATGTTCAGATAAAACAGGAACTTTAACTCAAAATCATATGACAGTTACCAAGATATGGACAACTGATTTTAAAGGAAGTTTTAATACTCCATTTCTTATAGTTGAAAGATTAGATGATAATACTTTACATCATCAATTAACTGATAATATTAAAAAAGTATTAGAATGTGGGAATATATGTAATAATGCAAGATATTCAACTGAAAATGAAAAATATGTTGGAAATCCAAGTGATATAGCCCTTGTTGAATGTTTACCACATTTTGGTTTAGAAGATATTAGAGGTCAAACTGAAAGAATTTATGAATTACCTTTTTCATCAAATAGAAAATATATGGCAGTTTGTGTTCATAGTGGAGATATGAATAAATCAGAAACTTTTGCAAAAGGAGCAACTGAAAGAATTTTAAATCAATGTACTAAATATTTTGATGAACAGGGGAATATAAAACCATTAACTGAAGAAATAGAAAATCAAATTCATGAAAAATCAAAAACGTTAGCAAATGATGGGTTACGAGTATTAGCATTTGCTCAAAATAATAAAAAATTTATAAATGAAAAAGATGAAAATAGTCAACCACAAGAGCTTATATTTAGTGGATTAATTGGAATGAAAGATCCTCCAAGACCAAATGTAAATAAAGCAATTTCAATGTTAATGAATGGTGGAGTACATGTTATTATGATTACTGGTGATTCACCTTCTACAGCAATGAATATTGCAAAACAAATTGGAATGCCAATAACTGGAGATCATTCAGTAATGACAAGTGATCAATTAGAATCTTTAAAAGAAGGTAGTGATGCATTATCTGAAGCAATTCATAATGTTTCTGTTTTTGCAAGAACAACTCCAGAAGATAAAGTAACTATTGTAAAAGCTTTACAAAGAAGAGGTGATATAGTTGCAATGACAGGAGATGGAGTTAATGATGCACCAGCATTAAAATTAGCAGATATTGGAATAGCAATGGGAAAAAATGGTACTGATGTTGCAAAAGAAGCAGCAGATATGGTATTAACAGATGATGATTTTAGTACTATATTAAGTGCAATTGAAGAAGGTAAAGGAATTTTCCATAATATTCAAAATTTTATAACTTTTCAATTAAGTACTTCAATAGCTGCATTAACTTTAATTGCATTATCAACATTTTTTGGTTTACCAAATCCTTTAAATGCAATGCAAATTTTATGGATTAATATATTAATGGATGGTCCACCTGCACAATCTTTAGGAGTTGAACCTGTTGATCATGAAGTAATGAATAAACCACCTCGTAAAAGAAATGATAAAATTTTAACAAATTCATTAATTAAAAGAGTTTTACAATCAGCTTGCATTATTATATTGGGAACATTGTATATATTTATAAAAGAAATGAAAGATGGTGAAGTAACAGCAAGAGATACAACAATGACTTTTACATGTTTTGTATTTTTTGATATGTTTAATGCCTTATCATGTAGATCATATACAAAATCAATTTTTACAATGGGATTAAATAATCAAATGTTTAATTTTGCCGTGTTGGGTTCAATAATTGGACAATTTTGTGCTATATATATTCCTTTTTTTCAAAGTATATTTCAAACTGAATCATTATCATTTAATGATATTTTACATTTAATTATTTTAACTAGTACTGTTTTTATTGCTGATGAAATAAGGAAATTTTTATTAAGAAGAAAGACAATAACAACTAATAATTATAATTATGGTGTGTAAGGAGAGGGATTTAGTTATAATGATAATAACGATGACGATGATGATGGTATATTTATGATAAATAAATAAGTAATACATAATATAATAGAGGTATTCTACTTTTTTATTTTTTAATAATATTGTTAATGTAATTTTGAATATAATGTATTTTCTGTATCAATTCCATCAATTAATCTTGAAATAATATCATCATGATTCCAATTTTTTAATTCATATTGGTCTATTCTTTTTTTCAAATTTATTAACTTTTCATTTAATTCAGGATAATATTTACTTGAATCTTCTAATTTTGGAAATTTTGAATTATATAATAAATTATCAAATTCATCTTGATCATCATCTTCTGTTTGTTGTTCCTCTTCATCTTCATTTCCCCTCTCTTCATTTTGTAATTTAATTCTTGCAAAATTATTTACAATAATTGAAATTAAATTAAATAATGAATTAATTTTATCTTTATTTGATGTTGATAAATCCATTAAATTTATTGGATTTTCACATAATTGTTTTGCTTTTGAACGTAAATGATATTTTATAGGATCATGTTCAATATCATTACAAATTTCAAATAACCAAATTAAATTTTTTTGTATTTCTTCTGAGTTAATTTCAATTAATTTTGAATATTTAAAATTTTTTAATTTTAATATGGATTTTTTCAATAAGGAATATTTTGATGTACCACTTGGATATCTTGAATATACATTTTTTTGTAACTCTATTGATGGTTCGGGGAAATTTTCAAAATTTTTTGTTAATTCTGATGATATTTTAATATTTGGAACTTTTAATTTATATAATATTCCTTTTATATTAGCCCAATGAACAGAACTTTTTAAAGCAATTAAAATATCTATTGAATTTAATGCTTCTTCTCCAAAATATTCATTAATATAGTGAATCATATATTCACCTTCTAATTTTGTTCCAATATGATGATCAGTATGTAAAAAATTTAATTTTGAACAAATTAATAAATTTAAACCCCATTCAATATGTTTTGAACTAATTGGATTTTGCTTTATATATTCATCAGCTTCATCTTTTAAAATTCTTGGATCTTTAATACAATTTTTAAAATGAATAATTGAAGAATTTTCAATTTCAAACCAATTATTTTTTTCAATTTCTAAAGCTATAGCTAATATAGTACAACAAAATTCAGGTTGTGTATTTAATAAATCATTAATACTAAATAAAATTTGAAAAGCAGAATAAAATGAAATTTTTAGCTCTGGTTGTTCAGGGTATATTATTAAATGTTTATCTTCTTGTCTTATTCTTTGAAATGAATTATTTATAAATTTATATTTTCTACCTTTTTTATTATATTCTAATTTTGTTAATTCATCTATTTCTTCTTCTAAAATATATTGACAATATTGAATTAAAGCATCTGATGATGATAGTAGATTTGAGTTTGACTCGGTTGTTATAACGTTGTTGTCCGTTGTTGTTGTTACTGTATTATTTGTTGCAACTTCACTTGACATTTTATCGTTGGTTGTTGCAACTTCAATTTGATTAATTTGGTACCTTAAATCGAATGTGATTATGTTTTTGTTTGTCTGTTTACATTTTTTAACATTTGACGCGTAAAGTCTCAAATATATTTTTAGACACAAAAAAAGCGACAATAAAATTCTGAGTATAAATTTCAACCAAAATTAAAAGAAGAAAAAAGAACAACAATTGGAGGAAGAACATTTAACAAACGAGTAATAGTATTTCTATTCACTTGCTGTTATTTTCATGTTCATGTTATGAAGGTCACACTTCGATCACCTCATGGAATTGGAAATTTGATCATAAGCACCACCGGAACATCTATTTTAAATTCCGCTTATTATTCAACTGAAGCTGATAAACGCGTGAAAGAAGCACTTTTTCATGAAAAACTAGACAGTGGAGCCTTGATAGATGCACAATTAGGGAGTTGTTGGTTAGTCTCTCTGTGTTTGATGTTGGTATGAAAAGTATAAGCTAAGGGTGGTTGTGGACCTACGTAACTGCACTGATTTTACGCAAGTCAACAATTAGTCTTGGCTTTATATTTTTTGATACGTACAACAAATACAGAGGCTAACCAAACCGTGTACATATTAACAGGGGAAGCACCTAATACCAAATATACAATCCTCACGGCTGTTTTTAACTTTTGTTTTATAGTCAGCTTATCATCAAATCGCTCAGTAGGTCTACAATCATCAAAGAAGTTTGACATTACATATATGGGATCATTAATTTACTATTCTACCTTCCGGTGCATTAAAAAGTGTATGAGTTGTTACTAATATCTTTCTCAATTCCACATTTTATTAAGCAGAAAATATCAACAGTCACAAATGAACATAATTCACCATTAACAGATTTAATTTAGAATTCAAGAAAATAGTTAACATCAGGAAAGCAGGGTGATATGGAATGTATCACATTTGATTTACATTCGTGTCTTTAACTGTTGATTTTTTTGAAGAAAGTTTTAAACAAAACTAAGTTTTGTTTATAATGATTTCAAATTCATTAGCATTGTCAAAGAGGATCTTAATATTTTTGAAAGGTAATCTACTAAGTTATCATTGTTATACTGGACAAATGTTGATTAATAAGTCATTTGAATAATTGAGGGATTATACTAATATACTCGTTGTTACTACTTTTATGAGATAGAAATCAAATTATAATTGCTGGTGAATTATCAGTTAATGATACAATGTTTTTGATTGGAGGAGCTTGTGCATATTCATACCTAAAGATAAGATTTTAGATGAGAAAATAGCTAGTCTAACTGCTTGTGCAATTAATAGGTGTTGAACTGTTTTAGTCACTCCAAGTTTTCATGGCACACTTGTTTTTTTAATACTTCTAACTGAATGCTGTTGATGCTATTTCAAAAACATGAATGGTGTACCTGGTTTAATGATATTAGATATGCCATTCATAAGTAACTATTCCTCCACAGCTTTTGCTAGAAAAATAAAATGCATCAAACTATATGGCTGAGCTTATTATAAGATGGTCGAAACTCCAAAGTTTATGTGTCCTGCAACAATGTTGAAACAAATCTTTAATTCATATTGGGAACATCGATCATTACATTCCATTAATAGTGGGTTTGACTAGTGTCATTTGTATATTGTCGAGTATAAATCATATTGACAAGGTTTTGACATTTTTTACTTGTTTCAACTATTATTATAAAACCGGATCATTCCTCTATTAGATTCTCCCAACCTTCAACATCTAATAGAATTATAATGATAATTGATTCAAGTCAAAAATGTCTAAATCTTTTGCACCAGTAACGACGGCAGCTAAATTGGCAACTCCCATAACTGTAGCTTAATGATTATTTGATTTAGACTTCAACCAAAAGCAAGTGGTATAAGCTTATTGAAAAATACTTTTACTAAAATTTATATTAAAATTGGCGAATTTAGTTTAATTTTTGACTATTGCATTAGTCAGGTAAATTACCAACGTGAGATAAAAAATATTAGTAATTTTAAAATGACTTAATGTATTGATTTTCCATTAAACACTTAATGTAATATAAGAATATGAAAAACACAACAGGAATCTCTTAACGTAAATTCAGAATATTGATGTATTATAATAATAAATTTTGAGATATTAAGAAATAATCATTATTATTTAAAAAATGAGATCATTTATTTATGTAGTATTTATATTCTATTAGGAAACTTTTTTTGAAGCAAAGCAATAAATTGATATTTACTTGAGCTTCATAGATTAAAGTATCTCTCTACTATTGTTTCTATATCATTAGAGACTATAATCTATTGTTTGTATTGATAAGATGGTCCAAAACAAAGAGTATCTACTTATTAAATCCTGTATACTATTATAGACGTATTATTTATCCGAATAATAAAATTACGAGATACATAAACAAAATAAGGCAACATTAGTCTTTTTATATACAGAACTCAAGATTTTAGATGATATAATATGAATTAGATCTAGTAGTCAACCATTACTAAGTATTTCAAAAACAATAGCTCAGATCTCTTAATTCAGTAGTACCAAGATCTTATAGCTTTGTTTGTACTATAGTTTTAGAAGTAAACTTTATTTGCATTTACCACATTCTTTGTTTCGCCTAAATGGATAAAAAAATAAAAAAAAATAAAAAATTATTAGGAAGTAGTTGATTTTAAAATTCTGTTACATTTTTACTAAATATCTAATCTGTGATTTTCTTGTATGATTAGTTTGTAAATGTCGTCATTATAATTGAATTGGTATCAGGTTATTCTCTAAACTTTTCTTCTTCTTTAACTTACTTCTTCTTCAACTCTTTTAAACTTCATTTTCCTTCGGTTAATAATTTCTTTTTACTCCAGAAAATCTAAATTCATATTTGTGTAATTTCTATATTGAAATAAGAAATTAAGAGATTAAAAAATTTTTCTTTTTCATATTTCTATCATTTATTTACAATTGATTCTTCAACTCATATCTATTATTTCTTATTATTCAACAAATTAATTTTCAAATTTAAATATCATTCATTGAATCTTAGTATTTTATCGGATCTTACTACACTCCCGAATCTACAATCGAACTTTATTTAATCAATTCATTCCTTTCTTTTCAGCTACTACTACTGCCATTACTGAACATAGTCTACGTCAAACTAATCATTACTTTATAGAAATTCAAATAATCCATTCGTTATGTCGATAAATACAAACACAAGTCAAGAAGAAGTGAAATTAACGAATCTATCAGATTTAAATAATCATGATTCTAATAATCAACAAAATTCTCATAATTCTCAATTTCAAACTGAAAATGAAAAACAACAACAAGAACCTTATAACATAGAAAATGATAATTCAAGTTCAAATTCTAAAATTGAAGATCAAGAAATTCAAAAATTTTTAGAAGATGATACAACTTCTTCAGAAAATTTTGATATGATTGAATTAGAAGCAAATGATGAAATATTACATTTAAAAATGAAATTGATAAATGATACAATTGATGAAATTGGTTTTACTCCTTATCATTTAAAATTATTTTTTTTAAATGGTATGGGATATTGGACAGATACTCAATTAACTTATTTAGAAAGTACTGTTAGAACTTTTATAAATTATCAATTTAATTATAAATTCCCAGTTAGTGCTGAATGTTATGCTGGTGGAATGATTTTAGGAGCATTAGTTTGGGGATTTGGTGCTGATTTAATTGGTAGAAAATTAGCTTTTAATTTAAGTTTATTATTAAGTGCAATTTTCACTATAATGACAGGAATGATGGGTAATATGTCAAGTTATTGTTTATTTGTTTTATTATCTGCTTTTGCTGCTGGTGGAAATTTAGTATTAGATACTTGTGTATTTTTAGAATTTTTACCTCATAAAGATCAATGGTTATTAACATTTTTTGCATTTTTTTGGGGTATTGGTCAAACAGTTGCTGTTGCTTTAGGTTATGCTTTTTTACCAAATAATTCTTGTGATTCTTATGAAAATTGTCCTTCAAGTGAAAATCATGGCTGGAGATATGTTTGGTATACAAATGGTTGTATTGTTTTAGCAATGGCTATATTAAGAGTAACAGTAATAAGATTAAAAGAAACTCCAAAATTTTTAATTGCAAATAATAGAGATTCTGAAGCTGTTCAAGTATTACAAGAAATTGCAAAAAAATATAATAGACCATGTTCATTAACTTTAGATCAATTATTAGAATGTGGTACAATAAAATCAAATCATGATTATAGAAAAAATTTTAGTGTGATGGGTACATTCAAATTAATGTTTCAACATTTAAAAATTTTATTTGCAACTTCAAAAGCTATAAGATCAACTATTTTATTATTTATTTCTTGGGCATTTTTAGGGATAAGTTATCCATTATATTCATCATTTTTACCACAATATTTAGCAACGAGAGGTGCAAATATAAGTGCAGATACTATAGGAGGAGTCTATAGAGATAATTTAATTGCAAATGTTTGTTCTATAGGTGGACCAATTATTGCAGGATTAATGTTATATTTTTTACCATCATGGGTTGGAAGAAGAGGTGTATTATTTATTGGTGGTATATCAACAATGGCTTTATTATTTGGTTATACTCAAGTTAAAACAAGAGCTGAAAATGTTGGTTTTACTTCTTCTGTTTATTGTTGTCTTTATATTTATTATGCTGTTATTTTCGCTTATACTCCAGAAGTAATGCCAAGTGCAGCAAGAGCTACAGGAAATTGTTTATGTTTATTTGCAACAAGAATTTGTACTGCTATGGTTCCAATTATAGCTTATTTTTCAAATACTTCAAGTTCTATACCTATTTGGATTTGTGGTGCTTTTGTTGGAGTTATTGGAGTTATTGCTTTATTTTTACCTTTTGAACCAAGTAAACAAAGGGTTGTTTAAAAAAGAGAGGGAGAAAGAAGTTATTTCATTATAGACTAATATTTACTAGCTTGTTATTATTTATTCGTTTTTCATTTATTTATTTTTGCATATTTGATTATTTTGCATTGTAAAAGACGTTGATTTTGAAATGTCTTTATTTATTTTTTATACATGTATATTGTTTAATTCCAAATCAATCAATTTAAAATTAAGTTTAATGAGTTGGTTGATTTCTGATATAAAGTGTGAAGAATAACTGGCCCTATTGTGATAATACATGTGAAACAAAGTAGATAATTCGGAAATTTTAGAACGGCTATAACGAACGAGCACAAACGAGATAAAACGTCTTACACAAATTCTAACGAGAACGTCAGACAAAGAAACGGACTTATTATTGAAAGAACAATAATAGTGTAGGTCTCATTCCCAATACTAATTGAACTTCTTAGTTGATACAACTCCATGGGTATGATAGGCTTGCGCATTTTTCTCACTCTGTATGCTATCTGAAAATCTGTGATAATCTTGTCTAATAATTAATACATGATTTTATTCCTTCACATGACAAACAAATGACTACTAACCTGATATGAAGCTATCATCAAGTAATACACATGAAGAATAGATCCAAAAGAAAAGTAGCTAGACTACTTTCATAAAGTACTATAGAACTACAAATAACTATTCTCTTACTAAATATTCATTAATGAAATATAATTTAGTGGTCTTCTCCTCAGTTGTAGAATTTAGTACTTTATAGTGTGATAATTAAATATATCTCATCGAATATGATATTTGGTATTATCAGTTTATGGTTATGTATAAATATTGGGCTGAAAATTGATATGCATTTAATTTAACTTGAAATGAATCAAAACGTGGACCTTTTTTCATTTATTGTATACAATGTAAAGCGGCTTTATCTTATTTTATTTTTTTTTTTTTTTCCAAGTGAAGAAATCGTATCTCGGTAAGATTTCGAGATCAAGGAATTAAGATTCACGAGATCATAAGATTCAATTGATCAACTCTCTTGTAGAGGATAGATAGATTAATTAAATTGCCAAGATTGACTTATAGATATTGGTAAAAAAAGAAAAAGTATTCTCAGTTTAGAAATTCTCTAACTCAAAATAAGGGTTTAAGATTAATTTCAAATATGAAGAAACAAAATTAAAATGAAATGCAATTGTTAACCCAAATAAGTAATAATACGTTTTTCTATAATCGATCCAAGTCAAAAAATTTATAATTGTACTTAGAATCTAAAAAAGTGGAACAATAACAGTAACAAAATTAATACGGAATTATTTATAGTTTAACACATTTTTAAAATTGACATGTATTTAAAAATTTTCCTTCTTTTATATAAATAATATCCTGTTGAATCTATTTGAAAAATTTCTTATCAATTTATTTACTAAATTTAACCACTTAGTTTTCATTCATTTAACTCAATTTATACTTTACTTGGTATATCAATTATATCTTAATTAAATCAAGTAGTTGGAGATAAGAGAGCTTAAGTAATTAGCGAGATTTCAAAACTAAGCGATATTATTATTATTATTATCCGAGTTTCATAATTATTTATTTTTTTTTTTAATTCCTTTTGACGTGTTTATTTTCTACCTTTTTTATTATATTCTAATTTTGTTAATTCATCTATTTCTTCTTCTAAAATATATTGACAATATTGAATTAAAGCATCTGATGATGATAGTAGATTTGAGTTTGACTCGGTTGTTATAACGTTGTTGTCCGTTGTTGTTGTTACTGTATTATTTGTTGCAACTTCACTTGACATTTTATCGTTGGTTGTTGCAACTTCAATTTGATTAATTTGGTACCTTAAATCGAATGTGATTATGTTTTTGTTTGTCTGTTTACATTTTTTAACATTTGACGCGTAAAGTCTCAAATATATTTTTAGACACAAAAAAAGCGACAATAAAATTCTGAGTATAAATTTCAACCAAAATTAAAAGAAGAAAAAAGAACAACAATTGGAGGAAGAACATTTAACAAACGAGTAATAGTATTTCTATTCACTTGCTGTTATTTTCATGTTCATGTTATGAAGGTCACACTTCGATCACCTCATGGAATTGGAAATTTGATCATAAGCACCACCGGAACATCTATTTTAAATTCCGCTTATTATTCAACTGAAGCTGATAAACGCGTGAAAGAAGCACTTTTTCATGAAAAACTAGACAGTGGAGCCTTGATAGATGCACAATTAGGGAGTTGTTGGTTAGTCTCTCTGTGTTTGATGTTGGTATGAAAAGTATAAGCTAAGGGTGGTTGTGGACCTACGTAACTGCACTGATTTTACGCAAGTCAACAATTAGTCTTGGCTTTATATTTTTTGATACGTACAACAAATACAGAGGCTAACCAAACCGTGTACATATTAACAGGGGAAGCACCTAATACCAAATATACAATCCTCACGGCTGTTTTTAACTTTTGTTTTATAGTCAGCTTATCATCAAATCGCTCAGTAGGTCTACAATCATCAAAGAAGTTTGACATTACATATATGGGATCATTAATTTACTATTCTACCTTCCGGTGCATTAAAAAGTGTATGAGTTGTTACTAATATCTTTCTCAATTCCACATTTTATTAAGCAGAAAATATCAACAGTCACAAATGAACATAATTCACCATTAACAGATTTAATTTAGAATTCAAGAAAATAGTTAACATCAGGAAAGCAGGGTGATATGGAATGTATCACATTTGATTTACATTCGTGTCTTTAACTGTTGATTTTTTTGAAGAAAGTTTTAAACAAAACTAAGTTTTGTTTATAATGATTTCAAATTCATTAGCATTGTCAAAGAGGATCTTAATATTTTTGAAAGGTAATCTACTAAGTTATCATTGTTATACTGGACAAATGTTGATTAATAAGTCATTTGAATAATTGAGGGATTATACTAATATACTCGTTGTTACTACTTTTATGAGATAGAAATCAAATTATAATTGCTGGTGAATTATCAGTTAATGATACAATGTTTTTGATTGGAGGAGCTTGTGCATATTCATACCTAAAGATAAGATTTTAGATGAGAAAATAGCTAGTCTAACTGCTTGTGCAATTAATAGGTGTTGAACTGTTTTAGTCACTCCAAGTTTTCATGGCACACTTGTTTTTTTAATACTTCTAACTGAATGCTGTTGATGCTATTTCAAAAACATGAATGGTGTACCTGGTTTAATGATATTAGATATGCCATTCATAAGTAACTATTCCTCCACAGCTTTTGCTAGAAAAATAAAATGCATCAAACTATATGGCTGAGCTTATTATAAGATGGTCGAAACTCCAAAGTTTATGTGTCCTGCAACAATGTTGAAACAAATCTTTAATTCATATTGGGAACATCGATCATTACATTCCATTAATAGTGGGTTTGACTAGTGTCATTTGTATATTGTCGAGTATAAATCATATTGACAAGGTTTTGACATTTTTTACTTGTTTCAACTATTATTATAAAACCGGATCATTCCTCTATTAGATTCTCCCAACCTTCAACATCTAATAGAATTATAATGATAATTGATTCAAGTCAAAAATGTCTAAATCTTTTGCACCAGTAACGACGGCAGCTAAATTGGCAACTCCCATAACTGTAGCTTAATGATTATTTGATTTAGACTTCAACCAAAAGCAAGTGGTATAAGCTTATTGAAAAATACTTTTACTAAAATTTATATTAAAATTGGCGAATTTAGTTTAATTTTTGACTATTGCATTAGTCAGGTAAATTACCAACGTGAGATAAAAAATATTAGTAATTTTAAAATGACTTAATGTATTGATTTTCCATTAAACACTTAATGTAATATAAGAATATGAAAAACACAACAGGAATCTCTTAACGTAAATTCAGAATATTGATGTATTATAATAATAAATTTTGAGATATTAAGAAATAATCATTATTATTTAAAAAATGAGATCATTTATTTATGTAGTATTTATATTCTATTAGGAAACTTTTTTTGAAGCAAAGCAATAAATTGATATTTACTTGAGCTTCATAGATTAAAGTATCTCTCTACTATTGTTTCTATATCATTAGAGACTATAATCTATTGTTTGTATTGATAAGATGGTCCAAAACAAAGAGTATCTACTTATTAAATCCTGTATACTATTATAGACGTATTATTTATCCGAATAATAAAATTACGAGATACATAAACAAAATAAGGCAACATTAGTCTTTTTATATACAGAACTCAAGATTTTAGATGATATAATATGAATTAGATCTAGTAGTCAACCATTACTAAGTATTTCAAAAACAATAGCTCAGATCTCTTAATTCAGTAGTACCAAGATCTTATAGCTTTGTTTGTACTATAGTTTTAGAAGTAAACTTTATTTGCATTTACCACATTCTTTGTTTCGCCTAAATGGATAAAAAAATAAAAAAAAATAAAAAATTATTAGGAAGTAGTTGATTTTAAAATTCTGTTACATTTTTACTAAATATCTAATCTGTGATTTTCTTGTATGATTAGTTTGTAAATGTCGTCATTATAATTGAATTGGTATCAGGTTATTCTCTAAACTTTTCTTCTTCTTTAACTTACTTCTTCTTCAACTCTTTTAAACTTCATTTTCCTTCGGTTAATAATTTCTTTTTACTCCAGAAAATCTAAATTCATATTTGTGTAATTTCTATATTGAAATAAGAAATTAAGAGATTAAAAAATTTTTCTTTTTCATATTTCTATCATTTATTTACAATTGATTCTTCAACTCATATCTATTATTTCTTATTATTCAACAAATTAATTTTCAAATTTAAATATCATTCATTGAATCTTAGTATTTTATCGGATCTTACTACACTCCCGAATCTACAATCGAACTTTATTTAATCAATTCATTCCTTTCTTTTCAGCTACTACTACTGCCATTACTGAACATAGTCTACGTCAAACTAATCATTACTTTATAGAAATTCAAATAATCCATTCGTTATGTCGATAAATACAAACACAAGTCAAGAAGAAGTGAAATTAACGAATCTATCAGATTTAAATAATCATGATTCTAATAATCAACAAAATTCTCATAATTCTCAATTTCAAACTGAAAATGAAAAACAACAACAAGAACCTTATAACATAGAAAATGATAATTCAAGTTCAAATTCTAAAATTGAAGATCAAGAAATTCAAAAATTTTTAGAAGATGATACAACTTCTTCAGAAAATTTTGATATGATTGAATTAGAAGCAAATGATGAAATATTACATTTAAAAATGAAATTGATAAATGATACAATTGATGAAATTGGTTTTACTCCTTATCATTTAAAATTATTTTTTTTAAATGGTATGGGATATTGGACAGATACTCAATTAACTTATTTAGAAAGTTCAGTAAGAACTTTTATAAATTATCAATTTGGTTATAAATTCCCCATATCTAATGAAATGTTAGCTGCTGGATTATTAGTTGGTGCTATATTTTGGGGATTTTCTGCTGATTTAATTGGTAGAAAAATTGCATTTAATTTAAGTTTATTACTAAGTGGTTTATTTACAATTATAACTGGTACAATGTCATCAATGGCAAGTTATTGTATATTTGTATTTTTATCATGTTTTGCTGCTGGTGGGAATTTAGTATTAGATACTTGTATATTTTTAGAATATTTACCTCATAAAAATCAATGGTTATTAACATTTTTTGCATTTTTTTGGGGTATTGGACAAGTTATTGCAGTTGCTTTAGCTTATGCTTTTTTACCTGGTAATTCATGTGAAAGTGAATCAAATTGTCCAAGTCATGAAAATAGAGGTTGGAGATATGTTTATTATACAAATGGATCAATTGTTTTATTTATGTCAATTTTAAGATTAACTGTTGTTAATTTAAAAGAAACCCCCAAATTTTTAGTTTCAAATAATAGAGATTCTGAAGCTATTGAAATTTTACATAATATTGCAAAAAAATATAATAGACCATGTTCTTTAACTTTAGAAGATTTAGAAAATTTAGGTTCAATAAAAATTAATGATGATTATAGAAAACATGTTAATATATTGGGATTAATTAACTTGGTAAAACATCATATTTCAATATTATTTAGTAGCAAAAAAATGGCAAGATCAACTACTTTAGTATTTTTATCATGGTTATTATTAGGTATAAGTTATCCATTATTTAGGTATGTTTAACTCATTATAAAAACCACTTATCAAAACTTACTAACATTACTAGTTCTTTTTTACCTCAATATTTAGCAACAAGAGGTGCAAATATTTCAGCCCCAGATGTTAAAGGAGTATATAGAGATAGTTTAATTTCAAATACTGTATCAATGGGTGGACCAATAATAGCAGGAGGATTATTATATTTTTTCCCCATATTAGGTAGAAGAGGTGTATTATGTATTGGAGGAGTATCAGCAATGGCATTTTTATTTGGTTATACACAAATTAAAAATCGTGCTCAAAATGTTGCATTATCTTCATTATCATTTGCTGCAATTTATATATATTATGCTGTATTATATGCTTATACTCCTGAAGTTTTTCCAAGTCATGCAAGAGGTACTGGTAATGCATTAGCTATTGGTTGTACAAGAGTTGCAACTGTTATTGTACCTTTAATTGCTTATTATTCAAATACTGCTAGTTCTGTACCTATATGGATTTGTGGTGCATTTGTTGGAGTTATTGGATTTTTAGCATTATTATTTCCTTATGAACCAAGTAAACAAAGAGTTGTTTAATTTAGATGATTTCGTATTTATTAGTAATGATAAATTTTTAATTAAATTGTAATTTGTAGAATCATGCTGGTGCTACTTTTAAACAATACATTCTAACAGGATATAATTCTTTTGGTAAACCTTTTTGTAAATCACTTGCAATTAATTTAAAACCTGAATCAATAAATAATTGTCTAAATTTTGAATCAGTTCTTGTTACTGATGAATCAGTTTCATCAAATATATCATTAATTGGAGCAATATTTTCTTTAACAATCATTGTACCATTTTCAACTAGGGAATTTTTACATTTGATCCAAAATTTTATTAATTCATCATCTGGTAATTGTCCAACACACCATTGACACCAAATTAACCAATATTTTTTTGAAGGTATCCAATCTTGCATTCCAATTGGGTATATATCTCCCAATTTACCTTTTTCTTTAACTAATTTTAATTCTATTGGAATTTGATTTACAAATGGTTTAACAGGTTCTAATAAATCAACGGAATCACTAATTTTCCATAATAAATCTCTTGTAATTCTACCAATTCCAGCACCCATATCAATTGTTATCTTGGGCTGATCAGCGGTAGGTGGTTGCATTCTTGTTTGTAATTTTCTTAAAAAAGTTTGTGATCCTATAATATCCAGTTTAGGAACAGATGTTTGTTCTCCATAACCTCCTAATACTCCATTTATTGATGCTGGTACTGATGACCAATATTCTATTGCATCATTATAATTTATTTGTGAATCTGGTTGTTCTTGTTGTTCTTGTTGAGGATCTGAATCTAGTGTGTTTTCATCTTCTTTTTGGAAAGTTTTCACAGCCATTTGTTAATATATATGAAGTAGTTGATTTGAGGTTGGTTAAGATGGAGGATGTTGTCAGTGAGATTTTGTAATTATTGATTTTCCTCTATGAACGAGTGCGGTTGTACTGGTTATGTCTTGTTTAAAATAAATTGTTTCAGAAATGTATGAAAAAAAGATGAGATTAAAAACAGTTTTATTTTTTCAAAGTTTATATTTTTTTTTACTGCGAAAAAAAGTACCAAGTTACATGTTGCAAAATAATTGACTAGATCTACGGATCAAGTTATCATGAAGTTGCGGACTTAATGAGATGATATTACGATATAGTGAAGAGTCAGGTATAAGACAAAATAAAATATAAAAAATAAAAAATTGGTATATTAATTTTTATTAAGCTAAGCTATAAACATGATATTATAATTAATGATCAAATCTTTTTCTAAATAAAATACTTTCTTCATCTTCAACATCTTCAATAGTTGGAGAATTTGATTTTTTAATCTTATTTGCTGTATTTAAATTTGAATTTGAATTTAAATTTTTATTAGATTTATTAATAATAGCATTAGCTGATGTTTTTGATTTTGATGAATCTATTGAATTAGATGATTTTAAATTATTTGGTTTTTGAGGTTTTTGAGGTTGTGGTTGTTGATGTTGATTTTGCTTAGGTTGTGGTTTTTTAGTTTGTTGTTGTTGTTGTTGTTGTTGATGATGAACTTGTGGTTGATGAACTTGTGGTTGATGAACTTGTGGAATATTATTAAATAAAACTGGACCTAAATTATAACCAAATAATTTATTTAAATATTCTTGTTGTTGTAATTGTTGAGGAGTTAAACCATACCCATTATTTTGATGTTGTTGATGTGGTTGTTGTTGAGATTTTTGCTCTTTTAATTGTTCTTCATCTTGTTCATGTTGTTCCTCTTCATTTTCATCATCATCTTCATCTTCACGATCTAATTGATGTTGTTTAATTAATCTTTCTAAATCTAATTGAGCTTGTTTAATTTTTTCTTCTTCTTCTTTTTGTTTTAATTCAAATTGTTTTCTTTGATTTTCAATTTCTTGTTTTCTTTTTATTATTTCTAATTGTTTTTGTTTTTTAGCTTCTGCTTTGGCTTTAGCTTTTGCTTCTTTCTCAGCTTTAGCTTTAGCTGCAGCATCTGCCTCAGCTTTTGCTTTAGCCTCTTCTTCTTTACTTCTTCTCTCTTCTTCTTCAATTTGTTGTTTTCTTTTAGCCTCTGTTTCAGCGTCAATAGCAGCTAATTCTTTTTCTCTTTTTTCAGAATCTTGTTCTTCTAATTTTTTACCTTTTGAAGCAGCTTCTTTACCAACTTTTTCAGCTAATTTTTTAGCATTTGGATCCTCTGGTTCTAATTTATCAGGTAAATTACCATTTGATTTATTATTACCTTTGTTATTAGAATTACTTGAAATTAATGAAGTTATTGCATCTTTAATTAATTTATCATGATCATTAATTGAATTTTGTAAATTTTCATCTCTTTGATCTTCATTTTCATCAGCTTCATCTTCTTCTTCTGGATAATCTTCTTCAATTTCATGTTGGTAAGCATCAAAATTTTTAGATTCTTCTTCTTCATAATTTAAATATTCCTGAGAATTTTTAGGTAATGAATCAATTAAATGATTTAAAATTTCATCATAATGATTTATAAAATGTAATTTCTTGGGGATATTTAAAATTAAAATATTATTTTGTTTATACCATTTCCAATTTATATTACCAATATCAATATAATTTAAATTAAATTTAAATTCAATTTTAAAATTATCTTCTTTTGAATATATAATTAAATTTATAATTGGTTGATTTGGGTTTGATTGTTTTATTATAACTTCATAATTATTATAATTTCCAATTGGTTTATAAATTTGAATTTGAAATTCATCTTCTGTTTCTAATTTTTTGATAATTCTTGGTTTTATATTTTGATTTGATTTTTGAATTTGATTATTTAAATAATTTTCCAATTGATTTTTTTGAAGTTGTTGATATTGAGGGTGTTGTTGTTGAAGTTGTTGTTGATGTTGTTGATAATGTTGTTGATAGTGTTGTTGTTGTTGTTGTCTTTGATGATCTTCAATTGTTTGATTATTTAATAAATTTATTAAATCATTAAAATTAAAACCATTTGAATAATTTGGTGAAGTTGTATAATAATAAGACATAGTTGATTGAGTATTTCTTCTTTAATTGACTTTCAAGTAGCAGCTAGTAAGATAAATTGAAAATTAGTTGAAATAATAAAAGAAAGAATTGAGTTGTGTTGAATTATGAAAAAGAAAAAGAAATATCAAAGTATTAACATTGATTATTTAATCTTCTTTATATATTTAATGAAAAAACTAAAATGTAAAACGTTCCCACATGGTTATTAGTAATATTGGTATGGTTTTAGTTAATTGTGGTCATACTATAACTCCTTACTTAATAATGCAGAATATTAAAGAATTAATTAGATTAAAAATGGCTGCAAAAAAAAAGGCAATGATCAAAAACTAAGTAATAGATTTTACTAGACTATTCTAGAAGTGGATGCTACCATATTTTAATGTATTTACTCATTAAGTTAAAACAGACCAAGTTTCAAAGTTTCAGATTTTACTACGATAGTCAACATTAAAGATACGAGTTTACGATAATAGGGTATGCTAGATATCCAGTAATATGCAAGTTTTAAAAAAACTTTGATACTTCATTTTGCTGAACAATCTACATTTTTGGATATTATAGCTCGGCTTGTCGTAAAGACATTACTTTATTCCAAGACATTAAAAGTTTCCGACATTAAAAACTCTTGGTCGTGTTTACGTAGTATACGGACCAAAAAAAAAAGCATGATTTAATTAGAGATCAAACTTGTAACAACATACACTACCAACTATATTAATTATTATACGAACCCAAAAAAAATGTATAATAATAGATACAAATCTGAAACAATCGAAAGGGGAAAATTATATTGTAATTTGTACGTGAATTTTTAAGCGGTTTTTGAACTTCTGAATTGTCAAGTAATACATGTGATCTTGCTTCTATTATATTTCTCAAATCCTGAGTTTCCTAGATTACAGGAATCTTTCTATTTAAAAGCTTTGTAGATTAATTAAATCTTAAAATACGAAAGATTCGGTACCAATTTTTGTATTTATAGATATACAATTACAAAAGCCTTTTTTCATTTCGTTAACTATTACAAACTAATCTACAAGCGGTCGATTCAACATAGCAATAGTATTGAACTTTTAAAATTATGAATATGGGGTCAGCTTACTTTACGTTTGGTGTATCTCTTTACAATAGTATATCCATCAATTGGTGTTACTATTAATAAACTCTCTAGATCTAAACCACAATACTTAATAAAGTGGAATTTAAACGGTTAATAAATCAATGTAAACAGTTACACAAAATGCGTAATATTTTTATTAATTATAATAATATTTTTATAAGCTAATAATTTTGAAGTTATAATAATATATCGTTCACGTTTGAATGACTTGTTTATACAAAACTTTAACTACTAGATATACATTGGCTATTACTTTACTTCTTATCTTCTTCTTTCTCCTGTTCTCGTATATCTTCCGTTTGAAATCAAATTTTTATATTGTATTGATTGAAAAAAACTTTATTTGTAAAATAAATAAAAAATAAAAAAAAATAAAAAATAAAATCAAATTAAAAATTTTTTAATTCTCATTCAAAACCAAACTTCAAATCAATAAAATATTCAAATCAGCTATAGTATTGTTTGTTGAAACCTCATTTTTACTATTTCATTAACTTCATTATCATTCGTTTCATAAATCTAATCATCTAAATCAAAAAACCAGACCTAAACTACCTCACACTCACACATATTTAAAAGAAACTTTCAACATTCCATCTATTTCTTTTATTTTATCACAGCCCACACCAATTTTAGGAGATAGAAATTTTGAAATTTTAAACGAATTTTGATTGGTATTTGGATTTTAGTATAGAACTTTACAAGTATCAAACTTTTAAACAATCTACCCTATTGAAAACTTACTAGACAGTCAAGTAAAAGGGGATTCCAAATCCACAATTTATACGATTTTGACTCATACCTAAATATATACGAGCTTTGAACTTTGCCAGGAGGAATAAATTTACATAGATACATACATCATAACTATTCAAATATGGAGAAAGAAATACCCTATCATTCAATAAATGAAATACCAAACAACACAAATCGTTCCACTAAATCATATATTTTTAAAAGTATATTAAGTATAGGAATTTTCTTGTCTTTAATCTATCTTTATTTAAATAATTCAAATTGTCAATTTATAACAAATTCATCAACATACACATCAACAACAAATTCATTACAAAATATATCAAAATTAGAAAATAATACTTCAATAAGTAATTTTAGTTTTAATCTTAAAAATTTAAATTTCAATAAAATTATAATTGATCATGAAAAAAGAGCAGATAATACAACCACCACATCAGGTTCAGGTTCAAGTTCAACTGGATTTGGAGGTAATGGAGGTCAATCTTCATCAAATGGTATATCAAATAATGGATTTGATCAATCTTCATCATTTAATTCATTTTTATCATCATCTCAACAAAATCAACAATCTTCTTTTAATGGTGGTTCATCATCATTTATAGAAAGTTCAACTACTGAAAATGGATTTGAAAGTTCTTCTTTTGCAACTTCATCAAATGGATTTGCTTCTGAAACTGGTGAGACATCAGCTAGTAGTTCTAGTAGTTCATCATCATCAACTACAAGCTCTTCCAGCTCATCATCATCTTCTTCAAGTTCAAGTTCAAGTTCCACAGAAGCAGAAGAAACTTCAGAAACTACTTCATCTTCAAGTTCTTCCTCATCATCATCTTCATCATCTTCTTCAAGTTCATCAGAAAGAGAATCATCATCATCAGTATCAAGACAAGTAACAACATTAAGTTCAGTTCAAGGAGGTTCAACAATAGTTATAACACAAACATCAATAATTTCATCAAATCCAACATCAGATTCATCCCTGAATAATTCAACAAATAGAAATAATGATTCAAATGGAGGATTATCACAAACAAATAAAATTGTTGTTGGTGTTGTAGTTGGAGTTGGTGGATCAATTTTAATTGGATTAATTATAATATTATTTTATTTGAAAAAACGTAATAACAAGAATAATGAAAATGGTTGGACTTTTTGGAGAAAAAATGAAAAATTAGGTAGTGATGAATTTTTTAATGGTGAATTAGGTGTTAGAGATAGAAATATTAATCAAGGTTCTAATTTTTAAACTATATTTATTAAGTTAGATTAGAAAGATAGTATAAAGAGATGATGTTTAATACATTTTCAAATATATATTTTACACTAAATTTTGAATATTTTTTTTTGATTATAGAGAGGTTTATCTTTTGTAGAATTGATGAAGTTGTAGAGAAGTAGAAGTTTATAGTTTGATTTTTCTATTTAAATTCTAGTCAGTTGTAGCAGATATTTACCTTCCAAATAAGTTCTAAATTTTTAGGCCGAGCCCAGTTCATCAAGTAGACCAATTTATATTACGAAAATGTACTAATAAGTGTTAGACTAAAGTACAAATTCATCACATAACATTAAATACTTAAATCAGATATATTTCAAAATGATAGGATTTACAATTTTTTGGCCTATCTGTCTGATGAATACATCATTTTTGTGACAAATTCTGCGTGATTCGAAATTATAATCTTTTGTATGATTGGATTGTAATGTATTTAGTTAGATGAATCATGAAAAATCCATGCAAAACATTATAAATTCATATCATGCAAGAACTTTTACAACCCAGAGGTATGCATCAAACAAACAAGCCCAAAGTATCTTTAAAATTGAAGTAAATAAAAGTGTCCATTTACATTTATATTGCATCAATATAGTCATGTTGAAAGATATCAAAGACTTCAGCTGTGCCTAATTTCAAGATATCATATTGTCGTCATTTTGTTCCTTTAAATGAAATGAAAATGCCTTAAATGTTGATCACATATCACTAAAATTTAAATGTCATTAATACTTAAAACAAACATATTCAAATGATAATATAAACGATTTCCCTCAAATTTGTTAATGAATACATTTGTCAGACTTATAGGTGAAAATTGAAATTTGAAATTACAACCAGATCGTTCAAACATCATACATGACGACAGTACAATATATTGCTATTAGACTTAAAGAAAGCATTCGATAATATCCAACATAACTATATTAATATGATGCAATATTAATGTAAATATATTTGAATCTATTTGGCGATTTGCAATTAAATCTCATGACATATTTTGATCGATTTGTATGCATTATGTTAATTGTGATTAGGCCAATAATATATATGACTAGCTCTTGATATCAAGGGATTGAATAGATTCTTTTCAGAATGAATTGATTTCACAATTGACTAAAGACACTTGCTCCACCTGTTTGTATTTAGTGTTGTCCTTGATTGTTTGCATTCAAATGAGAGAAAACTCAAAAGCACTAACACATGAGTCTAGGGCCATGCCATTCAAATGATTATAATTATAGTATGAATTTGAAATTGTAATAATTGAAATATAATTTTATTTTGGAATTGAATCAGTTGGTTTTTTGAATGCAGCACTCTACTATTCCCATAATACTTAGATAATAACTATTGGTGTTAAATATCATTATTCGTTGTGCCCTTCTGTTTGCTTGATTGACTTGCTTATGCCTATTTTACCTCCCAATTTTCAAACTGCTCCTGTACAATTAATTTCCATAGCTTTGACTAGGTGATTACATTGTAAAGAAGAATGAAAGCAATTAGTTTTCCCCATGGGAATTCATCCATATAACTTATAAAACACTCTAAAACTAACAGTAATATAAAATTAAAATGTGGTTTAAAAAAATCAATCCCACATGGTAGAGTTGCTCTGTCTAAATTTATTAGTCTAACTCTTATCCTTAAATTTCCGGAGTTATCAAACAATCAAATAATATTTAGTTGAAAATGGATACGAAAGGTCAATCCAAGTTCATCCATAGTAATTAATATTCACTCAATTCCAAGTATTCAGACTGATATTGTTAAAATCCTTTACAGACTAGGTCGTGAAAATGACGCTTAAGTTTGGAAGAATTGATATTCTTTCAAAACAAGGAATCAATATAGGATTTATGGGATGGAATATCATGCTTACATTCATCATATTAATATTTACAACTATAATTTTACTTAAATCTAATCCAAAACAAAATATGACTCAAAAATTTAAATCAAGTTGGAATGAATTGAATGAAATTTATTCATCTAAAAAATCAAAATCAATTTGGAATTATATTGTGCCTCCTAGTCATATTTATGCAATTTTATTATTATTTATTGGAAATTTATTATTAATATTTTTTACATATATTATTCATTTACCTAAAATTGGAGCTATTATTGTAAGCATACTTATATTTATTGCTGTAATTTCATCATCAAGAGCTGCTCAATTAGAACGTTCAAGTGAATAAGTGGAAATAAATTTTTTTAAAAAAAGTTCAAATATCACGATGGATAACATAATAATTAATGATGATATTCTCATTGTATTTTGTTGATAAAAAGGTCCAATAAAATAAGATTCGTTACCATTAGGTTCATTATCATGACCTTCCAATATTGAGACCTTAACAAATAAATTTGTTCGAGAATGTCAAACCATCCCACTTTTCCTTTTATGTGTGACTTGTTATGGTTAGTGGAATGATTCAAGAATGTAAAAAATTTGTACGTTTCTGTTCAAATCACAAATCATTTACATCCTTTTGAATGACAAATGACGCTTACAACAATGTTCCATTAGCTATTTGCACTTCAATTAATTGCACAGGTATTTAGTGATTATTAAAGAGTAAGATGATGAAGCTGAGTTCAATAGCTTGATCCGTTATAAAACAAATTAACTATTTCCGGTAAATCAATGATTATACGGTACACCTTTTAATCGTTTTCTCCTTATTTAGTTAGGAAAGTATCCATCACATAACCAAGTTAAAAAATTTTCAGATCCTATCTTCTTATTTGTAGATTAAATCCAATCTTATTTTTGAAATGATAATCTTTCCTATAATGAATTGGTAGATGTTACACCGAACTAATATGTACCATCCGTACGAGAACTAAGGTGCCAAGTTGATGAATACTTTTTTAAGTAAATTCTTCTTGATGCAATATCATCCTTTTCAAATTTGACCTTGATTATTAAGAAATGAAAAACAAACCTCTCTCTTTCAACAAATTTGTCCCTAAGAATTTTGGACTGCCCCTTTTGATTTGAATCCAATTGTTGCGCCATAGTTGACGATGCTTCTCTTTAGGTTTTGTCCATTTTCGGTTGAGGTTGATTTGATTTCTTTGAAATTTTGATAACTTTTGAAGTCGTTTTGGTTGTTGATTGAATTAGCAACAAATTTGCTGAATGTATTTCAAGTTTCTCAATTATCAACGCCAAGTTCGAGAAGGATTATAATGTAACTGAAGAATTTGCACCAAAATAAGCAACATTGGAAGGACCATCAGTACCAATCGGAAGAATAAAGTGTTGTACTTTAGAACCAGATCAAAAAGAACTTAGTAAAGACAAGTCACATTAGAGAGAAAAAAAAAAAGTCACATCAAAAGTATTGAATTAAAAAAATCACACAAAATTAGACGCGTTATTTACTTTTTTTAAATCTTTAAAACTTCAAAATTCCCGTCTTAAATATTAGAATATATCATTCCTAATCCACATCATTCAACCAAATACTATCATCAACAAGATCATCGAAACAAAAGAATGTCAAAATTAGATGTATATCAACAACTACGACAAAATGATAATTACATATACAAATTAATTCAACTTCCACCACAACTTCAATCACATTTATCAAAATTAAAGAATAATTTACAATTAAAATCAACTAATAATGGAAATGTATTGTTAGTAACAGAAGATAAAACTTTTAAATTAAGACAAAATAATCAATCAAATACTATATTATTAATGCGTCATGAAAATGATAAATTAATAGGATATGATAAATGTTTTTATCAATATGAATTAAATGAAATATTGGGGAAAATTATTAATAGTAGTGATATAGATATACCAATTTATGAAAATGAAAAATCAATACAGAAAATTACGAAGAAACTAACTAAACAACAATTATTTAATTTAAGTCCTTGTTCAAAATTTGAATTTGAAAAATTATGGATAGAGATGAATTATATAAATATTGAAAATCAAGTATTTAAAATTTCAAATAATTTAATAACTGAAATTTTATATGATTTAATTACTTTTTTAATCAGTAAAAATAAATTAGAAGAATTTAGAAAAGAAGATATTGAAATATCATATGATTCAAATCTTGTAAATTCAATATTTTTAAATTTTACAATCACTACTAAAGATAATAAATATAAATTAAATGATGAAAAAATTATAAATTGGTTTGGTATAAATGAATTAAAAAAATTAAAAATTGAAGAAGAAAATCAAATAAAATTAAATGATTTTTATTTAAATTGGAAAAGTTCATTACCTTCATTTTATAATGTTTCATTATCAATAACTTCCCTTAGAGGTAATTATTTAACAAAGACAATTAATAAAATTGAATTTATTAAATATGTTCCCCTTGAAAATTTATCTCAAGATCCAATTATAAAATTTAAACAATTAATTTTAATTGAACCTATTTGGAAATATGATGAAATTTTATATTTCTTTAGTGATTTTATAAAGAGTGGTAAAAAAATTGATTCAATTATTTTAAAATATGGTAAAAAGAAAAAAATTGGTTCAAAATTTATTGTTTGTAGTAGATAATTTAAAGAAATATCACGTTCTTTCTTTAAAAGCTACAAAAGTTTTGTTTTATTCTCTAAATTATATATTATGAAGTAAAAGTAAATAAAATTAAAAACTCTCTAAATTATTTATTATCATTATCAATATCCATATTATCATCATTATCATTAATTTCAGTAATTTGATTCAGTTTATATTGTAATACAGTACTTTCAGTCATTGATCTATTATTCATTTGAGGTCTAATCATATTATTTAATAAAGGATTATTTATTAAAGATTCTAATGATGATGGTATTGAATTTGAATCTTTTAATTTACCATCTGATGTTAAATTTATTGATGATGATGATTTTGATTGTGTGAAATGTGGGGGAAGATTTGATTGTTGATGATGTTGTGAATGAGACAGTGAATTATATTGTTGTTGTTGAAATGAATTATATCCATTATTTATACTACTTGATGATGATGAAGGTCTTGATGGTGAACTATTTTGTGATCTATTATTTCCATTACTATTACCATTATGAGGACTTGATGAACCATTTGATTTTATTGATGAATTTTTTTTTAATTTTTTTGCAAAATCAGAAGTTCTATTATTATTATTTTGTTTTGATAATTCTTTTAATTGATTTATATTATGAATACATTTATTAATAGTTTGCATTAATAATTTTGGTTTTAAAGGTTTTGAAACATAATCATCCATTCCTTTCGCTAAAGATTTTTCACGATCTCCTAACATTGCATGAGCAGTTAATGCAATTATAGGAGTTCTAAAAGTTAATGAATCAATTGGATTTGATTTTTTTTCCCATTGTCTTATTTTTTCAACTGATTCAAATCCTCCCATTACTGGCATTTGAACATCCATTAAAACAACATCATATTTTGATTTTTGTATAGCTTCAAAAGCTTCTAAACCATTTTCAACTACTTCTACTTTATGACCTTGTTTTTCCAAAATTCTAACTGCTAATTTTTGATTAACTAAATTATCTTCAGCTAATAAAATATTATAACTTACAGATTCATCAAGATTTTGTGAAATAGATCTTGATTCTAATGCAGGTATTAAAGCACTTGCTAAATCTGTTATTGAACATGGTGTATTACCATATGATGATATACCTAAATCAATACAAACTCTCATATTTAATTCAGGTATTGAGTGATGAACTAATACTAATGGAATATATTTAACTTCTGATAATAATCTTAATTTTTTAGCTGTTTCAATTGAATCAATCATTATAATATCATATTTTATTGGTTCTTGTAAATTAGCATCTTCAATATTATGAACTATAATTGGATTTAAACCTAATTCAATTATACCATCTTTAATTTCTTGTAATTCTTCATTACTATGATCAGTTGATACAAATAATACATAATGACTACTAAATGGTAATAATTGTTCAGTTTGTCTTGTATATCTTATATTTGATGGTGAAACACAAACAGTAAAATAAAAATTTGAACCAGAACCATATTCTGATGTTACCCAAATTTCTCCTCCCATTAAATGAATTAATTGTTTTGATATAGATAATCCTAATCCTGTACCACCAAATTTTCTTGTTGTTGAACCATCAGCTTGACAAAATGTATCAAAAATTAAACCTAATTTATCTTTTTCAATACCAATTCCAGTATCACTAACACAAACTTCTAATAATAATTTATCATTATCATCATCTTCAACTTCAACTATTTTATCTGATTTTTTAACACTAACACTAACTTTTCCTTCTTTTGTAAATTTTATTGCATTTCCTGCTAAATTTAATATAACTTGTCTTAATCTAAATGAATCACCAATTAAATTATCTGGGAATGAAGAATCACATTGATAAGTTAAATCTAAATTTTTTTCAATTGCTTTTACTGCTAAAGTTTTTAATGCTCCAAATACTGTACCTCTTAATGAAAAATCAATTTGTTCAACAGTCATTCTATTTGCTTCAATTTTAGAAATATCTAATATATCATCAATAATAGTTAATAAACTATTAGCTAAATTATGAACAATTGATAACATTTCTCTTTGATATTGAGTTAATTCTGTATCTAAAGATAATTGAGTCATTCCTATAATACCATTTAAAGGAGTTCTAATTTCATGAGACATATTTGCTAAAAATTCTGATTTTGCACTATTAGCTAATTCAGCAGCTTCTCTTGCAGCTGTATTTCTTTGAATTGATTCTCTTAAATTAAGAACCATTTGATTAATTTTTGTTTTTAAAGCATCCATTTCTCCCGAAGCTTCAACTGTAATAAATCTTGTAAAATCACCATCAGTTGCAGCAGCAGTAATTTGAGCAAATGCTCTAACTTGTGAAGTTAAATTTGAAGCCATTGTATTTACATTTGAAGTAATTTCTTTCCATAAACCATCTACATCACTAACTTGAGCTTGAATACCTAATTTACCATTTATACCAACATCTCTTGCAACTTTTGAAACTTCTGAAGCAAATAATTGTAAAGAATCCACCATTTTATTTATAGTATTTTTTAATTGTAAAATTTCACCTTGTGCATGAACATCAATTTTTTGTGATAAATCACCATGAGCAACAGCTGTTGTAACTGTTGCAATAGATCTAACTTGATTTGTTAAATTTGTTGCCATTAAATTAACATTTTCAGTAACAGCTTTCCATGCTCCTTCAACATCTTGAACATTTGCTTGTCCACCTAATATACCTAATGTACCAACTTCTCTTGATAATGTTGTAACTTCAGAAGCAAATTTTAATAATCTATCAACCATTTGATTTATAGTTAATTTTAAATTTAAAATTTCTCCTTTACAATCTGCTGTAACTTTTTTTGATAAATCACCTTTTGCAACAGCAGTCGTAACATTTGCAATATTTCTAACTTGTGTTGTTAAATTTAAAGCCATTGCATTTACATTATCAGTTAATTCTTTCCATATACCTTCAACATTTTCAATTAAAGCTTGACCACCTAATATACCTAAAACACCAACATCTCTTGCAACTTTTGATACTTCAAAAGCAAAAGTTCTTAATTGATCAACCATAGTATTTATAGTCATTTGTAACTGTAAAATTTCTCCTTGAGCATGAACATTAATTTTTCTTGATAAATCACCTCTTGCAACAGCTCTTGTAACATCAGCAATTTCTCTAACTTGATTTGTTAAATTTAATGCCATAATATTTACATTATCAGTTAATGATCTCCATATACCAACACTACCTTCATTTTTAGCTTGACCACCTAATTCACCATTTGCAACTTCTGTTGCAACTTTTGTAACTTCATTAGCAAAAGTTTGTAATTGATCCATCATTGTATTTATTGTAATTTTAACTTTTAAAATTTCAGGATCACTTTCAACTGAATGAATTTCAACTTTTTTTGATAAATCTCCCATTGCAACTGATATAACAACTGTACCAATTTCTGATAAAGCTTGTTTAAAAGCTTTATTTGCAGTTTTACAAACTTCTAATTCATTTTTATTATCATTTATTATTAAATCTTGTTGATTAAAAAGTTTTATTAAATCATTTCTAATTTCCATATGTTTTTGTTGATATAATACTGGATCTTGTAAAATTTTTAATATTTCAATTTGAGAATAAGATGAATTTAACATTTTTGGAATTGAAGAAGAATCTTCTGTTGTTGAATCTGTTGATGATGAAGGTGAAGTTATTTTAAAAGATGGTGAAATTGGTGAATTTATATTTAAATTAAAATTATTAAAATTTGAATCTACAGGTGAGGAATAATTAGATTGATTTTGATGTGGTTGTGGTTGTTGTTGATTGAATGTGTTTGGAGATGGAGTGCTATTACTACTAACTTTTCTATTTGTAGTTTCCGATGTTGATGAAGAAGATGCTGTTGATATTGAAGATGAATCTGATGAAGATGTTGGAGGTGATGAAGTTGAAGTTGAAGTTGATGTTGATGAAGTTGAAGATAACTTCAATTTTTTAACTGGTGGAATAATTTTGAATAGATTTTATTTATATAAACTTCTCTTTTTAATAGTTGAATGATCTCAAAGAAGTTTATTTAAAAAGGGAAGTGGATCAATGAAATTATGGGAAGTAAATAAAGTTTTTAAAGGTTAAACAAAGAAACAAAAAATCCTTTAAACTTCTTGAAATCGATTGATTGTGTGAACAAAATAAGAAGTATATGACGATTCCTCCTTTTTGGTAATGTAAGATATAACAATCAATCCTTATGAGTTGTATGTATATTATGAATGATATATTAGTATTAAATTGGTTGTAAATAAATGTTGAGATAATTTAAAAAAATTATTATCATTAGAAAGGGGAAAAATTTATTTTTAGTTTCACTCTACTCTAATTAATTTAATACGAAACATATTCTAAAAACAATAGAGATATTTACAATTAAGAATGAACTAAGAAATTAAATTATTGAGATAGTATAGCTATTAGCGTAGTAATCATTCGTCAACATCATCATCATCATATTGTGAAAACTAGCATGTTATAGAAATAGACATATATATTAGTTGGTACCTGAAATTATTATCTAAATAAATTTATTTGTTTACAATATTGGCTACTAATAAATCAATGTTTCATTTTAATGTTAGTATGATGTCATACATTTAATATATTATTGTTTAGACAAACCACCATTAAAGATATACTAACAACACGCTTTCAAAAACTAAATGAAATTCTGACTGGATCGGATTACCAAAACAAAACTTATTGAAAAAAAAGTTAAACATACAATAGAATGAAAAAAATCATTGATGTTGTTTCAATAATTATTTGTATTTGGTCCCTTGTTAATCTTTATAAATTTACGAGTTGTACACGACTTTAATGGTAGTATCAACAGTTCAAATCTTGATATTGAAATAAGCAGATTCACGTATCATCAACAATAAAACCAAGTGGGAAAAAACTCTTAATTTCTTTTGATTCGAATCAACCATTCTGGACTAACCGTACTATGGTTGGTGGATTTAACTCATTGTTGAAGCAAAGTATGCCTATATTTGCTCCATCTGAAGTACAACTGATACAAATTTTGACGAGAATTTATTTTTTTCCAATTTGTCTACGAAATCATAGTTTTATTTACACAAATAGATAATGTTTTGAAACTTGACAATTCGACCCCTAGTTCAGAAAAGGATAAAAAACTATTTCATGGTTTTAGATGACTATTTTCAACTACATCACAAGGTTCTTCAAACAATTTTGAATGTTATTTGTATGGGAATATTGAAAATATTTCGTGAATCTGATGGATTTTTTTAGCTTCATAATCATTTTTTTCTTTTGAAACAAATCTTCAATTTCCCTTTTCGTAATTTTTTTCTACATAAAAAATGTGCTGGTGACGGACCATCCAACTTGGGGTAAAAATTTTGAATTATTCAAATTCAAAATTCTCTAAATTTCACTTTATAACTTAGAAGCTTTCAAACGTTATTTGTATGAGTGATTTAAATTGTTTTTGCTAAGTTTATGTATTGAAAGGATAGTCTATGAAAATATTTAGCCGTTCTCAATCCATAATAATACTGCAGGTAACAGAAATCACACACATTCAAAGTATAGCAGTTCCCCTAATGAATTCAAAGTCTTGACCTCACTCAGTGCAAACAATCTTTACAAATTGAATATACCGTCAAATTTTAATTAGTATCAACACCTAAATTAAGTATTCATTAATAGCTAATTTGATAGAACAAAAGTAAGATTCAGATCTACTCGTGCGGCTTTATTGCCTATTTGAAATTTTTGAAAAAATAGACTTGAATTCGAAATTGAAAAAAACTCCGAATTAGCATGACTTTTTACAAAAAAATTTTTTAAACCTTGTATCTAATTTCAAATTTATTTGAGATAAATAATTTATCCTATTTTGAATGTTATTCACTTTGGGAGATTTGTCAATGCTCAATTGATTGGAGCTTTAACGAAGAGATTGATCGACAAGAATTGTTGCGGCTTTATTTCCCAATGTGTACAGTCAAATCGGAAATTTTTCCTGATTAAATATTTTATTTTTGTGTTTTACGACACGATAAAAATACGACTCTTGAAAATAATTTATGAAGAAGATAAATTTAATTTATCAAGAAATTAACTAAAATAAAATCCTGATTTTGAATTAATAAAATCCTAAACCTTCATTCTAATTTTCTCGCTCTCCCAGAATAATTTTTCCTCCGGTAAGTATGCTCTTTGCGCCCCAACCTTGCGCATTATTTTTAGTCCATCAGCGAGAAAATTTAAATTAACATTTATGATTTTATTATTTCAAAATCTGGATTATTTGTTAGTTCAATTCTTGATAATTAATATAATTTTTCTATATAAATTTAATTCTAAAGTCGCATTATATTTATGTCGTAAAACATAAAAATAAAATTAATTATCAGGATAAATTTCCGATTTGACTGTATATTCAAATATCCGACGTCAACGATGTTATGAATTCGAGCACATTTTTCGAATTCTACGACTATGTCTTTCATTTATGTCAAACAGCATAAACTTTTAATGTGGAGTTATCACTTTTGTTTTAATTAAAATGTTATAGATATAGTCGAACGTTAAATACGATGAAACAACGTTTCAAATTTTTAGCGTATCCATTTTTTTTCTCTTAAATTTGATTTTATTTCTACCTCAAGAAGAATTAAATGAGTACAAGATCTCAGGAGCAATGAGAAAATTACATTTAGTATTTACGAAGCAAGTTGCATATTTCCAGTTTTTGAGCGACCTAAAAATCAAACTTAGTTTCAAGTTAATTTGTAAACTCATACTCAGATACAATTTCTATTGCAGTTGAGATGTTCCAAATTTTGCAGTACGGAGGTCTGCGGTACAGATGTTTGAGGTACGAATGTATTTTTGAAACCAGCTTCAACAAAACTAATCCTAACTATATCGACCGTTGCAAAAATGCAGAGGTATTTGCATAGCTTATTTTAGACTCTGATATTATGTTTTTACAGGTCGAGTTGGTTTAGAAAAATTAATGCAAGTTCCTCAAGATAAAGTTATATTACCTATTTACTGTAATTATATCATAAAATTAGCTGCAAAATTGGTCGATAAAGTCGAACAAGATCCGCATGTTTAGATTTTAACCATGAATTTAAACAACAAAATTGAAACAACGCGTCAGTACTCTCTTAAAGCGGGTTTTTACCACGCATGATTTATAAAACGACGTCAAAAGTAATGATACTACTAGATTTATTGTTTCGATACACCAATCTATTCTGGTCGTGGTAATTTTTCAATACATAGAATAAAAAAAAATTTATCAAAAGTTCAAAAGCAAATGATAGAGATCATTTAATTCAAGATCCACTTTAGTAAAATCATATCCCTTCAAAGTTCATATACACAAATAACAAGCAAAATAATGGTAGAATCAACATCGTCAAAAAGATATCAAATAACATTATCAGATGAATCAAAAGAAAGAATAATAAAAGTTTTAGATTATTCAAAAACAATTGCTCATTATGGTTTTATTCCTTTAGTATTATATTTAGGTTGGTCTGCTTCATCAAATAAACCATCTATATTAAATTTATTATCTCCTTTCCCATCAGCTTAAATTTGATCGAGATTTAAATTGTGCATTGGAACAAAAATAAGAAATTAAGGAGTTTATGATGACAGATTTTACGTTTTGGAAAATGAAATGATGAAAATGGAACAGTTCGATTAGATGAATCTTGTACATACATATTGTTGGCATACCTGTGATTTTTGTTTAAATAGAGGATAAATAAACGGAGTTTGCTAGTGAATATGACGAGTTCGAAGTCATACTATTATGTCAAGATTATGAATCAAGACATAATTCTTGAATTGTATTATCGTGTACATTGGGATTTCTTGATAAATGGGTTGATTAATGGAGCCTACGGTCAAATTTTCAATTTCTACCGGTGTCTACTTAGCTTCTTTGTTTTCCAAAAGGATATATCCCTAATGTCATAGTCTTTGACCCTACGATCGAAGCTGGGCCAGTCTTAACACCTCTCGATTTTTTGGCATATTTTCATCAAAATTTATGAAAATACTAAAATTACAAATTCGTAATTTTTTTTCAATTTGATAAAACCGTTACCTCTTCAAATCATCACAAACACTAAACAAAATGACAAGCCAACGTCTTCAATAACACAATTATATCATATCATTCAAGAAATATAAACAATAATGGGCGAGATACGGCATCATAGAAAACAAAAGTTCACATCTAGACAGATTGAAACTTTGTCTGGTTTAGCAGCAGGTTTTACTACTACTATAGTTACACATCCATTAGATGTTTTGAAAATTCGACTACAGTTAAACCATAACAAGTTAGAATTGAGATCAAAACCTTTCCAATCAGTGATTGAAATAATACGACAACTTAATAAAGATGCAAGATCATCAACGTATTTAAATTTAAAACATCAACGATGTAAAACACCATTTCCTATGAATTATTTAGCTCAATATTATCGAGGTTTGACACCAAATCTTATAGGAAATATATCAGCATGGGGATTATATTTTTCATTATATGCTGAATTTAAGAAGAATTTAAATTTAAGAAATCAATCAATCAATTATTTTTTAAGTTCAACTTTAGCAGGTATATCTACTTCAATTTTAACAAATCCTATTTGGGTTTTAAAAACACGTATATTATCAAGTTCCAAAACAACTGAAAATGCATACAAATCAACAATTGATGGAATAAAACAAATGCTTAATCAAGAAGGTATTTTAAGTTTTTGGAAAGGTTGTATACCAAGTATGTTTCAAGTATTTCAAGCAAGTTTACAAATTACCATATATGATAATTTAAAGAATTATATTGTTTCCAAAAAAGATAAAAATTTACATTCAAATCATCACGAGTTACATATGTTGACTACATGGCAATATTTATATACTTCAGCAGTTTCCAAAATTATAAGTACTTTAATTTTTTATCCAACTCAAGTTGTTAAAAGTAGATTACAAAATTATAGAAGTACAATAGAAATCTCAAAAAAAATTTCAATAAGTTCTGTAATAAAAGATTTATATTTTAAAGAAGGTGGAATATCAGCATTTTATAAAGGGTTAAGTGCAAATATTTTAAGAGTTCTTCCAGCTACTTGTATCACATTTGTAGTTTATGAAAATGTAAAAAAATGGTTAATAGAATTATAGACACGTCATAATATAGCTTTCTTTGTATATATTCATTCATTCACTTCTTTTGCATTCTAAATTAACAATTATTCTAATTATATTTACCAATTAATTCATTAACAAATTCAATATATTGTTTTTCAGCATCTTCTTTAGAAGTACCTTCTAAATCTTTCCAACTTTGCCATTTATATTTACCTTTAAAATCAAAAGTACCTGGTTTTTGAGTAGTATTATCACCAGCTGTAGCTTGTTTATATAAACCATATAATTTTAATAATTCATCATCATTTGGTCTTGTTTTTAAATTTGAAACTGTATTTGCCTTTATGTTTTGTTAATATTTATATTCTTTCTAAATTGTGAAATTTAAATTCAAGTTAATTGAGGAATTGATTGATACATACTTTTTCTTTAAATTCTGCTGAAACCATCTTGTATATATTAGTTCAATTTGAGTTTGTTATTTGAGTAAGAAAACTTGATTTTTTAAAATTAGTTTGTTGGCAATAATAATAAAAATATCAAACTTGAATTTATTTTAAAATTATTACACTAAATTGAGTGAGCTGTGTAACTCCTTAAATTTACAATCAAAGGATCTCCATACTTTTCCTTTAAATAAGGAACTTGAATTGCGATTAGGTTAGAATATACAAATTCGAATTCGAAAAAATAATGTGTTCAGGTTTGAGTTGTCTTGTAGGAGTTAAGTTGTTTTGAATGCAAAATATGGGGAAACTCAACCCCCTACATCACGCTTAATTTTTTACAAGATTTGAATTAATACGCCAAGCTATTAAACAGAGGTCGATCGATCCTAGGCATTACCGCAAGGAAAACTCTGTTCAACGCGGAAAGCGTTTCAAGTGACACATGAGAATTGCTCAGATACTTTATTCTAAAAGAATGTGTAGGATCTTTTGAAATGATTAAGAATACACAAAGTCTACGTAAGGAAGTTTATGATTCGAATTCTGGACTTCATTTGTTAGAACTGAAAACTAAAATTAATGTTGCATGCGTGTATTGAATTAAATATACTTGTTCTTTTATTAAAACATAGAAATAGTTGATATATGTATATGCCTAATTATTGATGTTCTCCATTTGAAACAATATTATAATGACTAGTAATCACAAAATACAGAATTTGAACTGAATGGTAATCGTTTTCCAAATCGATGTAGATTTTTGGGATTAGAAAGATATCCGACAATCTATCGTGCATTTAATTTCATTTCCAATGAGCATTGTATATGACAAAATTGACCGTACCTTGAACTTCATTTGCTGAATCTTAAATATTAGGTGATACGTGGTGGTGATAGAATTATAATAATGAGTCAAAATCATATAACACCTCCACCTAGGTCAGCCAATCCATCATCTTCATAAGTATCATCAAAATAATGACTAAAAGTGTAAATTGTTGCATAAATTAAAAGTCCCCCAATAATCGTCAATATACTTGCCATTCTAGTTAAAATTAATGAATGGTGTAATATAAAAGGTAAATAAAACCCAGTAACTAATAAAAATGAAGATAAAAATTGTCCAAATTCAACAATTATATTAGCATTTGTAGTAGATTGATCAAAATTAAAATCGTAATCTGATGAATTTGTTAAAGACTTCGTTATAACTATAGGTAAATGAGCAACAGCAAAAATTAAACCTATTATTATTGGAAACCAATTTCCATATATACCTGCTAGTATCACTAGTAAAAAACCCACTGATAGTACTACCGATAGACCTATTATTTTATTCAATGGATTGACTTTAAATGATGATGTAGAATTCATTATTTGAATTAAATAAGCAATTGAATGTATTTAAATTGTAGTGATGATATAAAACTCTCAGATTATGGTGAGATACCTATATGAATTGAATTTAATGGAGTATTCAGAATGCAGTAGTTGTAGCAATTGTGTGATATTATATGATTCTTTTATCAAGCTAAATGTGCCTTCAATTCTTATTTTTTGTTCGTAAAAAAAGATTCAGCAGCCAAAGTTTAATCGAAATCAAATTCAAGATCAAAACTGTTGACCAAAATTATATCATTGCAATTGTGAAATACACAAACTTACTAATCTAACCATTCTAACCCAGTTGATTAATATGACGAATCAAAGATATGACGAAATTTTAAAACCCGAATTATTTGCTTCACCTAATTCAGATTCTTTACCTTCACCTCCTGGATATATAACGAATTCAAATTCATCAGTAAGTAAAACAACATCAAATAAGATATCAAAAAAGGATTCGAATGAAATGAAAACACTAAAATCGAAGAAAATTTGGGAATTGGCAAGTGGTCCCGCAAAATCAGTGCCAATGAATGCATTCATGAGTTATATGACCGGTAATTCGTTACAAATGATACCAGTTACAATGACATTAATGTTACTTTGGAATCCAATTAAAAGTATCTTTAACGACACTAATCCATTATTTTCAAAATTAAAGAGTAATGATAACTTCAAAGAGATTCTAATTGCAAAATGTGTATTTATTTTATTGCAACTTTTAAATATGAGTATCGGAGTTTATAAATTATACAAAATGGGATTAATACCTCATACAGAAGCAGATTGGTTAGCTTGGATGGATTATAAACCAAGTCCACAAATTTTATATAATTAATAATATTTTCCAAAATCTTCATTATGATTTGATTGTTTTGTCATATATTTGTTGTAAATTAAATTTACTGTATTTCAAATAATCTTCGACAACACTCATTCCAACATTGGTTTTATAACATTCAACAATTATCAATTTATCATAGTTTTTTAAATCAACTGTATGATTATGATCTCGACCAATGGTTTCAGCCACAAGTTTTTTAATTTCATCTGAAGTTAAGATACTAAAATTCTTCCTAGATACTTGTATTGCAAATTTTATTGGTTTCTGATCTTTTTCGTTATGAAAATGAGGTTTTAAAATTCTTTGAGATAATAATTTTAATTGTTCTGTTGGATTTTCTCCAGTTGCAGAACATGAATCAGTAATTGGAGTTAATTTTTGAGTATATCTTGTATTTTTTACTCCAGAATTATAACAATCTTTTGAAATATCATACACTAATTTCACTGGATCTATGGGTTTTTTAGTTTTGATAAATACTACACATTCACAATCTAGTTTACTTGGTTGTAGTAAATTTGATTTTTTATTTTTTGTAGTTACTTCCAACTCTAGAAGTTCAGCTTTGATTTTCTCTTCAATTGACAACTCTTTCTTGGTTTCGTCATTGTCTTCATCGTCCAGTTTTTCAATCAAGTCTTCTACTTTCTCTGAAAGTATTGACATTAACTCTTCTATTGCCAATTTTTCTTTGTTTCTTGCACACGTTACATATATCCCTGACGTATTTGGATCCAATGTGGTTGATGAGTTGGGTTTCTGTTTCTTATATGACGAACTTTTCAGATTTTCTATATGTTTTCTTTTAGCCATTTTCAAAATTCAGATTTGTAGTAACCATCATGACTCTGCTTATTGAAAAAAAAAAGTTCCTATTTTAGTCTAATTTCGCGTTGATTATTAAGTTTGGAAATTGGCTGCAAAATATATTGCAATCTCTACAAACGAATTTCAATCTCTTGCTTGAATATTTAATTGCACGGAAGATATTAAGATAGACTGATGAATTTGAATTAGATTGTAAATGGTTGTAGAAAAAGCGACAGTCAAAGTTCTGATCCTGAACGTATAAAGTTTTGGGACCATTTTCATGGTATGAAATTTGGGAATTACAGAAAAGGCTATGACTGAGTACAACGTGTAATACAACCTCATCTACTAATAATCCCGGTCCTTATTGATTTTGAGACTGTCTTTCAACATAAGTTTTCACATAGCTTAATAGAGCTAGTTGATGTTGGTAACTAAGATTGAAGTAACGTAAATGACACATTCAAGAAAACCTAAAATGAGAGCATTGAAGCGTTAGGTAAATCAATGACGAGCAAAGCAAAATAGTTCAACGGCACTCCATTGGCATTAGATAGGAATACTGTATCAAGATGTTCCAAAATGTGATCCAAATTAGGTACGTATTGCATATATTTTTTGTGCATTATTTCTTACCACTTAATTCAGTTTTAATATTCACACACAAAAATGTGTAAGAATTTTCAATAGAAAACATAATAGTTTAATGATAATGCAAACACATGATCTCAACAATCATTTAACCATATGACTACCTATAATCAGAGATATAAATGCTGACGTTACCACTAGACTTAATTCTTCACATAATAGATGTAGGTGGTCTTGACTTAAAAGATGTCTTTGGTCTATATCAGGTAAATAAATTACTCAGACAGAAATTATATCACCCATATTTTTGGCATGTTGTTTATAACAAAACAATTAAACCACTTTTTGACCAGTTGGAGATAGAAAGGAAAGTTTCAAATTATTTCGACGAATGCAAGATTTTTTATCATTGTGAGTTAGAATTGCAACATAAGTTGAACAACTTGAGAGATACGGCTATGCCAGATCCTACAGGACTTATCACACTATTGATGAAATTACTTTGTAGTTCTTATTCAAGGATTGAAGAGTTCTGTAAAAACACATATTATTTACCAGCTTTGTTGAAAATTATGAGAACAGAAGAATTTCACGTGTGGAATTGCTTAATAGAGGCGGAGTATGACTTTACATTTAATCGAATTTGCCCCAAAAATTTGACTGACACTTCGGTGCAGAAGTCTATGCTTTTTGACATCTCAACTGAAAAGGCTAGTATTGTCCAATTTTTCATCCACAGTCAATTCTATGAGATAGCGACACAACATATGAAATCCTTCGACATTTCAAATCTATCTCCAATAGTTTATGAGAAAGTTTTGTTTTATGCAAGTCTACTGGAAGAGTCAAATTATAGAAGTCTTTTCTATCGCGGCCGCTTTATCAATGATTGGAAAATGATAATGAAGAATAAGATACTACCTAAAATACTACCGTACTATCATGAAATACCTATTGAAGAGTTGTTTTTGTTGTATTTGGATACTTGTATAAGGAGTATGCTATCAGTCTTGGCGGCTAAAACAGTGAATCATAATCAACCTTACGTTGAACATATGGACATTATGAAGTTGTATAATGGACATGGGAAAGTTTGTTCATGGGTAGTCTATGCTTTTGTTTTAAAAGTGATTTATGAGACTTGGGATTCCTTTAATTTTGGCGTCTCATCAACAAGTTTAACTCATGCAATTTGTACCACATCAGGCATAATAGCAGGAAGTTTTGCTTACGTTATAATAAACCAGAAACTATACTATGAAAGACTTGGGAATAGCGAAAACTTTAAAAGATCAAAACTAAACGTTGAATCACTTTGGATTTTTTATAAATGCCTCCAAGAAAATAGGTTTTTATCTTTAAGATCTGTAGAGATCGAAAATGGAATCAAAGATAATTTGGATTTCCGCTATTCGAATACAGATTTTATGACCACATCTGTTCAAATATTATTCAAGTTGAGTAATTCCACTGGTGATAAAAATTATCCTGAAGATATTATTAGCACATCCAATCCATTCAGAAGAATTTGCTATGCAATTGAAGAATTTGATTCTAAATCTCGTGGCGAGGTTGTGAAGACCAGAGCTAGCTATGGTATAGTTCTAAGACGAATTGGAGACCACCAAAAAGTTTATAATATCACTGGATGTATTGAGAATGTATCGAATGAGAATATAGTTCCTTGGAAATTTGAGGACTCAGATGATATCATATCTTTGATTGCATTGATAAGATTTAACAATTTATTTTTAAATTGCTTTAAAGCTTTAAGAATTGATTTTGACAATAGAACTCTCAAATTTATTTCATATAAATAGATATATAGTTGTATAAATATCTTGAGTGAGCATTTAGTTACGATTCATATTCTCAATTGGTAGTAAAATTTCTATCTTTTTCTGTTAGTAATCCTTAAATCTTTATGATGTCATTAATAGGATCTTTACAATTCAACTCATAGTAAATGTTACTAAATACCAGAAGACGAGGTACTAATTTGATTTTAAGAAGATTCAAGCATGTGTTGGGAATTGATTTAGGAACAACTAATTCAGCTGTTGCCACCGTTGGTTCAAGTAATGAGCCTTATATACTAGAAAATGAAGAAGGTAAAAGAACTACTCCATCAATTGTGGCATTCAAAGGTGACGAGACTTTAATTGGATTACCTGCTAAAAGACAAGCCTTACTCAATCCAAGAAATACATTTTTTGCAACAAAAAGATTAATTGGTAGAAAATTTGAAGATCAAGAGGTTCAACGAGATATAAGAAATGTACCATATAAAATAATACCTGATAAAACTGGAGATGCAATTTTACAAACTTCCGAGAACAAGAAAATAACTCCATCAGAAATTGGCGGGCTAATTTTGAATAAGATGAGAGATGTAGCTGAAAAGCAATTGGATTTGAAAAATATTAATCAAGCAGTCGTGACTGTTCCAGCATACTTCAATGACAGTCAAAGACAAGCAACGAAAAATTCAGGCAAATCAGTAGGGATTGATATATTACGAGTCATAAATGAACCCACAGCTGCTGCTTTAGCATACGGATGTGACAAATCAAGAAAAGAAGGTATAGTTGCAGTGTTCGATTTTGGAGGTGGAACATTTGACATCTCAATATTAGAAATTGAGGATGGAGTTTTTGAAGTGAGAGCTACTAATGGTAATACACATTTAGGGGGTGAAGATTTTGATATTGTTTTAATGAATTATATACTAAATGATTTTAAACAAAAATATGATATTGATTTATCCAATGATCATTTAGCTGTTCAAAGAATAAGAGAGGCCGCAGAAGAAGCGAAGATTGAGTTATCCAAGGTTCCCCAGACGGAGATCAAAATTCCTTTCATTCATGGAGACAAACACTTAGATATAACATTGACTGAAGACCAATTGGATGAGATGACCTTACCATTGATCGAGAAAGTAATAGAGCCAGTAAAGAAATGTGTGAGGGATGCTGATTTGAAATTTAAAGATATTGATGAGGTTTTGTTGGTTGGAGGGATGACAAGAATGCCTAAAATGAGAAAAGTTGTAGAAGAGTTGTTCGGAAAAAAGCCAAGTACTGCAGTGAACCCAGATGAAGCTGTTGCACTTGGAGCTGCAATACAAGGAGCAGTACTTGCAGGTCAAGTTAAAGATGTTGTGTTGCTAGATGTGACTCCTCTATCATTAGGAATTGAAACATACGGAGGTATCTTTAGTCCTTTGATACCTAGAAATTCAGCCGTACCTATCAAGAAAGAGCAAATGTTTTCAACAGCAGTTGATGGTCAAACAGGAGTGGAAATAAGAGTATATCAAGGGGAAAGAATGTTGATTAAAGACAATAAATTGATTGGTCATTTTAAATTATCAAATATACCGAAAGGTCCAAAGGGAACTCCACAAATTGCAGTGGAGTTTGAGATTGATGCTGATGGGATAATCAGTGTCAGTGCGTCTGATAAGACACCTTATCCCAAGGACTCACCTCATTATGGGAAACCTAATAAAGTCTCAATTCAAGTAACTGAGGTAGGATTGACAGATGCTGATGTTGAAAGAATGATTACTGAAAGTAATAGAAACAAAAAGCAGGATGAAGAAATGAGAAAATTATATGAGCATGCTTCAAGAGCAGAACTTTTATGTACAGATACTGAAATAGCATTAATACAGTTTGGTGAGCTAATGGAAGAGTCAGAAGTTAAATCAATCAAAAGATTGATGGAAAAATCTAAAGAAATGATTGACAACATTAGGAATCATAAATTGAAAGATCCCAAAGTACTTAATGATACACTTAATGAGATGCAAAAGGAGTGCATGGAAGCTATAAAAAAAGTCGCCATAAAACAGGAAAAGGAGAAGGTGAAAGAAAATGGGGAAAACAAATTGTAAATAGAGGCTATAGAATACAATCATGTAAGCTTTTGACATTTTTTCTTTTGTGTATTACTTTATTCGTCAGTTTCCATTCTATCACCACTTTCATCAGTGTTTTGTGGTGGTTGATCTTCCGAAGGTTGTTCATCATTATCACCCTGATTACTCGTCCTATTTCTTTCATTCGTAACAGAATCTAATTTATCTAGCCATTGCTGAACATTTTCCCCATCATATGTTACAAATTCCTGATCTTTTCCAACAATTGCCACGCTAGTATTTTTTGAAGTTAATTCTACATCTTGACTCAATGTATCTCTCAAAGCATATAATCCATGAGTTATTAATTGTTCAGTGGACTCACTTGATTTAATTTCATCCAAATTCCTTTCCAAATACGTTCTTGCTGCTTGAGATCTAGCTCCAATTGCAGCCCCATAGTATTCTAATACAGATCCAGAAGGTAAGAATTCTAATAAATGAGCACCGGTTTCATCATAACCTGCAATTAATAACCCCACACCATAAGGTCTTGATCCATAGCTTTGAGTATTTTCTTGAGCTTTATCAGCTATCGTTAAAGCTGCTTTGTATGTTTGTATAGGACGATTAAAAATCATTTTACATTGCATTGCTTGTTTTCTTAAATAATTAGATAAAACTCTTGCATCAGGTGCCAAACCAGCTAACGCCACTCCCATATGATTGTCAATTTTTATAATTTTCTTTTGATATGATCCTAACTCTTCTGCATTTCGTTTCAATGCAACCAATACGACATGATTTTTAGAAATCAATCCCACTGCAGCACTTCCTTGTTTAATGGCTTCTAATGCATATTCTACTTGAAACAATCTTCCAGTGGGTGAGTATGTCACTGAATCGTTGTCGTAATTATTTCTAAACATTACTTGGGTGATCAATTGATTGGGAAATGGTTCAAACTTGGATGAATTTTGCCACTACAGGGATTATATAATTCAAAATGTGAGTTTAACTTTTTTCGCATTGTTGAAAAGTAGACACAAAAGTTACCGCGAGTGCTACCATATTCTATGGTTGATCTATATCGACACATCCAAATTCTACAATTAACTTATACAGTATATATGAATAAAATATAATCATGCGATGGAAGTATACATATATCTAATCAAATAGAAAACTTTAAAAGGTAGCGTTATATAAGATTCAAAGCCCTCAAAACGTCACAATTGGGCATAGGCATGTTTTCAGCTTGTTTTAGTTTTTCCGTATCTGTAGAAAACCAACCAATTGCATCTTCTATTAATTGATCTTTTCGTATTTGTTCTCTTGAGCATTTCGCCCTTTTATCTTGTATAAATAAGTTCTCTACTTTTACATCATAATTTCTTAATTGCTTTCTTGATTTGTTTTCATATTTTTTAGTAAACTGATCATTCACAAAAAATGGTATATCATGACGTGGCGTTCTTCTTTCTATGTTGTACTCTCTACTAGGTGTGAATGAATAGTCTGGGGTTGAGTCGTCTGAAAATAAAGCTGATAATATAGGAACAATGAGGATAATGAGAATTGGGAATAAACCTTTTAATCCTTCCCAAAGTGATTGTGGTGGTTGTGGTGAATCTCCTGATTGTTGAGTTGGTCTTGGAGCCGTTCTTCTTGCTGTACGTCTATGCCTCATGAAAGGATCCTGTCCTCCCCCAAAAGATTGAAAAGTAAATCCATTTCCTCCAAATGTAAAAGTAGGTCCTTGTCCTCCTCCACCAAAGAACATGTTAAATATATCTTCTTCAAAAGCATTATGCCCGCCTCTACCAGCACTTGCAAATCCAGATCTACCAGATGCAAATGGACTAGAACTAGAATTAGAAACTCCAGAAAACCTCGAGGTCGGATCAGAACCGGTTTGATCAAATATAGTTTTCTTCTGAGGATCACTCAAGACTTCCCATGCTTTATTAACTACTTTGAAAGCCTCAGAAGACCTAGGATGTGGATTTTTATCAGGATGACACTTTATTGCTAGTTTTCTATAAGATCTTTTTATTTCACCTTCTTCAGAAGTTTTTTTAACTGATAATATTTCATAAAACTGATGACTTTTATACGAAAGAACTTTGAGTACAATTGCTTCTTGTTCTTTTGTATATGACATTTCCGTAATACACTTGTGATTTGAATTAATGAGTAGGGTATACAAGTTTTCGTATTGGTGGTTTGATTTCTTCGATTAATTATTTCATGAAATATTAAAGATTCAACTTAATTATTTTTAATAGAGTGGCATAATCTTATTTCTACAGACAAAAAAAATTAGATTTAAAACAAATTATTCAATACTGTTTTCATAAACTTTAGTGCGCACTAAATGAACCCTTCTTCCTGTTGTTATCATGCTGTTGTTTAAAGTACGTTATAGTGATAATCGAATCGATCTAATAAGTCTTTGCATTGATCGGTATGAATTTAAAAGCAAGGTTCCGATGTATCACCGCTCAACAAACACTTCTCATGTATTAACACTAAATGATACAAAAGTACTCTACCAAAACTGAAACAAATTTATTTACTTATCAGTTTAAATCATAGAATAAGATCCGCAGCAATTAGTCATTCAATAGTATTGCAACGACAACAACATCATTCCACTTATATCTCAATATGGCTAACTCAACGAACTACGTTGTGAATTCTTTGTTGGATACAGACTTATATAAGATATTTATGCATGCTGCGGTTCACAAAAATTTCCCAAACGTACCTGTTAAATATGGTTATACAAATAGAACTCCTCAAATGAAATTGAACACAGAAGCAGTTGATTGGTTAAAAAACCAAATCAATCATTTGGCTGATTTGAGGTTTTCTGATGAAGAATTGCAATATTTGGAGAAAACTTTACCCCAATTACCAAAAGCATACTTAGAATATTTGAAAGGTTTTAAATTTGATCCTAAAAGACAGATTAATTATATTGAGTCAGATGAAGAAAATTTTGGTTTGGAGATAGTTGGGAATTGGGATGAAACAATTTTGTATGAAATACCAATTTTGGCATTGATCTCAGAGGCATATTTTAAATTTGTAGATACTGATTGGGATTACAATAATCAATATGAAATCGCAAAATCGAAGGCAGAACAATTAATACAGAATGGATGTAATTTCAGTGAATTTGGAACTAGAAGAAGGCGTTCTTTTGAAGCTCAAGAAATTATCATCAAGGCAATTAAAGATGTTTCAGATGAGAAAGTAGCTGGTACCTCAAATGTATACTTTGCTATGAAATACAACCTACACCCTATTGGTACTGTTGCACATGAATGGTATATGGGTATAGCGTCAATTACTCAAGATTACTTACACGCAAATAAATTAGCCATGGATTACTGGATTGACACATTCACAGCAAAATATGCCGGATTAGCGTTAACTGATACTTTTGGTACTGACAACTATTTAAAATATTTTGTTGCACCTTATGTCAATGAGTATACTGGAGTGAGACAAGATTCTGGGGATCCGGAGTTGTATGCTGCAAAGATTGCAGTACATTATGAAAAATTAGGTATTCCTAAAAATTCAAAAACAATATGTTTTAGTGACTCCTTGAATATTGAGAAATGTATCAAATTTAAACACACTGCTGAAAACCTAGGGTTAAAAAGTACTTTTGGAATCGGAACTTACTTTACGAATGATTTCAAAAATTTAACAACGGGTGAAAAATCTCAGCCTTTGAATATTGTGATAAAGATAAAGGAAGCAAATGGTAATCCGTCTATAAAAATTAGTGATAATATCGGGAAAAACACAGGAGATGCGAAGACGGTCCAAAAAGTCAAAGAGGAGTTGGGGTATACCGAAAGAGTCTGGGAAGAAGGTGATGAGTCTCATCGGTGGTAGGTATATAGGCTTTTAGGTTCATAATTATTTATTAAGGATGCATACATAGTTGCAATATGTAGAATCGAAATTCGTTGGTAGCGTGAATTATTTTTCATGATCTTTACATACCGTTTTCTTGTTAATTTGTGCATCAATCATCTTGGAAAAAGACTATGGAACTCAACCATGACAACGTTACAAAAGTTTTATCTTTTGCATCCTCGTTTGATAATAAATCCCAGCAGCAAGAGGCGGAACGTCAATTGAAACAATGGGAGGTACAAGTTGGCTATCACTTATTGTTGCAAAACATCTACACAACTCAAACTGAAGACTTGCAAATTCGTTGGCTAGCCACAATATGTTTCAAAAATGGGATAGATAAATATTGGAGACTGTCGAGACAACATGCTCTTACGAAAGAAGAAAAGGGTCAAATTATTTTGAGAGCATTAGACTCAATATCAGAACCAAATGAACAGTTGATAATTCAATATGCTGATGCAATTGCTACAATTGCAAGATTTGAATATCCCAATGGGTGGAATATATTCGAAAATTTGATTCTGAAACTTCAAAAGGCAGTGGAAACTGAGGATGTCTTTACGCTCAAAAACACTTTGGTTGTAATGAATCTTGTAATTAAAATAATATCAAGCGTTAGAATCGGGAGTTCACGAAAGGAAATGCATACAAGAAGTCCAGAAATTGTTTCAATACTCAAGCAATTGTACGATCAATTTTTTTACATGTGGACTGAGTCAGCCAATGAGACATTGATGCGAATTTGTTACTTATGCTTAAAAAATTTGCGAAGAATTATGCCAGAAGGAATTGAACAGTATCATAAGAACCAAGTGGTCTCCGAATTTATTGAATCTACAATTGCTCACTTTCAATTGCTTTTATCAAATAAAGAGAAACACTCTCAAGGAGTTATTGACAAATTTGTGAATTCTTATAGTAAGCTTTACATTTCAATGCTTAATTATAATCCAACCAGCTTTATACTACTTAAAAGCTCTGACGAAGTTATAGCGTCAAATTTATTGATTATTAATTCCCAGGCACAAACCATTTATGAAGGTGATGAATTGTACGAAAAACTAGCTTTGAAAAGTTTTAGTATCATGAAGAGATTGACTTCGTTCTTGTTTAAAAAAGGTGCCTTATCATTGAAACAAAAAAGTGGAAAAGAAGATGTACATTTGGCAATTACAAAGTTGAATGATAGATTTTTCCAAACTGACGATATCATTAGACTCTGTGATACAATTACACTTTGGTACATGAGATTAAGAGAGCAGGATTTGGAAGCTTGGAAAGATGAACCGGAAGAGTGGTTTAATCAAGAACTTTCTAGTAGCTGGGAATTTGACATTAGAGCTAGTGCCGAAAATTACTTTCAAGATTTGATTAAGTATTTCCCAAATCAGTTGACCGAATATCTACTTCGCAAAATAAGCAAGGAATTAAAGTCCGATGATGTACTCACTCAAGATGCTTTATTATGTAGTTTGCAATTGTCTTCTTATTCGATTGCGAATAACATTGACTTTAACACCGTGTTACAAGAGTCTTTGATTCCAAATTGTCACAATTCCAACATTCTTCAACGAAGAATATGTTTGGTTATATCTGAATGGGTAGGTGTACAATGTTCAAAAGAACTGAGAAAACTAATTTATGAAATGTTGTCACGTTTTATTCATTTGGGTGACATGGTGGTAAAGCTTTCCGCAGTAAGTTGCTTGAAATCATTAGTGGATGATTGGGATTTTGATAAACTAGATTTTGCCCCGTTTATTGAAAGTTTTTTACTGTCGTTACTCCGTTTGTTTGAAGAACTGACTACCACTGAATCAAAATTATTCGTAATGAATACTTTATCCCTGATAATCGAGAAATGCAATCCGATGATTGAACATGGTGTTTTGTTGAAAATTTTGCAGTTAATTCCACTGTATTGGGAGTCTAAAGATGATGGGTTCATATTGAAATCAGCAATATTAAGAATGTTCAAAAATTTAATTGTTTCAATGAATGAGGATTCATACCACGCGGTTCCACTTGCAACAGAATTAATAAGACTTACTTGCACACCAGAGTCTTCTTTATACTCGACTACTTCAGAAGATGGATATGAAGTTTGGTTAATTCTATTACAACATTTGCCCACCGATGTCAAAGATTCAGAAGTGAAAAATTTGTTTAAATTGGTACCCTCAGCACTTTTAAATTCCACCGAAATACTACCTACTATTTTATCGATTATTAGAAGCTATACTTTATACATGCCTGAGCTTTTTGTTCAGGACGCACCATTCGAGATATTAGCAAAGTATTTGAATGACATGAGAGATGACTCCTATGATATTTTTGTAATTTTAATGGAAATTTTGATAATAAATCCTGATGATCTGATTATAAGAAAAATGCATTTAAGTGGTTTACTAGAAAGTATGTTCAGATATGGCGTGAATGATGAGAACAGTTTAATCTTAACTAGTCGAATGTTCATATTATTTAGTCGATTAACAATGCTGTCATATTTTCGAGAAATGATCGATGAAGGGGTAGACGTTGCATTCTTTACCAAATGGGTAAAAAATCTTGAATATCAAAATAATGCTCGAGATAAGAAGATAAATTTGATTGGATTACTCAATCGTATCAAAAATTTGCCTCAAAACTTAAAATTAGATGTGATTAGAAAAACCTTATACTTTTTAGAGGAACACAACGAAGATAATTATGGAAGTTGTGAGCATTATAAAGGACATTACCTATATTCCGATATTGATGAATATTCATTTTTGGATTCTAATATTAAAGCACCTTATGAAAAAATAAGATATCAAAAATTAATGGATGATTTTGATTACGTTTGTTCAATAAATTTATTCCAATATTTGGGGAACTCAATAGGAGTCTTGAGAGAGACAATGACAACTCAAGATTTGAAAGTTTTGTTTTCATCAATGGATGAATATATAGTTGAGCATTTGAGTAAAATAGATAAGTTAAATCTGCGTTAATCACGTGATCAATTTTTTTTTTGTCATAGAAAAACAAAAGTGTTGCAAAAATAAATGTTACTTGTTTCACAACAAACCACATCAACAATTCATATGCCAAAATAACAAAATGACAGGTTCTGTCAAAGTGTTAGTCGATAACTTTGAGCAATTGAACAACCATATTAAGGACAGGAATGGTGAATTATCACAAACTGCAATTGGTTTAAGCAAATTGGAATTTCATAAAGTCAATTCAAATATACAACAATTGAATCAAAATACAGTTGCCACCAATAAAGATGTTTTAGCATTGAAAAACTGCATAGAAAAATTTATATTATTAATATACCTGGAGACTATTTTTGACAGTAGAATTAGTTGGATCTTAATTACATTATACGTCAATCCATTTATGAGGACTCATTTACTAAAAGAGATTAAATTACTTTGGCCAATTTATTTGAAAATTAGAATTGAAACAGAAGATGTTATATCGTTAAATAATTTGATTCATGATGCCTTGATCAATTCTCCATCGTTGAGCTGGTTGAGCTCTAGAGTGTTATTAAATTTGAGCGATGACAATACTTTATTCACAACAATCAAAAAACAGATTAATACAAAAGAAAATCTTGCATTGTTTGACCACATGATTAATTTAAATCGAAGCTTTTCAACAATTATGAATTTGATTCAATTATTTACAAAACTCGGACTAGAAAATATTTTTCTTCCAAATTGGACTGGGCCACAGATCAATTATATTCGATCAAGAAATCCTAATTTCAAAAATTTATTGCAATGTAGCATCAAGTCTAATTTTGAATCATTTAATGGAAAATGTTTAATTCAACCAATTGATTATCATTTACTTAATTTATGGATTTCTTCAGAAAATTCAATGATATGTCACTATATAAATTTAAAAGCATTTGATTCCTATAAAACCTTACCTCAAAATACAATTAAATTAAAATTTGTAACTACAGGTGAAAGAAAAACTAGATCCATGACTCAGCTGGTGGAAAATTATTTAAAATCATTTGCTGCTAGAACGTGTAATGGTGTTGATGTGGAAAATTTGACAATTGATGTTACGATTAGTGAAACCTTACATTACAATTGGATGATTAACTATTTGAAAACTTTTAAAAAATTTAAACAGCTGAAAATTACAGAAATTATTGAATCACCCGAGATTTCAAAAGTTCCTTCAACTCATGAAAAATTGAAAGTTTTTGAAGCTAGATCACGTAAACTGACATATAAAACAAAGAGAAGTAAAAGAAAAAGATTGGCAAGTGAATGGGATTTAACATCAGATATTGATTCAGTTGATGCTATTGTTGATTCTAGCGCAAAATCTACAAACTTTGTTGAAAATAAAAAAGCAGAATCTATTTCAGAACGTAATAGTGCTGGAGCTAACTATAATTTGAATTATGATTTGGAAACTCAAGATGATGTGGGACCAGAAGATACCTTTTTGAAAAAAGTGATGAACGAATCAATGTCAAAACCTTCAATTGTTAAACCTAAACATGTCATGAGTAGAGCAAAAACTGCACCAACAAATACCCCAACTAACAAGGTAACTACTGCTGCCGATATTTATGCTACTCCATCAATTACAAATATCGAAAATTCAACAATTATAGATAGTCAAGGTCTGGAAATAGTAAAAGCTCCAACGAGAAAGAAGAAACGAAGAGTTGGAAGAGCTACAACGGCATATGCTAGAACTTCCACACCAGTATATACTGAACCAACTGAATATATTAATAATACCACAGAAATGGTTAAGTTTGATGATCCAATAAATGTCATGGATGAAAGCTTGCAATTATTCAGATCAAATTTAATAAATAAGATGAAGATGGTTGAATTTCATTTTTTCAAAAAGCAAAATGATTTACAAATGGAAATGGAAGAAGAATTTGAAAAATTGCACCTGAAACAAAGAGCTAAATTAAAGGAACTTCAAGAATATTGTTCAAATGAATTAAATAAAATTAATATCCCAAAAATTTAAATATGGCTCTAGCAAATTGAGGTGGGTTATCAAGGTATAAATGATGACCTGCATTTTTTATAATTTTAAATGATGCTAAATTTTTGAGATGTTTTTCTCTAGATATTTTGTTTATTTCATTTGTCATCTCAAGACCTGCTTCATCATTCATCCAATCCTTGTCACCATATAACCATAGCGTAGGTAAGTTCATATCCACAAACTTTTGAGGACATCTATCTATAAGTGGTAATTTGGCCAATGCACCAACCGATAATATTCTTGTTATTGCATATTCTCCTGATCCCTTACCGTTAAATACCCTATAAATATAATCATGCATATTCTGAAAATTTTTTTCATTTTGATAATAAACATGAGCAAATCTATGTGTGGTCCATCTTGAAATCATTTTAGATTTCACAGGACCAGAATTTCTAATGATTGCAAATGGTGAATAATTATGTTCCCACATATAATCAAAAACTTTTCTTCCTCTTGATTTAGGTGCTTCTTCTATTGGTTTGCCTTCGACTATGTCTTCTTGATCCGCCAACATTTCTTGTTCTATTGAGATTTTTGGTTCAGTTTTGGAATTGTCCAATAATGAAAACTTACTCGTTTCAACTCCAACTGGACTTATAAGCACCAATTTGTCTATAATGTTTGATGTGAAGCCTTTGTTAGTTTGTTGGTTGTACTTTAGAGCGTAAGCGCAACTTAAATATCCCCCAAAACTATGACCCATTAATACAAACCTTTTAATATTTCTTTTTAGTCTCCATGTCTCTAACGAATCAATAAACCAATCCTCGACCTTGTAAATATCTGATTTTGTTTTAGCTGGCAATTGTGGAAATTTTGGTCTTGAACTTAGTCCAAAACCTAGCAAATCAATAGCATGTATCTTACAACCAGGTATAGAACTTAGTTGATCAAAGTTGTCTATAAATAAACCCAATGAAGCAGCATATCCATGTATCAACACAAATTCTTTACATACACTGGGATTAGGATCCTTTTCTAAATTTTCAATATATAGCTCATGAATGTATTGATTATTTCCAATATCTGTATTTATAATTGATGCTCTTCTTTTCCCATCGCTCTCAGGAAAGAATGATAATTGTGATAACAACCTACTTTCTATTTTTGCATCGTCATAGTCTGAACTCCAACTTTGCTTAAACCAATCCTTCCAACTTTGAGTCCATGTATACACTGGCTTTTGTCTACCGTCTTGAAATTCATTTATTTTTTTGGGTTTCTGTTGAGATCCAGTTGATGATGTGGTGGCGGTTGTGTCTGAAGATATAGCTGATGCTGATGAAGTTTGTAAACCTGGATTATTTCGAGATTGGTCTTGAGTTGTTGACATTCCTGTAAGCTTTTCACCTAGTCTATATTTGTCTATTGAAGTTGAAGAAGAAATAAGTGTGCTTTTTCAAGCTTATCATCTAGACTATCTGAATAATTTTAAATTCGGTGGAGATAAAATTATACTTCACGTCAAGCGAAGGAGATAAGAGATCTCGGAAAAATGAAAAAAAATTACCGTTAACCGTTTGATAAAATTATCTTTCCGAATAAATACCAAATAAGTTAGTCATGTTAGCATTCAACAAGACTTAATAATATAAATGCTCATGTTCTGCCCTGTTGTTGAAGTCACCTAATGAAAACCATAACGGTAAATACAATATCGACTTCACTAGTTTGTTACACTTCACTAGATGTTTTTCTCCATTTTGATTGAGAATGTTTCAACCAACTCCTGATGATTTTGATTTGTATAAAGAACCCTTTGTATTTAGTTCGATCTAATTACAGAGCACATACCAACACGAATTTAAACGATTGGTTTAAGCCTGATATTAAATTGGGCCAGCAATGAAATTTTGGTCGAAAATAATTGAATACGATGATTCCGTAGAGTATTATTAAGAGTTGCATTCGTTTAGTCTAAATTTGGGATTAACATTAGCAGGTCTCTCATTTGAACTTTTGCCAAAGATAAATGGAACGACTTTAGGTAGAGTATCTGCTCACATTTCCAATAGGGTCCGCGTCATATTCTTCCCAAAATGAATTTCTTTGATGATTCCGATAGTTTTAGTTCTTTCATCATGAGGTAGGTAAAAACAGTTGTCTTCAACGGTTCTCATAAGCTAGAAACAATATTCTTCAACGGTTCCCATAAGTTCCCCACTATATCAATTTATTAAGTTTTCTGATTTAACATTGTAAACTTACAAAATAAATGTATCTAATTCGTCTGCATTTAAGCACGTTTTGAAATTCCTCGATGAAATGTTCAAAACCCCAAAGCTTGACTAGATAAATGATTACGAATATCTCTCAAGCTAATATATTGATGTGGTGATCAATGGTGAATAAAATGATGAATATATAACGATTCAGTATTTTGAACTTGATCACACGAACTTTTTTTTTTTCTCTTACGCACTCAAATTCTATACACTCATTGAAATTTTCAATCATAAAGAAAATGAAAAAAAAAATTTAATCTTTTCATTTAATCAATCAGAAGATCATACAATTAATCAAGATGGTATGTACCAAGGAAAATGACTAGTTGATGGATATAAGATGGAATACTAACTTACAACTTAAAGGACACTAAAACCCCAGTTACTTTAGCCAAAGTTATCAAAGTATTAGGTAGAACCGGTTCAAGAGGTGGTGTTACTCAAGTTAGAGTTGAATTTTTAGAAGATTCAACCAGAACCATCGTCAGAAACGTCAAAGGTCCAGTTAGAGAAAATGACATTTTATGTTTAATGGAATCAGAAAGAGAAGCCAGAAGATTACGTTAATTTCATTCGATTTTATCAAAGCAACAAATTTTTATCATCAGTCAAACAATCAAAAATATGATGAAATCATCCCATGCATTTACACAACCAACCAACAACTAAAGAGGGGGAAACGAGAGATGAAAGAGGAGAAGAGGTAGAGTTTTCAATCACAATTTTCATGATGTGGGTTAATATTAGATAATTATTAACATTTTAATACATATCAAGTTATTTTAAAATATCATTGGGGCAAGAGCAGCTCTACGTCAGAATTTTTAATCACACAGCAGATGTAAAGACTGTTGCTTGTAGTGATTCTGTTGTAGTATTAACTCTCCACTTAAATTAACTAATTGAGTGAAAAGTCACGTGTGTAGATATACGGTACGGGCTGAACCCTGAAAGCTTGTTTTTTGACGCAAACTTGCACAACGAGACATTAAAATCTAAGACAAAACTTCAATCTCGTTTCATTTATTAACGCGACACTCATAAAACGACAATGTTACCAAAATGGAAAGGCTAAACTTGGAAATAAGAAACTAAGCTCATTTAAGTACAGTTGATTAATTCAATCAACTTCATAAGAATCAAACATCAATCACTACAAGTCAATCACTTACATACGGCGACTTTATACATTTCATATTAGTACGAATAGCAATTTTAAACATGTCTGATTTAGAAGATGATTTATTAGCTTTAGCAGGTGGAGAAGATTATGAATCTGAAGAAGAAATATCACTGTCAAAACGTAAAATAACGAGAGATTATTCAGAAGATGAAAATGAAGATGATACGGTATTAGCCAAACGGAGAAAAGTTGAGACTGATGATTACGATGATGGATCAGACGATGATAATGATGAAGAGGAAGAAGAGGAGTTAGTCAATCCATATCCCTTAGAAGGTAAATATAAAGACGAGCAAGATCGAGATGATTTGGAAGATATGGATGAAGTTAAAAGGGAACAAATTCTATTCGAAAGAGAGCAAGAAATGGATAGATATAATGAAAAGAAATATTTACAACAACGTATGAAATCTCAAAATCAACAAACTAAAAAATCTAGTGAAAAATTAAGAAGCTCAAGTCGTGTTAAAGCCGGAACTGGTAAATCGAATAAAGAAAACAAACTTAGTGAATTGAAAAAGCAAAGAGAAAAAGCTTCAAGAAGAAGAACTAGAAGAGAAGAAGAATATGATGATGGATCTGAAGAAGAGGATGAAGACGAAGAAGATGAAGAATCATTAGGTTCAGAAAATGACTACTTAGATGATGAAAATCAAGAAATATGGGGAGGTGTATCAAAATCAAGACATAAAAAACTGACAACTTTAGGAAAATTGGAAGATATAAATCGTATTAGAGTTGGTAGAAGTTTATTGGCTCAATATTGTTATCACTCAGGATTTGAAGATGCTGTTGTAGATACATATACCAAAGTTAATGTTGGTATGGATAGAGCAACTAGACAACCAATGTATAGGATGGTTAAAATAATAGAATCAAAATCTAGACCAGAAAAACCTTATAAAATTGGAAATTCAAAATATGATTTATATTTTTTAGTAAGTCAAAATAAAAATCAAAAAAAACCATTTCCAATGAATATGTTTTCAGATTCACCAATAACGAAAGAAGAATTAAATAAATATTTAATAGAATTAGATAAAACTGGAGAATCAATAGATTTTCTTGAGGATATTAATGAAAAACATAAACAGTTACAACAATTATTCAATAAAGGTCTTACAGATAAAGATATAAATGAAATGATTGCTAAAAAACAACAAATACAACAAGAAAAAGGAAATTATACAACTTATGATGCAGTAAAACAAAAGGCTAAATTAATGGATGAATTAAAAATCAATAAACAACAAGGTAATTTAGAAAATACTAAACATATAATTGAAGAAATCAAAAACATAGAAAATATATTAGATAATAAACCTGATTTACCACAAAATCAATCAAAAAAGCAAAATATATCAAAAGTAAATGAAAGAAATCGAAAATATAATTTAGATAATATAAGAAAAGCAGAAATAAAATTTAAATCAGATTTAAATAATTCAAATTTTGATTCTGGTGATCCTTTTTCAAGATTAAAAACAACAACAAGAATGTTCTATCAAGATTTAATAAATCAAGAAAATGAAAAAGCTTTAAAAAATTTAAATATGCAAGAATTAATTAATGAAAAATCAAAACAAGAAGCTAAAATTGCTGATTCTACTTATAGAGATTTAGGAGTATTGGATAAATTAATTAATTCAATTGATTTAGAAATTGAATTGTTTATATAAAGAATTGAATAAATATTTTTATTTTTTTTTTTAAATTCTGTTGAAATAGGATTGTTTATGAGACGGAACTTGTTCGTTATCGGTTTTGGTATGGACTTATTAATCAATTTACATCATCAATGTGAGAGGCTATTGGTCGTATCTTCAACAATACAATGTTAATTTATTTCCAAAGTCATGATTGTTTGATTTGATCAAAATTCAGAATAAAATGTTACTTCACGATCAATTTCTTATAAGATCAGTAGTCTAGATTGCTAAACAGCAAAGGTATGAACTTTGAAAAGGTAATACTTCTAACTCAAATATTCTATACTTTCATCTCATAAAATAATCTTACTTTAGCGTTTTTCTTTTAGACCAAATAGAGAATCCAAACTTGATGTCGAGTTGAATAAATTTTACATCTATAAAACAAAGGTCTCATACTCAAAATACTTTGACTTCCAAAAATTAAAGTATTCTACATTTCTATTTGAAGGACTTTAGACTATAATATTTGGATAATAATTGACCCTACAATAAAATTATTTACCATTGCCAAATTTGAATGGTATTTGAATCACAATTTATGCAGCTATGAGTCTCAAAATCAAATGCAAGACTTATGTAATTACGAACAATGTAGAAATCGATCTGAAACTCTTTTGTGTTACATAATGATCAATAACGGATTATCCCGAATCGATTGAAACGAGAAGTCGTTCCAATTACTGACCAAAATTGTAATGTACGAGTCGGGACTTTTTCATAATTCCGGAAAAAAAGAAAATCTAAAGATCAACGGCCGTTTCAGCAATTATTTTTTAACTTATTTTAAAGAAATCAATCAATCTAAATTTTTGTTGAGCAAGAAAAGTTCAAGTAAAAAAACTAAACACTCAAGACCAAAGACTAAACGTGGTAACTATCTTTTGCCATTAATTTTACCTCTAGGTGAACCACTTGACAACCATTTTTGTTAATTGGACTCGAAATTTAATTCTTAATTTGTATTATAGATTCTACATAGAAACGAGCTAAAAATTTTAAACAGACTTCCCTCCACAAAATACAAATCTAACTCAATATTTTAAACAATACATATCAACCATTACTATTCTAGTTGTCTATACTACATGAATAGAATGAGTAAGCCCAAGTAAATTGTGGTTCTTCTAATCATACCTACTCTTTTGAACTCAAGTATCAACAGAGTTCTTGCTGTATTTTTCTATATTAACCCTTAATAAGGGAGTGCTTTAACAAGAAAATATAGTAGAACTAAATTTGATCAGCGGTTAATTATTACTTGATTGGTATTAGATAATAGGATTGTACTTGTGTTAAGACTAATTACTAATAGAAAAAAAAAATTTTCAGGTAAAGGAAAAAAAAAAAAACTTTTTCTATTGTTAAAAGACTCACACTCATACTCATACCTTATATATATATTATAAGTATCATAGCTATATATATTTAAACAAGTATCACATCTCATACTCATAGCCATACATATTAGATATTTTATCAACAACATACATCAATCTAAATACTACTGTTAAGGAATCAATACAATATTTCATGTATAATAGAAATTAATTTTACCTAAAGTCAACAACTATATTAAATTCAAAGAGATCAAATAAGGAAAAATGAGTTTTCATCCAAATAATTATATAAATGGTTTAAATTTAGAATTTGATCCAATATCTTTATCAAATCCTGAAGATAATAATGACATTGCATCAATAGATGATGGATTTTTCTATAATGATTCAGATTTAACAAAACAAGAAGAATTACAACAACATCTTGAATTATTTAGTGAAGCAGCAATAAATGATTTTTATTCATTAATTGTTATGAATGATAATGTTATAATACCTAATAAACCTCAATTACAACATCAAGAAATCAAACAAGAAGAAATAGTGGAAAATGACTTGATATCTCCAAAAATCAAACAAGAAGAGCAATCACAACAATCATTACAAGATTATCATAATTCTTTAAATAATCAACAACAATTACCTTCATTTGTAAATAGCAACAGTGTCAATAATAAATCTACTGCTTCTACACCTTATTCAATAGCGACAACTTCTTCAACTTCACCAATTTATCAAATTAATAGTAATACTACTAATTCAACTTCACAACATCAAACACCACAAAATTCATTATCATCATCAGCAACACAAGCAGCAAATGATGATAAAAAAAAGAGAAATACAGCAGCATCAGCTAGATTTAGAATTAAAAAAAAATTAAAAGAACAAGAAATGGAAAAAAAATCAAAAGAATTAGAAGAAAAAGTTGAAATTTTAGAAAAAAAATTAAAAACTATAGAAATGGAAAATAAATGTTTAAAAAATATAATATTTCAACAAAATGAAAAAAAAAATAATGATTTATTAGAAACTATAAAACAAAAATCAATAATTAATAAAAATTCTTCCTCTTTTGAATTTACTGTATGATAATTAATTAATTTGATTATACAAATATTGTGAAATTGTATTTTTTCATTTGTCTTCAACATGCAAATGAATAATACTAATTTTTACATTTTGTTCAAAAGAAACCTAGCTTAATTTTCAATAAAAAGCAAAAAATTTAACGAAAACCAATGACAACTTCAAATCAAAGGGTCATTTTACTAATATGATGATTATAATAATGATGATTATGATTTTTTTTTTATTCAATTCGAGATCCAACTCTCGTAATATGGTGTTGGTATATTATTATTAATATTGAAAAGTTTCTCTAACTTTGTTCAATACGATTTGTTTTTTTATTTCAGTATTTAATTCGACGATTTAGTTTAGAATATTATAAAGTTTAATAGTTGATACAATGGCTTTTTCCATTAGCTTTGTTTATTAATAGAAAAAGTTTATTATTAGTTCCATAATTTAATAATATAAATGGATTCTTTTATTGTTTCTCCAAAAAAGTATTTAATCTGATATCGATAAACTCTTCAGCAACAACTAACTAGTAGTTAAACAAAATCTAGTTTAGAGGATCTAGATTCGAACTTAGGTCCTAATTACACTTATTGACGAGTAGGAAAAATTTGGTGCGAAATATCAGCAGAAAAAAAATTTTTGTTACACAAAAACAACCTAAGCACCATGTTTTTTAAAAGATTTGAACCTAAGACCTGGAATTCAAAATTTCAAGTAGGAAAAAGTTGGCGAGAAGTTGCAGCAGAAAAAATGTATTTTATTACACAAAAACAACCTAGGGGCTTTTAAAAGATTTGAACCCAAGATATGTAAGTTGAAAATTCAAGTAGGAAATATTTGGTGCGAAAATGCAGCAGAAAAAAAGTAATTTATTACACAAACTCTGGAATCTATACCGACCAATTTTTTTTCACGAAAGAGAGTTAATGATGTGGACAAGATTGAGAATATGATCGAAGTTATGTCTGTAGATACTACTCATTAAAATTAGAAAAGCTATTATGATTTTGAATTGAAGCTATAATAGAAATATTCATCATTTCTATATTTGCAATGTCCATTACCCTGATTTGATAAATAAATGACCAATTTGAAAAGTGAAGAGTTTGCTCATTGTATCTTCATGTAAAATTTAAATTTGCTAGTTTCTTGTAAATTGAAATTTATAATGAAATACTTCGAATAGTTACTGTTATATCATTGACTCATAGCAAGCTTGAAACATTATTTACAAACTTATTAATAAATTCTCACAACTATAAAGTTTTATTTCTATGCTTTCCATTCATTAATTTGAGTTCTTATTGATAATCAATTAAGCCTACGATAAAAGAACTTTTCATAGTTATCTCGAAGTCGTAGGATTTCCATCTCAGTCTGTGAATTGGTGAAAACTCCGTAAACAAATGGAATAGTTCTATTAACAGGTCTATCAGTTGATAAAGATTGAAAAGATGTATTCCATTTGCTAACACAGATTCCGCCAATTCATAAACTTAAATTTCTTTCAGTAGGATTTGCGCCTAGTAAAACCCAGCTGTGTAATTTCTTCGTTGGAGGTGATAACAATGCACTTCACTTGCAAGTCCAAATAGGAGTAATCTATACTCATAAAGTGGTTCGTACTTGGAGATGATTCTTCAAATTTCTCAAAAGTTCAAAGAATGAAAACAAGACATTGGAATCTTCATATGAACAGTTGAAAAATTGTGAAGAAACTTGAAATTTTTAATTGCAATCCAAGATGTTATTTTTGTACGTACTAACTTTCTGTGATTCCTTCTAATTGAATAAAATAGTCTCATCTTTTAAGCCAAATTTTCATTCTTATATAGGAATATAAACACACAAGGCATTATCGTGTTCCATAAACAAGAATCCTGAAATATAGCGTTCGACATCAATTGGAGTGCCCATATTCTTGTTGATAAAATATAATCAAATTATGAATACTTGAAGTCAACAGTATAAGATGGCTGAAAAAATATCATCGATGCTTATGTATTACCAACTATCGATCTCCACTTTGTTGAACCCCCGATAAATATTTTAGAATCTTAAGTCTCCAGTCTTGGATGAATGGTTGTAGATATACAAAAACTTTCTTAACATAACCAAGTGTGCAACATGATCCTATTCAGATACAAATATTATTCCACCACCTAATGGCAGGTATTTAGGATAGATATTTCTTTACAAAGATGTCCGTATTTCTCTTGTTTCTCGGAAATAGTGTGAGCTCGAGTTCCAATCCTAGTTCTTTTGACCTCTTATTTAACCAAACATTCATATCAGACCATACCGGTTCAGGGGTAATGTTAACATGTTTAAAAAATTATACAAAGTTCCAATTCGGATGGTATAACTATTTATGTGAAATAAATTTACAATTTTTGTGCCAGAAAAGCTTATTACACAAAAACAACAAAAGCTAGTAATATTATTATTATAATAGATACATATTATAAGAAAAGAATACATACTAAAAGCCTATTAATGAACTATTGTATGATCAATAAACATTACAAAGATAATACATACTTATTTAAAGATTTTCACAATTCATTTCAAAAAACCTCGTTTCAGAAGATCCATAATTGATTCCGATGGATTCAAATAATGAGAGGAAAGGCGACAATCAAAAGTTCCCGTTTCATGAATCTGTATTTAAAGATCCCTCAAAACATCATTTTTATGAAAAAGAAAGATCGATTTCTCCACAACATCAACAATCTAATGATAATATCACTAAAGATGTAGTTTCAACACAACAATTGAGTCAAGAACGATTGGAAAATAACTTAGATCAAGGTCAAAATCAGGAGATAAGTCAAGATAATAATCAAGCTATAGATCGACCTAAACCTTTTACTTTACAAAAAGTACAAGATAATGAAGGACCAGGATATAATGATCAAACTTCATCATATAAAAGTCTCGAAGAACAAATAGATTTGAGATTAGCCTCACTGAATAATCCGACTATAATTATGGAACTAGATCTAGACGGAAACGTTCGATATCTTTCTCAAAACTGGGAACATATAGTAGGAACTTCAATTAGAAAAATAGTGAATAAACCAATATCGAAAATCATAATTGGAAGTAACGATGATGATTATCAAGTATTTAAGAAGGCGATTGATTCTATGATTGTTGATGATGCAAGTTATAAAGTTAAATTTATTACGGGGACAAATCGTACAAAACAAGACATCCATGGAGAGGAAATTAAAGGAGATCTTGAGGACATTTTGGGAAGTCATGAGAATGCAAATTCAGATGGACAAATTACGCCAAATAATTCCGCTGAAAACCTCGAAGATTTGAGCTTACCAATTGAAGATTATGTTCCTCTGCATCAAACTGAAAATAATACTGATGTATCAAATACATTGGAGATTTTATCAAGAGCTAGTTCTATGTCTTCAAAGCTATCAAACGATGGAGATTTTATTGAATTGGAAACTCAAGGTATTCTTATACATGATACTCAAACACAATTGCCTACACATTCGATGTGGACAATTCGACCTTTTGTTCATATAGATTTGGACTTATCAATTCCTTTGACATTAATCGATCTTTTAGGATTTGGTTCTGAAATATTTGAAGGGTATCTAATGAATTTGAAAAATTTGGGAATAGTGTATGAAGAAAGTGTACCACAGCCAAAAACTATATTGTGTAGAATTTGTGAAAACAATATCCCTGCATGGTTTATTGAGAAACATTCTGATTTATGCATTATTGAACATCGAGCTGATGAACATTTACAACAGTGTCAAGACGCAATACTTGAACAAAGAGATTTAATAAATAAAATTATTGAAAGTTTAGAAATACAAGCTCAAATTCCTACATATCAACAGACTCAACAATTTTCATCGAATCACCAATCATCCCCTAGATCACTGTCACTGTCTCCAAGACTGATACTGCCTATAGCTTCATCACATCTGTCTATGTCTCTGAGTTCATCTGATGACGAAAATAATGCATCTTCACAATTGGTATATGAATATAAAGGAATTCCATTACCACAAGTATCTACTACTGAAAATTCATCACCAAGATTAGCAAATAAAGTTTTATCCAAAAATTTTCATGCAAGAAATAAAAGTTTAATGTACTCAAAAAAATTTCCATTCGGTACTTTGCAAAAGATAAAAGATTTATGTGATGAAGCATTATCAATAAATCCCCCATCAACAACCGAAACCAACTCTGACAAAATGAATTTTATATCATTTTCCCCAGGTTCAGAAAAATCTTTAAATTTTGTCATTAATCCTACACCAATTGAAACATCAGATTTAGCTATAAGGCAAATTGCAGAAGATACGAAAGCTTTGATTGATGAAAAATTGGAAATATTAACAAGATTAGCATCTGTTTTGCAATATCTGTCCAAAATCAAGAGAGAAGTTGATTTGTTGGTTCTTGAAACTGTTAGAGAAACGGTAGAAAAAATAAAAAATCAAACAGTTGCAAAGTTATCTAGAAGTTGTACCCCAGTTTCCGGTTTACAAGATCAAGTTAACCCTTTAGTGGATTCAAAAAATCACCAGAAAAGTCAAGATGAAAGTCAGAATAGTCTTAGTCAAACATCTAAACAAGAGGACAGCTTAAAACTCGTAGCGCCAAAACCATCTAGAAGTAAAAGTCCGATGGATTTATTAGCAGATGGAACTGGTGAGAATGCTTTAACTCCAAAGGATTTTTTGAGGAAAGAACCTTCGAATCAATCTGAAAATTCAAGCTCGTCATCAATAAAGAGCCCAAGATCCAGTTTTAATATGCTCAATAATCATCAACAACTTCCCCAAGAGCCCAATCGATCTTCGTCGAAAGAATTACTTGAAATTTATGATCACTCGGGAAAATCTTCAGGTAATAACTCCAACTATTCATCTCCTAGAAGGTATTTATCACCTGGTCCATATGAAAAAAATAATTTGACATCAATACAAAGAAGTAGTACCATAAAATCTTCACCGATATCATCACCAATGGTAGATGCTACTCAAAGCAATAATTTGCAGCATTCAGATAAACGAATCACGAGATTGTCATTGGATACTACTCAACAACAAACGAACGAAACCAAATCTCCATCACAGTCTCAATATACTCCGAACAGTCAGAAGAGTTCAATTAATCGACCTCCCTTATCTCCTTTACTTGTTTCAACTCAACAACCTTCATCTAAGACTACTACAATTAAAGATTATGAGGTCATTAAGCCTATTAGCAAGGGTGCATTTGGATCAGTATTTTTAGCTAAAAGAAAATTGACTGGTGATTATGTAGCCATCAAATGTTTACGTAAACGAGATATGATTGCAAAAAATCAAGTTTTGAATGTAAAGTCAGAAAGGGCAGTAATGATGAGACAATCAGATTCTCCTTATGTTGCACAATTATATTCCAGTTTTCAATCAAAAAATTATTTATATTTAGTAATGGAATATTTGAATGGAGGAGATTGTGGAAATTTAATTAAGGCATTAGGTACATTGGGTCCTGAATGGGCTGCGAAATATACTGCAGAAATAATAATTGGAGTAAATGATTTACATTTAAGAGGTATAATTCATCGAGATTTAAAACCTGACAACATATTGATAGATAAAAATGGTCATTTGAAATTAACTGATTTTGGATTGTCTAGGTTGGGAATTGTTGGTAGACAAACTAATCATAGAAAAAGTAGCACTAATGAACAAAGTGTTGAGTTATTTAGAAGCATATTTGGTGGAGTAGGAAGTGGAAGTGCTGGAGGTAGTGCTGAACGTGGAAGTAATAGTGGATCTGCTTCCGCAGGAGTTGGTTTAGCTAATGATGATCCTTACCAAAGAAGAAGGAAAGATTCAATTTCCTCAATCTTGTTATCACCAACTTTGGAGAATTCAAAATTAAATCAACAAAACTCAACACCAACAAATTCTCAACATTCAAATTCTCAACATTCAAATTCTCCAACTTTAGCATTTTTAGAAAGTTTTGGAAGTGCACCTTCAAATAAATTTAAAAGTGGAGCAAGATCAAATTCAAACAATCTTGAATCACCCTTACTAAAACCAATTATTCCTAGAACAGCATCAGAATCATCTTTCGCAATTGTTGACGATGAAAGTCCTCAAACCCCAATAAGTAATTATGCATTATATCATCCTAGAATGTCAGGTTCGAAAAAGTCTGGAAAAGATGAAGCTGAGTCAAGTGCCGATGGAGCAGAATTTAAAAGGTTCGTGGGTACACCTGACTATTTGGCTCCCGAAACTATTGAGGGTATTGGTCAAAGTGAAGCATCTGATTGGTGGTCAATAGGTTGTATCTTATTTGAGTTTTTATATGGATACCCACCTTTCCATGCTGATACACCCGAACAAGTGTTTGATAATATTCTTCTGGGTATTATACAATGGCCAGATCTACCAGTTGAAGAAGATCTACAATTTTGTTCACCAGAAGGTAAAGATTTGATTGAAAAGTTATTAAATTTAAATCCTGAACAAAGATTAGGTTCAAATGGAACAATTGAAATAATGCAACATCCGTTTTTTAATCATGTAAAGTGGGATACTATATTTGATGAGCCAGCCCCTTTTGTGCCTAATCAAGAAGATCCTGAACTGACTGACTATTTTGAATTGAGAGGGGCCGCCATGGCACAATTTCCGAGAGAAGATTCTTCATCAGATGACGAAAAAGAAATGAAAACAGCGAAGATGGTTGAAAGACGTGAATCGTTAAATTCTTTACAATTACCCCCATCATCAGGTTCTGGACAAGATTTAGGTCGAAAAGAACGACGTCCAAGCAGGTTAAGTGAACCTGGTGAATTTGGTTCTTTCCATTTCAGAAATTTATCAGTTTTGGAAAAACAAAATAAAGATGTCATTAATAGACTAAAATCTGAGCATTTGGAACATAGAAATAGTTTTTCTTCTTCTTCACTGGAGAGCACACCAAAATTAAGGTCAAGGGGGTTTTCTTTTGGTAATACTAATTCTGCCGTTTGTGGAGGTTCTAATGCTAATTTAGCTACACCAGGAACTGGCTCTGGTTCAGGTTCAGGTTCAGCTACGGGTTCAATAACTGGGTCTAGTCCATTCAAAAGACCTATTTCACCTCCTAATGTTAATTTCGGGTCACCATTGAATACGAATTTGAGATCATCATCTCCACATAGATCATATGAAAGTCCTATAATGCCTATTTCAAAACACGAAAGAATACCTTCAACTGTAAGTAATTATTCGCTGGGTGATGATTATAATCAAGAATCACCAAATGCATCAACTAATTTCTATCATCAAAGATCAACAAGTTCACCACATATGCAATTATCGTCAAAATCATCAAAGGGTTCAAATGTAAATCTGGTTTCAAATTCAAATGTCTCAAATTCTTTAATTTCGCAACAGCATAATCTTAAGGATTTTTGTTCTGGAAACTCCTCAGATTCTGATGATACGTCTAGATCAAATGCCTTATTGAGAGTACAAAGGCGAAGGGAAGGTTCAAGAATGTCAGATCCGTTGATGGTTTCGAATGAGCTAGATGTTTTATATTGTGAGCCAATATCAGCTGTTCGTCATCAAGTTGTTAAACTTTTGGAAAAATGTGATTGTATTGTGGTTTCAGTATCGGATGGTGAAGAATTGATTAAAAGAGCAACAAGTCAAGTAAAGTTTGACTTTATTATGACGGGATTAAGATTATCTAAAATCGATGCATTAGATGCTGTGAAATTGATAAAGTATACAACTGGTAAAAATTCAAATACTCCAATAATTGCGATTACTGGATTAGGTGAAGAAGCTAGAAAAGCCGGGTGTTTTGATTATGTCATTGAGAAACCAGTGACATTAAATGAAGTTAAAGAGTGTTTGAAGAAATTTTCCAATGATGAAGCCATTATTGACTAAATAAAGTGGTTACATGATTGGTGTTTGTAACGAATTAATGAATGTAACGACATATAGTAAAGCCAAACTTTAATTCTTTTTTAAATTTTACTTCGAATATTAGATTCGTTTCCTTGCTACTATATTCGCCCTCCTAACTACGTGACAACGACATAATGAATCATATTCTTAAGTAAGGCTAGAGCGAAAATAAGTCTTAATAAAATAATACATAAAAATGCGCGTTCTATACAATAATAGGATGAAACAGCTTAAAAATGAAACACAAAATTTCTGAAACAACTATTCAACAATAATCATGCCATCAACAGTATCAACATCCAACGAATGGGCCAAATCAGAGAGAGAGTTGGCTTTGGAACAGCAACTTCAAGAAAAAATAATCAATGAAGAATTCAAAATTTGGAAAAAATCAGTTCCATTATTATATGATTTTATTCATACATTTGCATTAGATTATCCGTCGACTGTATTTCAATGGCTTCCGACGTATAACCAGGTTGACGATGAGAAAGTAGAAGTCAAGTTCGTTTACAGTATTAATTCAATCAACAAAATAGAAAACAGTTTGAATGTGGCTTCAATCACATTACCATCATCAATTATTCAACCAATAGATTTAACATTACCATCTATTGGGATAAATACTTCGAATTTTAAGGTAAGCAGTAAATGGAAGCAAAATTCGGAGTCAAATACTATAGAAATATCACCAGATGGGAAAACAATTCTTTCATTCAATAGGGACGGGATAATACATGGTTATAATTTAGACAATGATAACGTTTTAGATTATAAATACCACAAACAAGTTGGATATACATTAAATTGGATAGATGATGAAAAATTTTTATCTGGATCAAATGATTCTCAAATTGCTTTATGGCAGCGTAACAAACCATCTACCCCAATACAATTATTCAAAACTCATCATGGAGCTGTCAACGGTATTTCTTCAAGTGATAAAAACATTTTTGGATCTGTTAGCGATGACTCAACAACTCAACTATTTGATCTTAGATCTTCAACTGACACGAACCCTATTATAAATGTTGAGAATAACTTTATACAGAATGCTATCAAATTTCATCCAAATATCAAAAATCTTTACGCAACAGGTGGGAAAGACAGTGTTATTAACTTGTATGACCTAAGAAATTACAAAACGCCATTTCGTAAATTATTCGGTCATAACGATTCCATAAAGCAAATCGAATGGGATTGGAATAATCCATCCACAATTGTATCAAGTGGTCTAGATTCTAGAATAATATTTTGGAATTTGGAGAATTTAGACGAAGATTTTACATACCCTGACACATCTGCAAGCAACGCTACAACCTCAACAAATAATGTTACAGAGACTAGAAGAAGGTATCAACAAGCAAACAAAATTGATCCATGTTTAAAGTACATCCATGGTGGGCATGTTGGCAGAATTAACGACTTTGCTATTCATCCTAAAATAAAGAATTTATTTGCTAGTGTTGGTGACGACAAATTATTGGAAATCTGGAAGCCTAAAACATTAAGTGTTGAGGAAGAAGAAGAACATGATGACGACGACGATGAGCCTGAACAAATTGAAGAGGAAATTGCAAAAGAAACTGCAGCTGCTCAAGAAGACATCGAAGTGGATGAAGAGGAGGAGGATAAAGACGAAGTGGGCGAGGAGGAAATAAATGATAAGGAAGAAAATGCTGAGGATATTAAATTAAATCAGTACGAGGTAAAAGAAGATGATGAATCAAATGAAAATGCAAAAAGTGAAATAGCTAATGGAGCTGGTATAGCAAAGAAAGAAGATATTGGAAAGGACCAAGGTGACGAGATAATTGCGACGGATGACGGTGATGTTGAGGTAAAAGAATAGAGTATAATGATAATTATAAGAATGTTTTCAGGTGCAAGATTACATGTTACTATTCTATATTTCAATATATAGTATTCAATAGCGCAATGTAGATACGGCTACTGTTTCAAAACATCTCTCAAATTTCCAAAAGGTAAAACGTTATCAATTCTTTCAACTCCACTCATAAGCATAGCTAATCGGTCTATTCCAATACCCCAGCCGCCTGTAGGGGGTAAACCCAAATTCATAACTTTTATATATTCCCAATCTGGTATTATCAGTTCCTTATCGCCATAATTGGCTTTGCCTTCTTGCTGTAATTTGAATTTTTTGTATTGTTCTTGAGGATCGTTCTCTTCTTCGTAGGCATTAACAAATTCTTTGCCGTTTATGAACAATTCGAATCGGTATGAGATTTTTTGACCCTTGACCAAATTTGATTTAGCTAATGGTGATAGTGTTTCTGGTTGATTACATATAAAAACTGGAATGTTTGGATGTTTGGTTATGCTAAGTGATTCAAGGAACAATTCACTAAGATTGTTGAGCAAACTTGTTGGGCTAATAATGTCTGGAATTGAAATATTATTTCGTCTATAAAATTCCATGATGTTTTCACTTGTTAGATCTGTTGGTAATGTGTCACCAAGAATGTTCTCTAAAGTCGGTATAAATTCATACTTCGGATAAGAATCCAAGCTACTAGCGTCTCCAAAACTAAATGCTTGAAAAACTTCTTTAAATAAGTCTTCTGTCATTTTCATTAATTCCTCTAAGCTTGTATAAGTTTTATAGAATTCACAAGATGTAAATTCTGGATTGTGAGTATTATCAATCCCTTCATTCCTGAAATTACTACCAATCTCGAATATTTTATCAAATCCACCAATAATTAATTTTTTCAACCATAATTCTGGAGCTACTCTCAATTGGATTTTTTGATCCTTGAAATTCGTTACAAAAGGATTAGCTGTCGCACCTGTTCCTTCATGACTTAGTATTGGAGTTGTTACTTCTAAGAAACCTCTCTTGATTAAAAATTGTCGTATAATTTGGATGATTTGTGATTTTATTATTATCGGTCTTTTGGACGATGGGTTGACGAGGTAATTCATAACTCTATTACTATTCATTAAACCTTTATCTTTTAGCTTGTTGGGAATATTTGTGAGGCATGGTGTCAAAATTTCAAGCGGTCTGTCCAATTTCAACGTTAATTCATTAGATTTAGTTCTTGAAGCAAATCCATTTCCGCTTACATAATCTCCAACTTTAAACCAATTATGCTTTTCATTAAATTCATCAATATTTAAGTTCATAAGTTTATTCGTCGCCATGATTTGAACTTCAACGTTATCCTGGGTAACATCTATGAAATATAATCCTTTTCCTGCTTTCCTTATACTACTAATACGTCCTTCCAAAACGTAAGATGTTTCACTTCTGTTCTTCTCAGACTCACTAAAAGTTACATTTTCAAAGTTACATCTAAATTGTGGAATTGAAATTATGGAAGAAGATTTATATTTTTGTCGTACATCGCTTATTGAAGGGTAGTAAGCTTTGATTTTATCGCTTTGAATGTATATTTTTCTGTTCTCATAAGTGTGATCTAGTTCTGTTTGGCATAACTCTGATTGAGCATTGAATCTTCTGAATATTAACAGCAGCTTGCTCTTGAAACTAAATTGTCTGAGCCGTATCATTTTCAACGATAATTCATTTGTAAAGTCTTTTAAGTAGATCTATAAATTGTTGCAAAATTATTCATACTTTTCAGTGACTGTCAATTTTATATTTTGGATCAAAACTTTCGCGACAAAAAAAACATTTAACACAAAACTGGATCAGTTAACAGATCAAGAGATTTGAATTAATTCTTCACAAGAATTAATCTCTGAAACATCCAAATATTGAAGTCTTGACTACTCAGGTCACTCGCACTCACAAAATATTGAAAATTTCATGAACAATATAGACACAAGTAATGCAATTTGAGGAGAGAGAAGATAAAGATGGGATTAGACTTTCATGGTCTTCAATACCGAGATCGAAAATACAACATCAAAGAAACGTTGTTCCACTAGCGTCACTATACACACCCTTGAATGATAAAAGCAAGGTTGAGCTTTTTGATTCCTCGTGTCTTATCACTTGTCGTACTTGCAGGTCTATTTTGAATCCTTTCGTACATGTGAATAATCAAATATGGACTTGTCAGTTTTGTAGTTATTCAAACCAACTAACAACAATCACAAACGAAGAAGGAGAAACAATCTTGCCGGTTGCATTGAATCCTCAATTTACGACAATAGAATATGAAACAGGAAGAATAAGTCAATTGCCTCCAATTTTCTTTTTCGTTGTAGATGTTTGTTTTGAAGGAGAAGATGTTGAAGTAGCTTTTTCACAGCTAAAGGAAAATTTAATTATTTCATTGAGCTTGTTGCCAGAAGATGCTCTAGTTGGATTTGTTTCATTCGGTAAGCATGTAAAACTATATGATCTAACATCTCACGATAATTTAAGTTATACGTTCAATGGAAGTAAGACCTATACTTTGGAACAAATTCAAGAGGCATTGGGGTTGTTAGGTGGTGGGCTAAATACAGCAGGCCCTCAAAAAAACCAAGGACAGAACAATATACTTAGTCACTCTGCCAGACGTTTTTTGCAGCCCGTTAATATGGTTGAATATGAATTAATCAATATTATTGAGAACTTAGTACCTAACGCTTTTTTGCATGACAATTTCAAGGAAAGACTTGACAGAGCCACAGGAAGTGCAATCAATGTTGCAACTTTGCTTTTGAAATCAATTTTTGGTGAAGGACATATTACTGGAGGTCATTTAATGGTATTTTTGTCAGGAGTTTGTACAATCGGACCGGGTAAAATTGTCGATAAGTTATTGAAAACACCTTTGAGATCACATCATGAAATTGTTAAATCACAATCATACATCAAAGCACCAATCACTTCATCCGCTTCAAATACAAAATCTGACATTGCATTGTTCAAAAGTGCTAAAAAATTTTATGGTGAGTTGACCAAAACTTTAATTTCATTAGGTTTGAGTTGTGATATATTTATTGGAAGTTATGATCAGGTTGGGTTTTTTGAAATGGAGGATCTATGTAGTAAAACCGGAGGTGTTGTGATTATGAGTGATTCTTTCAGTACTTCTATCTTCAAGCAAAGTTTTACTAAATTTTTTAAAAAACAAGATATAGAAGAGGGAAGTGAGGAATATCTTGATATGGCTTTCAATGCCAGTCTTGAAGTTAAAACTTCTTCGGATCTTAAAGTTGAAGGCTTGATTGGTAATGCAACAGCTTTACCTCTCAATAAATCAATACCATCAAATGAGAGAATGATTAGTGCTACAAAAGAAATAGGAGAGTCCAAAACAAATTGTTGGAAACTTTGTAGCGTAGACCCTCAATCAACTTATGCCATTTATTTCGAGAAATTAGACAGTTCATTATCCTCAAATTCTGCCTTCATACAATATTTATTCCATTATCAACATCCTGATGGAAAAATGAGGCTACGAGTTACAACAGTACCGATAAATGTTATACCTGATTCTGACAACGTCCAATTAGAATCAGGGTTTGATCAAGAAGCAGCATTGGTTTTGATAGCTAGGGAAGCAATGCGAAAAGTACAGACTGACTCGCATTTGAAATTCATATCTAGTGAAGCGATCATCAAACAATTAGATCAAACTTTAATAGAATTTTGCACTAGATTCGCAGTGTACAATATTGGTGTCATGGAATCCTTCAGGTTATCAATCTCATATTCCTTGTTTCCGCAATTTTTATATCATTTAAGAAGATCACCATTTATTAATGTTTTCAATAGTTCACCAGATGAAACTAGTTATGTTAGACACATATTTATGCATGAAGACTTGGCAAACTCTTTATTAATGATTCAACCTACTTTATTATCATATGATATAAATACGTGGAATTCTGATTTAGATGAGTCTGATCCAGATGGAAACACGATAAATGAGCCTGAGCCGGTATTATTGGATTCAATGAGTTTAGGTAGAAGCAAAATATTATTACTTGATACTTTTTTTCAGATTTTGATTTATCATGGCTCTCAAATTGCCGAATGGAGAAAAGCTGAATACCACGAGCAAAAAGAATACGAATATTTCAAGACTTTTTTGGAAGCTCCAAAGGCAGAAGCAATTTCGTTACTCATGAATAGATTTCCTTTACCACGATTTATAGATTGTGATGAAGGTGGGTCTCAAGCAAGGTTTTTAATGGCAAAATTAAATCCTAGCACAAGCTATGCAACCAACGTAAATCATTTTTACGGGATTGGTGATAGATCCGATGTGTTCACAGATGACATTAGTCTACAGCTGTTTATGGACCATATTCAAAGAGTAGTTACTTCCAAAAAATAATTTCAAATATCTAGCATTAAGTCATTACATTTTGTATTTTCATAAATATATTAAAAATTTTGCATCATTAAACAGTACATTCCATTACTCTTTAGCATTGCTAACGGATTGTTTCCAAAACCGACTTCGAGTAATTCTGTGTTTTGTTGATGCGTCTCCTCTTAAGTCATCTTCGATATCGGATAATCCATCTATTTCAATATTATCAACAGCTCTTAATGCTTCTTTTTTTAAAGTATAGTTTACGCTATTGTCACAAGTTAAATGTTCTTTCACTTGGCCAATTAGTTCTCCGTATTCATCAAAAAGTAATTCTGAACCTATAAGTTCGTTCCACTCAGTCTCAAATATTTTTTCATTGAACAAAGCAGAATAATCTATCAATGAGTTTTTTTTGTTTCCATTTTCAAAGTCGCCATTAAAGCTAGGCTCATTAACACCTAAATTATTGGAAATTTTAATCAATGGATGCTCTTGAATTAAGTCTGTCATTTGTAATTTCGCAGATGGCTTTAATATGTTTGCTTTTGATCTTGGTGGTCTCTTATGTCTTGATTTAGCTGCACCTTCATCATCGTCTACTTTCTTTATCACATTAGGTAGATCAAGGGTAATGTAAAAAGTCTAAAAAACAAAGCGTATATTGTTAGTACAAAACAAAACATTCTATAAGAAAAAATTTCAGACTCAGTAGATATACCTCGTCACTCTATAGTTGTTCTATGAGTCGAAATACATTATGCATTACGTACCTCGTATTCATCATCTTTTACATCCGTAACATTTCCTGTTGCAAAATTTGTTATTGGTTTTTCATTATATGAGCTTGATTCCGAATTTTCAACATTTTCTGCTTCCTTTGCAACTTCTTCTTTCTTTCTTCTCGCTATATCCTCGGCTGATCCTGCTTCTACACCAATTGTAAAATCCCAATTCATTTCTTCTCCCTTTGTCAAAAATTCGCAATTACCATTCATTGTCAATTTCCAACTGATATTATCTTTCATACCAACACGAGCATATTTTGAAAGTGAACAAGCACCAGCTCTTAACATATCTTTATCCTCATTAACAGGTGTTGTTACCGATTCTAACTTTAATAAAGCGCTTCCTAAGGCAATTTTCGTAGCAGCATGAGTTATTAATAATATGTTTTCAATTTCAGGGTAGTGCTCTTCAAAAAAGGGGATAAATTTGTTCCAGAATAATTCCGCTCTTTGTAATATTTCTTCGTTTGTTTCACCTTCAACATTTGGAATCACCCCTAACCTATCTCTTGGCCATTGTTCTTCATTCACCAAAACGTCAGGAAAAAACCTTATCAAATCCACATAATTAGCAGGTTTTGGAACAATCTTTCTATCTTTTTTGAACCATTCTCCAATACCTCTTTCCAACCCAATCTTTAAATTCAATAATTGTGCAATCGGTTGAGCTGTTTCAACGCATCTATAAAATGGTGAAGTTAATATGAATTGAGGTTTATCATTCGTTGGTAATGAGGTTAAATACGCTGCTAATTGTTTCGCTTGTTCTACTCCATGTGGTGCTAATGGTGGATCTGAGTTTATACCAGTAGGATTTGGAGGATGCGGTGGAGGTAACCAATTTGATCTATAGCCATGTCTCGCTATGTATATCTCCTTGATTGTCATTGTAGCTGAATCTAAAGGACGTCAGTTTTGGATGATTCGGTGGTAATGAGTATGTATAATAAGGATATAAAATAATAAAACTGCATTATTTTTTTGTTTATTGTGTTACTTAGATTATTTTTAGATATTGTGGTAGAGATCTTAGATAGGTAGAGACAACAATCAGGGCCTGGATTTGAAAGTTTGAAAACGTAATGTAGCTGGGCATATCTCCTCTTCTTTGTGGTAGATTTAACCGCTAGGTGTATCATTCAGCAAATGGTGTAGTTTTTATATTGGTGTTAGCCCTACCTTTCAATTGCTGGAATGTTAATGTAAAGTATATACTGTATAGTTTTTCTTTTCAAATTGCGTACAAAAATCTGGACTAATTTGAAGTACTCAACTAGATACATTTTTACTCAATCATGTATCTACTCAATTCCAAATCGACCTTTCGCAGATAAACTACTTTCAAAGAAATGGTTAGCCTTTATTACTATACACTTTTAATTCTTCATTATTTTCTATGCATTAGATCATTAACTAAAATCGTAATATTTTCCAGCATAAGCTTCTCACTGCTCATTAATATTTGTCAATAACTGAGCAAGACATCTCTTAGTAGCTACATCATCCAGTAAAACCGCAGAAAAAGTACCATCTCGTAGTGTTTCGGGTAAGATATTTGATAAAGCTTTTCTTGCTTCTAAGTTATCACTCAATCTCATATAACATCTTACAACATGTTTTAATAATCTTCCAGAGCTATTTGATGAGGTTGGTTGTTGCTGTTGGGGTATTTGTTGTTGACTAGATTGCTTTATCCCTACATTTAATTGATCAATCATCTTTGATAAAACAGAGGCGACTGTATGAAACCTTTCAAAAGTTGTACATACATAATTCAATCCTTGATCATCAAGTAAGATTTTTTGCAATATAAATATAGCAACTGTCTTGGACAATTCTGAGGATATTTCCATGATATTGAGACATAATGGAACAATTTCTGTAGTTAAAAGAAAATTTATAACCTCAGGAGTGTCATTTTTTACCAATGCACCTATGACTCCTAGACTTGTGAGTCTAAGGTATTCGAATGATCTTTGTCTTGCATTTGTTGATAAAAATGGATATAAGTACAATGGTAAATTAGCATTCAAAAATAGACCTCTAGTTTGAACATTTGATGCAACACACTGTAATAAAGCTAATGCGTTACAGACTCTATTCGAAGTTGAAGCACTCAAATTGGGTGGTTCCAAGTATGGGTAAACACTTATGATTTCTTCTAGTAAAACTGTTATTACACCAAATGAATTCCAAAGTACCAATGCTAAATCGTCATACTGTTCTCTTTTTTTACCTAATTCTAATAAGGCTTTCTCCCTGTTCGTCCCTGAAACTAACTCTGTTATCCATTGGTATATTTGCTCATCGTTTAACGCTTTACTATCTGAGATTTTGAATTGGTCTTGATATAAATGTGGTTGTTGTAACATTTCTTGAGGTTGTTGTGGTTGCTGTGGTTGCTGAGGTTGCTGAGGTTGCTGAGGTTGTGTGGCGAACATTGTAGATGAAGGAATTGGGGCTATCTTATATTAATATCCATAAGCTCTAATAACTCGAGAAATTAAAATTCATAATATAATTATTCCTGACTTTTTCATTTACATCGCGATTTGCACTGGTATATTGATGGAATCAATAAGAATTAATAACACACTAATCAATGCTTCATCTAGTTAGTGAAATACGTAGTTATACTTTAAATCAATTAGACCTTCTAGAGAATGATAGTGTCTTTGAAGTTTTTAATACAGAGATAGCTTGGGAATTGGGTCAATATGGAAGAAAAAGATGTATTAAAGAATTTCCAAGAAGAAATATAGTAGTAGATATTGCATTGGTAGGAGGTCATACGCTATTCCATACGGCCATTGGAAATGATACAAATTATGACAATGATCAATGGATTAAAAGAAAATCAAACACCGTGTTCAGATTTGGTAGATCTAGTTTCTACATGGGTCAGAAATTAAGGATTAAAAACATGTCTATCGAAGAAGCTTTGTTTGTTTCCCCGAATGAATTTGCGACACATGGAGGAAGTATTCCAATAAAAGTTGCAAGTTGTTCGAGTCTCATTGGAGCTTTCACAATATCAGGTTTGGCCCAGGAAGAAGATCATTTGTTAGCGTTAGATATAGTGCAAACCTTTCTTAAGTCCAAAGTAATATGAAAATTCTGACTGTGTAAGTAAATTGTCTATTGAAATAATACGTTCTTATTCACCCGTCCTGTTTTCTCCTTCCCGTCAAATAGTAAGTATTAGCCTAATGAAAAGGTGCTGTCGGTGAAAAAAAATTTTAATATATCAAACTGTCGTGGTGATTTTTTCGATCAAAAATTTTTTTTAAGTTTAGAGTAACTATAGGATAACGTTTGAAAGATCATGTCGATGTTTCTAAGATCAGCTTGGCTTCTGGTCATACCGACTCCACTAAATGCCCTTATACAAATACGTACAGCCACCAAAAGAGTATCGGGCTCTAAAACGAGTAATAAGGATTCAGCAGGTAGAAGACTTGGTCCAAAAGTAAATGAAGGTCATTTTGTTAAGCCAGGTCAGATTATAATGAGACAAAGAGGTACTAGGATTCACCCTGGGGATAATGTCAAAATTGGTGTGGATCATACAATTTATGCGATTGAACCAGGATATATTAGATTTTACTATGATCCTTTCCATCCCACGAGAAAATATGTTGGAGTATCATTAAAGAAAGATATGAAACTACCAAAAGATCATTTTGAACCCCGATTGAGACGATTTGGGTATAAACAAATCTTAAATAAAAAGAAAGCAAGTGAAGAAGAAGAATCAATGTCACGAAAAGAATTACAATCACAGCCATTTTTGAAAAAACAAGAAAGAAGAAATTTGCTTCATCGTAGCCGAAGTATGAACACTTATAATGAAAAAATTGCTGATTTTAAATTGGAAACAGATCCAAATTTGACATCGGAAAGATTATTTGAAATATCACAGTTAGTCTCTAATTATGGTTTAACGAAAGCTAGAGAACAAGTTACATATAATAAACTTTACGATTTCAGACTTCAATATAGACTTGGCAAACTTTCTAAAGAGCAATTTGATTCAGCTAAATTAGAGTATAGGAAACTTGCTGACGAGGTTGATTCTAAGATCGGAGTGTGTCCTCAAGGTAAATTGTTCAATGTTGAAACATTACCATCAAAGATACAACTAACCGAACAATTAAAGGAATTGTTTCAATCACAAGCAATCACCAAAGAATACAGAATAAAAGCGAATGAAATTATACAGACTCCTGGAGTTTTTAATAGAGCAGAGCAGGAGAAATTAACGAAACAATATATTCCTAATATTTTACCATTGAACGTACCAGGATCAGTCGTGACGAACATTGATACGAAAAATGTACCCACAAATTTGAAGATTCAAAAAATATTTGATGAAGCAACTCGAAAAGTTTCAATAATCGGACGCCCTAATGCGGTTTTCAGTTGAAGACTATCTTACATTCCTATTTTATGTTAAATAGCTAAGAATACTGTAAATATATACTTTCTACCTTGACTCTTACATTTTAACTTGAATGAGAAACCTGTGTGTTTTTTTTCGAGCCCTCGTTGGATGCATTGACTGACATCAATACTCTTATTCCACAGAAGCTGGAACAACTTACTGTAAATAGCTATATCACAGAACAATAAATATATATGTCGTGTGGACTGCCAAGTAATCTAAACTACAGACTTTGTGATGAAGTTCTTTCAAGCTAAACTTGTTGTTCATTCAATTTTCACTTTATAAAAGTTAACTACATTTTCAACTAAATCTGGATCTTTACACAAATTCCATAGATGCAGATGTCTCAGATTCCTTAATAAGCTATATGAAGATATTTACTAACTTCCTCCGGTATTCTTCAATCGGATAGAAACTGTTCGCCACTTTTTATATTATGATAACTTTCCTGATTATTTGTTTCTTGGAAAATCTAACCATTCTGTGTCCAATCTCATTACCTTCAAAATCAATGATTCTCTTGATATTCTACATTACTTAATTAGTTTGTTAAGCTTCTTGTTTGGTATGCTTCTTTTTTGATATGCCTATTTTTGCTTCTTTTTTGATATGGCTATTTTTTGATATGGCTATTTTTTGATATGGCTATTTTTTGATATGCTTCTTGTTTGATATGCTATTTCTGCTTCTTTTTTGATATGCTTCATTTTTGATATGCTTCTTGTTTGATATGCCTATTTTTTGATATGCCTATTTTTTGATATGCCTATTTTTTGATATGGCTATTTTTTGATATGCTTCTTGTTTGATATGCTATTTCTGCTTCTTTTTTGATATGCTTCTTGTTTGTTATGCTTCTTTTTTGTTATGCCGATTGTTTGTTATGCTTCTTGTTTGTTATGCCTATTGTTTATGCTTTTTTTTGATTATGGTACTCATAGTTTTATGTTGTTAAAGTATGCTATTATTATGCTAAAGCTACGTTGAATTGATACGCAAAAACCAAGGAATTTTATATGCAAAAAATGCGTTGCTCATAATGCACAAGTTCAACCTTTACCCTCACACTCACTAAGAATCAGAGCCGATTTGCAGGTATACTGACAAAGCAATCACGTAGGCGCTTGTATCTATTATTGATAATTTTAGATGCTGCTGAAATTGCTCGTTATATATGAATTATTTCAAAAATCTTGACATGGTGTTACTTAAACAAGACTGATCTTCGAGTTAATTCTTCCACTAGGTTTGTTGATCCAAATGCTTAGGAATGCGTTAGGAATCTTACATTCAATTCTTCATATAATATAACCTGAACATATGTCGGTAAAAAGAAAAAACAGTCAATGAAAAAATATGAAACGAAAGATAGGACACGCAAATTTTTATAAAACAAAAACACTTTTCAACAAGTTAAAAGACAAATCAGTATTAGCTGACTTATTTTTAAAAGTATAGGCCTCAATTACATCAACGACTAAGTTATTCATTACATCCTACTCAATTTGAACTTTTAGATCATCATTCACGCTTTATTTTATCAGATCATCTACATTTACTTACATCAACTATGCCAATTGACTGGTCATTTGATAATATAGAATCTAACCCGATATATTTCAACTACAAAAGAATATCGAATACATATCAGAAGTTAATTGATGAACTGGTGCCGTATACAGCATACAGGTGGTATGGATTTGGTGCATTGATAGTAATATTTTTACTTCGAATTTTCTTATCGCAAGGCTGGTATATAATTTGCTACGCTTTAGGGATTTACTTGTTAAACTTATTTTTGGCCTTCCTTACTCCCAAATTTGATCCCTCGTTAGAACAAGAAATGAAAAATGAATCAATCGAAGAAGGTAATGTGCCTGAAGATATAAATACAAATGAAGCTTCAAGTAATGAAAACGATGAAGAATTTAGACCATTCATAAGACGATTACCCGAATTCAAATTTTGGTATAATGCGACAAGAGCCACTGCCTTGAGTACAGTTTTAACATTCTTCACAATCTTTGACATACCAGTGTTCTGGCCAATTTTATTAATGTACTTCATCATTTTATTCACGTTGACTATGAGGAAACAAATACAACACATGATAAAGTACAAGTATTTACCATTTGATTTAGGCAAGACTAAATATAGAAAATAAATTTGTATTTAGCTTCATGAAATTTAAAATTGATCCTAAATTTACCCACATTATCTACAATGTACGTGTTAATTTTTCATATCTTCTTACCTCTTAATAGCTCAAGGAATGCAGTCTTCTCAACTCTAAGATGCAGAACTAAAATCTAAAATTCAAAAACCACATCGAGCGACTCCAACCAAAATCTCACCAATTTTTAAACTTTCCGCCCGTGATCATACAATTTAAAATATTACCCCTAAAAAGATAATTATCGAGAGAATTACTCGAAAGAAAAAATCGGAATTCTCGCGTTGAATAATTGTTCAATTACTCAAGAATATCTTATCAGCCTATTTCATCATACACCCTCATCAATTAAGACAACAATAGGTCCAAAGAACTGACAAATTCAGATATGAGCCGTGCTGAGGTAGATTTACAAAGTAGTGTTAAAAAGGCTTGCAATAGTGATGAAGTTCCTCCAAAAAGAAAACATGTCAGGGCTTGTATAGTTTATACCTGGGATCATAAGAATTCTAGAGCATTTTGGAACGCCGTCAAAGTGCAACCACTTCAAAGTAATGAGATTCAATTGTTCAAGGCATTGATAATGATTCATAAAGTTTTACAAGAAGGTCACCCAAATACACTCAAAGATGCCTATAGAAACAGAGACTTTATTTCATCATTAGCGACTGTGTTTCCAACACATGGACTGGCTTATGGCAGACTAATCAATCAATATGATAGATATTTATTACAAAAATTAGACTTTCATCGCAATAACCCTGGTTTTAATGGTACTTTTGAATATGAAGAATATCTATCTTTAAGAGCAGTTAATGATCCTAATGAAGGCTACGAATCGTTATTACAGTTAATGGACTTACAAGACCTGATTAATGACTTGCAAAAGCTCATATTTGCCACTGTTCACAGAAGTCATAGCAATTTGTGTAAGGTCAGTGCATTAGTTCCTTTAATTTCAGAATCTTATGGAATTTACAAGTTTTGTATTTCAATGCTCAGGGCCATGTATCAACAATTAGGGGCTGATGACGCTTTACAAGGTTTATTTGATAGGTTTGAGTCGCAACATTTTATGTTAAGAGATTTTTATACTGATTGTCAATCCATCAAATTTTTAACAAGTTTAATCACTATTCCAAGGCTTCCAAATAATGCACCAGACTTACAGGTTACTGATGAGGGTGAAAGATTACCTCCAAGACCAAGAGAATCAAATGAAACTACCCCTCAACTATCTTCACAACCAACATCAAACATTGATACATCATCTGTGGCTCCATCTATTGAACAGATTAACACACAACAAACTGGCTACCTTTTTCAACAACAAAGAGAGCAGGAAAGGATACAAAATAAACTTGAGCTTCAACGTCAACAGCAATTGCAACAACAACAAGAACAGCAACTTAGGTTTGAACAACAACAAAAAGATCAAGAAAGAAAATTCCTTGAAGAGCAACAAGCACTTCAAATGCAACAAACTCAACATCAACAAGGTAGAGTTGCAGAGCTCGAGCACGACTTACTTTTATTCAAGAACCAGTACGACAATGATCAAAATTTATTACAACAATATGATTCAAGAGTCAAATCTTTGGAAAACGAAATGGCAGCATTCAACAACACTGCGTTACAACAAATTTCTTCAAAAGATGATCAAATTAAAAATTTGGAAGAGCAAATCGCAAATTGGACAAAAAAATACGAATCACTTGCAAAATTGTATTCACAATTACGCCAGGAACATTTGAATTTATTAGCTAAATTTAAAAAGATTCAACAAAAGATAAGTAGTGCTCAAGAGTCAATAATGAAGAAAGAAAAACTTGAGAAGGATTTGAAAGCCAAGAATGTTGAATTAGCTGACTTGATTAGGGAAAGAGATAGAGCCAGACTTGATTTAGACCGTGTGAAAGCTGGAAAAGATCAAGAAATAGAAAAATTAGAAATGGAAGTGAGAGAGTTGAATTTATCGGCCAAAGAATCAGGAAAACTTCAAAATTTAAATTTAAGCTCAATTATGTCCAAGCATGAAAAAGAATTGAATAATTTAAAAAATCAATTGGATGAAAGAAATGCTAAAGCAAATGCCTTAGGTGATGCAGAATCATTAAAGTTGAAGTTGAAAGATAAAGAAACCGAATTAGAAATTGCAAACCAATCACTTGACGCAGCTTATGATGAATTAAGTCGATTCAAACAAGATCAAGATGAGATTGTAAATGCTGAGATAGATCATATTATCATGACTCATCTAGCTAAATTCAAAAACTTGATAGATTTGTTTTTAGATAACAACATTCTCCGTATTAATGACTTTAAACATGAATTCACATTGACAAGCCAACTGGTTGTTTCCAATTCCTCCCCAGAGTATTTATTGTCAGTTATAGAACTTTGCTCAGACACTGCAACTGATTTTGCGTCAACGTTCAATGGATATATAGCGGAGGATAATAATCAAGAAGAAGCCACTTTTTCAGAAATTATATTAAATTGTTCTTCTTTAACATCATATATTAATGACTTGGCTATTAGTGCTAAAAGTATTGCTCAAAGTTCATCAAAAGTTCAAGAAGATTTAATCATAAAATTAGTAGCTGATGTTTTTAAGAACGTAGAAAGTTACTATGAAGGATTGAAATCTGAAAACTTGAATAAAATGGGAGACACGGATGATAAAATCGATCTGATTATTGACTTAAATCTTGAATTGCAAGGGTCCTTAAAGGACTTATCAACAGAAATTGACTCAATAAAAGGTTCAAATGGTATTAAATTTAGTGGAGATTTGGGAAGTTTTGTTGATAATGAAATGCAACAAACTGTGGATGCTGTTACTTCAGCCTCTAAATTTTTGAGTGACTTGTTAAAAAATCCAAATATATATGGAGGCAATATTGAAATACATGAAACTCTTTTATCATGTGCAAAATTAATCACGGATGCTGTTGGTCGTTTGATCCATGCTTCCGTCGAATCTCAACGTGAAATTGTTGAAAAAGGAAAAGGTTCACAATCCAAAACAGATTTTTATAAGAAAAACAGTCGTTGGACTGAAGGTCTTATTAGTGCCTCAAAAGCTGTTGCTGGATCCACCAATATACTTATTCAAACTTCCGATGGTGTATTAAAAGGTAAAAATTCACACGAAGAATTAATAGTAGCATCAAATGAAGTTGCTGCATCTACTGCTCAATTAGTTGCTGCATCAAGAGTGAAAGCGAATTTCATGTCAAAATCTCAAGATAACCTAGAAACCGCATCATCAGAAGTTACAAGAGCTTGTAAGAGTTTGGTTAATAAAGTGCAAAGCTTGTTGAGTAAGGATGAACAATACAATAATGATATTGATTTGAGTAAGTTGACACCCTATGAAGGTAAAACACTCGAAATGGAGCAACAAGTGGAAATTTTGAAACTTGAAAATAAATTAAATGTCGCTAGAAAAAGGTTGGGTGAGATTAGAAAACATGGATATATGGACGATCATAGTGATGCAGAATGAAATATTTTTTAGATGTATAGAATGATGAGTACTTAACTCAAAATCAAAGCTTATTTCAACATGAAATGAACTGACTCTCAGTCACGCTTCAACGTAATAGTAACTCTCACAGAGGATAATTTTGATCGAATTTATTCGAAATGAGTTCGACTTTCATGAGCCAGATATAACTTATTATTCTTTAATTTGTACCTTGTTTTTTCAATTTATTGGTGTATCACCATAAATTCTTTATCTAAATATTATGCTAAATACATTTTTAAATAGTGCACAAACTAAAAGGATGTTTAGATATTTGGAAAGTATAATAAATAGTCTATCCGATCTTATAGGTGGAAAAAAACTTGACGAGGTTATACTTTCAAGTTGTAAAGCATTTAAGTCTAAGTAGTAGGAGTGTTTGAAAATTAGCCGCACAAAAATATTCAAGATCGCTGCACTAGAACTAATTAATATTAGTAAAAACTGCCCTTAACTTGTTCAATAAATCCACATTACTCATACAAATATCATTTAAAAAATTGTGAGTAATAAGACACAACTATTTTCACAATGTTTTATGAGTTTAAGAAAATCTTGATTTGCTTAACTATGAGCGTACGCCAGCTGAAATTAAGTTGCACAAAAATATTCATGAGCGTACGCTAGCTGAAATGTAATGGTGGACCGTTTTAATTTATCCGGTACTACCAACAAAACAACTACTTCACTAGAGAAAAAAAGGCGTATACTGCTATACCGTTAGATTTTGTTATTTTACCATCAACTTAGTTTTGGGACTAGAAAAAATCAACTAAACTTGTTCAAACAAATTGTGTTCGATCTTTTCCTTAACTATGGTGATTCACTGGATGTTGCCCATAGTTAAGAGTACAAATTTTTAAGGTAGGGGTGTTTGCCACATTCACTAAGATTTGTAGAAAAATACAAGTGATTCAGGCCCTGCAAACTGAACTGACTGTGCATGAATAATGATACTTGTTGGTCATCCAAATGAGAACACAACTGGTTGTCGGCATATACCAACATAGATGATAGAAGATTTTTTTATTTTTTTTTTTTAATTAAAGCTAGGTTGGTGGCGGCTCAAGGTAACGAATTATTGGAACTGATATAGTAAAACTTTTTCATCGGTAATCAGATCCAAGATAAAATTGCCTAAGTTACTGGTAATATTTGTCAAATGGATGTATCAATATCTTAAGGTACTTTAAATCAAGAAAGATATATAGTAGCTGCACCAAGATTATATATTGAAGGCAAAATATATAAGTCAGTGATGAATGGATTTCAGCAAGTTTCAAATGATTGGATTTGGGCTAATAATCGACGGTTCATTGAAGATGGACAATTGGGTTAGTAGGAAAGCTAACGTTATTAGTAGAAGGTAGTACATATCATGGCTTACGTTTTGTTGATGATCTACTAATAACTGGCAATGACGAGCACGAGATAAATGAGGTGAACCTGATACTTAAAATAAATTTTGCTATGAGTTTTAGATATGAATACCAAGAAAAACTTTGAAAGAATTTCAATTGCACTGTCAAATTATATTAACAGAGTATTGGATGAGCATGTCAAATTCAAACTTTGCTTGCAATTTTTATAACGAGTTGGTTCGGAAAGGTGAACGAGATTCTTGATTACTGTTTCGGTGAAGTATACAGAAGTATAGTAGGAATTACTCTGGTTGAGTCTAGTATGAGTCGACCGGAAATTGAGTTTGAAGGTACTTTGTTATAAGAAATTTTCGTGAAAAGTGAGACATTAAAAGCTGAACAAATTCTCAGATATTTGGGGGAGCTAAGCATATGGATAAAACTATAATCAATGGAGTGTATTTGAATTTCTGCGCTGAATGGGGATTTACTTTAAGTGATAAAAATCAATCAGTGGTCACCTAGTGAAAAAGAATGGAACTATTAGCGGGTAAAATAAGAAACAAATTGTTGCTTCATTTTTAATTTGGCAATGGCTGAAGCTGTGAAATAAGAAACTTGTTTTCAATATCGCTTGGTCAAACGAAAATTGGTTTAAGACATTCTCGCATCATACATGCAAATAATCAATCAAACGTTACTTTTGTTAACAATCTAATGGCACATCAAGAACAAAACGATATACAAAACCATATCTTGAACGAAATGATAGTTCAAGGATAATCAGACCAAGTTGAAGTTAGCTGAAACACTCGACAAATGACATGATCTTGGGAACAATCAAAGTTTGGTGGGCTTGATTAGTTTATATAAAAAGTGGAACAGTTGGTATTGTATATATCATATAGAATATACTCTCACTCGGTAACACGTATTCAATAAAGCACTCGTAATTATCCATTCATCAACTAAATTTTGATACGAAATTGTCCTCTGGTTATAAATTCCCTAACTTTTGGAGCTGGAGAACCATCAATACCTAGATATATTTAAAGATACTTAAGCGGCAAACTTCTTTGCATATTAAGACCAAATTACATGCAGAATAATGAAGAATTTGCACAGACTAGAGCCATTGATTGTAACGGAGAAACAAATTGATAAATGAAGACATCGGCAATAGTATAGTAATGGAATCTTACGAGAATTCTCAACACCTTACTCGCAAATCCAAATGCAAACGTGAAAACACCAAATCCTTGACTGCAAAAAATAATATTGATGTCCAATCTGAAAACAGCGAAATTCTAATTAGAAAGACCCCAAAAGGTACCAACGGTAAATTGTACCTAAGGCAACTCGTTCCGCACAGTATGGAATATGCTAATCGATAAAAGTAATCAGTAGGAACCAGTGAGTGTGGCTTAAGATAATGGAAAACTAGATAAAACACTCAAGCAAAGACGTACAATCGGCTTCGTCAGCACATATGGCTTGCGATCTTAAAGATGAATCAAAAACAGATCAACGATGGGGAAAACCTGGATTTAAACCGATATTGGTCCAAAACAATAGAAGAAGTGGAAGATAGTTGGTTTCACGTAAAATAACCCAAAAAACAAAAGATAGCTATTCCAGATGCAATCGAAATTAACTGCCGCAATGAACCTACAAATTGATCCAACATAAGCATGGTAAATTTTTTGATACACCATGGCATTCAGAGAAAGAGATTTTCCAAACAAACATTATACATCCAAGTCCGTCGTATTATACCAACCAAATATTAAAAAATCTTTGCAGAATGTTTACTGAGCAAAATCCGACTTCTGAGGTATGCATAATCAGTTGAGAATTTAATTCCAATAAAGTTCGGTAAGGAATACGCAAAATTTTATCAAAATACAAGGGGACATTAAGCTTCATTTGGGCTTGCCTTCAAGTAATCGATTCATAATTCAAATAAATTCACCGAAACCACTCCATAACGAAATTTTTCCCACGGAACTGAAAAAATCGTGCATGTTTAAGCAAAGCTACAGTTACTAATACAAAAACGTACTTTCCTCGAATTATGTTAAGCCGTGCATTTGTATATTTAGTTTGCCTAAGTGGCGAATTATTTCAGTTGTTATTTTAAATTGCAAATGTAACCCCAATTGGCGAGAATAATATCACTCGGTACAGGGTTAATATGATTTATCTTGCCCAAAAGCACAGCATGACCAATTTAAATCCACTTTTACTCCAATGCCCAAAAGTTCCTGGTGTATAAGGTTCTGATTTGCAAGTTTACTCCCTGAGAATTAACAACAAATATTGATAATTAGATAGTATATTGGGAGTTATTTTGAAATTTAAATAGCAAGGGATATGGTAATTACACGTTACAAACATCAAGTAAAACTATGCACCGACATGGATTGAGCGCAGTCGAGAAGCACGGTTACGTCGGATTTAATTGACAGTTCATACGATAGTTAGATTTTTGTATATTTGTGTGTGTCTCCTTCACAGCGGGCCCTACCTTGATACCAAACGATAGAGCAGCGGGAGTTCCGACGATTGATATTCATAGTTGGAAAACGATATTCAACGTATGATTTCACTACAACGTATGTGATTCAAGTGTGCAACGAATTCTTAGGTGTTTGTGCCCTAAGTTTTACGTGAAGTAGTTATCTGGCCCAACATTTGATTCACTGATGTGCTTGACTACGTTCTTTGCAATTGTTTAGCGGAATTTAGCTTGAAATAATCGATGTAAATTTTTTCAGAGCAAGATCTATACTCGACATACTTCAAAATCCGTTGTCCGAGGTTTTTGGATATGTTTGACGCAAGTCTAGTTACTTTGGCCGTTATTGGTTTTCGATGTCGTAATATATACAAGCTACAGTCCAAGTGGTACATGATTAGTGAATTACTAGGCTAATATAACTAAGTAAACCCCTTTTAACCTTTTTCGACGTTTAAGGTTAATTTTCATGTGTTAAGACTTGTCTTTCAAAGTGCCGAGTCCTCAATTCAATACAACGTTCGATGTTCATTTGTACAGATTAATTTTTTAGCCAAAATGTCGAGTGATTCGGTTTTTCAGTTAGAATTGAATTTATTATCCTGGCACGTGGGCGTTTGTGATGCTTAGTGAGCCAGACTTCATTTTTTTGCTATTTCGGCATTTGTTCCTTAGACAAACATGATTTATTTGATGCTGGTTAAAATTCCCTTAGTTTCTTTGGTATGGTACATTGCATTTTTTTGTTACGCCTAAATTGTTTGATATGCTGGATTTTATTTCTTTGATATGCTGTAATTTACTATTTTGATATGCTGTAATTTTTTATTTTGATATGTTGGATTAGTTAGTTTGATATGCCAGATTTTGTTAGTTTGATATGCTGAGTTTTATTTTTTTGATACGCTGGTGTTCGTTATTTGATATGCTCGGTATACTATTTTGTTATGCTACATTTATGTTGAGCGTGAATTTGTTATGCTCTATCTTCGTTGTGTTTGATTTTCGAGCTTGTTACTCTGATTTGGAGAGTTTGTTGAGCGAGGTTTGGTTTAGCATAGTCCCTACTAGTTTATAAGCTTTGGACCATGCGTGGAGTAATCTTTCGAGGCGAGGCTGTGAAACTCCGTCGAGCTGGGGATAGAGCATTGTAATTATTGCTCTTCAACGAGGAATTCCTAGTAAGTGCAATAAAAGACTTACTGCAAGGTTTAGGCTCACTATAGAGTTACATGCTCGAGAAGTTAATTCCATGTAGGGACGGTTGTTTAAAGGTTTTCGTTATGTCCCAAAGGATTTCGTTATGCGATAGTTGGATTTTTTGTTATGCAAAAATTCGATTTTTTTGTTATGCAACACAGGATTTTTGTTATGCGAAACATGTAGCATATCAAATTATCTGACACATCCGTACCTCAGAAACATATAGCATATCAAATTAGTAGAAACATCCGTACCTATGAAATATGTAGTATCAAATTATCTGAAAGAGAACATTTGCTATGAGTTAACAGATGTTTAGATTTTAATGAGTATTTATTAAGAATTAGTGTGGAAGGTCCGAAACCAGTTATTTGGGTTTTTGCATGAAGCCAGATTTCAGAAAGATTAGTTGTTGATTTGATATGCTTTGATTAAAATTCGTAAGTAAACAAACTCAAATGTATGTAAATTTGAGTCTCTGAAGTGACATATTTAAGATACAGTGGCAGTAATGAAATCCAACCTTCTTACGTGATCAGATTCGGTGATACTGTGAAATGCAAACAAACCCTAGCAGTATTAGGTTTAGATTTGTAGTTTCTGACAAATGATTTTCTTATCCTACGATAAGGCAGCCCAATGGGGATTTATCGTATGTGGCTCAAATCCTCTGCATCCCTTGGCTCTATGATCCTATTGCCTCGATTCGAGTAAAATGATACGATTGATGGAATGTGCCAGTTGTGACCAAGAATATTCAAATTAAAATCTCCTCGGTATCAAGCTTGCTCACTCTTCTCTGTTTTCGAACAACAGTAATAGAGTACAATTACACCCAAAACTACAATGTCAGCACTTCGCTGTGAAAATTTGTTTCCCGTATCCTCCTATACTGGACTTCTGCTTGCCTCTGCTTCTATTAATTTCTCTCAAATAATCAAGTTTGTTACTAATAAGGGGCGAGGGTTCTATTTTAAAGTAAGGTAATTTTGCATAATTAACTTGAAAAACCTATACAAATATTTACATTTCCCAATTCGTCTTAAGTAAACCCTATACCGACCTTAAAATTCATATATTTGGGAGTCATTTTTCGCCAAGTTCCATCAATTCTGATATCAACATTTTCATAGTGTGCATATGATATTGAGTTTCATTCTCTGATTTCATCAACGCTGAATATTGCATGCTTCGAATTTTCCCAAAACATTCCATCATAACACATGTTATTTTGGGATTTTCCGTGAAAAACTTAATTTCCTCATTAACTAAGTGTCCCAAATTTGGACTTACATTTTTCGATTTCAAGCTATTGTAATTCCTTTCATTTAAAAAGGGATTGATGATATTAATATAAAACGAGTACAAAGATAACTCATCAAATTTTGGGAAACTAAAGTCTATTTGATTGTTATCATCAAAATGATGGCTCTGTAAATAAATCTCAAGTGGCGATAGAATTTGAAGTATTTGGAATCGAATTTTTGTGTCATAGTATATCCACAATCTTGCCAACAAAGTCCACCTTTGAGTTAGTTCTTGCCCAGACTTGTTTTCTAAATTTTTATGCAGTAATTCCAAATTCATCAACTTTGACATGTCATCCTTCATGTACCTCATTCCTTGATTTAACATTAATAATAACTCTTGCACCACGTCTTCAGTTTTATAAACCAGAAACTCACTAGGAGGATTGTCGGTTTCCTTAATTTGTTGACTCATTCTGTGGTGTTTCACACTGAACTTGTTACTCTTGCCTCGCACTTTGTTTATTTTTGGATTTTCATTTTTTTCAGGTTCTCCAGAATTGGTTAAGTTTTTGAAATGCTCTTTAATCCCTACACTGAAATCTTCCAATGCAAATCCAGTACTGGGATATTGTAATCCTTGATGAAACAATCCCTGTTTTGAGGGTAGAAACTGAACTTTCAATAACTGCATCAATTGCTTTTGAGCCTTTCCAATTTCCTTATCGGTCAATTTATTATCCATATCAGTAACTATACCCAATCCTAAGTCTGATGGAACATGTTTGTTGAGCTTATGCTGTATGTACAGGTCAGCTGGTGTTGACAATTTTTTGTGAATATCCAACAAAGATCTATGTTCCGCTACTCCATCATACTCTTCAGTAGTGTAGTTTGGGTTGGTAAATTTGAATAGCTTAGCTTGTTGAGAATTGCTAATGCTAGAGTTTGAGTTGTTTGAAGATAGGCATAAGCCAGTTTTCAGTTGATTCGTATGAAATTGATCGCCACTTTGTTTACGATCCAATTTATTAGAACTTGGGTTAACATATGATTTATGAAATAAATTCAGAAAGCTAGATACAGGTGAACTAATGGAGGTTTTTCTGGGTTTGATATTTTCTGGATTATGTAAGCTTGCATTCACAAATTCAGATTTTGGATTTATAGTAGGTGTATGCTTTTTTATAGAATGTTTCATTGAACGATGTTTTTTCCAATCTTGAGAGGACCCATTGACCATTGAATTCGAATCATGAGACTCTAGTTCAAATTCGTTCAGTTCCAAGTGATTAGTATCAGATATATTGGTCAGGGATTTTTTTCTGGAAAACAATTTGGATAGTGGTTTTGATTTTATTGTTGAAGAACTGTTATTTGATACTTGTGAACTTGTAGTATTAGTTTTATTCAATGCATTTATGTCAACATGATTAATTGGATTTGATTGGAAGACAACGGGATTTAATACGATGGAATTTTCCTCCATTTTTCTATCATTATCAGCTAATGATGAAGATGATGTTCGGTGCTTTTTATTGTGAGATTCGCTGTTGGCATTTTTATCATCATCTAATTCATTCATTCGAATGGAGAATTAAATAGAAAAATTTTGGAAGCATGTACCCAATTCACTTGATGACAGATCAGATGATATTGTTGTAATTGTCACTTAACGTTGATTTTGAAATAAACTATGGAGCTGAATTTACGAATTTCCGAAATTTTTTTTTTGAACTTCTAATCTGAATATGATTGAGAAAGAAAGAACAATTACTCTTGGTGAACCATGAGCCCAAGACCCAACAGAAATAATTTGCTAGTTACGGAAACCAATACTGAGCAAGATCAGTTCCTTAAAGACTGAGTTATGCGTTTGGTCAAATTGGATTTGATTGAAACGAAAAATGAATTATATGCCAACCCAGAAGCATTAGTCATGTATTAGATAAAATCAAGTTAACTATAAGGCGGGTTGAATGTTATAGCTTCTGAATTGAAGCCTATTTTTTTATTAATGTTGATTCTCATCATCTTGGAAGTTTTGCTTTAATTTGTGTCATACTAGTCATCGAATATATTCACCATTTAATACTGCTTTAAAAGAAACGTCATAAAATTTAATACAGATGGGGACCAAATATGGTTAATTTGAAACCCGAGAATGTCAATCTTGACAACGCGAAGTCATAGCACAACTTGATGGCAAATAAATTATACAGAGGGACATTTGCCCTTGATGTAGAGAATATTTCTGGCACAAAGCACTGTGAATATGTAATTGTAAATAAAATTACAATAAAATCTCATTTGTTACATATAGCTCAAACTATCTTAAATAGATGCAACGAAGTGTTGTTGAATAAATTCACTAGCACCTGAATTATAATCTTGTCACATAATCTTGAGCTTTCGGTACAATAAGCTACCTTAGTGTATTATAAATTGATTTGAAGGCCAAAAATTCTGCAAGTTTTTGAAACTAATTTCGATCGAGTTAAACTCTATTAGTAAAAACAGACTTTATACTTATACTTATATATTCCAGGCTTTCAACAAAATGCTGAAGAATTTTAGGTGCTAATTTGTGTATATTTTTTGGACATTCATATTGTAAGTGTTTCATCTTTTTAACTTTTGTGTAATATTTTAACTTTGTGTAATGTTTTGCTTTCAGCTAAATTTGTTTATTTTTAATTTTCATATTTATTTTCATTCATTTTTTATACTTTCAAAAGTTAAAATATGATTTTTATTACTTTCAATTAGCTAATCATCTATCAAAAAAGTCAATTCAAAATCAGAACATAGTCATTTATTGCAAATACAATCTTAATCTAGTTGTAAACTCATCAAAAAATCACTCGATCGACCTCCAACGAGAGCTACAATAAATCAAAAATATAAAAATGAATTATAATCCATTTGACGATGATGAAAATAATCAGGAGTCATACAAATCTAACTTTTCAATTCCTAAAGTTCCATTCTCAGCATATACTGACAATTATAAAAAATCATCCAAAAGATATATACCCTTAAATGATAGTGATGATGAAGACAATAACATAAGAATTTACAAGTCTGATAACGAAGCTAGACAAAATAATAATTACAACGGACAAACTCAGGATTTTATTGGGTTTCCTTCTTCAGAGGCTGGAGGCTCTTACGGTAATGAAGTTAAACTGTCACCTAATATATTTTCAAAAAGCACTTCTAAAACAAATGATTATTCGAAACATAAAAAATCACCATTCGTAGGAACAACTCCATTTTTGGGCTTCAATGAAATAGAAAATGATACTGACGACTCAAGGGCCACACCAAGAGCAAAATATGCGGCAAATGAATCACCAAAGAGACTTAAAAACACGGAAGTATTGATGAAGAATATTGATAATGATAATGATGAGTATGAACCAAATTCTATTTCTCCAATAAGAAAATCCATGCAAGAGAGTACGATCAGTAGTCAAAGGTATCTAGATCCACCAAAACCAATATTTTCTCCAGAAGCATTTGCAGAAGCTAAGTCTCACAACATTTATAATGAAGAAGATCAGAACACATTAAATGAAAATTCCAATGACAAATATGAGTACCATGAAAAATCCAATGAGCTTGGTGATACAAAATCTTTATATTCTGACTCAACTGCGTACAGCGGTAGCTCATATTTAAATCATCAAAATGATGAGTCTGAGTATTTTGGAAAATCCATTGATGGTAATATAATGCAAAATATTGAACAAAATATAGAAAATGGATATGTACCGAATAGAAACAAAACTTTGACAAGAAGAAAAGTTAGATTAGTTGGTGGCAAAACTGGTAATTTAGTGTTGGAAAATCCTATACCTAATGAATTGAAGAAAGTGTTAACTAAAACTGAATCACCATTTGGAGAATTTACCAATATGACTTACACTGCCTGTACATCTAGCCCGGATTCTTTTGTTGATGATGGTTTTACATTGAGAGCAGCAAAGTATGGTAGAGAAACTGAAGTAGTCATTTGTATAACCATGTATAATGAGGATGAATTTGCATTTGCTAGAACAATGCATGGTGTTATGAAAAATGTTGCACACTTATGTTCAAGACACAAATCAAAAGTGTGGGGAAAGGACAGTTGGAAAAAGATTCAAGTTATAATAGTGGCTGATGGTAGAAACAAAATTAGTGATTCTGTATTACAGCTATTAACAGCAACTGGTTGCTATCAAGATAATTTGACACGTCCATATGTGAATAACAATAAAGTGAATGCTCATCTTTTTGAATATACTACTCAAATATCAATAGATGAAAATTTGAAATTTAAAGGTGATGAAAAAAGTTTAGCTCCAGTTCAAGTTTTATTTTGTTTAAAGGAACAAAATCAAAAAAAAATAAATTCTCATAGATGGCTATTCAATGCATTTTGTCCAGTCTTAGATCCAAATGTTATAATCTTATTGGATGTTGGAACCAAACCAGATAATCACGCAATCTACAACTTATGGAAAGCTTTTGATAAAGATTCAAATGTTGCTGGTGCTGCAGGAGAAATTAAAGCTATCAAAGGAAAAGGATGGATCAATTTAACTAATCCTTTGGTTGCTTCACAAAATTTTGAATATAAGTTATCAAATATTTTGGATAAGCCATTAGAATCATTGTTTGGTTATATATCAGTGTTACCTGGAGCTTTATCAGCTTATCGTTATATTGCATTGAAAAATCATGAAGATGGTACTGGTCCCCTAGCATCATATTTTAAAGGTGAAGATTTATTGAAATCACATGAAAAGGATAAGGAAAACACCAAAACCAACTTTTTTGAAGCTAATATGTATCTAGCTGAAGATCGTATTTTATGTTGGGAATTAGTTTCCAAAAAGAATGATAATTGGGTATTAAAATTTGTAAAGCTGGCAACTGGTGAGACTGATGTACCTGAAACAATATCGGAATTTCTAGCCCAAAGAAGACGTTGGATCAATGGTGCCTTTTTTGCTGCATTATATTCTTTATATCATTCAAATAGAATATGGTACACTGACCATTCTTATGCTAGAAAATTTTGGTTACAAATTGAATTCATATATCAATTCGTTACATTGGTTTTCTCATTTTTTTCATTGAGTAATTTTTACTTGACATTTTATTTTTTAACTGGTTCCCTTGTTAAATACAAAAACATAGGTCATAACGGAGGATTTTGGATTTTTACTTTATTCAATTATTTGTGCATTTGCGTTTTAACATCTTTATTTATTGTTTCAATTGGCAACAGACCTCATGCTTCAAGAAATATATTCAAAGTCTTAATCATATTATTGACAATTTGTGCTTTGTATGCATTGATCGTTGGATTTGTTTTTGTTATTACTACTATAGACCAATTTGGTACAAACAACACATCGACTTATGTGCTAATAAGTATTGTGGTATCATTATTATCAACGTACGGGTTATATACGTTAATGTCTATCTTATATTTGGATCCATGGCATATGTTGACATGCCTGTTGCAATATTTTTTGATGATCCCATCTTACACTTGCACATTACAAATTTTTGCTTTCTGTAACACTCATGATGTATCCTGGGGAACAAAAGGTGACAATAACCCACAAGAAGACAAATCAAATCAGTATATTATTGAACAAAATGATGATGGTGAGTTTGAAGCTATAGTTATGGATGTTAATATTGACGAGGTTTACGTAGAATCACTTTACAATATTCGTGCAAAGAGATCTGGTAAAAAAATGAAACCAACAGCAAAGCCTAAAAATGTCTTGGACGGTGATGATTATGCCAAAGATGTACGTACCAGAGTTGTGCTATTTTGGTTGATTGCTAATTTGATTTTCATAATGACTATGGTTCAAGTTTATAAACCTGGAGATACTGCAAAAAATATATATCTTGCATTCATTTTATGGACAGTTGCAGTTTTATCATTGTTTAGAGCCATTGGTTCATTAGGTTATTTGATTCAAAACTATGCTAGGAATTTAGTGGAATTAAAAAGTAAGTGGGTTAGTAGAAAATCAGGATACACCATACCATCTCATAATGCCTTGAATTGAGCCTAAAATAAATTTAAACATAACGTGTAATTAAATTTTATTATAGATGTAATAAGTAGATTATATAACATATAGAATCATGATACCTAATTTATTAAATTTTAAATGTTTTACATTTATTTGTCTTGAAAACCTCTATTTGTCGTGAAACATTAACATGAGACACATTTGAATGTATTTTTCACTCAAAACAATAAAACAATTATAAATATACAAGTTGCGAAGAACCAACAAGGATTTCACTTTTCATTCTGGACTAAGTCATTCATAAAAACTTGTCTTTCTGTAAAATTCTATTTTTAAAATGGTTGCTCTCGAACGGAAAAGAAAGTCAGAAGAAAGTCTAACAAATGGTAAACACAAGAAGCATAAATCATCACTTGTAACATCATCATTCATATTACATTCATACTCAAAATTACCAGATATAAATGAAATACCCAAACCCAAAACGGAGGGACTTGACATATTTGTATGGGGATCGGGATCAATGTGTGAGTTGGGATTAGGTCCTGCAGCTAGCACGAAGGAAGTTAAAAGACCAAGGTTAAATCCATATTTGAGTGAAGAAAAGCTAGGAGGTACAAAAATAGTTGATTTTGCAGTTGGAGGTATGCATACATTAGCATTAGATGGTAAAAATAGAATATGGTCTTGGGGAACTAATGACAGCGCGGTATTAGGAAGAGACACGTCAGACTCAAAAGTTGCTTTAAAAGATATGGACGCCGATGATAGCGATGACGAAGATGGAGATTTAAATGAAGCTGAATCTACGCCAGGTTTAGTTGAAAACTTGAAACCAGATGAAAAGATTATACAATTAGCAGCTACAGATAATTTGAGTGCGGCCCTTTTATCAAATGGAGATGTATATGCATGGGGTTGTTTCCGTTGCAATGAAGGTTTGTTGGGATTTTTGAGAAGTGAAATTAAAATACAAAAAACTCCAATGAAAATACCTGAATTGAAAAATATAGTACAATTAGCCAGTGGAAAAGATCACTTATTGGCATTGGACTCAAAAGGAATCGTTTTCGCTTGGGGTAATGGACAGCAGTTTCAATTGGGTAGAAGAATACTAGAAAGACATCGTTATAGATCCTTAGAACCACAACAATTTGGTTTATATAATATTAAATACGTTGCTAGTGGAGATTTCCATTGTTTTGCCGTAGATCATAATGATAAAGTTTATGCTTGGGGTTTAAATCAATTTGGACAATGTGCGGTTACTGGAGCAAATGGGGAATTAGAAGATGGTTCCATTTTAACGAAGCCTACTTTAGTTCCAGAATTGAGTAATTTAGGAATACAAAAAATAGTAGCGGGAGAACATCATACATTAGCATTAACGGCATCAGGTGAAGTTTTAGCTTGGGGTAGATACGATATGAAAGAGGTAGGTATCCCACATGATCAACTACCGGCATCAACTTTCAAAGATCAACATGGCAAACCAAGATCAGTTCCTACTCCAACAAAATTAAAGTTTGGAAAGACTGGAAATGTGTTAATAAAAGATATTGGTACCGGGTCACATCATTCGTTCGCTGTGACGGATGATGGTTTTGTTTATGCTTGGGGTTTTTCAGAAACATATGCTCCCGGGTTAGGTAATTTAGAGGAAGATGTGGAAGTACCAACAAGAATTGTAAACACTGCTACGAAAAATGAAAATATTGAAATAATTGGTGCTGGTGGCCAATTTTCAGTAAGTGGAGGAATTAAAATTAAAGATGAATCAAAGGCAGAAGAGAGGTTAGAAAAGTATGAAGACATAGATGATGAATAAGGAGATAAGTGTACATTGATTAGTACATTAGAAAATTATAAAAGTTTTTACCTTCGTAATATTAATATAAATAATTCATTAAATTTGTATTCGTAAAATTATATAAATCATTATTAGCTCACCAATTAGTTTCATCCCATTTCACAAGTTCCAAAGCTTGTTGATGAACATCCTTTTGAACTTTCTTTCTCATGTAAAAAATTGGGCAATCTTTGTTAGAACAAAGAACTTCTTGATGTAAAGACCCTTGACATCTTTGACATTCTGTCCATAATCTTGAAAATTTATTTTCTAAATAGTTCATTTGGGAAAGGGCATTAGAATATAATTCTGGACCTTTATTTTCTTTTATACAATTTGGACACAATGCTCCTTTATTGCCATCTTTTAAGGGAGTCTTACAATTAACACATAACTCTGCCTTTTTCGCAAATCTCATAAGACCTCCCGTTTTTGGAGCAGACATCTTAATAGTTCTAGTATGAGCACCTTCAATTAATTCTTTGGTTTTTGATTCTCCCAAAATTGGCACGAAGATCCTTTCCAAGGGTTTTGACATTTGTTGATCCAAATAATATTTGACATCAATCGGTAATGAGTTTTCTAAAACGTATAAAGGATCTTCAGATTTTTCATAATTTTTATCACTACCTGATTTTATGATCACATATGCAACTCTATCACCTAAAGTTGGTGCTGAACCAGGGTCCCTTTTCTTCATTCTTTCAGCAAGTTCAACATGTGCTTGTTTTGCTGAATAATCATGTTTTGAGTATGCCTTTGTTATAACTAGTTGAGAAAGATCGACTCTATTCTGTAGCAAATCAGCAATAGTTTGTTTAACAAACCTTTGAGCCTTTTCAACATTTCTCTCTTCTAAAATAAACTCCAAGACTTTTGTAATAACGTTTTGAACTAAACGACAATTATCTCTTCTAACAGTTTCAATACCTTTGGTATCCATTTTGTCAAATTTGTCAGGATTGGTCCAGTACAATCCGGCATATCTTTTCTTGTTTATTAATAAATACGGAAAATAAACTTTTTCAAATTCTAATTTTATAGGATTTTTGAATTTTTTTGAAACATAATTTGCAGCTTCTTCTCCAAATTTCATACAGGTTTCTATATCTTGATAACCAAATTTAACCATCACAGAGTCAGTATCACCATAAATGACTTTTGCATCATAGGGATGACCATTTTTCTTGGAATAATGCTCTTGTACTTCATTTTTCGTTTTTTCAATCATTTCTCTACCAAAAGCAGTAACTGAGGAAGAAATAGCTAAACATGGTAATTTACCGATTGTTGCACCTGTGAAACCATACACTGAATTTGCTGAGATTTTCAAAGCCAATTGTCTACCATTAAGCACATCTTTTTTAAATGGATCTTTTTCATTCTTCAAATCAGTTTTAGCTTTCTTTCTAGCAGTAAGTAATTCATTTAAGATTGTAGGCAAAATTCCTTGTTTTTTATTTGCATTCACAAAATAGTCTCCATTAGGAGTTTTTGTATAATCTTCTTCTTTCAAATTAAATGCTTTGATGGAATTTCTATTTAATAAAGTTGTATAGCATAAATTATGAGCCATCATAATGGAAGGATACAACGAGCTAAAATCCAATGTTGCAATTGGTACATCGTAATAACCTCTTTCTGGTTCAATGACAGTAGCACCTTCATATTCTTCATTTGAACCTTCACTTTTCATGTTTGGAATAACAATATCTTCTTCCAAACATTTTCTAAACAATTGTGAAACAACTTTTATTTGTTGTCCTCTTGATAACAAATAAGAAAATGGTACTCCTGTTACTCTTGCCATTTCCGTGTAATTCACCAAACACATCAATTTGTCTAATAACCTTAAAGGTAAAAATGCATCTTTTAGACAATAAACAGCCAATCTTCTTCTTGTCTCCTTTGTTCCGTTTTGTAAGTCGGTAATAATCGAATGTTGAACATCTTCTTTTTGTTCACCTAAAAAATGAGCTGACACAGAATTTAATGTATAAGATCTTAATTTATATTCTCTTTGAATAAATTGAAGTAAATCTAATTGCATTCTTCCATCAATATTAACGACTTTATTTTCTCTTGTTCCATATGCTCTTGAGCTAAAGACAGCATCTTTTATTTCTTGTTTAACATACTTCAATCTACCAAAGTATGGGAATCTGGGTAATTTTAAAGCTTTAGCTCTATCGAGAACGTAAGGTATATCAAAATTTGTTGTATTATAACCAATGATAACGTCTGGATCGACTTCATTGATAAAATCCTTCCAATGCAATAACATATCTTCTTCCTTTTTATGTTCAAATATTTGTGAACCAATGATTGATGAGCAAGTATTGACCGTAAATACATTTCTTACAAATGGTTTAGTATCACCCAACTTCAGAACAACGTTTGCAATTTGAATTACAGGGTCTTGATCTGGTTCAGGAAATATACCTTTTCTACCAGCACATTCTATATCAAAAGATAAAATACGTAATGGAGCCATTTTCAACCAATCACCTTCTGATGGATGAGCTATTAAATCCTTGTAATTTATGTTACATTCAATTTGACAGGTTGAAATTTTATTCGAAACCATTTTATATTTTGTTTTAGGTAAAGTAAGCCATGACATACCAGTAACTTTACAATCAATCATCAATCTCAACAAGTAGTTTATATTGTCATATATGACACTTTGTTGTATTGGAAATAAATCATCAAATCGTATTTCTGCTTTTTCAAAAGCTGTTCTCAATCTAGTTATATTTTTATTACTATTGACGTAAATCTTAAAAAAAGGTGTCTTGATATTATTATTAAAACCCCAAATTGATTCCTTCAAAGTGATTTCAACGTCAACTACCCCATCATAATTGGATCGTAGATAATTTGTAAAATGAACTAAATGCTGATCTTTTATAAATCCTTTAGGCACAGGTGAATAAAAATAATGAACAAACCCAACGACGTTACACAACACTGAATAACCTTCCTGGGTAATCCCAAAAAATCGAGCATAAGTAGAATCGTGTTCGTTATATTCTTCAGCATCTAGTTGTTGAAATGATACATCCTGTGAATTTGGGTCAAAATCTTTTGGTAAATCAGGTCTGGCCCAATTTTGATCTTCTTCCGACCCTAAAGTTTGAGCTACTTGTGTCATATCTAATAATTCTCTCTCAAATTCCGAAGGTTCCTCTGATCCAGTTGGTCTTTTCACTTTTTTCAACAATTTTTCTTGAGAAGGAGTTAACTCAAACAGTGATGTTGCTGAAGCCATTTGAGATGCAACGGGCAATGAATGAGCCTGGTCTTGATGAATTTCTTCAAACTGCCTTTTTCCAGACATCTTTATTCTCTATATGTAATTTTTGATCTTTATTAAGTATGGTTCAGATTGTTAATGATACTTTGAATGCAAATAAATAAAAATGTAATAAATAATTGAATTTGATGTAAAAAATTGGGATACGTTGATTATTTGTCAAAACTTATTGTTGTTGGTTGATCAATGACTATTTGGTGACTACTTGTAGATGATTCAATGCAAAGTATTGTATGATTTGAAGTGTATTGATAAATTGAATTGTAAAGTATAATATGTATTAATATTAAGTGTTACAAATCTATCGCGTCTGTTAAGCTTAGATCGTTTTATAATTCCTGTATATTAGATTTCAATATTGAATATGATTTTGATTTACGAGAAAGACGTGTCATTCAAAGATTTCCAGGTGGTAGCGTACAAAATAGATTTTGCAACTTTCAACTTTTTTTGAAAGACTATCTACTCAATTGATTCATTTGCTTCGAAAGCCGTGAAGTTCACCATCGTTGCCTTATGCAGCCTTTTGTATCTACGGCATCTTCTTTTGGAATTGAGTGGATTTTTTTGTTTTCGTTTTTTTGTTTTATGTTTTTTTTGAAAAGTAGAATAATTTGATTAATTTCGCAACAAACATTTATGAATTTACATATAAGCGTTGTCTCAAAAATCAAACCAAATAATGAACCTTACTTATTGTTATTGGTTACAACGAAGGAATATGAAATCTTCTTTTACTAGTATTTGCTTACAACTTAATTTGTGGTCAATTATTCCAAATCACTCACAACTAATTTGTCGTGTGAGGAATGGATTTTTGATACAATAAAAAATCAAACAGACTGAAAACTTCGGACTTTGGATCGAGAATGAAAAATAAAACCGAATTAGTATTGAGAACCAATAACCACCTAAATGATATAACATATGTTCAAATGACAAATGATAATTCCAATATATTGAATCCATTAGTGGTATGTTCCAAATTTGGGCTCACGAACATCAAGTTTAACAAGATCTTGAAAATTGAAAATAGTTAAATCTCATATATATTCAATTCATACTAACAGACCAATTTTTGTCAAATAGAGTGGAGCATGTGCAGGTATAGCGACAGATTTAGCCTTTTTCCCCATTGACACGATTAAAACTAGATTACAAGCAAAAGGAGGATTTTTCCAAAATGGAGGTTATAAAGGAATATACAGAGGATTAGGTTCTTGTATTATAGCGTCAGCTCCATCAGCTTCGTTATTTTTCATAACTTATGATAACTTAAAGACTCAATTAGCACCATATGTTAATTCACCTGTATATAGACATATTATTGCTGCTTCATTTGGAGAAATTATGGCATGCACAGTTAGAGTTCCTGCTGAGGTCATAAAACAAAGAACTCAAGCAAAATTTGAAGGAATAAACACTAGTTTGGGGAATCTAAAATATATTTTGAATAATAAACATATATTGAAAAATCTTTATCGAGGTTGGAATAGTACAATAATCAGGGAAATTCCATTCACAATGATTCAATTCCCTCTTTATGAATGGTTAAAGTCACATACTTGGAAAGTAAGTGCTTCTGATACAAAAGGAGACAAATATGTAATATCAAGTGGTGTCAAAGGAGCATTGAGTGGAATGATAGCGGGTGGATTTGCAGCAGCTGTCACAACACCGTTGGATGTTATCAAGACTAGAATTATGTTAAGTTCAAATAAAGTAGGTTTTTTTCCATTACTCAGTCAATTAATCAAAGAGGAAGGTTGGAGAAGTCTATTTAAAGGCATTATACCTAGAACTTGCTGGATCAGTTGTGGGGGTGCCATATTTTTAGGATGTTATGAAATAGTTCACACGGAGATGATAAAAATCGGAATTTCTTGAGATTTTACAATTCAGATAGAGATTGAATCATACAATCAAATACCTTTAATTAGATTTAACGAGTATAATAGAGATGCATTAGAATAATGAATTTCAACTCTTCACCTCTCTACTCAATTTGGAATTAAGATTATTGTAGTTACGCGCTTTAGAAAAAAAAGTCAAATATTGAACCATATACTAACGAGACTTTCATGTATTGAATCGACTATCCAAAGTTAATACCTATTTCAGAAATGATGCAATGAATTTGAAGATGAACATAAAGTTAAAGTCATCACAAAAGTTAATTATTTGTATTTTCATCATGAGATTAATCAATTCGGTATCAATTCAAACTTTTTTTCAGGCAGATGAATTTTATCAATCGTTAGAACCTGCTCATTTCTTCAAATATGGATATGGATACTTAACTTGGGAATGGAATTATCAATTACGATCATCTATTCATCCGTTGATACATGTTTTGGGCTATATTATAGCTGGCGAAGATCGAAATCTTATTCAATTCATACCAAAACTTATCAATGCTATAATTGCGACTACTTTTGATTACTCGCTATATGGATTTATATTAAATTTTTCGAAAAGTAGAGAGTTAGCGTGGATTGGATTAGTCTTGTCATTAATAAACGCTTTTAATTGGTTTGTGTTGACTAGATCATTTTCAAATAATCTTGAAGCTTGTTTTACAGCACTAGCTCTTAAATATTGGCCATGGGATAAAAAAATTTCAGGAAATTGGTATATTTGTTTAAGTTTCATAGTTTTGAGCTGTATTGTTCGTCCCACAAATGCAATATTCTGGCTTCCATTAGGAACATGGCTTTTATTCAACATCAAAATACAAATGAACTGGATAAAAAATTCAATTATAGCAGTTGCTGCAATTCTAACACTAAATATGGGTTTAGATTACTACTTTTACAAAACAATAACATTTCCGTATCTTAATTTCATTCAATTCAATTTCATTAAAAATTTAGCATCGTTTTATGGAGTTGCACCATGGCACTTTTATCTCCTGCAAGCGTTGCCATTAATGTTATTGACTTCCATTCCTTTATTTATTTTTGGGCTTGAGAAAAATATATTGTTAGTTTCATCGATCTCATACGTTTTTGGATTTTCATTGATTAAACATAAAGAAATTAGATTTTTGATGCCGCTACAACCAATCATATTATATTTCTCAGCCAGAGGGTACATGAAAATTAATAGAAATTACATTATGATTACGGGATTTTTCATAAACATGTTTGTTGCAATCTTTTTGAGTAACGTCAATGAGAGAGGTGCAATTGATATCATTAATTTTTTGAAGAGGAAAGATAACACATCAATTTTATTCCTTACTCCATGCCACTCTTTTCCATGGCAAAGTGCATTCCATAATAGGGCATTAGACTTGAGATTCTTGACTTGCGAACCTCCGCTACAACTAGACAATCCAACTTCTGAAGAATTAAGAGAATATAGAGATCAATCAGATAATTTTTACGACAACCCCGAAAATTACATGAGTGACCTTGTCCAAGATTCTGAAAATGCAGCTGAGTACATAGTCGTATTTCAAGGACTTGAGAGCTTAATGGACGGACTAGATCCATTATATAAAAAGGAGAGACGTTTGTTCAATAGTTATTTTCATTGGGATGATAGAAGAAAAGGTGACATCATACTATATAAAAAAGTTGTAGGTTAGTTGTAATATCTTCTGACTAATGAAATTTTGCATATACAAAGATTTTTGCATTAAATTCGATAAAACTACTTTAGAGTCAATACCCAAACATTATAACTAACCATAATTAGCTCAAAAGTTCTACTTGTACTAGTGCTTCATTCATATACATTCCAACTCTAAATATCTCCCATAATGCTTAGCCTAATTCTGTATATGCAACATCTGATACGTAGATTCTCAAACAATAACCAGCAGCACATTTCTTACACTTAAAAGCTTACAAAAATATACCATGCAATCGTGAACTACAATATTTTGACGTCAATTCAAAACATTTAGGACCTAAAAAAATTACTGTACCGTATATGTCTTTCCTTTTTGTGCAATAAAATTAATTTTTCTGCTGTATTTTCGCACTAATTTTGGCTTACCTGAAAATTACCTGTTAAGTCTCTAAGTTCGAAACCTTTGGAGAATCAATGGTTTTAGTTATTTTTGTGTAATAAAAAGATTTTTTCTGCTGACTTTTCTCGCTTGCTTTGGCTTACTTAAAGAAACTAAGAATTTTTTTTTTTTGTTTGTAGGTTCAATTCCTGATTGAAGTAAAGTATGATAACTGCAAGTTACAGTTTTAACTTTGTGTTTTGTTTTTCTAAGCGATTGTTTTAGTTTATCACAAATACGCGTCTTATGTTATAACGATAAAGAGATCCAATTTCATTATCTAGCAGACCAACTCATATGTCACCTTCTGCTATATCGATCACAACACTCGAAACGTCAACGGCAAACACTGATGACGGGGCTATTGAAACTGCATTAAAACGACAGCGAGAAAAAATAGTCGATGATGAAGGATTGGAAGAGTATGATGAAAAATTATCAAAGATTACAAAAAGACAAAAACTATCTATCGATTGGTTTCCGCCATCTGTCACATCAATAGAAGATTATTGTGAATTCAAATCAACGACTTATTTTTCAGAAGTACCACAAGAGATTCTATTAAATCCGAACAAACCAATAGTTTTGGGTGTGGATGAAGCTGGAAGGGGTCCAGTTTTAGGACCAATGGTTTATGGGATATCATATTCATTAATGGACTATCAAGAACAATTGAAAAGTTTTGGATTTGCTGATTCAAAGCAATTGACCGATATTGTTAGAACCACATTATTCAAACAAATAGAAGATAAAGAGACTTTATTAAACAGGAATGTCGGATGGGCTACTACAACAATGACTGCAAAAGATATATCACTGGGGATGCTTAGGTCGGTAAATGGCCCAGGGGCTTATAATTTGAACGAACAAGCACATGACACTACAATTCAATTAATCAGACAAACGCTAAGTCGAGGGGTAAAGGTTAGTCATATATTTGTTGATACAGTTGGGCCACCAATTACTTATCAAAACAAATTGAAGCAACATTTCCCTGGAATTGAGATTGTAGTGTGTAAAAAGGCAGATAGTTTATATCCAATTGTTTCTACAGCTTCAGTTGTTGCCAAAGTTTCAAGAGATTTAAATATTCATCATCTTAATAAAAACATCGAAATTTTAAAAAATCAAAATTTAGGATCTGGTTATCCAAGCGATCCAAACACTAGTTTCTGGTTAAATCATAATGTTGATCAAATTTTTGGTTGGTGTTTTGGATTCATTAGGTTTTCATGGCAAACTGCAAAAGACAGTTTAATGAAAAATGGGGCAATTGAAGTCACATACCAAGATGATATAATGAAGAATAAGAGTTATGGAGATATAAATAAAATGTTTGATAATAAGAATGCAAATAGAAGTAAAATAAATAAAACATATTTCAATAGTGATAATATAGACTTATTGTAGACTTAGTTTAGAAATAATAGAACAAGACTATAAATTGAAATTTAATGACATTTCGAGTTTCTTGTAGATGAACATAGCTTGAGGCTGCAAATTCTGAAACATCAAATATGTTTTTCTTTCAGGAAGTACAAGTCCGATCAAAACTTTGAGACGGAAAACATCGATGCGCGTGGAAGTAGCTACCAAAACCAAAATTACAGCCGATATCCCAAAAGCTTTGTAAGTCACATTCCATGACTACATCGTATAAGAAATCAACACTTTGAGCACCAATCACTTATACCAGAAAACCGTCTTTCAATTTTGTGAATACCATTATTGGTAAAATATTATTTAATTAAACAGTTCATACACATTTTGTCCAAATATTCAGTGTTTTTTTTCGGAGTTGGTGCTACCAAAGTTTGAAATAGATTAAGAAGAGATTTTACCTATTAACATCAGAAATTATAATATTAATACAATAAAATAATATTGTAGTTGACTTCAATATCGTTATCATAAATTCACTATTCAATTCGTGTCAGTAAAAGTTCAGACAGCTCCTTGATATATCTTTTCATTACCTATTCAAATTTCATACATCAAATTTTGGAATACTAGAGATAATGTCTGCTTTATTTGCTGTTTCAAGATCAGCAATGGTTTTACGCACCATGACTTTAAGATCATCATCAAATATGGTTAATACTTCGTCCTTCTTAACATTGGCTAGGATGTATTCATCCGGGAAGTTTCCACCACATACTGTTATTCATATGCCAGCTTTGTCGCCAACGATGACTCAAGGTAATATCCAAGAATGGTCTAAAAAAGTTGGTGATGAATTACAACCAGGTGAGGCTATTGCAGAAATTGAGACCGATAAAGCTTCAATGGATTTTGAATTTCAAGAAGAAGGTTATTTAGCTAAAATTTTATTGGATTCAGGTTCAAAGGATGTACCAGTAGGTCAACCAATAGCCGTTTATGTCGAGGAAGAAAAAGATGTTCCCGCTTTTAAAGATTTTACTGCTGCTGACGCAGGGGAAGCACCAAAGCCTGCAGAACCTGAAGCCAAAGAAGAGGAAAAACCAAAAGAAGAAAAGAAAGAAGAAGTGAAAGAATCAAAGGATTCAAAATCTTCCTCATCATCTTCCACTCCATCCAAATCAGCTGCTCCAACAGATAGAATTTTTGCTTCACCGTTAGCCAAAACTATTGCCTTAGAAAAAGGTATTGCATTGAAAGGAGTAAAAGGATCTGGTCCACATGGTAGAATCGTTGCTAAAGATTTAGAAGGCCTTGAATCAAAACCAGCTTCTACACCTGCAGTATCCCCTTCAGCAGGTGCAGCTACATCTGCGACTGGTGCCAATTTTGAAGACATCCCAATCACGAGTATGAGAAAAACTATTGCTTCTAGATTATTACAATCAACTCAACAATCACCAACTTATATCATTCAATCACAAATATCAGTTTCTAAATTATTGAAATTACGTGCTTCATTAAATGCATCAGCTGATGAAAGGTATAGATTATCTGTGAATGATCTTTTAATTAAAGCCATTGCTATTGCATCAGTTAGAGTTCCACAAGTCAATTCTGCTTGGCTCGGTGAACAAGGTGTAATTAGACAATATAAAAATGTTGATGTTTCAGTTGCTGTCGCAACCCCAACAGGTTTGATTACTCCAATTGTAAAAGATGCTCAAAACAAAAGATTATCTGATATCTCAAATGAAGTAAAAGATTTAGGTAAGAGAGCTAAAATTGGAAAATTAAGTCCAGAAGAATTCCAAGGTGGAACTATATGTATTTCAAACTTAGGAATGAACCATGCAATTTCAGCCTTCACTTCGATCATAAATCCACCACAATCGGCTATAGTTGCTATTGGAACTACGGAAAAGAAAGCTGTTCCAAGTGAAGTTAACGAACAAGGATTTATCTTTGACGATGTTATTACTATCACTGGTACTTTTGATCATAGAGTAGTTGACGGTGCATTAGGCGGAGAATGGATTAAAGAATTAAAGAGAATAATTGAAAACCCATTGGAAATGTTGGTTTGAGGAAAATATAAGACATGTGACCCATGTAATACTTTTAGTAAATCATTAATGTAAAAAAATTAACTGTTCATATAGAATTTGTAGATCCATTTTAAAAAACATTGAATTTTTCATCTCCTGTATGCTCACCTTTTGTCATTTACTTAAATCCAACTTTGGAATTGTAGCGCTTAATTCATCGGTCTTATCAAGTCTATATCCTAACGGGAAACTATCATACCTTTTTAAATGATAGAATTGTAGTAAACCTCTTAACGCGATTTCTTGATCTAAACTTATATTGAAATCATTTTCTAAGTCTTTCCCACTAAGCCAATTATCTTTCAAAGATAGTCTACAATTCAAATAAATTAAACTGATTAAATCCATATTATTACTTTTCCATTTTCTGCCTTGGTAGGGGACTAATTTTTTAAGAATTTTTAATATAGGTTTAGTGAAATGTTCATTGTCATAATTGATTAGTATCATTTTAAATAATTCAGACGGTTTTAGGTCGTTTATGATAAATATTCTTTGAATTTGATTTTTTATTAGGATTTTGTTCGTAATAATTAATAAATTAGATAATATTGTTGCGAAATTCACATTATAATTCTTTATATAAACATTGTTTATGTTATTCGTGTCAAGTTTTTTTGGTAAACCTGATATAAATTCATTATTCGTGAATTTGTAAGTATGTTCTTTATCATCCTTTTCCAAACAACGATTGAAAAAATTTAATTTCGGTAGAATAATTTGAGGATTCATCAATTTATTTTGATTAATTAATATCTCATACTCAATTAACTCATCTCTCTTGTCTGAATCCAGTTGTGGAATTGATTGATTATTGACATTATTAAAGCTTGTGCTGATGAAATCCAATGCCACGATAAAAAATTGTTGATCAAATAAAATCGTGGATAAGTAGTAGTATTTCAAGACATGACTTATTTTAAACCATCTTAATAAGGATAAAATGATACCAGTTGTTGTTTTTGTGAGAATTTCCTTTATGTTCATTACTTCCAATTGCGCAAGTAAAACAGATTCAATTTTTGATTTTGCCTTCTCATTTTCTTGAGTCAATGGAGAGTTGACTATGAACGATGTTGAAGAATTTAGCTCCAATTCATAGAATGTTAAATTATTTTCAATTCTATTATTCTTCAAAACCTCCATAAATACTTCAATGATGGAAGAAAGTCTAAAATATGTTTTTGAGTAAAAACTTTCAACTCTTTTTAAAGATTCAATTTCTTTGGTTTTGCTCGGAAATTTCTCTATCAAAACTTCAAAATTATAATCAAATTCATCTTTGTCTGCATAAGATGTCTCGTATCCTCTTTCTTGTTTCATGAATTTGTCTCTTTCATTCCATAGTCTTTTCAATGAGTAGTTTTCATAAATCGAATTTTTCAAAATCTCATCCGCTTCAACTATCGCCAAAGGCACGCTTGAATTTTTTTCCTCATCATTAGGATAAATAAATGGCATAGATTGATTGACCTGGTATGACTTTCTTATTTTCTCGCCTCCTGACATATATTCTGATGACATTAATTTGGGAGATGGCAACGGTGTAGCTATATGAACATGCTGTGCAGGTAATTGACTCAAAACTGTATGTGATTTGTTAGTCTTTGGTGGCTCTATGATATTTGATAATGAACTTGAAAAGTTGTTGATGGCCATAAAATATTGATATTTTTTTTCAATTGATTCTGCATTGTTATTAGCTTGATTTGAATTATTATTTAATTGCTCTTTTGTATAGTCAAATAAAGGGTATTTATCTAACAAATCTTCTCTAAAAGAAAAGTAATCTAAAGGTGACAAAGTCAATTTTGTCTTCCCGTTCTCTCCTTCTAAATTATTCCTTACATTATGCAACTCATTAAGGAAATTATCACAATTCTTCAAATGATCAGAATCACCCATTTCCAAAATTATTAATTTATTTAATAGTGTTATCACATGTCTAATCCTATAGGAGCTATTTTTGTACCATTTCCAATGCTCAATAAATTGGATTATAATCTCTGTTAATTCAACTTTCAGTAAGTAACTTTTAAATAATAGCACATGAAGATTATCCTTGTTATATAATGAGACCAATGTCATGAAAAAGATTAAGGTCAAGATTCTAAAATAGGTTTCTTCAATCTTATTTGACACAACCAGCTCACTTGATGATGTTGTATCCACTCTTATGCGTTCCATCATGAAATCTTTTAGTATTCTCACCAAAGGTCTGTAAAGTTCAAGTTTGATCAACTTCAAATTATTATTCGTTATCGACCCCAATTGTTCATCAGGAGTTGATTTTGTAGCATACTCGCCAAAACTATAATATAAAACACTTTTTAAATTCACCAAGTTGTTATCAATTGTCATCTCATTTAGTTCCCTTGCAATATTTTTAATATCATTTCGTTTTTCATATATGTCTGTCAATCGATCCAATCCACCCAAAGTTTTCAAATCGTTATAAGAAAACCACTCTGATATTTCTTGTTGTAAATCATAGAATTCTTTCTTAACAAACTCCAAATGCAGCTTAGTCATCAAGAATTGATAGTTTAACGAGGATCCATTGGTGTTATTCGTATGATTCTCTTTCCCACTACCAAATTCATTTGCTTCAGTCAAATCTAAATCATTCAAGCTATTGATGAATTGCTTCTCATTATTCACATCAAATTGTTTAGCTTTTGCACTTAATTTTTGTTGAAAGGTTTCATCTAATGAGGTATCATGTAATTGTTGCCTAGTATCTTCATCTGGATGATCGATAATTTGATCCTCTAATTGATCTATTTGTATTGGTGGTAAGTCCTCTTCATTCTTGTCCATTATAATGAAGACGTTTCAACATTTGTTATTATGGTACGTGAACGTATAATTTTGAATAGATCAATTTACTCGAGTACCTTTTTTGCAATTAATTCACGATATATTTGTAATAAACTGACTCAAGTATAATAATTCCTATTCTGATCGATATGAAATGTATTTGATTTTTCAGAATCAGTGTCGTGACTTTTAAGAAGCAAAAACGTCACCTAAGTTTTTGAAACCTCGAAGAGACAGATTTGCAGTTGGTAGTTACAATAATTATATTTCATTAGAGATCAAATTTTCAAATTATAACAATAATATCATCATATTAAAATTGAAAAATTAGGTCCCTTATATTAAAATTGACTTTTCATCCACCATTACATTCTTATTAATAAAAAAAAGCATATTTTCACTCATTCAGTTCTATTTTAGCATATTTCATAATCAATACCCTTATAGTTCATTACATATATTTATTTAGTTTACAAATCTACAATTTATTAAAATGTCACTCCAATCTTTTGATCAATCGATAGCAATTAACATAAAGGTTGTTTCATTGATAGATCAAGTGATAAAAGGATCGATATATACGTATTCATCATCCAATGAAATTTTGGTTTTGAAGACGAGTACTGATAGTAAAGATCAACTGCATGAGAAAAATAGTAATATATCACAAACTTATAGAATTATAAATACTTCATTTATCAAAAGTATACAAGTTCTACCACCATTTCCAAGTAAAAGCGGTAATAACAAACGAAATAATAGTAGTATTCAACAAAACAAAAATCAAGATATAGAAAAAGTTAATATACAACCTATAAACATAGATGATTTAAAGCACTTTTTAAAAGAAGAAATTAGAAATTATGAACCTACACCAATCAACTTAGAGAGCACAACACCACTGCAAGTAACGAAATCATTCAAAAAAGTACCAGCGTTGCCACACAAACAACCACGACTTAATGATGATGGAAAAACCAATGACATAGCAACTAATAATCAACATGAAACAATCAAGTCTAATTCAAATCCTACGGACGGTACACTAAATCAAAATAAATCAATAGCATTAAAACTATATCATAAATTATCCGAAAAATTGGGTGTTAAAAATGTCAAAATTAATTCAAAACAAAATGAAATCATTGTTTATAAAGATATTAAGATAACAAAACCTTTTACGAATACTTCCAAAAATATTATCATCTTAAATAAGAACTCCAAATACTTGTTACAGTTTCAAAAAATATTGAAACAATTTTGGTTAGATATTGATAACGAAAAAAAAGGTGGTTAAATCTTGAATTAAAATATAATTTTATTATAGTAATACAAAAGATATAATCTGGTGTAATCACCTAGCAAATGTATAAGGCATTTCTAATATACGATTCTTTTGTCGCCTCTATTTTTCAAAATAAATCTCAATCGTTTTAAATACTTTAAGACCTTGCTGTTTCGTACCTTTGAAGCCATCAATATCTTCCCAATTAAAACTGATTACTCCAGCATCAATTTTCAATTCAGCATCTCGGTCGAACGGGGCAATTTTGACTTCACTTCTAGCATAATTATGTTGCGATTCAAAAAACATATTGAACCAAATGTAACAAAAATGCCCTATTCCAATCATTACATCTTCATTCACAGGAATTGGTTTAAAAAAATCATATACCAAGTTATTCTCATACTTACCTATATTGCAGTTTCTCAGATGTAACGAAGATAGTAATATTTTCACAATTGTGTTTGTCCTACCCTCTTGTTGTTGTACCAACTCATATTCAGACAAACTAATTAATACTTCATCTTTTGAACAATCAATTAACACAATTTTTGTAATTCTAACTAAATCTTTAGCCCGTACCCAATTCTCATAATTATATTTAACAACAGGATCTCTCAAATATATGTGCCAATACAATAAATACCGCCGTTGACTCAAAATACTAACCCCATCACCTCCAAAAGATCTCATTCTTTTCAAAGTATACCACAGAATAACCTCATCAACACTCAAATCTTTAGAATTGGCTAAAGAATCATAAATTAAAAATGCACAACAAATAGTTCCTGACCTACCTTTACCAGCTTTACAATGTAAAACAACGACATGCTCATCATTCGAATCTAGAAACTGACCAATAGCAAACACAGAATCCTTCAAAATTTTTATTGTCGGGGGATAATGGTCAGGAAATGGAAAATGCCGAACTCTATTATCAACTTGTTTATCTTCATATCCAGGTCCTTCACCTCTGAAATTAAAAAGCATCCAATTTTTCTCACCATGCTTGAAGTTTAAATACTTCACAAGATCTTCTAACGGGTACCTATACCATGATTCAATGTATGAAGTTGTCGGTGCTGAACTTACTATTACTCTAGAATTAATATACGATAAATCCAATTGTATATTTAAGTTTTGATCATAGTATATATTTTTTGGAGATGCAATAATAGATCTAATCAATGATTTTATCAACTTCATTTAAACTTTTTTGTTCTTTTCACTTTTCAATTTATGCCTACTTTATTCACATATATATTCCAGTCGTCATCATTCAATCTCTCTTTCATAACATCATTAGTTTGCTCAAAAGAAAAAGGGCGTGAAATAAGATTATGAAATTGTTAAGTGGTTGCCAAAATAACATTTTGCAGTTGATAATCAAAATATAGTAAATTACGCTACCAACTGTGATTTCATATGAATAAGGGCCATTGAAGGAAGTAAAACAATTGAGACTATATTCTATAAGCCAGAGTGTTTGACAAAGTATGAACTAACAGTAAGGTCAACTCTCTTATTACCGCGCTAAACTTTTTGATAAAAATGTTTGGATTCATTATAAAGATATTCTACAATTCATTTGGTTTATTTAAATCACTTATCTACAAAAGGTAGATACCTATAAATATGTACAATCTTTTACATCCTATAAACACTACCATAACTCTTTGTTCTTAATGTTTGCATTTACAACAAAGTCTAATCTTTCTTTCATCAACCATTTACCCTTTTTATTAAAAAGCACCACTTTGTCTCATTAACTCAGTAATCTTTTTTGTTAAGATAGGATCATTTTTAATTCTCTTTTGCATTTTAGTTGCTTCAGCAAAAGAAATGGCTTGTATTTTCTCTTCAATAGATCTTGCCAAATCACAACTTTCTTCAAATAATATTATAGCATCATCAACTTCATCTTTTTGTAATTTGATCTGAGCTAATGAAATTCTAGCTAATTCTGATTTTGGATCCAATTCACATGCTTTTACCAAAAGTGTTTCAGCTTCTCCTATTCTTTCTAAACTTTCTCTACTAATTACTGTTGCTTGGTTTATTAATGGTAAAGCTCCAACACTGAACCTATCTAATTTTTCTTGTAATCTAGACGAGATATCAAATTGTTTTAAAGCATTTTCTATTTCTCCTTTATCTGCCAAGATTTCACCATAATAGTTGGGGATTTCTGGAGATGTTGGGAATTTTAATTTTGCTTCTGTGAATTTTTCATAAGCTAGCTCTGGATTTCCATTCTTATATGTAATACAAGCCAATTGGATATAAGCATAAACGTTATTTGGATGTAATGATTTTGCTTTATTGAAATTAATTTCAGCATTTACTAAATCTCCAGTTAAATAATATAATTGACCCAAGTGATAGAAAGTATCTGGTGAAGTTGGATCTAATTCTTCAGCAGCTTTGAAGTCCCTGAGAGCTTCTTCATATGATGATTTATCAGCATTGATCAATGCTCTGAAAACGTAGGATCTTGGTCTTGGTTTCAAACTTATTGCTTGATTAATTGATTCCGCAGCAACGTTTGGATCATTTTTCAAGAATTGGAAAGCTGCTAAATATTCTAATGCAACTGCGTAGATTGCCTTTTTGGATTCATCATCTTTCAATGCATTAACAGCTTGGTTAATCAAAGTATCAGCTTCTTCATATCCATCTCTAGTGTTATTTTGAATTTTAATTAATGCATCATATAAGAATTTTTCACCACCCTCTTTAGCTTCACTCAAACTTGCTAATTCTTTTTCCTCATCAAATGCTCCAAAGAATGACCCAATTGTTGCAGCTGAAGGTAAAACTAGATTCTTCTCTTTTTGATCAACTATTTTGATGGAGTGTTTTCTCAAAACTCTTTCCAAAACTTGTTCGACTGATTTATTTGAAAATCCTCCATATATGGTTAATGCAGTTAAATCGAACATTGCATCTTCATATCTTTCCAATACTTCGTAAGATGTAGCTCTTCTTAATATACATTTAGTATAATCAGGTTTCAATTTGATGGCTTCAGTGGTATCTTTTATAACATTTTCATGATCGTCTAAAGCAGCATAACAAGCTGATCTATTTGAATAATAAATTGGATCTTTTTTCAAAGCTAAAGCAGCAGAATAAAAATCAATTGCTTTTTCATATTTCTTATTCTTGAACTCAGTGTTACCATCTTCCTTTAATTGAATAGCCCATTCTTCTTTTTCTTGATCGGATAAATTAGAAATGATTTCCGGAGTTAAAGCTGGGGATCCATTTGAGTTTATTGGATATTTGGTGTTTTTCAGGCTAACTTCCTTGGACTCGGCTGGTTCAGGACTTGATGATGACTTTGATTTCTTTTTCTTTTTGTTTTTCTTAGATGATGATGAGCTACTTCCAGCACCCCCAATTGATTTATCCTCGCTAGATGATTTTGAATCTTTAGGTCCAGGTGATGATGACGATGTTTCTTGTTGTTGACTGTAGTAATAGTAGGCACCAAAAGCGGATGTAACAGCTAATGCAGTCACTATGATTGCAGTCTTATTTTTGATGAAAAAATTATCTGACATGGTGTAGATGATATTGATATCTATCAGAAAGACTTTTAATTATAGTATTTATTATAGTAGAAATGGCAATTATTAAATTTTTCAATATGTAGAGTTTTTTTTTTCTACACAAATCCAGTTGGTAGTGTTTTGATATTCTATGTCTTTGGTTATTACATAATCCATATGTCATAATTCGCTAAGTAAAACAATTATCAAGCATAAGGTTGGCAGATGATGAAATATCCACTCAAAAACGAAGTTTTAAGAGAAATATAAAAAGGTGAGCTGATTTCTTATATGCATTTAATTTTGAGTCAGTACGGTCAAATTTCTCACGTTTTTGAATTTAAAAAAGTTGCGCTAAAGTTTGTATTGTAGTACGGATGTAGTTTTTAAATTCTGCAACACTACATTTAATGTAATCATATCATATGCCAATGACATTAAATGAAAAGGTTGTCAACGAGTTCAAACTGGCTCGGCCTTATATAATCTATACTTCTCTCGATTTGCATAATCTGCCTCTCAATTTGATTGAAATTTTAAAAATTTTGCAACAAATTTGTCCTGACATAGAATAGTAATCTAGCTTTTTTACACATAGAAATCAATTCAATTAAGGGGTATGCGAACTTCATGCAAACTATTCAAATATTACACAGGCGTATAAGAAGTTTCGTGATTCTATTCTAAATTATAATAATACTGTTCATGTTGTTGATACCTACGTCTAGCTCTCTGATGTTCACTATTGTCTTGATATGAACTTTCTAAAACAACATCTTCATAAGTTGGTAGCATTGCCGTTGGTTCATTCGTGGAATTTTCATTTGTCTCGTGATCTTGTATGTGTCCATTAGATTCATTATGAGATGAACCATTATTTTGGGGACTGCTGTGATTCATCGGACTTATTGATGAGTGAGAATACAGTCTTTCTGATGCTTTACTGGGAAGTGTAGGTGGTGGTGTATGTAATTGTGGTGTGTTATTGCTAGTTGAATTTTGTGATAAAGTAGGTATTGAACTTCTAGAAGCGTTGTTATGGAGCGTGCTTGTAATATTTAGTCCACTTAATACTTTGATATTGACACATTGTAAATCAACGTACTTAATTTTTTTGGAAAGTTCTGATTTATCCCTAAAGTCCTTAATTATTTCACAAGAAAATCCAGCTTTTATGTTAAGGTTATATTTTCTTGTAATATTACATGTTTTGAAACTGGGGGACAAATGATCAGGTAATATACAATTATCAAAATATTTACGAGGAATTTCAATTTCGTATATGGAATTTGTAGGTGAATTCAAATTATTTGATGAAACCGATGATGCGTTTCTATTCAATTGACTATGCATTAAATCAAATTTTAAATTTTGGTAGGTGTTATTACAAATATCAATTCTTTCTTCGTGTTGTCCCATGTGATACTCATTCGATGCTCCATCATTTTCTACTACTGAGACTAAAGTGGTCGATGTAAGGGTAATGGTAAGTTTTTGTAAGTATATAATCCCCAATCCATTTGATTCATCTGGTTTGCCATATTCTGCTAAACTATATCTTTGAGGATTCAAGCTTGAAATCAAAAATAACTTAAAAGATGGTGGTTTTGTAGGTATCAAAAACGCAGGATATCGAAATCTTATTTCAAATGAAAACGGTACATCCTTCGCATTAATCTCAGGTATAAATTTTCGAGGTTTTTCAGAACTTGAATGTGGAATTTGATGAGATGCTTGTGAATAAACATTTGACGTATTTAATGAAGACGAAACATTCGAGTCACTTCCAAACAATCTCAGAATTAATCCTTGTTTTTTCGGAGCTATATTAGGTACAGCAGGTAACGCTTTTTTCTCATTGGTTTTTCTTGTTGAATTTGTAGGAAATTTTACGCCAACAATCTCTGGTATTCTATTTCTGAAAATTAATTCTTTTCTAACAAATGCTTCTCTATAGTCTACCTCAAATTCTTGATTACCCAATAATGGTCTATTATTCATATCCAAATCCAAAGGTAGAAAAATAAAAGGATCATATGCTCTTAAATTAGTCTTCAAAAATGATGATCTTTTACAAGTAACTTTTAAAAAGTATTTTATTTTTGCAAAATCTCCTATACCTGATAATGAAGGAGGCAATTGGGATGTTATATGATAATGCTGTTGCTGATTTTGTGGAGGTTTTATCGATCCTTTTTGATTTGAACCATTTAAAGGTACTCCATATTCATTTATAAATTGATTTGCCTTATTTTTAACAAATGTAGAATTAAAATTACCATTATTTATCATGACATCAAATGTTTTAAGATTTAATGAAACTTTATTGGTGATTCCACCCATTTTAACACATGAATTATTCAATGGTATTTTAAATTCAAAACCATAAGAATAATTACCTGGGGCTAAAGTAAAATCTTTGGCTTGAGAAACTTGTCGTACATTATCCGGGGGAAATACAATTTGAGTATCGTACAATACTTTGTGATCATCTTTTATTAATTTTTCTTTCTTGTCTCTATCTTTTCTATTATTTAGTTGTTTTGGTATAGATAATTGTGTTGACGATATACCTTCTAATTTAACTTGTATCCAATTCAAAGTTATTGCTTTTGTAACAACTAATGTTACTGATCCTTTTATGATATCATGATTTGTAAAAGTTCCATCTGTGGTTGTACGATCAATCTCAATTTTAACATCTGACATATTTAAGTGATGTATAGAAGAATTGACAAGGACTTTTATTTGTAGTTTTTTAAAAATATGTTTTAATTTGAATCCTACACGGCTTTATTATTAAAATATTATATTGATCACCGGAGTTAATGGAATATTAAAATTGGTGGTTATAGATATATCTGAGTTTATTTATCAACGGTATTCACTAATGGTGTATATGATTGTATAATACAATGGATAAGAAGTTAAGATAAAACTCGATAATATTTCGATATAATATTTGATGGGAGTGTGATTTTTATGGGTATATAGATCTAGTGTAGTTTGAAAAATATAATAGCGTAATTATTAGAATTTCTATAAGTTCGGGTATAACACAATTTAATTTGATCCGTCAATTATACTTTGGTAATGAGGTAAGGTTGATCTATACTCTGTTGCAAGTAAATGATTTGTTATGTGTAAAGTGTTAGTGGACCCTTGAGCTATGTAGTTTTGTATCGAAAAGATAATTATTAATAGAAGTGCTTATTAGCCTAATTTGTAAATAAATATAAATTTATACAATTTCACTATCATTATATTATAGTTTTTGGTTATATAAGTATATTCCACAATCAACTAGCCAATTTTAAGATTTTAAGTTGATTCTAGGGTTAACCTAAGGCTGAAAGCTTGTTTACGAACTAAATACTACATTTAGATCTAGGCTAATACTAAGTTAAAAATAAAAAAATACACATCACTCTTGGAATTAATACAGCCCTCGCTAAATATTTTATAAATCTCATACCGCTAGCAACACTTGCGGATACAATACTTTACTGATTCATTTCAGTATTAAATTTTCTTAGAGTAGCTACATTTAAGAATTAATTTTATCTTTCGGAGTACGGCTTAGGCTAAGTAATATTTTAGTAGTCTATAGAAAAACCAAAGGACACATGGTAGTACGACATAGTGGCAGCTTATTTTGTTTTATAAGGAATCTTATTTCAACGCAATCTACCCTCATAAAAAAAAAGCATACAAAGCAATATACACATTTAATTCAACTCAATTGAATCAAGTCTTTTCTACACTAACTCAATTGGACTTTAATATACAATGTCAGAATCATTACCAAAAGTCGAAATCTTACAAGAAGGAGATGGTAAAACATTTGCTAAACCAGGAGATACAATAACAATTCATTACGATGGTACATTAACTAATGGGAAAGAATTTGATAGTTCTAAGAAAAGAGGTAAACCATTTACTTGTACCATTGGAGTGGGACAAGTAATTAAAGGTTGGGATATTTCATTGACTAATAATTATGGAAAAGGAGCAAGTTCCTTACCTGAAATTTCAAAGGGAACGAAAGCTTTATTGACAATTCCTCCGGAATTAGGTTATGGAAATAGAGGATTCCCTGGTTTAATTCCTGCTAATTCTACATTAGTTTTTGAAGTTGAATTGTTGAATGTTAATGGTAAATAAATAAATGATAGAAGATATCTTATATTTTCGAATAGAATACACAAATACTATTATATTTTTTGTTACACTTTTTAATTTTCTTTCAATCGTTGGAAGTTGTTTCAACCAAGAGTTTTTTCTAAGATAAAACGTAATATAGTGAACCATCCTTATATAATACATTGTTTTGAGTAACTGAAACTTGTAAATATATTCTATAATTAATATCAAAAAGATTCAATTTGGGTAATCTGACAACTTTTTTTTTATCATCATCATCCAGGTGCAACTTTAAATAAAATTGTATGATATATGAGCTGACAGGTTTGACGGTAAATGGAGCCAATTCATTAGCTGATTGATCTTCAAAACTTGGGTCAATTGACCAAGCTTTTAAGTCTACTAACTCACTGGTAAAATTTAATGATTGGGGAGTTGGATTTTCTAGAATATATTTGAGTTTAAATGTTGATTTGTGATAGACTTCTTCAACAACTAATAACACTCTAGGAGAGCATAAATGTAATAATGCTGACCATTCGGGTATGATGTATTCATTAATTGGTTCATCTTTCTCCCCTGATGATCGTTTCCATTTTATGGTTGTCGAAACTATTACTTCAACATTTCTATAACTGAATCCATTTTTGGTCTCTGTTATAAACAATTGACTTTTTGTATCAATACTGCCTTTACGATCATTTTCATAACCTCCCAACAATTGAATAGTTACATCTGGATTTCTGGATATGATATTAAACTCAACATTAGTAATTCTCGCATTAAGATTCAAATGATTCAAGTTAAAGCTACTCAATAAATCGGTAGTTTTTAAAATTAATTGCCATTCTCTTTTTAAGATTGGTGATTTCTCTCCTTCATTGTATTGAGGAAACTTCAAACTTTCGTCATATTTTGGTAAAGTAAAGTATTGACTATCGAAAGGTTTTTGCAATATTGGAACCTCAACAGTTTGAATCATATACGAATGAGATTCCGGTTCGATTCCTCCCTTCTGATCATTCCAAGAATCATCATCATCATCATATAATATTAACAGAAACTGCAAATTTAGTAGATCTAATCCGTATTGTCTACTGAAAATATTCAAATCAGCTAGTTTGTCTTCCGCGATAGACGACAACTTTAATGGTTCATCATCTTTTAAATCATTCCATGACAATGTTACCTCCTCTCCAGCATTATTTTTTCCCACAGAGTAACCTTTGTTCTTGACACCAACAGTTAAAGCTACCTTTTGGTTTGACTTAACATCATCGTTGTCAAAATTTATGCTGAAAGGTATTGTATATTTTTCACCCACTATGTAGCAATCAATATCATTGACGGGCACAATATTTATACTTGGTATTTTCGGGTGAACAACGATTGATCTATTTGATTCAGCCAATCTGATAAATTTAGGAATCTTCGAGTCACCTAGTTTTAAATATCCAAAGTTATTTATAGGATTACCAAAAGCATTGGAATTTGTTTTTTTAGATGCCAAGTTATGTAATTCAATTTTATTCGATCTAATAATTTTGGTTCTTTCTTTGTTTTTAATTTCAATTACTATTTGTAGTTTTACCACTTCAATTCCATAAGTTCCCGAGTGAGTTATATATTGCTCATGTTGTAAAGTCATTGGTATATGATCAAAAGTTAAATTTGCCGAACCAACAAATGTTTGCTCTAATTCCTGACCTTTTACATGGATAATGTTTGTATCTTGTTTTGTTTTGGTTGGATCATGACTTATTGATATATTCTTTATTCCTTTATTTTTGGACACTTTGTCTAATCTAGTGAATGGAATATCAATTTGCTTCAAGGAAGCATATACATCTGAGCCTGAAGGTAGTAAAGTTTTGAGTGTCAGTAGGTTTATTTTTGACTTGAGACTGACTTGAAATAATAATTCATCTCCAACTGTCGTTGTAGTAGTCTCATTAAGACTATCATTAACTTTTTTTTTGTCTATCAAAAGCACATCAACAACGAACAATTCGTGTAATTTAGAATCCAATAAATCAATTTCAACTTTATCACCATCAAACTCAAATATATTATCACATAAATTTGCAATTTTATCATCATCAAATACGAAGGAATGAGGAAAAGTACTTAATTTCAAAATTGTATTGAACTCCAATTTTTTACTGTCTAATATAGAATAACATTTTAATAATTTGACCAATATGACTTCACTTATGCTCAACCATTTCCCATCACCCAAAGAACTATAAGACATTTCTAAGAAGTCTGATGACTTTTTATAGTCTCCAATTTTAAAGTATTCTTCACCCAACAACCAATTAATATAAGAGATTACCAGGACTAAACTGTCACTACCCGAAATCAGCGATTCATTCATTGCTTCCAGTTGAATTGACTCTAATGACTCAATCGATTTCTGTAACAACTCTATTCTTTTACCCAGTTCTGAATTTAACTCAAATGCTTTCAAATAAATTAAACCAGGGTTACTAATCAAATCAAATTCTGGTGTATGAATTCCACCAAAAAAAATAGTCAGACTAATTCCATTATTATTGCTGCTTCTTGAAACAGCGGTAGTATTTAAATAGTTTAGCATGTTATATGGAATCATATCCATTAATTCTGCTAACCATTCATATTGTTTCGATATCCATTCATGATTCTCTTTTAGTATCTCAACTACATTTATAATATGAGTTTTATGTTTTCTTAACGATTTGACAGGTTCTTCAATTGCAAAGTACCCTCGTACAATATGGAATGCAATTATATCTAAAATTGTTCGTATTTGAGCTATTAGTTTATTATCATGATCCAGTAAATTTATTGCATACATGCTATCCAATAACCCAATTAAATCTTGATAAGCTACTTCCAATAATTTTATACTAGGTTCCAAATTACTAGGATTGATAAATTCGCCCATTATAGCTTGTTTAATCAAATTTCTAATTTCAAGAAATTTAGGAGTTAGTTCAATCGAAGTGTCAATTGCATCTGTGGATGGCATGGTATAGTATTTCTTATGTCTTTGTTTAATCCTGTATTCTATATTTGAATAAAAATCATGAGATATTTTCCATAAGTTTGATAGTATTGAATTAACGACTATTTCAACGTCCCTATCTATTGTATTCTCTGTATCGACCAATTGGTATAAATATCCCATTTTAGGGAAATTCAATTCAGATTTTATTTTATCAATTGTGCTCTCATCAATTGAATTATTTTGGAAAATTAATAGTACGACCAATTTACATTCAATCTCTTCTAATTCCGTTTTCAACTTTTTTAATCGAAGTATCAATGCATCAACCTTCTCTGCTGCCCCTTCTGTCAGTATTTCACAAACATATAATATTGCAAATGGAATCTCATTAATATATTTTTCAAACCACTGATGAGTTAAAATCCCATTCGGGAATATATCAGATTCCTGATTAAACGGTGACAATAAATCATGTTGATTTGGGATTTTATTTTTTGACGGTATTCTTAAATTCTCATCATAATCAATTTCAATCAAGTATTTCGGAGTTGATAATCTGTTTCGTATTAAGCAGTTATCCCACTGTTTATTTCTCACATTATTTACATTAAATTGTGATACTAATTTTATCGTAATTTCATTATTTTTTAAAGTTGGTGGTATATGGATTCGTAGAAATGGATTTAATTGTTGTAAAAATGCCGGGTTATAATTTTCCATTGAAATTGAATCAGTCGGAACCAGATAAATTTCGTTCCTACGATTTGTTTTTGGTGATAGTTTAGATTGATAAAATGTATGGTATTTTGATCTAGTAGTAATGTCGGAAAGATTAGTTTATTTGACGTCATTCAAAATTGGACTTCTGAATCTTATTTATCGCTTAGTAACATCATATTGAATTAACCTTTTCTTTATAATAACATCGATTATAACATTACATCGCAAATGAGTGATCCAATAAATGCAAATCCAACGATTATAGACGTAAATAGCTTACCCACAAGACTTGACTCAACAACAAATTATGAAAATCAAACAATATATGAAAAGAATAAGAAATTAATTTCACAAATTACATCATTATCATTATTTAACAATGACGAAGAAATATCATCGTTAGAAGAATCTTTGTCCGAACTATCTAACTCAGAAGATATAGAGGAAATAGACGAACAAGAGATATTCGATTTAATTTCAACGATATCTGATCCAGAGCATCCTTTAACATTGGCTCAACTAGCGGTAGTAAACCTTGAAGACATTCACATTGAAAAAAAACCACATGATCAAATATCACAAGTCACAATCAAAATCACACCAACTATAACGCATTGTTCCCTAGCTACTTTGATAGGTTTGGGAATTAGAGTAAGATTGGATAGGAGTTTACCTGCGAGATTCAGAATTAAGATATACATAAAAGAAGGATCTCATCAATCGGAAAATCAGGTTAATAAACAATTAAATGATAAAGAGCGAGTGGCTGCTGCGTGTGAAAATGATCAGTTGTTAAGTGTCATACTGCAGATGCTAAGTACATGTAAATAAGATTGGAAAATGTTTATTAATAAGTAATCTGAATTGAAAAGTGTCTAATTATATATTACAGCATTTAAAGTCATGGATGTTTGATGATTTATCAAAATTAAAATTCAACATAGTTGGTTATCATTGTATATAGATCAATGATGATGAATTTAAATAAATATTTTTTTATGAACTCTAAAAATTTGAATAATTTTCCGTTATTATTAGCCGGTCCATCATATATGTATTTTGAAATTGTCAAAATGATATTGTTAAGTTTTGAAACTTGTAAATAATAATCACTTTTGTCCTTCAATATGTCCTTCAATTTTTGCAATTCTTCATCATTACTAGTCTGTATCGGTGTCGGAATAATAGTACTAGCAGATACAAACGATGAAACACTAGAATTAGTACCCGAACTGTTTGAGTTATTTGATAATGAGAATTGAGCACCATTTAAATTATTTTGACTGTTTGCACCACCAGTATTCTTCAATCCCATGCTTCTTCGCCTTGAACCAATTGATGTTGTACCGGTATTTGTTGTGCTGATACTGCTTCTATTACTACCCCAACTATGATTCGATAAGTTGGAATTTACAGAGGATGTTGATTCTCTGTTTGTATTCTTTTTCATTCTGTTATAAAGTTTCAGTTTTGATAGTATTGAGTTTAAAGTTGAGGAAGATGATAACGAAGTTGAAGATTCATAGTTGTGGTTGTTATTATTGTTGCTTTCTTGACGAGGACTCTGAAGTTGCTCATTATGATGTGATGTAGGGCTTATATTGTCTTGATTTGAAGGAAATCTAGAACTTGATAGTTGAGGAGGGGTTATAGAATTCTTATTCATTTCATTATGTTCAGGTGATGAAATATGACTTTGCTTCCCAGTGTTATTATTACCACCCAAAAATGAAGAAAATCTTCTTTTGGATATTGAGCTTCCATTACTCATACGCCTATTTTTATTATTTGAATTATTCGATATATTTGATTTGTTGGAAATTGTACGATACATTGGTTTACCGACACTGTTGAACTCTTCATCCTCTTCATCATTTTCTTGTAATGTTGAACTGATCATGAACATATTATTCCCGATACTTTTAATGTTGTTGTTCAGTTTTTCCTTTAAAGGTGAATCGTAAAATTTATAAGCAATTAATAACTTTGAGTAGTAGTTTAAAGTAATTTCTTCAAAACTTGTATTGCTTAATAAATTTTGTAATTCTGTTTCCATCATCCCATTAATTTCGCTTAACATTGTTATTTTGACTTTAACGTCTTTGATAACTAAATCATTTTTTAACCATAAATCCCAAGGTATTATCACTTTTGAGAATAATTCTTGTGGTGTAGCACTATTATCCCTAATTTTCTTCAACAATTTCGAGTTTTTATCACATTCAAGTATCACTGAAGGATCTTTTAAATTTAGTATTTTGCTGAACATAGATATCATGGGTGTATATTGAGTTAAATTATCTTGACGTGCTAGTGGTGATACAGTTGTCGATTGGTCAGACAAACTTAAGGTTAAATTATCAAACGAATTTGTGAGTTTGTTTATCGAACCAATTCGTGAATCTCTGTATTCATTAGATTCCATATCTCTCGGTGATGATCTTGGTGACATATTGAAGGTATGTATTGTATTTGACGTGAATTTGGGCTGTTTCCCTTGATTGAACATCTGTCGTGATTGAGGGGGTTGATGATCTACCGCATACATTATACTTTTTTAGTGGCTAGCGGTACAATCAGTGGTGTTGAATGAATGAAATTGAATGTAATTTGTAAATTTAAGTCTTTGCTTGATAAATTGATAGAATGTTTTGAATTTTACAACTAATTTAAGACCTAACCTATATTCAAATTTGAAATGAAATTGTTGTCCAAATCAAACCTTTATTCCTGTTTAGTTCCAGTACTAATGTTTATACTGCAGTGGTTGTTTTATTTGACAATTATCTATGCCTAATCTTGTATAATCTATTTATTTGTTTTTAGTTATATTTAAAACAATATTTAAACAATTTTTCTTTAAAGTTATTTTTATTACAATAATATAAGGTCGTGTGATTATCGAATAAGTTACATAACGTATGGAATGTTTTAAGATTTAACTTTAAATAAATTATTTTTTAGATTGTTAAGACGTGTTTCATGTACCTTGCACGTAAAAGATCATATAGTAGAAGAGTCCACATACATTATGAGTGTATGAGCTGATAAACGCTAATTTGGTGGACGAAGATAATTTCGACTTTCAAAAGCAATTGATAATTTGAAAGTGTCCTAGCCAGCGAATTTAATACAATATGCATCAAAATAAACTACTATCGAAAAAAAAACCCTTATTCAAAAATTCGTAAATTGCAAATCTCGATTCAGATTTCACGACACGGCTAGAAATGAAAATAAAATAAACAAAACCTGAGTATATCAATTCGTTATATTATAGTTATTGACGATTTAAATTTAATACTGAAAGAAAATCTATTTATTTAAATTAATTTTTTCCATTATATTTGGTTCTACCAACCAAATCGTCAGCCATAACTCTAATACTAGACCAGAAAACATTTTTAGGCATTCTTGTACCTAATTCAGTTTCAAAATCATATAATCTCTTTACACTAGTAAATTTCAAATGTGAACTTTTAACACCTAAAACGGAAGCCGTCGATACAAGATTTTGGTCATCATGAGGATAATCTAAAACGTATCTGTATTTATCCATCTTATCTGTATTTTCCTCAATGAATTGTACTGCTTTAATAGCAAACCTATCTGCTCTTGTTCTGTCTATAGGAGAAGGTAGTCCACCTTGTTGTACATGACCTGGAATGGCTGTTTTAGTATCAAATTCTCCATTACACTCAGTGTTTATAATATCAGCTAACACTTTTGGTGTAAGAACCTTACTAGCATTAGAAGATTTAATTATTAATTTTCCAGCTTTAGTTAAATTTTTTTCAACAGCAAATGATTCACGTAAAGAATTTATATCCATTTCTAGTTGTTGTAAATGTATTCCTTCTTCTGGAACATATGATGCTTGAGCTCCACTTACCAAAGAAGCAAAAGTGGCAATATATCCAGAATTACCTCCTTGGACTTCTATAACAAATGCTCTACCTTTTGTTGCTGATGCTGATTGCTTTATTATATCACAATAATCCATTAATGAATTAAGACAAGTATCTGCTCCCAAAGAATATTCAGTACCTGGAACGTTATTTGAAATAGTAGCAGGAACTAATACCATAGGTATTCTAAAAGCAGGATACATTGATCTTGCATTTTCCAATTGATATAATGAAACAAATGCTTCAAATCCACCAACTATTACCAATCCATCGAATTGATATTTTTCAAAATAATGAGCTATCATACCTAAATCAGTTTCTTCTGGAGTTTGTCTATTTGTACCAATATTTGATCCACCAACACTATTCCATCCTTCTATATCTAACCATTCAATAGATTTTATTGATTCGTGTCTTGATAATCCAGAAAACCCATTATGTATAGCATACGGAGTATGACCTTTAGACATACAATACGTTGCAAATGCATAAACTGCAGAATTCATACCACCAGCTGGTGCACCAATATTTATAATAGCAAATTTTTTTCTTTTATCAACAGGTAAAATTGGTTCTTCATGATTAGCACTATTCATTGCAATAAAATTCGATAAATGCTCTTTGAATTCAGAATCTCTGAGGGACATAGCTTTATCAAAATCTTTTTCGGCTATAGCGTCAGCTACAGATTTAGTAATTTTCACCGCTTCTACCAAAGGTTTTCTAACGATTTTATTCTCATCAATTGCAATTAATGGTGATGATGTGGTTGGGTCTAATTCTAACACCGCCTTCACCGCCTCAATTCCTTGTAAAGTTGCTAGTATTCTATCAAATGCAACTGCGGTACCACCTCTTTGAACATGACCTAAAGTGGTTATTCTTGTGTCTAATTTTAATCTATTAGCCAAAACATCTTTAACATCTTCCGCACTTATTGATTTTAAATCTGATGTTATTGCTCCTTCAGCAATTATAACTATGGTTTTCCTCTTTCCTGCATCTCTATGTTTTTTAACAATTCTACTCATTTGATCTTGCCAATCTTGACTTGAACTAGGTTTTTCTGGTATGAATATATAATCAGCACTTGTTGCTATACCAGCCATTAAAGCTAACCAACCGCAATGTCTACCCATAACTTCCACAACAAATGCTCTACTATGAGAATTTGCAGTAGCGTCAATATAATCTATAGCTCGACAAATTCTTTCTAATGCAGAGTAACAACCGATAGTTGAATCAGTTGTTGCCATATCATTATCTATTGAACCAACAGTTCCACATATGTATAGATTTTTATGTCTCTCGTATTGCTCTTCCGTTATTTCTTTTTTCTCCCTTAACTCAGAGATTAATGAAGGCCACTCACTTCTAAATAAATCTGCACCAGTCAATGATCCATCTCCTCCACATACAATTAATCCATCTATTCCAGCATCAATTAAATTTTTACAACCTTTCAATCTACCCCATCTTTCTTTAAACTCCATACATCTAGCTGTTCCAATATTTGTACCACCATCAGTTAAATAACCACGAACGTCTTGCCATTTCATTTCTTTTATGTATTCCTTACCACCTTTGACTAAACCTGAATAACCTTCCATTATAGCGAATGCTCTTGAACCTCTAAAAATCGCTGCTCTGACTACTGCACGGACACATGCATTCATTCCCGGAGCATCTCCTCCTGAAGTCATAATCCCGATATTTCTTCTATTTTTAAAATGACTTAATAACCCTTCATTTTCGTTTATTTTTGAATGCAATTGAGTATCATTAGATCCACCATGTTTAGGGTGTGATTTTTGAATTGGAGGAACAACGGTAAGAGGTTCGTTACATGCAGTGAAACCCATTATATAGCCTAGTGGATCTATTATATATGCTTCATTTGGGTATAATTCATTAGGAGTGATCTGTAGTTTGAAGTTTGACTCATTTAATAATTCAATTAAATCAACTAAATTTGCAACTTTCATAACATATGTAGTATCTAATGATCTCCAATCCACTATGTTCAATTTTGATTCAATTTGATTTTTTCTTTCATTAATTTCTTGTTGATTAAGCCCTACATCGGGATCTAATTTTATTTCAATTATTATCTTGTTTTCATCATTTGTTAAATATGTGGTATTGTTATTTTGTGAATGTCCAATTAATCCTAGTATATATGTGTAGAATGATATTGCTTCATTGAGTAATGATTTTGAACCTGCAACTAAATAAATTGTTGAAGTACCGTTGACTAATGATGACATTTCTTTGACTAATTGCTCTAACAAGAAAACCACCGAGTTTTATAATGCAATTGGCGTTGTGTAGTTTGGTGATTTAAGTTAATTTAAATAATAGTGTCGGAGATCTTAATTTAGCAAAAGATTAAAATGATGTTTTATCTCACAAAAAAATATGGTCTTAATTTTATTTTTCGGTTGATTGAATTGCGAAAGAAGTTTACCTTCAATTCAAACTAGTATAACCACTTATTCTTTCATTCGATGTCCGTTTCCTTTCTAGACATCAATGTCTTGCAGATGAATGAATACACAGTATTTTTTAAACTCCACTTCTTGCTCTTGACTTTCGCATTACGTTGGGCTAATAGACCAGAGAGGTTTTATACATTACGTCATTGAGAAGAATCAGATACATCAATGTATTCAAAATTCCAGCAATTGATAAACTGAATTCTCAGAAATGATGAGTTATACTTTGAATTCTTTTTTAAAACAAAGTCTCATATTTCGATAATGTCAAGATGTAGAAGTAATTGTTGTGCAATATTGCACCTTGCGGTATCTTTAACACGTTGTCCATAATCAAAAATGGTGAGAGGTGCTAAATTGAAAAGGTTGAAATTCGTTCTGAGATTTGACTACGATGAACTATATCTTTGAATTTCTTCTTGAATTTATACTGGCTGCAAAATTTGGACATTTTATAACTTCAAACATCTGATCCATTTGGTAGTGTAGATCTACTCAAATCATAATACGATACTGTATTAAAATTTTTCAACAGTTAGTTAGTAAATACTGTATATTAATTTTACATTTTCATAATGAATTAACACTAAGTAAATTAAGTGAGAAAAAAAATCGAAACTTAAGCAAATCAAGAAGTTGAATATTAAATAGACATTTAGAACGATATATCCCATATAAGATCGCGAGTACAATGTCTGTTCAACAACCAGCAACAACACCAGTACCAATTCAGGATTTGTCCAAATTATCTGTCCCAACATTACCAAGTGTAACACCACAACCACCAAAACAAAATTCATTATGGTCATCTAATCCAGTATTTTCATATTTAAATGATGTATATTTAACTATAAGTGAGCATAGAAAAAATTTAGGTTTGACAAATCCAGGAACCATAGAAAATTTGAATAAGGAAGTTAGTAGAGATGTGTTTTTAAATCAATATTTCTTCACAGGGTTAAGAGCCGATTTAAACAAAGCATTTTCTATAAATCCTGCTTTTCAAACTTCCCATACTTTGAGTATGGGCTCACAAGTTTTACCTCCATATGCATTTAGCGCTTTATTTGCTGCCGAAGATTTTTTTTTACAAGGTAATATAGATAATGATTATAATTTTAGTGGTAGAATCAACTATGGTTGGGATAAATTTAATATTTCTAAAATCACTTTACAATTAGCTCAAACACAACCTTCAATGGTTCAATTGGAACAAGATTATCAAGGAAATGATTTTTCAATAAATTTAAAAACATTAAATCCAAATTTCATTTATGATGGATTTTCTGGAGTTGCAGTTGCTTCTTTGTTACAAAGTTTAACTCCTAAATTTGCTTTAGGGTTGGAGGCCATGTATTCAAAACAACCTTTAGCTCCACCAGATACCGCTGTTTCATATGTTGCGAGATATAATAATAATGGGAAATGGATCGCTTCTGCTCAAGTACAAGCTCAAGGAGCCCTAATTGCATCATTTTGGAGAAAAGTAAGCGACAAAGTTGAAGCAGGTTTAGAAACTCAAATCGCTGCTACTATGAAACAAGTTGCTGATCCTTTAATGGGAGTTGGATTTGAACCAGTTATTGAAGGAACTACAACCATTGGAGCAAAATATGAATATAGAACTGCTGTCTTTAGAGGTCAATTAGATTCCAAGGGAAAAGTTAGTGCATTTTTGGAAAAAAGAATTTTACCAACAGTATCGGTGTTATTTAGTGGAGAAATTGATCAATTTAAATCTACCTCAAGATTAGGTTTAGGTTTACAATTTGAAGCTGCTGGTAATGAACAATTAATGATGATGCAACAAGGTTTAGTCGATGCCAATGGTAATCCAGTCCAAGGCGTAACTGTTGTATAAAGAAAATGAAAAGGAAAAGTGATGATTAACCAAACTAAATAATGAACATCAAAAACGGATAATAAGTACTTGATCAGCCTATTTTCGATTTTTGTTACTAAATTATTATTGTATATAGAGATAATGATATATTAAAATACACGATAGGTTTGCTATTATTAAGTTGTACATTTATCAAACACCATCTACAAACTCATTGCAAAATTTAAGAACTTTCAAAACTCTTGATTAGTCTAGGTGGAAATCTGCTTTCATTTGTTAACGTTAAGAATGAGGAAGGACCTTAATTTGTCTCAAATTCAATGCGTGAAAATCAAAAAGCTATACGATGAATATTTTACAGGTTTAAACTCCTCCAATACCTCATTAAAATAAGTTCGAAGTTGTTCAGTGAATGACTAGTCCATTGAAATCAGAAACTCCTATGACAGGGGAATTGGCGACAACGCCATTTTTTCAACAACAAGCAGACAACTCAAATTTGAATATTGATAAGGAACATTTTAACTATCAATCAACTAATCCAACAGATAAAGATCATGTACAACAAGGTGGCACAAACAATGATATACTACCGCAAGACTTGTTAGACATAGATTCAAACTTACAATACCTAAATACACAATCGGATGCTTCAAACACAAATACCACTGAATTTCAAATGAATAATGATTTAATGGATATTGATCAATTACCAAGTGATTTAACGACTGACCAATCCACTTCGCCAAAGAAAACAGAGCTACAAGATGGGGCACAAGTAGACTCTCATTTATCCACTCAAGAACAACCAAAAGAAGAAGATGATCCAATTATCAAAATTAAACAAATTGAACTACTACCAGACCTATACAAAATTCTATACAATATCTCTCAAAATAAAGCATCATCGAAAGATTTCGTTAATTTGTCAAGTCTAACAAGATCCAAGATCAATAATTTGAAGAATATAATTAAAGAAATTGATGGAATTAATATTTCACCAAATATTATGATGGAAAAAATTCAATTGATTCATGAAAACAACCTCAAAAAACAAGAATTGATGAATTCTTTGATATTGAAAGTCAATGAGAAATTTTCGTAGCGTGAATAATTGATGAGAATATGACGATAATGTTTTTAGCGACTCTTTTTAACGTGCTCTTGTCACTCTTGTGCTAGATCTGTCTCGGTCCCAAAAAAAAATCAGTTTTGACGTTTATGGCTTCTCAAATCGATTAAAACCAACATAATCCGACACATTCCAGATAGTTCATGTCAATTCGCCAAACAATTCATTCTATCATTTAATTTCTACATAAAGCAATCAAAACAGGAGCATTGAACAACACATCGCAGGAGGAATCATCCCATTGTACAAATATCAAATAGCAACATCAACTAAAGCATCAAAACATTTTACACCAGCATGGATGGACTGAATACAACACCTATACGATTTCCGTCAACATCAGAAACATCACCATTCAATAAATTTCCACCATCTTATGAAACTCTTAAGCAGACTCCGGCGTTTACTGCTGGATTCACAATATTCACATTAATTTTATGTATTTTGAAAAATACATATAATGTGAATATGGATTCACTAATCTTATATCCTAGATCACCTTTGGACTTCAATTTGAACGCAATATCATTTTATTCCCTAATCCACGTTAGTTATTTACATTGGTTGCTTAATATCATGGCACTTTTTACACCGTTAGCAATGTTTGAAAAAAGACATGGTACAATATACACAGGTATAACATTGAATTTATTAACTGTTATTGCAGCCTTACAATACTGTATTGTGGGACTTTGGCTTTATCCAGAAACCGGAGTTTTAGGATTATCAGGAATTGTATTCTCATTCATGAGTTTCATGGCATATCATGAGTATCAATATAAACCTATATTAACAACAATTCAACTAGGTGGATACGACATTAAAATATATACATTATCAATCCCATTTCTTGCAGCTTTAATATTTTTCATCATTTTTCCATCAAGCTCATTACCTGGTCATATATTTGGAATAACAACAGGTTACTTATTAGCTTATGGTTTAATAAGCAAGTTATATCCTCCTTCTCATATTTTGTCAAAAATTGAGAAAACTTTGGAAAAAGGAATTTCTAAGTTGGAGCCATTAGTTACATACTTCAAGGAAGATGATGCAGTGACTATTAGAGGTGTTACATATATTCCATTGTTGAGCGAAGAAGATATCGAAGTGGGCAGTGGTCGTACTAGAGGTACAAGTACAAGTATAGCTGGAGGATTACAACCACCTCAAGCTACACGATCAGCATCATATGTGAGAGAGTCAAGGGTACTAGGAGAGGCTTAAGCAATTAATAGACACATAAGTTATTGTTTACAGGTCAATAACAATACATTTTATCATATGGGATCTGGCTTTGCGACCAATGCTGGATCTGATTTTGTAAATTACTATTTTAATTAAAACTAATGGCCTATTACTTTTCTAATATTATTACTGCAAAATGAAAAATTTGTAATAATTTTCATCGATCTCTGATTCCCCTGTATGAAATATATCATTTCAGAAGTATGCATGAAATTAGTAACTTTAAGTTTAGCAAATTCATCTGCTCCTTACTGGAGTACATTGTAATGCAGTGCTTGCATCGCTCAACGGACATCTTGTTCCCCAGATATATCAAAGTAGCGACACTTAAATTGTTTATCATTTACATCATGTATTTGACAAAAAAACATTATCAAGGTACATTATAAGATTAGGAACCAATTCAAATAATAAAGCCGAAATTTGATCAAAGAACGTAAATCTTGTTCTCAATGTTTTGACAACAAATTCGTGAAAGTATGGTATGTCAAAAGTTATTTGGTGACTTGAAAAAAAAAAATAGTCTAATATTGTAAGTTATACTAATAAAATAAATAAAGTTTTTAATTTTTCAATTTAGTAAATACAACTGTTTTTAAGTTTAAGAACGACAAAATACGTTGAATGAATTGATTGAAACTAAGTATATGTATAATTGGCAAAACTGATAAATAAAAGTGGAACTAGATAAATCAGCGAATAGTAAAAGTTGGTTGATATTTTCATATAATCTCATTTAGCTATGCTAAATTCTAATAAAACAAATGGGGAAATACACAATAATAACAACGGTTATCACAAAAAGTCATTTACCTATAACGACGAATCTAGTAAATCTATACAATCAGGCACAGTAACTGAAACAAGTAACGAAGAATTGAGGAATAAAAAGAAGAGGAATAGATTTAGGAATAAACAATACAAAAGATCTAGCCAATCAAATCAACAACCAGATCAACCCCAAAACAAGGCTAATGAGGCAAGGATACTGAAAAGAGAAGACGAAAAAGTGGAAGAACAACAACAAACTCAACAACCAAGCCCAATGTTTGAAACCTCAACTCAGACTAATCCCATCAGTACAATTAATTCCAACCCCACAATTCACACCAATAGCTTAATCAAATCATCTACACAAAAGGACTTGAAAGCAAATTCTCCCACGACTCCTCGATTACAACAACCTCCCATAATTAACGAAAGTCAAAATGAAGTGCTACCTCACCAAGCCTATAAATCCCCTAGAAAAGAAGCCATCCTAAGACATAAACAAAGTAACGGAAGTAAAGAATCAAAGAACAATCAATCAAATTATCGAGAAAATTTAAAATCGAATAAGGATATACCATCGCCCAAGTCGTTAGTCCATTATGGCAATCAACACCACGACACCGCTCAAGACCCATCAATGAATTTAAAGTTGGATGAAAAAGTTACATTATTCAAATATAGATCATCAAAAATATTGGAGTTGGTTCACAAGAATGATATAAATGGTTCCTTATTAGCACATGGAGAATTCGAAATTTTTCAATTACACAATGGCGATATAACTTATTTGTCATGTGGTGGTGGAAAACTGTTCATATATCCATTACTACCTAAGATTAAAATATCTAGAATTGAGTTTAACAAATTCATCATACATTTAATTAATCCCAAAAGATTCTGGAAGATTTTCATCAATAGTGACGAGAAAAATGTTATTGAGATTTTACAAGGAACTTTGGAGAGGAATGTCAAATATGAGAACGAGTACAAATTTGATTCTGAAGAAGACGAAAAGCAAAATCTGGTAAGTAACAAGATAGAGGAAAATAGGACTCCAGAAGAAGACGAAGAGCAACTGATTTACAAAAGATTGGATATGAAACCTAGAGAATTGATGGAGGATAGCCCTCAGAATCTTGATTTCAAAACTTCGTCTAACAATTTTATTGATAATATAATCCCTGACTCCCCACCATCTGCTCCGATATCTCCAACTCAGGATATCATCAAAACCTTTGACTTAGATCCAGTGAGAAAAGAACAACCACAGTATGTTCATCCATACTATTCACCAACGTCCTTCAATCAACCAAGCAAACTCAAAAAGCATTCATCATTACAATCAATGAATACCAATGTTGCATGTTTAGATGTGGGTCCAAAAACACCAAATCAACATATTATTAAGAGTTCAATACCTGTACATCAACAACTACAAAACCCCTACCAAGCAGGTATAAATAATCGTCCCAATCATAATCACAGTCACAATCACAATCACAATCACAATCACAATCACAGTCACATTCCACATCAGTTTAAAAACAACTTTATACCAATCGATGAAAAGTCTGAAAGTTCAATGGATTCATTACTAGATGAATTTGAAGAATCATTAACAAAATCAGTAAAACAAAATATAGTTGGAGGTGCTACATCAACCATTTACTCAAGACCACCTTCTATAATTCAACATTCAGTTACTTCTCAGCATAATCCAATACCATTGTATTCCCGAGGTAAATATTTTGATGGTAAGATTGAGAATGATGAAGAGTGCGATGAAAATTATAACCAGAAGAATAAAGATAAACAGGAAGAGATTACAAGTTTGAATGATGGATTTAATAAATCACACAGTTATAGATATCATCCGAATGAAGGGCTTCATTCAAGTCGAAGTAGACGATCTTCAAGAAGTGACTTGTACACGAATGAAAGTGGTTGGATGGAACCAAATATTAAGTCAAAATTAATTCCAACTAACGCCAATCACAATCACCAATCGATAAATGGAAGTGTTTATAGCAGGTCAAAATTACCAAAATCGAGGTCAAATCAATCCATAAGTAGCTCCGTCTCCCACAATCAATACAACAATTTAAGCAATATTTACAGGTCAGTCATTGGTCAAAAATTACACGATAATGGAAACATACAAAATGATTATACATCGGTATCATCAGTCAGATCAATGTCAAGATTACCTCCCCGAATAAATCCACAGCATCAAAATCAAATTGATTTAAATTTAAGGAGACAAAGTTCATATTTGAATTCAAAACCTAACATAAATCAATCAAATAATCCTAGTGAAAAGATACCCATTAAAACAAATGCGAATTCTAAAAATCTCAATTCAAAGGAAATATATCAAATTTTAAGCTCAACATCAGCTCAAGATTTGAAACGAAACAAAAACTCACTACCTCAAAATCAAAACAACCAAAAAAAACCAATTCCAAAATCTACAAGCTTTACATCAAGATTATTTGGATGGTAGAAATAAAAGTATCTTGGGTGTCTACTGGAAGTAGTTATGATTTATCACATGACTGCCAAAAGTTGTCAGTAACATATATTTATTTATTTATTCATTTTAAATATTAAAACTAACGTACATATAATACGTAGATTTTGAGGCTAAAACTGAACAAGTTGGCTTTTTGCTTCTTTTGTAAGGACGCTTGAGGTTCTTAAACTTGAAATTATAGTTTATTTATGACAATGAAACAAACAGGTTTAATACTGTTTCAATGATTGTTCTCTATGAAACTTTACTAATTTTCTTCATGTTTAATTTCCCATATGTTTTTGATCTACAATATAAGAATTAGACTAACTCCGAACAGACATCGGACTTAAGTTGTTGCTTGTATACAGTACCGTTTCTATAGTGAGAAAGATTTCATATGCGAACTTATTTATTACCCCACCAAAATGAAAAACTCAGTTTATTCTTTGAACGTTTAAATTCAATTTAAGTCATCCACATCATCATATAGTTACGTGAAACTTTATAAATTAGGACGAATTTTTTAATATAAGGTGTTAATTTTAAAGTTCAAATTCCAATTATCATATCAAAATTACTTTGCAATAGTTATCAAACAACCACCAGCTGAAGATTCCCTCCTAAGTCATAATCAAAATGAGTAAGCCAAGTAGTAATAACAAATCTAAGATCAATTCTGCTTCAGCAAAACCAATTCCAAAGAATGCTAAAACTTCAAACGGTAATGGTACAAAGAACTCAGAAAAGATTGCAACTCCTCAATTGGAACAAGTTGAGTCATCTTTAAGTTCACCAAGTGCTCCAAGTTCACCAGTTGAAGAGCCAAATTTAAGTCATAGAGTTTCAATTAAAAGAAGTTCAAATGCCTCCAGTTTAATTGATATTGCGGAAGGTAAGAATGAAAATTCATCTGAAAAGAAAAACTCAACTCCATCCAAAGTACCAACTGATGTAGCATCAGGTCGAGCAAATTCAGTCAAATCTGTACATTCTAATGGCGATACTGCATCAACTGAAACTTTAGTCAATAAAACTTCAGATGAAAACAGTAAATCAAAACCAACTTCGCAACCAAAACCTTCAAATACTAATACCGACTATAAATACACCGAATTAAAAGATATACCAATTGGTGTAGATAAGATTAGAGAAGGTTTTCATCTGGGTAAAACTCATTCAATACAATTTAGATTAAATCAAATTAGAAATTTATATTTTGCAATAAAAGATAATCAATTAAAAATTATACAAGCTTTATCTCAAGATTTTAATAGAGTTTCAAGTGAAACTAAGAATTATGAAATTTCAACTGGATTGAATGAAATGTTATTTACTATGTCTCAATTACATAAATGGTCAAAACCTGAACCTGTTAGTGATTTACCTTTAAATTTATTAACTAATCCAGTATATATTGAAAGAATCCCATTGGGAGTTGTATTAGTTATAGCTGCTTTTAATTATCCATTTTTTGTTTCAATTTCACCAATTGTTGGAGCCTTAGCAGCTGGAAATACAGTTGTTTTCAAACCAAGTGAATTAACTCCAAGGTTTTCAAAATTATTTGTTGATATCTTGACAAAGGCATTGGATCCCGATATTTTCTTTGCTGTCAATGGGGCTGTTCCAGAAACTACTGAATTATTGAATCAAAAAGTAGATAAAATAATTTATACAGGATCAGGTTTAGTTGGTAAAATTATTGCTAAAAAGGCTGCTGAAACTTTAACTCCAGTAATCTTAGAATTAGGTGGTAAATCACCAGCTTTTGTATTGGATGATGTAACAGATAAAGATTTAACCGTCATTGCAAGAAGAATAGCATGGGGTAGATTTGCAAACGCTGGTCAAACATGTATTGGAGTAGATTATGTATATGTTGCTGAATCAAAACATGAGAAATTTGTAACTGAATTGAGGAAAGTCATAACAGAAGAATTTTATCCAAATGTTAATAAGAATGATAAAAATTTCACTCATTTGATTCATGATCGTGCTTTTGAGAAAATGTCAAAAATTATCTCGAATACAAAAGGTAATATCATAGTTGGAGGAGAATCTGATGCAGAAACAAGATATTTTGCACCAACTGTTGTTGATAATGTTACATGGGAAGATTCAACTATGCAAGATGAAATTTTCGGACCTATATTACCAATATTAACTTACAAAAATTTGAACGAAGCATGCCACAAAATCATTCAAAATTTTGATACACCTTTAGCACTTTACATATTCACAAGTAAATCGACATCTCCATCAACTAACCCTCAAATAAAAACTATAACAACATCAATTAGATCAGGTGGATTAATAATTAATGATGTATTAATGCATATTGCATTACATAATGCACCATTTGGAGGTGTTGGAACATCAGGTTATGGATCATATCATGGTAAATATTCTTATAGAGCATTTACTCATGAAAGAACGGTTATTGAACAAAAATTCTGGAACGATTCTATTTTAGCTGCTAGATATCCACCATTTTCAAATTCAAAAGATAAATTAGTTAAATCAAGTCAAGAATTATATGGTGGTAGAGTTTGGTTTGGAAGAAAAGGTAATGTAAATGTTGATGGACCTTCTACTTTTTTCAGTGGATGGACTAATGCATTAGGTCTAGTTAATATTGTAAAAGATTTTGTTGGTGTTGCCTTGTCATAATCATCTTTGAAGAACACTTAATTTAACTAGTTAGATTGTATTTAATATAAATTCAAGCAAGATATTTTAATTGATTAGAGCAGCGCTTAAACTCTGTTAAATTTTACCTTCCAAGTCTTCGTTCTTCGCAACTGCTGTGGTTCTACAAGAAGTATGTGGATCAATTTCATCAATATTCTATAAGTATGAAGCAATGATCTACTGATGACGTTGTATCGTATAATAAGGCGGTGGATCTAGATCTTGATTCAAGGGGTTTGAAGAATTTCATTTGTAAGTTATGATAACAAAATTATCAAGCTTTATTTGCTAATTACAATAACAAATTTACAAATGTTTTAATTTTAATTTTTGCAATCAGTAACGGAATTTTTTTTTTAACTTTGTGTTCAGATCTGGTTCTACCCGAGACCCGAATTATTTTAGGAGCCACTAGAAAATTTTGCAATTCATATCCAAATTCAATATTAGTTTCAACCTCGATAAAACCAAAAAATTGATATATTTTGAATGAAACATCCTTTTGCAACATTCAGTACTTCAACTATGTTGAAGCTTAGAAATGAGGTCCAAATTAATATTCCAATCATTCTTATCTTCAGGATCGATACGAGAAGTTTATTTTTGTCACACAACACCTTAAAATAATATTTTTTTTTTTTTTGCAGCCACAAAATTATTACTGTGGTGGCATCTTTCATGTTTTAGAATATGCACCTGAAACAGAGTTAAAATTACAGAAAAAAGACGTTATTACGATATTACAGTAGATAATAATTAGATACAAAAGAATGCATCTAATTTAAGAGATAATTCTATTGTTCTACATAACCCTACTTTATTGTTAATTATAATCACCGGAACAGCCTTCGTGAAGATGAGACTCAATGGTAAAAAATTTATTTAAATAGATTCTATAAACCTGAAAAAGATCTCATTATGTTTTAAATTATTCATATTTTTCAGGTTCCAATTCCAAAGTCACAAGTCCAAGCCTATTTTTTAACCAAAACGTTTTCTTTTGGATCAACATAATTAAAACTACTAAAAAGTGTAAATAAAATAATGGTTCTTGGGTTCGGAAATAAGAATAAATCAAATAATAATAATAATTCAAGTGAAACTCATTCAATTAATGATTCATCTTCATTACCTTCATCAAATAATAGTACTACGCCATTAAATCAAAATGATATTAGGAAAGAAAATACAGTTTATAGAATAGATTCAGATTCATCACTAGAATCAAATGAATTAATTAAAAATCCATTTTTGGATCCAAAAGTAGAAGAATATTATCGTGATGTTTATACCAATTCAAAATATGAAAGTTATAAAGCATTTGATCCTCATTTTACATGGACAGAAGAAGAAGAAAAAAAAGTTATTAGAAAATTAAATTATAGAGTTGCATTAACTGCTTGTTTGATGTTTATAGGTTTACAAGTTGATCGTGGGAATTTAGCTCAAGCTGTTACTGATAATTTATTAGGTGATTTAGGTTTAACTACTAATGATTATAATGTTGGTAATACTATTTTTTTGGTTTGTTTTTTAGCTGCTGAAGTTCCTTCGCAATTAATTTCAAAAGCTTTAGGACCTGATATTTTTATTCCTATTCAAATATGTGCTTGGAGTATTGTTGCTATGTCACAAACAGCTTTAAGTGGTAAAGCATCATTTTATGTAACTAGAGCATTAATTGGAGCTTTAGAAGGTGGTTTTATTGCGGATCTAGTTCTTTGGTTATCTTATTTCTTTACATCAAAAGAATTACCTATTAGATTATCATGGTTTTGGACAACATTATCTTTAGTTCAAATTTTTACATCATTATTAGCTTTTGGTATTTTAAGAATCAATTCTTTTGGATGGGCAGGTTGGAGATTTTTATTTTTAATTGAAGGTGGATTTACTTTATTAATTGGAATTTTTTCATGGTTTCTTATGCGTCCTTCAGCAGTACAAACTAAAAGTAAATGGAATCCTAAAGGATGGTTTACTGATCGTGAAGAAAAAATTGTTGTCAATAGAGTGTTACGTGATGATCCTTCAAAGGGAACAATGCATAATAGACAAGCTATATCTCCGAGAATGTTATGGAATTGTTTAACTGATTATGATTTGTGGCCACTTTATGCAATTGGTATAATTGCTTATATTGGTCAAACTACTTTCACTGCTTATTTTGGTTTAATGAATAGACAATTAGGTTTTAGTGTTTTTGATACAAATTTATTAACTATTCCAACAGCTGTTATTCATATTATATTTCTTTTAGCAATCACTTGGTTTTCTGAAAAGATCAATCAAAGAGCATTAGTTTGTTTATTGGCTCCAATATATACAACACCAATAATCGGTGTAATTAGATGGTGGTCTGGTTCAGGAAAAGACGTATGGGCCACATGGGCATTAAATACATTATATTTGGGCCAACCATATATTCATGCAATTTGTGTGAGTTGGGTATCAAGAAATTCAAATAGTGTTAGAAGTAGATCAGTTTGTTCAGCCATATATAATATGACAGTTCAATTAGGTAATATAATTGGTAATTTCATATATAGAGCTGATGATAAACCTTTTTATAAAAGAGGTAATATGCAATTATTTTGGATTTCATTTGCTTTAATTCCTGTATTATTATTGGCTAGATTTTATTATGTTTGGAGAAATAAACAAAAAACTAGAAAATGGAATGAATTATCACCAGAACAACAAGAAGATTATAGAAAGAATACTACAGATGAAGGCTCAAAAAGATTGGACTTTAAATTTGATTATTAAGGTTTTTACAGTATAATTAGTTAAAACGTAATTTATTTATTGACAATTTATAGAAGTTTATAGATGTTATAGATTAACATTTAATACATTTGAAATTTATCGTTGCAAATGAACAATTGTATGAAGTTTACGCATTATTCTTGGATATTCATTATGAATGCATTAGGTTCAAAATCAAGAGACAAGCTCCTTATCACTTCATCAAATAAAAATCTGTGGCAATATATTTTAACCGAAATTACATTGAGTTTTAAAATTTTACACAAAGTTATTTGGTTATAATTTACGAAGGTTGTAACCAATATTATTTTTTTTCTTTTTTTTTTTCCTAAGAATATTAAACTTCTACCATGAAAAATTTCTTGATTAAATTGAATGAATATATAATATTGGCATTAACTGGATCAATATGATAGTCAGGTAGTTTAACTTTGAGTGAGCCACAATGATGTTTATCAAAAAATTCGTAATAACGGATCCTTATAATTGAAAAATTATTTCATGTTATCTTCATCTAAAATTTAGTGTTTCAGATTTGTATATAAATAGGATGTTTTGCATATTTGTTGCAATATTTAGTTCGTTTCAAAATCTAACAACCTTCAAACCACCAACCACATAATTTAATGGCTAAATCAATTGACTCAAAAAGTAATTATACTTTGTCAGTCACATCAACTGAAAAACAACAACCAATTTCAGAAAATGAAATAGAACCACAAATATCAAAACAAACATCAAAAGATAAATCATTATTAGAAAAATTATCATTAACTGATTTTGATTTAGAAAAAAGTCAAAATGCTAAAAATCCATTTTTAGATTCAAAAGTTGCTCAATATTATACTGAATTATATGATAGAACAAAATATGAATGTAGATCACATTTTGATCCTCATTTTACTTGGAGTGAACAAGAAGAGAAAAAAGTTATTAAAATTTTAAATGTTAGAGTTGCTTTAGCAGCATGTTTAATGTTTGTTGCGTTACAAATTGATCGTGGTAATATTCAACAAGCAGTTACTGATAATATGTTAGGTGATTTAGGTTTAAATACAAATGATTATAATTTAGGTAATACATTATTTTATGTATCATTTTTAGTTGCAGAAATTCCTTCACAAATGATTTCAAAAAGATTGGGTCCTGATATTTTTATTCCAATTCAAATTTGTGCTTGGAGTATTGTTGCAATGTCACAAGCTGCTATGCATAATAAAACTGGGTTTTATATTACAAGATGTTTAATTGGTGCAATAGAAGGTGGATTTATCGCCGATTTAGTCCTTTGGTTATCATATTTTTTTACAAGTGCAGAATTACCAATTAGATTATCATGGTTTTGGACTACTTTAACAGTAACTCAAATTTGTATTGCATTGTTAGCTTTTGGTATATTAAGACTAAGAGGAGTTTTTGGTTGGGCTGGTTGGCAACATTTATTTTTATGGGAAGGTTTAATTACTTTTTTAATTGGAGTTTTTGCATTTTATATGATGGTTCCTTCAGCTGTTCAAACAAAAAATTGGTTACATCCAAAAGGTTGGTTTACTGAAGGACAAGAAAAAATTGTTGTTAATAGAATATTAAGAGATGATCCAACTAAAGGTTCAATGCATAATAGACAAGCTATTTCTTTTAAATCATTATGGAGTTGTTTTTCTGATTATGATTTATGGCCATTATATGCAATTGGACTTATAGCTTATATTGGTCAAATGACATTTGGTTCATATTTCGCTTTATTAACTAGAGAATTAGGTTTTGGTACTTTTGATACAAATTTATTAACTATACCATCAGCAGTATTACATTGTTTGACACTTATAGGTATTACTTGGTTGTCGGAAAAGCTTAACGATAGAGCATATGTTGCATTAATTTCACCAATTTATTGTTCAATTTTATTAGCTGCTATCAGATTTTGGCCAGGTGCTGGAATTGAAGTTTGGCCATCATATATTTTAAATACTATTTATACAGGTCATCCATTTTTACATGCTATTGTTGTTAGTTGGGTATCAAGAAATTCAAATTCTGTTAGAACTAGATCCATTTGTTCTGCTTTGTATAATATGTTTGTTCAATTGGATGCAATTATTGCTCAAAATATTTTTAGAGAAGATGATAGACCATTATATAAAAGGGGTTTATTACAATTATTTTGTATTGCTTTAACTGTTATTCCAGTCTTATTACTTACTAAATTTTATTATAAATGGAGAAATGCTAGTAAAGCCAAAATTTGGGATGCTATGAGTGAAGAAGAACAAGATCAATATAGAAGAACAACAAAGGATAGAGGAAACAAAAGGTTAGACTTTAGATTTGCTCATTAATTTATATTACAGTAGTTCTTTAATTCTATGATTAGTTCGTATACAATTCCATTGCGCTTGTGGCCAATTCTTCGATTAACTCTAATACCCTTTGAGCTTGTTCTCTTGTAAACAAATCCGTGTCTGTGACTGAGATGTACCGCAATAAGGTGACAATCTTTTCTTTGTAAGTGTTGGGGATTATAACTTTATCAGTTTCAGAGGTCCCTAATATTAAATCTTGAATCAATGTTATTGCTGATCTCCTCATTATTGATTTTTCAGAACTTGTCTCTAAATTTAATATTCCAATTGCACAATCTAATGCATCGCCTAATGATCCAACTAGTCCTAATGGGTTCACTTTACAACACATACCAAGTAATGACATAGCTGACATTCTCATTCTATCATCATCACCCTCGTGTCTTCTTATTATTGTTAAACAGGATTCAACAATAAGCTGCGCAGATTCTCCATTAAATTTTTCATTAGATAATTGAATATATCTTAATATGACCTCTCCAATCCTTAGTCTTTCATCCAAATCATTATCTTTGTTTGTGTATATTTCTAATAAAATCTTTAAAACAGGCAATTCATCCCATTCAATTAAAGACTCTAATCCTTTAATTACATTCAAGTATACAAATGGTTCTGGATCTTTCAACTGTACCAAATGCAAATTAACCACAAAGTCTAATGAAATTACTTCACTTTTCATTCTTATCAATTGACGTAATAGGTATAGACCATGAGCTCTGATGGGAACTAGAGGATCATTTAAACTTGTTATTGCTCTTTGTAGCACCTGTTTTTGAGCGTCTAATTCATTAGCTGGCGGTGACACTCCTGTCAAAAAATTTGTTATTCTATGTTGTAAGGATTCTATGGATTTTTTCAAATTCGTATTTATATTTCGGCTTCTTAATTTGACCAAAGAGTTGTTGATGTTATTTAGCAATTCCCGACTTTGATCATCTATTACCACGTCTTGTTCGGATAAGATAGCAGAGAGCAATTCCAATAAAACAGGTAATATCTCCTCTTGATTTTCTTCATTATCTTCATCATCAGAATCATAATTTTCATTTCTCATTTCAACATCTTCATTACTATCATTATAGGTCAATTTTGAGTCCAAAAAACTTTGAGCAATTTCCAACATTTCAAATGGAGTTCTCGCTAGACTCTCTTTAAACTTTTCTCCAATATTTTCTAAAATTTTCAAATCAATAAGTTTTAGATAAGGACTTTCGTCTTCCTCTCCTAACATAATAGTATCACGATCTCCCAGTTTTAACCATGTTTTCAAAATTGAAATAAATAGAGCCTGGACAGTTACAAGATCAACATTTTCCAATAACTTCATGAAATTACTACAGCAAAAATCCAAATCTTCAATGAATTTATTGATTTTATAATTAGAACTTTCTGATTTGTAGATAGGTTTTTTCTTGACAATTTCCATTAAACCATTTGGTCCCAAAGTATATTCCCAATCATCACCACCTTCATAGATCAAGTTTTTAGCTATTAAATCTAGTCCCACAAATTTATTATCATCAAAATCTACCATTACAGTGAAGTAACTTGTCAATATATTTGTAATTACTTCCACTGATTTCCCATTTCTTTTTAAAGATAAATAGTATGCCCATAGAGATAATATTATTGGTTCCATCACAGCTTGATACAAATCCGGGATTAAACCTTTCCTGGATAAAGATATTAAAACATTTATTGCATTGTTTAATTCAGCTTCCGTCACGAGTATGTGCTTATCATTATTGTTGATAGTCGGATTAAAGTTATTCCATAATCTTTTCAACAAAAAATCTTTGACGATCAATTGATTTCTGTCCCATAATTTTTCAATCACATACGTCACACATGATGTAATAGCGGGTCTATTGATGTTAACTAATAGGGAGTAAAATTGATTTCCAATTGACGTAAAGTAAGCTTCAGTATTGATATCTTTGGGTTTCAGTAAAATAACACTTGTAACATGATCAAATTTAGCTATATCAATATCTTCTTGATCTCTTATACCTAGAACAAATTCAATTAGAGCTAAAACTCCATCCCCGTTTGGTGCATTGTAATGCAATACTTGCAAATGTTGAAATACAAATTGTTTATAATATGATGGTGACGGGGTGTTTATCAATAATGTATATATTTGAAATAATTCAAAAGTTTCCGGAATTTTTTGTATATCTTTGTACTGAATTGAGTAAGGCTCATGAGATATTCCAGGAATTGTGTTTAAAGCAATTGCAATAGTTATAAAGTCAGACACACCCGTACCTTTACTTAATAAGTCAGTTACATCTGATTTGATTTGAAATATTATAAAAAATTTTTCATAGATTAGATCCAATAAAGATATAGATTCATCCCGATTTGACAATTTCTCAACTTGAATCGGTTTTTTGCTGTTCAATTCTTTTAATCTACGTTTTTCGAATGGTACTCCTATATTAAAATGATTTAAAGCTGGATAAATTCCCAATATTATAATTACGTTGACTAATTTGCTAAATGTTTTGATGTCATGTAATGAAATAGAAATGATAGATTTATCTTTGAATTTTTTTTCCATTGAGCATTTTTGTATGTCAAGTAATTGATCTAATAGATAGTTTGTCACTTCGTATCTTGAACTACTGACTAAAGGTCTTTCAAATATACGCTGATTTAAAACACTGATGGATAATTCTTCCAAAGGTAAGTTTAACAATTGCTCTAATTTTTCAAACAATTTATCAATCGGTTCATCTCTACTAAATTCTGGTTTATTTAAGCCTTTACGTTTTGGATATACTTCACTTGGGTCTCTTTTAATGGTTGCTTTTTTTGTGGTGCTAGCAAATGGATTTGCTGCCGGTTTCTTAGATTTCTTTCGACTATTGGCTTCTGCACTTGAGTTTAATTCTTGGGTTACATCATAATCGTCAGGTAGTTCTTCTATCTTTGGACCCATGAATCGCTTTAGTCAATGAAAGAAGTCTATATTCTTTCTAAATCAATCTTGAATCAGTAATTGTGATACTGATGTAATAAATATGCAGGATTTTGTCTAATACTAAGTATTATGCAGGTATTTTTTTTTGTTTCAACTGGGAAGATCATTGCAAGAAAAATAGTTAGAAAGCAGATCACCACCTACGAGGCTTGAAGCTAGAAGAAACGAGTTGCTTATATCGTATCAGAAGTGATAATTTTTTTCAAGAAACCATATAAAAATTAGGACTTATAGCGCAATGTCAGCAAATCAAATTACCAAATTAACACAAGAAGAGATGGATGTTATCATATATGATGCAAGAATGGGGGATCTTGAAGAATTAAAAGAAATATTTGGATCTGTATCACCAGAATTGATACTAAGTATAAAAGATGACATCACTTTAAGCACCACTATTCATATGGCTTCAGCAAATGGTCATTTAGAAACATTGAAATATTTACTATCAATAATACGTAACAAGAAAGATGCTATCCAGTTGGTAAGTGCTAAAAATGAAACTGGAAACACTGCCTTACATTGGGCTTCGCTCAATGGTCATTTACCAGTAGTGCAATACTTGGTAGAGGAATATGAAGCAAATATTTTCGATAAAAATAATGCTGGACATGATTCATTATATGAAGCTGAGAATAATAATCAAACTGAAGTTGAAAATTGGTATTTGAAAAAGTTCGCACCTGAAGAAAACTTTGATATTGTAGAAAATGAAGATGGTTCCTCAACTAAAATCACTTATCAACCCGGTAAAGAAAGTAAATTGGCCGATGATAATGCAAAAGAGGCTGTTTTTAAATCAAGTTTGGAAAAAAAACTAGATAAAGAGGAAGTGAAAGAAGGTAAAACATTGGAGGAAGTAACCTCAACTTTATCAATATGAGATAAGACAAGTGAAGTCAGGAACTCAAAATTAGCCAAGAAACAGGCTCATCATCAATGCACGTCTAGTTTCTGGGGAGTTTAACGCATGAGGGTGGAAAAAATGAGATTGGTATGCGGTTTCCCAAGCATAATATCAGTCTTGGTTGTACAAACGAAAATTTGAGAACACTTGAGATCCAATTGAATCTAACATAAAGTAGTCCCACCAATACATTCATGTTCAGATGGATTGCATCGACTTAATCACCATAATTGTTTATTTAATTGTAAATCAATTTGGATATTATTTAAATCATTCTCGTTAAACATTTTGCTGATAGAATCTATATTGAAAAAGCAATCTTTAACATCATGAAAATTGTTGATTGAATAATTCAATTTTATTGAAATGTTTATGTTTAAAGCGGTATCTTTTCTATCATTGTAAAAGATCTCATTTATTAGGCTTTTGTAATGTTCTAATTTTACTAGTATATCTTCAAACTTTACTATATTAACGACTACTTTATAATTCTTAAAGCATTTTATATGTTTCAACATATTTTGTGAAGTCGTATCAAGTTCCTCAATTATGTTGTAACCGTCTTGATTTACACTATCTAGTATCGCATTACTATCGCTCGCGTTGTCCTGGTTTTTCAAATCAATAATACTATCATCATTTATTTGTAAGCAGTATTGACATTTATGATAAATATAATATTGAGTTAACAAATTCATTTTTGGATAAAGAAGTAGCTGTTTCGTCACATTTATCGGTAAGTAATTCAAAATTTGTATTAAGATTTCGTTGGGTAAATCAACTATTAGTCGTGGTTCATCCTCAGCAATTGCGGACTGTGATATTCTGTCTATATTATGTATATAATCCATCATGTCATCAATGACTGCTTGGAATTTATTGTATGAAGAATATCGATGGAATACAATTCCTTTATCGGATCTGATTAAACTTTCATGGAATGTCGTGAAACTCAAATAAAGACAAGACATGAAGATATTTTTTGGCTACCAAGTCTACACAAAAAAAACACATCAAAATAATATCACCAATTTTGAGCTAAGCACTTGAAGATATTGTTACAAACAAACAAAGGCGAAACTGAGTTAGAATGGTACGTTCGAACGTTTCATGGAAGAATTTTTTTCAATTTTGCGACATATAATACTAACTACTTTTTATTCAGCTTCCATTATATCTATTAACGGCAGCTAAAAACAAACCAATTTTAATAGAATTAAAAACAGGAGAAACATATAATGGAAACTTAACGAATTGTGATTCATGGATGAATTTAACATTACACGATGTGATACAAACTAATAGCTCTGGAGATAAATTCGAAAAGTTATCAACAATATATATAAAAGGAATGCATATAAAATATTTGAGAATACCTGATCAAGTAATGGATTTTGTGAAAGAACAGCAATTGCAATATCATCATAATCAACAACACGGAGATAGAGATAACAGAAGAACGAAAAGGGGTAATTATCAAAGTCTGGGTGGTGGTGCTGGAGGCAGAGGATATAACCGTGATGGTGGAAGGGATAATAGACGCGGTGGTAGATACAATAATCAGAACAGCAATAACAGTAATAATCATAATGGGAATAACGGGAATCGTCGAGGTCACCAATAGAGCTATCAGTGAGTATCTCGAGGGGATTATGAATTTTTTGCTTTTTTTTTTTTCTTTTTTTATACTAGGGCAGGATGTGTTGAACTTATGTGAAGAGGTGAATTAATCAAATTCAGATCAAGGGAATTCGTGTAGAATACTGTATACTATCATAGATTCTTGTACGATGTAAATAATGTATGTTAAAAATTTGATGAATCTTGAAAATAATTTGTGTTGCGTTTTGTACTACGAAATGAATTCTAAGATTTTATTATTTGATATGTTCATGATCAGTGGTTGTTCATTTTACTCTACTACAAATATCAGTTATTCATTCAATTTAATTTGAATTATAACGTCAAACATACAGACAAGTCTAAAAAAAATTCAATTATTGCCACATATCTACATCCTTTCAACCTAAATTTGATCTAACTGTTAAGCGGTTTTTATATGTTTCAAGATAAAATTGTCATGGATGAAACAAATAAAATTCGTATACAACAAAATCAGCAAAAGCTCAATTTAGGCCAAAGATTGGATTTTGTTGGTGAGAATGCAACAAAAATACTTTCATCAATCGACTCTTTAGTGTCATCATCCGTGGATTCAATTGATTATAGCAATAAAAATTCCAAACTCAAATTGGAAAAACGACCAAATGTGCAACAACCACAGCAAATCAAAAAGCCAAAAAATGAAGTCAATTGGAATCACAGCAAGTGCCCAAGTTATCCTAAGCATAAGATTTTACCAACTAGAATCATATCTTATGGAAATTTCAAAGGGTGTACCGATACAAGGAGATTCCAATGTTTTAACTCAAAATGTAATGTTAACTTTAATGAATTTACAAATTGTAAGTATTGCAAATATATGCCTTATTTCCCGTCACCATTGAAGAATAGTTTTCTGTGTGATACTGAAAATAAGGAAAACAATTATGAAAAGTTAATTCCGAATCATAACTTTCTTGATGGTAAATCATGGGGCAGTGATTATGACGAATATTATAACAAAGCTCGAAAAGGTCCAAAATTAAATAAACAATTTGCATCAATAAAAAATTCAAACTCACATCCTGTTACTCAAACATCAACAGAACAACTTAATAATCTAATCACAAATAATCAAAATCAAAACAATGAAGACTCCATAAAATTCTCACCAACTTATAAGTATTCAAGATCAAGGAAATTTAGATATACCAATCCAGAACCAGAAGTTAAATGTTTGGAATCCAAAACACAAGAAAATGGATCATCATCAGCTAAAGTGGAACAAATAAGTGAATCAAATGATGATGTTGAAAATATTTCAACAAGAAAAACCAGTTTTCACAATTCAAAATTTTACGAAAATTTAACTGATCATTTTAAAAAAAACACTTGGATTTCTTCTGCTTCAACTGAAGAGGCCCAAACCAAATTAAAATCTAATGAATATAACACTTTGAAAGCTTACAACAATGGTAAACAAAATGGTAAAAGAAGAGGCAAAAAGTTGAGTTTCTTATCCAAAATACAAACTTGAAAACTCCTGACCAAAAGAAAACACAACAATTTTGTAAAAGTATTAATGCAGGTACTTATGCTACCTTATTTTGTATAAATTTCTTCATTAATAGTCCAACTTTGTAAATTAGGTCTATACTTGACTTCGTTAATTAATCCATTCAATTCTCTATAACTATCATCATTAATATCTTCTTTATTATTCTCAGCTTTTTTATCAAGATAGAATTTTTTTAGTTTCAAATTACAACCAAGTGGATTTTGTTCATTATTGAATATATCATCAATACACTGATTAGGTGAATAATCCAATAAAGGGTATAACTCAGGATCCCAATTACTTTCTAATATTTTGCAATATAAGATACTCACTATTGGATCCATTAAAATATGTTTATTATCTTCCGAAGAGTTTTGATTGATCATCAGTGGTAAATTACCTACATTATTAGAATTGGAATCATTTGCAGGATGCTGATTTGAACTAAAACCAGAAGCGACATCTGATGATTGAGCTACTAGTTTTATCAAGTCTTGGTTGTTTAAATTTGCTATGTCAGTTAATGATTTGTTCTCTTGTGTTTTTTTATTGGATGATGTAGATGATGACGTGGAAGAAGAGTTCACTGAATTTGACGAATGTTTGCTAGTATTTAATAACTGTCTATGATTTCTTGGTGGAGATTTTGAGCCATTTTGATCATGCTGATGGTGATGATGGTGGTGGTGTTGATAATGATCCTTTGTCGCATCTTCTTGAATTGCATTATCTCCTAAAACATTGTTTATCCCAGTATAAACATTCTTTTTCTCAAATTGAGGTACGTTGAAATTAGTCTTCTTTTTATTGCTCATATTCAAATTGGAAGTTGAAGTTGATGATAAATTTGAGCTATTGTTATCTTGAATTTGTAATTGAGTATGAAAATCAAAATTGGATGGTAATTCATGTAATCCGATTGTTATGTTCAAAATAGAATTAACTTTCGAATCTTCTAATAAGTATTTGGTATTCACTGGATCACTAAAGTTCAAATATTCAGCAAGATTTATTTCCAATCTTCCTAAATCAATAATTGTGCCATTGTCAGAGTCAGATGAATGATGTTTATCTTCATGAATGTAATACACTCTAAAACATAAATACTTATTTGAAATCAAATTCCCTTTTTTCTTTAAACCAAATTTCAAATTACATGATAATTTATAATTGAAAACACATCTAAAATTATGTAATCTTTTACGAGAAGTTGTAGTAGACACATGACCAGACACAGATGTGTTTGAATTTGAAGATGATGAGTTCAAATTGAAAGAACTATTACTGTTGTTCTTATTTCCATCACTACTGCTCGATTTATCCTTTGAAAGACTAGTTGATTGTTTTAATTTTGATCCTAAATCATCAAACTTATTCAAGAATGACCGTGTGTTTGATCTCGAAGGAGACGAGGTACTTGAATTCGAAGTTTTCGTTTTTGATGGGTCTACGGGTGCTTTACCATTTTTATGACGACGTGATGAATTTCTCTTACTATCCTTAATTGATATCTCAATATAACATGAACCATTTATTTGTGGAACATTTGTTAATTCATTTATTGTTAAGTCGAATGCAAATTTCGGTTTTGATGATGACGAAGAAAACATTTGTATCTATCAATTGACCTTTGTTTGGATTTGATTGAAAAAAGATTGTTGAAAAAGAATTATAGAACCTGGCAATGAATTAAAATTGAATTTCATGCCTTTTATCAGCTTGCTATTTTTATGGATTGTTATTATGTCATAACATTTGGAAATGAGACAAGTAGTGTTTAGTCACAAAAATAATATATTTTATAATAATCCAAAGGGAACAAATAATTTATATAGTTTATGTATACTAATCAACTAATCTACTTAATAAATATACTTTGAATAGTGTTTGAATATTTTATATTTAACTCATTCTTAAGTTCATAATAATAGTCACAGGTTATCATTACAACCTTGTTATTTCGAACAACTACCTTTTTACATTACATATTATTGATCAATCAGTATTAGTACTTTCATCCTATATACAGGTTCACTAAACTATTGTTATATTAATATATTAATTTAAAACCCAGAAGTTCAGGATAAAATGGTTAGCTCTTCCTGGTAGCGAGCGATATTATTAGAAGAATTTAATATTAGATCTGCTATTATAGCATCAATTCCCAGCTAATTTTCAATTGATGCAAAGGATAGATGTAAACGGTATGTGTAAGATTTGTTAACATTGGTAAATAATACTAACTTTTAGTAGGTTTCAAAAATGAAATTTTAACTTGTGAATCAACATCACAATTAAATGATATACAATCAAAATTTCAAAGCTTAATAAACTCAATCTTTGATCAGCCCGAACAATTAACAAGTTTTAACAAAAAGTTAGAGAATGAGAAAATTCAATATATTCAAAACCTTTTGCGGTCAAAACTAAACTTCTTGACTCGTTCCACATTCAAATTCGTTGGTGATCCCATTCCTCCTAATTCCAATATAAATATTAAGAATGTGAGTCCTTTGGTCGATGAATCAACCACGTCTAAAATAGATAAAGACTCATTAATATTCATAAACGAAACAAAGGTCTTGAATGTTGATTACTGTCATATCTCAACACTCTCGAATAGTATAATCAAAGTAAATGGAAAGTCAATAAATTTGAATAATGCATACAACTCATTTGGTTTTATATTTTCATCAGGTCCATTGTTTTTACAAAATATGGAGAAATGCATTTTGATTGCTGGTTGCCATCAAGCACGATTACACAACATCACAGACTCAATCATAATCTTTGAAAACAACGAGAAAGACACTCAAAAGACTGTTATCATTGAAAATTGTCGTAATGTGAAATTTAATTCAGTCTATGTCGATGATTTTGATCATCCCACTAAATTCACAGAGAGTCCCAACTATCAAATATTGCAAGACGATGTAGTTTCTGAGATTGAAAACGAGATAGAAAAAGTCGAATTGAACGATTTAACAGGATTTTTGAAGAGGTTTTTGTCCACCCTGAATTGAATAAATCTTGCTTCAATTAGTACATTATTGAATGATGAAAATCACCACAACTACATGTAAGAGAAGACTTATCTTCATTTAGGAAACTCACAACATGATTCAACTAAGGGATTTCAATTTCGACAAATGTCTTGCATTAAACAGTTGAATTGCAGTATTGTTATTCAATCGATGAACAAGTATATTAACCTAATATGGTTTATACACAAAGAACATTATGCGTCATTGGATACAAAATCACGAATTCTGATTTTGGTTTGCCATGAAAGCTCTACTCCTTAAATAGTTTTGGTGTAAATAGTTGGCTTCATTCATGCTACCAAAATCCAAATAATTTTTGTAGGTTTATCTATTGATTAACTCAAAGTAGAGTCAGTCTTATCAAGAATGACCTCAATACTATCACTATTCTCCTCATGTTTGCCGTGCTTTCCATTTGTATCAGGATCGTACATAAAGATAAATGGAGTCACATATAGCATTATTCGACTATTAGGAGAAGGAGGATTTTCATACGTTTACTTAGTAAATCAAATAAATTCATCATCGTCGGGTCAACCATCACCATATGCATTAAAACAGATCAATTGCTTGTTTGGTACTGAGGATGAAAGTTTTCGAAATGCAACCAGGGAAATTAAAAATTATCATAGGTTCCTAAATTATAAGACTCCGTATATTATTCAATCGATCGAGGAACAAATAATTAGTAATCCTGATGGGTCAATTCGTATTAATATTTTGCTTCCTTACTTTACTACTTCGCTACAAGAAATTATTAATGAAAACGTTTTGAATAATACCAAGTTGGATGAGAAAGATATTTTGAAATATTTTATTGGGATTTGTAGGGGATTGAAAATAATGCATAATTACAAACAAACCACCAGAAATGTAGGAAATCTAGATAATGATGAGGATCTAGATGATGATATAGAGGAACAAGATACATTACTAAATCCACCAGATGATGAATTTGACGTTGAGTCGAATGCAAATACTGCGGGAGGCGCAAGATCAAACACTGAATTACAAGAACTAATTCCATTTGCTCATCATGATTTAAAGCCTGCGAATGTGATGTTATCAGCAGAGGGTTTACCTGTATTGGTAGATTTAGGCTCGTGTTCAAAAGCAAGATACAATATTCGTACAAGACAACAAGCATTGTCTCTTACAGATTTTGCACAAGAACATTGTACATTACCTTATAGAGCTCCTGAGTTATTGGATGTTGAAACTGGTTCTCAAATAACAGAAGCAACTGACATTTGGTCTTTGGGCTGTTTGTTATATTGTTGTTGTTTTGGATATTCTCCGTTTGAAAAATTAGAAATTGATCAAGGCGCTAATTTGAACTTAGCTATTGCTCAAGGCAAATATCAAATACCTGAAGATCAAAATGGTTATAGTGATGAGCTTGTGGGGCTTATAAGGAAGAGTTTACAAGTTAAAGCTAAGAATCGACCTAAAGTTGAAGAGCTTTTGGAAGAAGCTTTGAAGATTGGTAATTGATAGCAGCAATACTGATAATCGTAGCATAATAATGATATATAAATGACATTAAGACTCTAAGTTTGAACAAATTCCAGGACTAATGTAACGTTGCCTATTGTAGATTGATTGGTAGCATAATATCTAAACAAATAAACACGCATAGGTTGTAGATCTTGAAATTTATATCATAAGATCAAAACAGCGTTCAAAGTAAAGACAGAATTAGATCGATGACATTGACCAAGTATCAGAGGGGAGATCCAATGGAGGGATGGAACGACTGCCCCACACCAATGATGATAAGATCACAAAACTCCTCGCAAAGTTCAATACCAACCACCAAATCAACTACAAAGATACGACAAGATTGTGATAAAGAGGATGTATTAAAGAAACTAGAGAAAATTTTTAATTTAGAGATAAATTTACCTGAGAAAGAAAAATCTCATTATGAAACAAAATTGAAAAATACCGTTTCTGATATGAGTCAGAGAGATTTAGGCTTCATCAACAATGTTTGCGAAGAAATTTTGAGTTCACTGCCAAATTTGAAGAATTTAAAGTCTGAAGTGGTAGACCACATGATGAATAATGATGGAGTGAGTACTTGGTGCTCTCCGCTTAAGAAAATTGTCTCCAGTATAAAAATATGACAAAACTAATCTAATTCAATTCACCTAAAATGATTTAATTCAATTCACCTACATCACTTCGTAGCCAAATACTTTCGAATGAACAATATATATTTGTACAATCCTAATAAAATTTATATAATGAAACTACACCAAAAAATACAAAGCTTAACGTTCTTAAAATTTCTTCCTTTTCCCAATTTGGGCTTGGAAACCAGTTTTGATTGATGACACTGATCTGGTAGATCCACAAGCTTTACAACTCAAGAAATGTAATCTATTAGCACTTTCTCTTTTCAATTCTGTATTCATACTCTTACATGTTTTACATGTAACATACTCAATAATATATCTTCTTAAAACACTTTCCATTTGTTTAGGTTGGAATTTACCCTTTAAAACTAATCTTTTTTCACCATCGATAGATCCTGAAGTACCCAATTCAGCAAATAAAAATTGAATTAAATGTTCTGGATTTCTTTGTAATACAGTTGCAATTTCTTGAACATTTGCAAATAATGTCTTTTTAGAACCTTCTCTTTGACATACTGGTGGTGGGATTCTAAATTTTGGACCCGATCTATCCCCAGCTAATTCTGGATTATTTTGTTTTAAAATATCGAAAAATCTAGTTAATAAATCATCATAGGACATTCCCCCGATTAATTCTTGATCATTTGTCAAATCATCTTGTGAATTATTGTTTGATTCATGATTTATTATTGTTTCATCAACTCCTGCTTCTTCTAATTGTTGTTCGAATTCATTCAAATCTATATTTTTAGTACTACTTTTCTTTTTCTTCTTTTTCAATGATAAATCTCCTAATGATGAAGTTATATCTTCGTCATTTATTTCTGGGGTGGCTGAAGAGTCTAATGGTTTTGATGAGCTTGACTTTTTCTTTTTCTTTAATCCTGAAAATAAGTCATCTACTGAATCTGTAGGTTGTGGTGTTGATTCTTTACTGTCTGAGACAGATGAAATTCCATCTACTGGTTTCTTTGATTTCTTTTTCTTCTTCAAAGTTGGATCAAATCCCAAATCTGACATCTTTATTTAATGATTATTTATATGAAGATGGTTAATGGGATAGGTTATTAATATTTGTTAATTTTAAATGGTATGAATCTAATATTATAAATCATTTTTGTACTGAAAAATTTTTATGACTGAATTATTTATGGTGGCGTTGCTACCAAATCGTATACAAAATGAAGAAAGATGTCACACAATTAAAACGAAATTGTTACTGAAACGCAAGTACGAAGAGGAATTTAGAAAAACTACTTGAGAATGTATTGTAGGTCTTCAAAGGATGTATCAAATACTATGCAATAGTCAGTTAAAGGCTTCGAGTTGTAAATACTCGATTGTGTAATTCATCCATATTTCGATAAATTGCAATTACGTCATTATTTCAAGCTGGACTCTTTTATCATACAAAGTGGTTTATGAATTGCTAAGATATACCTGTTAGCGATTTAGTATGATGTATTTTTGACACTGTTTCTTTCCCAACGATGCCTAGATTTATAATTTTATATTCTTTACTCCTTCTATAGCGATATCTTTTCGACACCATCAACCAAATCATCTCCTTCAAGATTACCAGCTAATCCTTTTTCAAATATCTCTTTCCCACTCATTTTCCCATTATGCATATCCTGGAATTTTTTCAAATCTTGTTCTTCAAACTTCATTTCTTTTCGAAATTTGGCCCTCCATTCTGCAAAGTTCTCTGGAGTCACTTTCGTACCTTGAAATTTCAATTGTTCTTGTTTATATCTTTCTTGTCTTTTTTGTTCGTAATCTTTATTTGCTTGAGCTAGTTTATTCACAAACAAAGATTCTGCTTCATCTTTCAAATATGTGATTAGTGTAAATACAGAAGGTAAGCCTATGTTGATTTCTGATTCTTCGTTCAATTTTGAAAGTAGGGTATTTAAATCATCTTTTGAAAATTCTATTGTTTCTGCCATGTTTAATGCTAATTTAGTTTGCTTCGTATCTTCATCATCTTCGTCATCTTCGTCTTCATCGTTTTGATCAAAATCGTCATCATCTAATTCATTCTCCTTCACTTCGATATGTAGTTCAGGTATTACTTCGGGATAAGTTGGAGGATATTTCACAATTAACAACAAAGAATGTTTTTTCTCACTTGGTAAGTCTAAATTAACTATAATTTGGAAATGTGACTGAGATTCATTCAATATTTCTAACTCTTCTGGATATATTGATTGTAAAATCTCTAGTTCTTGGCTCTGTTCTTCTTTATGATCCATTATATGTTGTTAATGATTTACTAGAAAGTATGGCAAAATGAAGTCAATACCCTGATATTTTTTTTGGTCGAAAGGATGTGGTTGGATTGATATTCAAAGTAGACACTAGTTGTATATAATCGCTACTCATAATTTTTCATTATGTGATGTAGTTACCATAAAAAACAAATTTTGACGCTGATCAGATTTGCGACAAGTCTTAGGGGGTTTTTTGAACTTGGGTTAGCTGAATTTTAATAAATTCACTTTGCGTGTCCCAGGTAGAGAGCACGGCGTGCTGTTGGAATCCAAATACCATTTTGTATAATGGGGTTGAAGTGTAGGTTTGTAAAATTCTTGCGGAAATGATTTTTATTACAAAATTGTTAAGATTTTGATGCCAAATTCTAGGTAAAGTGGGAAATGTGAAAAAGAATCCAAGTTAAGCTGGACTCTTGTATCTCTAGTGGGCGTTGCTTTAACTTGACTAATTTTCTTTTTGTCGGGTCGAATAATACATTACAGTAATGTACTATGTCTTCTTTCAACATAGGCTAATGTGCTACAAGATTGTTAAACCAAGATTTTTCCGATTCAATAATCAAGTCATACAAGGTTTTACAAACTGTTCATCTTGAACTTTAGTTTTAACAATAATCGAATATAGAATTGAAAAAATGGTGCCTGACCCTGTATTTAGTACCTGAAGTATATATGGTTTAAATTTGATGATCTCAGATTATTAAGCTAATGTAGGTTCAATGTAACTCGATTTTATTGGAACCAGCTGCACTTTCAAGCAAATGAATTTTATCAACGATAATGTTTCTTTAGAAGTTTATCCTTAAATCCTTTAGGGATTAATTGCTTTTATCAAGAAGGAATTCTTATTCAATGTAACATAGTCCAAATGACTCGATATAATTTAATATGTTTCACATTGTTACGAGAGAGAGAAAAATTAGAAATTTCATATCAAATAAAAATACTTGATCTATTTTACAAATTGATAACAACAACAAAGAATATTAAATACTAGGATCGCAGAAGATTGGATTGAACATTAAAATACCTTCAACAGGCAAAAAAGACTCAAACATATCAACCCTATACCACTCGATTAAAAATTTAGCGACAATTATTAAAAACTGCGCCAAGGCGGGGAATCCATTTACTTAAATAATAGGAATCAATTGACATCAAACTAAATTGGATTTATACAAACAACATTGGATTCATACAACAGCATTTGATATTGATTAACGATTTTTTAATCCCAAAGTTGTCAAAAAAATAAATAAAAAAGATTGACTACGAAAGTAGACGTTCAAAATTCAACGTTGCGTAGTCATAAAAGGCATTCAATAATCTTACAAACTATATGCCAAATGAGTGCAAGATTTCCTTCGAACACGAAAATAAAAGATTTTGCATATCCTGAAACTGACCCTTTACATTTCGGAATATTGAACAAAAGCAAACGATCACGAAGACAAAATCAAGATAATAACTATGATAGTGATCTAACATCAAACGAAGATGAAGACTCACAGTCAGGCGACGACACATCAACAAACTCTTCATCTTCATGTTCATCATCAACCTCATCTACAGCATCGTTGAATCGTCGAACACGACATCACTATTTACACAACCACCATCATTATCACAATGGCAATAACGAAGAAATGAGAGGAGAGGAACGGCAACTAGGTGAAGACGGAGAGGAAGAAAACGAATACGAAACTTACGACCTAGATGATGTATCCAATCGAGATGGGAGTGAAGAATATCTAAATGATGAAATAAATTGTAAAGCTCGTGCAATATTTGAATTTAAACCGGAAAATGATAATGAAATTGAATTAATAGAAGGACAAATTATTTGGATTAGTTATAGACATGGTCAAGGTTGGTTGGTTGCTGAAGATCCTGAAACAGGTGAAAATGGATTGGTTCCGGAAGAGTATGTAGAATTTTTCACTGATGAGGAAGAAGAAGAAGAAGAAGAAGGGAATGATATATATGAAGAGGAAGAGGCAGAGGGTCATGACATAGGTGGGAAATCACCTCATGATAAAGTCTTGATGAATGGTAATGAATACGTAGAGAATGGTACGAGTAGTGCATCTCCTTTGCAGAAATGTAAATGAAAATGTATAGCTTATATTTATACTAATGCAATAAACGATGAATGAAAACTATATTTAAACTCATAGATGATTGAATTGGTATTTTTTATCACATATTAAATCGAAAGTCAAAAGTAGGTTGTGGAAAAAATATTAGATTTGGTAACTTTAAACAGACTACTCTCTTTTTCACTATATACCAAGACATTTCATGTCTTTCCAAGGAACTCGACATATATAATAGCAATAACATCCAAATGATCATATGACATTTGATAAAGTAACGCTTTCCAATCCAATCAACGAGGAAAAGAAGTTAAAACCAAATTCGGCATCTCTGAAACAACAGATATCCACTTCATCATCAGATAAATCAATAAATGAATCAGGCACAAATATATTAAATAGCAAGGCACTGAGAAAGAGGAAGGGAGAAGGATATGATAAGAATAATGCACATCAATCAAAACCGAATAAGAAGCAAAAGTTAAAACATGGTTTAGCTAAAGTAAAAACTAATAAAAGTAAACATGGGTCAAAACTTATTGTGAAATTAGATCATAATTCGGCAAGTCCTAAAAAACTGAAGTCATTGACTAAGTCTGATACATTGGGTTCAAGTCCTATCATCAAACAACATAGTGCAGAGACGTCACAAGAGACGATTGTCAAGTCATCGCAACCAGTTTCTTCGCAAAACAACAACTCCAATGACAATCATCAATCAACCGATACACAAAGTAATAATCAAAAAGAAAAGAATAAATTGAGAAGACTACGACGGAAAGAAAAATATAAAGAGAAGAAGAAGTTGGAGAGTCATCAAAATGAAAGAGGTTCACCCAATTTGAATCAAACATCACTACTACAATCAATCGTGATAAATTCACCTCAAAGCTCCCAAAAGTCACAAAACTATAATTCTGGTCAGGAAACAAGAGTTTCAAATGGCACGAAGAAAGACTTTAGTGTTAAAAGTTTAGATAAAACTCAGAAAGTACGAAATCGAATAAAGTCACCTCGAAATAATAAGTCAATTAACTCTCATGTCAGCTCAAAAAATGGGGAAATAAGTTTGTCGAAACATTCTGGAACGGATGAATCAAACGAATATCTGGAAAATGCATCTCACCCAGAATCTCCTATTTCCTCACCTAAGAAGAAACATAAAAAACTGAAAAAGCAGAATCTAGACTTAAAGGGCCATTCCACCAATAAACTGAAGATTATTTTACCCAAGTCAAATCAAAGCTTTCTGATTAGTTCATCAAACGAACAATCGGTATCGCAATCATCGAAAGATGCGTTAAAGTCAGTTTCAAAGGATGAACTGAGTGGTCCAAAATCTATTGATTTGGAATCACAAGTCACAGATCTACAGACAAATGGGCATAATTTGATAACAGATGATCAAAAAATACTTGATAACAGAGACAGTGCGTCAGTTATCGAGTTCAACCGACAAATACAAAAGCAGGGAAATGTCTTAACTAATTTGAAAATTGATAATACTAATAGTACGGACAACAATGAAAATAAGAGACCAGGATACGATTCGGATTTGGAGATGACGGAAATCAACGGTCCCGAGGACGATGTAGAAATTGAACAGTTAGATGTTGATGGATCTAAACCAGATGGAAGTATTGAACAAGAAGTCATACCTGAAGTTCAAGAAACGACAAAAGAACTGACCGAGTCATCAATATCCAAAAAGTTGGAAAAGCAATTAAAGAAAATTCAAACTTTGGAACTGAATTTAAAAGATTATAACTCAGAAATTGATATAAATAAATATGAACAAATTTTTGATGACTTATTTTTAATTAAATCAAAATTACAAAAAAAGCTAAATAAAAATCAAATTTACGCTGATGAATTTTCAAATTTAACAAATCAAAACTTACTGCTTTTACCAATTTATCATCCATTTATTTCTATGATTAATACAAAATTTGAAAATTTTGAAAACAGTGAAATTATTAAAGATATAACTCAACGTATTGAAAACATTAGAATCGAATTAAGTGAATCAAATTTTAAAATTAGTGATACAACAAATGCATTACAAAGTTTGTACGATTTAAATGTTCAATATCAACAAGAAGTAAATACCTTATTTAATTCGGTGGATAAACCATTTATCAACTTAACTATTCCGATTGAAAATACTTCAATCTTACCAATGATGAATCCGGTTGAAAATCAAGTTGACCAATATCAGGAAGTAAATCAAGACGAATTCAATGAAGAACAACATCCAAAATTAATTCAAGACGAATTTAATGAAGACAAATTAAATAACTCGCATCAAATTGACCAAAACAGATCAGAAACTGAAGACCATTTACTTGATAAAAGAGGAAGCGTCTTAAGAGAAGAAATTGTACAACAAATACAAAATCAAGAAAATACATTAAACTCTGAAAAGAATATCCATAAAGATCAAGATGAATTGAAAGAACTTGAATCCTCTTTCAAACCCAATCAAAATTATATTAATTTTTATAATAAAGAAATTAAAGAATTTTTTAATTTATCATCAAATAATTCATCAATATCATTAAATTCACTGAATATTACATGTGATGGATCATATCCTACATCGAAATCACAACCAGGTTCAACTTGGTCTTCAAAAGATAAAAATTTATTTTTTAACTTATTATCAAGATATTCAATTCATCAATTAGATCTAATAAGTGAAATTATGAAAAAATCTTCAATAGAAATTATGATATATTATAATTTATTAAAAAATCAATTAAAAATTTTAAAACAAGAAGATAAAAATTTTAAATTATTATCTATGAATGATATTCCTTTTGCTTTTGAAATTCTGGAAGAATTTACTGAATTTGAAGATGAACAAAGTAAATTTATTGAACGTGGGGAAAATTCCATTGAAAATAAAGATCAACAAACGGATATATCTGAAGAGATTGAGGTTGAAAATGTAACTAAAGAAACAGAATCAACAAACATTGATTCAATCGAAGAAGAAGAATTTATTAATGTGGATAGATTATTAATGATAACTCATTTTCAAAAAATTGATAAAGAAGCTAAGGGAGAATTCACAAAATTAATTAAATTAATAACAAAACAAATAATTTTAAATATTTTAAATTCAAACATAATTTCTAAATTAGATTTAGAAAAATCATCAAATAAAATATATCCAATTATAGAAATTTCTCATATTTATAGTGCAATAAGAGATATTTCAAAAAATCCAGATTATGAATTTAATTTTATAAATATTTTAAAAATTATAAAAAGAGATAATGGAATTTTTAATAATTTAAATGCTTGGTCTAAAAAAATTGGTGATTTATTTTTTGAAAGACCTTTATTTTATAATTCAAATTTAATTGGTAAATTAAAAATTGAAGAAGATAAAAATTTTTCAAAAAGAACTACAATTCATGAATTAAGGAAAAATCGAAATCAGACTAAAAGTTCCTCATCAAAATTACAAAAAGATATAGAATTAGAAGAACAATTATTTATTGAAGAAACTTTACGTTTAAATCAATCTGATATTAATGCACTGAAAGAATATGAACAGGAATTGATTCAAAAATTATTGGAAAATAATGAAGATGAACAACATGATGATTCAAATTTAGAAAAATTGAGACAAATTTTGGTGAAGAACAAAAATGGATCTAGAGCCGAAGAAGAAGATGGTGAAGAAGAGGAAGAACAATTTGATAATGATGAATATGAAGATGAAGAACTTTCAAAACTTTTATCCGATATTGGTGGTGATACATTGGAAGATTATTTGAGAAAATTTAATTATAAATTTGCATTGTACTCAGCAGATGAAGATGATTTAGTGATTAGTTTAAATGACTCAAATGATCACGATGAAGAAAATGAGGCAAGTGATAATGATGTTGAAATTGTTGATGATTCAATCGAGAGACAATCTAATGGAGATGATAGTAGTGCTAATGAGGAAAATGTCAAAAAAGAGGATGTCAATAAAAGTCAATCAAACAATGATAAATCGATTTCAAACAAATCGAATGAAGTTCAAGAAATATTGGATGATGATGTTGAAGCTGGTTCAGATTCATCAAATTCAATTGGTGAAGATTCAAATGATTATAATTCAAGTGATGACGATTCATCAAATTCAGTATTGAGAAAAGCAAAGAAAACTGAATCAAAATCAAAAATTAATAATCATAATAATACGAATGAGAATGATCATTTGGATTCAAATTATGAGGATACTTATATGTCAAACTTTGAAAGTGATGATGAAAAGTTCAACAAGAATAATGAATTTGAGGTTGAATTTGATATTGGAAATGAAAATTCAAATTCAAATTCAAATGAATTGGAATTTGAAATTGAACCAGATGAAATTGATGTAGATAGTTTTTTTATTAAAGAATATCCGGATTCTACATAAACAAAATCTCATTGAAATAAGAATTACTACAAAATCAATATTTTAGAATGATGCTAATTTATCTATTATAATATAAATTATAAAAATCTAAAAATAATATCATTATACAAGTTAAACTTAATATAAAATCTTTTAAATTTATGTTATTAAAATTAACAAAACGTTTCTCATTATTTTGATCTTTTTCTACTTTTCCAAATTTTTCAAAATCAGTATCTAACTTTTGATTTAATATATAATAATCATCATCAAAAGAATAATAATAATCATAATATTCATCATTAAATTTTTCAATTTGTTTTACTTCATGTTCATTATCATTATCATTGTATTGATTTAAATTTAATAAATCGATATAATAAATTTTAATTTCATCTAATATCATAATCCATAAACAAAAAAATTTAATGGAATATTGACTTAATAAATAAATGAAATTTGAATTTATATCATTAATATCAATAATTAAAATAAAATTAAAACTTATTATAATTTTTAAAAAATTATTATTTAAATTTTGACAAAATTTTAAAATTGTTGATGATTTATCTTTAAAAATTAAATCAATAAACAAGATTGAATAAATTATTAAATATTGTAGTAGAAATAATGATTTTAAATTTTTAATTTCTTCAAGTTTTGTTTGAAAAATTATAAATATTAGAAAAAAAATTGATAATCCAAATAATAAAATTTCTATAATTATTGAATTTATTCTTTTTGAAAATTTTGAATTAGTGGTGGTATTGGTATTTTGAAATTGATTGCTCAAAGTTTCTAAAGATTTTGGTAAATTTTTAAATCTAAATATGAATAATAATGTTATAAATTGAGATAATATATCTTTATATAATGAATCCATTGATAAATAATTTGGATATGGTAGATGAATTTGAAAAATTTCATTTAATTTAGGTATGGTTCGGAATAGTAATGATGATGAACTTGATGTTTCAAGTTCTTCAAAATATGAATCTTTGTCGATGATATATTTAAATTGACTAATTAGTATATAACATATTACAATACATGATGATAATATTGGATTATTTATAATTCCACATAAATAAAATTGTATAAAATTATAATATTTAATTAATTTTTTTTCATCTTTTGATGTTTGAGTTTGTACTGATTTCAATTTATTTTGAGGTCGTAGCGTATTATCGGTTTTAATAGGTAGTTTTTCTAGTATACTTGATAACATTTTTACTTTATGATGAATGGTTTGATCATGTATAGGGTCAATGGTATATGAATTATGCTATATGATATCGTAATATTACAGTTGGCAAATGAAAGAAAGGAAGGACTTGTAAAACCCAAGATATTGTCTAATTCTTGTACTGATGATATGATAATGATCTCTGAATAATGAGGAAAGTACAGTTTCAGATCTTCAGATCTCTCTTTAAGGTATTTTATAAATAGAAATATATTTTGAAAGATATTTTGTCAAAAGTCATATAGACCTACTTTCACTCATCTTATATATGACTTCTGATCAAAAAATTAATTATTGTAACCATCTTTTTAAACTTAACTATAATTTATAACAAAATGTTTAATAAAACTAAAATTATTTAATTGTGGGTGTTTTTTTTTTCAAATATTGAAACACACGTGTAGTACAAAATTAATTTATTTAAAACAAATAATTAAAAGTCGTGTGATCTAATTAAATTGATTTTTGTTAGAGAAGAAGAGACATATTTTAACAGGATCTAATTTTATACACCTCTCTACCTAGAAATATCCTAAATAAGTACTTTTACATCAACGGTTTCCTTTTATGTATTAGTGTTGAGTTATATTCCAATGGGAAATATTTCTAGTAATTTTTTTATATGATGATACGACTAAATCAATGTGTTTCGTAAAAATACCCATATAAAAAGCTTGAGGAGTAAATTAGCCCAATTCAAAAGCAATCCTTCATCAAATCAAAAGAAATTATATAAAGCTTTAATTGAAAAACAGTATTATATCCATTTTATCTGTTGAATGAATTCAGCCAGTAAGATGGAATCTTTGTTCTCCATAACTCTCTCAAATTCACTCAATCTATAAATAGAAATTATAAAAAAGTAGGCTTAATTTATTCAATTTGTGCTCACCAACATTTAGATGAAAAGTTTTTACATTTAATTCTTTTGATATTGGCTTAAAATAATCACAGCATAAATAGAAAAGTGAAAAAAAGTCGTTGGTTGATAAATTTCTATATTCAAAGTTGTCAGTCTCTTCCAACATTCCAAAATTTGACTCTTCGTTCAAACTCATTTTTTGCTTTTTGAATAAAAAAAAATTGTTACAAATTTATAGAACTTTAAAATTTCTGATTTTAAAACTTTCATAAATTTAATTAAAAGTCGAGTTCAGAACTTTAATTTAGTTTAGTTCTATATTCATAAGTTGTCACGATGTTACAATCATTTAAATAAGCGAATGGTTAGGTACGGCAAATTAAGGCGTTCTCAAGTTCTTATTCCCAATAAATGGATGGGAATGGATTGCAAACACGATGTCGGTAATGTAAATATGAACGTTATTTGTACTAACAATAGAAATTAAAAATATCTCTTATGTGTTTCATCTTTCTAGAAGGATTAGACGTACATGATAATATTATTAGTGTAGCATAATAACAGTTTCAAATTGTTTCAGGTCTTGTAGATATTGCTCAATTTATAGATCTACTCACATCATGATTATCATTCTTTATGAAATTTTCAAATCAATGATCTACTTTTACTTTGATTGAACCACAACTGTAATTTATTCAAAAATTGTGAATCATACATTGAACTCTCGTAAAATGAAAGTAAGTTCAAAGTGAAATTTGCTATATTAATATTTAAATTAAATAATACCACAGTCAGTTTATTAGCAAAAAATAAATACCGCCTTTTCCCCCTCAATAATATTTTTTTTTTTTCGATTCAACATCATCATCGCACAAGCATATAAATTACGAGATTAATATAAATTCTTTTTTTACTTTTAATAAGAATATAACATTGGTTCAAGTATTTTACATGGTCCACTGTTTTTACATACCATAGCTACATAGCAAATTATAAAGGTTTACTCGCAGCTAGATTTTTTGTTTGATTCTTCTTTGTGTTGGTGTGATTCTTTTTATTGAGTAACTAAATTAACTCAGGTTATAAAATTTAATAAAAAATTGCCTCGTAATTTTAAAGCGGTAACAAAAACGATAATAATCTTTTCTAATTTTAGGTTCATCAGCCTAAAGTATCATCATCAATAAATTTTCAATCCAGGTTTATACTCTCTGTACATACCCCAATGAAAACACGGATTAAGTAAATCATAAAATTATTTTTGCTAATTTAGCTTGTTTTTAAGCCTATAATCTCAAATTTTTCTATAAATAGAGATTGATCACACGATAACTAAAGAGACATTCACTAAGCCCTTTTCTTTTTTGTATTCTTTAATTCATGTATTAGATATTCTCAAATTATCTTCGTTTTGTACTATCCTTAGCCAAACGTCCAATTGGTTACTCTATTAATAGGTACAATGCTCCTTCACTCTATAATTAGATACAATGCTCAGTTGGAAGTAGTTATTTGCACAATCTATAAATAGTACTACTCGGAGAATTACTGTCATTTCATTAATGCTATCATTTATTAGGTATTATATTGGAGTCCAACATAATTAATCTATAGTTTATACATAAAAAATATTAAAACAATCATATAAAATCATAAAAATACATGTAACCAACATAAGATAGTTCTTCAAACTTATATAATTGAATTTGTTTGTTTTTGATGTGGTGGTTGTAGTTGATTCATAACATCCCTCATAACATTGATTATCACTCAATAATTTTTCATCTTTTAATCCTTCAATTGCTTGGTCTTCTTCTTCCTCTTCTTGTTCTTCTTCACAATTTTTAATTTGATTCAATTCATAAATAATAAATTGATAAATTAAATAAAATTTAAATGAATAATTAGCCAATTTAAAGATGAAATCAACATTTAAAAATTCATTATCTGTAGTGACCAATTTTGGAAATTCAACTTCATCAACTTCATTATTAACCAAATCTTTTAAATTTATAAATAAAAATGAATTACTTATAAAAAAAGGTAAAAAATTATTATTACATTCTTTTAAACATACTAACAACAGTTTATTATTAATAAAAGTTAATCCAAATATAAATATTGGTAAACTTATTTGTAATAATATAAATATTTTTATCTTTTGAGAATATATTATATTTATAAAATTTAAAATCAAATAAACACATGAAACAATTTGTATTAAAAAAAATGAAATTTCTAAAATTAATGTAATTAAATATTTAGATGATCTTGTTGTTGGTATGTTTTTTGATTTACTTATGAATTTACTAAAAAATTTAATTGGATTAAAATTAATTTGGAACCTTAATATAAATATAATATTTATAATAGTTGATAATATATCCCATATAAAATTATCTTTTTCAATCTCAAATTCAACTGGTTCATTAAGAATGGATGAATTGTTCTTCAATATGATTTTATTAATAAATTGAAAATATAAATATGATATTATTATAATTGATGAGATTATTGGATTATGAATTATATTACATAAATAAAATTGTATAAAATTTATAAATTTATCATAAATTGTATTTTTTGTAGAAGTTGATGTAACTTGTTTACTTGGCATTATGTTTTTGAAATTGTTGATGAAGGTAAAGAAAACTAGTATGAAAATGAATGAGTATATAGATTTAAGGAATTGGTTTATATTAGTTGATAAAATGAAAATGTAAAAGAATGTATAAAGTTGAGTTATATAATTGTACTGTTTTTTAGTATAAAATCTATTAAAACCCCGTGGCAATAAGATCTAATCTAATCTAATCCCAAATGATGAGTTGTAACTTATGGTTGTTGTTGTGGATAATGTTAATTGTAAAAAGAAGGAACTAGATGAAAATTAGCACACGAGATTTATCGATACATTTATATTTAAAACATCACCTTTAATTCATGTTTAAAACGTAGAACATGTGGGTAAGTTCTTTTTAATTTATTTTTAAATTAATTAAATTGCAAAATTAAATTTTAATTCATTATACATTTTGTGTAATATGTAGTACCCTAGTATTAATCTTTACACATGAAAAGAGAATAAATAAAGAAAGTATAAATAAATAACTCTGGAAGGATATTTTTTTGTTATTTTTACACCGAATGTAACAAAGTTTTAAATTTCAAATAGGCTATATCATCGCATAAAGAAATACAAAGAACCCTTTTTACTAAACAATCTACTTCAATTTCTTTTTTTCCTATTTACAAACAAACAGAAATCATGAAAAATACCTTTAGACTATTGAATTGTAACACGAATGCACAGATACACACGATATTAACAAGTGATACTCTCCTAAATGGTTCATGGTTCATAATCATTTTAAAGTTTAGTTTATTGAATCAACCTTTGTTTTATAAAATTTAATTTTAGCATTGGTAGCAGCATTTGGAAAAACGTGGGATCTTTTTTAATTGATCAAAAGTACACTACTTTATTGTATTAGACGAAAGAAAACGCAAATTAATTATTGTTTCAGATTGCGCTTATTGTCTTGTGCAACATTGTCGACATTTTTAAAAATATAAATATTCATGATGTAAGTAGAATGTAAAACATTACTTATAACAACAACTACACAATTGATCATATTTATATAAACGAAATTTAAAACAACAGTCATTAAAGTAATTTGGGCACCATATTTAAGCATCTCCATCCCGTAATCGTACTGTAACACTTACAAAATGGACAAATAATTACATTCCAGTTGGGTTCGATATGAATTTAATATTGAAGGATGCTAATTGAAAAGAAATATACAATGAATTCATTGGTGAAGTAATATATTTATGTATCAAAAAATTCAATTTTAGTTTACATGTTCACTTGCCAACATGCTGATATTATATTAAATAACAAATTTCAATTTCAATTTTCTTATCTCGAACCAATTAATTATTTTTGAAGGTGATAATCATTTAATTCAAATTATTTAAGAAAGGAGATTCATTATAAAAACCATCAAAAGAAAGTGGAAGCCGAAATGAAATACTTTTCATTTACCTTGAACTTTCATTTGATGGTTCGTTATAGTAAATTTCCTTTTTAAGATTGAATACTGAATGATTAAAAAAAAAATGTTACTTTGTTGTGATGAGATAATGAAATTAGAGGTTAAAAGTTTTAAATCAAGTTATTCAAATATTTAAACGTTTTTAAAAGATACATTTTGAAAAAACATAATCATTAGACATCAAATTTTTGAAAAATAGACAAACTTTCAACTATCTAAGTCCTAATTTAAAACTTTCTTCAAGGCTCAAACAACTGGGTATATTAAAATTGTAAATCAATTTATACTTCTGCTGGTGGGATTTTGGATGATTCACATTTATCAGATAGTACTAAAAGTTTTAATTAGTTCACCAGAGTTAGCACCTGATAAACAGAAAGTCATGATTGATACTTTATGTAAGTGTCAGGAAAAGGATGTTATAATAAGAAAGAGTCTGAATCACGCTTTATTGGGGATTGAATTGCCTAGGACCATTGAGCATTGTCCGTAGTAACTACTACCGCAGGCATTGAAGAGGGTAACGAGGGACAGGTGAAGAAAATTGCTTGACTGAAGTACATCACAAAGACACTTGTTATTATAATAATAAAGTATTGAGCAGGCTTTGGTTCTATCATTATTTAGGTAAATAAACTACCTATCTAATGTTCAGACTCTTGCATTTTATATCAATCCCGTCATATTCTTAAAAAAATAAAACTGATCAATTAAATATTTAGTAATAAAACAAAATCCTTCAATTGGTAAATCTTTTTCAAAAATCCAACTAGTTTGTTTAAGTTCAAGATAGTGTTTAATTCCAAAATAAAAAGCTCTTGTAAAAGCACCAATAATTGCAAATTTTAAAAATTTCCAAAGATTTGATCTATTATTAAAATCTAAACATAATAATATTAAATATTTAAATTTATATAATTCCATCGAATTATTTATTATTATTAATGAGTTTATAAGAAATATAGTTGATGTGATGGAAGCATTGGTTCTTGAAATTTGATAATCTGAATCTCTATTTGTTGATGAATTTAAATAAAATAAAATCAAGATTGATAAAATTGGAATTAATACATATCCAAAATATTTTAATCCAATTGTTCTAAGGTGTCTATAATTATCATGAAATAAATCATTACTTTTTAAGTATGTTGACGAAACGAAAATCAATATAGGTACAATGAAACAAATTATACTTGAAATTAATTCAACTTTACTTAATGATGTAGTATGAAGTAATAAACGTCTTTTAAAATTATTATAAAATAATTGAATTGAAATAGTTGGAACTAAACTTGAAATGAGTGTTCTTGAAAATTCTCCTAATGCTCCGTCCATGTGAATATTGTTATACTAGTCAAAAAATTGTTGTTATTATAAAAATTTTGAAAGATTTTCGTTGACTGAAAGTGATAATAAAAATTAGAGATACTCTATGGTAGATCCGGTTTTGACTAATTGGAAGTTTGATATTTGCAAAAGAAAGTAGGTATAATCACACAGAAATGAAATTTACAGATTTTTTTTTGCATTCATCCATGTATTTATACGTTTTGAATGGAAGGGTATTGTTAATAATTGAATTGTTGAGTAAAACTTTATTGGCTACTCAATATCTAACCATATTTAGTCATGTAAAAGTACTACCTAATTTTAACTTGATTCCCAATGAGCGAGTGGCCAATTTTATTGTTTTAAATGTTTGATTACTTTAGCTAACATAACAATAGTCAATGTTTAATCTAATATTTATTTTTCAATGTATCATGAGTTAAAAAAACTTTACCTAAAAAAGCTTCTCCAATGGCTAATACCATCCTCCCCTGATTCAGATGTCCAATCTCTCGTATTTTATATTCTCATTATTCTTGGCTCCTACTATTGTTTTTATTTCTTATTACACTTGATTTTGACTTTTGCTTGCTAAGCAGTAAAAGAATATGCACAGTCTTTAGAGGAAAGATTTTGAATTTGTAATGTCTATTTATTAATTTAGTAAATATCACCTAGAATTAGCTCTTCCAAGTCAATATCTAATATCTTCTGCATCTTTTTGTTTTTTATGTATCTTAAAATCTTGTTTTTGAGAGTGTTGAATTAGATGCAAAATAGCATTTTTCTGTTCATTAAGTGACTGATAGATGATAATTCGATCGCTTCTAAAATATGCTACAAGATCTGAAAGATTCATCTTTTAGGACAAAATTTACACAAAACCAAAGTAACAAATTTGAAAAAAAAGCCTCCTAACCATTTGACATGCATATAATTAAAAAATTTACAGCTTTTTGTTAGTTTAGACACGTTCACAAAAAAATCATATCCAAAATTTTAGTTCTTTTTATTGAATAGGAGACATCAAAAACCAACCTTATCGGTTACAGTTTTTATGTGTAAATCACAAACAATCAACAGGCAAAAATGATTAGTAATAAGTTTTTTGAGAAATTTGCAACATTATTTCATCAATTTTGTATGACTTCAAAAAGTCAAATAAATTGAGATATTGTATACTTTCTCAAATGTGGTATTTTAATAGATGAGTCTCACATGAGATATGAGCCACATGGATGGATTTCAAAAGCTGAAACTCCCATTGAGCAGGACACTACGATAAATTATGAATAAACTCATCATTATAATGTTTGATTTCTACTTTTTGTATTTTCACAATCTCGTATTCAACAACCATCAATTCAATTGGAATTTGAAAAAAAATTTTTCAATCACATACTGTTAAAGGTATCCCTCGACTCAAATATGACTAAGACACTTATTCTAGCTGTATTACCCGAAGAGGTGCTTTGTTTATTGCAGCCATCATTTGTGGTTCATACGTAATATTAGATTTAATCAATACTGCTCATAATTTAGGAAAAACATTTTGTGGTTCTTGTCTTCTGAAAGACATCAACCCATTGCTGTTAGAGCTGAATTTATTTTTTTTGCTTCTTTCCATGCTTTAAAAAATGGTGCTTGATTTATTACCACATTAACAACTCATACAACTTTTGCTGACAATACAACTATTCCAGCATTTTATGGTGGTTACCTACTGTTGTAATTGACATGTAGATTATCACAAAAACGGTACAAAAGAAATTGGAAGTGTTAATGGTAAAGAGATTACGAAGTCGATTGGGTTTCATTTTAATTTTGATGGTGTTATTGCTGACTTACAACATTGGACTGAAATGGACAAAACTTATATCGACTAATTTGAAAACATGAGTTACTCTTTGATATCGTCGACCGTTTATCAAATACCTCAAAAAGTATGTTCCGCTTGGGTAGTCCTGGGTCAGCCTAACCGAAATTCAATTTTGGATTATCCATTTGAGAGTACCATAGAGAAATTATACCCATTTAGCATCCAAAATGATAATAGCATTTGATGATCCCTTGATGACCAAACTTATGTATTTTTCTAATGATATCAACTTCTGATTGATCAACAACCACCGACTTAGCAGTTGATATTATTATGAATATACATAGTTTTGGACATCAAGGTATCATCAAAAGCAATTATCAGTTTTGGCCCAACCTCTTAAAAGTTCTTAAAGAAACATCTACATAATTTCAATTGCATAGTAGTACCCATAAATTTTTCATTTTATTACTCTCTTAAACTAATTAAATTTCAAATCAAATGATTACATTTATAAAGTACCTGATTTATCAATACTAATTTTTTTAGAAGTAGCACCTGAATTTGAACCAAATGATTCAATTTTTTTAACGACATCAAAACCATCAGTAACTTCTCCGAAAACAACATGTTTACCATCTAACCATGAACACGGAACAGTTGTGATAAAAAATTGAGAACCATTAGTGTTTGGACCAGCATTAGCCATTGATAATAAACCTGGTCTATCATGTTTTTTGGTGAAGTTTTCATCAGCAAATTTAGTACCGTAACTAAAATTATGTTAGTATATCTTAAGAATTGAAAAATGATCGAATATTAAACTTACATTGATTTACCACCAGTTCCGTTGAAGTTGGTGAAATCACCACCTTGTAACATAAAGTTTGGAATAACTCTATGGAAAATTGATCCTTGATAACCAAATCCTTTTTCTCCAGTAGCTAAAGCTTTAAAATTTTCAGCAGTTTTTGGGACTACGTCATCATATAATTTGAAAGTAATTTTACCTAATGGTTGACCATCGGCTGAAACATCGAAATAAACTTGTGACATGATTTCAATTGATTTTGTTAAATTTGATTCAATTGAGTTTTCAAATAGATGAAAAAATAGATGTAGAATGAACGTGGTTTTTATAATTTTTCAAACACCTAATTTTTATTATTTTTTTTGTTGAAAAAATATGAGATATTATGCTCAGACACTACTCTGCCTCGACTTCGGACATTCAATTTTTAATGTTCATTAACTTGCTTTACGAAACCATTTCAATTTCTTGAATAACAGCTATAACTGTTCAATACAAGATACACCCTCTCATTCTATCTCTCATCAAATTTGTTCAATGAATCGAGTTTATGAGGCCTAATGAAAGGTTGGTATGAGGAGTAAGTTTAAGACAAATGAGAAGTGTCTGTCTTAATACGCTGTCTGTTAGTTTAAGCCCAAAATTAAATGTCTAATTATGATGTAATCAATTAACGGATAGAAGTAAATAGAAGGATTCAATTCTAGAATAAAATCACGTGACAGCTCTCAAAACGGATACTTTGTTTTTATTAGTCTATAAAACTGGCCCTGGGAGTTTGAATCGATAGTGTTAACGAGCCAATGAATCTTTGAACTCGGAAACTGTTTACAAACGAGCTGATACAGCATCATAACCAGAAACACTAACTTTCCTCTCAGTTTCAACTCCCAAATAAACTATTTTTCTAGTTTTAGAATCAATTAAAGTAGCATATCTTGAATTTCTAACAAAACCTGACGTATCATTAGTTAAACCGTTCTTCGAACTTAAATTGATATCATTTGCAAAAATCAATTGAGGAATATCTTTTTTATCATGTAAATGTTCGTGTATTAATACCTTACCCCATGCGGAAACCACAAATGGATCATTACTTGTTATAACTATTACTGCACCAACATTTTTGGACTTGAGATGGCCCAAACCTTTTAAAAATTTTACATTATTAATTTAATCAATTCAATTCTTGTTGCCATTTAATAAATATAACTCAATCCAAAGTTTTGTTGCCATTTAGATATTGGTGATTACATATAGTTTTCATAATTTTTTTTATCATATATTTGCAAAAGCACCCATCAATTAAATTACCAACATCCCATCTGATTGGAAAATTGCATATTTCAATGAGTCAAACTGGGATGCGTTTTACGATATCAATCAATATGAAAATTTCAACACCCTTGGAAATGCTGAACCTCCTGAAATTGTCAGTCCAAACTTGATTTGAAGTCTTGTTGATTTTTGAAAAACTCGTAGATGTAACAAGAACAAGGTTAGCAAAATTATAAAGGTAATGAGCGTTTCAATTACTATTGTTAATTCAATAAGAAATTAAAAGGGCTTTAAATTTGAAACATGTAAACTTACAAGTACATAAGTTGCTATTTTTATATCCTACGATTCACACTTTTAATGTATGTATTTTAATACTATGAATAAATGGACAGATGAGAACTTACTAAATTATCAGATTAACTGTATTTCATTCAGTTTATTTCCTAGCAATTCATCATTTTCTTTTTCTTCTATCACTACTGTTGTATTCTCAAACTACTTAACTAATAGAAGCTAGACTAGTTACAGATTGTTTTTTTTTTTTCAAAGTACATGGTAGCAGGAATCTTACGCTGTAGCTATTTTGCAACCAAAAAAAATAATTTAGCTTGTCAATTGAAATTGAGCATATAACGTACACTAACTAGTAGAACTGGATACAACACAGCCTATAGAGAACTCAACACTAGAAATGTATTCTATAATAGCGTAATAACTTTTGATAAATTTTAACGACGAGATAAATTTTAAATCATCAAAATTTAAGTCTCTTTTTGAGCCCATAATCAAGCACTGTAGACCACTACATAATGTGGGCCAACTAGATAAATTAGTACTATTTTATAATCGGCATTTTGTTTTAAATAGCTAATTAGTATGCTAGTGGTAAGGTTTTGAAATACTATTGTCCCAGCTCCTTAATGAAAAATCTGGGATCAAATTTCATTCCTTTTAACGCGTACATAATTTTTTGCAACCACTTTTCTAAAAACCAATTTCACACATCAATATCAATTCCATCATCACAGAAAGAAGAATACTGTTCAAATAAATTTCATTGAATATTACCGTGTTAACATTATGTCTAATCGTACAAAATTTTATTGAAATATGACAGAGTATAGTAGTCAATCGTCTACATTGGAAAAGATTTCCGACCTTTTTATCAACATCACCAATACAAAAAGCGATAGAGAAAGCTTTATTCAAAAACTGGCTTTACCACTATACTTACTCATGGATAAGCAAAATTTATCACCAAATGCATTAATTTGTTCTAAAAATGTTGGTAAAGTGAGACGATTTGATTATGCATCACTCTTTGAAACAAATATGATCAATCTACTTCAGGAAATTGATCCAAATTTACAGGATTATTTGCAGTTGTTAGTTCAAGACAAAAAACATCTAAGATTGATCAACAGTGGTAAATCGAGTATTGTGATTAATCATAATTACTACCCTGGTGAAGTTTCAAAAGTAAATGAAATATCATGTCTTTTCACTGATGCTGAATCAAGATTAAGAAGTGCAGATTGTAATATTATAATAAATGACACAGAAATTAAACTACTTAGCTTATATTGTGAGGTTGGGTTGACAATACAAAAATTCATAATGCTTAAAGAATTGAGATCTTTTTTATCCAAAGTCCCCGAACAAATGGTGATTGCAGCTGATTTTAATTTGAATGCTTATTACTCGAAACCAGGAATGAAAGAATATTTTGATATCATTATTGAAATTATGGAAGAGCATGATCTAGTAGCAATAGATAATTTTTTCAAGATTCCAGTTTATACAAATATGGGGCATTTTGCTTCAGCCCCAGATAAGATCCTAGTATCTAAGAATTTGGCACAAAATATAAGTTTAATGGCTCTATTTTTTGACGGAAATTCAACCCATGCTTTGGGACTTTTTGGTTTGACTGATACTAAAATGATTAATTTGAAAAATTATACACAAAATCAAAATTCCATCAAAATTTTAGTGAAACTCAATGAATGTGTAACAAAATACATACAAAAACAATTTGATGTTAAGCAACTACAAAGTATCAGGTCATTTATCGAGGAAGAAAAACTACCTAGAGTTCAAAATGCTTTATCAACTACATTGAAACAAGTGGAAATTTTGAAGAAACAAAAAGAAAACATTAAAGATGAGTTGTCGAAAGAAGCCTATTCCAAACAAAATGGTGATTATGTTAGTCAAATACATTTGCTACCAGAGGCAGAAACTATAGATTTTAAATTGCTAAACTATTATCAAGTAAAGGAGAGTCAGAAGAACCATTTCAAGAAATTAAAATTGGATGAGCAGACTATAGAAGTCTCTACAGCCGAACTAACTGATGAACAATTTAATGTTATTACTAGTTTTAATGATGAGGAACCTGATGAAATAAGTGATGCTTCCGAAGTGGAAGACGATGTTGCAGGATTAATTGAAGAAAATAATAAGACTCTCCCTACCTTTGACGATCTATTCCAAAATAAAAATGAGGAAAATGTCACTTTTGAAAGAATTTTTGTACATAAAATTCCACTAGTAGCTGAAGCATTTATATTGAAAAGATATAATCTAGAAAAAAATTCATTTTTCAGACTCAGATACGATCCTATTTTTAAAGACTTCCAAAGATTCTTCCCAGATGTAGTTGAACAAAGAAATTGTACACTTGGGACATTAAAGGATAGAATCAGAAGCTTAAAAAAGTCGGAGTATACTATATTGGATGCTGAATCAAATTATCATTATACAGGCGCATTCATAGATCAACGTGTTGTGAAAAAGGAAGGAGAAGTAGATTTTGATCGAGTATTTCCAATATATGCAATGGTTGAATTAGTGATACAATTTAACAGGCTTGGAGCTAGAAATACATTGCTATCAAGAATTCTTAATGCCAAATTTAAAACGCAGAGATTTAACTTTCGTAAAGTTCAATATTTCATCCAAAGACTTTATGAGCTGGGATTGATCAAACTAATAAACAACAAATACAAATTTACGGAAAAATTTGTCAGAGATACAATTATTAATTTGGATGAACCAGATGAAAATAATTTGAAAATATCAGATGTTCTTGATTTAGACTCAATTAAATCAACAAATAGTATTTTGACATTGACTGAATTGAACAAGAATTTAGTATTAGAGTTTCATGGTTTGCCATTTTTCAAATCAGGACTGGGATCATGGTTACTACCTAAATCAATTATCAGAACGAGTAAAAGTTTAGACATATCATCATCGACTACCCTGAATTTGAATGCTAATTTTGATACCACAAGTAATATTTGGAGTAGAGAGGAAGATATAAAATTCCTTCAAGCATGTGGTGAAGTTTATAAAAATGAAGTCTTGGATTTGAGTTTAGTTCAAGCAAAACATTTCCCACATTTGACAATGGCACAGTTAATTCGCAAAATTTATAGTTTTACGGTGGATAAAACTCCATTGAGTTTTCAAGAAAAAAGTTTAATAGTGAAAACAATTTCAAACTATATCAACTCATCTCCCATCGAACCAAAGACTATACCACAAGTTATACATTCTGAAATCATTAATAATTTGGAGAAAAAGTTTCTGACCCATAGGAATCAGGATCAAACTCGATATTTTTGGAATTATTTTGGGGTTAAAATTTTCCAATATAATAAGGCTAAATAAAACGGAATTTTGAAGAGATTGGTTTAGTGTTTAAAATTGTACATGATGAAAGTTGTCTCTAAAAGCTCGTGATTACATTCTTCAATCTCTTTTCTCTGAGTCCAACAAACTTTTTAGTACGAAAATTAATCTGTTTTTCCATTAAATCATATTTTAATTATGCAGTTGTTAAAGCCAACATTGTTAGCATGTCTTCGGCTAATGTTACTTGCGGTTTTGGCAAACGCTGCGATCCCTTTTAATCTTGCGATGAATACTTCGAGGTATGAATTATATTACTATACGAGCTACCAAGTTTTGCGAAATCTTAATTCCTTCTCTTTCACTGATTATCATCTTGATGATGAATTACCGGTTTATATATAGTCTCTTCTATTTCAGGTCCTACCTTAGCCAGTATACACTTTAGTACATGACACGAAAGTCTTAAACCAAGACAGAAAATGGAGATTTTCAATCATCATAATAGTCTAAAGGTGTATGATGCTCATATTCTTGCATTTACAAAGCATTAATAATGGTCACACATCGATCCATTTCGAGAATTCGCTTCATTACTAAAATTACACTGCAAGTTGGTTGTTCTTTAACATCAATTCCTTGATCACGAATGACACAACCTCTACTTATGGCCAATTATCTAACAAGTGCATCCTTTCGTCTCAGGCAGCAATCGTGAAACTGAATCGACCTCATTTATTGATTAGAGATACAAAAATAACAATTAAAAAATCTAGAAGTTTATACAGCCAATTGACTAATACTGATTTATCTAACTATAGCTTGAAAATAGAAAAATTGAACATCAGCATAGCAGAATTAATGAACCCAAAAGTATTGATCACCTTTGTACCACCATGTAAGAGATCCCATTTGACTCTTCGACATACTCATTAGCAACAGGATCCACGATATTGCCCAGCGTTAGTCTCCGTCTAATTTTGAAAGATATAGTACCATCTGCTGACAAGATCCAATATTCTTTCATTTTTCGCTTATATATATTTTGCAAATACTTAAGGACGGAGTCCAGCTCAATCTTCAATTTTTGACGTAAAGCTTCCCATTTGGGAACACCGTTATGCATAAAATCTTTTTGTCTCACTAAAGAATATAAGACTTGTACCATCGGCTCCATTTGCATGTAACTGGGAATCTCAACTTGCAACTCAAGCAGCAAATCTTCATCAATATAATCCTCAACCTTAAAGTTACTTAAATATATCAATTTATCAGTATCAACACTGTAACGACCATCTTCAATGATTAAATCAAGATCAGATATGGCGTTCGAGAAATGGTCCTTTATATTTCTTTGTGCTTTTTGATCCAGCAAAATACCAAAAGCAACGAAAATTCTATACCAATCGGGATTATTTGAAGGATCTTTTAATACATTTTTAGGATTTTTCAATAATTTGAATAATTTTAGCTTAGTATTTGATGTAACATCTGATAATGCAGCGAATTCTTCATTTGTAAAAGTGAACTTAGATCTTTCATTTTCGATCTCGTTTTCAATAAACTTGATGTTTCTTTGACTCACATCCATACCATTATCAAACATGAAGGTAGACCGAATAATTCCATCGGAGTAAACTTTCCAATTCTTGTACTTGTGCAAATTATTTTTCAAGGCTTCTCGAAGCAAGTGTTGATCATGTTCTAGAAAAACATCCATTTCCTTAAATATCTTCAGAAAATCAACCTCTCCTCCTTGATAGTACTTGTGATCTTGTAGTAAAATATATAGATGTTGACCTCTTTCAGGAAACCTTCTAAAATTCGGTTCTTGTAGTTCTATTCCGTTTTTGATATGGCCTTCTATGAACTCTTTAATGCTGAAAACTTTTTCAGAAGCAGATAAGGTTACATTTGTATTCATACCAAGATTATTCCGCACCGGAGATTCCGCATTAGACTTTTGCAATCTTTGATTTAAAATACCAAGTTTATTTTGGGATAGGTTTGTTGCAAAAAATTGCCTCATTCTTTTTACAATATCAGCATCTTTCAAAATGCCCATGCAATAAAATATCTTGAAGAAGTCTGGATAATTGTTCTTTAAAATATAATCATCGCTTGTAAGAAATCTCAAAAAGTTAAGTTTCATTTCACCAATAATTGGAAAACCCAGCTTTTGGTCCTCAGTAAGTTTTAGTTTTTCTTTATTCATATTGTACTCGTTTAAAATAAAAGTCGTGTTTCTTTCATTCACATCAATTTGATTTTCCATCATGAAGGAAGATCTAATTATACCGTCTGTATATGTTGCCAAACTTTTTGTTTCTCTAAGCTGTTTATTAAAGGTGTTAATTAATTTTCTCAATTCTTTGCCTTCTAATTTTAAATATTTTGAGATCTTTGTAAAATCGGGATCACCTATTCCCTGATAAAAATACCTTTCTTGAAGCAAGATATATAAATTTCTCATTGTGGTAGATGATAGCATAATACCAGGGTGTTGAAGAAGAATATCATCACTAATGCTTAATTCAATTGGTTCATTTTCTTTATTTTTGTGTGTAAAAGTGGGCACTATATTCTCAAAATGAACAATATCACCAATCGCAGATTGTAAATTGCCGTATTTAGATGCTTTCCGTACAATTTTCATACAACGATCATTAACAATTATGTAACACTGTCTATCTGCATTATCCTTAGCTGTTGGTGAAAGACGTTGGTACATTTTCACAATACTGCCCTGAGTCTTATCATCTTCAAATAAATCCAATAAGAGGAAAATTTTTTGTAAATCCGGAGTGTTGTCCAATAAAAAGTTTCTTTTATCTTTAAGCAACGTCAAAAATTCTTTTTTTGGGCCCGATAAATTTTGGAAACAAGATGCTTCTTCCTTAGACAATTGAAATTTACCTCTGTCTCCATCATGTTGTTTTAAAATGAATTCTGAGTTTCTTTCTTGATAATTCATTCTATTCGCCATCATAAAATTTGATCTGATAATACCATCAGGGTAAAGGGACCACTTATTTGCATCAAACATCTTGAAAAAGTTGAACTCTAATAGCGACAATGCTTTTGATGTTAAACCGAGTATTTCACCAACTTTTGAAAAATTAGGTAAATTATCATCAGTGTATATATCCAGACAGGTCTGAAGGAGTACATATAATTGCTGCGTATGTTTAGCCAATCTTCCAAAGTCGGGGTATTGAAGTTTTAAATTATAATTATCTGAGTAATTACCCGAGGTAACGTCACCAATCGTTATTTGCTCTAAAGGCGCAGTCTTTGATTTTTTAACGGTATTTGATTTTTCAACAGTATTTACATCTCCACCACCATTTGAACTGATTGCGATTGCATCATTAATTTCTGTTGCTTTTGATTCAGAATTTTTATTTGATTTTTCGGGATTGGAGTTTTTGAAAAATTTTGAAACAGTACTTTGATTGCTAAATTGGATTTGTTTGCTTTGGTTTGGTCCAATTGAGTTACCACCAATTTTTCTCTTTTTTGATTCCCTTTCTGCTACTTTTTTTTCAAAATATTTATTTGTTCTATTAGTATTGGAGTTGAAAAATCTTGAAACAGTACCTTGATTGTTATCTTTACTTTGGTTCAAGCCAGTTGAATCACCACCAATTTTCCTCTTTTTTGATAATTCTAACACGGATGCCCACGAATTAATTGATTCATTAGTTTTAGACGCGTCATTTAAAGTTGTATCTTTTTCTTTAAAAGTATTACCATCTTTTGGATTAAACAACATGATATTCATATTTGGAGCTGCAGTATCTTTTAATTTTAAAGTTGAGCCAACTCTTTGTGTTCCGCTTGCAATTCTTTCTTTGTTAAAATTAGCTAATTGCTTTGACTGTTCTTCTAAAAATTCACTTGAGGTCATTTTTAATTCGGCTTTTGAATCTCTAATAATTTCATCTTGTTCGTTTTCAAATTGAAAGTTGTTTGGTTTATTTGATTGCATATTGTAGTTTACTCGAATTGGTTGTAAATGAATAATATAACGTTGACTGATTAAATAAAATGTAAAAACTTGTGGTAGTAAACAAAAATCAAAAATAAATCAAGACGTGACTTTATGAAAATAAATAAGGAAGAATTCTATGATCCAAAATTTTTGACGAAACAAATGATCTAGTCACAACCATTTGTCGAGTTCAATACACATGCAGTCTCCTTCGTCCAAATGAAGATAGAATGGATTTATTCCCAATATTTTATCTAATTGAATTTTGCGGAACTTGATTGAAATTATAACAGACTCATACAATTCGAAAACTCATGTTGATGAAGCTGAAACAAATCTTTGAATCAATTACACTAAATCATTTCATATGTTGGTTTCCTCGTTACATAACTTGCTGTCACCTATACCAACATCTAATCATTATTTGGCTTGTTCTGAAATTTTGGGTTTTGTTATGAAGATGAGAATGTTGTCATATCTCGATTTCGTTTGATGGTGATGATGTTTACATAAAAACATTAAAGAGTTTTGTGACTTTTCAATCAAGCTGCAGATCTGACTCCATACGGACTACTACATTGGGGTAATTGACTCGGCTTAATGTCACAATAAGCGATCTGAAACCAAATTTTACATCGGGGAAAAAACTCAAAAAATAACCTAATGCCGGGGTTGATGAATTTAATATTATTCAATGAATTTACCGTATCGAGAAGACAATCAATATTTGGAGTAAAAGTGCTTTGAAAATGGTGTAACAGCTGATTACAATTACTTGAAAATGCTGGATCAAACTTACTTAGCTCAAAATAACGTGTTAGACTTTATTATTTTCAAAAATTTGATTCAGATACAATCAGTATGTTAATTAATTATCCGTGATAAACTTACCAAATGGAAAGATTCCTTCGAAAAAGTAATGCCTATTCGACGACATACTTCATTCCCTTTAATCATCACTTATATGTTTCAATGAATGCGCTCTTGCATATGGAGAATCTATTGGCTACGAATTAAGGTCCTTACATTAATCATCTGATTAAGGTCAATCGGCATTCATCTTGCACGATTCAAAAATTTCAAAAAAGAAAGTTATTTGCAATACCAGAATGTACAACGTGTACAATCCTAAATTTAATATTACACAAGTGATAATAAATTATAAAGTACGATCTATTTGACATCTCAGAGTTTTGTTCTTTTACTTATTAACAAATTAACTTGTCGAGTTTCTTATACTATTCTATCAACTTCTCCAGCCACGAATTTAAATTTATATCCCATTTATTTCAATCATGTTATATTAAATCATCTGTGACTAAGAATCTTCATGGTTTTTTCTCATCTTCTTTTAAATTTTTAAATTCATCCAGTTTCTCTTGTCCTGAACCAATCCAGCAGCCTCGATCATTTGATTTATTTTTTTGATTACATGATGAATATTTTAAAATGAATCCCTCATAGTTTTTTCGTTTCCACCATGCTTCTACCTAATAAAGATGTGATTTGTTAAAAATGCTATTCAAATGTATAATTAAATCTCGAATTTTATTTCTCTTTTTTGAACTTGATTTCTTTCTTGATCATATTATTGTCTTACAATTTATTCAAATCAACATTTTCTTCATCAAAGTTCTAAAACCTCAATATGACGATTCATATTCATCTTAAATTTAATATTTTCTCAACCATTTTCAATAGTTTCATAAATTTCTGAAGTATTAGTATTCATCTCATTATTTTCAATTCCATTGTTTATTCCATTTTAAAATCATGAGTTTAAGTTGAGTCAACATTAACATCTAATTCTGGATCCTAAGTCAAGTCAATAGATTATGCAAAAAAACTCTTCAGTTGTATAATCAGTGTAGATCTCATACTTAATAATTCTAAATCCTTTTCTTGAACTTGATTGAATGGTTTGAGTCATAATTTGCCAAATCCATTATTGGTTTTGAGAGAACATACATCAGTTGTACCAAATGGTTTTATTCTGGTCACTCATAATAATGCCATGAATAAATTATTATCACAACTATAACCAAGGAAATAATCTAAAAATCACCTATGGCAGAAGCTTGCCATTAGTCTTATCGAATGACTTTTAATTCTGCTTCATCAGATGCTTTAACTATCACGTTTATACCAAATCGGTGATATTGTAATTTATAAAGTTTGACGTTATAAAGTAATTGGAATTGTGACGTTTTGTTAATTCATTTATAAGTGTATGATTCATTATACCCCTGACTTGATTAACTATAACTCAATAAAATCAAAAATAAATTATACTTATTTTGATAAGACAACACAACTTTCCGCATACAATTTAATAAAACCCTGTTAATTCTATCTGGAATCCTATAAATTTCATGTAGTTATAATCCTTCCCTTCTCTTTTCTGTCTCTATTTTATGAAGTTGATATGCATTTGGCAATTCCTTAGCATTATTTGATCTGAAAGAAAGTAATTTCTACTTACATCATTTCAGCTTCTCAATATATATTTAATACTCATGTGCAATAATTTCTTTCGTATATATATAAGCTAATTCAAAATAATGTGAACATTAATTTATTCCAAAAGTTAAGAATCCTTTATTCAACCTTATTTTTGTGGAGCCAGTTGTATCACAATGTATTCTTCTTGATGAATATTTTGCATGAAGTCATGTTTAATGATTATGCAGATGTTGAAAAACATTAACTTGAAAAGGAATCTTACAATTTTTTATCTTTGTATTATATTTGTCTGGTTTTGCTTTCATTAAAAACTTATTCGATATAGACTATTAATTAATTGAAGATTTTATGATTTGATTTTGAATGCCTATCTAATAAACTGTTTGATCCGATAATTTGCATCGATGTAGTATAATTTTTCCACGCTTTTATTCTTATGAAACTTTCATTTTAATGATTCCAATGTAAAAATGATCCAATTCGCAATAGGAATAACATATCCCATTTCATTAGCAAATTGAATAACGAATCACATATCATCACCAATAATTCTTGCCTGGTCAATTGTAATTTCGGTACAACTTTTGACTTCTGAAACATGATAAATATTTGGTACTATTAATAAATATTCATTTAATCATTACTTATTTTACTTGATATATGTAAAGTGAGTGCCATCTTACCAAAAATGATTGTTTTCTCCATTACCAAAAATGATTGTTTTCTCCAAATCTTTAATAACTTTGCTTAGTAACACCTTGATCGTGATCAATGAAATCTACCTTCCGAATCATAATTAATATAAGATATATATGAGTAAGTTGATAAAATTAAAATCTTATAAACATCATTTCATTGTATTTTATTCTCAACAACTTTATTCAATGATGAAACTGAATTAGTTTATTCTCTAATTTTATATTTGATGATCTTCCTTCTGTTTTCTTACTTGATTAATGACTCTTCTTTCATGATTCTTAATCCTTAATTTGTCTTTCTGAGGATTTCAAAATAGCTTCTGTTGAAATTTAACCTAAAACTCCTAAGTAACATTTGGTTTGAATGATTTGTCTTTGTAGTTTGATTTCAGATATCCGTCCTTATAATTTGAAGTTGTTGCTTTCATATAGTTAATACTCTCAAAAACATCCATTTTGTCTGGAACATAATCAACATCAATTTGATCTATTATGATAAGCTCGTCAGAATCAGGATGATTATACAATCTATTCTTTTCCCATTCTTTAAGTAATTTAAATGATTTTCACCGGAACATTTCATTACAGATTTATTTTGTTAATTTGAATCGATGAAATGACCACCAATTTTATCATGATTTATTTTCATATTAATTTCAACCAACTCACAAGTTTTCCCAGTTTTCTCAAAGTTTCTTTTTCTTTCAGTATAGTTTGCAAAATTTGTTGTTATTAATCTTATTGACATCACTTGAGCTAACCTATCATCTATCTCACTTAATAAATCTCGATCAATATATGATTTTAATAATCCCAGATAAGTTTCAGATTTAAATCTAGTACCTCCAATAGACTACTTTTTAATTGTAATAAAATGTCATCTTGTAAATGCAGCACGAAACTTTTCATCAAATCTTTGAATTATATATACATGATCCATTTATTCATCAATTAAATTTTTTTCAAATTAGCCATTGTCTGGATTAAGTTCACCTGAAGTTTTAATAGCTTTTCTCAAACACTTGTAATGATTAATAATTTTTTTATTTTCCATTATGCTTTTTTACTTCAATAAAATACCCCATTTATAACATTTTAGTAGAAGAAATTTTAATTAAATAATAAAGTTCATGTCTTGATATTCTTCAATCACTAATTCTCTTGTAATCATTATAAATCATATATTTCTCATTAAATTTGGAAATTCAGAAATTCATTTTTTTGTTGTTTTTGGTTGTACTTTTTTCAATAGCTTCGGAATTAACTAATTGAATCTCATATTCATTAGAATGATTATTTACTAATGAATTTGATTTAAATACTTTTTCCTGTTAATAAAATGATCATTTTCACGAAAACTTAATTTAAAGACATTTTCGTTTGAATTAATTCCAATATTAACATGTTCGTTTGATTCAATATTTGTGATACCTTGACATTTTAATGGTCTAGCTCTTAGTGATTTAAAATTATATGATATGAATATGTTTGACATTTAAATCACTTTCAACTGGTGGATTACTTGATAATTTATTCATTTCAAATTTTAGAATTCGTTTTAATTTTTAATATTATAATAATAAGTCAACTTTGATCATAGCTTAAAAATCATTATTATGAACCATATAAGTGACTTCTAAATTATTGAAAAACAAGATTAGGATGTCCATGGGTGCACAATGATTATAAATCAAATTATAAATAACACAGCTACAATGATGATAATGAATGTAATATAACAGCAGATGACACTTGTATTGAAATTGTTGATTCACTATATGTAATATAAATGATAAATGATATTTAACGATAAATATTGATTGATGGTAAAGATTGTTGATAATGAAACTTTATTGAACTTGATTTTTTTTCAAAAAAATTAATTTTTCATTTCAAATGATAAGCACTTTTAATTCATCTACTAAAATCATCATTACTCCAATATCATTTGAATTCTACCTTATGTTTGATATAGCGACACCTATATTGCTCAAATATCATGACACAAGTTTTTGCATTAAAATTAGTTGCGTTGATATAATTTTCTATACAGCTCGGTTCCTCGCAATTCTTTCCGGTCCAATGATATATGTCACCTATTTAAGATAAATTATTTCAGATTATATATACGATATGAACGACTGCTATTGCCATTTTATAATGAACTTAATAATATCTCATGAAACTAGTGACTTGTTGGTGTATTATCATGTTGACTTTCGAAAATCAAAATTGCAAAAATCGATTCCTGATATCGTTTTGTGTAAAATAATTGGAAACTTATCTCAAAATCTTTTAAATTTTATCACCAAATTTATCAAATTAGTTCATGGTTGACACCATACATATTATATGATCCACTTGATAAATTTACGAAACAATTTAAATGATACAAAAACGAGAAATGATAATAATTTCTTAAAGTTTTTTTAACAACCGATTCAAGAATTTTATAATAAAGTTAACAACTAGACTATAGTTAAAGAGTTTTAACATTCTTTATGAGAGAGAGAGAGAGTTTTCATTCTTTTCCAATTCATTTATTCGATCGATAAATAAAAAATCTTTTTTCTTCAAACTAATACGTCATAAATTAAAATTCTCATACGCCTAAAATTATTTACATGTACTTAAGTAATCTAAGTACAAAATCCTATTCGAGATCTATTCATAGTTAACACAATTCATGGTACATAATCATTTTTAATTTTGTAACCATTTTAAATTGCTAAATTTATTTAAATTTAAATTAATATAAAAACAAAAACATTTAATCAATTATTCATATTTTATAATACTTTTTCTTGAGAGAAGTCCTTTTTAAAGCTTATATTCAATCAATTGTTAGATAAAATTTGAACTTTAATCAAAAATTTTTATTTCTATTCGTGTTACGTTACAGTTGTTTTAATTATCCAATATATAATCTGTATAGCTTATCTCAAATAGATGACATCTTTATTGGAAGAGGATGAATTGTAAGGAACCGAGCTGTGTAGAGGGTAGCTACCAAATGAATTAACTTTTGTCACATAAAATGATTATCAAGAAAATCTAAATCTTGAACTTCTTAACCTGGGGTTGAAAATACCAATTTAACTCGTTATATATCGGTTTCACTGCTAAATTCATTGGAAAAATGGCATTATTAGAGGGCTCTAAGTTTCCCGAAGGCATAACATTTCAGTATATTCCAATCGACATATCAAATGTGTCAGAATTAAATCCACTTAAATGTGAAATTCCAATAAAATTAGACATGGATAAATTATTGGAATCATTATCCAATCAACCTGATAGATACATCCTTATAGTTTCAATAAGTGGCGCATACACACCCACTTGTGGTTCCGAACATGTGCCAAAATTTTTAAGAAGTCTCCATCAACTCAAGGCGAAGGAAGTTGGTGCTTTAATAGTCATATCCAATAACGATCCATTTGTAATTTCATCATGGGGCAAACTTTTATTAAAAGAACATTTACATGATACAAAAGACATTCCTCAATTGATTTTCGCATATGATGTGAACTTAAGCTCAAAAAACGGTTTAACAAATGATAGTTCGGGATTTGTAAGAAATTCAAGATATGCAACTTTAATTGATTCTAAAACTAGGAAAATAGTATATTTGGGAGTTGAAACTGAGAGGAAAGTTAGTGTTTCAGGTTATGAGGCTGTAGCAGCTCGATTATAAGCAATATTTCAAGGTACTTTGACTCGTTGATACTATCGAGTTAAAGCCTGGTTTATAGACTAATAGTAATCAGATTTTCCTTTGATCATTGTCACGTGATTTACTTCTTCCTTACTTATTATCCTACTCCAGAGAAACATGCATCTATTCAAGATAACTATTACAGATTATATATTATATATAAACTAGTATTAAAGACAATTGTAAAGTGATACGAGTAGAATTGAAAATTTTTAATCAAAGTTCAAATTTTATTAAATAAAATCACATTTAATATTTTGTATGAGCTGGTGGTGGACCCTCAGGTGGTGCATAGTCATCATTTCCATTAACATTATGTTCAGCTTCTCTACCATAATGAGTAGAACCTCCATAACCACCATATTGATCATTTCCATATTGATTGTAACCACCGGTTTGAGAAGTTTGTGGATTTTCAGGTGGAACATAGCCACTTCCATAAGTTTGTTGTTGGTTATTGTTGTTATAATATTGTTGATTTGACTGATCAGGATAATAAACTTGTGAAGATGATCTTCTTCTTCTAACACACCATAATATTAAGAATAAAAATATTGGTATTAAAACTAATAACCATAATAACCATCTCCATCTATACCATCCACTATTATAATTATTATAATAACCCCCGTAATATCTTTTAATTAATTCAAGTACTTCTTTAGAATCAGTTTCCTTTGGAACAAGCATTTTGGAATAATAATATCTGATTGATTGAAAATAAGCTCTAGAAAGGACTTCTTTCAAGAAAAATATTATTAAATAGGAATAATTGATTAAATGTTTTTGTTTTTATATAAATTTAAATTTAAATAAATTTAGCAATTTAAAATGGTTACAAAATTAAAAATGATTATTTTTGAATTGTGTCACTATCCATTTGGAATTTTGATCAGAACTCGAATAAAACTATGCAAATGTCGCTCGAGGATGTATTTGATATATTTATCGCGAGGGTAGTAGCTTGATGTAATAATCCAGCTTCTCTCAAGATCAATTTCTCAGTGAAATCCTTGCATTTTTGTCATTGCTTCTTTCAATTATGATGTCACGAAGGAGATATTCTTATAAAACATGGGTTGAATATGATGCATTAACCCTTAAATTAAATTTCAACTGAAATTTCAAACAACGTACTCAAACACAATTTGTAATGAAATGGTCTAATGATAATAATTTGAATATTGCTAAAATTCGATGAAAAAAATAAAATGTTTTAGTTAGGTACAGAAAAGTTCCGTACGGCTTTAAATGAAACTTACATTCAAATTTTACCCTTGTACATGACAACTGAATGTTTCTTAAAAACTTTAACTTAATTTCATCTTCATTTTGCTATTCTTTTGTGACTTCTGAAGTGGTGACTTTGACTTGAGCTTGGTGAACAAGTGTCGTGTATGTATTATGTCTCAAACATTATTTTCGCGACGGTGGCTAATAATAGGTCCAGTGTAAGTACTTAGTTTTAAACATACCAATACCTCTAATTGGTTTCAACGATGGATTAAACTTATTGTTTACTTTAAATACCCCCTGTATTGCAATTGAGGATCTTATGACCAGAGAATCATGCAATAAAGTTGAAAAACGCGTCTAAACGAATGTGGTGATAAATAATGGTAGTAGACTAAGAGACTAATAACCATAGGATCAAAGAAATTGCCTAAATGTTTGTAAGCCATGTATTGCGCTGCATCTTAGCATACTCCATAACCCTAAATTTCCATCAATAACGCATGATTCTAGTGACTCGTTGACTCCATACATATTGTTTGAATCCACCCATTTTCAATATAAATTTACGAAACGATTTAAATGATACAAAAACGAGAAATGATAATAATTTCTTAAAGTTTTTTTAACAACCGATTCAAGAATTTTATAATAAAGTTGGTCAAATAACCATACATAGCTAGAGGATAACGTTACTTTCACGGGAGACTTAATCTTCTACATATGATTTAATGAGTTCAAATAACCCTTGGAAGGAAGAATCAGAATTAACTCCAACTCAATCACCTCAAAAATCAACCATATCAAATACTTCAATAAATTCAAATTCATCAACTCCTCATACTAAAAAATCTTCTTCAACTACATCAAATGGAGAATTACGACCATTGAGATTATCAAAACAAAGATCATCAACATCTTCATCAAATTCAACACCTACAGTTTCATCATTTTCTAATAATCAAATATCACCAAGTAGGAAATCAAGTTTACCTAATAATAATAATCAATCAACAGATGATGGATTTCAATGTCGACCTATGAGATTAGGTTCAAATCGAAATAATTCAGATCCTTCAGAAACTTTTACTAGAAAAAATTCAGAATCCACACAATCTTCTAGTTTACAACGTAAAAAATCAATTCAAATTAAAAATTTACCAATAAATAAACGTAATAGTATAATAAGTAATCACTCATCAATAGACAGTAATAATAAATATGATGATATGATTTTTGCTATATGTTTAGTTGATTTTCATCATCAAAGAGGTCCAGAAATTCAATGGTGGAAATCAAATTATCATCAAGAATATTCACCAAATTTATTTAAAAATTTATCATTTCAAGCATTACCAGATGGTTCTCATTTATTTGAAGAAACATTTTCAAATTTTAATTTAATTTATGATTTTAATGAAAAAATTTCAATAGATGATTTGAATGAAATTAATGATTTTAAAGGAGATCCAAGAAATTTAAAAACTTTATTTGGTTGTTCATGTGTTCATCAATTAAAAACTAGTGAATTAGATAATGAAGAAAAACAGAGAAATAAAGATATAACAAGATCAATTGTACAAAAAGCTGTTGTTGTTATAGTTAGAAAACAACCAATTTTTACCAAAATTAAAGAAAAATTATCAATAATCACCAAAAGTTATTTTTTACAACAAAAATTTAATGATTATGAAATATTAGAACATTTATTTGATAATTTAAATAATCAATATAAATTAGTTGATAATGAATTACAAATTAATGAAATTGAAGAAGAAGAAAATTATATAAATTTAAATCTACGATCATCACTACTTAAATTTAAACTAGATTATATGATTATATTTAAAGCTTTACTACTTGAAAAAAAAATATTAATATATTCAAATAATAACTTAGAAACTTTAACACAATTTCAAAATAATTTAATATCATTAATTCCAAATTTAATAAATAATTTAGATGATTCAGGTTGTCCATTAATAGATTATATTGAAACAAATGGACCATTAGATAAACCACAATCCCTCAATACAAATAATAGATTATCAATGTTAAGATTTTATGGATTACCTTTACAAATTTTTAATACGAAAAATTCATTTTGGAATCCTTATTTACCATTACAACAATTAAATGAATTAAAAATTAATAGTTTTATGATTGGTTGTTCAAATTTATTATTTGTAAATCAAGCAACTACATATGGAATAGATTTATTAATAAATTTAGATTCAAATGAAATTTCATATCCAAAAACAATATCACAACCTGATTACCTTACCCTAAGTAATTTGGATAAAAAATTTATAAATAATTTAATTAATTCAACAAATTTAAAAGATGAATTTTTAGGAAATGATGATTATATAAGATATCAATTTGAAGAATATTTAAATCTGTTAATATCAACAATTAGATTTTGGCAATATAAAGAAAAATTTAATCAATCACCTCCTGGATTTACAAATTCATCATATGGTAATTTACAAGATTTTAATAAAATTTATATTGATAATTGGGTTAAAACTCAAAATTTTAAAATTTGGAATTTAATGTGTGATGATATGATTTTTAATTTTATTGAACCAAAACATATTGGTCATAGTTTAATAAATCAACCAATATCAATAAATAAAAATATTTCTAATTTTTTTAATAATTTTAAATTTCAAAAACAAAATTTGGAGGTTGATGATGAAAATATAAAATCTCATAAATTTATTGAAAAAGAAAATAATAATGATATTACTAATGATGTTAATGATAATGAATCAGTTGATGAATTAGTTGAAGGATTTGAAAAAGTAAATAGTTCTACTGATGATAATTCTTTCAAATCTAATCAAACTCAAAACAGTTGGTCAAATTGGGCTTTTAAAAAGAAGTAATTTAGTTGTTATAGTTTAATGTAAATGTTTAATGATTTATCTCTCTTTTTGCAACAAAAAAAAATTTACGAAATTTTAACCATCTCTCACATCAAACATGAAACATCCATTTCAACTACTAATATCAACTGATACTCACCTTTTTGGAGCACTTCAAAATGAAATATTGGTATATAATTTAGAAACAGGAAGTTTATTAGGTTCTTGGGCAGATACTCAAAAATCTCAACATATAAATGATCAACATATACGTAAAACAGGGAAAATTTTAACAGCTAAACAAAAAATCCTTAATCATATAAAATGTTTAGATATAACAAAAGATCAGAAATATCTTATTGCATCAACTGATTCAGATAAATCTATATTAGCTTTTCAATTAGATTTTGATAGTTTTGATTGTTTAGGTTTATATAAAAGACAACCAATGCCCAAAAGACCAAGTTCAATTACAACACTTGACAAAGATGTAATAGTTGCTGATAAATTTGGAGATGTATATATTGTTCCCATTGACCTTGAAGATCCTACACAAGAAAAAGATTTCCATCCTATAACTGGACATGTAAGTATGTTAACTGATATTTTAATAACTAATCATAATAATAAAAATTTTTTAATTACAAGTGACAGAGATGAACATATTAGAATTTCAAATTTTCCAAAATCTTATGTTATTAGGAATTTTTTATTAAATCATGAAAATTATATATCATGTTTAAATTTATTAGAAGATACTTCATATCTTATAAGTGGAGGAGGTGATGATTATATAATATTATGGGATTGGGTTAAAGGTGAAAAAATAACAAGCTTTGATTTGAAAGAAGTGATTGAACCACATCTCAATGATAATCATTTAGTACCTGAAAAATTTAGAAATAATGATACCGATAAAGAAATGAATATAAGTCAAATTCAAAGTATTAAAATTAATGGAAAATATTATATTTTGGTATTAGTTGAAAGAACATCATGTTTAATAGTCTTGGAATTTAATGGTCAAGATGAAATCAAACTAAAACAAATTCTAGAAACTTCATCACCAATAATAACATTTACAATCTCACAAAATTCTGTGATATTGTCATTAGAATCAGAAACTAATGTACTTGAAATATACAAATTCAATAATGAACAAAATTTAATTAAAGATGAATCAAAATCAGAAATTATTGAATATATTGAAAGTAGAATTCCAATTGAAGTTAATAATATTAAAGAATTTGCTGATTTATATCCTATATCTGCTTTAAGAAAAAGAAGTGAACATTGATTGAGTACGAATAAAGTTGAAATGAAGTCTATAAACGTTTTATTAGAGATTAAGTTTAATATTGAACTATTGTCATGTCAATTATAACTCATTGAAACTACTTATTGATCTTGATGTGTTATAAGTCCAATTTAAATCAATGTCATAACTTTTACTTGTCATGAAATATGTATTAGGTCATAAATTCTCCACATTATTGATTTGAAAAAGTACACGTCTTGAATTTGATGCTAATTTTAACATACGTAGTTCACTAAATAACAACGGAACATCAAAGCTGAAGGTTTCGATCAACAGTACTTTGAATTTAGTCATATCTTGGCTGATTAGTAAGGACATAGTGTGTAAATACGAATCTTACATACGTTCAATAGTTGTAGATCTAATGTACTTATACTTGCATAATCTTCATACATAATAAATAATAAATTTACGAGAGAGTAAAAAGAAAAACTTAATTTTCAATAATACATAGTAAACACTCTAAACAAAGAGGTAGAAAAGAACAACGACCAAAGTACTTGATAATTAGACTGATTATTCAACTGTGACGCTTACTTGAATAGAATTGAGTTACTGGATCCAGTTGGTTCATGATTATATAGAGAACAATTGGAGAGACAGCTAAGAACTACAATATGACATCTTCAAAAGACAAAGATTCACCACCACCACATAACAGTATAAAACAATCAAAATTATCTATAAATACAAATATAAATTCAAATGATGCAGCAAGTACTTCAAATAATCAATATAAACCTAATCACAAAGCTAAATCATCAAGTATATCAATATCAACAAATCCAAATCAATCATTACCATATCAATCAAATCAACATAATAAATGTAATATGAATTTAGGTGATTCATCTACATCATCTACATCATCTACATCATCTTCATCATCAAATACAGTTGTACCTACACCAATAAAATCATCCATAAATTCTCCAATTTCATCAACACATACACCAATAAATTCAATATTTACATCAAATTTAAAAGAACAACGACAACCACCACAAGAGGAAATAGATCAAGAACAACAAGATTATGATGATAATGAAAGTATAATATCATCACATTTAAAATCTCAAAATCACAACAACCTTTACAAGTTAACAATTATAAAATCAACTTTATATATCATTGGATGGTATTTTTTTTCATTAAGTATATCATTATATAATAAATGGATGTTTGGATCAGTTGGATTAAATTTTAAATTCCCCATATTAATAACAAGTTTTCATCAATTTTGTTTATTCTTGTTAAGTTTTGCGATATTATTTTTAAAACCTGGGTTAAGACCAAAACAAATAAATTATAAGGGAAATCATATGGGAAAATTTTTAATTAATATGTTTGGTGGATCGGATTTCAAGAGTGTGGTTTTCAAAAATATATTACCTTGTTCTATAACATCTGCAGGAGATATTGGATTAAGTAATTTTGCAATAAGTTTAATTTCTTTAAGTTTATATACAATGTTAAAAACAAGTTCTTTAATATTTGTTTTAATATTTGGTTTAATTTTTAAATTAGAAAAATTTAATTGGAGATTAATTATTATTGTTTTTATTATGTGTTGTTCTGTAATTATGATGGTTAATAAACCAGAGGATATAGAAGATGATGATTCAGTCGAGGATATTGAATCAAAAAATTCAAAATTTGGAATTATATTAGTTATATTTGCATCAATGTTATCAGGATTAAGATGGTCATTTACTCAAATTTTGTTAAAAAAAAATCCATATACTTCAAATTCAATAAGTACAATATTTTATATATCCCCCTTGATGTCATTAATTTTATTTATTTTAGGTTTAGTGATTGAAGGTTGGTATCCATTTATAAATTCAAATATATGGGAAAAATTTGGAATCTTTAAAACAATAGTGTTATTAATAATTCCTGGAATATTAGCATTTTTTATGACATTATGTGAATTTAAATTATTAAAAATTGCTCAAATTATAACTTTATCAATTGCTGGAATATTTAAAGAATTGTTAACTATTGTACTTAGTTTTTTAATTTTCAATGATAAATTAAATTTTATAAATATTTTGGGGCTCGTTATAACATTTAGTGATATTTTATGGTATAATTATTATAGATTTATTCAAAATGAAAATGAAAATCATCATCATAATTTTCAAAATCTCGATAATCAATTATTTGAAAAAAATGATCAAGATATAGAGAATAATAATGAATTTAATGATGGAATAGAATATGTTAAATTAAAAGATTTAGAAATTAATGAATTTAATAGAACTTAAAACTTATTAATAATATGTACAATTATGAACCAATGACAAGATGTAAAAGACTTTTCACGTAAAAAGCTTTTAAGTATTTTCCAATTTTTTACTCTATTTTCATTATTACTTTTCTATATTCATATTTATAATAAAATTAAACTAATCATTAATATTCCAAAACAAAATAAATATCGAAATAATACATTAACAATCTTATCTCCTCTGGTATTACCAAAATTCAACAGATAACCACTCCCTGAAGAAGTAGAAGATCCAACATTATTTGAAACTAACCCATTACTTGCAGTAATTGAACCATTACCATTATTTGTAATCATTTGATTACCACTTAAATATATTGACCCACTTCTTATTATAGCACCACTTAATCTTGCTGGTATATCTAATATAACTGAATTTGAACCATCTGATGGTTTGGAAATTGTTGAATAAGATAATGTTGCATTTTGACCATAATCATATGTCATTGGTGTTGCAAATGGTATTATTCCTGATTCAATATATCCTATTGAGGAGGAGTTAGTAGTTGAATTTGTAGAATTAGTTGAATTTGGATTGTAAATTGAAAGATTCCCCAACTCATCAGTACTATTTAAAATCTTTAATTTTTCATTAGCATATTCATTTAAATATTCTTCTTCATCAATTTCTAAATATTTATTACTTTCAGCAATTCCAATTTTTTTAAAATCATTATCAACAACAAGATAAATGTGTTTTAAAAATGGTAATCCCAAAGAATTAAACCCAGAATCATCAGTTGGTAAAACAGTTAAATAACAAGCTTTTGAGCCATCTTCAAAATGTAATAAATTTCCTTGATATATTGCATCAACTAATAAATCTCTAAATGGAATTTTTATTAACAAGTGAGAACTTATTTGAAAATCTAATGTTGAATTATTTCCATTTGTTAATAAATCACAATTAACTAACCATCTTGAAGCTTCTGATGAATAATAAGCATTTGTTTGAATTGCTAAATTTACAATAATTTCAATTGGTAAATAACTATAAATAATTCTTGAATCTAATAATACTGGTAATGATCCAGTTATAGATTTTATTGATAATGATTGTCCTGTATCAATTCTTTCAACTTTTATATCATCTATATTTATAATTGGTAATATTAATTCACTTAAATCTTGATTTATATTTTGATATGATGAATTATATCTAACCCCCTGGTGTGGTATCATATCAAAACTATATAAATTTCCAATATAATATTTTTTATTAACTATACCTGGAATTAATTGAGCTATGGAATCATTATTATTAGTTATGTTATTAAACCATAATGAATAACTTTGACTCTTGATAATTCCTTGATCAACTAATTTTTGTAAAAAACTGGACCCTTTTGAATTACCAGCTAATCCTAATCCTCCAACATACATATTTGTATCATTTACATTTAAAAATGTAAAATCATTAATTTCATAATTATATCCATTAGTTAAATTAAAATTAAAATCATCAGTTACAAATTCACCCATTGCTTTAATTTGATTCATATATGGAATTAAATAAGGTTCATTATTTTCAACTGAAACATCTGAAGAAGGTTCAACAATGTCTTCTGTTTTACTTTGATACATTCCTCTTTTAGCACAATTTTCAGTTAAAAAACTTGCGGTTGTAATTGATGCAGGTATAGAAGAATAAGTCAGATATTCACTTGCATAACTATTTAATTTTGAATATAATTCTGAACATGGTTCAAAATTTTTATAATTCATTACCCATATATTTGGTTGAATTAAATCTAATCTTAATCCAATATTTTGTGAAATATCTTCATCATTTGTATCATTATTTTGCAGATTTTTACCAAATTGAAATTTTCCATTATAATAAGAATCATCAGATCCAATTGTAAATATCATTTTAAAGATTTCTTTATCTTGTGAATTTTCACTAGACAAAGATGAAGGTATATTTGTTGAAATTGTATTTGATGATATTGTCCCATCATTTCCATTGTTGTTTGTTGTTGTTGGTCTTGTTAATGTTAATCTTTGTATTCCATTATCAGTTGATGATGTTTCTGTCTTTGTAGTTGATGTAGAAGGCTTTGAAGTAGGAGATATAAGTATTGAATTTGTTGGAATATTTGGATCATTTTCTAATGCATTTGTGAAATTGAGGTTTGTTATAAAAAGTAGAAATAGTAGGATAGATAGTACTGAATTATGTTTGGTGGGTGTTGTTATCATCAGTATACACTTGGAACTTTGATGTAGTATACTTTGCATCATGTTTTATAGAATCTTCTCCGATTAAAACACTTTGGTTTGAATGTTGTTTTTAATTCAACTTATTTGTAAGTTTATGACGAGTATAATGTATTTGTTTGTTCTACTTCCTATTTTTATCAATGTTTAGTATGTTGAGTGAGTGAGGTTTATATCATTTACTCAGATGTTAAAGCTGTTTTGAAAATGGGTTGTTTGATATATATTTGGTCCATACGATTGTAAGTTGAATTTGTTTTAGAATAAATTTTTTTTTTTTTTTTTTAAGTATGATTACATATAAATTTAATGTATACAGAAAATATTGAAGTATTCTATAAATAAACAACAGATAATATAGTCTGATATAATGAGCTAATATAAAAAGATACAATTATAATAATACTAAAACTATTTACTTGGTATAAACATTGTAATTAAACAAGGCTTTGTTAGTTCTAAATTATTATAATAAACTCTTTATAATAATAATCTTAATATTTTAACCGAAGAGAAAAATTCTACGAAGAAAATGATGTAAGAGATATATGAGATTGACGTTGAGCTAAAACATCAGATAACAAATACAATGCTTCTTCTAGTCTGTAGAACTTTTTATATTATGTTTTACTACTATTTTCCTTCATATACCAGATATTGATGAGTTTAGACTATAAGAAACTTGTCTTAACTCATTAATTTAAGTATTATATCTCCTGAAACATTGTCTATAAAAAGCTATTACGTCATTATAAAATTCCATAATACAAAATAAAAAATCTTATAACAAATAACTCTATATCAGAGCATATAAGTCTTGGAAATTAATTGACTATATCGTCTATTTATCTTGAGCCTAAAAAAGTGCTTACCACGGTTGGACATCATTATCGATACTCAAGATTATGGGCTAAAATATTCACATACTCACACAAATGCTAAAGAAAAAAATGACGTTTCTTTCGAACTGAATTTTATATATTACCATTTCAATGCAACAAATTGTTTTCTCAATATATAAACAAATCAAGAAAAAATTTTATTAATAAATTTGAAAAGAATCATTCAAAAATTTGTTAAGACCACAACTTTTATATATTGTAGCTGAAACGAATTTATTATGTATATAGAAACCAAGATAAAACTATATAGTTTCTGAAACCCCTCCATCAACCAATAATCAATGTCATAAAACTATTATATACTTCTAATAATTATCTATACTATTACGAATTTCTCGAGTTAATTAATCAAAATTTTCTCATTTGGTAATGACTGTAAAGATTGATAATATATGATACATTTTTTTACGCGTTGTTGATAATTGCGTTTTTTTTTCTGTATACTATTATTAGCAGCTCGTAAATTTACGGAAATGTATATTTACTTAAATTTAACGAACAAAGATACAAGATTTGGTCTTGCATCTAATAAACGTCAGTCCAAACTATGTAAATTTAAAATAGGTACATATTGTTTCAAATTACTCTAATACTACGTAGAATAACGTCTAATTTCAAAAATGGTGATTTGTAATAACTTCAATCTTCAGTTAATGATGGCCGCTTATCTAAATATATACAATTTGAACAGAAATAAGAGAATTTTTATGCACAATGATTCCAGAATCTATTCATGAATATCAATGGACTTACAGATACTACCTTTTTTTTTAAAGTACCATATCAAAGTTAATTTTATTTTACATTGGCTACTGATGTGAACCAGTATCAAAATTCTTACAAAAGGAAAAATGAAACACAGGACTAAAGCTTGCAACTAAAGAACAAAAATACTGAATTGAACCAGCCTATCAATCTTTAATTTGCTTCTTGAAACTCAAAATAATTGGTAATTTTATTAGGCTTCGGAGATATATCAAATAAGTGTAGGGGGAGCATTGTTGAATTGAATGTATTTTGTCCAAGATATTGTTTCTTAGAAGTGAGAAGTTCTAAAATTTTAGAAAGCACCAATGACATTATTGATTGACTAATTTTTATCGAATTACAAATGACGGAATTGATCCATTTGAAGTTTTCTCAATTCAAATTATTTTTTATTCAGTTTTACTGACTTGATTGGGAAAAATAAAATGTTCTATTGAAATCGTGCTTGTATAGATCTAGTAATATCTTTAATTTCTGTAAATTTATAAATTTCTTTTAAAAAAGTTGGAAAACCTCGCAAATACTAAAAGAAAGAAAGATTTGAAACTATTTATAGTCTCTAATCTATAACAATTTAATTCTTTAATTTGAGACTAGATCTGATCAAACCTCGTATCAATAACTATCATACGAGATCTAGAACAGATATTAGCAAAATAGGAATCGAATTTTATTTCCGTTCTAAAAATAGAACTATGAATGGTTTTTTTAAAACAATCATTTCAGATCTGTAATAAAACAATTGAAAAGTTTACGAACATCGATGTGGAAAAAACGGTTTATCCGTGTTTCCAAATTGTAACAAAGAAAAGGCTGAATTATAGTGATTGCTTCTACAAATTAGGTTCAATAAATTTTAGTATTACTAGTATCAGATATTTTTTATTACCGTAATTCTATTAAAGCACCTGAAATTAACTGCTTATATAACTAGATTTCCAAAAATTATCTCAACCTTGGTGATGTCAGAATAAAAATAATGCCGAAAATTTTTCAAAAAACTTTTGATTTGATTGCTATTGTTATTTAATAGCATGCTCGTAAAATATTTCGTAAAATAAAGTTAACCGAATTGCAGAACTGCTTAAATTTTGGTTAATCAATTAATCAGCAAATACTCATTCGATGATGAGGTAAATGGAATTGAATCTAAGTAGGTAAAAAAGCAAAGGTTACGAGTTTATGTTTCAAACTAATGTAATACGTCAACGCAAGCCCAAAAACATTGATTTACTTACTAAAATATTATTAAGCCCTTTTTAACGGCTTATTAAATTTTCTGTATATGTGATGTCATACTTTTGTTTGAAGTCATTTTAAGTGAAAAGTATCTAGATTTAATTCCATTACTAAAGAATGAGTTTTAAATTCAGCACTATATTTATATGTAGTTATGAAAACATTGGTAAGAGAAATTCCTAGGCTAGTAGAAAACAAATAATTGGATAGAATTTTCAAAAATTCGATGATAAAGCAATTGAATTATGTAAATTAAATTATTTTTCATAAACTAAATATTTGGTTATTTTCATCATTTAGTATTAATCTACATTTGAATAAGGCCAAAATCATAAAAGTGAATCTAGACTCATAAAATAAAAATAGACTTTTGATAAAATAAGATACGGATATTGTCTTGTCGCTTGTGGAAAGTAAGAATTCAAATTCATTAAACTTAATCATTATGCAAGTATAATTAATTCAAATAAAAAATTATCTCGCATATGTCCTCAAGATTTAACCAAGACATAGATCTACCTCTCAAATTTTAATTTTTTAATCGAAAAAGGTTTAAGAAAATTAAAGAATGAGCAACTAACTGATATTCAGCTCATCTTTTCTTTTAACTTATCACTGACTAATACTTTATGATAGCTTGATGAACCTTTAGCAATGACTAATACTTTATGATAGCTTGATGAACCTTTAGCAATTATCAATATTTATACAGAATTTTAAAGAAAAAAATAGGTAAAAATAATAAGATTTCGACAGAATAGTATGTATGAAGTTCAAGTCGTAATTAGGATAATCGTTCAACCAAAAAAAAAGTTCAACCCTCCTTTTTTAATTTTCTACTTTCAGTTTTATAAGAAATATCTATTGTAAATTTATGGGAAGTCCCAATTATGGTTATAATTTTCACACCCAAGGTGTATATTTGGACTTAGACTTGCTTCTTTGAATTTGATTGATATTTGCAAAGCAAAAGAAGGTAAATTACGAGGGTGGAATTATGTCAAGAAATAAAATAAATAGACTAAATTCGAAAACACAAAATCAAAGTAATATATCGATCTTAAATCTATAGTTCTTAAAATTGTTGGGATGAAAGTGGGTTATCAAGATGTTTGATAAACTGATTTTATTATTTTCAATGACATGATCTAGATTCGTTCTGTTGAAGAACGCTGAGCTTAAAAACTTGAAACTACAACCGCGATAAGAGAAGATAGTTAGAGAAGAAACAAAGAAAGAAAGGAAAAACAAGTTGCTTGAATTTCCTTCTATATTGTTCGAACAAATAGAAGTCTGGTTCTACGATAAGTTGCAATACATTTAGTTTGAATCCACGTAGAATTATCAAGATCGAGGTCTGAAACAACCAGAATTCAATTTAGAATATATTCCAAATTATCCATCTAATTCTAAAAAAAGGAAAAAACAATAAATCGAGTAAGAGACCAAAATGAATCGTACCAATTCGCAATCAATCAATCAATTAATGGAAATAATCTTTTTTTCCATAAGATATTGAAAGCAAAATTAAATTAAAAAAAAAAAGAGTTTCAAATGTGTGTATATAATTTTTATTTTCAAAAAGTAACGGATTTAAACACTTGAATAAAACCGATGAGCAATAAGACCGGAACTGAAATTTAATAAATCTATGGATACTTACCAATAAAATTATTTCTTTTCCTTTCTTTCTTCCTACGTTTTCAAATTAATTTTGAGACTACTACAATGATTTGAAGAATAATTCGAAACTTCTAGTGATAAAAAGTTAAATTTACTAGTTTATCGTAGTAGAATTCGGAGGTTAAAAAATGATATTTTCACAGATTTTTAAAAGTAGAGTAAGTTTAAATAAAAAGATTGAGACATAGAAATAAGAGGTGGCTAAAAACTGAGAGGTTTTATCATGAACTGATTTTAATCTTCAACGTTTTTTTTTTTGAAATAACCTTGGGATTAGTAGGCTTAAAAAACATTTCATTTCATTGTAATTGGCTTGAGTTGTTTCTCTAAAACTTTCTTGATTCTTGATTAATAATCCAATAATTTAAGTCTCTAGATTTGATACAATGTAGCATTGAAAGGTTCTTGTTCTCAAAAATAAAGGATATAAAAACTTTAATTTTGAAGGATAACGGATATTGTCAAGAAAATTAAGTACAACAAGTAAAGAAAATAGAAGAATATAAATTTTTATTCTTATTATCAAGAATTAATATACCAAGTAAAACTAATAATTAGTAATAAACTATAACATAGTTTAAACTTCATTTAAAAAACAAGGTCTTGGACTTTAAACTTATTATCTCTTGAGTTATTATTTATCAATTACAACCGTCCGTATATACATATGTGATCCGTTAGAGTCCTCCTGAGAAAACTAACTGGAATATATGGAAATAAATTGAAAAAAAGGTACATTTAAATGAATATAAATCAAACCCGTATGATAAATTGATAAAGCCATTCATTGGAAATAATTTATTATTCTATGTTAGGTCGGTTCAGTAGGTTTTACTTTGAATCGTATTTTAAAAAAATCATCTTATTCCGGATATTGAAAAGATTTCATTAAAACCGAATTTTTATTAATTTACATTGTTAATTTACTAAATCAGTATATATGTACATTGTTTTAAATGTAATATGTATTAAATTTCGAAATTTTCATTATAATAATAACTCGGGTCTACTATACTTCCTTAACCTTATTTATTCATGGAGAGAGAAATCATTTTTTCCCTCTTCTTTTTAGGTCTATTAGTCGTAGTCCGTACTATTCTTTGTTTAATTAATTTGTTCTATTTGTCTAATTTGTATTTGTAATACAAAAATTTGACTGACTCATGAACAAAAAACAAATATCCGTACTATCTATTATATTTAGTTTAGGAATCCATTCATTCATTATTTGTCTATACCCTAGGATAACTTATGACTAATTACAATTGATCCACATATCAACAACTCTTTCATTCAAATTAATAACTCAAATCTATTGTGAAGTAACTACAACTGAATTTGGATGAATCTAAAATCAAAAGGAAGTTATGGGTAAAATTAAAAGAAAAGTTATGACATCCGATTTGAGCACTGTTACTTTGGTAGTAGTTAGTGGTACTTATTGGTATAATTTCTTAAGTAATTTTATAATACCGAATTTAATCTAAAAGTTTTTCTTTCTTAATTTGCGATTCTAGAAAATTTTAATTTTTTTTTTATTTTTTATTTTATTTTTTATTTTTTTTATTTTTTTATTTTTCTTCGGTTATAATTTTATTATGTAGTCTATGTTCATTATGTCATTGACTAACTACTTATAAACTTTATATATAAATAATACAAGATTATCAAATTATCAAATTTATCAAAAATTAATTTACAACCAAATATTAAACCAAATATAAAACCAAATATAAAACCATTCAATCTTAACTTAAAGCAAAAGCTAAGTAAAATAACAAGAAGAATACAAGGAGTTGACATTCCTTTCCCAAAATTATACATTATCTTACATATTCAAAAAATAAATCCGAAAACGCGTTTAAGAGTATTAACTCCTTTTTTTACAACCAACCAATATAAGTTGATATATAGCCTTTCAACAACGATACTACCTTCATATCTATTCCTTTACCTCACTTTCATAAATTAAGCAGTTTAAAAAATGTCATCAACAACTTCACAAAAAATGTCATTTGCTCAAACTTATATATTAGCATCAAAAGTAAGAACAAAATTAACAAAAGAAGCATCATCACCAAAATCTCAATTAAGAAATTTAGTTGTTCAAGCTAATATGTTAGATAATTTAATGGATTATATAAGTGAAGAAACTGAAAAAAGAAATAGTCACAACCACCAAAATCAAAAGCAAAAACAAATAAAATTTAATGTACCTTTAAAACCAAGAAGAAATTCATCAAATTTATCAAATTCTTCTTTAAACAATACTTCAATTACAGAATATGAAATAGATTCAGATTCAGATTCAGATTCTGACTATTCAGATTCTGAAGATTCAGAAGAAGATGATGATGAAAACGATATGGATTTAAAATTTAATGATGAAATTAATGAAATTCATTTAAATGATGCTATATTTGATAATAATACCACCAACAACCAAAGAAATCAAAGTTTTATAAATTTACCACATGTTACAACTGAAGAAGTTATAAATTCAGATTCAGATGAAGAATCCGATGAAGAAGAACAACAAATTAAATCAAATTCTTCTTCAGTATATTCATCATCAGATTCATCAGTAGATTCAATAAATGATGAATCTGAAAATTCATCAGATTCAGATTCAGATTCAGATGATTATTATATATATTCAGATTCAGAGGAAATTGAAGAAGATTCTGCAAAAGTTATACCAAGATCAATGAATTTAAAACCAATATATAAACAATTACCATCATTAAATTTATCATCAATAGAAGAAGAAAATGAAGAAGAAGTTGTTGCAAATGATGAACAAGATGAAGATTTAACAGATATAGAAATTTCAGAAAATGAAGAAGAAGAAGATGATGAAATAAAAACAATAATATCATCAAATACTTCCTCAAACACTTCCTCACGAAATCAACATCAACAAGAAGATAATTTTGAATTTGAAATGCCAGAATTATCAAAAACAAATTCAATAAGTGATGATGATGAAAATGATTATTTAAATTTAGAATTTTTTAATAATAATCATTTAATAATGCCATTAAATTCAAATTATAATCAAATTAATCAATCAAAAAATCATAACCAACAACTACATCAACAACATAATGAGAATACAAATAAATTTAATCAACCTACTTTAAGTTTATTTAAACATGAAAATTTAACATTAGATCAATTAATCTAATTTTGATGACAACTACATTACTACATTTTAACGAAACTATTTTATGAACTTAACTTGTTTACTGTGTTTTAACGGGTTTTTCAACTATTCAAACGGTGTGCTTATAAACTTTTTAACTTAACGAACTACTTTTACTACTTATGATTATTTATGATTGCTTCAATTCATTATATATATTTTATAGATTACATACTTTTTTTTAATTCAAGATATCCATTTTATTAACCACATAACTTTTACCTTATTCTATTGTGGTTTTCTAGTTTAAAGCAAATTTAATGTGGTTTTCGCAACTTGGACCGTTTTAAAGCAACTTGATTGATTTAGAACAATAAAATTTTTTTTTTGGTCTAGTTACATCACCTTTTTTACTTTACTTTACTTTTTATTTTTATTTAGACAATCGGAAAATTGATTTATTTTTATTAAAGTTGCGTTTTATCTAATATTGAATGTAAAATTGCTTAAAAATTAAAATTTTTTTTTTGGTGCAAATTTGATTTTGATATATTTTTTTATTCTCTTGTTTCTCGGATATAAATTTAATCCGATGTTTCTTACTGTCAAAATTCTTAAAGCTTTTATGTCCGTACTTACATATCTGTCAAGTACCTCATCAGTTTGCTTCATAGCTTAGACTACACTGAAGATCATTTTGCTTTCTCAAATTAGTTGAAGTTAAACCAAGTGGATCCAAATATTAAGATAATTATCATGTCATTCGAACGGAGTTAAGGTAAAAATCATGACTTACCTTTTGTTCATTAAGTATATTAGAAAGTTTAAATTAATAAAGCCCTTTATTTGACATTTATGTGGGTCAATATAATAAAATTATAAAGAGTAAGAGTAAAAATTTATAGAGGAAAATTTTTGTATATATTAGTTGATGCAGTCAGTCATTAGCCTAACTTCATCATTTCAAGTTTTATTCACTATTGTATAACTCCGATTAGACTATCCATATGTATTTTGTTTCAAATTATAATTCCATTGACCAATTAATAAAGAGAAACATAATTTGATAAATTTGACTAGCCTATCTATTTTCATACAAGTTTCATTATCAAAACCTCTTCATGAATCTACAATCGCCGATTTATTAATAAATTCACTCACAACTCCCTAAATAATTAACCTCATCATCCATCATCACCACACAAGAAAATTGAATTTAAGAAGTTGTAAATACGAGAGATATCATAAAATTTCTTGGCAACGAATTTAGTAAAAAAAGTACGCAAAATTAAACTTTTTACGCAAGATCGGTTCCAAAAATATATATCTTTAATCTTCATGATCATACGAGTTAAGAACTCTTGTCTTTCGATCTTCTTTGGGTAAAATATTATATATTGTTTCACATCATTCATTTTTATTTCTTTTTACAATTACCCCAGATTTTTTCGAAACAATTAATTATATAAATTATTTGCATAAATATATATATATTTTTTTATTGCCGACGTAGACGTGTTTTTCAAATCTTGAGGGGATCTAAAATTTAGAATAATACATTTTAGATTCTTTTGAGATTTAGTTCCAAATTGAGTTAAATCATCTTAAAGATTACAAAATCGGTAAGTCGGTTAGCGTTTTAAGAGATAATATCAAGAGGACGAAAATTAATTCATAATGTAACATAATCAACAAACTAATAAGTACTACTGTTTTACTTTTCAAACACTACTTCTAGATTACTCCTTAATTGGACAGTTATCCTTTTCCCCATTTGGATTAAAAATATCACCAATTTCATTTTGAATAATTTTCCCAATTTCAATTAATTTTTCATCAGTATTTCTTAACCCAATAACACTAAGATTAACAGGAGCTTTTTCAAAACTCTTGGGGGAATCATAACATTTAAAATGAAATTCATCCATTTCATTTAATGGTTTATAATTTTTTTTAGGTAAATCTAAATTTTGATCAACTATTGTTATTGGTACAACTAAAACAGGATAATCTAATAAATTATAAGTACATGTATAATTCCAATATTGACCTTGACCATGTTTTGGAGCAACATTTGGGTATATTGGTGCAATTACTGCATCTAATATATGATTGCTTGAATCTTTATAACTTATCCAATGTTTAAGGTATTCTTTTCTAAATTTTTCTTTTTCTAAATTCCAATACCATTGATCATGCATTGATAATTCTGTTGCTCCTTCTATAGCCCATTTCGTTTGTTCTAAAATTGGTTCTCCTGTATCTTTTACAGTTGAATGAAAATCTTTTGCACCATCTTCAAAATATATTTTACTTAAAATTTCCATTACTTTTTCTTGTTTAAATGGGTGATACTCAACAACCTCTACATTTGGTAATTTTTTTAATTTATTTTCAATTATATCTAATGCTCTTAAAACTGGTGGACTTGGATTTACAATCCCATCACTTTTTAATATTCCAATTCTATATTTCTTTTGATTTTGTTCTGATTCTTTCCATGGTATTGATGTTAAACTTGGATCAATTAATTCGGGTTTTGAATCAATAATAGTCTTCATTACTAAATCAACCATTCCTAGAGACCTCGAAATAGGACCAGTAACAGATAATATAGTAGTCAGTCCTAAATTACATGAAAAATAATCAGCAGTTGGAATTCTACCTAAAGTTGTTCTTAATCCATAAATTCCATTAAAACCTGCTGGAGTTCTTATACTACCACCAATATCACTACCTAATCCAAAAGTTGAAGCATATAAACCATTTAATGCACCTTCACCACCTGATGATCCACCACTTGTTAATTCACTATTAAAAGGATTCACTGTTCTACCATGTTGTAAAGAAACACATTCTAACATCATTAATGATTGAGGATTAGTTGTTCTAACAAATGGATAAGCACCTCCTTGATTCATTAAAATATTTATAATATCTGCATTGTAATCAACTATTCTATCTAAATAACATAATGATCCATGTGTAACGGCTCTATTTTTGAAGGGGATCATTTCTTTTATTGAAAAAGGTAATCCATACATTGGTAAATCCTTTTTGGAATCATATTGTTTATCTAAATTTTCTGCAAATTCAAGGGCTTCCTTTGGTAAAAATTCAACAATACAATTAACTAATTTTGATGCAATTATAGCTGCAGTAAAATAAGCTTTTAATACTTCAACACATGTAATCTTTCGAGTTTTCAAATCTTTTAATAATTCAATTGGATCTTTTTCAGTTATTGCAAGAACCAGTGATGGTACAGTTTTTAAATATAATTCAAATGGAAATTTTGTTGGATTTCCAAATTCTTCTGTTGTTTTACCAATTGCTGATGGTAATGATTCATATTTTTTTGTTAATTCTTCATCAAATTTAACAATTTTTAAAGTTTCTGATAATGAATCTTGATATATTTTTTGAGCTTTTTTAGCTAAGTCTTTATAATTTTCTTTCAACATTGACAAGTTCTTTGATTAAATTGAAATTGAATAGGGCACTGATTGAAAATTTAATTATTTATCAATTGATCAGATAGGATCCAACAAGGATTAAATACTGATTAATAATCATATTTAGACGTTGAGATTATACATAAAGACTATTATCGTATAATTTACCAAATTAGGTAGGGAGCGTCCTTGAAAAATTTCAAGATTTTTTTTTATCTTATCTTTAACCCTTATCGCATTTCTTGATTAGACTCTGTTTGAAGAATTTTAGTTTGATTTTGATTGGGTTGGGGAATTTGGAATTTTCTTAGACTCAATTAAATTCTAGTCAAAGCGGAAATCAACTTCCATATCTGTTGATGTCAACTAGTTCTTGAAGTGGAGACTTTTGATAAAAGTGACCAAAAAGATCCGATCGATGATTTTTTCGTATCTTCAAACTATGTCCTTTTGATATCTCGGGCCTAAAATAATTTGGATTGATTATGTACAACTATATACTTTTCAAACATGTCTAATCACAAATCTATAATATAAAGTATAAATCATAATGTAAAGAACATTTAGAATTAAATATACTCTTACAATAAGGACATTTTGAATTACAATTAATATAATTTTCAATAGTCATAGTATTAAAACAGTTACCACAGATTATAACCTCCTCCGTCTTATCCTTAATATCGTATTTTTCAATTGAATGATTATTTAATTCTTCATGACATTTAAAACATGGATAATATAATTTAGGACAACATTTGAATTTTATAGCTATTAAATCTACTGGAGTATGATAATGAATACATCTTGTTTGATTATCTACTAATTGACCTTTAATTGTGATTTGATCATTTACTTTTTGAGTAGTGTTTATGACTTTAGTCATTCAATTGAAGTTGTTTTGAAGATGTGGTATACTGTCTGATTATCATTTTAAAACAAACGATGTCATTTTTCAAAACTTGAATTCCGAGATTTTGCGACAAACAATTTTTGCGTCATTAATTTTAAAACCAAGCCACTTTAAAGTTTGGTTAGTTTTGTGCAACATCTGATATTTTTATCTCTATGGAATTAATCTGATTTATATTTCTTCCTAACCAATTAATTATTCATTAATCAACCAAAGTCTTTATACATAAAACTCATTAAATCATCAAATTCAACTTATAAGTGAATCAATCTCCATATTTGATATTCCAAGAAAGACAAATCACCTTTGTTTTTTCTGTTTGTGCATTCATTAAACTTAAATTTTTAAGCCAATTCCGTATAAGTAATCATAAATTTCATCCAAAAATATGTCAATTTCCAGATCATCTTCCATATCACAATCAAATTTAAATGCTCCAAAGACATCATTAATTATATCCAATTTGCATAAAGATGATTTTATAAAAATCTCAAACAATGAAGAACCAAAATTAATAACTAAATCATTATCATTAGTTGATCAAATTAAATTAAGTGTATTAAATAGTAGTGATGATATAATTCAATATATAACTCATTGGTCAAATTTACCTTTTTTATATCGTATAATAATTATATTCAAAAATGAAACAAAAGCTAAAGAAATATTGACATTTCTTAAACAAGAATTATCAAATTTTCCATATATAAAATTATCATTACAAGAAAATTTATTACTGAGATCAAAATCTCAAGATTATCTTGTTGATTCAAATTCTTCAAATTCAAATTTAAATGTTACATTATCATTAGATAATTTTAGAAATTTTCATAATGATCCAAAAAATGAATTTAAAAATTTTGAATATATTGAACCAGAACCTGCTCAATTTAATGTATTATCAGATTTATCAAAATTAGGTATAAATGTAAGAGATTTTAATAGTGATGAACAAATTAATGAATTAAAAGAAGATGAAAAAGAAGATCAAGAAAGAATGATTCAAAATAGAAAAAATTCAATATCAAGAAGTAATTCATTATCAAGAAATAATTCATTTTCTCCAACTAGGCAACCTCCGGTAAGTCGACAACAATCACCAGCTGCTCCTTCATCTCCGAATAGTTTTAATTCATCAAATACAAATACTACTACAACTGGTGTTGAAAGACGTAGATCTACAAAGACTTTATTTAAACCTGAATTAAAATTAAAAACAAGTGGAAATGATATACCTCAACCACCAACACCTATTTCTAAGTTTTCACCACAAAAGGAAGATTATCCTTCTTCACCTACTATAACTTTAGATGAAACTTTTTAAAGACAGACAAATCAAGAGACATTGAATCAAGAAAAGGATATTTTTCAGAAACATATTCGGATACACAAGTTCATTGATTCTATAGGTCAAGTAGTCGCGCAGACAAACTATTTATCATAGCATTAAACAAACTTCTACTTAATAGCTAAATTTTGATTACTCTCTTACTGATTGTTGACGATTGTCTTCGTATGAAGAAGTTTACTCTTAATAATTAGCCTATGGTCGTGGGCATTTACCAAAATTATTGGTGAGATTAATTTCAATTTTCAAAATCTCAATCAAGTTAAGTTTATTGCTCTAACTACACAACGAGACACTTTAACTCAATTACAATAGGATGAAGTTCAACCAACTTTTAAGTTGGTCATTGCTATCAACATTGGTAGTTTCACAATCATCATCATCCACACCATCAGATGAAGAAGTTACCGTATATCACGTATCAAATCAATCACTTAATAATAATAAAGAATATTTTCCATCCATAAGTATAAAAGATTCACAAATATATTTCGATAATTTAGTAGGAAAAGATTTATCACATGTTGAATTATCATCATCTTTAATCGATTTAATAAATGAGCAAATTGATGACTTTATTTCCCAAGGAAAATCAAATTTATTTATAAATTTAAAAGGAAATGTTAAATTAAATGAAAGGTATTCAAATCCAATTTTTAAAACTTCAAAATCTATATCTAAATATTTTAAAAATTTTGAATTTGGCAAATCTCAAAAGTTATCAAACGAAATTATATCTTATGGAGAAGAAAGCAGTGAAGATTTACAATCACATTTCGAGTATTTTAAAGAGAAAACTTCAAATATTTGGCAAAATTTTAAATCAAATAGTCAAAAAATAATTAAATCATATAATCCTACAAATGATCAATTATATATTAATGAAATTTCTTCCTTAAATCATTTAAATGAATTTTATGATAATTTATCATCAGATTCCAAATCAAATACTTTTATTTTAAATTTTTATTCATTATTATCAATTGCAAATAAAATTGGTACTGATTCAGAAACCTACAAGCATCAATTAAAATCATTTGAAAATTTAATTATAAAAATGTCTAAGAATTTTAACATTTATATTATATCTTATCCATATGTTCAACAAGATATATCTCATTTACAAAAAAGATCATCAATTGAATCAACTTTTAAAACAAATCAATTAAAATATGGAACAAAACAAGCTTGTGAAGTAGGTACAAATAATTGTAATTCACATGGTGAATGTACTCAACTCAAAAATAAAGAAGAATGGAGTTGTTTATGTTCTTCAAGTTTTAATAAAACTACTTCAAAAACTACAAATTGGGTTGGATCAGATTGTAATAAAAAAGATGTTTCTGTACCTGCTAATTTATTTTTATGGACTACTATTGCCTTAGTGTTATTAATTGCTGGTGGTATTAATCTTTTAGCTAGTGTCGGAACTGATCCATTACCTGGTGTTTTAGATGCTGCTACTTTATCACCAAGTAAAAAGAACATTTAATTGATAAGTAAGATGTTTATAGAGTTTTTTAAAAATTCAAATCTATAATGATATTTTGAAAAATACGGTTCACTTGTATCTCTGATGTCGAACGGAATGATTGTGGGTAAAGCAATGAGAACAATTACTCAAAAACACGGATCAGAGTTAACCTTATCTATGTTGCAATTTTTCAATACTTTACTAGGGATGAAATATGGAGAAAAATAAAAATCGTAAATCTATCAAGATCAATTTCTAAACAAGGAGCTTAATCATTGCAACCAAATCATTTTACATACATCCTCAGATACAAATTCATATTTTCAATACAACTACACATCTTCAATACTTTTGTAAATCTTTTGTCCTTAAATATCCGGATCTACTCCGATTCAAATCTTACACACACAAATTGTCAGATCTCAACCAAATACGGAATGAATAAGAAATTAAAAATAAATCGTAAACCAATTTTCACAACAATTTCATTAATAATAATAATATGTATAATATATTTTATGTCAACAAATTCTTCAAAATTTGAAAATTCTTTAGGTTCTTCAAGATCTCCAATAAATTTGAATTCAAATACTCTACAATCAAATTTAGATAATTTAATAAATTCAAATAAATTCAAACAAGAACAACAAGAATTACATGAACAACAGGAGAAACAACAAGCTCATGAAGCTGAAGAAATAGAATCACAATATACAAAATCTTCAAATAATCAAAATTCTGAAAATAAAGATGCTTCAAAAGCCGATGCGTTTGTTGAAACTCCATTCATGCCCAAAATGGCAAATGAAACTTTAAAAGCAGAATTAGGTAGATCATCATGGAAATTATTTCATACAATATTAGCAAGGTATCCAGAAAATCCAACAATAAAAGAACGTACAACATTAGGAGAATTTATAAATTTATTTTCAAAAGTTTATCCATGTGGAGATTGTGCAAGACATTTCCAAACTTTACTTTCAAAATATCCTCCTCAAACTAAAAATAGAAAAATTGCTGCTATATGGGGTTGTGATATTCATAATAAAGTTAATTTAAGATTAAATAAACCTGAATATGATTGTACTACTATTTTAGAAGATTATGATTGTGGTTGTGGATTAGATGAATTAGAATCTGATGATACTTTAAGTAAAGGTTCAAGTATTGATTCGTCAAGGAAATCAAAAATTAACGAAGATTCTGACAATGGTTCATTGAAAGATTTAAAAAATATAAAATCGGCATCTACTAAAGATGAAGCAGATGATTTTTTGAAAGATCTTCAAAAACATAAAGGTAATGGTCCTTTTTTATCCAACTTAGAAGAAAATTCACCTAATTCAGAAAGTAATAAAAATTCAGACTTGACACAAATTATTAAAGAAAATGATGATCACTTAAAGAATTTAAAAATTGAAAAAGAAGATTTACAGAGAGGTGGATAGTTAATGAGATTAATGAAATATTTTATAGTTATATAGCGTTGAAATTTAAAGTCAAATTAAACATTTATTGTTAATTTAGTATGCAATTTATTACACCGACTACTTACTCCGTTTAGAATTTTTTTTCATTTCTACATTATAGTACAACATCCACCACCACTACCAGCCCTCTTGTTCGTATTTCCATGTAATGCTTTATAATTTTGATAATTTAAAAATTTATTTTGATCATTTGGTAATTTCCAATTATAAGGTATTAAATAATCAGGAGTTTCTTCAACATATTTTATTATTCTAGAACGTGTTAGTAAAATGTGATGAACAATTTGAAGAATGTTCTCTAGTAGTTACATACAAAGCAGAAGATTTAGATACTGGGATTCTTTCTCTTTTTAAAGTTTGAGTTAATCTATTATTTAATTCTTTTATCCTTTTTAATTTTATTACTTGTATTTGATTCTCTATTTCACTCATTTCTGAGGGGTTTTGATTGTTTTTTTGACTGAAGTATAACTAGGATTTTGTCTATTTGTGCTATTGTATGGTTATATAGCCTTTTAACGAAAGTTTGTGACCTAAATGTCGATTATCTTGAGTTAGTTGTAGATAAATGAATGAAATTTTCGTTTAATTAATTTGAGTCGTGGAGAAATCTTATCTATGTAAGTATCAATTGATTTTGTGTTACATATATACCAATTTACTAAATATGGAGAAATACCAAGTAAATATTCAACATTTTAATAGAAGTTCATAGCTTACAACGAGCAATTTGGTATAACTTTTTACTCCTGATATGTGTTCACTCCATTATTAGAGGATGTAAGGGTCACTCAGAAGTACAAATATACTAAATCAGTAATAGAAATCAAGTCTCCTGCAAAATGCCACGTAAAAGTTGATGTGTCGATGCATATTGATTGGTCTTTCATTAAACTCTACCACTATTATACAAAAAACAACAACAATATACAAACAGCAATAACAACAGCCAAAATTAAAGTATCTCTTTTTTTCCTTGAATTAATTTTTGATATTAAAACATTTAAACCAGGTATTGATTGTAAATTATTCATTATATTTAAATTTGAATTTGATAAAAGATTTCTTTGATTAATTAATTCATCTCTTGTTTGATAAGCACCTTGTAATAATCTATTTGCTATTGAATTTAAATTGTCTGATCTTTGACTTTCTTCTAATATATATGAATCTTGATTTATTTCTTCATTTTCGGTAGGGTTATTTCTTCTCTTGTGATTTGAGATATCTGATTGAACTGAAAATAACAAATTATTTCTATCTCTTTCTTCTTTTATTATTTGATCAATTTTATTAAAAGTTTTTTCATTATCTTTTAAATTTTGTAAATGACGTTGAATTTGTTGAATTTTTGATGTAGATAATTCTTGAGTTGATGATTCACTTATTCTATTTAATTTTTGTAAAAGTGTTTCTCTTTTTATTAGTATATCTTTTATTTGTTGTTTTATTGTATTTTCTTCTGGTGAAGGTTCTAATGATTGTGATAATTGTGATGATATTTGTGAATATTTAGATAGTAGTGCTTCTGTTTGTGTTTCCAGGTTTAAAGCTTGGGACCTGATCTGTGAAAACGACGAAGATGACATTGAGTTGTATGTATGGTTGTTGAATGTTTCTGAAGTGATATGATTGAATTAATATGAAGGAGTTAATCAGGCTGATTTTATTCGTATTGTAAATTTTTCTAATTAAAAATGGAGGTTCCGATCACAACCAAATTAAAAGCTTAACTTCACCAGCCCACACATCATTAATTTGCATATTAGGCGATTCTAGCTACAATCAAATCAACCAATGCATAATAGTTCATCTTCGATATCGTCTATAGATGATCTACATAGAGTCCAACCTAGTCCGATATACGTACTAGATGATGGTGAATCCAATAGCAACAATGATTCCTCCAAAAAATCAATTAACAAACCTAAGAAACCTACTTCAAAATGGTTGATTCCAATTTTATATAGAGTTCAAAAGTATAGTGCATATTCATTCTTATCATTTTTAGGTATACATTTAACATCCGTTATAGTTGTTCCAATACTACCCATAAATCCAGAAATTAAAAATGAAGTTTTTTCAATAACTAAAGCTATTTATCATGATATTCCATTTTTTGAATCATTTGTTATAATAGGATCATCTTTAACTCATATTTTATCTGGTATAGCATTAAGAATCATTAAAAATTATAAAAAAAATCAAATTAAAGAAAAACAACAACGTCATAAATTAAATTCTGAAAATATCATTAAAATCAATAATTCAAATATAAAATTAGAAGATAATGATGATGAAATTGGATTAGGTGGAATATCATCAATTTTTGGCTTGGGGTATAGAAAATCTTTTATTACTAAATATTTTAATTTAACTCCATTACAATTTTCAGGATATCTTTCAATACCATTTTTAATTTATCATTTTTACAAATTTAGATATATTCCATTATCAATAGAAGGTGATTCATCATTAATCAATCTAGATTACGTGAATTATGTTTTGAATTTGAAATTTCCATTATTTAATGAAATATGTTTAGGAACGTTAGTATGGGTAGTAAGTTATCATGTAACTAATGGTATATTAAAATTAAACTCTTTATATAGTTCTACTTGGAAGAAAATAGGACTTGGAGTAGTAAATACTATTGGAATTATGGGGATGATTAGTATTTGGTTTTTCAAAAATGATAAACAATTTCTTTTTAATGGAAATGATTTTGTTGGAAAAGCATTTAAGAAATATTTAAATTCTTATTTTTTATAGACTTGTGTATATATTTATTTATTTATTAATCAATTATTTATTTATTTATTCATACTTTATGTTATCAAAATTTGTTTAAAATAATTTATTCACTCGTTTGCACTGAAAAAGGTTCGACTATAGATTAGAATCATCACTTGTTCGTAGTGCAATGTCCAATTGTTTCTTCTAATTTTTTGAGATAAATGACTTGTAAAAGGAGATGGTTTGATTCTGCTTATACAGGTAATTCTTTTTCTTCAGTATTATGACTTGAAATTGTAGGACATTAACTCAAAAATATCTGAAACTGCGTTTGGTAGCCGTAATTCTTGGCTTTTCTTGTCGTTATCGTACACAAAAAATTCACCATTTTAGTGAATAAATGAAGAAGATACATTGTGCTGTGTCTAAAAGTGATTCTTTTTAAATTCTGACTATAATTGTTTTCAAGTTTGGAATAAAGAGCTGATTAAGATCCGAGAATTCCATTAAAAGAGTTCCTCCGAGATCAACGAATTGTGTTTCTGGAATGTGTGTGAAATCATAATTTTCACCATTTGGTCAAAAATTGGTTCTATTCTGTCACATGAGTGAGTCCTATGCTTTAAAATTTCATATATATCTTGCATCTAAAGGTTTTGATCTTGCGCGATCACGAGTTGGAGTTCATCTAATTCATATCTAGAACCCAGCAAAACAAAATTTCAAATATCATGGGTAGGACGGGTTCAATAAATAGTATATCTCGTAACATTATAAATATCATTGTGAATATGATTCAAGCAATGAATCAGAGTTATGAATACCTGACCAATTTATCTCGAATGAAGTTTTGCAAGTCGATGTGAAATAAAATTTATCTCCATTAAATCTGACTGAAAAAATCTGAACATTTTGTAAAACTAGTAGACAGATATAATATCGTATCCTACTTTCCATCATCCTTTGGGCAAGAAACTATTGAAGTAATTTTATCAAGACTTCACTGATCTAGTTGTTTTTTATCTATCTTGACAATCTTAAACTTGATAATAAGAAAATGATCCAATACGAATATTATTTCACACTTGGAGATCTTGAATAATATTACACAAAACACAAACACACACTAGTAGTAAACTGAATTAGGAAATAAGTAGATTTTTTTTTTTCGATTTCAATATTCCATTCATATTTACTTATTAGCATACCATATCATTCTAGATCATAGAACCAATAGAATAAGATACACATTCATATATATCCCTTGTACTACTATATTTATCACATTAGGATCAACCAAACTATCACTTCAACTTTAGGAAGACATTATCGACCAAACTACTCCATCTAGATCATTTTTTTCTTTTTTCAACTGTATCATTATAAACCTTGCTGTCGAACATACACTAATAGAATCATAGATCACTGATCCATTACATATCAACAAACTCACATAAAGCTTTATACAAATGGTGTCTAAGAACAAAGATCCAAATTCATTATTCAATATTCAACATGATTACATATACAAGAAAATAAAAGAAGTTCAACAACCAAAAGAAATATATAATTTAATTATAGATAAAAATATAGAATCCTTGCTATATAAAGTTTTCACAAAAGATCAATTACTACGAATAGTTGCATCAGTAGAAATAATAGATTCAGAAAGAAGAAAAAATACATATATGACAGGTATATATTTATGTGAAATAAATATTTATAATTTAAAATGTATATTAGCAGATATTCAAACAAAAAGATATAAAAATGGTATTGCATTATTTAGTTATTTACATGATGATATATCACCCAAGATAAGTGAATTTTTTTATGGAAAATTTTTAAAAAATCCTAAAACTGATGAATATTTTACAAAAATAAATTTTTTAAATTTTCAATACAACCCCATTGAAACAAGAGTGTTTTTAACAGATGATAAAACACCCAATTCAATGCCAATATATTATAATTCAAATGTAATGGAATTTATAATGCCTCAAATTAATTTAGTTGCAAAATCGTTATTAAATTTAATGATTTCAATGGAAGAATATCCTTTTATTAGATTTTATCAACCTCAAGATGGATCATATTTAGCTAAAAGATTACCTGAATTAATTGCTGATCTGTTTCAAACTCAAATGGATGAATATTGTAGAAAAAATCAAAATTATCCAACTCCAGAAGTTTCAGCTAAAACAAGATCTGTCTTGTTGATAACTGATAGAACTATTGATTTATATTCTCCATTATTACATGAATTTACTTATCAAGCTATGGCAATGGATATAGTTGAAAGTTTAGAAAGAGAAGGGAAATTTAAATATCAAAGTGAAAATGAAAAAGGTGATATAACAGATGTTGAAATAACATTAGAAAATGAAAATGATGAAGATTGGATAAATTTAAGACATTTACATATTATTGAAAGTTCAGAATTAATTGTAAATAAAATTACTGATTTAATTAAAAATAATCCTTTGTTGATAGATAGATCAAAAGCAAATACATCATCAGATTTAATGTATATTGTTGCTCATTTAAAAGGTTTTGATGAAGAAAGAAAACAATTAACATTACACAAAACTCTTATAGATAAATGTTTAGATATAAATGCTTCAAGAAAATTAGCTGAATTTGCAGCAGATTTTGAACAAACTTGTTGTGCTGAAGGTGTTAGTTTTGAAGGTGAAAGAAATAAACATTTACATGATGATTTAATAATATTATTAGCAAGAGGTGATTTACATATTAATGATAAAATTAGATTAATTTTAATATATGCTTATTATAGAGGTGGATTAATTAGATCAGATTTTGAAAAATTAGTTAAATTTATTGGAGTTAATGATAGACATATAACAGGATTAATGGAAAAATGTTTTAATAATGTTGATAAATTAGGTTTTGAAATTTTTAAAAAAAATGTAAAAGATAAACCATTTATAAAACAACAATTTCATACAATTAATAATGAAGGTACTTATAATACAAGTAGATTTACTCCTGGAATAAAGACAATAATGCAAAATGTTGCAAAATATTCATTAGATAGAGAATGGTTCCCATATTTTAGAGATATACCTTTAGATGATGAAGTTCAAACACAAGATTTATTAAATGGTCCTATAAAAAGCAAAGATCAAAAACAACAACAATCATTAAATCCAAGTGGATCTTTAAGAAATCCAAGAATAAAAGCAAGTTGGGCATCATCAACAAATACTCCATCAAGTTATAATGGTACAGGATCATCATCACAAAAACAAAAACAAAGAATTTTTTGTTTTGTTGCGGGAGGAATAACATATAATGAAATTAGATCTATATATGAATTAACAAATTCTTTAAATAAAGAATTTTATATTGGTTCAGAATCTATATTAAAACCAAGAGATTTTTTAATTGGTTTACAAAATTTAGGTGATAATAAAACTTTAGAAGCATTAGATTTAAATATTGTAAAAGAATCTCAAAAAAGTGATGATATACCAACTTATTTATATAATGATGGTACAGGAATACCTAAACCATTTGTACGACAACAATCTTCACTACAACAACCATATCAACAACAACAACCACAAACATCCGTACCGCAACCACAATTTGGTCAATCTTCATCTTTTCAACAACAAGTTCATGAACAACAACAAATGTATGCAAAAGCTCATGGTTTAGATAATAATGGTAATGGTAATTCAAATGGTCCTTCTCATTATCAAAAAAGAAACAACTCTACAAAAAATTCACCATCCGGTATACAACAACATCTTGATAATGATTCTGTTTTAAGTGGTTCGAATAATTCAAAATCTTCTAGTACAAGTAAACGTTCAAAATTGAAGAAATTTTTTAAATAAAATTTTCGAGCCGTCTGAGTATATTAAGCTAGTTTTAGAATGAATTAAAGAAACATTATCGCATTTAGCTTTACATTATCTCTCGCTAACTCTCGTTAACTCTCATGAAATTTCATTCTGATTAGTAATGGAATTGCTTATGTGATTAGACACGGAATTAAAGACGAAAATGATATGGTAGCATTTATTACCGAGAGAAACAAAACTTTAAAAATTTAAAACTTTCTGCATAGAAATTTTCAGGTTGCCATAAATTGTATATAAAGAAAATCATCTTGATAGACTTCATAAGAATTGATAAATAACTAGGTTTATAAGTTATAGATTACCATACTTGTATATATTCAAATCAATACCACACATCAATTGGTGCAGATTCTATATACTCAGCGTTTGAAATGGAGAAACAAATTGATTATTCATCAAATGGTATTAATCCATTTCTAACGAATGGGTTGCATCTTATCAACCATTTCAATGTTTTCACTGCAAATCATAATACTACTGATGATCCAACTAATTTTAACAAAAGTAACAATTTCTTCACTAATTTAAGTTGGTTAAGTTGTAATACTCCAAATGAATCATGGGGACCATTATCATATGAATTTAAAGATTTTACACCATGTTTTTTACAAGGTATATTATTTGGTATAACATCACTATTAATGATTTTTATTGGAAGTTATCAAATAAAATATTTGAGAGATAAAAAAATCACCGTGGCTAATAGAATTAATTGGACATTTTATATAAAACTTTTATTAGTTTTTATACAATTAATATTTCAAATTTTAATAGTTATTACTTTCCCTTATAAGAATGGTGGAATTATACAAACTTCAAATTATTTAAATATTATGTCTACCGTCATAGCATTTGGTATTCATTATTTAGAACAATTTAAATCAAATATATCAAATGGTGTATTATTATTTTATTGGTTATTTCAAATAATTTTAAATTTAGGTAGAATATTAAATTTACAATTAAGAAATAAATTAAATACTGTATTTTCAAATATAGTTATTTTGATAACTGTTAATTCATTTTTAATATTAATTATGGAAGTTTATTTTCCAATGAAACCTTTAAATTATTTTCAAAGATTAAAAACTATAAGTCCTTATGATAGAGCAAATGTTTTTTCAAGAATTACATTTGATTGGATTGGTGGATTAATGAAAAAGGGTTATTCAACTTTTTTAACTGAAAAAGATTTACCACCTTTACCAAAAGATTTAAAAGCTAAAAATACAACAAATGAATTTAATCATTATTGGAATAGACAACCTTCAACTAAAAAATCATTATTTTGGGCTATATCACAAGCATTTGGTGGTGAATTTTTATTAGGTGGTGTTTTTAAAGCTGCTCAAGATTCTTTAGCTTTTATTCAACCTCAATTATTAAGATTATTAATTAAATTTGTAAATGATTATTCAAAATCTGTTAAACAAGGTAAACCCTTACCATTAACTAGAGGTTTAATGATTGCTGTTTCAATGTTTTTAGTTTCAATTATTCAAACTGCTTGTTTACATCAATATTTCCAAAGAGCGTTTGATTTAGGTATGAAAATAAAAAGTTCATTAACTGCTACTGTATATAATAAATCATTAGTTTTATCAAATGAATCAAAACAAGAAAGTTCAACTGGTGATATTGTAAATTTAATGTCTGTTGATGTACAAAGATTACAAGATTTAGTTCAAAATTTACAAGTTATATGGTCAGGTCCTTTTCAAATTATTATATGTCTTTATTCATTACATGATTTAATTGGAAATTCAATGTGGGCAGGAGTTGCAATAATGTTAATTATGATTCCATTGAATGCCATTATAGCAAGAACTCAAAAAAAATTACAAAAGACACAAATGAAATATAAAGATAAAAGATCAAGATTAATTAATGAAATCTTAAATAATATTAAATCTTTAAAACTTTATGGATGGGAACAACCTTATTTACAAAGATTAAATTATGTTAGAAATGATTTAGAATTAAATAATTTAAAAAAAATGGGAATATTTATGGCTGTATCAAATTTTACTTGGAATTTAGCTCCATTTTTAGTAAGTTGTTCAACATTTGGAGTATTTGTTTTAACTCAAAAAAGAAGTTTATCAACAGATTTAGTATTTCCTGCTTTATCATTATTTAATCTATTAAGTTTTCCATTAGCTGTTGTTCCAATGGTTATTACAAATATTGTTGAAGCTCAAGTTGCTGTAAATAGATTAACTAAATATTTAACAAGTTCAGAATTACAAAATAATGCAGTTTTGAAACAAAAACCAGTTGATCAAATTGGTGATGTTGCAGTATCAATAAAAAATGGTACATTTTTATGGTCAAAATCTAAAAAGGAACAAAATTATAAAGTTGCTTTATCAAATATTAACCTATCAGCAAAAAAGGGTAAATTAGATTGTATAGTTGGTAAAGTTGGATCAGGAAAATCTTCTATAATTCAAGCAATATTAGGTGATTTATATAAATTAGATGGTGAAGTTATATTACATGGTAAAGTTGCATATGTTGCACAAATTCCTTGGATAATGAATGGATCAGTTAGAGAAAATATTTTATTTGGTCATAAATATGATCCAGAATTTTATAATCATGTTTTAAAAGCTTGTGCATTAACTGTTGATTTAGCTATATTAACTAAGGGAGATCAAACTGAAGTTGGTGAAAAAGGTATATCATTAAGTGGTGGTCAAAAAGCTCGTTTATCTTTAGCAAGAGCTGTATATGCAAGAGCAGATGTTTATTTATTAGATGATCCTCTTAGTGCAGTTGATGAACATGTTGGAAAACATTTAGTTGATCATGTTTTAGGTCCCAATGGTATATTAAAAAGTAAATGTAAAATTTTAGCAACAAATAATATTAAAGTTTTAAGTATTGCAGATAATTTAAGTATGGTAAGTGATGGTAGATTAATTGAACAAGGAACATATGATGAAATAATGAAATTAGAAAATTCAAAATTAAAATTATTAATTGAAGAATTTGGTAAAAAAAGAGAAGAATCTCCAAAACCAATAACTAATGGAAATAGTGAGGAGGCTAAAGATAAAGATGATTATGAAGTTAAAGATGATATAAATTTACAAGATTTAGACTCAGATTGTGATTTAGAAATTACAAGTTTAAGAAGAGCAAGTGAAGTATCATTAATACCAGATGATGAAAGAGATCCTGAATTATATGATGAAGAACAATTAGAATTAGAAGAAGGAGAAGTTGAAAGTGATGATAAAATTGCAAGAAAAGAACATATTGAACAAGGTAAAGTTAAATGGGAAGTTTATAAAGAATATGCAAAAGCTTGTGGATCATTTCATGTATTTATTTTCTTGAGTTGTGCAATATTATCATATTTAGTTAATGTTAGTTCTACTTTTTGGTTAGAACATTGGTCAGAAATAAATACAAAATATGGTTATAATCCAAATGTTTTAAAATATTTAGGTATATATTTTTTACTAGGAATTGGTTATTCATTAAGTTCATTAATTCAAAATATAACATTATGGATATTATGTACAATACAAGGTTCAAAAAAATTACATAATTCAATGGCTGTATCAGTTATAAGAGCTCCAATGTCATTTTTTGAAACTACACCAATTGGAAGAATTTTAAATAGATTTTCAAATGATATTTATAAAATTGATGAAGTTATTGGAAGAGTATTTAATATGTTTTTCAGTAATTTAATTAAAGTTACTTTAACAATAGTTGTTATTTGTTTTTCAACTTGGCAATTTATATTTTTAATTTTACCTTTAGGATTTTTATATATTTATTATCAACAATATTATCTTAGAACATCAAGAGAATTAAGAAGATTAGATTCAGTTTCAAGATCACCCATATTTGCCAATTTTCAAGAATCATTAGTTGGTATATCAACAATTCGTGCGTATGGTAAAGAAGATAGATTTAAATTTTTAAATCAATCAAGAGTTGATGAAAATATGAAAGCTTATCATCCTGCAATAAATGCAAATAGATGGTTAGCTGTTAGATTAGAATTTTTAGGTTCGATTATAATCTTGGGATCTGCAGGTTTATCAATTTTAACTTTATCCAATGGTCATTTAACTGCTGGTTTAGTTGGTTTATCAGTTTCTTATGCTTTACAAATTACTCAATCATTAAATTGGATAGTTAGAATGACTGTTGAAGTAGAAACAAATATAGTTGCAGTTGAAAGATGTTTAGAATATTCAAATTTAAAAAGTGAAGCTCCTGAAATTATTCCAAATCATAGACCTCCTACATCATGGCCACAACAAGGTGAAATTAAATTTCAAAATTATTCAACTAAATATAGACCTGAATTAGATTTAGTTTTAAAAGATATAAATATTGATATAAAGCCAAAACAAAAAATCGGTATTGTTGGTAGAACAGGAGCAGGAAAATCATCAATAACATTGGCTCTTTTTAGAATTATTGAAGCATTTGATGGTGATATTATAATAGATAAAATTCAAACAAATACAATTGGATTATATGATTTAAGAAGCCGATTATCTATTATACCACAAGATTCTCAAGTATTTGAAGGTACAATCAGATCAAATTTAGATCCAACTGATGAATATACAGATGAACAAATTTGGAAAGCTTTGAGTTTATCTCATTTAAAAGATCATGTTGAAAAAATGTTTAATGAAAGAGAAACTGAAGATGATAATCGAGGACAAGGTCAACAACAACAGACAGTTGAAGAAAAAGATGAAATAAATTCACCATTAGATGTTAAAATTACAGAAGGTGGTTCAAATTTATCTGTGGGACAAAGACAATTAATGTGTTTAGCTAGAGTTTTATTAAAAATGAATGATTCAACCATATTAGTATTAGATGAAGCAACATCAAGTATTGATCAATCAACAGATAGAATTATTCAACAAACAATAAGAACAGAATTTAAAAATAAAACTATTATAACTATTGCTCATAGAATTGATACAATTTTAGATAGTGATAAAATCTTAGTATTAGATAAAGGAAAAGTAGCAGAATTTGATACTCCTGAAAATTTATTAAAAAATAAAAATTCATTATTTTATGCTTTATGTAAAGAAGGTGGATTTGTTAATGATGATGATTGAAAAAAATTGAAAAAGTTGAGAAAAGTATAATTTATAGATTTATTTTGTAGTGTATATTATTATTAATGTTATAGTCAATTTTCACTAACTATTACATCTTAATTAAAGAAATCATTGCTCTTTCAACCTATCATGTAGAAAAGTAATGATAATCATGTTTTGTAGTATTAAGTCTTCAAGAATGGAGCTCAAAATTTGTACTCCAAGGTACATACCCAAAGCTCTAACGATTCGAACTAACGATTATAAATTTAATCGGTCTTAGATCTCGATTTGACGACTATGCCACGTAATTTTGCAAGTTTTTGTGGCATAGCGGTTAGAAATTTTGTTAAAAGATTTTGAAAATCGACCCTTGGTTCGAATCAATGGTCCCGTGTTTAGCTGTAACATTTTACTCACTAAACGAGTTGAACTTGAGTTTAGTCACTTTTGCAAGATCTGCGATCGAAATGACCACTACGCCACGTCAAAAACTCAAATTTGGCGTGGCGTACTTGTTTTTGATTGGTAGCAAAGCGTCAAAACTTTTTCATTGATCTTTTGTTCGAATCTTTACATATGGTGACTCAATGTCTCAATTTAAGGCTCCCTGAGTAGTCTGAGATCAATTAAGTTAGAGCAGTCTATAATTTGAGGCAAAATCAATCTATCCATTATCTCTTTGAGCCAAGAAACGACGTTTTCATGTCAGAAACTCAAAATTTGATTTTTTGACCTTACATTAAGTCCTAAAAAAACACACTAAATTTGTTTCCCAAATGTTGAGCAATAGAAATATAAGAATTTTGTAGTTGTTTGACCTTACTTAATTGGTAGATAACCATTTTTAATTTCCTGGCTTTAGAGATTTGTATTTGAAGGATGATATTTGCAAGAAATTATTTAAGTCTTTTACCGTATTTCAAAACTCGGTCCGATAATTGAATAAAACTCTTGTAGTATTCAATGCCTTCAAAATTGTTCTATCAATATCGCCAAATTTAAAGAGTAGTAATGTAAAATATAATATGAAAGTTCATTCACTATACACGTATAAACTCAAACTCCTCATATAATTTTTAAAAAAAAAAAAAGAATGGGAACTAACATATAATGAAAATCTAAGCAGTAGTAGCAGTAGTAGCACTGTTTTCAGTAGCAACAGCATCTGGACCTAATGTTGGTTTTTTATTAAATCTTTTTGATCTATAATCTTTTACAGCAGATTTTATAGCATCTTCAGCTAACATAGAACAATGTAATTTAACAGGTGGTAAACTTAATTCTTGAGCAATAAAAGTATTTTTTATAGCTAAAGCTTCATCTAAAGTTTTTCCTTTAACTAATTCAGTAGCATAAGAAGAACTTGCTATTGCTGATCCACAACCAAAAGTTTTAAATCTTACATCTTCTATTTTACCAGTTTTTTCATCAACTTTAATTTGTAATCTCATTACATCACCACATGCAGGTGCACCAACTAAACCTGTACCAACACTTTCATCATTTTTATTTAATGTTCCAACGTTTCTTGGATTTTCATAATGATCGATAACTTTTTCATGATATGATCTTTTAGAGATTATTGAATTTGTTGTGGGTATAATTGATTGTTGTTGTGGATGTGAGAATGTAATTGTTGATGGCACTATGGTTGATGACCTTATTAAATTATTTGATTGTAATTTTAGTAATTGCCTTGAATTTCTTATTATTGATCTTGATAACATTTTATGAATATGTAATTAGTTTTGATTAGTAACGTAAAATAATATAATAATATAATGAATTGTATAAATATATGAGTAATTGCTTTGATCTGATTCGATTAATTTGATTGATTGATTGAACTTTAAGATTATATCAATACAAGAATGCACAAATATATGATTTTGTAATTCAAAAGAAGGGTGTAAGTAATAAGTTTATAATCTTCTTTCCTTTCTTCTCCTCAATCTCTTTCTTTTATATTTTTTTTATTTAAATATTTTTCAGTGTGTAAATGTAAATTGATGTCATTTATTGTAAGAATTTACACTACTCTGTACTATATACACACTATAGATCCTTTATCAATTTAATCTATGCTTGATGCTACCATTTAAAATTTATTTAACGGAGCCGAGGTAAAGAACTTTTATATAAAACTATAGAATCAATTGGATTAATAATACAACGAAGAGTAGTCGAAAGACCAATTCCAAAATTCTTTAGGCTAATTACATTAAATTTGTACTTCTTTTTTTTGTCTCACAATTGGGTTGAACACAACGGTTAGGCTTAATATTTGAAATGCAACTAGACCGAAAACAACACCAGGCAACAAGCGATCGAATGAAAAATCCATTTTTTTGTATCGATTAGCTTAAACTTTTAGTAAGAAGTCAAATCTAAAGCTTAATGATTTTGTTATCTATAAAACGTAACAAATTGATTCAAAGGTTCATGGACGAAAATTTGAGCACGTGCATAAATTTAAATACACTTAAATATATTGTATTCTCTACTCATTCCTTTTAACGAGATCTACAGTAGCAAGAAAATACAACTGAAGTATTGTCTTTTCAACAATAACGATTTAGTTCAAAACTTGATTGTTCAATTTAGATACAGACTATATATCATCGATTGTTCTTTAAAATGTTTGTTTACTATTTTGAATTAAGGGACAAAAAAAAATAATTAGGTCGAGGAAAGTCGGAGTTTTATTCGTTTTGAAATCCCTTCGATGAAAATTTCAATTTATAATAATTTATTATTTCACCAAGATTCAAATTTATGTGAGATGTGAGATCTTCAACGTGTTTAAATAATATACTAAATACCAATGGGCTCAGCCATATACTTTTTACGAAAGCATTTAGAAAAATTGTAATGTAAAAATGGTTCATTACTTTACATTATCTGGGGAAAAATGTTTGAAACAAACAACGTATGATTCTGAGACATACTATAGATTTACAAAATATAATACCAATTCCTACAAGTGAAGATAGATCTTCAATTTCAGAAAGAAATTACTTACATTACTAATACATAACTTAATTCCTTAGCTGGTTCTTTTAATATTCCCGTACCCCTAACTATTATTCTTGTTATTTGTCTTATCTATAATCCCCTCGTATTATTACTATATTATATTTACTAAATTGTTATAACAGTTAACGCATTTTCTATTTCGTATAACAATATAAGTTGTAAAATTTATAAATTATACCAATTCATCTTTTTCTCCTCATTCTTTCATTTCAAGGAAGTTGCACATAATTGGTCTTCATCATCAATAGATTAGAGTTATTGTGTAATAATCACCTAATATTATTAATTAAATTAGTTTTCAAAAATCGGTTGTAAAATTATATCATTCAAATAGTTGGGGATCATTTACAACCAAAAATTATATCGATCAATCACATTCATTAAATATTCATATCTTTATTTATCAAATATCGTTTGAATTAGCCAGATTATAAAGGTTATTCCCCTCGAAAACCATTCCATAGAGACAAATAACCATCTGATACCAGCTCAATATTTTAAAATCAAATCAAACTTGATTTAATCAGCCTGAAATTTAGTTATGTCCATGGCAAATCCTCCTTTGTCAACTCAAGATAAACCAATAACAAATTACAATGAAGCATTGAATAGCCAGATTAACAATACGAACCAACAAAATATCCAGCACCCACAACAACTACAACCGCCTCCATCACTGATTCTTAATCAAAATCCACCAAATGAAAGCAACAACACAGGAGTATCTAATGGTGATGTTGATTGGTTATTTCGAGGAAAAAGTAAGAAATTGGCTAAAAAACAAACTAGTAATGTACCAACTACGAATAACAACGGTAATAATCAACTGAGTAATACGAAACCAAATGGCAATATAAATGAACAATCAGAAGACAGATCAAAAGATGTAGCAAAAAAGCAAGAACATTCCGAGAATCTTCAACAAAAACAAAGTCAACAAACTCCACCGCAAGAACCAATTCAACAACAACTGAAACATATCAAACACAATAATGAAGAATCGTCCACATCTACAAAGCAACCCGAAAAGACATCAAAACTAGATAAATTAATCGGTCGTTCTAGATCATCATCGGCTTCAAATGTTACACAACAGCAACAACAACAACAGCAACAACAACAACCAGCTAAACGAAGAACAAGTAGTTTCAATATCGCACCTTCGTTAACAAGTGATTTAGTATACAATGATCATGATGAAGCACTATTAGCACAGAGAAAAAATGTATCAACTCCCAACTCATCCACCACTTCATCACCAAGCATTTCAAGATCAAATAGTAAAAAAGGTTTATTTAGTTCGATAACGTCTAAATTTAAATCTCCACAACATTCTCAACCTCAACAACTGCAGCAACAACATCATCAGCAACAAAAACAACAACAATCACAATCAATACCGTCTTCACCAAAATTAAATCCAAATTTAATAGGTTCAGCTTCAAACCCCAAAAGAGATGAAGATTTAGTTTCTCAAACTGATAAACCACCAGCAGGAATACCTACACGACGTCGAAGTTTAAACAATCAAAAACCTAATAATAATGGTGGGTTATTCAAAGAATCATATCAAGATGAAAATCCAGTAAGTGCGTCACCTAATGATAGTTTAAATTTCTTTAGAAGAAGATCATCAGCTGCTAAGATCAATCATAACAACACAATGACTTTACCGCCAAGAGTTATACTAAATAAAAACAATAAAAGAGTTAAATTACCATTAAAAGATTTAAAAGATGTTAAAATTCAAAGAGTTACCTTTGCGATAAATCAATTAGAATATGATCCTCAACAACAAATCCCATCAAGAAGACCTAAAAAGGGTAATGTATTAATTCCTCAAGATTTAAATGCACCTCCACCAAGAGTATGTTTAGGAATTGCAGTTAGTTCAGAAAAAGATGGGAATGATAAAACTAATACCACTACTTCATCATCACAATATAGTGAAAAAGAAATATCAATGGCATATGAAGCTCAAAAGAGAGCATTAGCAGAAACTGAAAAACATCAATGTGAAGCTCATTTACGAGCTAAAAGAATAGCAATGGAAGTTGCTAATTTCAAGAATATAAAATCAAAACAACTTTCAAAAGAAAATGAAATAATTATTGAACAAAAAGAAGAAGAAGAAGAAGAAGCTGATATTGATTCAAAAGTACTGAAAAAATTTATAAATGATGCAAGAGTTGATCAACCTTTACATTTTCATGAACAACATTTTGAAAATGAAAATGAACCCGAAAGGAATTCTTCTTCAGAAAAAGGATCATCACCATCATTAGAAACTATTTATACAAGATGTTGTCATTTACGTGAAATTTTACCAATTCCAGCTACATTAAAACAATTAAAAAATAAAACAGCACCATTAGAAGTTTTAAAAATGTTAAATCCCAAACCAACATTAATTGATATTTTATCATTTTCAGATTTTATTGCAATAATACCAATAAATACAGTAATATTTGATAATGTAACATTAACAACAGAAATGTTAAAAATAATTTTGGGATCTCTTATAAAAAGTAATACTTTAGAAAAATTATCTTTGAGAAATGTTGCAATTGATCATTTTGGTTGGAAATTATTATGTACATTTTTAGCTGTAAACAAGACTGTTAAAAAATTAGATATTTCTCAACAACGTATAAAATCAGAAACAAGTTCTGATTGTATTAGAGGTAATTTAAATTGGGATTTAATTATTGAATCATTATGTTATAGAAATGGAATTGAAGAATTAGTTATAAATGGATGTAAATTAAGTGATGAAGTATTTCATAAATTAATTAATAAAGCAGTTAAAATAGGTACAAGAAGATTGGGAGTTGCAAATATAGAAATGAATATTAACAAAGCTCAAATGGTTGCTGATTATGTTATTGATCCTGAATCTAATTGTGTTGGAATTGATATTGCTTTTAATGATTTAAGTCAAGGTCAATTAAAACCTTTTATTAATGCTTTTAATAATGGTCATGCAAGATTAATGTTTTTATCTATTAATTCAACAAATTTATGTGATGTTGAAGAAGCTTCTGAATTTTTAAAAAGTTTAATTAATGTAAGAACATTAAGATTCTTGGATTTAAGTTCTATCCCCAAAATATTTCCTGAAATTATTTCTTCATTAGATGAATATTTACCACAATATGGAAATTTAAGAAGATTACATTTAGATTTAAATGAATTAACTGCAAAAGGGATAGGATCAATTGCACTGTTTTTATCAAAAGTTCCTCATTTAGTTCATTTATCATTATTAGGTAACAAGAACTTAACTCATTCAGTTGCTGCAACATTATATTCAGCAGTAAAACAATCAACAACTTTATTTGCATTAGATTTAGATTATGATTTAATTGGAGATGAAATATCTCAACGTATTGCATTTTATTTAATGAGAAATATGGATCAATCATTAAATTCTCAATATCCTTCAGAATTTAATGATAATGCAAAAGAAGAAGATTTAATGTTTGATGGTTCATTATTAATGGAATCTGCAGAAAAATTATTAAGTGAAGTTGATCAACATGATAAATTAATTGATTTAAAAATTCAACAAATTATTTCAAATGCAATGTTGGAAAAAACAAAAAGTATTAGAAAAGAAATTCATACTACAATTGATGGATTATTTGCTAAGAGATCTCAAAATAATTTATCTTTTGAAGGTAAAGAAAATTTAGTTAGATTTTGTTTATTAGATTCAACTTTAGAGAAACTAGTTCAAATGTTAGAATCTGTTCAAAATCATCAACATCCTGAAAAACCAAATGAAAAAACTACTACTGAAAACGGTAATCATTATTATGATGATACAATTCATCAAAGTTCACATGAATTAATTACAGCAGGACCAATTTTATCACCAAGATCATCATCTACTTTCCCACAATTAACATCATATTTCCCAGGTAATGAAAATAATAATAATTTATTAACACCACATCAAGTTGTTGTTGAACCAAATTCAGAAGGTAAAGATATAATAATTGATAAATTTACAGGTAGACCAGTTTTAATGAGATCAAATAGTCAAGCAAGTTTACATGCAAAAGAACAAGAAATTGAAGAAGGTGAATTTCATAAATTTGGATTATTTATGCAACTGAGAAATGATGAAGAATTAAATAAAAAAGATTTTCCCTTGTTAAATACTTTACCTTCTGGGTCTGAATTAAGAGATGCAATAATTAAAGCAAAAGGAATTGAAAATGTTAATGATTTAATTGATAGGATTAATAAGAAAAATACAAATAATAATCCGATTGTATCAAGATCAAATCTGACAGAAAATGTACAAGAACAACAGCGATTACAACAACTGCAACAAGAATTACAAAATCAATACCAACACCAACAACAAAGTACAAAACATTCCATTCCAACAAGTCCAACTTTTCAAGCTAAACGTAATAACAGTAATGATGATACAATTAGTGAGACTGGATCAATTGAATCAGAAATTCATCAACCTAATGCTATGGTTGATGAAGTTTATGAAAAATTATTAAATCATGCTGAAAAAACAAGATCAAATAAATTAGAATAATTAATGAAACGAAACATTTAAATTTAGTTTATATTTTTTAATTCTCTTTACAATTAGTATGAATAATGTTAATATCAGGTATATTAAATAAATTTAAGAATGAGACGGTTCAAACTTAGCTCTTCCACTCTTGTTCATAATTTTGTGGATAGCCTACTTTATGTTTTAAGGTCGTATGCTAACTAAGTACTTGTCTGCATATAACACTGTGTTTTACAATTCTCACAAAAAAAAGTAGTGTAATTCACAAACTGAAAAATTTTGAAAATTTTTTTTTTTACAAACATACAGTCAAAAGTTTTAATTTAATATATTTACATTTTACAGTTTTTCAAACTATCTCATCAAATCCCACATCAATTCAAGATGCCTTTCCAAAAAACTTTAAAAACTTCAGCTTATCATTCAAGATTCCAAACTCCTTTCCGTAGAAGACAAGAAGGTAAAACTGATTATTATCAAAGAAAAAGATTAGTTACTCAACATAAAGCTAAATATAATACTCCAAAATATAGATTAGTTGTTAGATTCACTAATAAAGATATTATTGCTCAAATTGTTAGTGCTCAAATTACTGGTGATGTTGTTTTAACTGCTGCTTATGCTCATGAATTACCAAGATATGGAATTAAACATGGTTTAACTAATTGGTCAGCTGCTTATGCTGTTGGTTTATTAGTTGCAAGAAGAGCTTTACAAAAATTAGGTTTAGATGAAACTTATCAAGGTGTTGAAGAAGTTGAAGGTGAATTTGAATTAACTGAAGCTGTTGAAGATGCACCAAGACCATTTAAAGTCTTTTTAGATATTGGTTTACAAAGAACTACTACTGGTGCTAGAGTTTTTGGTGTTTTAAAAGGTGCTTCAGATGGTGGATTATATATTCCACATTCACCAAATAGATTCCCAGGTTGGGATATTGAAGCTGAAGAATTAGATGCTGAATTATTAAGAAAATATATTTTTGGAGGTCATGTTTCAGAATATATGGAAGAATTAATGGATGATGATGAAGAAAAATATAGAACTTTATTTAAAAATTATATTGCTGATGAAATTGAAGCTGAAGATGTTGAAGAAGTTTATGCTAATGCTCATGAAAAAATTAGAGAAGATCCTTCATTTAAACCAACTGAAAAGAAATTTACAAAAGAACAATATGCTGCTGAATCTAAAAAATATAGACAAACTAAATTATCTAAAGCTGAAAGAGATGAAAAAATTGCTAAAAAGATTGCTGCTTTCCAAGCTGATCAAGAATAAATTAATTAGTATATTTTTATAGTTCTTAATGATTATATCCTAATTCTTTTAATTTCAAACATTTGATTTGTAGAGATTTACTACAGACTTATTCTTCAATTACATCAATTGATTATTCATTCATCATTAAGATTAAGTGTTTATTCATTTACTTCTCTTCTAATTCCATATACATGTTCTAAATAATCTTGAACAAATAATGAACTTCTTCTAAATCTTCTTTCCAGATATTTTTCAAATATAGCTTTATGATTTTTTTCAGGATATTTACAATTATCTAATAATTGTTCAGCTAATGGTGCTACTTGTCTTTCACAATATCCACTAAAATAAACATGAGCATCTGTCCATTCTCCTTTATTTAATAAAAATCTTGATAAATAATGAGCTCCAGCTGCAAGCCAACTTGTTGGTGATGAAACAAATCTTGAATCCATTATTGTTATTTCTAAAAAATATTTTGCTAATGTTCTTGTTTCATAATCATATTCATCTGCTTTTGAAATTCTTCTTAAAAAACTCATTGGACCTGGCCAACCTAAATCAAATTCTAAACTATCAATCATATAACATTCAGCTTTAGTAAATTCATCTACTGTAAAACAATTATCGGTCATATGAATTACTTCTTTTATTGTTGGAATATTAATTTCTTCATATTTTGCAGCAATTAATAGTGCAACTGCTCCAACTAATTGTAATTTAGTCATTGAAACTTTTCTTTTTGATAAAAATCTATCAATTATATTTATTGATAAAAATAATGTTTCAGGTAATAAATTAAATTTATTATGAATTTGAACAATCCAATCATTTAATACACTTCTCATATCCCATTTTAATTCTTCTTGACATCTTTCCATATAAAAAGGATCAGGATTATATTTAATTTCTAAATAACCCATATATTCAAATATTTCTTTTGAATATTCACAAACCATTGTTGGATCATTCCAATCTTCTCCATTTACTAAATCCCAAGTTTTAAATCTAGGATCTGAGTTTATTAAATCTAGTTCTTTTTGAATAGATTCTGTCCAGGGAGGAATCATAATGGATCTTTTATATTTATAGATAATTCCCGTTGGATTTGAGATTCTTCTTGTATATAATCGATCATGAATTGTTTGTTGTTGTGAACGATAATGATGATGATGGTGTTGTTGGTGATGCTGTTGTTGATGGTGTTGTTGTTGGGACTGCTGATTTTGCACTAGTTGATCTTGACGTTGTTGATTATAAGTTTGATTGAGTTTATTTTGCAATTGACGGCGCTGTTGTAGTAGTATTTGCTTACGAACATCTTCGTCTATTCTTTCAACTTGTTCCGGTTGTTCTTCTTTAACTTCTTCTTCAATATCACTTTCAATTTCTTCACGTATTTCATATCTTGGTTCACGATTTTCAAAATCTTCCTCCTCCTCTTTGAACTTAGATTCGTAGATCTCATTTTCATTATGTATCTGAACAGAAGATCTACTCTGTTGTGAATCTTTGGGGTATTCAAATAGTTCATCTGATGAAGATATACGCGGTTTTTTATATGAATTGCTTTGATCATTCTGAGTATCTGATGGATCATGATTATATTGTGTTTGAGTTTTTACTTCATTTTGTTGATGCTGATTATGTTGTTTTTGAATATTTTGATGATGATAATCAAGACTACTTGAATGAATATGCAGTGGTTGATATTGTTGAGATTGTTTATTTTTTAATTCATTAACGCTAAGTTCTTTTAAGACTTCCCTTTTATATTTAGATATTATATCCCTTGTAGAAGATGTGCTTGGTTTGGTTTGTTGTGAAGTTGGTTGAGTCGCAGTTTTATTCGGTATGTTATGTGAAGTTGTTGCTGTTGAGGATGATATGTTTTCATTAGAATTCAAATTCAAATTTGATGAAGTTGATTTTGTTGTAGACGACGACAATAAATGCTTTTGTTTCAATTGTTGAGTTATAGCGTTTTCATCATTTATTATTGAAGACCTCATTTTCTATAACGTGTTGTCAAATAATGATGTTTTGGCTCGATGCCAATGAAGGTTTTAGGTTACAAACTTCTGATGAATTTGTAATGTGTCAAATACTAAATGTTGAAATGTCTTGTAACTGACTTGAATAATGAGTGAGTCAATTGACTATCGGATGACTATGTATGTATATCAATAATCTTTAAACTGATTATGTTTTACTTGAATCTTTGTTTATGTTTTAACCAAATATTTTTTTTTTTGGTTGCCAATTTTTTTTGTGAATATTAAAATGAAAAAGATATTACCAACAATGATAATTTACAACAATTGATAATTTGTAAAATAATGATTGTAATTTGTTTGTAGAAATGAATAATGCTGATGAATTGAGCGAATGACGTGAGTTGGACTTTATTTGTGTATTGATCTAAATCAATTACTCTTAAACGAATGAATGAGTGAGTTTGTTTATTGAAGTGGGTGACTATTTGGCAAAGCTTTGATAATAACGAAGTTTAAAGACTGGAAGTAAAAATCTTGATAAGAAGTTGGTAAGTTTAAAAGAAAAGAAAGTATAGTGATTTGGTTATAATTTGAATACAGAATCAAAACAACACCAAAATTTTCAAATATGAAATTAAGATCAACTACGCCCTAACTACCACGAACAACAGCAGCGTAAAACTGAATAGACTCGTACTAAAAAATTTAATCTACGTCGAGAAGTCACGTCCCTATTTGTTTGTTTACATTGCCAAAAATTTTGGTTGCAATTACGAACACAAAAACACGCAATAGTAACTAAATCATAATAACATAATAATACAAGCAAAAACATCTATAATGTACGAAGAGACATCAGTTGAATTGTGGGTAAGTAGAGTGTAATACTGGATTGTAGTATTACATATGGTCGAGACTAAGTGATATGATAGCCCTCTTTCAAAAATGGATTTTCTGATATTGAAATGGTTAAACCTATATTAATAGCTAAAAATATGAATTTAAACGCGCTTTGAATTAACATTCTTCATTCTTATCACATTCTATCCATAATACTAAGTAATAGGTTTATGTAGATTTGATTTAGAGACATGTCATGACTGGTTAGAAAGTGAAAGTTTTGTTCAAAGAAAAATCACAACTGTTTGATCTCGAAATCAATATTATATTAAGCATAGATATTATCAAATCACATAAATTTTGCGTCAGAATACTTTTCATTTTTTTGCAAAATACAAAATTCCAAATATTTCTGAATAACCATTCTATTAAAACGTTGAATAGAGACAAGGTTCCTATCTTAATTGAACCAACTGTTTCTAATTCGGAATGTTGGTTTTCAAGTGATTTTTTTCTTGGATAGAGAAATGATGGAGCACCATTCGAAATGGAATTCAATCAATTAAAGTTCGGTATTGTTCGAATATTAATTGTGGAAATGGCATTCATTAGTAAGCTTTGGATCCACATGGTTAGCAGATAAGTAAATCCTTCCCTTGATCTTTTGAAATTGATTTGTCTACTCAACGAAAATGTTTTAATTAATAGCACTTTTATCATTGAAGTTGAGAGAAATACACCTACTAGTTATGACAACCAAAATTGGTAGTCTCAAAAGAAAGAAACGAGATCAATAAAACCAATTCCAATTTATACCAGAAATTAAGGCCAACTAGATCTAGTAAAAAAAATAAATCATTTCTTTGTTGCTTTCGATCTTGTTGAACTATTGTTTTTTTGATTCCGTATAATGCAACAAGATCAACTTTTAGTTTTTTTATTTTTGTTTATCTTACTTTTATAAACTGTTCCTTAAATATGCATAAAATTACAATATAGGTTAATCTAAATGACGTAAATACGTCAATCTTTCAAATCTTTTGGTTAATTCGTAAAGTATAAGCGGAATTTAGGAAATATATTTTAATTATAACATTACTTATTTTCCTGAAAGCTCGAACAATTGCAAAAGTGCAGTATAATCAATCAAATTGATTAGTTGAATGCTTGTATGTTCTACCCCAAGAAAAAAAAAACCATCAAACGAGTTTGATGAAGTAATATTAGTATCAATAAAACTACATTAACGAATATGGTATTCCGATTCGTATTTTAATTTTATAATTTTACTTAAAAATCTCAAACAATATTTTTGAACACAATTTTTGAACCCCCTAAAGTTATAAATTAGAATTTATCAATACAATATCGACAATCTTTATATTTGTAAAAAAGATAATCGATCCAAGTCCGTAAAGTAACTTATGGCTACATAACCTTCGAGTATGTATCTAATTAAGAATTTTATCCCTAAATATTACCAAATTTTGAAAAAAATGTTATTAAGTTTTTCTTGATATCTCTTGTCCTGTTTTCAAAAATTTGAATAGTTCGTAAAAGGTCTCAAATGAGTTAACCAGCATTACCTACCATTCTTTATTGATGTATCAAGAAATTGAGGATAAATTTGATTACCGTTCTTATTTGATTTCAATTTCTCGTTGTACTTCAGATAGGACTTCAAAAACTTTCAAATAAAACCGATCAAAGATCTACAAATTCTGGATCAATTCAATTTAATCTCAATCAAAATTTAGTTCATTCATGAAGATAAATATTAACTTTATACATTATAAAGCTTCTCGATGTACAGATTCTAATTCTCTTGCAATTTATCTATCTAATAATCTATAACAATAAATTCGATATATTTAAACTTACGAGGATTTCCGTTAATTTTTTCGAGTCCGTGCTATACATTAATGCAATTGTATCAAATCTAACCCCCTAGAATGGACTTCAACTTTGACTATCCTTATCTCAAGTTTGTTTTCAACTTTTGTAAATATAAGAAAGTCTTGAGCTTATCTTTTCTTAGTACTCACTTGCTTTCAAATACCTGGTTCTTACAAAGTTCGTTTTGAACAAAAATTCCCTTAAACCTTTTACTCTTTTTTTTGCTGTAAGTAATTTAACTTAAATTAACATATTTAAGTTTTATTCCCTATTCTTCCGATATTTTAAACTTGAACTAATCTAATCTGAGTTTTTTGACTTGTAAGTTGATATAAACTAAATTTGCCACTGGTATTTCACCCCTTTAATAATGAAGAAATAGAAGAAAGCACATGTAATTTGATTTAAATCGCTCAATCATATTAAATTGATTGAGGAAAAATTAATTTGTGTTTTTGGTTTCCAGTTTTATACGTTAATGTTTTATTGTGGTATTGATGGAGTTACAAGATCAAATGGACTTCAGATTCTGTGTACTCTCTTGTAGTCGTTAATGTAAACTACTTAAATATATTTAGCAAACATGTCAAAAAATCTTTAATCAAAAAATAAGGGTATTTTCAAATTCCACAAAAAAAATGCAAAAAAAAAAAATGAAGGGAGAAAATTACCACTTAAATTTTTAAAGTAATAATACAAAACAAAAACGATAAATTTAGATCTCGTATCTTTAACTTTAATTTTCGATTAATGAGATCTCGAACTCGAATTTACTGTTCAACAGAAGAATCATCAAAAGCGTTGTATAGATGAAATCAGTATATGAGAGTCGAAATGTAGTAAACGTTTTGATACTTAAAAGTATATATTATTAAAATGTACTAAAAATTATACAATTCAAGAATTAAATTTAAAAACACCAAGTAACAATCCAACTAATAACTAAATATTTTGTAAAAAAAACCAATTAACCAAGTAAAAGCAAATTTAAAAGTAAAACCAAAATAAAATGACTCAATAATGTAATATGACCTTGAATTTTTCGTAACAGCATAAACAACATAAAATAGCGATAGTTCAAAAACATTAAAAAACTAGTAAAGTCTATTCAATTTCTAACAAAATTCATCATTTAAAAAATCTAATTGACATGAAATTAAATTAAAATCAATATTTGAATAATTCTCATTATTATTATTTATTAGTGAATTAAAATCTTGTTTTGGAGCTAATGGAGGTGAATAAGTTTCAAATTCATTTGATAAAATTTGATTTTTTGGAGTTTCTAAAATATAATTATTTTTTGAACCTTGTAAAATTTGATCATTTGTTAATTTTGGTAATAAATCTTGAATTAATGAAGAAGAAGGTGATGAAGATGGTATTGATTGTGATATATTATTTTCTTTAAGTTGTTCTTGTTGTTGATTTATTTCTAGTAAAGTTGAATCTAATAATGTTGATATATCTGATTTTATACTTGTATTATTATCAATATTTGATAATTTTGATTGTATTAGTTTTAATTTTAACTCAATTGAAGACATCATTGGAGGTGATAATGGTAAAACTATATTATTTTTATTTTCATTTTCTAATTGTAACTGTTTTTGTTTCTGCTTTCGAGTTGTACTTCTTGTTTTTGTTGGGGTTTTCGTCACTCTTGTTGTTGATTTTTGTCTTTTATTTGTACTATTTCTTCTTGATGTAGTTGATGGTGGCGTATTTAACATATTTATTGTAGTTGATTTAGGTTCGGGAGTTGAGGGAATATCAAAAGATATATTTTTATTTATTGTATTACATGATGATTGTGAAGGTAATAATACAGAAGGTATTGTTTTTGTTATTGGATTTGAATTGCATCTATCTTTCCTTGGAGTGAAAGAAAATGGAGATTGTAACATTGTTTTAATGAGTTATTTAATGGGTATATTGTATAATTCAACTGTTTTTTAATTAATTTATTTCTTTGTGTATATAATGTATTATTAGTTATGGGGTAAGGATTAAAAAATATAATTTTGAAACAAATTTAAACAAATGTTTGAGTTTGAATACGAATTGAAGTAATGAATGAGTGAATTAATGAATAAAAGTAAATGAATGAATGAATGAATATGATTGTTAAAAGTGGTATAGTTTAAAAATTTAAATTAAGAATTTGAGAAATTGTTATTGACTTATATATTGATTAAATATTTTTAGCAATTGTAATGTAGCTTTATATATTTTTAAAAACAAAAACAAAAATAAAGAATTAAAAAAAATAAAATAAATTTTAAATTTAATTTTTTACTTTTTGGGGGGGAGGAGTTAGTCTGTTAGAAAATAAAAAAAACGAGGAGGGGGTGTAAATCTTTTTACTTACTAAAAATAAAGTTTGTGTTACTTTCAAAAAATTTGTTAGTAAATCTTAAGTTTTGTGGAACTTGTGGAACATGCATACTTAGTTTAGCTATGTACTGCATATATGATTTTTTTTTTTAGTTTATTACTTGCATTAATTTCGTACTCATTTAAAATACTGCATATTATGCTGTGTTATTATTTTAATTACGGAATATTTTGATGATAATACAAATATCATCACCGAAGAAAAAAAAAAATGTTTATATATATATACATATACTAAAAAAAACTGAGATCCGTCCTTAATATAACTAATCTTTTACTAATATAGACAATCGTTAGATCTATTGTTTGGTTTATTTAAAAAATGCGGTTAGTATACAAACAACTATAGCTTTGATTCAAGAAATACTTTAAAGGATGGACTTCCTACTATCAGAGTTTTAATCATTACAAATTTCGTATACAATACATGTATGACATTCATTTAAGAGTAAATGGATTTCCAAAATTTCATGTTTACTGAATAATATTTCTGCAAATCATTATTATGAAACCAAGTAATGCCTAGATCCTGGCATTTCATCTTATGAATATTGTTCATAGTTACATGGTACAAATACACTCATTATTGTATTATCATACTAGATAATAATAAGTGACAGGCTGTATCATAATAAAATAATAATAATTTTAATTTTCATTTTTCATTCTCTATCAAAAAAATTATACTTTCTATTGTTAAAAATAATGTTTCATGTAACGAACAAATCTTTACAATTAAGCTTTTGTCATTTTTTTACTCTATTTAAATTTTAGACTAGACTTGATACAAAAGAAACTGACTCCTTTGAGTAAGTAACCGTAGATAATTTAAAGTTTTTAGTACACTTGTTGATGATTGAGATTTCCCCGAGGTGAATCGTTCATCTTTCACTAAATTTAATTTTGATGGACCAATTTTAAAAACCTAATAACCATATTTTAAGGATGACCACGATATTGAATTGACAATTCTAAAATGACAACTGCCTCGTTTATTTTCATACAACTAAAAGAATTTATCAAAATCAAAACTCCACATTTTTTCATAAAGAGGTTGGACGTTATCAATATTTCTTGGATAAAAAATGAAATTAAGAAAATACTGTCAATTTGACTAAAAAAAACCGTAATAGATTCAAAATATTAAATTATATTAATGATAAGTTGATGAGATATTAATTTTCGTAAAATTATTTTATGCAATTTTTAGAACGCAAAATCACAAGATTTACTCAAAAATAATTTTAAAATTGTAATTTTTTGCCTTATGATTGTTTAAAATTATTGTATTTTCAAGTTTGGATGATCAAATTTGATAATAATATAATAATAATTACTTATTACGATAGAAAATCGAAGAGTTAGGAGACTAACACTTTTATAATAAATTATTATTTATGAATGTAATTTACTACATGATATATATATTGGAATTTCAGTTGAAATTATAATAAATTGATGTAGAAAGAAGAAACTGAAATTCTGCTAATTAATTGGTCTCACTCAGTAAATACTTTAAGTTACAAACTCCAAATTACTTTTACCAAACTAGGGTCAAACCTATAGCCAATCCTAAAAACGATAAAAGAAATCACAATACTCTGCTAGACCAAAAAAATTAACTAAACAAATGAAAAACCGATTACGAAATGACTAATGACTTCTTAAAAAGAGGTACAAATCTAAACTTTATCTTTGTGTGAAACTACATTTATTAAGATTTTGTGATTATGATTTAAAATTGATTGTACAGGGTTTTTTTCATCAACTAAAGAAACACAAAATATGATTATTGTATTTTATTTTATTTGCATAAACATATCTCCATGACATTAATTAACTACCATACGAAACTACCCTGGATCTTGTTTGACGACCCTGTGATAACTTGTTATTAAGAGAGACTATTTAGAACAATGACTTCCAGATTATACAATCATGTTCAAAATTTCAAAAACCCTCATGAACGTCTTGGTGAAGTTCATTAAGTTTATATAACCATTCATAGATCGTCGAATCACTTCCAACATTTGTCGTCAAACTATAAAGTTTTCAAATTAAATTTCAGGTACTAAACTGTCTCATTAATCTATTAAAACGTTTCATCGATCAATAACTTAATTTAAAGTTGTCATTTCAACGAAAAATTTATGACGATTTCAATTTCAATTTCTTAATTTTTAATTATAACACTCCTTTCGTCGATCATGTGAAAATATGATTTCATCAATTAACAACAATCGTCATTTTCTCTTTTGCTTATTGCGGCATTGTCAAGAGAAATATTATAATTCAACAAAATTGCAAACAAAGAACTTGAAATTATGCAATCTGTACTTAAAGGGTGTACAGTTATTTGAATGTATATGGGTGTCCAATTAAATGAAATTGATCACAAATTTGATCTACTTTTTGAACAACTTTAATATCTAATTACGGAAATGTTAAACTCAAAACCAATGCACACAAATTACATTTCTCCTTTGTCTTTTTTTATCTTGATGCCTCTTTGATGTAGTTCTTTGTTCGTCTTGTGCGATTTACTAATCTAGAGATTGTTACTTTTACGTAGTTTTCAGTAATTTTGAAGATGCGTTTACGTAATTTCATTTACTAAAGTATGTACAAATATTTTGTAGGCTATAATTTCTCTTGGTTAGAAGACCTATTCAAAATTTCATCGTATTCGTCCCCCATAAGTTTAAAGTTTCACAATAATTTACTGCACCCAAGTCAATTATAAAATTTGAATATGAAATTTTCATTTATTTTGAAAATCTCTCTTGTTCAAAATTAAATTACATGTTTCAAAATTGATTTACAAAAACTCAAAATTTCTTTTTAAATTGATCAATTTCAGGATGATTAAGAATCAACTTTCAAAAGAAATTGTATAATACTATAGTTTTGTTTATTTTTGACTACCGATATATTTAATATATTTAAGAGTTACGAAAAGTCGTAATTTTGTTCAACTATAAACTCTTTTTTTGTTCTCTGTTATAGTACAATTAGCTATCATTGAGACAAGTTGTCTTTGCGTTATACAAATTGAAAATTATTATCTTTTGAATTCTTGATAACAGTTAAGTCATTGCATCAAATTTTGACAGCTAATCAATTAACCAACTGTATAATCAACCAACAACAACCAACTTAACTAATTCAACCCAAACAACAACTTCGACAACCAACCAACCAACTAACCAATAAAACATTCAAATGTCAAACTTGTGGAAAAAATCATCATTCATCAATTTGTTTGACATCTGAAAAAATGATTTTTATGACAGGTTTGGCATTTGAAGGTTTTTTTGATTGAGTTGGTTGAAGTGAATTGGAATCATTAGCTGAATCTAAAGTTGGGTTTGTTTGGGGGTGGTTGAATATAATTTAATGAAGCACTATCTGATTGATCACCAGTAGCAGAAGATTTACCAAGTTTATTTAATGAATTTCTTAACCTCGAATCTCAACAACAATAAATACTATCACTGCTTTAGTTGCAATAATAGTTGGTTGATTAGTTTCATTATTAATTTGTTGTAAAACACCGGCTCAAACGTGATCTGAAGCATCAGTATGAAAGGTGAAAATGGTATATTTAAAACAACTGAATTAAATTATACAATTTACGAAAAAGATATAATACTTTACTTTCATTATCACCTATCCTCAACAACTATAACAAAGTTTTATACATCTACTGTGACAATAAAGCTTAAATTTGGTAATGTTGAAGTAAGAACAAGTTCAATAGCACCTAATAATTCAACAAAGTATAAAAAGAATCCAAGATTCCTCTAATAGCCTATAACGTCTTAATAATCAATTGATAGAATTGAATCTGAAAGAAAACTTATTGATCCAAATCAACTATTTTGATCCATCAACTATTAATAATTCCATCTCTCTCTTTTTTTTTAAAAATATGCTCTCAATTGTTCTGAAACTATTTTGTTTCTTCAATTGACTTTGAGTTTTAACTTTAACTTTGATTTTGACATTAAATTTAACTTTCACTCTTGATTTGGATATTCTTTGGTTCTTTAAAACGAACAAATAAAAGATAATAATGTGTTAAAATTCCGATCATTGCTATAAAAACGGCAATTATAAAGACATTTCTTGATTGATAGAACCAAGCAGTAATACAAACTGGGATCAACATCAAAATGTTTAATATAAAATAAAGTTGTCTGTCATTAGTTAAATAATAAGCAGGCATTATTAATTATTTAATCTTTCTTTCTTTCTTTCTTTCTTTCTATTCTCTGATTTATATAACAATTTATTTAGTCAATCCAAATTCATATGTCGTATCAAAAGTTTGCAAATATAACAAGATTAAAAATCAATAATTGTTTCTGTGATAATTGAGATTGAATTTTTGGATTTTGATTAAATGTTAAATTCAATTTTGATTGGTTGAATCTTGAATGAAAGTAGGTGTAGCCATTATGCTTTATTCGAAATTATCTTCTAAAATGATGGCTTAGGAGTATTAAAAAGAATTTGGTCATAATTAGAACCATAAAGGTTACAACTGAACAACAATAATATTTTAAAGTCATACAACCACGGTGACTTGTTTAATCAAGTAGTCAAACGGGTTTGAGAATCTCGATAAAAACCTCAATTGCATCTCTGTTATTGAATTTGACTATCTTAATGAATAGCGAACTTTCAAATTTTTGTGGAGACATTTTTAAACCAATTGAAAGAAATTTCATAATGACATTTCATAGGAAACATGGAGCCAAATCTAAGTTGTGTAGGCAGCTAAAAGTAAAAGAGATATCTGCACTTCATCATTAAAAAAAATTTGAAACAAATTTAAACAATAAGAAGCCTAATAAACAAAAACAAATGCACATGATATATTTCACAAAATTTACTAATATCTTTATTTTACAATTTGAAAAAGTTAAAGTTTAGTTTGTTTTAGCATGCTTGCTTTTACTTAAAAGTTCGTACTCGAAAATTTGCATTTGCCTTTTCATTCATTAGATGATTTTGAGTAAGTACAGTAAATGCAGATAAAGAATTTGTAATAACTATCACAATCATCTCAAGCATATACGATTGAACTGACGCGTCAAATAATTAATTAATTAATTGAAATCGGAAATATGATCCATTAAATTGTTATAAACTATACATATGTGGGGAATATTTAAAATTGTCAGTTTAACAATATTGGTCAATAGTGGCTTGTCAATACTTTCAACTCTTTAATGAAGCTAGTTTCATTAATTGATGAATAGGTTATGAATTTGAACTTGAATATATTATTTAAAGGCTGTATATCTGTCGTGAAATAAAATTCGAGACATTGTTTCAGATCTGAGACGTGACACATACGCGTCTAAAATAATTTTACCTAATAACTTAAAATATTTTCAACTTCTCTTCTTATCTTATCAAAAGTTGGTAACAAAATCAAATTCGAAGTAAATAGATCAAGTGTTGAATTTAAATAACAAAATAAGACTACACAATCAGAGATGGAACTTATATGGAGTAAGATACCAATAAAGGAATCAGAAGTTTGTCTAAGTAAAGTATTAAGATGTGGTCAAACATTTAGATGGAAGAATATAAATAATGTATGGACTTTTTCAACATCAGATAGAATAATTTTATTAAAACAAGATTCAAGCAATATCTACTACTCGCAAATAATGAGTCATCAAAATAAATCGACCACAAATGATACTAAAACCATTGATTTCATAAATGACTATTTAACATTAGATATAAAATTAGAAAAATTATATACACAATGGAAGGCAAATCATGAACCATATAAACATAAATCAAGTACTTCACCATTTGATTCCTTCACTGGTATTAGAACATTAAGACAAGATCCATGGGAATGTTTAATATGTTTTATATGTTCATCTAATAATAATGTTAAAAGAATTTCTAAAATGTGTGATAATTTATGTGTTAATTTTGGAAATTATATAAATGATTATCAAGGTCATTCATTTTATTCATTTCCAACACCTAAACAATTATCAGGTGATGATGTTGAAACAAAATTAAGAAATTTAGGATTTGGTTATAGAGCTAGTTATATCTATAAAACAGCAAAGATGTTTACTAATGATGAACAATTTCCCAATATAACACTAACTAATTTAAATGAATTACGAAATAAATCATATGAAGAAAGTCACGCTTTTTTAATACAGTTATGTGGAGTTGGTCCCAAAGTAGCTGATTGTATATGTTTAATGTCACTAGATAAGTCAGATATTGTTCCTATTGATACTCATATATATCAAATTGCAATTCGAGATTTTAAATTCAAAGGTAAAAAAGATTTAAAGACTTTGAATTTAAAATTACATCTGGAAATAAGACAATTTTTTAAAAATATATTTGGAGATTATGCTGGTTGGGCTCAATCTGTTTTATTTGCTGCTGATTTAAGCGATTTGAATAATGGAATTAATGATGTTGAACCTGTAAAGGAAGAAATTAAAAGTATCAAAAATGAAGTGGTTAAAGTAGTTGAGAAGAATACAAATAAAAGAAAAATACTTTCTGATGTTGAAACCAATATCAAAGTGGAAACTGGCTCAAAGAAAATAAAAGTAAGTAGATCAGTAAAAGTAGAAGTATAAATGCTACAATTAATACAAAAATTCAAAAAAAAATAAAATATCTGTACATTAATTAATCATTAGATTCGTTCCCATCAAATTAAATAAACTGAATAGTAATCCCTCTATTAATTTGTTTAATCGAATAAACCGAAACCCATATCATCATCAGATTCTTCTTTTTCTTCTTCAACTTCTTCAGCAGCAGCTTCTTCAGTAGCACCACCAGCAGCGGCACCAGATGAAGCAGCAGCACCAGCACCTGAAGCTGGAGCACTAGCAGCAAATGAAAATAATAATTCTTTTAAGTTTTTACCTTCTAAAGCTTTAGCAAAAACTTCAGCCCAATATGGATCAACAGTAGTTCCTGCTGCTTTAGTAATGGCTAATAATGAATCAGCGGTGATATCTGCTTCTTGATCAGCTAAAATGATTGAAGCGTATGATAAGGCGGCTTCAGCGGACATTGTTGATTTGGTGTTGTTTAACTAGAATATAATCAAAATTTAAGCAGTAGCAGACTAAATTCTTAGTATGATTTGTATGACTTTAGGTCTGAAAGAGAGAAATTTTTCAATAGTTTTTGGTTTTCTATTTGGAGAAATTGCCAAATATGGACAGACCGCATAGAGTGCGGCTAAATAAGTTTTGTCACGTGTATTTGTCAAGCCCTAAAGGTTAAATATTGTGACCTCTTTTTGGTGTCGATGCACTCGAACGGAAAGTGTTTTAACAGTGCATTTAGATAGTACGGTTACCTCCTTACCTGTTTCGTTTCACTAGTTTCTTTCGACAACCCGCGAACTGCTTGACATGTAGAAGTTCAACACGCTGAAATTCGTCAAAAAATGTGCAATGTTAAACGTTAAAAAAATACCTACATAGTACTTGTGCTCGAGTGCTTCCCTTCGACAATTCGACTTTCGGCATAAGTTGTTTGGGAGGATTTTGCACCAATCTGCTCGAAATCTTTCAGTATCAACAATTAACACGGACTATTTTAAAATATTGCTATTATCGTCGATCTAAGGCCAATTTTGATTTCAAACATTTAATTCTAAACGTGAATCTAAATTCTGAAACTATTATACCACTGCGAAGTATATTTTTATCGATTTTAAAATGTGTAGATAATTTTATTGATATATTATTTAACTTTGATCTCGTAAATATAATCTAGATTTAATTTACGAAGCAAACAAACACACAAAGTAAAAATCACATCATTCGAAACATTATACTGACTATAAGTAATGATATCACTTTAACCAATTATCAACAATCTTCTTTGTTTATTTTCATTTGTTTCATCATTATTGAATTTTACTTATCACGTATACCTCATTTCCCTGAATGACGTCATTGTCAACTAGCTCATCAAGGTCAGAATCTCATCAACATCATAAATCATTAAAACCACAGAATTTACAAAATCCTATAAGATTGGCATTTCTTGGTGGATCCAAATCTGGAAAAACAACAATTATATCAAAATTAACATTGGGATCATATAGAGAAACTTATTATCCTACAAATCAAATCACTCCAATATTATTTAATTATGTACCTGAATCTATACAAGCTAAGGAAATTTTAATTAATTCAAATTTAGAAGTTGGTCATAATATTAATTTATCTCATATACTCAAAAATAAAAAAAATGTTGGTTCATTTGTTAAAAACAATCAATACTATCATATAAATGAATCAAAAGATGAAATTACACCAATCCTTGTTGAATTAATAGATACTCCAAGTTTTAATCCTCAAAAAGTTGTTCCTTACCTAGAAGAATCACTATATACAAACTTAGATAAAGAAATATTACATAATTTAGCAAATGAACCAAGAAGACCAGTATCTACAAATCCATTATTAGTAGCAAGTGGAGCAAGTGAATTAAATGGAAATGTTAATGGATATTTTTTTGTTTATAGTGCTATACCAAGTTATAATCCACCAAGTTATGAAACTCAAGCAAATGAATTACCAAATAATCATACTTTTAAATTATTACCAACTATAAAAGATGCATTAAATGATGCATGGGAAGAATATAATACTTTTAAAAGAGATTGGGCAAAAGGTGAAGAATCAGATATTTTTTCATTTAAATTTGCATTTAAAAATATTTTAAATAGTGGGAAATCAAAAAGTACCGAATTAATAGATCAATTATATGAAAATAGTTCAAATTCTCCTCCAATTTGGATTATATGTACTCAATCTAAAAATGAATTAGCTTCTTCTCAATTAATTGAAGATGGTAAAAAATTAAGTAATCAATGGAAATGTGGATTTGTTGCAATTGATAATGTTCATGATGATGTTGATATTATACTAAGTTTAATGATTAGAGATATTTTACAAAAGCAAAAATTAAAATAAACAAGAACACGAATAAATGGATTATTACTGGGTATATATACAAGCTAATTAATAGATAAACATTTTTTTTTTTTGGTAAATTAATTTAAGAATTTTGAAACATCAGTTAACCAAGTTCTATATTCATTCTCTTCTTTAAAATCAGAATAAGCAACAATAAAATCGGCTAATTCATTATCTATTCCCTTTGCAACTAAATAATTTTCAAATTCAGTTTGTAAAGATTCATCTAATTCAGCAAATTTTGGACCTTGATAATTAAATTTATCAATAAATTCATTTTCTTTTTCAATATTTTGTAAAAATTGTTTAGCATTATTTGAAACATTTACAAAATCAATCATAAAACTTGATTCAGTATTTTGTAAAAATAAATTTAAAAATAATCCAGTATTATTTGATTCATTTTCAATAAAAATTTTAACATTACATAAAATTTGATCTAATGCTGATGCTTCATTTTCTAAATCTTCAACTTCTGTTAATTCTTCAGTTGGAATATCTGTTACTTCATCAATATCAAAAAATACATGAATTTTATTACCAGTTGAAGGATCAGTTTTAATTAATTCAACATTTGCATTACCATTTGTTGAATTTAATTTAAATCCACTTTGATTTAAAAAATTTTGATATACATTATCTAATTCATTGGGTATAGCTTCAACCATTTTACTTTCAGTTTTAATGACTTCATTCAAAGCAACTTCTGGAGATTCTTTATTTTCATTAAATCTAATTGGTGTTTGATGAAATGATCTTAAGGGGGTGGTTGCAATAATTGGTAATGATTTAGAAATTGTAAAATTGGTTTTTGATTTGAAATTTTGACAAACTATTCTTTTTGATAATGTTGAACGTAATGAATTAGCTAATAATCTAGACATTGTCACTTTTATTTAGTTGTAACTGAGTTTATTGGAAAATTATTTGTTAAATTTTAAGGAGTGCCTTCAATTCGATGAGGAGAAATTTATAGAAATATTTAATTTATATTTTTTTGTATTCAATCAACAGTACAATTTTCATTTTGAAAGATTTGAAAAATTGAATTTCACTTGATCAAGAGTTTGTTACTGCAACCAGTAAGGCTTACAGACTCTGAGTATTTACTACTTTTTATACCAACTTTGTCACAATTGGATTAGTTTGGTCTTGATTCGATGTATGTTATTAATAAAGTGTGAAACAATGGTTTAAATAGTTTACAAAGGGCTTCAAATGTATTTATTTTACTTGCCAAGCCAAGGACTGGATATTGGTTGGACTTTTGAATTCGTCTAATCTAGAATATATTGGGATTGAAAAGCAGTCCTCAGCAACAAATTTTAATCATCTAAAACAATCGCCAAAAGTATCGGTTTATGGAAAGAGCCATATTCAAAGATTTACAAACCTTTTCCAACATTGCAAACGTATGTGGACACTGGAGAGGTACATGGACAATCCAATGAATCTGTCAATGTTGCAAAATCAACTCAAATGTTACAGTATAAATATGAACTTATGATTACACGTTGGCACTTGAAATTAAAAGCTATGCCTAATTCATAAATTACTGGATCATCTATGCAAGATGTTAAGGATACAATCTGCAGATTCAATCAACAAAAAGTTCCCTTTTAAAGTGAATTTGAAAGCTATTTGGTCAAATATGCAAAGGCCAGTGAAAAAATGATTTATACAAGTGAAGTTGCTAATTTCAATGTGGTCAAATATGCAAAGGCCAGTGAAAAAATGATTTATACAAGTGAAGTTGCTAATTTCAATGTGGTCAAATATGCAAAGGCCAGTGAAAAAATGATTTATACAAGTGAAGTTGCTAATTTCAATGTGGTCAAATATGCAAAGGCCAGTGAAAAAATGATTTATACAAGTGAAGTTGCTAATTTCAATGTGGTCAAATATGCAAAGGCCAGTGAAAAAATGATTTATACAAGTGAAGTTGCTAATTTCAATGTGTTTACGGAATCAAGTGATTTCCTGACTTTCATGAACGAACTTTTTGCAATAAGTGAGATGGTTCAAATTTGTTGCAGAGGAATGCTTTACGATCCCGATACAAGGAGTTTAACTCGGTTGTAGCTCTTGGCATTGAAGAGTTGTTGAACAAACAACTAGGCAATACCCTTTATGAAATCAACTTATACCTACAATTATCAAACGTAATTAATAGGTGTAACTCTGTTTTACAATTTCGTCGAGGGAAGTGTCTAGTTGTTTATGTTCCAAATTCTGGCAGCAAAGGTAAACCAACAACAAGATCACAAAATCATAAAGAAAGCTTTGATGGACATACCAGAGATTCAAATGATCGTGATAAATCACCTAACAGACTAACTACCAATGAATCGAATCATAGAAATTCGAATGCTGGTAGAGGTGGATATGATGAGGTAAGAATCACGGTGGACGAGGTGGGTCGAGTAGGAGAGATGATGTTTCTCCTCCACCCGCACAACCTAATGCCACCTTATAGCAATTAGAGTCAACAGGTGTGGTATAGCAGCTAATTTACCCGTAATTATGTGACTTACCCGTAATTATGCTATTATGCGACATAATTACGGGTAAATTAGCTGTTATAACACAACAGGTGATATTACAGGTTTAACATATGATTCCGGAGCAAGTCTCATTGTTACATCTGATGCATCTATAAATAATAATACAGTTAAAATTGTTCTTCATGAATTCGGTAAAAATGGAGCCTGAGGCAGTACCCAATTCAAGAAAGAAGCAATATTTTAGATTAGAAGAGTGAAGGAAAGCGGATTTTCTGTTTGTGAAGACAAAATACAATCATCACTAGTCTAGTCAAAAACATCAACGATTTTTTATTGTCATCAGTACCTTCAATTTTGGTATAAAAAATTTCTTTAATGTGCAATTTTATCTATTATGTGGAATTGAATGGTATGGACTACATATTGAAACGTAAGAAGTAACTTAGCCAAAAACCAAACATGCAATCATTTATTGTTGAACAAACTTATTTCGAATTGCTAACTATTGGATATGTAGAGTGCTCTGCATACTTTGAAGACTTTAGCACTAGTTCCTCTAAATGTGAATTCAGTTGTTGAAACTCGATGGTGGGGTTCTAGATATCATAGATCAGTGAGAGCAAAATGAGAAGCCAGTGTAGATCTGTGGTTGACCTTGAATCTAACAAGTCTCTTGGACCCTTGTTGATCTTGATTTCAGAAAATACGAGATTTCTCAAGACTCTATCAAAAAATATTGCAAATCTAACATGTCAAACTTTACAACTAGTGCTATATTAGTAGTTTGAGCTTATTAAACTTCACGTCAATTTATATTAGCTTGCTCTATCTGATTCTATGTAGATGCGACATACAAATTATTGCAATAACAACACAGAACTTTATGGTTCTTGTAACATATTGTCTCCATTGACTCCATCTTCAATTTCCTGATCTCATATTTTGCAAAATTCGATTCTGTCAATTCAAGCATTACTTAAAGTATTTGGTACACAAATTTTTATTTTTTGCAACCAAATAATTTTTTTGCCTTATTTTAAATTACATAGTTTTATATTTCAACTGAATTACGATTCACTAAACAATAAAGAACTGAAAAGAAGTCTATCATCTAAAATTTATTATTATATCAATTTGATTCAAGTCATTATCAAGTGAAATTTTGAAGCATGTCAAACCGACGATTCAACTATAACAAAACTTAAGAATTTGAGAAAGTAAAACGAATTGATATTCAAGCAAATAGTTCACAATTATTCTACTTGAAATGTACGCATTTACAATCATATATCAAACAGGGCTTTTTAAGACAGTTTTTGGGGAATATATGGGGAATAAGTAAGCAGAATTATTACATTATAAGATAAGCCACTAAATAATAATTTATTATTACCTTATCAAGAAGTTGATGGGTGCAACGGGATTTGGAATTGTGAGTAAACACAATTCCATTTAGTAAGCTCAAAAGCCGATTTTTACAGAGAACTGTACGGGATACTGAACTTAATTAGTTCAGAAGTTTGGTCTAGTTCAATCGTTGTCATGAAGTGAAACAAAACGATTCAATATTAATAAATATTTAGAGGCACACGACACTTAATTATGGAATTGAAATTTAAACTTTATCAACTGTTGAATTAAACTATTGAAACAAGTCTAATTAACCTAAAGTAGTAACCAATTCAGATCATTATTTTTTGATCATTTGAATCATTAAAATCAGAATTAAAAGAAGGAGGACAGAAACTCCGAACCAAATATTAATATTTTGGGGCTGACAGTTTTATCGAGAAAATTCACCGCCGTTAGTTCCCAATTTGATTTATTTTAAAACCGCATATAAACGGTGAACCTCAATTCCCCGTTCCTGAATCAGAGTTAATTCTTTTTAGTTCAATCAACTATCAAATGGAGCATAATTCATCGCTTTATATTGTCGGTTCCTAACAATTATACCTTATTATCTTCAAATTTTCCATCTACAAGAGACTCTAACGTCATTACCAAATTATTTAAATTCAATAGTAACCTAATTGAGTAAGTTTATAATAAAAAATTTTATTGGAGATAGCCTACTGAAATAAAAATTATTAATATTTTTTAAACTTCCTTATCAAAAATTTTTGTTTTTGGTAGAAAAAAAATTTATTAAAAAAAGATAAGAAAATTAAACAATACAACAACAAACAAATCTATCCAAACTTTAACACTACTTACTTACAATATTCCAACTGACTACTTATTTTTTACATATTTATCTTCTAGATTTATAATTTCAATTTGATTTTCAGTTTGTTGTTTTTTTTTTTTTTTCTTTCTTTTTGAATCTTGATGATATTGAATAATATACAACAATTAATATATTCATCAACTAAATCATCATCTTCATCATTAATAAAAGTTATAACTATAATAAACACAACAAAGGAATTATCATTAAGTACATCTAAAGTCACACGATCTTACAATTTAACAAAACAAAGATTTAATCAACGACGAGCATTTCATTATACTAATACTAATAACAAAAACAGAAGCAACAACTATAATCGTAAAAAATACACTCATTTGAATTCAGGTCTACCAATGATCTCATCAATTTATAATTATTTATTTCCAACATCATCAATAAATTCAAATAATTCTTCAAATTCTTTAATTCAAGAAAAAAATTATTCAACAAATAATCCAAATATTTCATTAGATTTTATAAAAAATTTTCATCCTAGATTAATTACAATTTTTCAACAATTAGATTCAATTGCTCCTCGTTTTTTATTAAATCATGGTGATATTGAAATTTTAAATGACCCCAAGCAATTTTATCAAACTTTAAAAAATAAAATAGCCAGTGCAAAACACAGAATATATTTATCTTCTTTATATATTGGAAAAAGTCAAACTGAATTAATACAATGTTTAGATGACGCCTTGTCGGCTAATGAAAATTTAAAATTATATATATTAACAGATGCATTACGTGGAACAAGAGAAGCTCCAAATAATATTTGTTCAGCTTCAATTTTAGTACCATTAGAAAAAAAATTTGGTAAAAATAGAGTAGATATTAGAATGTATCATACTCCTAATTTATCAGGTATAACAAAACAATTAACTCCAAAACGTATAAATGAAGGTTGGGGTTTACAACATATGAAACTTTATGGTTTTGATGATGAAATTATTTTAAGTGGTGCTAATTTATCACAAGATTATTTTACTGATAGACAAGATAGATATTATTTATTTAAATCTTCTAAATTAACCAACTACTATTTCAAAATTCATGAAGCTATAGCATCAATTTCTTATCAAATAAAATATACAACAAAATTAAAACAAGGTTTCAAATTAATTTGGCCAACAACTAATGCATCCTGTGAACCTCATTTAAATTTACAACGATTTATAAGTGATACTTCATTATTATTATCACCAATTTTAAAACAACATGAATTATCATCATTTGATGAATTTAAAGATCATGAAAATTTTGATACAATAGTATACCCCGTTTCACAATTTACTCCATTATTTCCATCACAACAAGATTTATCTACAGAAAAACCAGCAATTTTAAGATTATTATCATTTTTAGATTCTCCCAATATCAAATGGTGGTTTACTGCAGGTTATTTTAATATGTTACCACAAATTCAAGATCGTTTATTAAATGGTAAAGCTCAAGGTAAAGTTATAACAGCTTCACCAAAAGCAAATAGTTTTTATAAATCTCCTGGTATGAGTTATTATTTACCTGAAGCTTATTTATTATTTGCAAAAAGATTTTTAGAATCAATTAAAAAATTAGGAAAGGAATCCTTGATTACAGTATATGAATGGCAAAAGGGAGTAGTTAATACTCCAGGTGGATGGACTTATCATGCAAAGGGTTTATGGATTACAGTACCTGAAGAAGATGAACCAAGTATAACAGTAATTGGATCATCAAACTACACCAAAAGAGCATATAGTTCAGATTTAGAAAGTAATGCAATAATAATAACCAAGGATCCACAATTAAAACAAAAAATGAAACAAGAAATTAATCATTTAATGGAAAATGCAAATGAATTAACTTTATCTGATTTTCAACCTAAAAAAATTGGAAGTTTAAAAAATGATGCAACAAATAGTAATATTATTATAGAAGATCCAATATCTAATGAAGAAGAAGATTTAGAAAAAAATGCTAAATATGTAATTGATGAAGATAGAAAAATTAGTTATGTAGTTCATTTAGCTGTAAAAGTATTAAATAATAAATTGTAATGATTTAGACTAAGACCACTTTAGCAAGTTTATACTTCTTTATAATGTACTTCTTCTTCCTCCTTTAAGAATTTTGTTTGAAAAAATATGGTAATAGTCCATAACAAGTTCAATACAATGATAATCCAATAATTATTAAAATTCAAAGCATCTTCAAACCATTGATTATTATTTATAAAATTACCCATAAATTCAAACCCCAAAGCTCCCAAATTTAACCAAATCCAATTTTTATATAATCCTGAACATTCATCAAACCAAATTCTATAAATTTGAGGAATTAAATAAACACAAGCATTAAATTTTGTTAATAACCATAAATAATCAATTAAATCTAATGTAAAAATTTTAGATTGATTATATAACCAAAGTTTAATTAAATAGCCAAATGGAACTAATTGTATGACAATAAAAGCTAGCAATTCGTAATCAAATTCATAATGTTGTTGTAAGATTAGTAGAATCGTTAGACCACAATATATTAATTCTATGATTAAATATGGAATGTCTATTGGTGGTTTTTGATTAAAAAATCGTAGACTATATTGATCTTGTACTTCTGGTAAAAAATAAAAACAAGTTGATGTAATTGATAGTAAAATTGTAAATAACTGTAATTTGAGATAAGTGGTTGATAATCCTGTGGGACCTTGATATCTTTGTTGATTATGTTGGTGCTGTTGTTTTGTGTGTTTATATTGTAGTATCAGAGAAATACATCGTAGAATTATTGCACCATTATTGAATAAGTCTATTAATCTCATTTCGTGGGTTAATTGGATGTGAATAAGGATTGTAAGTTCAAATGGATATGGTTATTTCGGTGTATGCTTTAATGTAAGAAAATGATTTTGTGGTTCTAAATTTGTTTACATTTATTTTACCATTTGTTCTTCTTATCAATAACTAAGATCAAGTTCATCTTTATCATTTAGCATTTATTACTACTGCCTTGCTATATCTGTATCTGCTGCTATTATATGCTAATGAATAATGGGCTCAGAGATAGAGGGGAATTGGGATATAGTAATAACATCATTACAAGATATTTGTACATCAAATGAAAGTATAACTTTCAATTCAGTATACAAAAATCAAAATGATTTAAGTAAGCTAAATAATTTAACATCAGAAGAAATATCAAAACTACAAAAGGAAATAATAGATCATAAATCAAATTTAGGTACTGCAAAAAGACTTATTGATACACTGAATGATAATTTAATGAAATTAATTGAAATTATTCAATTACAACAACAACAACAACAAAAACAAAAAGAAGAACAAGCTAAACTTGAAGAAAACAATAAGAGATCAAGAGATGAAGCTGATCTAGATACTAAATCAACTTCCAAATCGAATTCTCAATCAAGTAAAAATTCTAAAACAACTTCAGGTTCAGGTACAGGGAAAGGTAAAAAATTAAAAAAAATAGGAAGATCATTTTGGCAATCAAAATATAACCCCTCGGAACCAATTGTGATTGGATCCGAAGTAGCTTTTAAATTAAGGAATAGAGTAAATGAATGGATTCAATGTGAAGTTGTTAAAATTATTGGAGATGGTATAAAATTTGAAATTCGTGATCCAGAACCTGATGAAAATAATCATCCTGGTAATACATTTAAATGTAATTATAAAGAAATTTTATTAATTCCTTCAATACTGGATTTAGATAATTTAGTAAATTATAGTTATGGTTCAAAAGTTTTAGCTAGATATCCTGATACAACAACTTATTATCCTGCTATAGTTGTTGGTAATAAAAAAGATGGAAATGTTAGATTGAAATTTGATGGTGAAGAAGAAGTTAATAAAGAGTGTGAAGTTGAAAGAAGGTTGGTTCTACCTTTACCTCAAAAGTAGGAGTAATTTTAAATTTGCAAAATAAAAACTTTTGATTTCAATAGGGTCATGTAATAATGAGTAGGAATAGTTAATGAGCAGAAACGATCTAATCAAGCTCATGGTCCATGACTTTTATCTCTGTGTTTTCCCTCTAAAACGTGTTGAGAAGTTCATTTACTGATCGGAAAGTCGTGCAATTAAGATAATTTTGGAAGCAGTGAAAAATAATGTGGAATCAGATCTGAAGAGACAGACCAACTGAAAAATCATCGTTAATTGCAACTAATATAACATACTCCCAACACAAAGGAAAACACAAGATGGAGGGTATGGATATAGATGATTATTCAAGAGTATGTTTTAGGTGAGATGAAAAATTAAAGTAAAATTGGTGACAAATATACTTCATGTAACTTCCACAAAAAAATAAAAGAACAAAGAGAAATTAGACCTTCCGTTGCTTAATATCTTGATGAATTTAGTCGCTTCTTGCTACAATAAGCTGATCTGCTTTGGCTTGATATTTAGTACATGGTTGGTGAGTGTATTTTGGGAGATTTCATTATTAAAATTTGAGTACTGGTTCAAACTTCGTTTTTTGTGCTTTGATGCTGGACGCTTCTTTCGCTAGCTAAAACAGAAAATAAGAGAGCTATATTTGATTTTTTTAATGGTTTCGACCCTTAATATGTATATGTGGTTGTATGGTACTGATGATTATTTGTTGCTCAATCAAACTAAAGATTCTATGGAATATTTGATGCTAACTTGTTAATTTGCTAGGATCGTTCTCGTTCTCCTGTTAGGGACAGATCTCCAGTAAGGGATAGAACCAATAATAATGATGATGGTGGTAGTTATGAAGGTTCTGCTAGAGATCTGTATGGAAGAAGAGATTATGGAAGACCAACATATGATGATAGAAGAGGTAGGGATTCATATAATTCAAGAGGAGGGGGTCGTGGAGGTTTCAGAAGTGATAGAGATTATTCATCAAGAAATTATGGAGCTGCTTCTACTTCAACTACTGGTGATGATTCTTATAGATCTAAAACTGAAAGAAATTATGATAATTCAATATTTGTTGGAAATATTCCTTTTGATGCTACTTCAAAAGATATTGAAAGAATTTTTAGTAATGATCTAGATGTTGTAAGAGCTGATATTGTTACTAATAAAGGTCAAAGTAGAGGTATGGCTACTGTTGAATTTAAAGCAAAAGATGATGTTTTAAGTGCTATATCTAAATTTGATAGATTTGAATATCAAGGTAGAGCAATATTTGTTAGACAAGATTATCCACCACCAGAAAAGAAAGATTTTGGTGGAAGTAGATTTGGAGGAAGAGGTGGTTATAATAGTAGTTATTATGGTGGTGGTGGTAGAGGAGGATACGGAGGTGGATATGGTGGTGGTTACGGAGGTGGTAGAGGTGGATATGGAAGTGGAAGAGGTGGCTACGGTGGTGGATACGGTGGTAGAGGCGGATATGGAAATGATTTTGGTGGTAGGCAACAATCTTTTCCTCCACCAGCACCAGGAACTGAAGTATTTATTGGTAATTTACCATTTTCAATCAATTGGCAAGCTTTAAAAGATTTAATGAGATCAGCTGGTAATGTTGTAAGAGCAGATGTAAGATTAGATGATAGAGGATTTTCAAAAGGGTTTGGAACTGTTGTTTTTGAAACTCCAGAAGAAGCAACAAAAGCTATTGAACAATTTGAAGGTTATGAAATTGAAGGTAGAACTTTGAATACAAGACCCGGAAAGGGAGCAGAATTAGCTGCATCTTCTTCATCATCAACAAATGGATACGGATCAACACCAAGATTCACTAAAAAAGAAAATTCAGAATTCACAAAGGGAGTTACAGGTGATGGTGAATCATTAGATACTATTTATGTATCAAACTTACCTTTTAGTACTCAAGACGATGATTTATATGATTTATTTGAAACTATTGCAAAAGTTAATAAAGCCGAGATACAATATCAAGAAGATGGTAGAGCTAGTGGTAATGCAGTTGTTAGATTTGAAGAACCCGAATCTTGTGACACTGCCATTAGTGAATTAGATAATTATGAATATGGTGGTAGAAATATAAAAATTACTCATGCTAAATTACCAGAAAATTGATATCTAGGTTTATACTAGGTTTATAAAATATGTACTTATATTATGTTTGTTTTTAGTTCGATTAAAATGTAGAAACTTTGAGACTTGTTGATGTACTTGATAAGGAGTGATCCTTATTCTCGGATATATAAATCTGAGACAAAATTAAATATAAGTGATGTTAATAATCAAAAGCCAAGGTTTATTCACCATTAATTCTTGATTCAATTCGTTTTTCAAATCAGTCGAAATAGATTCTTTAACTACCATCTCCTTATCTTCATCCGATACAATTCAATTGAGTACAAACTACGAGATAGTCCATTCATTATACAAAAAGTATGACGTCAAATAGTCTAATAAAAAAGGAAGAACAACCGAGTGACAATAAAGATCAATCATCTTATTATTTAATCAACATATTTCATCAACATTATATAATTTTATCCATCACAATCTTATTAAGTCTCATCATCTTCCATTTTAGGTACAAAATTATAGCTTTTCATGATAGATGGAGAACAAGAAGAAGAATTCAACAAGGTTATTATAACAATTTAAATTTTGATGAAGAAGATTTAATAGATGATGATGATATAAATTCAGAATTCAGTCTAGATAATGAATCCTTCGTGAATGATATTAATCAAGGTTTAAATAGTTCGAATTTTGATGTTGAAAATTCAAATTATCAAGATTCAAGAAAAGGATTATCTATTAGAGGTAAAAAATATATTAAAAAATTAATGGAAACGGATAAAAATTTAACTTTTGATGATGCTAGGTTAATTTATATTCAAAATGAATTGAATAAAAATGGTATTAATAATGATGGGTTACCTAATGATCCAAAATTAGTCACATTTTAACAAATTATGCAAATATACGTTTATGAGCTTAACTGGGATGATTTTCTCTGTTATAATTCCTCGAGCTTACTCCTGAAACCACATATTATAACCTTTTCTGCGACGCAATAGACCTTTTTTATCAAAGGGTAAGTGTGACAAAAATGTACCTTATTCGATATATGTTTTACACAAAGTCAAATTTACGAGATTGTAATTTTAATTTCATTTGTTTACATTTTGAATTTATCAAGTAACCAAAACTAAACCAAACTTCTTTTTCATAGTTGATCCACTAACTTCACTAAACGACCCCATTGACGATTGTATCATATGAGAATTTTCAAACGGCGGAATCCCAAAAAGCTTCAGCAAGATGATCAGGAGTTAAAAAAGTCAAATGAACAACATCAAGAACACGTTGAAGATGGCACTACTCGAGAGAAGTTAATTCAAGATGGCTATAGAATACCCTGTTTGAGTTGTCAATTCAGTACTGATTTAAAGATTAAAGACAAAAATCTTCCATCGTCAATTGAGTGGTCAACGATTTTGAAAGATTCCGTAATATTCACTTCCTATGATGAAATACTATTTGGCAACATTATAATCCTAATCTACAAATCCATAGATCTCAAAATATCAACTGTTTCAATAACAAAATATGGTGTCACCAATTATAAAAATTTAAAATTAAATCATCGATCAAGATTTTGGCCAAGTTGTGAAAATTTATTACCAAAATATAAAGATTCAAAAGTTCGAAGAGCTTTAGCTATAACTTTTTTAAAAAATTATAGTAAATTAATTAAAAATATAAATCCAAATTTAGCTAATTGGGATGAAACAACTGCTGGAAATTTAGCTAATAATGCTTCCATAATCAGCCGAATTAAACCATTTGAATTTTGTTTAAAATTATCTGAATTAGGTTTATTGACAGATCATTATATAAATTCTTTATTCATTGATGTACTTTATGATAACAATTCAAATGATGAGACCACCATTGATGAAAATAATAAATTAGCATTTTTATTAGGAGATCAATTGAACAATTTACTGGATTCTAATGTGGTCGATACACAAGTATCTTACAATCTCACAAATGAAAGATTATACTCATCTTTAGGAGAGCTAATAAGCCCAATTGCATCAAATTTGCCTGAAGAACTAAAGAAAGGTTGGATTGATAGAAAGTTGATAGCAATAAGAGAATTTAAAAATGTGAAGGAACTGGATCAAGAACTTATCTTGATATTTTCTGATTACTTGCTAATCTTATCAATGTTCAACAATACCAAAAAATTTATGAAGATGTCTATGCAGGAGATCTTGACTATTTCTTTCAATCGAAATGAAAGGTTACCTTCTGAATTTCCATTACTTCACGTAGTCCGCTGCGACAAGATTGAGCATGTAAATGTATCATCTTATAATTCTGCAATCAATTCAACCAAATCCACTTTTTTGGAAATTAGTTATAGAGATGGTACACTTGTGAATTATGAAGTGACCAATCAGTCCAATCTAATAATTCAAGAATCACTTGTGAAAGCAAAAATATTTCGAAAAACTTCATCATTTCATTTATTCAAATCTGATAGGAATCAACTTATCAGTAATTACTTTGTTGCTCATGATGATAATTCATACAATTTTGAAAAAATGAAATCTAATATTTTGATAACTTTGAACATGGAAAACAAATTAGATGTGCCTCAATATTTGCGGAACAATCCAAATTTAAATTTAATAATAAATTTATCTTTTATTGATGAAACACAAATTCAAGTTCAAGGGTATGACACTAATAGCAAACATCACATAAGTAATATTATACCAAAAATTCATTTAAATGATTTTATCTGCAACCTAATACGTAGAAGTCATGAGCAATGTACATCCAATGTTGATAGTTTACAAACTTTAGAAATGATCCGTCTGAATGAAAGGGTTTTAAGTTATTTGGTTGACGAGTTCAAAACTCAAGATCGAACTGAAGTTGGTGAAGTGGGTATTATTGATCCAACTGATAGCACCATTGGACTCAAAAAATTAAAATCAAAGACCAATTTGCACACACACATGAATGAGCCCGAAGATACTAAAGATCATATGAAAGTTGATATCGCTCAAGACATCAAGGTAAATGTTATTGAAAATACATTTATACCAAAGGGAACTGAAAATGAGTACATAGACATATTGAAACCAAGTCCAATATTGCAACCAAGCCTGCATGTAAAAAGCATTGATTTGCTTCATTCTCATCAACACCAACAACAAAATCAGGAGGCTCATCAACACCAACAACAAAAACAGGAGGCTCAACAGCCAGTCAACTCTCATGATAGTGGACGAAATAATCGAGCTCATTTCAACAAACAATCTAGATTTCAAGAAACTAAACAGCGTCAAGATTCAATCCCAAGAGGAAAATCAACAAATGATGAAGTAACCACGTCTAATTCGATATCAACAATTAAACGACTCGCAACAGTTGACGACCTATCAATTTTAACAAGAAACCAATCAAACATTACTCAATTAGATGAGATATATGAAGATGAAATTCCAAATTGGTCAATTTTAGAAACCAATTTACCAACTGAACAAATAATAAATGAAGATATCTTAAATTTAGAAGTTAAAAAATTATCAAATCAATTAAGTAATAAAAATATTAACCTAATAAGTTTTCAAAAAGATAATGATAAATCTGTACTGTATTTAACTGAAATAAGTTTAAATTCATCATCATCAACAAGAAATAGTTCGAATAATTCCAATTTTACTAAAGGTACAAATACAAATTCACTGATTTTTTCAAAAACAAATGTTGTTGGTTTACAAGATTCAAAAAATGAATATTTAAAAGATTATAATTTATTAAAATCATTTAAAAATGGAAATATAAAAAGAGAAACAACTTTACAACAAATTGCAAATTTCAGAGACTCGATAAATTTTAAAGAATTTGAAATTTAAAATAACATTAATTACTAGATACATACGTAGCCTAATTATTTTTTAGATTTTAAAATTTTTGTAACTGTTTCAGCAATAGCATCACCAACTTCCTTTGTAGTATTATCACCTTTTAAATCAGCAGTTCTTATACCCGAATCCAAAACTTGTTTAACTGCTTCATCTAAAGCTTGAGATTCTTCAATACAATCTAAACTTAATCTTAACATTAATGAAACTGATAAAATTGTAGCTATTGGATTTACTTTATTTTCAGGTAAATCTGGAGCTGATCCATGACATGGTTCATATAATCCAAATGCTTTATTGGTGTTTGGTAATGAAGCTAATGATGCTGATGGTAATAATCCTAAACTTCCTGGTATAACACTTGCTTCATCTGAAATAATATCTCCAAACATATTTGATGTAATTATAATACCATTTAATTTAGTTGGATTTTGAATTAATATCATTGCTGCACTATCAATTAATTGATGTTGAATATTTAAATTTGGAAACTCGGTGGTTATTGTTTCATCTACAGTTTTTCTCCATAATCTTGAACTTGCTAATACATTAGCTTTATCTAATGACCATATAGGTAATGGTGGATTATGTTGTAATGCCATAAATGCAGCCATTCTTGTAATTCTTTGTACTTCAGCAACGGTATATTTTTCAGTATCCCATGCTGTTTTACCATCATTACTTTCATTTTGTTCTTGTCTTTCTCCAAAATATATTCCACCAACTAATTCTCGAACAATAGTTAAATTTGTTCCCCTTACAATATCTGATCTAATTGGACTAAGCTCTAATAATGAATCACTTATAAAATTACATGGTCTAATATTAGCATATAAATTTAATTCTTTTCTAATTTTTAATAATCCTTGTTCTGGTCTTACTGATCCAGTACCCCATTTAGGTCCACCAACAGCACCTAATAAAACAGCATCTGAATTTTTTGCACTTTCAAGGGATTCTTGTGGTAATGGTTCACCAGTTGCATCAATTGCTGCTCCTCCTATCAAGTGATTTTTAAATTCAAATTTTATATTATGAAACGGAGTTGAATTTTCAATTGCTTTTAGTACTTTAATGGCTTCATTTGTAATTTCTGTACCAACATGATCACCTGGTAAAACAGTTATGGTTTTGATTATTTGTTCTGACATTGCTTATCGATTGTTGAAAAAAGGTTGGTGAATAAGTTGGTTGATTTAAAATTACTAATTCAACTAATTGTATGGAGAAAGTGAAAAAATAAAAAATCCGAATCCGGTTTGCTGAAACGGAAAAAATTATAATATTCATTTACAAAACTGAAAAAAAAAAAAAAAGAATCTAATTACACTTACACTATCAACGACTAATAATCATAAACAAAACTCAATTAATGACCACTCCATTCAATTGAATCCAAATCAATACCTTCTTGAACCATTTCCCATAATGGTGACATTTTTCTTAAAAATTCAACTCTTTCATTTAAAGCTTGAATAACATAATCAATTTCTGCATCTGTTGTAAATCTACCAATACCAAATCTTATTGAAGAATGAGCTAATGCATCATCAGCACCTAAAGCATGTAAAACATAAGAAGGTTCTAATGATGCTGAAGTACATGCTGATCCTGAACTTAATGCAATATCTTTTAAAGCCATTAATAAAGATTCTCCTTCAATATATGCAAATGATACATTTACACAACCAGGATATTGATATTTTGGATCGTGAGATCCATTAAGAATTGTAGAAGGAATTGATAATAAACCATCTTTTAATTTTTTAGATAATGCTCGGATATGTTTTGAATCATAAGCTCCTTCAGATTGCATCAATCTTGCAGCTTCTCCAAATCCTGCAATTAATGGTGGTGCTAAAGTTCCTGAACGTAACCCTCTTTCTTGTCCTCCACCAGTTATAATTGGATCTAATCTAACTCTTGGTCTTCTTCTTACATAACAAGCTCCAATACCTTTTGGACCATAAATTTTATGACTTGATATTGATAATAAATCAATTTTCATTTCATTTACATCTATGGGGATTTTACCATAAGCTTGAGCAGCATCAGTATGAAAAAAAATTTTATTTTTTCTACAAATTTCTCCAATTTCTTTTAAAGGTTGTATTACACCAATTTCATTATTTACTGCCATTACTGATACTAATACAGTATCTTTCCTTATTGATTTTTTTAAATCTTCTAAATTAATTAAACCTTCTGAATTTACAGGTAAATAAGTAACTTCAAACCCTTCATCTTGCATATGTCTTGCTGAATCTAATACACATTTATGTTCGGTTTGAGTAGTTATAATATGTTTCTTGGTGTTTTTATAGAAACGTGGTACACCCTTTATAGCCATATTATTAGTTTCTGTAGCACCACTTGTAAAAATAATTTCTTTTGGATCAGCATTTATTATTGAAGCAATATGTTCTCTTGCTTTTTCAACTTCTTTATCAGTTTCCCAACCATAAGCATGAGTTGAAGAATGAGGATTACCATAAAGACCAGTATAAAATTCTAACATTTTATCTAATACTCTTGGATCAACTGGAGTAGTTGCTTGAACATCTAAATATATTGGTCTTGAACCAAATTTAGAAGCATCTCTTGTTGCAGATTTGAGAGAAAGTGATGAACCTTCAGGTGGTTGAATTGGAGATTCTAATGGTGTTGAAACATGTATATTACCTGTTGATGTATTTAGAGTTGTTGTTGGTGTGGTATTAATTGTACTTGATGATGTATTTGATTTCTCTGTTGATGTTGATGGTGATGGAGTTGTACTTGTGGCAAAATGTTTCAATGATGTGATTAATGATGGTTTTGATTTCTGGATTTGCTTTACGGATCTAATCGATGAACCTTTTAATATATTACTATACATTGTTTTATTGATGACTTATCTGTTGAAATTTGTATGGATGACTTAATAAAAATCTGCTAAATGTTCGTTTCTAAAATGTATTGAATATACGAAATGTAAAATTAAGGAATAGTTGATTTAATTACTGAGTATTTAATAAATATTGTATCAGTAATATATTGACTGATGATGAAATAGATAAGTTTAATGACTATAAAATTAAATTTGATTCTTTTGATTGATTAGTAACATAAAAAAAGAATCTTTTTTCTTAGGTAAGGCTCCCATCATTTTATGAGACACACTTATTAAATGACAAGAGATTTTTACTATGTAGTTACGGATGTATAGTATTCAGTTGTCTCAGAAAGACGGAGTTATTGCTATTGTTTGTTTGATGGAACGAAGTTAAATATCAGAGTCGAAAGAAACTAAATGTTAGGATTTGATTGTCGAACAAACATACAATAGTAAGAAATATTTCACTCAAAGGTATTTATGAAAAAAGCTTTGTACAATTTAATATCATGCATCTCGACTTCACTTACTTCATTCGCATTCGCTTTGCATTAGTTTTTTGTCTCACATAGTTATAGAATTTGGTATCAAAACCATACAAATTGTGTAAAAAGTAGCAAGAGGAAGTTTGTACAAAAGTCTACTACATAAAATCATTGCACCATCAATCAATATGTTAATGACGACCACCGTAACAGATTTATACACTCCCACAACTTTATAATTGCAATTCATCCTTGAAATTTGGTTTTGAGAATTTGAAATTGTAACCGAATGAATTTAAACTCCTAAAGCTAATGCAGCTACCAAATTTAAACTTGATACAATCAACAAGTTGTGGAACCCTAACCTAAAGATAAAAATAGACTTCAAATCGTGTGAGGGGTTGTTTTCCAATTGTTCAGTTCGGGCTTTGATCTTTCATTTCAGAAGATTTAATGTTTCAGGAAAGAAACTCTAAGCTAGAGTATGCGGGATTTATATTCAAAGTTCTTCTATAGTTCTAAAGCTAACGTAAAATCTGAGTTGTAATACCGAACAAATTTTGAATAGGAATTCGTCCTAATGGTGTGGTTGAAACAAGGGTCTTACTCTTGTTATTATATTTATGAGAAACTAGATTAATTCTAGGTCGGTCTTAAAAAAAAGCGTTTTATTCATTCGGTTGTTGTTGTACTGTGTTACTGAATTATGCATAATAAAACCGTTAGAATAATTTAACCGCTTAAACTAAAATTGTTCAAAGATCCAGATCTCAACCCCACTTTCCAAAATGAACTACCATAACCTCAAGGAACAACCCCAACAGAGTACTGAAGATTACTATTTAAATAATCGCAACCATCCTTCAACTTAATCCCTTTTTAGATTAATTTCTACAACCCAAACCCAACTATGTCCATTAAATTACCTTCAATAACAGATTCAGATTTTGAATCAATTTATGCATTAGATGAAAAAGATTATATTTTTAATCCAAATAATGATATACCAATAGAATCATTAATTAATTATAATTTACCAATCCCACAAGAATATAGTGGTCATTCAATAAAAATTCCAGGAACTTCAAAACCAGGATATTCTGAAATTTATAGAAATGCAAGTTTACCAAATAATTTAAAAAATTTTATTGTTCCAGAATTAAATACTTATCATGCTTTGATTAAATCATCAGTTGAAAGACATGGTGATTCATCTTGTTTGGCTTATCATGAATATGATTATGAGAATGATTTACATTTAGAAAGATATAATTCATTAACTTATAATGAAGTAAATAATAAAAAAATTAATTTTGCATCTGGTTTATTCTTTTTAATAAATTCAAATCCTTTCAAGAATTTAGAATTAGAATCTCATTTAAAAATTATAAATCATGAAAGAGATTATCAAAATTATAATGAAAATAATATGTCATTTATTGTTACATTTTATTCAGGTAATAGAATTGAATGGATTATATCAGATTTAGCATGTTCTTCAAATTCTTTAACATCTACTGCATTATATGATACATTAGGTGAATCATCATCAAAATATATTTTAGAAATTACTCAATCTCCAATAATTATATGTTCAAGAAATAAAATTGAAAAATTAATCGAATTAAAAAAACAATATCCAAAAGAATTAGAATCTTTAATTATGATTATTTCAATGGATCCATTGAATAAAAAGGCATCTTCACTAACCAAACTAGCAGAAGAAAATAATATAAAATTATATGATTTTATTCAAGTTGAAAAAATTGGTGAAATTTTTCCCCATACTGAAACATTACCAAAACCTGAAACAACATATACATTAACTTTTACATCAGGTACTACATCAAACCCAAAGGGAGTAGTATTACCTCATAGAACAATAGTAGCAGCATGTTTATCATTTGCTTATTTAATGCCTCATCATAATAAAATGAAAGAATTTGCTTTTTTACCATTAGCTCATATATTTGAAAGACATATGTCAGCATCAGTATTAACATTTGGTGGAGAAGTTGCATTTCCAAGATTAGGTGGTTCAGCAATAACTTTATTTCAAGATTTAAAATTATACAAACCAACTTTTTTAGCTTGTGTTCCTAGAATTTTTAGTAAAATTGAATCACTAATTAAAAATGCTACTATTGATTCAAATTCAACATTTAATAGAATTACATATTCACAAGCTTTTGAAACTAAAAGAATAAAACAATTAGAAGATGGAAATAAAGGAAATCATTTTATATATGATACAATATTAATCAAGAGATTAAGATCATTAATTGGATTTGATAATATGGAAGTATGTTTTACAGGAGGTGCTCCAATAAGTGGAGAAACTATAAAATTTTTAAGATCAAGTTTAGGTATTGGATTTACTCAAGGTTATGGATCAAGTGAATCATTTGCTGGAATGTTAATGGCATTACCATTACAATATTCAAGTATTGGTACATGTGGAGCCATAGCTCCTACAGTTGAAGCAAGAATACGTGAAATTCCAGAAATGGGATATTATTTAAATGATAAAGGAGGACCTCGTGGTGAATTACAATTAAGAGGTCCTCAAATGTTTAGTCACTACTACAAGAATCCAGAAGAAACTTCAAAATCTATTGATTCAGAAGGTTGGTTTTCAACTGGTGATGTTATACAAATTACAAATGAAGGTTGGTTTATAATATTTGATAGAGTTAAAAATTTTTATAAATTATCTCAAGGTGAATATGTTACACCTGAAAAAATTGAAAATTTATATTTGACTTCAAATTCAATTATAACTCAAGTTTTTGCACATGGAGATTTTAATCAATCATATTTAGTGGGGGTAATAGGTATTGATCCATTATCAATAAAGACATTTTTAACAAGTAAATGTAATATTCAACCAGATCAAATTTCAACAAATCAAGATTTATTGGAAGTGGTAAATAAAAGAGAAATTAAAACTTCAATCTTATTATATTTAAATACAAATGTAGGATCAAAATTAAATGGATTTGAAAAAATTCAAAATATTTATTTAGAAATTGATCCATTAACTTTAGATCGTAATGTTATTACTCCTACTTCAAAATTAAAAAGATCTATAGCTTCAAATTTTTTTAAAAATCAAATTGATATGATGTATAAAGAAGGTTCTATTATTAAAGATTTAAAATTATAGATTAAATAGGAAATGGATAAAGCCAATTCAATTAGAAACTCTGAAACTTGTTTTGATTTCAACTTTGTCTCTAAATTGTTTCATGCGACATAACAGAACATTGGTAGCACCAAATACATAGATTCTGAAAAAATATTGAATTTAAACCTTCATCATCATTCCATCAGCCAGATCAATAAACCACCATAAACTCTCGACCATTTTGAAAAGATGGTATGTATTGATTCAATATGTTCTGCTTATCTTATTACTTACTAATTGATACTAACTATACTCTCCTAGACCACACCAATTAATACGAAAGTCACAACAAAAGATATTAATGGATTATCATTAATAGCAGCTCATTCCCACATATCAGGTTTGGGGTTAGATGATAATTTACAACCAAAAGAAAATTCCCAGGGGATGGTTGGTCAATTACAAGCAAGAAAAGCAGCAGGAATTGTATTAAAAATGGTTCAATTAGGTAAAATTGCAGGAAGAGCAGTATTATTTGCTGGACCTCCATCAACTGGAAAAACTGCAATTGCAATGGGATTATCACAAAGTTTAGGTAATGATATACCTTTTACCGCAATAGCTGCATCTGAAATATATAGTTTAGAATTATCAAAAACTGAAGCTTTAACTCAAGCTTTTAGAAAATCTATAGGTATAAGAATTAAAGAAGAAACTGAAATTATTGAAGGAGAAGTTGTTGAAATTCAAATTGATAGATCTATTACAGGAGGTCATAAACAAGGAAAATTAACTATAAAGACAACAGATATGGAAACTATATATGAATTAGGTAATAAAATGATTGAAGGATTAACAAAAGAAAAAATTTTAGCTGGAGATGTTATATCTATTGATAAATCAAGTGGTAAAATAACAAAATTAGGTAAATCATTTACAAGAGCAAGAGATTATGATGCAATGGGACCAGAAACTAAATTTATTCAATGTCCAGAAGGTGAATTACAAAAAAGAAAAGAAGTAGTACATACTGTTTCATTACATGAAATTGATGTTATAAATTCAAGACAACAAGGATTTTTAGCATTATTTTCTGGAGATACTGGAGAAATTAGATCTGAAGTTCGAGATCAAATAAATACAAAAGTTGCAGAATGGAAAGAAGAAGGTAAAGCAGAAATTATTCCTGGAGTTTTATTTATTGATGAAGTTCATATGTTAGATATTGAATGTTTTTCATTTATAAATAGAGCTTTAGAAGATGACTTTTCTCCAATTGTTATAATGGCAACAAATAGAGGTATAAGTAAAACAAGAGGTACAGATTATAAATCTCCTCATGGTATGCCAATAGATTTATTAGATAGATCAATTATAATACATACAACAAATTATAATAGTGATGAAATTAGAACAATATTATCAATAAGAGCAAATGAAGAAGAAGTTGATTTAAGTAATGATGCCTTGGCGTTGTTAACAAAAATTGGTCAAGAAACAAGTTTAAGATATTCAAGTAATTTGATATCAGTTGCTCAACAAATTTCTTTAAAAAAGAGACAAAATGAAGTTGAATTACAAGATATAAAAAGAGCATATATGTTATTTTTAGATTCTGATAGATCTGTTTCTTATTTAGAAAAAAATAAATCTCAATATATTGATGATAAAGGTAATGTTACAATAGGTAATACTCAGGAGAGTAATACAGATAAAATTGAAGATGAATCAAAAAGAGAAGAACAATCAAAAGTAGAAACAAAGAATGGGGATGATATGGAAATCAGTTGAAGTTTGTAGATATGTAATATAATAAAAGAATCAAAAAGATAATAGTAAATAAACTTAGCTTTTTATATAAATTATAAATCGTTATATATTTTATCCACTTCCTTTAGTATTCAATATTAATGCAATAATCATACCATATAATCCTAAAACTTCAGCAAAAATTAAAATCAAAACAATTCCAACAAATAATCTAGGTTGATGCATAAATCGTCTAACACCTTCATCACCAACTATTCCAATTGCATAACCAGAAGCTAAACAAGCAAACCCCACAGCTAACCCACAAGATAAGTGCATAAACCCATTAAATAAACTATAATTTTCAGTAGGTGATAAACCACCAGCAATTAAAACAGCAACAACTAATCCATATACAGATAATATACCAGACATTACAACAGGAATTAATGATTTCATAATTAATTCTGGTTTAAATGTACCAATACCTGCTATACCAATACCTGATTTTGCTGTTCCTATTGCTGCTCCAGTACATGATAATATCATTGCTGCTGCACATCCTCCAAATCCTAAGAATGGTGCAAATGATGGATAAAATTCATCCCCTAAAGTCTCCGACATATTGCTGTAAATTCAATAAAAGATCTATAGGTGAGAATGGTAGATAAGATGGTTGTTTAATTGATTATTGGTACTAGAAGATCTCTCTATATGAAGTAGAAAATAGATTTGAACATAATCTGAAGAAATGGTAACTACCAATTGAACAAACCAACTCTTTTTAGCTAAAAACCGCTTAATAACAACAACATAAGTTTAATATATTATAAACTATAAACACTAATGAAAACAAGCAAACACCATACACTTCTTAAATGAATTCAACATTTGATGTACAAGATGATTATGAAAAAGTTAGAATATCAAAAAAGGAATTGAAATTCCTATATAATAATATATTAAATTCAACAATAACAAAATTAGATTTACATTTACCAACAACAAAAGAAGATCCATTAAAAACCAAGATATATTTAGATATTGAAAATTATTTATTAAAATCTTTTCAAAATTTATTAAAAAGTTTACTTATAGATGGAGAAGATTTAAGTAATGAAGATATTATTACAATTTTAAAAGTTGATGATAATGATACAAATGTTGAACCATTTGATTATAATATAAATGATCAATTAAGAACAATATTAAATGAATATGATAATTTGGTATTAGATTTGGGAGAACTAAAGAGAACATTACCTAAAAGAGCTCAAGATAAATATTTTAAATTAGTTTCTAAAATTGATGAAGAAGTTAGTGAAACTATAAATAATATAAATAAAGAAGTTGAAGAAGCTAAGTTAAAACAAGAAGGCGATAAAGAATTTGTTGAAATTAATTTTAATGAATTTAATAAAGAATATTATGATTATTTATTAAGATTTGATCAAATTAATTCAAAATTACCAAATTTAAAAATGGAATTTGATAGATTTAATAAAGCTATTGAATTTTTAGAAAAAAATTCATCTTTATGATACTGGTGTATAGAGAATTGGTATAATGAGTTATGAATAATGAAATTTAATGAATACTAAACACGTCAAATTTAAAATATAGGGGAGTACAATGATATTTCAATTCTTTCTTTGATCTCTTCTTATGAATCAATTGTAGTAGCTGAGCATTTTACAAATTTATGAATTAAAAGCTATGAATTGATGAATTCTTTGCGAGGTTCCTGGGAAATGAATAAAAGCTCGTCTGACTCAATATCAACGAACCGTCTAGTAGTATGTAAAGTGTTTTGATTTATTGATAAGATTGTGTGAAAATTTGAAAATTTGGTTTTGTTTACATTTTTTCCAATTTAGGATTTTTATTTATCAAAACATAAATTTACATAAAGAAAGAATGTTAGGCTTAATCGAAAGATATTACACCAATTATTGAAGACTACTGCATTACTGAATCAAATATACAACACACACAACCCACATGAAATAACAAGAATGTCACTGTACAACTTTTATTCTGAAAAGAATAAAAATAATATACTACAACCAACAAATAGATTAAATTCATCACCTTTTAAAACTAATAATTCAAAATATAATGATCAAGATTTAGATGAATTAGCAAGAGAATTGGAATTATCACCAAGTAAAAAAACAAATCATACTACTGCATCATTGAAAACAATGTTTGGTTCCCCATCTGTAACAGTTTCATCATTTAAATCAACTTCACTTTCTAATAAGTATAACAACGATGAAGTTGATGAAACACCAAGTTGGGCCAAAAAAAATTATAGAGATGTTTTAAATAAATCACCTATCAAGAAAACAATTCCTCAAAATAATTTATTGAATACGCCAATATCAACTAACAAAAATAATAACTACATTACAAATTCTCCAAATAAAAATGCATCTATTGAATCATCAGGTTATGAATATTTATGTCGTATTCAAGCTATAAAAGAATGGTTAGAAATAATAATAAATGAAAATATACCACAATCCCCCATGGAATTAATAACATATATGAAAAATGGGATATATCTTGCAAAATTATCCAATTGTATATTACCAATTAAAAAACAAGTTTATATGAATGATAACAAATTACAATTTAAACATACAGAAAATATTAATAGATTTTTTCAATTGTTGGATTTTTTAAATGTTCCTGATTTATTTAGATTTGAATTAACTGATTTATATGATTCAAAAAATGTTCCAAAAGTTTGGTTTTGTTTACATTCAATTTGTTATATTTTACATAGAAATGATTCAAATTATCCAATTATTGAAGATTTAACTAAAAAGCAATTGAAATTTTCTGAAGATGATATTATTTTCGCAAATAGACTGTTGATTAATTCTCCATTACCTAATTTTTCAAGTGCTGATTCAACTGATGCAAATGATGAACCAAAATATATGAATAAAATTATCTCACCAATTAAATCAAAACCAATTGAGAAAAAACCTAATCCATTTTTGGAGGAGAAGAGAACCGTTTCAAAAATCGATCCCAAAAAAGAAGAACCAACAAGAGAAAATAAAGAAGTTCCTTCAAGACCAAAAACTTCATATGATATCAACTTAGATGATAAAGATGTAGACATTATCAAATTACAATCATTATCAAGAGGTGCAAATCTTAGATATTCAATGTTTGTTAAAAAAATTATGCTTAAATCATATGAAGATGATTTAACTTATTTTTGGTCAATAATTAGAGGTAATTTTATTAGATCAAAAACAACTCATAAACATAGAGATGAATTAAGAGGTTTTACTTTTGAAATTATTGAATTACAGTCAATTATTAGAAAAAAATTGGTATCAGTTAATAAACCACATTTACTGGAAAATCAAATTATAAAATTTCAAAGTATATGTAGAGGTAAAAAAATAAGAGAATCGTTTTTAAATATTAAACAACTGATTGAAATAAATCAATCTATTGTAATTGGTTTGCAATCTGTAATTAGAATGAATCTTGTTAACAAGATTGTAAAAGTATTGATTTCAAAACAAAATATAATAATGGAACCAACTATTCAACTTCAGTCAATTTGTCGTACCAAACTAAGCAAGAAATTCTCAAAAACTCAATTTGTTAATCTTGAAAAATTAATTGAATTACAATCAATGATAAGAAGAGATTTAGTAATACATAATATAAATTATAAACATCATATTGTTAGATCTAACAAGAGAAAAATTACAGAATTACAAAGTATAGCAAGAGGTGGTATATCAAGATCAAGATTATGTAATAATGTTTTAATAAATTTAATTCATGAAGATGATATTTTAAATCAATTATATTCTATTGTTAGAGGTAATAAAATTAGAAAAAATATTTATCATATAAAATCTGAATTAAATGAATTTGAAAAAAAATCAATAATACCTGTTCAATCATTGTTTAGAGGAGTTTTAAGCAGATTTAATAAAGAAATTTTAAAAGATGATGCATACAATTATGTAAACGAATTTATCATATTACAATCTAAAATAAGAGGAAATAAAATCAGAGTTGAATTCAACACAATAGATCAATATTACAAACAAAATGTTGAATATGTCATAAAAGCACAAGCTATAATAAGAAGAAGTTTAGCTCAAAATGATTATCAATCATTATTATTAAGTAATAATGCATCATTAAAAATATTAAGAAAATTTGCACATTTATTATCTCAAAATGATTTTGATTTTCAAGAAGAAATAAAATTATCAAAAGATAAAGAAATTATAATTGAAAAATCTAAAAATAATGAAAATTTAGAAACTTCAATTGAAAATATAGATTTAAAATTAGGATTATTAGAAAAGAATAAAATTACAATTGAAGAATTTTCAAATCAAAAGACTTCTTCATTTAGACGTTCTACTCATCAAGCTACTGATCTAAGACAATTGGATAGATTAAATAAATCTTCAAGAGAAAGAATTGAGTTATATCAATCATTATTTTATATATTACAAACAAAACCAATTTATATTTCAAATTTATTTAAATCATTAGATCATTCAGTAAAAGATACAAAATCTCATCAATTATTACTTGAAGATTTAATGAGTTTATTTCCAATTTCAAATTCTTCAATAAATCATCATAGTAGAGAAGAATATTTTTTAATGAAATTAATTATAACAATAATGGAAAATGATATAAAACAATTAAATAATATTAGTGATATAACAAAACAACAATTTACATTTTGGAATGAATTTTTATCAAATTTTAATAATCATTCTTATCAAAGACAACATTTAAAATTATTATTTGGAAAATTTGTTAATAAAATTATCGATGATGATGAATTAGATTTTGAAAGTGATCCATTATTAATTCATTCAGATATAATAACAAAAGAAATTAGAATTCATGGACATAGCACCAACAACCGAAAATTATCACCTCAAGAAGCTATTAAATTACCTGAAGTATCATCTCAATTTGTATCTAATTTAATGAGCTTACGAGAACATTGTTCAGCTACTATAACTTTAATTGATCAAATTAAAAATAGAATTCCAATACATATAAAATTAATTTGTAAAACAGCATATTTATTATCACATTCTTATTTTCCCAACAAGAATGAAATTCAACATTTAGCTGTTGCTGGGGTTTGTTTTTGGAAACATTATTTTGGAGCTATATTACAATTACCTCAAAATTATGGTTTTACTAAGAAATTATCAATGAAAGATCAAAGTAATTTAAGATATTTAAATAGAGTTATGTTACAAGTTTTCAGTAGGAAACCATTTAATGATAATTTTTTAAAACCTTTAAATGAATATATTACATCTACAACTGATCAAATTACAAATATTATAACTAGTTTAATTTCAATAGATGGAGATATTGATAATATTTATAAATTAAATGAATTTGATGATATTATAAATACTGAAAAACCAAAGTTAACAATGAAAATTAATTCAATGATATCTTTAGAAAATATAATTTCAACAAATATTAATATGATGTCAAATGGTAATGATGAATTAAATAATATTATAAATGAATTAGATAAATTAATAAATTCACCAAATGATTTAATTGCTTTAACTGATTTATCATCAATAACTTTGTACTTAAATCCAATTGATAAAACTGAATCATTATCAAATTCAAAAACAGATATTTTATTTACACAAGCTAAAAGATGCTTGTTGTATATAATTAGAGTTCAAGATGAAGGAGAAGATTTATTAGAATTATTAATTTCAGGAATAACTTCAAAACATGAACAAACATTTCAAAAAATTATAGAACAAGAACGATTTGAAGACAACAACAATTCAAAACCATATTTTCAAACATCAGTTGGAGATTTAAACACAATGACATATCATGATTTAAAAAAAATGTGTTTAGAAATTATATTAAAATTAGAAATAATGGGAGAAGTTACTAGAAAAAATTCATTTCAAGATTTATTAAATCAAATAGTATTTGATATAAAACAAAAAGATAAACAAAGAATCAAGAGAAAAGAACAAATTGAAATATCTAATCAAGTTATCAAGAAATTGAATGATAAAGAAAAATTTTTAACTAAGCAGTTGTCAGAATATAATAATCATGTTGATAAAATTTTAAAAAATTCACAATTAAAACCAAAAGATAAAAAAATTTTAAAAATCATACCTGTTTTCAGTAAACAATATTTTTATCATAGAGAATTAAGGAAAAAAAATAGATTCCCAGAATTTGGATCATACAAGCTTAATATAAAAAAATTAAAAGAAATGAAAATATTGATTAAAAATTCATTTAGTAATGAATCCAAACTCGAGTTTATTTTTAGTTGTTATGAAATTGGAAATTTTACAATTGAAATTACAAAAAATTCTATAGTTTTAAATGGTTGTTCTCAAATTTTAACTATTGATGATTTATTAAATTTACAATATGAAAATAATTCAAAATTAACAATGTTTAATGGTAATATTATTTTTGATTCTAATTTTTTAATTGGGTTTATATTTGAAAAATTTTATGAATTAAAAAAATAACTTAGCATAATATACAATCTTTAAGATCTATTAAGTAATTTTTCAATTTTTTCTTCTAATGATTTTAATCTTTCATCTTTTTCTAATCCTGATTCTGTTAATTTTGTAACTTGTGATTCTAATTTTATAACAAGATTTGATAATTTTTCAATTGTTGAACCTAATGTTGGTTTAGTGGTTGTTGATGTATTAGTTGATGGTGATGATTCTTCTTTACTGGTAGATTGGGTCTTGGAGTCTAATGGTTTTATTGCTTCTTTACTTATTTGTTCAATTTGTACTGGTTCTGAGATCTCCGTTGGTGTATCTTTTTCTTTTGGTTTTTGTTCTTTAGATTCAACTGTTTTTGGTTCAGTTTTCTTTATTGGATCATCTTTTTTCAGTTCAACCTTTTCCTTTTTTGGTTCTTCTAATTTTGGCTCATCTTTTGTCTTTTTTGATTCTTCCAGTTTTGGTTCATCTTTTTTACTCTCTGAAGATGAAACTGATTTTATATCAGATTTTTTAACTTCTTCCCAATCTTCTTCTTTATCATCTAAATCAATTTGATCATCTTCATCATCTGATTGATCTACTACTTTATTCAACAAATTACCAATTTCATTAGATGATTTTAATACATCATCTACATTTTTTGGTTCTTCTTTTACTGGTTCTGGCTTTTTGGTTGCTTCTGTCTTAGTTGACTTTGATATTTCAGTCTTTTCCTTCTGTTTAGCTTCTTGTTTTTCTTTTTGATCTTTTTCTTTAGCTTCAGATACTTTAGTCACTGGTTTACTATTTTTTAATTCTGGTTTTTTACCTTCAAATAATGATTCCATAGTCATTAAAATTGGTCCATTTACTTCTTTTCCTTCAAACCATTCATCAGCACTTAAAGCAGGTTCAGATGATGGACAATCAGGATATATATCACTTTGAAATAATTCAGATCTTCTTGGAACAAAAAAGCTTATGGGTTCAATTGAATTATCTAAAACAGTTTTAAAACTTTTAACAACTTCATTTTCTTTTACATTAACTTTATTTTTGGGGGTTACTGCAAAACCTCTTTGTGGATCAGTTGATGCATATTGTGATAATTCATATAATAAATCATTTTCATATTCATAATATCTAATATTACCATCACCTTTTCCAGCAATATATAAAATTGAAGTATCTTCATCAAAATATGGAATTAATACTCCAGATGAAGCATCAACCACCAAGAAGCCATCAATTGGACCTTTTTCAATATTATTTATATCCCATATACCAACTTGACGATCAGACAACCTAGAGAACCCAGTTGTAATTATTCTATCAGTATTACCCAACCAAGAAACTCTTGAAGGTTTTGCTCCTGTATGACCTGAACCTTCTGAAATGATTTCACCTTTTCTTACATCCCAAACTCTTAATTTTTTATCTCTTGAAGTGGTGGCTAATAATGAACCATTATAATTAAAAGCAAAAGAAGTAACTAAATCTTTATGTTTTAAAGATATTTCATCTTTACCAGTCTTAGTATTCCAAATTTTAACTGAATAATCTAATGAGCTTGAAGCTAAAACATTTTCAGCACATGGATGATAACTAATTAATCCAACTTTTTTTGAATGTCCTTCCAAAATCTTGGTTGGTTCTGTTATATCTTTAACTTCATCTTCTTCATTTAAGTAGCTATGAAATGAATAATCATCAGGTATAGTCCAAATTAAGATTTTACCATCATCAGAACAACTAGCAACTTCTTGTTCATTAAATGGATTAAAAGCAGTGTCTAAAACAGGTCCTTTATGACCTCTAAATAATGAAACAGTATCTGGAGCTTTTCCAACTTCTTCAATTGGTATAATTGCAAATGCTCCTCCACCTGATGCATCCCAATTAACTGAAATGTATTTACCATTAGTTTGAATAATATTTGAATCCCATGCATTTTTAGTTATTTTTAAATTTTCGTAACATAATTCCTTTTTTGAAGGTTGTCCATAAACATGACGATATTTTGATGCTCTTACAAATTTTCCACTGATTACATAGTTAGTATCAAAAATTATCAAATCAATTGAGTAAGTCTAACGTACCTCATAGCTGTTGCTAGTCAAATATATTATTGTTTGAAATATTATAATTTGTTTAGGTTATTTAAAATTCCGATAAACATTGTGTGAGTTAATAAATTTATTGTTCAATTTCTCGCGATCTTTTTGATTGCAAATTCCGAATCTTACTTTTCGATAACAAAGACCATCTTTTGAGCAACATTATTGGAACAAGACAATTTGGCAAGAAGATTGAGCCTGTAAAAAGTCAAGAGATTATGCGCACGTTGAGTTTGCTCTTCTACATGGGATAACCTGAAATTTCCTCAATTTTTTCATTAGTATTTCAAAGAAGTACTTCTTTCACTTGCAACATTTTCGTAAACACTAGTGATTAAATAACCTATCTGATACAAGAGCTTATCTATCAATATGTAGATCAGAGCGATTTGAGTTGTACCTTGGTAAATCTACTTGTAATTCTTACACCTTGATCGATATTCAAAATAACAAGCACTACCAATTACAGATCTTGATTTGAAATATTTCTAAAGCATCACCATATTAATATATTATTAATTCAAAATAACTTTATCATATAAACACTAACCACTCACATCATGTTTCAAACTTCTAGATACCTAAAGTCTGGAATGACTCAAAGACTATCACAAACCATAATACGAAGGTCTCCCTATTCAACAAATACAATGGGAGATTATGAAAATAAAATATATAATATTTTAGAAAAAGAATTTGATCCTACAAATTTAAAAGTTCAAGATGTAAGTGGTGGATGTGGTTCAATGTTTGCTATATTTGTAGAAAGTAATAAATTTAAGGGTTTACCTATGATAAAACAACATAGATTAGTTAATGATATATTAAAGGATGAAATTAAAAAATGGCATGGTTTACAATTAAAAACTAGATCTAGTTGAGTTTCGAAATGAGAGAAAAGTACATTTTAGAATAAAATATTAATCTGTTAATAGTCACTGTGTACTTAAAATGCATTATTTATTATTTATAGAATCTTCTATTCAACAATTTCTTCTTTTTCTTCAATAATTTCTTCTTTAATTTCTTCTATAATTTCAGCTTGAACATCATTAGTTTTAGTTTTTTTACCAACATGTTTAGCTCTATATGCTCTCCAATCTTCTAATGCTTTTCTTCTAGCTAATATAGCTTCTTTAACTGCAGCATCAGCTTCCATTGCATCAATTTCTTCAAATTGTGCTGAATATTCTCTAAGATTACTACGAACTTTCTTTTTATCATTATTTGTTAATAATGATTCAGGTCTTGGTCTCCATATAAAATCATTAAATTGATCAATTGATTCATCTCTTAATAAATTTCCTGTAAATTCATATAATCTATAACCATTTTCAATAGCATGTAACCAAGCTGATGACCATGCTGTTACAAATCTTCCTGAAGGATCCCATGATATATTAGTCATACCTGAATATTTATCAGTTTTTAATAATTTAACATTTGTTGAACTTGTCTTTTTTGAAGAATCATCTTCAAATGACACATCAAAAAATTCAATTTCTCCTGATGATCTTGAAATTGTTGCAACAACAACATATCTACCTTTTGGTGACCAAATTACAGTATTTGAATGTTTATTTTCAAATTTTTTATAAGGTTTATATTTAGTACTTGCATTTTTTCCCTTTGTTGTTTCTGGTGAATAAAATGTTATAGTATTTTTAGGAATAGCAGGATTTGGATTACCATCATCTAATCTACTTATTGTTATAAATCTTTCACTTTTTGGTTCCCATGCAAAATTTACAATAACATCTTTTAATTCTAATTTTTCAACTGGTATATCTTTTTCACTAACTTTAAAAAAATCAAGATTTGAAAAAATTGTTTTACCTGATTTTGTATGTCTATCAACTTTAATACATAATAATTTCCCTTCACTTTGCCAATGCATTTTACAATCACTAACTTGAAATAAATTAACTGTACGTAATACTTGTCTACTTGGAATTTGCATTATAGCAACTCTTGCAGTTTGATTTGTACTTTCAGGAGTCCAATATGATAAAATATGATCTCCTTCATCATTTTTATTATTGTGTAATTTAACTTCTGCTGGTGACCATTCAAAATCTTGAATACCATCAATTTTAACTAATTTTTTATCTAATAATTGAAAACTTGGAGTTTCATAAATTGCTAAAGCATCTGGACCTTGACGAGCACAATATTTATCATCATATGACCATTTAACTAATGGCCATGGCATTTCTTTTTGATTTTCTAAATGTGGTGGTAATGCAAAAGTTCTAACAGGTTCACCAGTTATCATATCCCATATAACTAATTTATGACCTTCACTTTCTGGACCAAATGGGAATTGTTGTCTTTCAATTGCTGAATCAGGTAATGATATAGGAACTGGTGATAAGGTAACCATATATTTTTCATTTGGAGAAAAATCAATTAATCTTACTTGATTGTGATAAAATCTTTTTATACTATGTAAATCTTCTCCACCCCAAGATTGAATACCTTGAGGATGAATTGAAAATAAATAAGTACCCTTGGGTGAAAATCTTGCATATTTTGAAGTAAAACCTTTTCTTGGATCAACAACTGGTTCAGGTTCATTTGATTTTTTATTCCAATAAATTCCAACAGTATCATTAAAATGTAATATTATTTGATCTCTACCTTGATCATCTTGTAACCAATTATGTAAATAACCATGAGATTTAAAAGGTTCAATTTTAGGTTCTTGATATTCATTACTTATATTACCAAATTTTTCAATATCTGATAATTTATTAACTAATAATCTATGATTTTGATCTAATTTTTTTCCATGTAATTTTTTAATAGCTAAATCTGCTTCTTCATTAGTTTTATATTGAATGAATAAAAATCCTTTTGATTTACCATTTTCTAATGGCATGTGGATACCTTCATCTCCTTCGACTATTTCACCAGCACTGCTGAATAATTTTTTAAGGACTTTCAATAAAACAGGAACTTTTGATTCTGGTGCTATTGGTGCTCCATCGACGATGATATAATTGTCTAATCCAAAATCTGCATCGTATTTTTCTTCTAAATCTGAAAAATCAATATCGTCTAAATTGACTTCTTCTTCAAGTTGTAGGTAGTCTTCCTCGTTAATAGACATGGTGGGGAGATTGGATAGGACTTTGGAGGAGTTTTGGATCTAAGTTGAAAAATTTTATGAAAAAAAAAATAAACATAATAGCGAGAGGTAGTGTAAAAATTACATTATTGAAACACACCAAAATTTACTACTTATATCAATAGAGTAGACTATTTTCTAGCTATTTCATCTTCTAGCTCTCTAAACTTCTTTTGAGCTTCACTATCTTCAAAAATTCTTCTTTCTCTTTCAGATTTCCATCTTCTTCTTATATCATTAAATCTTAATTCAGTTATTGAATCGTTACCAATATTTCCTTCTTTTTTTAATTCTTCAATTTCTTTAATTAATTTTGAATTTTTCTCAATTAATGCTAAATTTTGTCTTTTTATAATTTGTTCATTTTCATTTAATAATAATTTAACATGATTATTTATAATCATATCAGTAGCTCTTACAAAATAATTAAAAATAGACAGATGATTTTCTCTTATAAATGTAATATCTTTTTCATTACTTATTTCAAAATTTGATAATTTTCTCATTATTCTTTCATATTTTTTTGTTGGATTTAATATTGATTCATCTTCTGCAATTTTATTAAAAGATTTTAATAATTTTGAAAATTCATTCATATCAAATGTAATTAAATCTTTGTATTGAAATTCTATAATTGATAATTTCTTTATGGTATCTTGATTATTGTTTGAAAAATCAATAAATTCTGTTAATTTTTGAATTTTTGATTTTAATGATTCATTATCTTTTTGTAGGGATTCATTTTTATATGAAGTTTGAATTTTTTCTGAATGATTTTTTCTTTGAAGGTTGATAGCTTGTTCGAGATCAAGTTGTAATTTGTTTATAGTTGTTTGTTGTGTTTTTATTTCAGATAGTTTGTTATCTTCTGTTTGTTTTAATAGCGAGTAAGAATCTTGTGTAGCATTTAATTCTTCTAGAATTTTTGAATATGCATTTTGTAAATCTAGATATTCTGTCATTAGAGTCAGTTCTTGTAATTTGAGGCTTTTTAGTTCTTGCACTATATTTTGGTTTTCTTTTTCGAGAGAGGTTATAATTAGTAGATGATCTTGAGATAGTTTGGTTTCGTTAGATTCAGATTTGTCATTATTATCTTTAGCAGCTAGTTTTGAATTTAGCTCATGGACTTTGTTAGTTTGATTTTGAAGTTGTATGGTTAGTTCTTCATTGTTAGCCAATGCTTGTTTAAGTTCACGATCTGAGTTTGAATTATTTCTTAAAGTGGTTTGCAGGTCATCAATTTCTTTTTGTTTTAATTTTTCTAACAGTTCAGTCTCTTTAATTAATTTTGATCTAAGTGCAGATATCTCCATATCTTTGATGTTTAGTATTTCAAGAAAATCTTGAGTCTCATTTTTTATATCTTGATCATCATCCTTTTGAGATTTGTCGTTTGATTGCTTTGGTGAGGGACTATTTTCCTCTAATTTCCTTTTTAACTCCTTAAGTTCTTCATCTTTAAATTCTAGTTGTTTATTCAAATTCAAATTTTCAATTTCTAATTTATTTAATTCTTGATCTTTTCCATCATCTGATTCAGGAGGAGTTAAAATTGAATTTTGAGATTTTCTTTCAAATATAGATTTTAATTGTAAATCAATAGGTAAATTTGAATCAATTCCATTTGACTTGGCAATTTGTAAGATTAGATCTCGTATTTTTTCAGATTCTTGAAGTTGTTGATCTTTAATTTCAATTTGTTCTTCAAAATTTTGCAAATTTGTAAATAAGTCTTCATTCAACTTGAATATTTCATCATATTCTTCACGTAAGTCATTAAGTTCTTTTTCTAAAGATATTGTTGACGCGTCTTTAATTTCACCCAAGGGCATTATTGATTTGATTTCTTTTGGATCTATATTATTTTTTTCAATTAGCTCTTGTAAGAAGTTTTTCATTAATTTGATTTGAATTTTATAATTGATGATTCTCTTATTCAATTCATCTTCTTTTGAAGTTGTATCTATAAATACATTATTTGTATCTGGCGTAAGGTTAGGTTTATTATGAAAAATAGATGATTGAGCAGTTGATGGTATGGTTGAAGGATTGATGGATCTGAATTGTCTCCATGGTGATATATTCGTAGGTAGTAGATCATCCTGTGATTTTAAAGGTGATTGTGGATGAGCTATAAATGGACTTGACGATCTTGAAATTGATTTATCTATAATTGGTGATTGCATACTCAATTCTTCTTCAAATTCTAGAACCGATGATAAGTTATGAGGGGATTTAAAAGCAATTGGTGATTCAATAGATTCATCATCTTCTGACATTATGAGTTAATGTTTCATTTGTCACTGTATAGCTGGTTGTTTTATAAATGTTTCAGATTTGTATTATTTTCTAAAGTTTGTTTACATTTACGAAAATACGGATAAAATAATGTTAAGAGTGAAAACTTTTTAAATATTTCTATTATTAAGCATAATCTATTTATGTTGCCATTTCTTCATCTTCTTCCTCCTCATCATCGTCATCTTCTTCTTCAGCTTGTTTTTTAGCTTCCTCCAACAAATCATCAGGTATTGATTGATGTCTACCATTTGTAAATTCTTTACTTATCCAAGATATTTCTAATTCATAATCTTTATCTTTATTATCTTCATGAGCTAATTTTATAACTTTAGCTGCAACATTTATTGCCTCCTTTACAGTAATTTCTTCAAAGTTTAATTTTTCTAATTCTGATTTTGCAATTTGTCTACCTTTTCCAGTTGCTGCTCCACTATAACCCCAACATGTCCCACTTGGTTCAATCATATATAAATGTGGTCCATCATCATCTACTCCTCCAACAATTGATACTACTCCAAATGGTCTAACTGAATTATAACAAGTATAATTTTGAACATATATTCCCATTCTATCCATTAAATTAGGTACAGGTATAGGTATTTTAAATATTGATTTAAAAGATTGTGATTCATCTCTACATCTATTTACAAAATGGCGTCCATCAGGTAATAAACCAGAATAAACTACTCCAACATGACGATCAACTGTTTGAATTCTTTTATTTTTATTAGGAATTAATAATTTTGAATTTATAATTTTTTCAACTGCAAGGACAATTCCATCTTTACATTTAATTCCAATTGATGTACTTCCATTTTCTACAGCTTTCATAGCATATTCTACTTGAAAATTTCGACCATCTAGTTGAGTTAGTATTGGATGATAAATTATAATTGAACTGAGTACATACCTGGTGAAAAAACACTATTTGATAAATCATATCCAGTACCAATTGAAGTCTATTTAATGTTAGTAATCGCTCGATAACTTTGCTTTAAGCAGTTTACATACCATTTTGTATTGATTGATGAAGTTGAAAGTTATCGCCACTATCAAAAAAAAATCAATATTTCAATTTACAACTTAATATTATTTTACGCACGACACCACTAACACCTAATGAATTAATATGGTGTTGGAGTTCAAATGGCCAATATTAGGGGTTATAATACCATGTATAGTAATAGCTATACTATCCTATGGTTCTCATATATTTATCTTATACCAACATCTATCATTTAATGAACAAATCATATATGAATTAATTGTTTCAATGATTTGGTTAACTTATATCCTAGCTATATATAAATCACCTGGAAATCCACCAGCCAACTATAAACCAAAACAAGGAGAATGGAAAAGATATTGTTCAAAATGTAAAAATTATAAACCACCAAGAACTCATCATTGTTCAAAATGTAAAAAATGTATATTATCAATGGATCATCATTGTCCTTGGACTTTAAATTGTGTTGGTCATGAGAATTTACCACATTTTATGAGATTTTTAGTATGGGTAATTATTGGAACTAGTTATTTATTTATTCAACAATGTTATAGAATTATTGATTATTATAATAATTCAGATCTACCTATTTATTTAATTGATAAAAAAGAACTTATAGCTGTTATTGCATTAACTCCAATAAATTTATTTGTTTTGATAAGTATAAGTTTTTTATTTTTGAGATGTTTTATTAATATCTGTAAAGGTATGACTCAAATTGAAATTTGGGAATGGGATAGAATTGAAAGTCAATTTAATAGTAATAGATTATGGGGATCTATAAAATTGAATTATAAAAAGCTACATGATAAAGAATTACCAAAATTATCAACTTGGACTAATTATAGAGAAGAACAAGAAGACCAAGATGATGTAAATGAGATTCCTCAAAATTTTACAATTGATGATTTAATATTTCCTTATGATTATGGTATATGGCAAAATTTAAAATATTCATTAGGGAATCCCCTATTATTTTGGTTAATCCCATGGTTCAAATCAAAATATAATGGATATGATGTTATACCATCAATAGATTATAAAGAAGATGATCAATTAAATTTACCTTGGCCACCAGATGGTGGAAATAATGAAATTGAAATTAAAATTCCAACAAATGAAGAATTAAAAGAAATTAAAAATTATAAAATTTTAAAACAAAAATTAGATCCAAGAAATAATTTGAAAAGATCAGAATGGTCAAATGATATGGGTGAAAATTTAGGTGATTATGGTGTTGATATTGATGATTCAGAAGATGATAAATTGTAAAAATACACTAAAAGTCTGTGACTAGACCTAATACAGAAGTCATTACAATATTCTAATTCTTTAGTTGTTACTCTCACTCTTACTTCAATTCAGGGATACAGTGATCCTGATATCACTAGCTTGCAGGCAAAAACTTTGATACATTAATCACTACGCATTGACCACAAGCAATTTCAGGTCAACAATGAAAAATTTCAAATACTGCTCCAAAGTATGATCAATTTACTCCTCGTGGTAAATCCTGTTAAACACCCCAGGGTATCTCATAATCAGTAAATAACTTCACAAATTTGAACATAAAACAGCGTTCATTTGACATAACGAATTGAAACTCTCAGACTTATATAAAATAAAGGCATCTTGCTTTTCAATGACCTCATTTTATATCGATTTATGGAACCGACTTTCACTCATGTCATCCGTGAGCTTTTTTGGACTGCATTATCAAAGGTCAACATTAGTGATTAGATTGTTGACGTCTCAGAATTTGGTGTTGACCAAAGTATATACATTCACTACTAACTCAACATCAATCACATAAAAATTCTAGAAACAGATTTTGTGACATGGAAATTTAACTCCTAGGAAGCAATGAAAATATTACAATCGAACATGATGAGACATTAGGCACCAAATCTCGAAGTGTAATTTGATTGGATTTTTGTTCAAAGTAACTACTAGATGAAGTCGTTTACAGTTTTTCAATTAAATCATCATGATAAAGCTACTTTTAGAGAAACTTCAATGACTAGTACATCTACAGCAAGAATAACTATCACGAAATGGTTTGTTTAATTTATGATTTAAAAGCATTGTGTTGATACTTGCCAATGGGGATATGACGAAGCTATTTTATTGAAGCATACTTGAAATATTCATGTATTATTTAAAATAAGTCGAATGCTACAAGATGGATTGAAAGCGAAATTGGAATTTAAATAGCTTCGGATGAACTTAAATAAAGATTGAAAATTTGAGACATATCCAAGAATTGAATAAATATCGTTGTTCGGCTTAATTCGTGAATTTGGTTTAATTTCAAATTTTCATTTCACTGACTTAATGTGATTCAACACCGACTAAATCTGTCAAGAATTTGAACCATGAAAAAGAGTTTTAGAAGTCTGTTAAAAGCTTTGTTTTTTCTAGATATAACTTTAGGAGTTATGGAGTGTGCTTGACACCGTTCAACCACTTGCATTTTTAATCTCCAAACGAAGTTTAAATTTTGATCTTCACTTGAAATTCAGACCAAAGTTTACTTCACATTGAAAAAGAATAGTCTACTAAACATTCAGAATCAATGGACTAAAATAATTCAACTTCGGCACTGCTTATAACTTCCAGAGACAATATAATATTACACGTTTTAGACGATACACTTTTGAAACGCCAGATGGTAGCCCAAGAATCACGTCCAATTAATTTTGAATTTTCAAATAGTGGCAATCAAAACTAATCATCAACTCATTAAATCATCAGCATTAAACTCATCATTTCGTTAACTCAAAATTGGAATCACATTACTAATGCGTATATTTCTCAAATTACCCAAAGAAGTATTATCATTAATCATTAGTCACATCGAGGATCTGTCAATCATTGAAAGCTTAATATTCATTCCAGGTTTACAACATATTGCACTCGAGCAAAAATATTCAAATTTTGAAATAAACAGTAACAATAAGTCAATTGAAAAGTTAGTATCGCTTTTTCAAAAATATCAATTTATACCTTCAAATATAATTGGAGATTTAAATCAAATCAATCAATTGTCAGATGAACCTGCATTTAGATTAGCCAATTATGAATTAAAGATCTTACGGAATACTAAATTCAGTGATTTTGTATCAATTTTAAATAAATTTTATGTTATAGGTATACATTTGGATCAATATTTGGAACCTTTTGTTGGATTTTTCGAAATATTTAAAAAGAATGAAGTTCAGTCATTTTTGAATTATGTTGGAAGTATGAATATACAATCCTTAACTACATCTTATTTGAGTCTGTTTAAAATTCAATTTCCAAAATCTTTAAAAGAACTAACAATAAACGGAGGTGTATATTTTGAATTAGATTTACGTGATTTACATTACCTTGAATCCTTTAATTGCAAAAATCTTGATTACATGAGCTCATTAGAAAATTTCCAACTTCCAATATCTATCAAAAATTTAAGACTTTATTCTTGCGATTTCAAAAGTCTAGGTAATTTAATTCAGTATAACAAATTAAAATTACTTCATATATCTTATTGTCCTGAAATCTTTGATATTGTTCATACTGAGTTTCCAAATTCTTTGATATTTTTGAATTTTGTTAGCAATTTCATGAGTGATAGAGTAGATGAATCGGATGAAGAAGAGTTACTTGACCAAGCATCGGATGACGATTTGCGGGTCCGTATCGACGGTGACCTATTATTTCCATCAAATTTGAAAAAATTAAGAATTTACGATACTATGCAAACTTTAAAAATAGGAGCCATTAATTTTTCAGATTCACTCAATTGTTTAGAGCTAAAAAGTATTGGAGAAATTGATTTAAAATTGGTTCTAGATAATTTACCAAGGAAGATGTTTGAAATCATTATTGAGGATTGTCTAATTTTGTATGTAGAATACGAAGTTTTATTTCCTGAGCTGAAGCAGATCAAGTTTTCACGTAATAAAGTGTATTATCATAATTTGCAGTCAAATTTAAATCAATTGGAACTGTTGAAAGAATTGGATGTATCCGATAACTTTAACCCAGAGTTTGATGATGTCGACCCACTTGATCCGCTTGATATTTTAACTCACATGAATATATCTCCAGTGGAAAGAGTATGTTTCAAAACACCCCAGTTACAAAGTCTAATCCTAAAAAGTCCCAAGACACCATCAATCGGTGTTTGTGAATTTCCGTCTGAAGTGTTATTTAATTGTAAAAATTTGACCAAGATAAACATGATAAATTTAAATATAAACTTTTTGAACTTTAATGAATTTCCCAATTCATTGAAGGAATTGGTAATCAAGAATTCAGGATTACAAGAAATTCATGGCTATTTTTCCAAATTGGATGAATTAAAGATTTTAGATTTACAAAATAATGAAATTACTTTTTCAATGTTGGAACATCAGATTTTTCCATCAAGTTTAAATTATATAAATTTATCGAACAATAAAATTGAAGATTTAAGTTGTTTAGATTTAGAAAATTGTGTACATTTAAAAGAGTTGATTTTGAAAGAAGTAACTGCGAAAGATGAACCCGAAGGTGCTATTGATTTGATGCAATTATTTTCAGACCGTGGTGCTGATGCCAAAGCTAATGCAATATTGACAAATTATGATTCAAAAGTTATTTTCAAATTTGTTAATGGAGTTGAAGAAGAATCAATTTTAAAATCTGTGCATAAAAGAAGAAAAATTTTTTAATCATTTGATAAATTGTTTCTAGATTAGGAGCTGATTTTGAACTCACCTCTTGACTTATTTCAGGGATCGAGGGTGTTTGAATTTATATCATTTTTTAATCAATACATATTTACTAAAGCTTTAAATCTCAGCTCTCAATCAAAAGTATATAGCAAGCTAATTAAAGATTTAAGCTGTTTTCATCACTTAATTTAGTATTCTTCGTTTAGTCTTCAACCAGGTTAAGGAAAAGTATGTATACCTAGAAATAATCGAGGAAACTTGACCTAAGAATAGTTTGCAAGGATAAGTTGAACTCAAATTTGTGAATTTAATGATTCAGATTCACTTTATTTATGAAAATATTGATTAACGTAGCCTATCAAAGTATGATACTTGTTGAATATGAAAGTTATATCTTGACTTTCCATTCTTAATTCAAAATATATTTGAGATTGCTTGTCTTGTACTTTACTTAGTTGATCTCACCCATACCCGATTAACTAATCAGTAACTAATAAGAACCAATTTGTCTATTTGTGAATGAGATTTGAAAATTACAATAGTAAAAACGCTTGTGAATATAAACAACATCTCAAGTATGTTGAGAAGATTTCCACCTGAAGCGATCAACCATTTGGTCTTTTCCGAAATGTGTGCACAATTTATCCAAATTTAAAATATCGAAAAGCCGAATGTCATGCTCAAAGAAATTCGTATACCAAGGGCCCAAGTAAATTATTGTTTGATGTATTGGGATCAGCTTTAATTACTCTATGATGTATAGCTTTAATTATAGAGTAATTAAAGCAGATCCAATAAAGTAAACAATTATTTACTTGGATTAGCTGACTCTGCTGTTATGAATGCATAATCCAGATCTTGAACAAAAAGAGCATGAGCCAAGGTTTACCAACAATGTCCATTGACATATTTTGTCATTCCACGGCAAGAGCGGGGTCATCCTTCAAATACATCAACTTTTGAATAACCTTATTATTATGCTGGTAGACTTTATGTATCATTTCTGGTTCATCAGAACTAGTTCGACGTTTCACTGAAAGACGTGCCAGCAACAGGGTACTACGTGAAGTAATCCGGACTCTGAAGTATTGATCCAGACTCTGAAGTATTATTTTGATGAGCCAAACTTGTTTCATCACAAACTTTACTTACTGTTATTACGAAACAATAGACGGAGGATTAGGTTAAATTAAAATATCCTTTGTTGCTCCTTCATTAATAAAACCTTCGAAACAGTAGATGAACTTGTTGTACTTAAGGGGGAAATAATCTTGGGAGCATTTGTATCAACATCCACAAAATTTTCAATTCTGGATCTTCACTATCAACTTTTGAATCTCTAACATGTCAGATTGAAATGGATTGGGACCAATAGCAGGAGCTATATCAGCAGTAACTAGATTGTCATGAACAATTAACTCATTAGTAGTATCTAACTCATTTGGAGCATCAAATATTATCTCATCTGCATTAGAAATTGGTTCCACAAACTGATTAAACACATCAGCTTGATCAATAGGGAAACCGGTATAAACGTCGTCTGTCGGAATGATTCTTGAATCAAATTAAAAATTGTTAACATCCATATCATTGACCGAATTGTTACGTCAGAAGAAGATGATGAGGGTGTTTGATAATCAAAATATTTGACATCAATTGATTCAGCAGCAACTGTAATCTTTCGACCAATTGAATCAAAACCATCAGAACTGGCATTGGAAGACATAGTACCATCCCTTTCGATTAGGTGATCAATTTGATTTGGAATAATCGTCGGAGTTACGTCTCGATTCCTGTCACTATCCAACACAACGATATCACCAGAACCAATTTTGGCAAATGAAACAAAAGATGAGTCAGCAGAACCAGGAGAAACTAAAGGTGGAGCATCCAAATTAGTAGGTGAACGGGATAAATCTGAAGAATTTAAACCTGGGTAATCAACAACAATATCACCATCAACTGAACCCATCACAGCAACTGAGGAAGATTCATAACTGAACTGAATGTTTTATATGGTTCCACCCCACGTAAATAATTCAATTTTGTACTTGATTTGGAAATTACATTAATATTGTTGGAAATCTTCAAAAACGTATCTGCTATAAATTGCACCTGAACAGCAGCAAACATTTGATGGTTGAAAGGCTCATATAACTTATATTGGAGCAATCCCTGAGTACATAGCCAATTTTGAATGGGAGGCAAATTCGTATATCTTCGGTCAACTTGGATATGTCAAGTAGGTAAATACGCATATCAAAGCTGACCAAAGATATGCAACAACTTGCGATCAAAACAAATTCCAAGATAAATTATATAAGGTGACAATTATTTTTTATGAGGCATGATGTTATACAACAATGAAGCATAAAATACAGCTTGACACCAAATTTTCTCTTTAAGTTTTGCTTGTTCCAATAAACCTTTGCATATACTTTGGATGCTTTGAATTAAACCTTCAGCTCTAGCGTTTGATAAGAATGATGTGGACATTCAATTCACGAGTAACACCTTCAGATTTTAAAATTGTTTTAATGTAAAGGTCCACAATTGATAAAAAATACTTGCATTGATCAACACTCTCAGCAAAAGGTTCAGAAAAATCCACATGAATCAATTAATTTTTCTGGGCAGCTCTACGTGAACGAAATTCTAAATCAATTTGAGATTGGTCGTAATTCTGGTAAATTGAATAACTTAGACAATTTGAATTTAGGTTACCACCTCCTCCTTTATTGCCAAAAGATTCTCGACTAATACGTCCCAAATACTCGTGAACTTAGTGTTCCACATCTATCTTATCAATATAAAAAGCTGGTGCTATTAGTTGCGTTTTTAATGGACATATTGGTTTGTACGAACACTCTATTGAATATATGAATTCTTATTCTTCCTCCCTTATTAATGAATATAAAATGAAAATTATTTTTCATAAGTCAATCTATGTCGTGTCCAGAATTTAGATTTCGACTTCGACAATGTCGGAAAACCAAAAAAAAATGAGACAATTCGTATAAGCATTAGTACATATTTGTATGCAGTAGATGCTATATTTTTGTGTCCTTTATTATTTTCTTAGTCTAATTTATGCAAAGTTTAAAATTAATTTGAGATGCAGCCGCATTTTTAGTTTTTATTATTTTATTTGTTGAATCTTCAATTTTTAAACTATGCTTGCCAGGTAGCCTTTATTAAGTACTTGCCCTGTATTATTAGTAAGATCAGCCAAGTCACGTGTCTTAAAACAATTTCTTTTAATTATTTCGTTAACCCCCTTTGAACTGAATATTCTCCAGTTTCCCAAAAATTTAATATATAAACTTGAAATTTTCATTTTCTTCTTCAACATACTTTTACTTGAATTTCAATTCAATTTTCATATAACTACAGAAAAAAGAACTCAAAACTACTTACAAAAATGTCTGAACAAAAAACTTTAAGATTAGGTTCAATTGCTCCAGATTTTAAAGCAGAAACTTCAAATGGTCCAATTTCTTTTCATGATTACATTGGTGATTCATGGGCCATTCTTTTTTCTCATCCAGATGACTTCACTCCAGTATGTACTACTGAATTAGGAGCATTTGCTAAATTAGAACCTGAATTTGCTAAAAGAAATGTTAAATTAATTGGTTTAAGTGCTAATAATACTGATTCTCATAAATCTTGGATTAAAGATATTGATGAAGTTACTGGATCAAAATTAACTTTCCCAATTGTTGCTGATCCAAAAAGAGAAGTTGCTAATGCTTATGATATGATTGATTATCAAGATGCTACTAATGTTGATGATAAAGGTGTTCAATTAACTATTAGATCAGTTTTTGTAATTGATCCAAAAAAGAAAATTAGAACTATTTTATCTTACCCAGCTTCAAGTATGTTTTTATTGAGTTTAGCATTGAATTAGGACTTCTAATTGATAATTACGGAAGAGAAATTTAACCACTAAATGGTTGGTCTTTTCAATTGATTCAAGTTGTTGAAGTTTTGATCATTTTGCAATTTTTCAATCTTCCAATTTTGTGATACTAACCTTATTTTTTTATAGCCGGTAGAAACACTGCTGAAGTTTTAAGAATTGTTGATTCATTACAAACTGGTGACAAATACAGAGTTACCACTCCAATTAACTGGGTCAAGGGGTATGTTTTATTTTAATTATGTTATTACTAACTTGTTTGTAGTTGTTGAAGAATTGTGAAACAATCGGATCGGAATTAAATTAATCCTAAAAAATGCTACCAATTTATTTAAATATTTTTAAATATTTTTCAATATATTTCAACATAAATCAACCAAAAATACTTCAACAACATTCAACAAGTCTGTCTTTATCGTCCAGAGGTACTAACTTTCATGTCATTGATGATGTTATCGTCGCTCCCAGTGTTTCTAACGAAGAAGCAAAGACTTTATTCCCAAAATTCAGAATCATCAAACCATATTTAAGATTAACCCCATTAGATTTGGAAAATTAAATAATCTGCTATTGATTTTGAGAGTATAGTTCTGATAAGAATTTAGTAATATGAATATATAACTTTTCGATTATTCCTTTACTGTGTGAAGAAGTTTATTGAATGGGTTAATAGCGTTGATATAGTCACGCGACTTTAACTAAACTCGCTATTTTATTCAATCGAACTCTTTTGAATGAGTTAACAAGGCCTCTGCTCATCCCTAATCTTATCACGACCTTCTGATAAAACCACAATTCCTGATCGATGGTTAAATTCTGAGTTGTGCTCTATCAAATTGTTCTCTATCAAATTGTTCTCTATTGAAATGTTTTTGCCCCGGACGGAAAAACCTGTTGTTTAATCTGGAACATGTTTGCTAGTGTTTGATATAAGATTGCAATCAGTTCATTCAAATATACAGCAGGTTATAATGGATTGTAATTTACGAGTAAAACTTCAACTTAAGAATCCTTAGAATGGAAAAGGCAAAACTCGATTCAAATGTTTATCCAATAGCGTCAATTTCCATTTTGAGCCGCACAATAATATTCTAAAAGTTCATGCGAGTTTAAAATAGTTAGAGAAGGAGAATTCTACACACATTTAAATCATCATTTTTAAATTCATACATTTAATTTTTAACATTTATTAATTTGGGATGCATTTGGGATGCTTAATCAACAAATACCGCAATTGAATGACACATTAATAATCCTCGGTTCGGTAACGGGTATATAAATTAGATAATTCAAAATCACCTCAATAGTAGAGTTTAAATTTATTGAAGATCAGGGCAAAAATAGTAATTCGAATGCAATCCTATCTCATAAATAAATGACGACACGTATGTTCAACTATATTATTAAAAATGATTTTGCGGCTCGCTCATCAACTGCTTGATCAATAATGCATTGGTACAAACCTATTTTTTTCAAAATTACTAACTGAGTAACTAGTCAAAAATTTCGGGGTCACACGGACCTTTTTGAAGTTTCAGAAAAGAAATGAGCTCATATCTTTTCTTACCTGCTTGAAACCCTCATTGCTAGCATGTTAATATTTTAGTTCCATTTTCCATCCATGTTGAACTCAAATCATCATACTTACCAGATTTGAAATTTCATTTGGTAGTTTCGTCTGAACTCGTTTGCAAATATGAAACAAGTTTATTACAATTTTGAAAACTAACAAAATTTTATCATTTATATTTATATATCACTTGTTCACCTAATTTATATCAATTTTTATTACTTGCTTTCAATACTGTTCTTAATTATATTTACTCATCAAAAGTTCAAAAATTTAACTTCATCATACCCTTTAAGAGCACATTAAAATATATAGTATTAAAATAGACTGTGATATATATCAGTAAACAATAACACATCAATTTTCACCATATTTCATTAGATTTTAAATTCAAACTTAAAAAAATAATGTCAGATAATCCAAATCAAAAACAATTAGAAGAACTTGCAAGGTTGGAGTCATACAATATTAAAAAACTTGATCCTAAAGTTGGAGGATATCTTTCAAATGTCCGTACAATGACTTCTTTAGGTCCATTGGACTTAATGGAATTATGGCATGTTCTTGGGGCTGGCAGGGAATGTAAATTTATGGCCATCAATGTAAAAACTGGAGAATTAAAGTATAAGTCTGGTAAAATTTACTGTCTTGGATTTGAAGAAGATTCAACTTTATTAGAATTGAGCTTACATCCTCAAAAGGGTAGATTGGATTTAATTATTTGTCAAAATCAACAAGTTTTTGCTAGAAATGGAACAAAAATTGATGACGGTAAATTCAAATATAAACTTGATTACACTTTGTCAGATGACGCTTATCATTTACCACTTTATAAGGATCGAGTATTGGTACCAGGGATTTATTTTAGAGCTCAGAGCATTATTAAGGGTGCTACAGAAAATGATGAAGCTGCTGCAGTGGTCCGTCATTGGTTGGAAACACTCGGTATCGATCTTTCCTTGACTCAAACATTTATTAACTTGCTTGGTTGTTTTTGCAAGTATGGTAATATTTATGAAAATGAAATTTTGGTTAATGGAAATTCTAAAGAATTTTTTAAAGCAATATTTAACAAGTTAGATTTCACTTACACAAATCTGGGTAATGGTTTACATTTAACGGCTTTAAATGACAAAAACAAAATTTTTATTGATAATATAAGATTTTTATTTGGAATTGATTCTACTAACGAGGTTGATCCTGTTACTAGTGGAAACATTAGGTTGATACCCGAACTTATTTTCAATTTGGATAAAGTAGCTGCTTATTCATTTTTGTTGGGAATGAGTGGTCATAATCATGATTATAAGGAAAAGATAAGAGTTAATACAGACCATACTATTTTGGTAGATCAAATACAAAGGTTGGGTGCTCATGCAGGAGTTTTCTGTTCCATAGATGAAACTCCTCAATTTTGGAGAGTTAATATATGTACCGAATTGAAGGACAAGGAAAAATCATTTCCAATCTTTACTCCAGATAACATTAAACGTATAATGGTGAAGGAAAATTTTATTTACTCAATACAATTTGATGAAGAAGATGAATTTGATCATCTTTTGGTTAATTCAGCTTTCAGGGATGAAACAACACTCTTATTTACAAGAATGGATAGACCAATTTTAGTTAAAAGTTACAGTGCTGGTAGTCATTCAAGTCCTGAATAAGTTAATATTCAAACCCCTTGTTTTTAAGGGTTTGGTTTTGGTTCTTTGATTTTTTTTTCAATATGATTTGAATCAGTATAGTTTATACTTTGATTTAGTTTTTGACATAGCTCTGGTAGTTTAATTGAAAAGTTTGATAAAAAATTTAATTTCATTTTTCCCTTAAGTAATAGCATTCAAATTTAGCTCTCAACCAAATTGTATTTGCCATGGCTATATAAATAGTGGTTCCAATCCTGCATTCTGTACCAACCCCAATCTCTCTTCACTACTTATTCTCACCCATTATTGAAAATGCACTGTGATACATTATTGGAAATTTAAATTTATACTTCAACACTTGTTGTAAATAAGTAACACAACAAATTTACCTGTAGAAACAAATCTACTCATACAAATAACGTTCAAAATTATATAAATAACAAACTAAACAATTTTCAACTCAGCTTTAAAGAAAAGCGAAAACTGTAAAAATTCAAAATAGCATCTAGAAAATCACCAAATAGCATCTAGAAAAAGCATCAGTCACTCGATGGTTTTTGTAAATTGTTGTGAGTTTTAGTGCACTAAATCAATATCACTGTTAGTTAGATTCTGAATGTTATTTGTATTGGGTTCTACTTTGCATTGTCAAAGTTAGGTAATTATTTCAATGAAAGGGTTAACAGCATTCTTATCCTCTGATGAAATTGCCCAAAAATATTATGCAAAACCAGAAGTGTGTACTTCCTTTATCAAATTGAGCAGATTTGAGATGTTTTGTTTTCAAGGACTCACTACTTCTCAAAATCGTGTTACCTTTCTTATCAAGTAACTGACATGAAGAAATAAAGCACAAATGTTTTCATTGGATCTAAAATTGAACCCAAGTTATAATTTAAAATACCTTGTTATATTCAGTACACGTAACAAAACACGCTTTAGTCATTGGTCTATTTTAAGATTTATTTTTATAAGAATACAAGGAGAGTGCTGTTATCTTCGACTACTTAAGAAATTTTGTACTGATTGAATAAATAGTTGGATACCCACGTTAATTTTGCAGCTAATTTCATTAAATGATATTGACAAACAACCGTACCGCAAACATTTCGAAACAAAAAATTTCAGGTACAATACTGATCTCTAGAACGAAAGCTTAAAATGAGTGATTAGATAATAGTCCAAAGCTTCATTGATTTGTGAGAAATAGCTATTAAATCCAGAGATAGTTCGTGAACTTCTGAGATCACAGTGCAGCTTTGAAATTTTTAATTGGTAGTGTCTTCTTACTTTACTTTATTTGCAAAGATAAAAAAAACAAATAGACTATCTTAGATACAAATTCATACTTCAACGCAGTACGTGAAGATCAAAGGGTTACAAACCAAGCATATTTATAAAATCATGTTTACTCAACAAACTATATCCAGAATTATATAAATAAAGCAAATAAAGTTTAATTCGGTTTTGAAGTAAAATGGAATTACTCTCCTGCTCCATCCTGATCTTCAGCTACTTTTAACTAATAGTCAATCAAAATTAGACCACCTCCACTTGCACAATTTCCAGCAAAGCAAAGCCATTTACAACATTCTTTTCATCAATTTTTGTTTCAATATTTTAATCTCCAGTAGCAATAGGTCTACCATCAGTAGCTCTTTTTTAAATCACTCCATCTTCATCAGACGATACAACAAGTTTACTGCTATATCAACACATTCTAAAAACCACAACTGATATACCAGCATCGAAAGTAGACTCTTCAGCATTTAGACCAACGTTTGAAAATCCTCAACAATCACTATCTTCATATTTTTCAGCACAATTGGGTGCTCCTTATGACTTAAACTTAAGTGGAAATTTGACCACTCCGAAGATTAACAAATGTTGATAATAAAATAAAGATTGTTAAATACTCGTGCCAACAGTGCAGAAAAGTTAATATATGATGAAAACCTCAATACCATAAATATCAATCACAATGAAAATGAAAAAAATATTTGGATGACATTTTGAAGGCAAATGACATGGAAACAAACAAGCGAGAGCCAAAAACAGATATACTCAAAGGATAATATGGTTAAGTTCGATTTTAAGAATTTTGGACATCCACGAATTGACTCATGATATTTTTAACCAATTTTTCATCGTTTGACCCAACCATTTATCATGATAAGTTTTTATTTGCTAATGAAAATATTATAATGTTGAATTGAAAGATTTTAAAGATTTTCCAGTTGATTCGTCTATTCATTCATAAGCAAATAGATAATAATCATAATAAACCACTGGATCCAACGATGATATTAGTCTAAATATATTGTGAGATAATTCAATATGTTTTATATTTGCAAAAATATAACTCATCCACACCTTCCTTCTTTGCAATATACCTTGTTTAGTCTCTAGCTTGTTTGGAAGCAAAATCATTTTCCTTTAAAATTTCATCCAATCTTTTCGATTCCCTTACGATCAATATTTTTAATATGTAAAGTTGTCATCAAAAGTTGATTTTTTCAGCAATATTAGAACGAATGATAAGTAATCTTTATTTTTTCCAAATTTTGTTCAAGTATTTTTTGTTAATCCTCGATTTGCCAAATTACCACCTGGTTTTAATTTTTATGGAGCAATGAATTGTGATGAATAATATGTATATAAAAATTGATGAAGATGTATTGATTTAGGTTTGAAAGTCGATGATTCTATTATTGATGAGGGTATAATAATTAGTTGAAATTTTCAAAATATGTTGAAATGGTAGTAAGCTAGTTGAGGCCCTTGTTATAGGTGGTGGAGTGTATTGAAAAAGAGCTGCTGTGTAGGTGGAGCTGTTGAATACGAAAATGATGAATATAATTGAATTTGATGATAGATGAAATGATACAAGTATTGATTCTATAAATAAAGAACAAATTTAAACACTCGAAACTTCGTTTGTAAAAGAACTAGAATAAGTTAGTAAATAGAATTATATGATGATAAATATACTTATGTTTAAGTTTGATTTTGTTGAAATGAAAATGTGAAAGAGTGTAAGAAAAATGATATTAAGGATATAAAAATTTTTTAGTGGCAAACGCATTGAATATATAACATTTAATTTTCTTGAAAAATGAAAAGGGATAATTTTCAAATTGATTATTAGTACACATAATATTATGTGTTACGATTATTAATCTATTTGTTTCAGATTTAATTAATCTCATATAAAATACTGCATATAAAATGTAACACAAATATTGTAAGTTCATATTGTAAATATGATAATTCCTTTGGTTAATAGAGGATCTTTTTCATCTAATTTTAACCAGGAGTCGATTAATTTCACGTTTTTGCGTACAGTGATTTCTCTCTAATTATATGTCTAACAGTGCTTACGTAGACTTCATCACTGTTGGTGCTTTCAAATTCTGTTACTGTCTTACCTGATATTAAACTTAATAACAATGTTTAAACAAGTTAACATGTAATACAAAGGAATATTAATGATCTCAAAAATTTTAACCAAAAACCGGTTAAAGTAAATCAAACAAGTATTGAGCTTAGAGCTTAGTATGTATCAAATTAATAATAGATGCTAAAGTCTGAATCTTCTTACTTGACTTTCAATTTTTCCTTTGTTCCCATATTTAGCTTTTGTAGAAAATTAGCTGTAAGTGAATAAAAAGTCTGCAAAACCTCCTCCTTCTGAATGTAAAGCCATGAATAACATAACTGAAAGAATGACTTGAACAGTTTAATATTATGGGGATATTTCATAGTTACATACAAACTGGAAGTTTGCTGAAAACAGAGTGTATTTTGTATGAGCTTTTTAATTAAATAAATTCTCGATCACTCTAAAACTAAAGTCCAGTAAAAATGGCAATTTTCATCTATATTCACACACATATACCCGTAGAAACAGATTTACCCATACAAATAACGTCCAAAATTATATTTTAAGAATCTAAACAATTTTTCACTCAACTTTGAAGTAAAATAAAAATTTAAAATTTCAATAAATTCAAAAAAATTTTGAAAACATAAGCACCATCTAGCTCCTTCTCCTTAACCTCCCTCAAACCATGATTTTTGCAAATTATTGAAAAACTCAATACCTAAAGTCTATATCTTTTTTGGTTAAGTTCTGAATGTTATTTGTATTGAATTTACATTACATTTAACAAAGTTACTGGACTTATTTCAGAATATAATGTTTCTTGAGTTCATTACTATCCTCTCTTGAAATTGCCCGAAAATAAATTATTAAATGTAAATCTCCTATATTAAATTAAGCAGATTCGAGAAATTTGCTTTCAAGGATTCAATACTTCTCGACATCGTGTTTTTGTCATCATTAAACACACTGACAATAAGGATTAGAGCACAATCTGCTGTTATTTATTGGAACCAAAAGATTGAACCCAAATTCTAATTAAATTAGCTTGTTACAATAATTAAACTAAGCATTTAATTCTTGGTCTATTCTAAAAACATTAAAATACAAAGGGAGTCCAGATATGTTTAACAACCTGAGAATTCTTCAACTGAATAAGTCTACTTAATTGGGGTTCACGTTAATTTGCAGCCAATTTCATCAAATATAGCAAACATCCGTACCGCAAATATTTTACAACAAAAATTGTTCCAAATACATCTCTAAGCAAAATTTGATTCAAGATCAAAAACCAAAAATGAAGCTTCTAGAGAGTAACTCAAAACTTTATTTGTTTGGGAGATAGATTAAGCTACTTCGACAATTTAGCAATAATCATTCATCATCAAAACGTGAGTCCTAATAATAAAATAGTTGCTACCAATGAGCACATGATTATTTTTTAAAATCATCAACCATCATAACAATTATAATAAATTATTAAACTTTTAAAGTTTTAAACATTTACTGAATTAAATTTGGGTTGAAGGATATATTGATTCAACTTGGCATAATTACTACAAAAGGTAATCACTCAATTGAAAATAGCATAGCTCAGCATATATATTGAAGAACATAATCATCATTCATTTATCACTTTAATCAAACACACTAACTATGGGATTATTCATACCAACTGATAAATTACACAACTTAAAACTCTACAAATATCAATCAGAAGATCATTCATTAATATCAAAATATATATTAAAAAAATGGTGGAATTGGTTTGTTTTAATATTTCCAACATCAATGGCCCCAAATTTAATAACTTTATTAGGATTATTTTGGATCATAGTAAATTTATTAGTTGTATTTTATTATGATCCTTATTTAAATGAAACAGCACCAAAATGGTGTTATTTTTTTTATGCAATTGGTTTATTTATGTATCAAACATTTGATGGATGTGATGGATGTCATGCAAGAAGAACAGGACAAAGTGGTCCATTAGGTGAATTATTTGATCATTCAATTGATGCAATAAATACTACTTTGGGAGCAATTGTATTTGCAAGTGTTATGAAAATGGGTTATGGAGGTTTATTAATGTTATCACAATTTGCATCAGTTTGTAATTTTTATACTTCAACATGGGAAGAATATCATACTCATAAATTATTTTTATCAAAATTTTCTGGACCTGTTGAAGGTATATTAATGATTTGTTTTGTTTATATATTAACTGGAATATTTGGACCAGATATTTGGAATATTGAATTATTTAATTTAAATTTAAATTCTTTTGGTTATGGAATTTATCAAATTAATAGTTCAATAATTTATGTTATTTTAGGATTAGGATCATTATATTTTAATATTATTTCAGCAATGAATAATGTTGCAAAATATTATTCAGAAAAAGATGGTGAAGATTCAAAAAAGACAAATTTTGAAGTTAAACATGCATATCAAGGTTTATTACCATTTTTTGCATATTATGGATTAGTTATTTTGTATTGCTGGATTTTCCCAAGTGTTGTTTATGATTATGGATTTCCATTAGTTTTATCAATTGGTTGTACTATAGCATTTAGTGTTGGTAGAATTATCTTAGCTCATTTAACATTACAACAGTTCCCTATGGTTCAAATCCCAATGTTTGTTCCATTAGGTCAATTAATCATAAGTAAAATTTTAATTGACTTATATAAATATAACGCTGGTAAAGTATTAAGTGCTATAAGTTGGTTAGGATTTGGAGTAACTTTAGGAATTCATGGAGTATTTGTTGCAGAAATTATAACTGAAATTACTCAATATTTAGATATTTATGCATTATCAATTAAGCATAAAAAGGTAAATTAGAGACCTTTTTCATAGAGATTAGATTTAGACAGTACATCAAATGTATTAATATATAAAGTATTTACAAGAAATTTAAAAGTTTTTATTTCTTTTCACCAAAAGCATCTTCACTACCTGGAGCTAAAACATCTTGAGCAGATTTTTGTAAACTCATATCTTTTTCCATTTCTTGTAATTGAGTTTCTGATAATATAGCTAAAGCTAAAGGAACTCCTAATAATAAAGAACTTGAAGTTAAACCCCATAATAAAGTACCACTTTTATTAGCAATTATAGATGAATAATTTGAAATTAATGATGTAAATTTTGAAATATTATCTCTTTGTTGTGGTGATATAATATCTTTTAAAGCTATTATTCTATCATATATTGTTTCATTTGAATAATCAAAATCATCTTCATCATCTGAAAATTCTGAATCTGATTCATCAAATTCATTAATTTCTACTTTATTTATGGTTGTAGTACCATCTGGATATGTAGTTTGAGTTGCATCATCTATTTGAGTTAATTTAACCATATTTGATTATTGTTTGCTTTAGAAAGTTTGTATTAATTGATGCTTCACTATAAAAAAACGATCACCAAATTTGGTAACAAAAAAAAATTTCAATATGAGAGATTTGGTTCATACACTAAAGTTGTTATCAAGTGTATGATAAGTCTGTTATCTAGCATTTTTAGTTGAAAAGAGACCCATAAAACTCGTTTGGATAATCAAATCATCACAATGAGAGAATAAGCAAGAATTTGAAGCAAATTTTGCACTTTTCAAAATAAAGGTGCAACAAATTGATCTGTGTGGTTTATACACAAGAAAGGTTGCAACAAGACTATTTTCATAGAGATCTTAGAAAAAAGGGTAATACACCGATGTCAAAAATGACACAAGATCCTTAAAACTGAATGAGAGTTAGGCAATTGCTGAAGAAAAAGCCATTGCGGAATTTGCAAGAAATATAATCCATTCAGCTGTTAAAATCCTACAGTTTTTCATCGTTCATTTCGACCTTATAATACCCTCAAAGACGCTCATATCAATTTTGGAAAAGCTTGTGTCAAATTTCATTTCAATACCAAGTTTTAGTCGGGATTCAAAAGAAAATCTTGATATCAGTAGTTCCTTAATCAATACTAAATAAAGACTTAAGCAAAATCTAGGACCAATTATAGAGAAGTGAGAGAAGTGCATAATCCATCAGATCAATACTATTAAGTATAAATATTTGTGCATGGTCTTATCAATATTATCTATATCCCATTGAAGATGCTATTAATAATCGTATATTATTTATTACTTGCGAGTGTTTCAGCAATAAAATCAAATAAAAAACCTATTAAACCTTCTGAAGACAATTTTTATAATGCTCCTAAGGGTTTCAAATCAGCAGAACCTGGTACCATTTTAAAAAAGAGACATGTTCCAAATAAATTGACTAATATCTTCACTCCAATTAAAGTTAAAGATGCATGGCAAATTATGGTTAGATCAGAAAATTCATTTAATGAACCTAATGTTATTGTTGCTACAATTATTAAACCATTTAATGCTGACCCTAAAAAATTAGTAAGTTATCAAACATTTGAAGATTCAATCTCTCCTGATTGTGCTCCTTCATATGCAATTCAATTTAAATCTAATATAAAAACTTTTACAACTCAATTTGAAATGTTTAATATTAACATTTTATTAAAACAAGGTTATTATGTTGTTATACCAGATTATCAAGGTCCAGATGCTTCATATACCGCTGGTAAACAATCTGGTTATGCTGTTTTAAATTCTATAATTGCAACATTAGATTCTGGTAAATTTACAGGTATAAATCCAAAAGCAAGGACAATTATGTGGGGTTATTCTGGTGGTTCATTAGCCAGTGGATGGGCAGCTATGTTACAACCTTAATATGCACCGGACCTAAAGAAAAATTTAATTGGAGCAGCATTAGGAGCATTTACAACTAATATTACAGCTATGTTGGAAATTGTAGATGGTACATTATTTGCTGGATTAATTCCTAATGCAATGATTGGATTATCTAATCAATATCCAGAATTAAAGAAATTTTATCGAAAGAAACTTAATCCTAAATTAGCTAATAAATTTTTGAAAACTAAGAGTTGTTTTTTTGATGCTTTAATTAAATGGATTTTAAAACGTTTTTTTGGTGGTAAAAAATCATTTTTCCCACAAGGTATATCAATTTTAAATGAAGAACCAATGAATTCGATTTTACAACAGAACAATATAGTTGATCAAGCAAAAAATTATTTACCAAAAATTCCAATTTTCATTTATCATGGTTCTTTAGATAAAGTTGTTCCAATAAAGGATTCTCTCAAGACTTTTAATATTTGGTGTAAAATGGGATTAAAGTCTGGTGAATTTATGGAAGATTCAACTACTGGTCATTCAGTGTTGACTTTATTAGGTTTGGCAGTGGCAAGACCTTGGATTGTTAATAGAATGAATGGGGAACCACCGGTTGAAGGTTGTGTACATAATAAACAATTATCAACCCTTACATATCCTGAAGCAATTCCATCATTTATTAAAAATTCAGTTGATATTTTATTAGGAATGATGAAATTCAAATTAGGTCCAATGAAGAGGAAGAAGAATGATGATTATGAGTTGAATAGTTTTATACAGTTCATGGACTCGAAGAGTGGCAGCAATTCTTCTTCTGCAATATTTTAGACTAGATAATAAAGTTTTATTAAACGAGGTATGTTAATGCAAGATCTGTAGTAGTTGGTCCAATTAATTACTTTGGTAGCTCTCTTTGTATTCTTCTTGTGATATCTCTGATAAATAAAAATCCCTCCTTTTTTTTTGTGTTACTTACAGATAGAATACACACATAATTTTTTTTCAATTTAAAATATCATAACTACAACATAAATAATTGTTCAATTCCAGATCCATTCCCACAATTTTATCAAATTTCTAGGGATTCATCCTAATACTGATTAAGTTTGGTATAAAGCTCAACCCAAAGTATTGATTAAATGTCTAACTCGGGCGTATAATACAATCTTTCATTGATATTGTTTTATTTCCGAGGTACCAATAACAACAACTTTTCAGATAAGAAATGAGTTTCTTTGTGGTGCCATCAGTTTCTTATCAAACTCAACAAAAATTAAAAAAGCATAAAGAAAAAAAAGATGAAAAGAAAGAAGAAAAGAAATTGAGAAAAGAAGCAGCTGCAGCAGCTGCCGCGTCTTCTGGGGCATCAATTATTGATCAACAAAGTATTCATAAACATCATTCCCATGGACATTCACATTCTTCAAGAGGAAGTAATAGTAGTGAATCAAGTAAAAAGAAAAAAAAATCTAGTGGATGGAGTATAATTAGTGGAAGATCTTCAACAAGTTCAAAAGAATCAAAGGAATCAAAAGATAATGATGATTTGAGATCTGTTTTTTCAGGTTCAGCTCCAAAAGATTCTTCTTCTTCAATGATTGATCAAGTATCTTCATACTCAAATGATCAAAACGTTGATGAAAATGTATCTTTGTATCTGTCTCAATCTAGTAGACCACCTGCATTGAATCCAGTAAAATCTCCTTCATCATTAGGTAATGAAAAAAGATTTGAACAAGAACTTACGCCTGAAGAATCAAGTGAAAAAGAGTCAACTCCAAAATTGGAACAATCCAATACCTCAGAATCAATACCGACCACCACCCCACAACAAGATGAAGAAGAAACACCATCATTAATTGCTTCAAAGTATGGGAAATCCATGAGTCAAAACACCTTCAAACAATACAAATCTTTGTCAGCACCAACATCACACACAATCTCAGCACCTTCAAAACCAACAAATACTTCAACATCTCCCATATCACCAATTTCACCAATGACACCTGCTGCAACTTTTTCTCATCATTCATCAATTCCTTATTCACCACATAGTGTAAGACCTAGAACTAATTCAGCTTTCTCACCATCGAATACATCAGTTCCTACATCCCAAAATCCCACACATACTCAACAACATCCACATTATTTACAAAACCACGCGTTCCATAGAAATAATTCTTTAACTCCTTCATCAAGTTATACTGGATCTCATTTAATGCCAACTTTTTCAAATTCGAAAGAATCAAAACATACATTTAGAAAATTATCATTTTTGGGATCAAATATGAAAAGAAAAGATAGTTCAACTTCTTTAGGTGCTCTGCCTGGATCTGAATCTCCAGGTTCAAGTATTAATTCTCAAACGACTAATTCATATTTCCCAGATCAAACTACAAATGAAGATATAAAAACCATCCCCCCTTTTAAACCATTATTAGACCTATCAGTTTTTAATTCACCTGAAGAAATGCAAAAATTTTTATTAACTCCTGCTTATCAAGTTTTTAGATATAATAGTTTTTTATCAGTAGTAAGTTCATATCATTCAAGTGATGCCCTTAATTTTGCAAAAGTTAGAAATCATTCATTATTTAGATTTATTATTAGACAACAAAGAGCAAAAAAATTAATTTTAAAAAATGGTTTACATAATCCTGAAAATTTTATGGATTTATCATCAACTGAAAATATTTTAGCTTATTATTTATATGCTAAAACAAGATCATTTTTAAGATCATTAATTAAAGAATCTTCAATAAATCAACAATTATATAATCATGAAGAATTAGTACAAAGTAATTTTGTTAATTATGTTCGATATTTAATTAATTTACCTGAATCTCCAGAATCATTGGAGTTGACTGAAATTGATAAAACTCATTATGAATTTAAATCCATATTTAGTACAATTGCAAATGCATTATATCAATTAAAACGTGATGAAACTACTGAAATTATTTCTTCAGAAACTACAAAAGCTATAAAAGTTAAATTATTATTAGAATGTATTACAAAAGTTTCATATGAATATATTTTATTAGAAAAATATAGATTTGATATGTCAATGAAATTTCATAATAATCATTTAATTGATGAAAGACCTTTAATTCAATTATTTGATATATACAAGCATCATATAAAATTAAGAAATAAAGAAAGTCCAAAAGTATTACTTTTTAATAGTTCTAATTCAGTACAATATGGTTGGTATTTATCAATAACTATACCATTTGTTAGATTTATTGAATCTCATATATATACAGAATCACCTACAATTTGTCAAGATTATGAAAAATATAAAAAATTGGAAGAATCAACTATAAAAACAAATTTTATAAAAAGTGATATTGAATTATTTGATGAATTCTTTAATAAATTAAATTTGACAAGTTATCAAGAATATAATTCAATGAGTATGGATTCATTAGTTAAATTAAATAAAACAATTGAAAATCAATCAACTAAATTTTCTCAAATAAATAGAAGAGAAATTCCTGATCCTTCAAATGCTTTTACTTATAAACCAATGAATTTTGAATATTATAACAAGAGTTTATCAACTATAAATGATGAAACTTTTAATTTAATTCAATGTCAAGATTTACCTTTTCAAGTTAAAAAAGAAAATTACAAGACTATACTTCGAGAATTTTATAGAATTTTAAAACCTGGTGGATATTTTGTTTGTGATTCTATTCATTTTGGTTCCAAAACAACAGAAGAATTTAAATTAAAACATAAAGATGGTAAATTCCCAACAGCATGGAATTATATTGATTTTTCATTATTAAAATATTTTGAAGCAATACCAAATTTTGTTGAAGTTATATTACAAGAATTATCCCAAATTTTTGGAAAGGGAAATGTTAAATTTAGTATAACGCTTTTAAGTTCAGTAACTGAAGTTAATAAATTTTTATTAAAATTTGGAGGAATGAAATTATATGAATTAGTTGGTAAATTTGATGAATATTGTGAATTTTTTGAAGATAATGAAAATTTAAGAAATGTTAATGAATCGAGTATTCATTTTGGTGTTCATATTGAAGCTAGAAAAAATTGAGAATATTTATAAGGACAGTTTAGATTTAAAAATTTATAGTTTATAATTAATGCAGGTCATTTAGTGAATATTTTTGTAAAAGATGTAGATGTTGATGATAACTACGGTTTAAAATATCGTGTTTCATATTTTGACTCATCATCAAATCACGTGATGACTCATTGATTCGCTTATATGACTTTGAAAATTATTAATAACCATACAATACTTACCAAAACTCACATCAACACAGATACTCATTATGCCAAATTTAGTTCATGTTATAGATGTAGAAAGTGGGAATTTACAATCCCTTTTAAATGCTATAAAAAAAATTGATTCAACTTATCAAATAGTCTATATTCATAACCAAGAAGAATTTATTGCAAATAATGATCAAATTAAAAAATTAATATTCCCAGGTGTTGGAAATTATGGTCATTTTGTTCAACAAATTTATAAAAGACAATTAGATAAATTAATTGAAAAATATATTAATGATGGAAGAGATTTAATGGGGATTTGTGTTGGTTTACAAGCTTTTGTTGATGGTTCTGAAGAAAGTCCTAATGATAATGGTTTGGGAGTATTACCTTTAACATTATCCAAGTTTAATCTTAATGATCCTGTTTTTCAAGAGAAGGGTATCAAAAAATCTGTACCGCATATTGGATGGAATAGTATAGAAAGTATAATTGTTGATGGTAAAAAATTATCAGATGATAAATCATTATACGGTTTAAATTTAAATAATAAATATTATTTTGTTCATTCATATGGAGCTATCATTACAAAAGAAAATGAATCTAAAATAAAAGAATTGGAATCAAAAGGTTGGAATTTTGCATTTTCAAGATATGGATCAGAAAGATTTATTGCTGCAATAAATAAAGGAAATTTATTTGCAACTCAATTTCATCCTGAAAAATCAGGAATTGCTGGATTAAAAATCATAAAATCATTTCTACAAGATGAAAAATTTTCACAAATTCATAAATCAGATGTACAAGAAATTCCACTGGACATTGAAACTACAACAAGTGGATTAACAAGAAGAATAATAGCATGTCTTGATGTTAGGGCGAATGATGTTGGAGATTTAGTAGTGACTAAAGGTGATCAATATAATGTAAGAGAGACAAACACAGAAGGAGAATCAAATGTAAGGAATTTAGGTAAACCAATTGAATTAGCAACAAAATATTATTTACAAGGAGCAGATGAAATTACATTTTTAAATATTACATCTTTTAGAAATTCACCATTAAAAGATTTACCAATGTTGCAAGTTTTAAAAAAATCAGCAGAAACAATATTTGTTCCATTAACAGTTGGAGGAGGGATAAAAGATATGATTGATCCAGAATCAGGTGAAATAGTTCCTGCAGTTCAAGTTGCTGATTTATATTTTAGATCAGGAGCTGATAAAGTAAGTATAGGATCAGATGCAGTTACAATTGCTGAAGCATACTATGCAAATAATAAACAAAAAACTGGTAAATCATCTATTGAAACCATATCAAGAACATTTGGTAATCAAGCAGTTGTAATATCTGTTGATCCAAAAAGAGTATATATAAACAGCCCAGAAAACACAAAAATGGAAACAATAAAAATAACAGATCCAACAAAATATGGACCAAATGGTGAAAAATATTGTTATTATCAAGTTACATCACAAGGAGGTAGAAAAATTCATGAATTAGGAGCATTAGAATTATGTTTAGCATGTGAAGAATTAGGAGCAGGAGAAATATTATTAAATTCAATAGATTATGATGGATCAAATAAAGGTTATAATTTAGAATTATTAAATCAAATTAAATCTAATGTATCAATACCAGTTATAGCAAGTTCTGGAGCAGGTGAACCAAAACATTTTCAAGAAGTATTTGAAATGAATTGTGGTATTGATGCTGCTTTAGGTGCTGGATTATTTCATCGTGGTGAATATACGGTTAATGATGTTAAACGTTATTTACAATCTAATGGTAAAATGGATGTTAGATTAGATGATACTGTAGAATTATAATAGCATATAGATGTACATAGGTAATGAAATAGTCATGCAAAAGGCTTAGACCAATGTGAAACTTCAATGTGACGAGAAAATTGTGAAACACGTACTTCAAGCTTATTCTAGATTTTTCTCGTATAAAATATGAAACATTTACATTACTAAAAAACAATGTAATGATCGAATTTTTCTGAAACAAGTTATAAACTGACCAAACATAAAACAAAAAACGTGTAGTTACCAATTAATTTTTCAATTTTTCCTCGACCCAAACGTCGTGGCGTGGTACGAGATTTTGCCACCAAGTCGCCCTTTACAAACGAGAACTTTACCACTAAATACAAATAATATTTTCTCATAGAATGTAATAGAATATTCTTCTAAATGTAATGCGTTAATGCTTACTCTGATATTTAATTAATGAAAAATTTCCATTAGATCAAAAATTTATAAAATTTACCTCATCATCAATACTTTGTTCAATCAATCTCAAATATCAAATCAATTGAAATCATTTAACAATGTCTGACTCAAAAGTTGAAACTCATGAATTCACAGCTGAGATTTCTCAGTTAATGAGTTTAATTATTAATACAGTTTATTCAAATAAAGAAATCTTTTTAAGAGAATTAATTTCAAATGCTTCAGATGCCTTAGATAAAATTAGATATCAAGCATTAAGTGATCCTTCACAATTAGAAACTGAACCAGAATTATTTATTAGAATTATTCCACAACCAGGTCAAAAAGTTTTAGAAATTAGAGATTCAGGTATTGGTATGACAAAAGCTGATTTAGTTAATAATTTAGGTACAATTGCTAAATCAGGTACTAAATCATTTATGGAAGCTTTAAGTGCTGGTGCTGATGTTTCTATGATTGGTCAATTTGGTGTTGGTTTTTATTCATTATTCTTAGTTGCTGATCATGTTCAAGTTATTTCAAAACATAATGATGATGAACAATATATTTGGGAATCTAATGCTGGTGGTAAATTTACTGTTACTTTAGATGAATCTGGTCCAAGATTAGGACGTGGTACCATGTTAAGATTATTTTTAAAAGAAGATCAATTAGAATATTTAGAAGAAAAAAGAATTAAAGAAGTTGTTAAAAAACATTCAGAATTCGTTGCTTATCCAATTCAATTAGTTGTTACTAAAGAAGTTGAAAAAGAAATTCCAGTTGATGAAACTTTAGCTGAAGATGAAGATAAACAAGTTGATGGTGAAGACAAGAAACCAAAATTAGAAGAAGTTAAAGATGAAGAAGGAGATGATAAAAAAGAAAAAACTAAAAAAGTTAAAGAAGAAGTTACAGAAACTGAAGAATTAAATAAAACAAAACCATTATGGACAAGAAATCCTCAAGATATTACTCAAGAAGAATATAATGCATTTTATAAATCTATTTCAAATGATTGGGAAGATCCATTAGCTGTTAAACATTTTTCAGTTGAAGGTCAATTAGAATTTAGAGCTATATTATTTGTACCAAAAAGAGCTCCATTTGATGCTTTTGAATCCAAAAAGAAGAAAAATAATATTAAATTATATGTTCGTCGTGTTTTCATTACTGATGATGCAGAAGAATTAATTCCAGAATGGTTATCATTTATTAGAGGTGTTGTTGATTCAGAAGATTTACCATTAAATTTATCAAGAGAAATGTTACAACAAAATAAAATTTTAAAAGTTATTAGAAAAAATATTGTTAAAAAAATGATTGAAACTTTTAATGAAATTTCTGAAGATCAGGAACAATTTGAAAAATTTTATAGTGCATTTTCAAAAAATATTAAATTAGGTATTCATGAAGATTCTCAAAATAGACAAGCATTAGCTAAATTATTAAGATATTATTCAACTAAATCAACTGAAGAAATGACTTCATTACAAGATTATGTTACAAGAATGCAACCACATCAAAAAAATATTTATTATATTACTGGTGAATCAATAAAAGCATTAGAAAAATCACCATTTTTAGATGCTTTAAAAGCTAAAAATTTTGAAGTATTATTTATGGTTGATCCAATTGATGAATATGCAATGACTCAATTAAAAGAATTTGAAGATAAAAAATTAGTTGATGTTACAAAAGATTATGAGTTAGAAGAATCAGAAGAAGAAAAAACTAAAAGAGAACAAGATATTAAAGATTTTGAACCATTAACTAAAGCTGTTAAAGAAATCTTGGGTGATCAAGTTGAAAAAGTTGTTGTTTCAAATACTTTAAAAGATTCTCCTGCTGCTATTAGAACTGGTCAATTTGGTTGGTCAGCTAATATGGAAAGAATTATGAAAGCTCAAGCTTTAAGAGATTCAACTATGTCAAGTTATATGTCATCAAAAAAGACTTTAGAATTATCTACTACTTCACCAATTGTTCAAGAATTAAAAGTTAAAGTTGAAAAAGATGGAGCTGAAGATAAAACAGTTAAAGATTTAACAACTTTATTATTTGATACTGCTTTATTATCTTCAGGTTTTTCATTAGATGATCCTTCAAATTTTGCTCATCGTATTAATAGATTAATTGCTTTAGGTTTAAATATTGATGATGATCATGAAGATGAATCAAAACCAGAAGAAACTACTACTACTTCAACTACTGATGAACCAACTACTGAAAGTGCAATGGAAGAAGTTGATTAAATTGGTGAATGAAGAGTTAGTGGTAGGTTGTTTAACTTTGGTTGAAAAAATTTATGATGAAACAATCTTGTGTATACGTTTAATGTAATTAGAAGTCTATAGTTAAAAAAGTATTAAAAACTATTTACATTTAATTTTGTTGATACTCTATGTACAATTTGTTAAAGCTATCTCTCACTAAGTAACATAGTCGGTCTATCTTTACCATATAATAGACTGAAATTAATTTATTGAGTCCTTTCTGTAAAGTTACCTTAGCTCCGAACTTACTCAGTGCTGGGATGATAGGACCAAACGCTGTTATCTTGAGCTCTCTTGAATTTAGAATACACTGTTTCATGATGAAACAGACTTCAAGCTATGTTAGTGAATGCGTTTCCCATTATTTATCTTATTTAATAGTTTTTAATACATTTAATATTTTATGACACATCTATTTGCTAATTTTCTTAATTACCCCTTACTTTTCTTTTAATTTTTCCAATTGTTTGTCAATTTCATCACTCAGTTTAAAATAATTATCTCTAAACCATTTTAATTGATTAATACTTTCTAAAATATCAGATTTAGCAGTATGTAAATGTTGTTTAGGAGGTTGAAATTCCATAAGTTGAGGAAATTGTCTTTTACCAAATTCCATTATTGATGAAACATCTAATACTCTATAATTTAAAAATTCAACAACCAAAGGAAAATCTTTCATCATAAAAAATTTATCCATATGAATTGTATTTCCTGCTAATATTGCAGATTGTGGTTCGGCTATGTTTTTTTTTAACCAAGTTAGTAGATTTTGGGAAACTTTATCTAATGTTAAATTTGGATTCGACAAAATTTTATCAATTAATCCACTTTCTCCATGAGTTTTTAAACACCATTCATTCATTTTATCTAATTTAGATTTTGGATAATATATAGTACTTTCAAAAAAATTTGTTTCACCTCCTATAATTTCTAATTTTTCATTTGTTATAAAACAACAAATTTCTATAATTCGATCGTCTCCAAAAATATCTAATCCTGTCATTTCACAATCTATCCAAACTAATGGATTTTTTGATATTAATGTTGGGGGAGTTTGTTGAAGAAAAGTTTGGAATTGTTCTAATTTTGGTTTTTTTGTAATTGGTTCTTCAATTGATGATGTTGATGAAGAATCTGAATCTGACATTTTTGAGTATTTTATTTTACTGTTATATCTATTGAACTTTGGGGTTTTGGTATATCTAGTTATTGATCTATAATTTATTCTATGAATTGGAGCAGTTGATATACGTTTCAATAATAAAGTTGATATCATTTACCTTATCATTATCATGATAGAACCTGCAAATTTCTAAAATTTTCAAGAATCACAAAATCGAGAAGAAAAAGGTAAACAAAAATGAAAAATCTCGATATCGATATCATCAACTACTCTATCTACAATTGACAAATGTTGGAATCATTAATATACATCTACTATCTAATACATATCCCAATAACAATCCTAATAGATTCATCAGTAATAATCCCCAAACAATATCATTTACAAATAACAAAATATATATTAAATTTACAAATTAACCAGAATAAAGATTTTTTATTATTAGATCCAAAATTATGGTTTAAAATATTTATTACATTTGAAGTTGTATTTCAATTACCTTTATTTTTTTACTTCGTCATTTCTCAGAGGAAGAATAATGTTAAATATTATTTATGGGAGATTATATATGGATTTAATGCATTTTTTACGACTCTCGTATGTTTAATTTATATGAGTTTAGAATATAAAAATTATAATTTAACTGATTTGGAAATTTTAAAATTAAATGCGATTTATTTACCTTATTTAATTATACCTTTATTTATATTAATTAATTCATTTAAAACATTATCAAATAAAACCACATTCAAAACTTAAGTTATTTAATCATTAAATAAATAATCAAAATTTAAAATAAATTTTTCTAGATAAGTATTCATAAATCCAAAATTTTGAATTAATAAATCTAAATTTGAAGCTTCAACTAAACATGGACCTAAAACAGTTGATAAATTTGAACTATTCATTTTATTATATTGGGAATTTGAATTAATTAAAATTAAATGATTTATTAATTTTTTTAATGTATAATAATTATAATTTGGTAATTGATTTATTATAATTTTTATTTTATACATTTCAGTAGATTGTTTGTCTTCGTTATCTTCTTTATCGTCATGCTCATTATCTTCATTTTCTTTCTCTTTCTCTTCCTTTTCCTTTAATTCCTTTTCCTTCTCCTTCTGAATTTCTTGTTTTAATTCAAATAATTTTATTATAATATCATCAGGTATTAAAGAATCAGGTAAATCTCTAAAAAATGTCTTTATAATTGAAGTTAAAGTATGAATATCATAATTTTCAGGAGATAAAGTTCCAAATTTATCAATACTTATTTTTAAATTTTGTAATTCTAAAATTGAAGAACTAATTCTATAAATTCCAATTTCTTTTAAATTTTCAGATTTTTCAATTTCTTTATAAATTAAATCAAGAAATTTTGGAGATTTAACAAAATCTCTTGAACATAAATAATTTAAAGGTAATCCAAATGTTAAATTTACAACGGGTGTATTATTAATTTTAAAATTTAATAAACGACTTTGAAACCAATGTCTATTTGAAAAATTTATTAATATTAACCAATCATTTAAATCTTGATCTGATAATGTTTGAATTAATATTGAATTTTCATTGTTGCTGGTGTCTAAATCATCTGATTTTTCAATTTTAAAACTAAAAGGGAATAAATAAACTGGGAAAATTTTTTTATTTCTCAATGGTATAATTATAGATGGTTTGATTTTAGTGATTGGTGTTGTTGATGATGTTGAGTTGGTGGTGGTATTATTACTTAAATCAATTTGAGAATCTGGATTTGGTAATTCTTTAACATTTATTGATCTTTCAGAATTATTATTATTTAATGAATATCTTGATTTTGTGAATAATCCACTAATTTTAAATCTTGATGAAGAATTTGATTTATATGATAATGATTGCCTTTTTAATGAAGAATTTGATGGTTTTTTTGTAATTGTATGCATTTGATTTGTTATTGGTAAAGTTGATAAGTTTGAGCTATTATTAATATTATTATTATTTGTAGATGATATTTTTTGATTATTCGAATCAATTGCTGATTTTTTTTGATTATCAATAACCAATATATTATGTTGATCTTTTAGAACTTCTTTAAATATTATCGGGTTATTATGATTTCGATCATTATTATAATAAGAGTTTTTAATAATTAATTCATTTAATTTTAATAAAAATTCAAATTCTTTTGAATCATTATATTCAACATCATCAATATCTTCAATACCTAATTCTTTTATAAATTTAAAAATTAAATATCTTTTATTAAAATTAATTAATTGTTTATTATTGTTTGTAGTAGGTATATGAAACGACGGTATCTTATTCAATTCTATAAGATTCTCAATAATCCATCCAAAACAAGGTAATAAAGGTTCAAAATTTTGTAAATCATTTGTATTAATATTTGATGGAATTAAATCATTAATGTTGTTAAAATTTTTTAAATTAAAATTATTATGATCTAATGAATTTGAAGATTTTATCCATAATGATGAAAATTTTCTTGATTCTGGAGAATATATAACATTTATAATAGCAGTTTCAATACATGATGGTATATTACTTTCTTCATTAGTTCCTTCAAATATAAATTGATTATCATTCATTTTTAATTTTGATATTTTACACATTATAAGTAGTGTTTTCATTCTATCTAATCTTTCTTCAATTGTTATATTATTATCAATTAATTGAATTGATAAATAAGTTTTAAATCTAAAATATAATTTAAATAACTTCCTAAAAACTAATGGGAACTTTTTCAATATTAATTGACGATCAACTAGTAAAGTTTCAAAATAATTAAAAATATTTGAAATAATAAGTGCATCATCATTTGTATTCACACTTTGTAAATTAAATTCAAATAATAAATTTTTATCATAAAGATTTTCCATAATTTTATAAATTTCAATCCAATCTTCAGATTTTATCCCCTTATAAAAAATAGTTAATAATTTATTAAATTTATATAAAAATTTTTCAATTTTATGAATATTTTTATGACTTGGTAAATTTCTATTCATTGGTACTTCATTTAAAGAATTTGTAAATTTAAATTCATTTAAAAGATATTCATTAAATTTTGAAATTTCAATTGGTCTATATGATTTTTTAACAAATAATTTTTTTAATTTTTTATAATAAGATACTAAATTTTCAAATAATTTTTCTAAATTTGAATTTATCTTGTTGGAATTATACCATTGTAAAATTTCATTACTAAATAATTTTAATAATTTAATTAATGTTGTTTTGTTTGATAAATTTAATGAAAAATTTGAATAAAAATTATTTATTAATACAATTAATACTTTTAATATATTTATTTGAATTTTTAATAATAATTCATAATCAATTTCTCCTAATTCATTTAAATCAATACTTGAATCTAAATTCCAATTTGGAAAGTTAGCTTCTTCAATTGATCCAGACTTATTCTTGTTTAAATAATTTCTTTTCATAACTGATAAAACTGCATTTCCAGAATTTATAAATCTATGAGCTAATTTATCTAATAAATCTTTTGTTGTCATAAAAGTATTATAATTTAATAAAAACACAAATCTATATTCTGTTAAATCTAATTGAATATCATTATCAAAATTTTTTGAATCAATTAATAATAAATCAATTGATCTTTCAATTGTTATAAATTTTGGAATATAATACCAAATTTTTTTTTGGTGATCATTATTACTTGATTTTCTTGATTTTGGTGATAATGTTAAATTATTAAATTTTTCAGAATTTAAAATATCATCAACATCTATACCTAATCCAATATCATCTTCATCATCAATTGCAACATAGTCATCTGAATGAAATCCATTTTTATCATTACGATTATTATTATTTTTATTTTGGTGGTGATCAATTTCAACATAATCATCGATTCTAAAAGTTAATTCATCATCAATTATAAAATTATATTTTTCATTATATTCTTCTTGATTATCATATTTTTCAATATTTATTTTAAAATAATTATTATTAAAATGAGGTATAGAATTACATTTTGTAATTTCTTTTAAATAATTTTCTGGTAAATCTGGTTCAAGTATAATTGATAATTTCATAATTTTTTCTAAATCTATAGATTCACAATTTAATTCAATTAACTTAAGTAGCTGATTTTTAATATTAATATTACTACTAGTTGAAATTTCTAGTATATTATCTTGTATAGGATTTAAATCTTTATTATCTTGTCCAAATTGTAATACATGATTTAATGATTCATTTGAAAAAATAAATCCCATTGAATCATATCTTTTTAAAACTTCAACATTATAATTTATTATAGATTGATAATTTGATAAATTTAATAAATAATCATTCCATCTATCAAATGAATAATTAATTCTTTTCCAAATAGATTCAATTTCATAAATATCATTATTTTCATGATTATTTATTATTAAATCTCCAAAATATGGTATAACTTTTTCCTTTGGATAAATTTTACCTAATCCTCGTGGAGCCATTATATGATAAGAATCTTTTGAAGAATCTGCCGAATTAGGATCTGTTGATGATTTTGATTCATTTACTAAATATCTTCTATCTAATTCAAATAATACTGGACTCCAATCATTTTTTAATAATTTTATATATTCTGGTGATACAAGAGACCAAATTTTATTTAATCTTAAAACAGGTTGTGATAAAATTATTGATGATATACCTAACCATGAAGACATATTACCAGATTTATCTAATAAACAACCTAAATCAATCCATTTTTCAATAATTTTAGCTTTATTTTCCATTAAATTATGATTTGAACTGTTACTGGTGTTATTTTCCAAAAATAAATGATTTATTAATAATCTTGATAAATAATGAATATGATAATTATTATTATAAATTAAAGGATTTTTTTTATAAAAATTATTGTTCTCATCACTTCTAATTGATAATGATAATAATAAAGATTTATCAATATTTGAATTCCAATTTTTAAAAAATTTTAAATCTATTTCACTTATAATTTTTGAAAATTCAATAAGATTTATATCTTTCATAAATATTTGTGAATTTAATTCTTTAAATGGATTCGCCGTTACATTATTATTTATTAAATTAATAAGTAGTTGTTGTCGCTTCAACATTTTTTGTTTAAAAATTTGAATTTTATTATTTTTAATTTGTAAAATTTCAATAATTTTTAAAATATATGGTGCAATATCTGATTTTAATAAAAATCCATTAAAATTTTCTTCTATATTATTTAAAATTAATATAATTCTTTCTATTATAATTGTTTCATTAATTTCTTCTTTAAATTTTTTATCAAATATAGCCAGTATATAAGATGATATAAATTTTAAAATTTTATTAAATTCAGGTAATATTGGTATTATATTAATTAATGTAGTTAATGTTTGATCTTGATTTTGAGAGAACATTATAAAATGAATTATTGATTCTAATGTATTTTGATCAGATTGAAATAATTTTGTTTGAAATTGTTGTAAATCAAAATCATATGCTAATTGAGGATGTGGGAATTTAGTTGAGAAATATGTTATTTGATCAATATCTGAGTTAGTTGTTGTAGTTGTTGTTAATGTTGTTGTAGTAGCATTAGTTAACAGTGGTACTAAAGTAGTTAAATCACTTAAATTATTATCTCTTTCTTTTTCCTTTTGATCTTCTTCATGTTCTTCAATTTCACTACTAAATTTAAAATTTTTTATATTTAAATTTGGTGAAGGTTTATATAAATATAAATGTGAACCTTTTAATTCTGCTCTATATAATCTAAGATTTTGTTCATTAATTTCTCCATTATTTATTATATTAACCCAACTATTTTTTATAACAATATTATCATAATCTGGTTTGACTAATGAATGAAATTTTGAAATTTGATTTGATATAGATGATCCTCTTGTAGGGATATATGAAGAATGATTTCCATTTGATGAATGATTATTATTATTAGTGGTGTTTTGTCCATTATGATTTATATTACTATTTGAACCATTTGAATGTTGAGTATTTCTATAACCTCCAATACTTGATCTTGTAGGTATTTTATCTAAACTTGTAGAAGAATAATTGGGTGATTCTTCAGATATTGAAGAAATATCATCATCAATAGTATAAAATGATTGATTTGAATCATAATTTATTTGTGAAATTATATTATTGTTATTTGGATTGCTATTATCAAAAGTTGAATTATTTTGAGTTAATGGTGATTGATTAGATGGAGTAGAGAAACTCTTTCGTTTCTCTTTATCTCTTCTATTCCAAATTTTCCTCATTTTAGTAGTTTTTGATTAGATTAAAATGAAAAAGGGAGTAGGTATTAGATAGCTGTTTTTGATGGTAGATTTCAATATAATAGTTGATTTTATTAGTCTGATATGTATGGGTGAGTTAGATGATTATATGATGTATTAATATGTATAGTACAGTAGTAATAAGTATATTCTTTAGTTTAATAGTTGGTTGTAAAAATGAAATAAGGTTGTAAAAATAGAAAATAATTGTTGATCTCTTTCTCGTTATTAAATTTTATAAATTTGCGTGTAATTTGAAAAATCAGGACAATAACAATACAATGCATGAACAAATACAATATAAAGTAAGAGATAACGATATACTAAGGAGATGTATGGGATGAATGATCTACATTAACAATTTCTGAATGAACACATTTGTAGGAGGATCAATTCAAAGATTAACAGTATTATAGAAAAATAAAAGATTACACCATTTATTATTGACGATTATAAAGTTTTACGTGACGTACAAGAAAGAAAAATGGTTATAAAACACTAAGGTGAGACAGATGTTTGATGGAATGTTCTACTCAATCAAAAGTTGGTGATTGTAACAAACTGTTTGTGACCAAGATAAAGACAATAAACTATTTATGAGTTGTCCCTGAAACTAGTTAATTCATAGTCTAGTTTTAATTGATTTTCGAATATGCTACAAAAACCTTTGTTAAATCCGATTGTTTCAATCAAATATTATGAAAATAAAAATTTTATCAGTCCATTTGGAAAAATATATTTTTTCACTTATTAAAATGGTTTGTAGTATTGACGATCACTTAAAGCCACTTTACAACGCTCGTTGTTGGTTGTTTCAAATTACTTTCTCCAATGTTCCTTAATTATCATTCTAATTTGATACGCGTTTTAAATTGAAAACATATCTGAAACAAAACGTTTTTTGGTATGATAAGTGGAGGTTAATAAAAAGGGTCCATTCACTCATCCATTCATATGTTTCTCATTATTTCATGGAGTCAATATACAAATTCAAGTAAATTTTGAAAGTACCTTATTGTTGATTGTTCAATTATAAAAAAAATCTACAAACCCTTTATTATTATTTATTTTCCTATCGTCTAAATTTTAATTAATTAGATCAGACCGTACACAAAACTTCTTTCGGTTAATTAGTAGTACCTAAATTTAGAATTAATAATTAGTCGAACGCGTCTAATTGTTTTTTCGTAAAAATTATTTATATTATTTGTAATTAGGAACACATAGTTTACTAAACTAGGTCATTTATTTGTATTTCCCGACATAAATATTCTCGACATTGATTCAAATTTTGCAACCATTAAGTCTCTACATGCCATTAGATAAATTCAAACAGAAGATTCACCGTTCGAGAGTTTTAAAGGGTAGAGTACTTTGCTCTGTAACATAATATAACTGGCTGTCTACAATTTACCTGATTAATTTATTTCCCGAAGAACACTTGCAAGTTTAATTCAGTATAGAAATGAAAAACAATGATACAACAAATAGGAATTGGAAAAGTGTCAGGAAATAAAACATTAAATTTCAAAAGATAGGTGAGTAGATAAAAAGAAAGAAATCTAAGTCAAGGATAGATAGAACTTAGTGTTGGTGAGTTCAGTAGCACCAAAATTTAGTAGAAAATCTTCAAAGTCAAATTTAACTGGCATAATAAACTTAAAACTATATTCTTATCCAAAACTTCTATCTAGTATGAGCAGGTGGAGGACCATCAGGTGAATTATAATCATTTTTATAATCTCTAGATTGTGGCATATAACCACCAGTACCACCAGTACTACTTCCTTGATTATTATATTCATTAGCAGGATAAGGTGGAGGAATATAACTACCATATTGTTGTTGAGGTGGTGGAGGTCCATAATTATTCATTGGCATTGGTGGTGGTGGTTGATGAGGATGATAATATACACCATTTGGTGGTGGTAATGGTTGTTGAGGATTATTATAAATTGGTACAACTTTTCTTTGATTTTTTCTTCTTCTCCAACAACATAAACCTAATAATATTAAAAATATTGGTATTAAAATTAACCAAAATAACCAACGTCTTGAATCATTTGTATAAACAAATCTTTTTATTAGTTGTTGTTGTTTTTGATGATTTATTAACATATTGGGAATCGAAAAAACAATATTTGTCTGAATTGTGCTGTATTACTCTGATCTATGAAATCTAGGTTGATCTATTGTCTATTAGTGATGGATCGATAAATATTGATCTGGTTGATAAGAAGTAAAGAAAGAAAGATTTAATTGATTGATAAGTTTCTTATAATAACTTTAAAAATTTTTTACACATTACTTCCAAATATAATTATTTAAGTTAAGTGTACACTCAGTTGATTTGAATACAGAATTTCTTGGTGTATCATTAAAATAATATTCTTTATTTTTTCTTAGTGAATGATTGGGGTATAGCCTTGACTTTCGTAACCCTTATAAATCTAAGCTCAAAGACAGCGATATCGCTAATTTTTTTCTCAACCTTGATTACATTACTACAGCTATACTCTTGTGTAAGATGAGTACCGTCAATTTAAAAAACAATAATGTGATGGTCATGAAATCATATTAATGTGAGTAAAAATATAGACTACAAATGAAACCTGATTTTGTGTTAATATAAGGTTTCAGTTTTTGTTACTGAGCCTTAATAAGTAACTCAAACGGCTTAGATTTTATATTAAGTGCATGCAGATAACGACTCATTATTAATTTCCTAAAATTAAGATTGTCACCACAACAATTCCATTAACACATTTGTTGTTCACTTCATAACTATTCCAGACCTTGGCAGTGTGCTGACAGACATCGAAACTGTCGGTTTCACGAAGTATTTAGCTCAAGAAACACTCAAGTCTAGAGTCAGTAGATTCAAATTCAGACAATTGGTAGCGAGTATATCACTCAATATTCAAACTTCTTCTATCTTTTAATTGCGGAGGCAAGTATAAAATTGCAACAACATCTTGACTTTATCATACCATGTCAACAAATCTATCAGATGAACAAAAAAAACGAATAGTACGTGTCATTTTGAATCATTCATTTCATACAATAACCAAGTTTACTAACACAGCTTTATAGGAAGAAAATAGACAAAAAAATCTAGCGAGATTAAAACGAAATAGAACTTCAAAAGATGATCAAAATGGATCACCAAATTTATTAAAACGAAAAATAACAAAAACTTTTGAAACAACTGACAAAACATCCCCAAAACGATCTATAAATCAAGTAATCACACCTGAAGAAACATCATATAAATCTAAATTTATACAATTTAATGAAGATAATTCAATAAAAAGATCAAAAACTCAAGAAGAAAGAAATAAAGTTGAACAAAATAGATTAAGAGCAATAGAAATTCAACAAAATAAATTACGTGAAAAAGAAAAACAATCATCAACAGCAACTGCATCTGCAGCTAGCTCAAATATTTATAATGATCCTAATGTTAAACCTCAACAAACTACTTCCCTTGAAGATATTAGATTAAATAAAAATCATTCAGATTTTATATTTGATTCAAAAAAGGGGAAATTTCAACCACCACCAATCAAAAAAAAAGATTATATAGAATTTGATTTTGCAACAATGCAAGATTCAAAAGGAGGATTTATAAATGATGAAACTAAACCAAGACATGATGAAGAAACATTAAATGAATGGAAAGAAAAACAAAAAAAATTAGAACAATTAAAACAATCAGCTCCTCCACTAGATATTAATCAAGCCCCCAAATGTTATGAATGTGAATCATTAGATATTGATTTAAATTTATTTACAAATTTTAATAAAGTTAGAGCATGTAGAAAATGTATAAAATCCAAACCTGAAAAATATTCATTATTAGTTAAAACAGAATGTAAAGAAGATTATTTATTAACTGAACCTGAATTACAAGATCTTAGTATATTACCAAGAATTGAAAAACCAAATCCTCATGGATATAGTAAAATGCAATTATTTTTGAGATTTCAAGTTGAAGAATTTGCATTTAAGAAATGGGGATCATCAGAAGGATTAGATTTAGAATGGGAAAGAAGAGAACAAAACAAATTAAAGAGGAAAGAAAAAAAATATCAAGAATCTTTACAAGAAATGAGAAAAAAAACAAGAGCTGAAGAATTTACAAGAAAATTAAGAGATGGTAAACTGTTAAATTATAAACATTTACATGATTGGAGTGCTCCTTTAAAAATTGATGATCATACTATAAAGAAAAGATGTATTGATTGTGGAATTGAAATTGAAGAAGTTATAATTTGATTTTTGAAAGTGTTTGCTTCTCCTGGTGGGTTATATTTTAATAGATATCTTTAATGATTAATGAATTTATTATTTTGTAATATTAATAGACATAACTTTAATGGAAATTTGGTTGAAATTTCATTAGAAATTTAACATTTAACATTTGTCAAACATCAACGAAACGTCAAATAATTAAAAAATCTTGATAAAAGGTTACTCTCTATCAATCTCATATCTGAACAACCCAACTTGTGTCTTCTCTGCGGATAGAAGATCAGTTTGGTATCAAACTCAAAACCGAACTATCAAAACTGTTGCAACGAAAAAAAAGGCTTCATTTAATCTCCGCGCGGATCAAAGTAATTTAGAAGGAGATTAAATTATCCTCGAAGAAACAAAACGATGGCAAGTAAAAATATTCAAACATCAAAATCAAAGCCATTATTGATTGAAGTAAACATTATTGAAAAGTTTAGGGGTAAAAAGGTATTAATGAATAAAAAACACATTGCCAATTGACGTTGATGGAGATAAACTTGTAAGTATGTAAGTATGAATATTCGTAAAAATGAAAAAAATCTCGGTGGTCTATATATAGTAAATTAGATCCAAAACTGCGGTTCACTTAACTTTATAACATATTAAATCAAGTTACAAAGGTGTCAATTTAAATAACTAATATAAGCCTGTTTTACAATAAGATTTGTAAAGATTATAAAGATATATCACGGCTGTATTGATTCAGTTATAAACATAGAATGCGCTTACTTAATTACTTACGTAATCGTAAATTATTAAGCAGTTTTTTCTTTCAAAAAAGACGAAATAAAAATCTTTAAACGTCGTCCAACAAAGTTTATTATTGTTTAATGTGCCGTTATAGGTAAGGACGTGAATTTTGTAATGGCCAGTTTTGAATGATCTTTTGCTATTGAAATCATTAACTTATCATCAACAACAAAGGCATGTAAATCAAACTAGTCAAAGAAAATTTTTTCACCAAAATCCCGTTATTACAGGAAAAGCAACTTCATCAACTGATTCAATTATTGAAAAAGTCAAAAAAGATGAAACGAGAGTTAAATATAGCAAATAAGTTTTGTTTTACTTGACAGAGATTCAACCTTATTTTCAAGTGAAATTGATCAAATCAATATCCACAAGGTTACTGAAGAAATGTCAAATACATTTATAAGAGACAGACAAAATAAAGGCACTGTAAATAATTCCGTTATAGGTGACATTGCTAAATCAGTTTGTGTTGAAGAAACATCTTTACCCATCTTGATGCCTCCCAAACACGAAATTATTGGATGAAGATGCTTCTTTAACACAAAATGATTTAGCAAAAACCAGTATTTTAATAGACAATGTGGTTGTTGAAATGGAAAATCGTACAATATCAGGAGACTTTTTCAAACTTCACAAGACCACTGCCCCAATTTTTTTTTAGGGAGTTTGAAGAAGTAATTTAGATTTGAAGATCATGAACAGGACATAAATGAAAAATTAAATGTGCACTACGTCAAGGAAAGATTGCACTTCAAAGAATACCAAACCAAATGTTCAAATTCAGTTGATTTACTTAATGATGAAGAAGTGAAACGTAATTTTACCACTATTGTTCGTTATTTTAAGAACAATGTTTGTCCTTTTTTTTGAAAGCAATTACAAGTATGCTTCAAGATTTGGAAGAAATTCAAGTCACCTGTTAAACAAGGTTCATTTGAAGTTACCAAGGCAAAATTTGATGTCAAGAAATTGATAACTTTAATAGTGGAAGATCATTTAAACCTAGTTATTGCAATTATTGAGTCATTAGCGCTGTAATTCATTATCAGACTAATGAAGAAACAGAAAATTTGCAATTGATTTTGTCAATTTTCTTTCAAAGGAAAGTAAAACAAAGTGAAAGTTTATATTGATGCAATTTCAATTCAGATAAATTTTGAAAATGGAATGGAAAGTGTTAAGTTTGAATTAGAACTTTTCAAGCAAAATATCATAAAACTTTGGTAAATTATCATACATAATTGAGGTAACAATTTCATCGATATCAATAAAAACCCGACTCAAACTCAAGATTTCACAAATATTTACTTGTAAAACATTTTCAATTAATATATCGTTAGATAATAAGTCAAAAAGATATATTCCACTTGCTTTTAATATTCAAACCTTTGCATTCATTTATTGATCCTTGAGAAAAAACTAATGAATGAATGAATGAAAGAAAAAGAAAAAGAAAATAAATAAAATGAATGAAATATCGTTTTTGATTTATCCTCTACCGACATGACAATTGAAAGTGTTTTTAAGAAAAAAGCATATTTAAAAGGAGATTCTACAGTTATTTAAGAAATATTATCTTAGAAGTGTAAGTATCGTACCGGTGGAGTGTACATCTTAATTATAAATAACAGAAGAGGGGTGGTACAACTGTTATTTTTCTGTTTTAACTTTGTATAATACTGTATCGAACCATATAATATTATTAATCTTAAAAATTGGAGAAGTCTAAATTATTTGCTTCTTTTAACGAAATATTTTATATCTTGATAATTCATTTTAGCAAGTTATTGAGACTAGTTCTTTTAAGTCTAAGGATTAATCATTCAGCAAAATTGAATTTAAAGAACAAAAGCAACCTCTCAATTGGTAAACTGGTAATTAGATAAGTAGGTTAGGTATGAACAAATTTAGCTTATGTACTTAAGACCACTGTATATTAAATTAATTAAAAGCGGCTGAAGGAAATTAAATGTTTTAGGCTCTAATAATAAATTTTAAGGTGCGGTTTTACGAATTTATCGAAATCGATCGAAGGATATAAAAGAATTGAATGTTTTAACCTTACCACCGAGTTTGAACCCAGATTTAGTGTTAAACGGTTAAAGGCAGGGCAATTAACATACTTATAATATTTACGAAGATAAAAGGCTTTTATTACATTACTTAATCATAGCCTTTTGTTAATATTTGACGTATTACTGAATGGTTTTTAAAACAATCAATGTAGAAAAATGATTCATTCTTTTTATTTTTGAATTTTATTTTAGTTTTTATTTTGGTTTTGATTTTAGTTTTGATGAGTCTTTGGTAGACTATATTTAGACTTCAGCACTAAATAGTATTACTTCGCCATTTAAACTTATCGATGTTGTTATTATTCTTATACATTAACAATAATTGTAGTCATATGCTTCTATCTTTCTCGATCCTTTCAAACAGGTTGTTTACATTGGTAATAATGAGTAATTATACAATACTTCCTATCCGTTCCATATGATTTAGTATCCTTATGTTTATTATGTAAATTAATGTATCTAATGAATTGATAATCAAAAATGAGTTTATATCCGAGACCGAGATATTAATAAAATAATAAAATAGAACAAGGAACAAAACCAAAAAAGAACAAAAAGAACAATAGAATTATTAGTGAATTAAACGGTTATAGGAACATAAAATTTTTAATGTAGGTCCAGATTGAAAGACCTCATCGTAATACCCGTAAGTTGAACTGGACTTAGTGGATAGTTAAGTAACTGTTAAAGAGTATCTCTCAACGGTGTACACATTATCTATACTTGAAATCTTCTTCATTCTAGAATCAAGAAGGATGAGTAAAAGGAAAAGAAGAAGTAAGAATTCGTCAACAGAACTCTTACTAAAAAACCTTAAAGTTTAAAGTTGGTTAGAATAGGCTGAGATGAAATAGATTGAATAGAATAAGTGGATGATGGATATTATAGAAATATTATTAAGTAGTGTATTTAAGTTTAAATGTTTATCGTATTAATCATCAAATTTAAATAATATTTGCGATTATGTAATGTATTAAGTAATACTATATACTAAGGCTTAAGTAATACGGTCTACGGATATTTGCATACATTTTTGTTAATAAGCGTAAATAAAAAACAAGCCATCTTATATCCGAATTGTATAATCAAAACACAAATTTATAATTACATATTACAACCAGAAGGAGTTAATAGAATAAGTAAATTAAGAAATATATATAAAGATCAACAAATCCATGTTGTGATTTGAAAGAAGGAATATATCTTAACTCTAGGATACAATAATAAAAACTCAACTTATATATATCACATATAACATATTAAGTAAAAATGTCAACTACTACAACAACAACAACCACAAATAGTTCAAACTCATTATTTAAAAAGCATTCAAAAACATCATTATTAACAAAATCATTATCAAATCCTCAAATATCATCAAAAAATGAAATTTCATCACCAATATATCCATGGAAATTAGAATTTGATAAAACTTTAAATCAATATTATTATGAAAATTTAGAAAATGGTTTAATATCATTTGATTCTCCATGTGAAGTAAATTATAAACCAACAACCACTTCCACTAGTGGTTTCTTCAGTTCCTTAAAAAGAAAATTTACAAATGGTACATCTAACACAAATTCAAATTATAAATGTATTCATTTCCAAAAATCTTTAAGTGGTTCTTTAAAATTATCAAGGTCTAATAATAAATCAAATGATACTATTAAACAACAAAAATCTCAAGAAACAGAACAACAAAAAGAAGCAGAACAAGAAACACAACAACAACAACCTCAACAACAAACACATTCTTCACCAATCAATATCCCAACAAAATTTAATGAAAATACTCATCAATTATCAAATAATTCATATGAAGAAAGTATAATAAGTATAGATTCAGATAAATCAATAGAATCTCAATTACAATCAGATTATTATTATGATAACACCACAACCAACGAGGAAGCTAATGATTATGATTCAGAATTTGAAGAAGAACCTATAGAAATTAAATCATTTAATTATAAATATAATGATAATTTTTATAATTATTATTATAATTATTATTATGATCAAGAAAAGAAAGAAGATGTAAAAGATGAAATAAGAGATGAAGGAAGAAAAGAAGATTCAAAAGAAATGAAAATGATAAGTAATTATTATTATGATAATTCTATTTCTTCAAATAATAATGAAATTGATGAATTATATGATTTAAGATTAAAATTATTTAAAGATTTATATTAATTTCAAATCTTTTGATTGGTTGGTGATTGGTAGGTGATGATAGTTGGTGATGAATTCTTGATGAGTTTGGGTTTTAGTTCTTCTTCGATTTATTCGTTTAATTTTTGGGTTTTGTATTTAATTCTTTTAGCTACTGTAAATAGTTGTGAATATTTAATGAAATTGTTTATATCTTAATATTTATCAATCGTAGAGATTGAGAGACTAGGGATGGATTCCTATCTGCGAAAAGAAAATACAACTAGATTAAGTCCGAGTCTGTTAAAACCAAGACATTTAAGTGCTTTTGATTTTTTTCAGTTGTGTAATGACTTTGGCATTTAAAAGGTTCAACTGTTCACTCTGAATTGATGATCTTGCCGTAATTGCGTGGATTTTCTACACACTCAAAGGTTATGGAGTTTCGCAATGCGTTCATTACCTTGGGGATTCACAAAACCAGCATGGGATATTTCTTTGGATCTGAATATAGTGGGCGCTATGTGAATAATATCTTAATATGAAAAGATTGTATGTTTCAAAATGATCCCAAAGATTTCTTTTGCTCATTTGCTAATTCCACTGGTCTTGGTGGACATTTACCTATTAAATTGATGGTTACAATTCTCATCAATTAGCTCGCTGGAACAAATTTGAGGTTGATGTAAACATTATCATGAATTTAAATGTCTAAATTCTTGCAGTGAAGATCATCGTGAAATTTGTTGTCAGCACGAGCGGGCTATAATTACATCAATCTCAAGTTTGTTCCAGCAATACTTGAAGTTGAAACCAAAGAATTTACCTCCTTCACTTTGTTTCCAATTTATTGGCCTTATCAACTTTTACGTAAGGTTTCTGAGGTAAATTATGGACATGAGAAATAGAATCTTTACGTTTCACATTCTTCATGGTGTCCCTTATATAGTGTTTAGTTTTAGAATAATCATTGTTGTATAATTAGAATATAACTAAATACCAAAAGCTTGAAAAACCTTCAAACTACAATATGTTTTTTGTTATTTCAAATGATCTTGAGCTCATACATAGAAGCATGCTTATATCTTACGCTTCTTCAAATTAATAATTTTTTCATCTTCATCAATAATTAAACCTCTTATAAGTTTATCCATAATTTCATTAGTTGTTAATGAATCATCAATTAAAAAATGATTAGATCCACAAAGATTAAATCTAATATCTTCTCCTTCATCAAAAGTAACATGAGTAATATAATAATAAAGTTTTGCCAATAAAGATTTATAACCAAAATAACTCCATCCATAAGGTGGTAAATCTTCTTTCGATTCTTCATAATTTTTAATTATATTTCTTATGAATGTTGTTTTTATACATCTTGCTTGTTTACCACTTATTAATTTAGTCATTATAGTTTCTTGCGATAAAGGATAATGCAAATTTGAAAAATATGATGAAGTTGTAGACTCTGGCGTAGCTAAAAATATAGTGCCCAATTGAACAGCATCTGCTTCATTATTTAAATACCAACTAATTGAAGAGGAATCCATTATACCACCGGTAGGAATTAAAAATGGTATTTCATCTATTCCAAGTGTATAATCCAAATAATTTTTTGATTTTATAAATAATGATTTTGTTGATAAATATTCATCTTGAGAATCAGGATCTAAAAAGTTACCTCTATGACCTCCAGCTTCTGAACCTTGTAAAATTATTCCATCTATTAGATTAATTTCATATGGACTTCTTTTAAATGGCCATTTCTCATGCCAATAATAAAGTTCATTGACTTCAGCTACTGAAGTTGCAGTTACAAATATCATTATTCCATTTTTTTGTAATTTTGCAATTGTTTTTCTTGAAGGAAAACCAAAATGAAAACTTATAACTTTTGGTTTTATTTCAATTAATAAATCAATTAATTTATTTATTGAATTTTCATTTTTTTCAATTTCTTTAAATGATATATTACCATTTTGAAAATTTATATCATTTATTACTTTATCAAAATCATGTCCATATTGACTTAATGTTTTTTTATATAAATTTTTCCAATTTTCAAATTGTTTCTCATTTGGTTCTTCAACGATATCATGACAAAACAAATTTAAATTCATTACATGATAAAGTGATTTATCATTCAATTGACTTCTATATTTTGCAATCATTTCTTTTAATTTATCAATTGATTCCAGCTCTAAAAAATTTAAAGTTGATAATGGTATTGATCCTAATCCTCCTTTATTTGTAACAGAACTTGCCATTTCAATTGTTGATACTCCTGCCATTGGAGATTGAATTATAGGATACTTTATACCTAATTTTTGTACAAGCGAAGGTTTTGACATCTTTTTGATGTTCCAACTTTGTTTTGTATTTGATTGAATGGGTAGAAAAATAGGATTATAAAAAGTAAGGTTTAGACCAATTGTTTATAATTTTTCAAAGCGGGATTATAATAATTTTGTCGGAGTTAATTATTTTTGTGTCTTAAATAAATTTCTCGAGACTTTCAACGGTAATTCAATCAAAAGGATTACAAGCTTACTTCAACTACAATTTTGAAGAATTAATGTCACTAAATGATCAATCAGGACAATGCTACAACTATAGAAGAGAAGGAAGATGAAATAGAGCAACTACATTCCACAAACTTAAAAGTATATGGATACCTAATTTTAATATCAACTTGGTTTTTATTTATAATAACAATAATTTCATTTTTTAAAATTTGGAAATTTATAATATATCCATTACATATCAATGAAATATATACTAAAATTTATGAATTTTGTGAGTTAATTGATTCAATTATTATAAAATTATGGTGTATTTATATTGTATTCTGGTGGTGGGCTTTTATTTCATGGACTGGCTTAAAATTATTTAGACATTCAAAAGGTATACAAACTTAAGAGATTCTCGAAACAACTTGATACATTCGATTTACATAGTTCAAACAAGTATTAAAACAAGTTTTCCACAGACCTTAAGTCCATGTGAGAGTTATTCAAGATGTTGTTGGTGCTTATTCAAAAATTTACATAGAATTAAGGAAGAAAACGATTATAAAATGAAGGGGATACTTCTTCATTGCATTTTCTTTGAAATGAGACTCCCGATTCGGGTTGGATTAAGAAGTCTGTGAATACGACTTGAGAGAGAATATCATTAAGTTAGATTATAACCTTAAAGTGACAACGTGGACCAATTAAGTTAGACAAGTTCAGATTGGAATAGTGAAATCATTAAAATATAGAATTTACAATCATAAGATCTATTAAAAATCTATTTAAAAAGCATCAATCATTATACCATCCTGTTGTTGTTGTTGATCATTTCCAATTAGTCTAGGTTTACCAGCTAATAATTCCCTTCTAATTTCAGGCCCAATAGAATGATGAAATCTTTGACGAACAGTTTCTAATAAAAAATCTCTTTGATCATCAGTTATATCATTCTTATAACGTTGAGCAAATGATAAAAATGATTTATGCCAAACTAAAGGTAATTGGGGTATATCTTTTTTATTTTCATTATCAATTTCAATGGAATCTTGAGTTACATTTCTAAATCTCATAAAATAAAATACTAATTCATCTAATGTTTGATAAGGTAATGCATACTTTTTTTCAATTAAAACTCTTATAAATACAGTTGTCGCAGGTGAAAAATCTCTTGTTAATAATTGAGTTAATGCAACTGATGAATGTAATACAGGAATTGAAACTTTCGTTAATACAGAAGCAGCTATAGTAGCTTCTCGTACTGAACAATATCCATCAACTAAAGGTAACAAGAAACCTTTGAAAAAAGCACCAGGTTTATATAATGATTTTTTCAAACTTCTATAAATATGATAATTTAAATGATGATCATCTGAATCTTCTATAGATGAACGAAATTTTTCTAATAATATCATTTCAATAAATTTTTGAGCTTCATTTGATTGTAAATTCGATACAAATAATTTAGTTGCTTCGTAAGTTGCATGAGGAGTCCAATTATCAGGATTTGTTACATATAATACATCTTTCCAATTTTTTAAACTCGGTAAAATTTTAAATAATTTTGGTAATTTTCCATGAGTATATGTTGATAATATTTTACCAATTTTTTCATATGCCATTATAACTTTTGGAGGTAGTAATACTGCATCTTCATTATCCGGTTTTGATTGTGATGTATTTGATAATTGTTGTTGATATTCTTTTTCTTGAATTTTAGCTAATATTTTATCTGCTAAATTTATTGATTGTCCTTCTTCCGCCGTTGTTGATGATCCATTTGATTGAAAATATTTATTAAATAATTCTGAGTCTTTTTCATCTACTTCTATTTCTTCATCATCATATACTATTTCTTCTTCTTCTAGGTCTGAATATTCAATATCTGATTCTTCTTCTTCTTCCTCATCACTCTCTATATTAGAAGGTGTGAATCTTGTAGGTATTACCTCTCCCTCTTCTTCATCTTGTTCTTCTTCATCTCGAAGTTCATCTTGTTGCTCCTTCGCCAATTGTAAAATTTTTCTTGAACTTACTGCATCAAGATAACCTTCTTCTTGTTCCTTTTCCGATCTTTTAGTTTTTGATTTAGTATTCTTCGCTTTTGTTGTTGTTCTTGGAGTAGATCTTAAATTCCCACCCAGGGACGATATATCTTTTAATAAAGGATTATGACGTGGTTTTAACTTTGAATCTGTTACTTTCCCCATTCTTTAAACTGAGATGTTTAATGATTGATAGAGATAAAATGAAAAGTTACAAGAAAAAAAAACATGTTTTAGACATTTCATCTCATCGTTACATTAATAAAATCTATATATGTTCATAAGATATCTTCACAAATAATGAAGAATAAACTAATTGTTCACCAAATAAATCATTTAAAAACAAATATCTATAACCTTGTTTTAAATAATTTAATTTAACTACTGAAATAGCTAATGGTATAATATCTGACTTATCTTGTAAAATTGAATTTACTATAAATTTCACAAAGATAAAATCTTTTGAACCAGATATAATACCACTAAATTTCTCATTCCAAATAGGATTAAATCCATTATTTGAAACCATGAAAGTATTTTGTTGTGTCATTGATTCATGATCCCAATTAACTGAATCAGCTCCAATAATTTCAAATGATATAAACGGACTTATTACATCATCAATTAAATCTTTTGGTTTAGGTAATTGATGAGCACTTATAATTTCAATTTCAAATTTAATTTTTTCAATATCAGGTTTTATTAATTTATAAAATTTTGAATTTTTAATTGTTGGTTTTCTTAACTCTTTAGGTTTTAAAACATAACCTTTTTTATTAACTCCTTCAAACATTGCTTCATTTAATTGTTGACCTAAATCATAAGTTTGCCAATTTGTTGCAACCATTTGAACACCATGTTTCCAATAATTTATAGGATTAAAATTTGTTGATCTTAATCTCATTTTTGATGGATAAACTCTTAGGAAATATTTTTTATTATGTTTATCTAATGACATAGTTTTAATTTCATCTTTTAACATATTATTTATTGTTTTTTCATTTAATGAAAAACAATGATTATAAATTTTGGATTCAGGTAATGAAAAATTTCTAAATTTTATTCCTTGAATATATGTACCTAATTCACTTAATTGATCAATTATTTTTGGAACTTTTGATTTTCTTTTAAAACTAAAAGCTGAATTTATACTTGAAGATTTAGATGATGATCCATTATCTTCACTGAAAGATGTTGTAGTTGTAGTTGATGATGTAGTATAACTTCCGCCTTCAGTTTCAATTAATTGATTAAAAGGACTTGTCTTTTTAGCTTTAATTAGAAATTTATGTTTCATTTCTTCAGGTGATGGAATGATTGGTTGATTATTTATTGGAGTTGTTATTAAACTTGATCCTAAAATATCTTTTAATATTGAAACAACTTTTAATTGAAATTTAGATGAACAATTAATTTCTAAACTTATAATTAATGGATATGGTGTAGTAATGAATGCAAATTTTTGAATAGTTCTAATTACATTTGAAAATTTAATTGATTTAGTGAATGTTCTTCCATGATTGACTATAGGTTCAAAATCTTCTCCATTAGATTCATCTTCTAGTCCATCCCACACATCAATTTCAATACATCTACATCCTCTTTGTAACGCTTTGACGTATCCATCTATTGAAGAATCTCCTACTACTTGTCTACCAGTCAAATATGTATTATGTGAACTTGAAATATAATAATCCGTCAATGGATAATTGAAATAATTTTCATTCTCAACATTTAATATTGGATTGTTTAAATTTGATGACAAATAATTGTTGAATGCATCAACTGACCAATATCCATCAGTTTCAAATTTGTCAAATATAACCTTGATTGTTTCATCATCACCATTTTCATGTTGAACTTTTTTATAAAAATTACGAAAATTTTCAAAATTCATTCCTTTTAAATTATGATGTGATTCTGATTCCCATATTTGTAATAAATCATCTCTTTGTTTCAAAATCGATATAAATTTTTTGAATTGATCAAAATTTAATCCTGATTCAGATTCACAAACTTGATCATAAATTAATTCCAAATATTTTTGATTAATATTAATATTCAACCTTTTGGCATATTTTAAAATATCATTTAATGTTAACGAATCCCGAATCTGTTTATGATTTTCATCTCTATTCAAAATTAATTTAACATGAGATTCATCTAAATCTTTTAAATCAACTAAAAAATCTTTTGCTAAATGATATCTCAATTCTTTTAAATTAATTATAGTTGAACTTAATTTTTTACAATCATGTTCAGTATCAGCTATTAGATGTAACATTTTTAATTTCCCTTTTTTTTGATCATAATAAATTATAGTCATCCATTTATTTTCAAATTCTTTTGAAATTCTTAATTCTTCTCTATAATTTGATCCTTGATTTTGAGTGTAAAAAAATTTAATATCATCTAAAGTATATTCATGAATTCTTTGAGCTGATATTCTATTATTTTGTAATATCATTGAAGATGCTAATTTCCAACTGAAAATAAATCTTGTAGGATCAATAAATAATAAAATCCTTTTCTTTGATTTATGAGATACTTTTAACAATGGCATTCCTTCAGTATCAAATATATGAGGTATTTTGACATGACCAATAGATTTTGAAATGTCAGGATGTAAATCCAGTACTTCATCACCACTTGAGACAACTTTCAAATTATCGAAACTAGGATTGGAACCATTTGATAAATTTTCATTTGATTTATTATTCCCACTTATAATTTTTTTTAAAAAACTTCTACCATTACTTCCATTAGACTTAACTTCATCATTTGACCTTAAATTAATAAAAATATTCGGTAAATCAGATATTATAGGTGATGATATTTTTTTTAAAATGCTAGGGTTATCTAATGAAGATCTTGAATTAATATTAGAATCATCTTCGATACTATCAATGGATGTTACTTTGTGTAGTCCATCCAAAGTTGAATTCATTATATTTGCTCCATTGCTATTATAAATTGAACTTAAATATATTCCCCTGGAAAATTGGTTAACTTTATATGAGACTGCAGTCCTGTGATTTAACCTGTTGTGAATTAAGTTACAGATTTGCAACAAATTTGGACCTGTTTTTTTTTTGCGTAATAAAATACTTTCTGAGCTAATTTTAGAAACAAGATAATACGAACTATCTACTTTTTATTCAAAATCTATTACATTTGTTCTATAAATATTTACTTCGGAACCAATGGTTGCCAATCAGCCATATTTTTCATACCAGGAGGTAAAGATGGTGAAGGTACTCCATTTTCTTTCTTATTATTAATGGAATTGGTTGTTGGTATTTCTTCAGAGCTAACAGTTTTTAATTTTGATGATGATAAATTTGATGGTTTTGAAGGTACCATTGGTTTCAATGCAGTTGATGAATCTGTATCGGTTGATCTTAAAGTGGAAGATTTTATGACGTTTGGCTTTGGTGAACTAATCGGTGATGAAGAAGCCAGGTTTGATCTACTTGGTATTAATGGTGATGATGAAAATCCGAAAGGAACTTTGACTGGAGCTGGTGTTTCAATTGTATTAGTGTTTAAATTGGTTTTTCTAGGTGGTGGTGGTTTTGGAAGATTATCACCATTTACATATTGATCTGGCGGTGGTGGTAATTTTCTAGGTTGAGATGCTAATGATGAAGATGCTATATTAGATGATTGATCAGCGGTAGTTTTCCTACTAGCTGGAGGAGGAGGAACTCTTTTCGGTGCTGGAAAATTAATTGGTCTACTTGGCAAACTTGGAGCATTTGAATCAAAATCGTCTAATAGATTCAAATCTGTTAAAGTATCATTCCTAAAATTATCATCAGATGTTTTACTTGATGCAATCGAGGGAGTAGTAGATGCAATTGATATCAAGTCGTATTCACTTCCATGTCCTTTTCTATATTCGTCATAATATTCTTTTGCCATTGAAGCCTTCTTAATTTTGTCAACAAATTCAACTTTAGAATTGAATGTAGCATAAACAGGTTTGTGATCACTTAAAAGCATGTCCATTACAGAATTATAATTTAATTGTTTCAAATCATTTCTTTTTTTCTTTGTACTTAAGAATAAAATTCTATCAGTCCAAGAAGGAACTCTTTGTTTTTCCGAAGTATCATAATTTGAAGACGCTTTGTCAAATTTATAAGTTGGATAAAATAAAACTACTCCTTCATTGAACTCCAGGAAAGCACCTTTATCTCTTCTTTCCAAAGTTAATTGATCACTTCTTATTAAATCATCAAATGCTCCCTTTTCGATCAAGTCTCGACATTCACCATTTGACATATTTATTCTATAATTTAAATCACCAAACCAAATCACATGATCATGATCTTGGATTGAATAATTTCTTGTAAAAGTCATACCTTGCATTATTGTGGTATAATCATTGAATCTTTCAACAGTAGCCGATGTTCCTGCAGCTAAATGTGATGTGATTAATGCAAATGAAGTAGCACCATATTCAAATCTAACCCCACAAGCACCTTTATTTGCAGTTATCCCCCCTAAACCAGTCTTTTTAGATGCACCAGATACTTGAGTCACATGATGAACAGAAGATTTTTTAACAAATAAAAATAGTGACATTGATGCAATTGATTCTGTACGTAACAAAGCATATTGTTCTTTTTGAGAGTTCAATTGATCATTCAAAATTGCTGCCCATTTGGTGGGTTTGGATATATCAGCGCTTAAAATCGATCCCGCATTTAGCTCGATCAATTCTTGAAAACCAATTGCATATATATCAGGTGTTGTTTCATTTTCCGGTGGGAACAACCATGGTGTTAAATCAATTCTATTTGATGGTTCTAAAGCATTAACATTATAAGTACCTGTAAAAATTGAAATGTTTTCTTCGGTTGAAAACAATTGTGATTGTTGTTTCAATTTGGTACTAACATACTCACTAGCAGGATCAAATATTTTCACTTTTTTAGAATATCTACCAGCCACACCAAGTAATAAATCTATTGTTGATTGCTTTTTCCCATCTACAAATGTGTTTTGATACAATCTTGAAACAGATTTAGTGACATCTGATAGTGCTCCAGCAAAATTCATCTTACCTGATCTAGAGAAAGATGATTTTAATGCATTTGTGCCTGTATAGATTTGTGATATGGCATCTCCATTATCTGCCCATAAGGCATTATGTCTTTGAATGATATTCTCCAACATGGCAAAATCTCTACCATGATTTCCATAAGACTCTGATTGATTCTTGATTATATTTTCCAACACTGTCCTGGAAATAACTTGTTCGATTAAATTTGTACGATCGAGACAATCTAAACAATTGACTCGAAAAACACCATCTTGTCTGGTGATAACTTCCTCGTGTTTCATATCATATGAGAAAAAACCAAATTGCTGCATAGAATCATATAAATATGGTAGAATCTTTGTAGCACCAGCAAATCCACCAGCTTGTTTTGTCTCTGCATGGAAATCAAATGCTGTGTATTCAATTTCCTTTTTTCGATCGCAATGATTATATAGTTGTTTATATCTATTTGAAACTTGAATTTCTGCTGATTTTGTTTTTGAAAGTAAGTCAACAATGTGACATACTCCATATGCTTCATTAATTTCTGTAAAATGTTTGTTGAAAACTGGTTGTGTTGCCTCTAATGATCTAGTTAATGTTATTTTAGGATTAATCAAACTTGAATCTTGTTCCCAAAATGTCGGCACTGATCCTCTAATCTGTGTATATGTGAATATATGTGATTTTGTAGGGTTATAATATATGAATTCTGTTTCAACAAAATTAGCAACATTACCGTTATCATCTATACCTCTTGTATTATATCTAGTCCCTGCTCTTTTCCATGATTGTTTCGAGACGATTGTAATTGAGTCCTGACTTCCAACTGGCACAGTTTTTGCAAATCCTCGAATTACAGTAGTTAAAAATTTATTATCATCCAAGATTAATTGATTATGTTGATCCAAATTTGATCTATATTTAATCATTTCATCCATCAAAAAGGAGTTCCACATATATTGAGGTTGATAATGATTTAAATTTTCCATATGTTCGTCGACCCCCCTGGTTTGTAAAGTTGATGTTAAGTCGAAATCATTTGAGTAGTAAAATGAACCGTTCGAAAGTAATTTCTTAAATTCAAAACATGGATGTGGTGCACGATTGTACCTTTCGTCTTCCATTTCATCAGACGTTAAAACTGGATATCCCAGGTTATCTAATTCAACAAAATCCCATTCATTATCGTCCAATGATACAAAATCAACTGAGTAAATTTTATCAACAGTTTCATTAGCAATTGGTGTTGCAACTTTAGTCAAAGCACCTGTGATAACTGCCAAAAAAATTTGATTCAGTTCGTATATTAAACCTAGGCAACCAAAAATTTCACGTTTGAGTAATGTTTTATAGCCTTCTTCTTTAGTGATCTGAGTGTTGGGAACTAATTCTAAGTTGACAATTGGTTTAGTTGATTCCGAATTCTTTTTGGTCAAAGTTCGAAATGTTAAACTGTAAGTTTCCGAATATAGAGCCAAAGTCCTTGGATTCTCCTTATATAAAAGTTTCATTTCAAACAAGCATGAAATATACTATCTTCGTGTGAGATCAACTTGGTACAAATAAAGTTTTGAAATTTTAAATTGATCTAGAAAGTAGCAATTTGATAAACACAAAATGTTCAATACTACATTAAATAAAAAGTTAACTGAATACCAATTAATTTTAGGATCAAACTCGCCTAGACGACGGGAAATACTCAAAAACAATTTAGGAATCAAAGAATTTGTTGTAATAGGATCAGATTTTGCGGAAGATTTAGAAAAACTGGATAAAACACCTTTAGAATATGTCCAATTAACAAGTAAACATAAAGCAGAGGCACTACTCGAAGTCTATAAGGAGAAATTTAGTAATAAAGATGCAATTATACTTACTTGTGATACAATTGTGACGGCCAATGGTCGAATCTTTGAAAAACCAAAGTCAAAACATGAACAAAGAAATTATTTTGAATTCTATAAAAAACATCCAGATCTAGAGGTCATATCAGCTATTACTACCATCAAGATCAAGAAAGATAACATTAGCGAATATTTCGATCATAGTATAACAAAGTTGAAATTTAAGCCAAATAATGATGAAGTTATGACTGCATATATCGAGAGTGAGGAAGGCTTGGAAGTAGCAGGTGGGTTCAAATATCAAGAACTAGGCTGTCTACTATTTTCTGAAATATCTGGAGATTATTATAATGTTGTTGGATTGCCAACTTCAACTTTCGAATTACTAAATAGAACCGTAACTGAAAGTTAATTTGATGTCATATTCATAAACAACGCTAGTTAATTGGGTCTTTAACCTGACAAATAATCCTTACATTTAGTTAGTTCCACAGCATCTTTACGACCATTTTTTAATTCAAATTCAACAGCTTCTGTTTCATATATTATATTCCATCTTCCTGGAAATTTCTTCTTTTCTTCTGGAGTGAGTCTAACATACTCTCTATATTCTGGAGCTGAATATAAATTATCAGCTGCAATTACAGTACCGGGAGCAACAAAATTCAATTTTTCACATAAGCAAAGATCTGGAACGTAACTTTTCTTGTCATGATCAATAAAAATAAAATCAATTTGTTTGTATTCTGGTGATTTCTTTAATCTTTCTTTAAAATCAACCAAAGTATAAGAAGCATTACCAACTATTATTTCAATTTTTTTCGTCAATCCAGCTAAATCTATAACATCTTGAGCAATCTTTGCATACTCGGCATTGGCTTCGAAACTATAATATTTTGCTTCAGGATCAGCTATTAGTTGATTTGCGAATAAAACAGCTGAGTACCCAAGATAGCCACCCAATTCTATCATTATCTTTGGTTGTTTCTTCACTATTTCTCCAACAATAAATTTTCCTTTCTCAGGTCCAATGTCCATAAACCATTCTGGATAATCATCTATAAGTTTTAAAACTTCAGTTGGTTTACCTCTTACTGCATCTTTTTGTTCTTTAGGTAAATTTAAAATGTATTGATGAAATTTTTCTTCTTTCGATAATTCAGGCATTTTTGGAAGAAGGTCGTCTTATGATTATTTTTTATTCAAAATCAATTGACTTGATTTATGTAATTTATGATTTATCAGGTGATTGTAGATTTTTGAGGGATCATTGAAGCAATTTATATCTTTATTAGATATTAGATTTAATCCGAATCTCGTCCCGTGCAAGAAATTAGATATTCCGAGATTAAAATACTTAGTTACGAGACTTCAATCCCTCTTGATAGATCTTTTTGATAAGTTCATACAAAACAATAAGAATCCAATCAAATTTGTAAACTATAAACCGTTTCGGGCTTTGAATTGAAATTTACTAAAAAAGGGGGCCTGCAACTAATTATGAGTATGAATAGTTTGATCTGATGCCGCTCAATACACGGAATTTCATAAATTAGGGACTAGTAAGAATGATGAGAATACAAGGCTTAGACCATATTTTAAGCTTCACCGGGTCCATTCAATTGTACACATCATAGCTCTCATTCAAGTTAGCACTTTTTGAGTGTATAGTCAACTTAATCACTGTAATTTTTTTTGCAATTTTTAAGTCAATCGAAGATAAAGGAAACCCGGATCATGATGAGAAGACAGAAAAATCATTTGCTGCCAGTGATTCAATTATTTTTCATGATTGGAATATATCTTATTTAGTAAATTGTGTATTGCATTGAGTCAAAAGATAAGCTTCTTCATTGCGTAAAAAAATATTTCATATTTTAGATCATAATATTGAATTGAATCAGATATCTCTTATAATTACAACAAATCAACTACACCTACGAATATACATTCAATTAGAAATGTGCCCATGATATGACCTCAACAGAGTTACCTGAAACTACCACTTTAGAATCATTGCTTTCCAGATTTGAGACTTTGAAGTCGAAGAGACAAGAGACTGTACGATTAAATAAATTAGAAGTATCTCAAGATATTCGCTTGCAAAAGTTAAATTCATTACAATCTCGAGGCAAATCTATCGATGCCGATCAAAGCACCAGAAATGATTTGGATGAAAAAGATAGATTGATGGAATATACCATTGAAGAATGTGAGAAATGGCAAGAAAAACAACAAAGAAAAGCAAATAATGGAATACAAGATCAAAATAAATTAGCAGAGTCTTCATATTATAAAGAAATTAGTGCTATTAAAATAGATAAGGAAGCTTATAGGTTACTGAAGGAAAATGAAATCAAGGGTATCAGTCCTAATGATTCTCCAATAAATGACGCCAAAGATGAAGTGAGTAAATTGATGAAAGAGTCAAAAGATCGAAAATTTAACAAGAAGAAAAGAGGTAGAGATGAAGCGGATGAAAATGTTGGAAATTACATCAATGAAAAGAATAGGCAGTTCAATATGAAACTAAATAGGCAGTATCAATAATATTAAATTGATTTTGTATCGACACAATAAATTGGTCGACCGTTTATCCGAAGTACCTCTTTCTGCAACTGTAGTTTTTTTGTTGTAATCAGACTTTGATTGATACAACTATATCTGAGTGGTGCCAAAGTCTTGTTGATAATTTTTCAAATTTTGTTACTCGAAAATTACAACCAAAATAGTCAAGAGAAAAAAAAAAAGTTACACCAAGTTGAGATCAACTCAATCAAATCATCATTTAGTCAACTACTTATCCATAAATATTGACTTGCAGTCCTCTCTCTAAATCACTTATTAGGGCAAGCACAAACTAACTACACTCATTATATAAGATTTTTCATTCCTTAATTGAGTTCAAATTTAAATCTATTTCAAAAAACCAAAAACATTATGGAAAGACCAGAAGAGAGTGAAATACGAGATAATGAAAACGATCAATCAGGATCAGAAGGAGAGGGTGATGATTTACGTAATGACTCCGTAACTGATTCATCCGAGGAAGATGATGATGATGATAACGAAGAAGAAATACAAAAAGTAAGAGAAGGTTTTATAGTTGATGATGAAGATGAAGAAATAGAAACTAAAAAAAGAAGAAGACATAAGAAAAGAAAAAGAGCAGAAAGAGAGGAATCAGTTCGAGAAGAAGATAATGATGCATTAGATGAAGATGATTTAGAATTACTTATGGAAAATTCAGGTTTGAAACCTTCATCACAAGGAAATCAATTTAAACGTTTGAAAAGAAGAACAGATAATGATGAAGAAACAGAGGATTTAGTTCAAAATCAGAAGGAACATGATCGTCAGAGAAGAACTGAAAGCGGATTGATTGATATATTCGCAGATGAAGAAGATGATGATGATCTCATAGACGACAACAACGAAAGAGATTTGGGAACTAGACCGTCTATTCAACCAGGTGAAGACGAAGAAGATGTTGATGATTTTATTGAAGATGATGAATTTTCAGATGATGATGAAGAAACAAGACGAGCTAGACAAGAAGAAAGACAACGTTTAAAAAAGAAAGGACCAAGCATTGACACATCTAAATTATCAAATGTTGATAGGAAAAGTTTACAAGAGTTGTTTGAGGCATTTGGAGATGGTAATGAATATGAATGGGCTTTGGAAGCACAAGAAATAGAAGACGCTGGACAAGGTAATGAAGAGCCAACCTCCTTAGATGAAGTATTTGAACATTCTGAATTAAAAGAAAGAATGTTAACAGAAGAAGACAATGTTATACGTATTATTGACGTGCCAGAAAGATTTCAAAGGTATCGTGCAGCCCTCGATTACATTGACTTGGATGGTGAAGAGTTGGAAAGAGAAAAGAAATGGGTTACGAATATAATGTTAGGAGAAAGACCTGGTATAGCCGGTTCATTCTTGGAAGAACCATTCAAAGAATCTGTTGGTCAAGTTGTCCAGCTTGTTTCAAAAGAAGCTTTCGAAGTGCCTTTTATTTGGTCTCATCGTCGTGATTGCCTTTTATATTCACATTTAACTGAAGATGCAGAAGGTAAAATAACTAGTAGTGTGCATAAATTATTATTCGAAGAGGATTTGTGGAGGATAGTTAAATTGGATATTGAGTATCATTCTTTATATGAAAAGAGATTAAATATAGAAAAATTAATCCAAGCATTAGGTTTAGAAGATGATCTAACAACAGATATTAAATCGCTTGATACAATGGTGGCTATACAAGATATTCATGATTACATTCAATTCACATACGCTCAACAAATCAGAGACTTGAATAACAAAGATACAGATTCCAACGAAGAGGAGGGAGAAAATTCAAAAGTGAGAAGTAAGAAGCATTCTAAATTTGCCCTTTATGATCGTATTAAATCCAATATTTTGTATGATGGAGTCAAAGCTTATGGTATTACTGCAAAACAATTTGGTGAAAATGTCCAAGATCAAAGTTATAACAACTTCCAAACTTCATATAGAATTCATGCAACTGATGATTCAAATGACTCACTTGATTTTATCATTGATATGTTGGTAGATGATGTAGATGCTTTATTCAAAGAAGAAAAAACCGCAAGAGATGCAATAAGACGTACTTTTGCAGAAGAAATATTTCATAACCCAAAAGTCAGACATGAAGTTAGGAATACATATAAATCGGTTGGTTCTATTAGTGTAGCATTGACTGACAAAGGTAGAACAGCAATTGATAATTATAGTCCATTCGCAGATATTAAATATGCAATAAATAGATCACCGGCTGATCTTGTACAAAAACCAGATGTGTTTTTAAGAATGTTAGAAGCTGAAAGACTTGGTTTAGCTGTTATAAAAGTAGAAACAACAGATTTTGAAAGTTGGTTTCAAGCTATTTTTAATTGTTTAAAATCAGATGGTTTATCCGAAAATTCAGATAAATGGAATAAAGAAAGGGAAATAGTTTTAAGATTGGCATTTAAAAAATTATGTGCTATGGTATCACAAAATACAAAAGAAGATTTAAGACGTGAATGTGAAAGATTAGTGGCGCTGGAAGTTAGAGCGAAAATAATGTCTAGAATTGACCAGGCACCTTTCGCTCCTTATGGATATGATAAAGGAACTAAACCTAATGTTTTGGCGTTATCTTTTGGTAAAGGTGAACCTGATAGTGCTGTTGTTGGTGCTTTTGTAAGAGATAATGGTAAAGCTCAAGCATTTTTCAAGTCAGAATCCAATCCTATTAAAGATCTAGATAGTGCTGAATCATTTTCTGGAGAATTAAAAGAATTTTTTGATAATACTTTTAAGACTGATCAACCTGATGTTATTACAATTTCAGGATTTAATGTGAATAGTAAAAGATTATTTGATATAGTTAGAAAATTTGTTGAAGAAAATGGAATAACTGCTAATGTACAAGATTTAGAAATTACTGAACCACCACCACTTTTAAGTGTTGTTTGGGGTCAAGATGAAACAGCTAGATTGTATCAAAATTCAGCCGCTGCTAAAGTTGATTATCCAGACAAACCACAATTAGTTAAATACGTAATTGGAGTAGCTCATTACTTACAAAATCCAATATTGGAATACGTTGCTTTAGGTGATGACATTTTATCATTAACATTCCATGAACATCAAAAACTTATTCCTATTGATTTAGTTAAGGAAGCATTAGAGTCAGCTTTTGTTGAAATAGTTAATACAACTGGGGTTGATATTAATGTTGCTGTTCGAGACCCATATGTTGCCAAATTATTACCATTCGTTGCTGGTTTAGGTCCTCGTAAAGCATCAGGTTTAATAAGAAATATTGTTACTAGATTAAATTCTACATTACCAACAAGAAATGATTTAATTTTAAATGATCTTACACCAAAAATAGTTTTTAAAAATTGTGCTTCATTTTTAAACATTCCTACTGATGAACCTCATACTTCAGCAATTGAAATTTTAGATGCAACAAGAATACATCCAGAGGATTATGAATTGGCAAGTAAAGTTGCAGCTGATGCTTTAGACTTAGACGAAGAAGATATTGAAGGTATGAAGAAAAAAGGGGAAGTTGTTCAACAATTATATAATAGTGGAGTAGAAAAAATTAATGAATTGAATCTTGTTGATTTTGGTAAACAAATTGAAGCTAAAACTGGTAATAAAAAATTTGCAACATTACAATTGATTAAAGAAGAATTAGTTAATAATTATACAGATTTAAGAAGACATTTCAAACTTTTGGATAGTTATGAATATTTCCATATGTTAACTGGTGAAACAAGGGAAACATTTGGTGTTGGTGTTGTAGTTCCTGTTACTGTTGTAAAAGTTGGTAAAAATTATCATGATCCACAATCAAAAATTAGATGGGCTAAAGTAATAACATCATCTTTAATTCAAGGAAATGTTGAAGAAGATAAAATACCAAGAGATTTGGATTTACAACAAGGTCAAGTTGTTCAAGCAGTTATATTAGAATTTCATCCAGATTCTTTAATGGCAGTCATGAGTTTATTAAAAGAAGATATAAAACGTGCTTCTATTCCTAAAATTAGAAAAGAAGGTGGAAAATGGGATTTTAGAGCTGAAGAAGATGATTGGAAAAAAGAAAAAGCAAAAGAAAAAGCCAAACGAGCTAATATTAGAAATATTCAACATCCATTATATCGTAATTTTAATTATAAACAAGCAGAAGAATATTTAGCACCACAAAAATTAGGAGATTGTGTAATTCGTCCATCATCAAAAGGTCCAGAATATTTAACTATTACATGGAAAGTTGGAAATAATATATTTCAACATTTATCAGTACATGAAAGAAGAAAAGGTAGATTTAAAGAATATTATGTTGATGGTAAAAAATATCAAGATTTAGATCAATTAATTTTTCAACATATACAAGCAATTTCTAAAAATGTTGATTCAATGGTTCGTCATGCTAAATTTAAAGATGGAACTATATCAGAAGTTAATGAATGGTTAGAATCATATACAAAAGCAAATCCAAAAAGTTCTGCATATATTTTTTGTTATGATCATAAAAATCCTGGAAATTTTTTATTATTATTTAAAGTAAATGTTAAAACTCCAATTATAACATGGCATGTTAGAACAGAACCTGAAGGTTATTCATTAAGAAATTTTCAATATAATACTATGATGCAATTATGTAATGGGTTCAAACATGTGTATAAATCAGAATTACAAAAACAAATGCCTTCACAAAATCGTGGTGGATATAATAGCTACAACTATTGATTAAAGATTCATATTAAATAGTTAAAATGTAAATATATATATATATATTAAACTTTTGTACCAAATGTTCTATAACCTATACGTAATTTTGATCTAAAACTATCACCATCAACATATGTACCCATTAACCATCTATCACCACCATTTGAATCATTAAATTCATTTCTTGAATGTAAAGTTCTTCTATTTTCAAATATAACACAAGTACCTTCTGGTAATTTTATTTCATAATGATTCTTTGGGTCATTAATGAAATTTTCAAATAATTTAAAACCTCTTATAAAATCATCAAATTCTGAATAAGATTTTGGATCATTTTCTTTTACTACTCCTTTTTCAAATGGACCTTGGAATGGAGGTGAATAATTTATTGCATGAATTTTAGGGAAGTTGGGGTTAGTAATTTCTTTATCTTCTATAATTAATGGTCTTTTAAAATAATAATATTCATTATTATTATCATAATGATAAGTTATTGGAATTTTAGTCAATGCATCATAAGCTTTTGGATCTTTTTGTTTAACATAGTTAGCAGCTAAAAATGAATCACAAAATATATTTTCACCTCCTAAAGTTGAATTTTGAATAGCATGAAGCATTTGTAATCCTGGTGGTGATTCATAATATAATAAATCCATATGTAATGGTAAAAAAGTATTTGTATAAGCTATATTTTTTGCTTGATTTTTTAAATTTTTAACATCAAATAATGATCCATAAAATGTCTTTTTGATATATCCAAATTTATTAGCTAAATTAGCAATTGGCCATTCATTTACATTTGATTCATTCATTTCGTTTAATTTAGGGTGGGGAATATCATTGATGAAACATAATCCATATTTATTTAAATTATGTAGTGCTTTAAAAAATGTTTCATCATTATTTAAAAATTCTTCATATGTATGGTTGATAGATTCAAGATTTGATTCTAATTCAATTTTATCCCAAATTTTTCTATCATTATCAAAAAATTTTCCTTCTCTATTTAATATATTATTGGAATGTTTGAGTAAAAATGATAATGGATATTGAGAATTTATAAAGTTACCATTGTTATTCCATTCAATGTTTAAGGTTGGTTCCTTCCCATTGGTTATTCTTGGTTCACTTTTTATCGATAAGTTTGTTGCTCCTTCAGCCGTTGTAAACAATTTTTGACTGGTTGCTTCATCAATTGATTCTGATGATGTGCATGAATCTCTTAAAAAGACGTTTTTGAAAGTGTATTGTTTATCATTTATTTTCAACGAAATTTCGTTGTTGTCATAATTCAAAACAGAGAGACTCAGGGAATTGAACCTTATCTGACTAAAATTGATCTTATTAAGTCGCCTTAGCATCTTTTCACAAACAGCGAGTGAATAATTTTGCAAGTGATTTGCAGTACTTGTGGTTTGACTCGAATTTACGAACTGTCAAATCCGGGGAAATTTTTTCTGTGAGAGAACCAAAATTGATCAGCTTATTTTTTGGCTGCAAAATAATATTTCAATCGATAATATAAAGTTGCATGAGACCAAATAATAATGCAGCAATTAACATCTCAAATCACATAACAGCTTCAAAATATCGTCCTTAAAAAAGTTTATAAAAACTCATTTTTCTAATTATAATTCAAATGTATAAAGATTTTTAAATTTTAAGTCTTTTGCAACAAAATTAATCAAAAACAAGATGATATTTATTAATTTATTTTTAATTATTGTTTGTCAAACTGTAATAGCTATTGATAATATTCCAATTTTTAATTTCAATGGTAATTACAGTGATCCTGACTGTGAAGATTGCGATAGTGCTAAAGCTATGGTTTCTAGAACATGCAGTATTTCAACACAACCTACTCAAGTATCAGAAATGAAAGAACTATTTCAATGTATTTGTCAATTACATGATGATTTTTTTGATGACTTGGCTGATTGTTTGAAAGAATGCAGAACATTTGGTTTAACTAGAATGGATTATGATGAAGAAAGATTACGTCGTTATTATTGTGATTTTGCAAGTCGTTTAAATTCAATTACAGATGAAGCAGGAAGTGCTAGTTTTGATAGTATATTAAGTACTATTTTATCATATACAAATCAACCAGGTGCTGGTAGAACTACTGACGGTCAAACACAAGTTGGAACAATCACTACAAATGACAATACAATGGTTGGAATGGGTACTCAACCTACTCAAGAAGTAGATACTCAACAGACTGAAACTCCACGTACTCAAGCAATGAAAACAACAACAGAAACACAAACTCGTGACTCAGGCAATTCAAAGCAATTTGCACCATCAATCATATCTATTGCATTATTTATTTTGATAATAATTTGAGCTTAACTTTCCACAGTTACCATAAGGAAGAATCAAAAAGTTGTTGCAAATTATAATATCTATCACTCTATAAAGTGTGTAACTTATAGTGTGAAAAGTATCGACAAGACAATAAAAATGACAATGATTTTATGTTAGTCTACTTAATGTTAGCTCTACCTAGTAATTAATAATTACGTAGAATTTAGTGTAATTTTTTGTATTGTGCTTATTTGTTAGTGGAAAGAGAAAAAAAAAATATTTGAAATTTCGCGTATTAAATCTCTCTCTCTCATACTTAAGGATTGTTATTACTGTATTAACATTGTTATTAGTATTATTTATTATAAGGAAGGAAGATTTATATTTTGACAACCAATTATCATATATTAACCACAACTTTGATACCAGTTGATCAAGTATCAATTGTACATATATCATATCATTATAGCATTTATTAGTCATTTAATATCACGCATTATAGCATAGTCATTCATTATTTCATTTGTATTTATATTTCATATGTCTTTTTAATAATAAACAAAGTTTGAATAAGAGATTGGGTTTAAAAATAAAAATATAAAATGGATGAATCTAATGAATTCTCAACCAATTCAGTCAAATCTAGTAACCCAACAGTATTCAAAAAGAAATTCACATCACTTTTAAGACCAAGACAACCTTTAAAAGAAACAAATTCTAATTTACCAATTTTACCTGGGAAACAAAATCATAGAAGATCATCTACAACTTCACCAAAGTATAAAATATATAAACGAACTACACCTAATAAAGAATCACAATCTACTGAAGAGAATGTTTCATCTGTCGAAAAACCATTTGGAAGATCAAAAACTGAAAATTTTACATCTCAAGGAAAAAATACACGAGAAAGTCCTTTAAAGAATTTAGTTTATTCAGCTTCTGATGATCAAAAGGATAAAAATGTTGAGATTAAAACTCCTACGAAAGAAGCAAATACTATAGAGACGACGACTAAAAAAAGAGAAAGAGAATCAGAAGGTCAAACTGGTCATCTACGAGAAAGTCTAAGTGCTTGTTTAAAAAAACGTAAACTTCATGATGTTATGACAAAACAAGACTTTACCGAATTAAAAAATTCATTTTCAAGAAGTATTGAAAAAGTTTTAGAAGAAAGACAACGATCTTCAAGAAGTAATTCACCAAGTTCTAAAATTAATTCACCTAGATTTAATACAGTGCAAGTTTTGAAAACTAATGATGAAGAAAATAATCTTTCTGATCAAAAGGAACTGGATAAAGAAGAATCTATAATTACAAATCCATTTTATGATCCAAAACCTATAACTAAAAAGAGAGAAGTAATAGTAATAGATGACGAGGATAATGACTTGGAAACAGGAAGTAAGGATAAAGTTGATAAATCATCACTTAAACCATCCCGATTGATTAAACTCAGACCATCTCCATTGATTGAACGCAAACCATCCCCATTAATCGAGTTAGAAAAAGAAATTCAACAGCAAAGGGCACTGATGGGAAAACAAGTCAGTCTAAATGACGGCAAGCCAAGACCGTTCTTGAGTTCATTGTTAAAATCAAAAAAAGTCTCTGAATCCGAAAATCAAAAACATGTTCCAAAAGCTAGTCTTGGGTCTCCAATTGAAATCCAACAACGTCCATCTATAGCTCAAAACAAACCTTTACAGCCGTTAGATTTGAACACAAATTTGCATAATAGACAGGACTTGCAAAATGATAAAATTAAAAAACAAAAATTAAACCATCAACAAGATCATCAATTACAAAAGCAAGAAGAAGAAAGATCAAGAAAATATCTCCATGCTCAACAACAACAACAACAGCAACAACAACAGCAACAACAACAACAACAACAACAGCAACAACAACAACAACAGCAACAACAACAACAACAGCAAAGAGGAAATACTAGACTAATTGGAGAAGAATTACTGCAATGGCAACAATCTTGGAGAAAAATAATGAAAGAATCAATAGTATTTTTTGAAGGTTCACATGATGTACAACTGATGGAATATAAAAAGGCAATAAAATATTTAAAATATGTTGGATGTGAAATTGCTCCATTTTATAAAACTGATGTAACTATATTAATATCAAAAAGATCATATGATGATAAATTTACATATCCTAATAATGATATTTTTTCAAATGTTTCAAGATTTAAAACAAAAGTATGGAGTTATGAAAAATTATTTAGATTTATGAAAAATTTAGGTTTAAGTAATAATGTTGATGAATCAATTAATAAACATAATAATATTTTACAACCAACAAATACAAATACAAATTTATATAATCTTTTAAAAGAAGAAAAATTATATGGTTCAACTGATAGAGATCCAACTGCAAAAAGAGATGATTTTCATTATTTTGGTAAAAATTATTTATATGTTTATGATTTAACTCAAGTTGTTAGACCAATAGCCATAAGAGAATGGAATAATGAATATCCTATTTTAAATTATTCATTAGATGGAAAATGTCCATTTATATTTGATCCATCAGATCAAAATCTGGAAAAGAAAAAATTAAAAAGATTAAAAAAATTTGAAGCTTCAAAATCTCATCGTCAAGCCTTGAGAGTTGCAACTGAAAAAGTTATAAATGGAATTTCATTATCACCTAATGATTTTACTGAAACAAGTACTAGTACAGATAAAGTTGAAGATTCTTCAAATAATAATGAAGAAGAAATTGAATTTGAATTTAGACAACCACTAATTAGAAATTCATCAAATATTCAATCAAAACAAGTAGATACAATGGCTTCTGGATTTAATGGAGCTTCAAATGCTTTACAATTTTCAATGGATTCAAGTTTAAATAGTACTGCATATGCAGCAGGTAATGGATTAGGACCATCAATATCTCATGTTACTTCTAAAAATTTAAATAATTTAAAAAGAAGAATATTTATGAAAAGAAAAACAACAGAAATTATAAGAAAAGATAAAGAATCAACTCCAGGTTATTGTGAAAATTGTCGTTGTAAATATGATTGTTTTGAAGAACATATTTATAGTAATAGACATAGAAATTTTGCTTGTGATGATAGAAATTTTCAAGATATTGATGAATTAATTTCAATTTTACATAATGAGTATTGAATTGAGTCTATAGAATTTGTTTGTATTATCTAAATATTCAATAAATTAGAATTATATATTTTGTAAGGTAAGCTTAATGGCTAAGTATGTGATTTCAAGTTATTACACAAAATCTTAAATGTAATATCACTTGCATGTTTGAAAAATTTTAAATACTTTGCAACAATAACATTATCTACAATCTTATTACCATCCACTTGTCAATGTTTCATATATCGAGTAGATCATGTTTGAAACGAATACTACTAACGCGAACGTATTCAGATATACTAAATGATATACGAAGAGTTGCAAACTCAAAACCAACATCAAAACCATCAACTATTTCAAATTCAGATAAACCAAAAATCAACAGATTTGCACAACAATATTCAAAACCAAAACCTCAAATTTCAAATAATAGACCGGCAAGACCTAACATAAGTAATAGAAATGGAAATTATGGAAATAGTAGGCGACCTCATTTGCAAAATAGAGATTCAAATAATTCAATAAATAAACAATTCACACCTTTAAATGGACCACAATTAACAAAGGAAGAGATAGAAAGACAAAAATTAATAAAATATCAAGAATTACGAAGACAAATAGAAAAGGGAGATACAAAAGATCAACAGCACCGAGATAATGAAACATTCATACCACAGCGAACTACAAAATCTAGAAAATTTCGAAAATTAAAAGAACGTAAAAAACCAATTGTTAAAATTCAATTACCTCCTTTCATTTCAATTGCAAATTTAGCAATGATAATGCAAGTTCCAATAAATGATGTTATTAAAAAGACTCAAGATTTAGGGTTTGAAAATGTAAGACATTCATATATTTTAGATAAAGAAAATGCTAGTTTAATTGCAGATGAATATGATATTGAAGTTGAAATTATATCTGATAATAATAAAAAAAATGAAAATGATTTATTTTCTGATCCTATAAAACCAGAAAATTTAAAAGAAAGACCACCAGTAGTTACAATTATGGGACATGTTGATCATGGTAAAACAACTATATTAGATTATTTAAGAAATTCATCAATCGTAAAAGGAGAATTTGGTGGAATAACTCAACATATTGGTGCATTTTCAGTTATAACTCCTGAATCCAAGAAAAAAATTACATTTTTAGATACTCCTGGTCATGCAGCATTTTTAAAAATGAGAGAAAGAGGTGCAATAATAACAGATATTATTATATTAGTTGTTGCTGCTGATGATTCAGTTATGCCTCAAACTATTGAAGCTATAAAACATGCCAAAAAGGCAGGAGCTCCAATAATAATAGCTATAAATAAATGTGATAAACCTGGTATTAAAATAGATAAAGTATTAAGTGATTTATCATCTCATAATATTGATATTGAAGATTATGGTGGAGATACTCAAGTTGTTCAAGTATCAGGAAAAACTGGTTTAAATATGAATAAATTAGAAGAAGCTATTATAACATTAAGTGAATTACAAGAATTTAAATCTGAATTTAATGGTATTGCTTCTGAAGGTTGGATAATTGAATCTGAAGTTATAAAAGGAATGGGTAATGTTGCTACTGTATTAGTACGTAGAGGTTCTTTAAAAAATGGTGATATAATAGTTGCTGGCAAGACATATTGTAAAATAAAAGGTATGAAAGATGAAAATGGTAAAATTTTAAAATTAGCAGAACCTTCAACTCCTGTACAAATTTGGGGTTGGAAAGGTTTACCAGATAGTGGAGATCATATAATTCAAGCAAAAACAGAACAAATTGCAAAAAAAGTTATTGAATTTAGACAAAAAAGATCACAAGAAATTCAAGCTTCAAGAGATATAGAAAATATTAATTTAAAAAGATCAGAAGAAATAAAAGAAGCTGAAAGATTGGAAAAATTAACTGAATTGAAAAAAGCAGGATTAGATTCAAGTGAATTAGAAATTAAAGAAGAAGATAAGCAAGTTAAATGTAATTACATTATAAAATCAGATGTATTTGGATCTTCAGAAGCTATAAAAGAAAGTATTGATGGGTTAGGTAATGACGAAGTTAAATCAATAGTTATATCTAATTCTGCAGGTTTACCAACTGATAATGATTTAGATATGGCAAAAACTTTTGGAGCAACAATTTTTTGTTTTAATTTAAAAATTCCTAAACCCATTTTAATAAGAGCAGAAAAAGAAAAAATTAAAATTATTGAACATAATATTATATATAGATTAATTGAACAAGTAAATGATGAATTAAATTCTCATTTAAAACCAAGAATTGAAACTAAAATCTTGGGAGAAGTTGAATTAAAAGATATTTTTACTATTACACAAGGTAAATCAAAAATTAAAATTGCTGGATGTAAAGTTTTATCAGGTATAATAAAAAGATCATCAAATGTTAAAGTTTTAAGACAAAAAAAGGAAATTTATAAAGGTACATTATCATCTTTAAAACATATTAAAGATGATATCACAGAAGCAAGAAAAGGAAATGAATGTGGTCTAAGTTTTTCCAATTGGAATGGATTCGAAGCTGGTGATTTGATTCAAGTTTATGAAGAAATTGAACATAAAAGGTATTTGTGAATAGTATAGGGATAATTATAGATTTAAATACTTGTATATATTATTGGATAATCTTGCGGTAATAGAAAATTGACTGCAAATTATGCTACCAAACACACTCGTTTCAAAACATCATCTCTTTAGCTTAATCTTTCAATTTTCAAATATTTGACTTTAAAAGAAATAACTTATCCTTAAAACAAAAGAACAATGTCATCACAAGAAGAATATTCATCAGATGAAGAAAGCATCTATGATTCTCAAAATAAGAAACAAAAAGTATTATTAGGTTTTGTAGATGGACCAATAACTGAAAAAGATAAACCAACAATAGAAGATACATTTTTAGGATCACAACCAATATGGTTTTATGAAGATTCAAAACCCGCGGAATCAATGTTAATATGTGATAATTGTAAATCGAAGTTATCATTATATTTACAAGCTAATTCACCATTAGAAAATACTTATTATGATAGAATAATATATTTATTTGGTTGTAAAAATTCACAATGTTCTAAAAAAAAGGGAAGTATTAAAGTTATCAGAGGTATTAATAAAAATGATGAAGTTATTAAACGAAATAAAAATGCTTTGGATGATATGGATGATCAATTAAATCAATCTGAAGATAAACAGAAACAATTGAGTGAAGAAATTACAAAAAATTTATTTAAAAAAAATGATGATGATGAAGAAGAAAAGACAAAACAAAATCCATTTGGAGGATCAAATCCGTTTGGTGATTCTTCTACTAATCCGTTTGACTCAAATTCAAATCCATTTGATAAAAAACCTGAGAAGAAACAAGAAAATTCGAAAGAAGTATCGACACAACAACAACCAAAAACAAAAACATCATATGCAGAAATTGCATCTAAAAATGCTCCACCACCATCAAAACCATCAAAATCTATAGAAGGAGAATTACCAGAATATCCAGGTAATTTCATATATATAGAATCAGAAAAATTAAAAAAAGATAAAACAACAGATGAAGAATTAGCAAAATATAAACATTTAATAGAACAATCACAAGAAAACGATGATGATGAACAACTACAAAAAGGTAGTTCTAAAAGAAGAGAATCATCATCATCAGCAGTATTAGATCCTCAAACAACAAAAATTTCAAATATGTTAGATGATAAATATTTTGAAAATTTTTCAAATAAAACAAAATCAAATCCTGGACAAATTTTAAGATATGATTTAAATGGTAAACCATTATTATATAATGGTAAAGATGATATTGCAAAAATTTTTCTACTGGAACCTTTTAATATTCCCAAACCATCATATAATCCTTCAAGTAGTAGAAGATTTGAATTTCAATTAATGCCAAATGCTATAATGAATTTAGAAGATTTAAATAATAACACTAACAAAAATATAAAAGATATTTTAAATGGTATGAGTTGGGGTACAATTATAGTATGCACTGATTTTGAAGATTATATACCCGATGAAATGTTTGATAAGAATAAAGTTGGTTATATACAAGAATGGTGTGGAGTTCAATGGGAGGAAAGTGTATAAAATTGTTACATTTGTATAGAAATATTGAATCACAAGACTTTATATATATATCTCTTGAATCTTCAGGATTTCTAAATTTAGAATATCCAATATACCTCTATCTATAGACGTATTGTACGTTTGAAGGAGAGACCTTTCACCCCAAATTGATTTTGTACTTTGTATAAAGATTATTTAAATCAAGTCAATTGTAACACAGATCAAATACAATCCAACATTTTTATAATAGCAAGGATCGAACTTTTGTGACTATTGATATGATCTTTAGCTTTGGATACACAAATTTAGTTGTTACATATTACACAAGCAATGGAGTGGAAGTAAGGGAAAAGAAAAAATTTACCCATACTTTAGTCTAACTCATCTACCATTTCAACTTAAAGCTTCAAGTTGTGATATGAAACAGCTTCAAATCACATTCTATTATGAAACCAGTTGATTAGAAAAATGATTTACGACAATACCAACCTGTTACTATTAATAATACGCGTACCTTTTTTTAATAATAAAAATAGTTACACAAAAATCGGTTATGATATATTTTAACAGTCTAATTTTATTATAAAGTTTAGTAAATAATACGTCAAAATTAACTTAGGCTAATGCGCAATCATATTAAGTAATATTAATACAGTATTTTTTTTTTGGTCTAAGTACATCATTTCTCATTAAAATGAGTCGAGCGGTGTAAATGTAGGTCGATGTAGGTCCACCAAAATTTTTTTTTCTTCGAATAGTATAGCCCACAGCGGTAATACGTCTATCTCTGTAATTATATTGAATCTTGAAAGACTTTTTGACAATAGAACTTCTAATGTTGCATTTGTCAGTGGTGGTAGAAGAGGTAATAGTAGTAGTGGTAGTGGCTCTCGTAGTATTGGATGTGGTATAGTAATATGACATCATTCTGCTATTAATTGTTAAGACTAAATTAAAACAATAAATTTTGTAACACAAATGAAACCCATTACTTACGTATTGTATTAAAGAGAAAAAAAGATAATAAGTATGATGATTGTGACAGATTAAAATCAAATTTTATAAATTTTTACAACAACTCCTTTCAAATTCAACATTCAATAAATAGATTAATATATTTTCATATTTCACATTAGAAAACTAATCTAATCAAGGATTAGTTGATCATTCTACATATTTAACATCTTACTATCGCTTACTACTATAAAAACAGTCAAACTGTCTTATCTAGATAACTATTTTTAATATCGGATTATCATACATCACCAACATTAAATCAACCGCTCAATCATAACTACGTTAACATTAGACATTAGCGACATAGACAAATCACACCACTAGAACATTAGACAACTAGACTGAAGTATAGATATAGATTAATTTGAAACTCCACATAAATGTCTAATAATTATTCCTCATCAAGTGATGATGAAGGAGGTTTTAATTCAAATTCTTCAAATAGATTTCATATTCAATTACCTCAACAACAATTAAATTTAAATGAAATTAGAAAACAAAATCAAAAAAAAGATAATTCAAAATTTACAAAACAAACTTCATCAAATTTTATAAAAGTTTCAAATAAATTAAATAATAAAAAAAATGTTAAATTTCCTGATTCTTATACTCCAAAGGATCCAAGATCATCTATGAATTTATCAAATACTTCACAAATATCCTCTGATGATGATGATGATGAAAATGAAGAAGAAAGAAGATTTTACAATGAATCAAGTAATACACCTAGATTTCAACAAGGTCAACAAAATTTACCACATTTTCAATTTAATTCAGATCAAATAAAGAAAAATAATAATCAATTACTAGATAGTTCAGATGATGAAGATTATACTGATTTTCATGATCAAACTCATACAAATTTTACAAATATGCAACCACCTGAACATTTTTATAATACAGACTCATCTGATGATGAAGAAGAAGATAGTAGAAAACGAGACATAATACATACAGATGATGATCCTTTATCAGATAAACCCGAAAATCCCTTACAAGACCCACCACCTCATATTTATGATCAACCAATACATAAAACAACAACTTCATCATCAAGAAAATCTGTATCTTCAGATCCAAAAAGAAAATCATCATTAAAATCAATTTTATCAGGAGAAAGTAAAAACACATCAAATAGTGGAAATGGTCCTGGTGGTATTAAAGGAATACTACGTAAAATGTCATTAGCTGATCATATACCATCATCTGATCATGATATATCACAAAATGATACATTTTTAGGTAGAGTATTTAGTATGGGACATAATGGAATATCAGGAGGTGGTTTAGCACCAGGAGCATCAAGAATGACATCAAATGACAAAATTCCAGAAGAAGATGAAGAAAAAAGAGTTGGATTTGCTGAAAATGAAAATGATAGAGATAATGCTATTGAAATGAAACCAATAGCAAATTTTGAAGAATTAAGTGAAGAAGCTAAAAATTTAATTCATCAACATATACCTGATTCGATATTACATTCAAGAGATTCAAGTGCTGCTAATAGTACCGATATTACACCCGTAGTAAGTCAAGAAAATTTAAATAAAGAAAATAAAGAAGGTAATGATGATGATTCATCAAATAATTCAGGATCAACAAAAAAAGATGAAGATGATGATGCGAAAAAAAATAATCCATTTTATACACCAAATCCAGATTTATTTTTAAGAGGTAACCATGATGATGATCAAGAACATGTTGATCAAAATGATTTTTTACAAGATGTTGATGGTGATTATATAGAAAGACCAAAACATGTTCAAGCTGGTGTATTAAGTTCATTATTGAGATTATATCAAAATCCAAATGAAGGAAAATCATCAAGTTCATTAAGTCAAACTCCAACTAATTTAAGTGATGAATATAGTATGTATTCATCAAAACCACAAAGTTCTTCACAAATGGATTTTAATAAATTTAAAAATGGAATGTCTGGTGTAAGAAAGGGAATAAAATCAGCACCTGGAAAAGTATTTAAAGCTGCAGGTGGAGGTAAAAATAGAAAGAGTGCAACGTTTGATAAAGAATTAAATGATCAAACGGGATCAGGTAGTGATACCGAAGGTGGTGGATCTGGTAATGGTGGTACAGTAAGTAATGGTGAAAAATTTACAAATGATACATCATTACCATCGTTCCACAATGCAAAACCAAAAATGCCCAAAAAACGAACAACAGACTCAAGTAATATAAAATTAAAAAAATTAAAACATAATAGAAAAGCAGAAAGATTAAGAATAACAGTTCATATAGCAGATATTTTACAAAGACAAAGATTTATAATGAATATGTGTAGAGCATTAATGATGTTTGGTGCTCCAACTCATAGATTAGAAGAATATATGATTATGACATCAAGAGTATTGGAGATAGATGGACAATTTATGTATTTTCCTGGATGTATGTTAACATCATTTGGTGATGCAGCAACAAGAACTTCAGAAGTTCATTTAGTTAGATGTTCTCAAGGTTTAAATTTGGGGAAATTAGCTGATACTCATAGAATTTATAAAGCTGTTATTCATGATTTAATTGGAGTTGAAGAAGCAAGTAAAAAATTAGATGAATTGTTAAAAGAAAAAAATAAATTCCCACCATGGTTATGTGTATTTTTTTATGGTTTAGGTTCATTAGCTGTAACACCTTTTGCTTTTGAAGGTGGTTGGATTGATTTACCTATAAGTTTTGGAGTTGGATTATGTGTTGGTTATTTACAATTTTATTTAAGTTCAATGTCTCATTTATATTCTTCAGTGTTTGAAGTTAGTGCAGCAATTGTTGTTGCATTTATATCAAGAGGTATTGGATCAATAAAAGATGGAAATTTATTTTGTTTTAGTGCTATAACTCAAGGTTCATTAGCTTTAATTTTACCTGGTTATATTATATTATGTGGTTCATTAGAATTACAATCAAGAAATTTAGTTGCAGGATCAGTTCGTATGTTTTATGCAATTATATATTCATTATTCTTAGGTTTTGGTATTACATTAGGTTCTGCATTATATGGATGGGTTGATCATAATGCAACATCACAAAATTCTTGTTTACCTGGACATTCAATGAATGATAAATTTCGTATATTATTTGTACCATTATTTGCAATATGTTTAGGATTAATTAATCAAGCAAAATTTAGACAATTACCAATAATGACAGTTATAGCATGTGTTGGTTATATAGGAACATATTTTGCAGGAAAACATTTTAGTTCAGTAACTGAATTTACTGCATGTATTGGTGCTTTTATAGTTGGTATATTGGGGAATTTATATTCAAGAATTTGGAAAGGTATGGCAGTATCAGCAATGTTACCTGCTATTTTCGTTCAAGTTCCTTCTGGTATTGCTTCTAAATCAACTTTAATTTCAGGTTTACAACAAGCTGATCAAATTACAAATAAAAATGGTACTTCAACAACTACAACTACTGTTACTGACGGTTCAAGTTTAAGTTTTGGTGCTACAATGGTTGAAGTATCAATTGGTATTTCAGTTGGATTATTTGCTGCTGCTTTATTTGTTTATCCATTTGGTAAAAAGAGAACTGGTTTGTTTACATTATAGGTTAGGAGACGAATGGAGTTAGAGAATAGTATAGAGTAATAGAGGAGACAAACGAAAGAATGAAAAAGAGTGCATACGATGAAGGTATTTATAGAAATTATAGGATTAGAGGGATAAAAGTAAACGGATTATTTATAAAATTAGAAATATCTTCGAAAAATATTCTCTTGAACTCTAAGGAAATTAATTTAACCCATTTGAATATTTATATAAATTTAAAAGCCTACAAGATAATTTGCTTACGATGTTTACTGTTCCGTTAAAAGAGCTTAACATTGTCAATGGATACTAAAGAGTAAAATCTCTACGTTGAATATTATCATACGTTAATTATTTTAACTCATGTGATCATTTAATAAGTTGATTGCAAATATTTTTATCCAGCTCTTAAGGGTGCTCAATAGTAATAACCTAGTTCATATCTTTCTTGCATGTCTCATAAACTCTTTGTATGCAAACAAAATATTGATTGAGGTTGAACATGATTTTTTCAGTTAATTGTAGGTATCCTATCCATTTTGTAAAGGATCTTTTCAATTGAGCTTCAAACTATAAGAAGAACCTAATTTACATCAAAACCATTCAAATGATATTAAATAAATTTGGATCATAAATTCATGAAAAAATGAATGAACAACGAAAATACTTACAAGCCAATAACAATTGAGTCCTCAGAACACAGAAAATCACCTCCCAAAATACGATCACAACAAATGAAATATTCAAAGTATAAAAGCTATCCTTGATTCATGATTTAATTTGGAAATTTCTTTTGTCGTTGCCTTCTTTCTTCTTCCAGAAATTGGTCAGCAACCTTTGTATATATTTTATCGTGAATAAGATTTCTTACAATGTCTCAATTAGTTGATCATATTTCGAAAGTTGATTTCTTTATTCCATGACTTTGTTGTTATTAATTTGTAAATACCTTCGTTTTTTTCTTATGTTTTTATTCTTTTATTGATATCTGATTTGATTTTTTGCTTAACACCGATTGTTGGTTTTCCATATGATTTGATTCTTGTTGTATTGTTACTTGACCGTTTAAATTAGTATCCTCCTATTTGTGAATGCTATTTTGAAAGTACTTCTATTTTTTTAGTCTGTGAGAAACAAATTCATCAATGGAGAAAGAATATAATAAACACAGGGAAGAATTAATTTTAAATACAAGAGATCAAGTGTTAATTCATCGAAAAGCAAACATTTTTACTTCAACATTTAAAATGACTAAACAATCCAATTTATATTTAGGTCCTTATTCAGTTATTAAAGCAGATCCAAATCAACCAAATAATTATCTTATTGAATAGGTCTTTCACCGGATTATGATAGAAGTTTTAATGTGAAACATTTAAAAAAGTATAATGCAACCAATTTACAATATTTATCAGAACCTCCTCCTCCAAATATTAATTATTTGAGAACATTTGCTAGACTGGGGAAAATTGCTGCTATGGTAGGTTTAAATTTAACTGCTGGTGTTGTTGCATTTGCATTTGTTGATTGTGATTCAGCTCATGCAGTAATATTTGATATTGAAGATGCTCAAAAAGCGATTCCAAGTGATTATTTAAAAACTTCAAAAATTTTTCTTCATAGTCCTTAAAAGCCATTTTCCCTTGTTTTAGAGAATTTAAATTAAAAGATCATGAACATCAATGATAAGTTAATTTCTTTAAAACAAGGAAAAATGGCTCTTAAGGACTATAAAGAAAAATTTTCACAATATCACCCATATCTAATCCCAATCGTGGTATAATCAATTTATAATTTTTGAATCTTGATCCGGAATTTTCTCATCAAAATGGAAGTGCTGAAAGAAACCTATACAGATCAAGGTTAGATCAAGGACACTATTATTTCATTGATGTAATCTTATCCAAGATAGTTGTAGGTGTAATATGCAATAATATAGAAGCAATGACCATTGAGTTTGGCCAGAAACTGCTTGGTAAACGCGAATGAAAGAACAATTTCCTAGATTTATCCTCCATCAGTGTAAAGCCTCTTTCAGCACTCCCAATTTGATGAGATGTATGGGAATTTGTAAATAAACGTCCAATCCCTTTGGATACAAAGAATGAACATAAGTTTGAACCAATAAACTGACCATCATTATCGTTTTTAACACACCTAACCCCAATTTTTTTCCTATTGAATTTAAAATCGGATGTGCTTGAAATTTTGAATCAATTGAATTCTTAAATTTACCAATCCGAACCAATCCTTGTTTGTTGGGTGCATGTAGGTTCAACTAGCCAGACCCTTTAAATTATTTTTTGAAGCAGCTACTCCAATCTTCAATACCCTTTCTTGAAAACAGATTATTCATTTTATCCAAAATATTCAAATGCCATGTATCACAATTATTATAAGTAACAAACAGGGAATATTCTGTTATCCCTTTTCTTCAATGCTGTTGTTGAAGATAGATAATTATTGATCTTCATTTGAGCAATCTAATTACTTACCGTAATCACTGCCCGACAATACCAAAAGTTATAACGATGAAGAAATGAGTACAGTAAAATCTAAAATTTAAATTATCACAAAATTCTTAACACCTTTTTATCGCGATAAAGTAAATACAATCTACTCTTACAAACAGTACCATCAATCATATACTTAAAATCAAACGGGACTAACAAATCAGAAAAAGTAATGATTCAACAAAATGAAATATCAAAACTCTTAAAAACCACGCTAACAAATCCAAAATCAAATACAAATAATCAATTAAATAAATTTAAAGGAATATCAATATCACTACTTTCAAAAACAGGTAATCAATTAATTACAATAAGTACTACACCAAACACAGAAGAGGACCTAGATATATCAATAGATCAATTAAAAATATATTCATTAATTTCTTATAATTCTATAATTTCTTCAAATTTAAGCTGGAATATTATAAAATTTAATAAATTAAAATGTATAATTCAAAAAATTCAATTACTGGATCATAAAGATCAAGATCAAGATAAGGACGAAGAAGATGATCTAATATATTATGTTACTTTATTCTATATTGATTCTAATGATATTGATAGTGATAGTATAGCGAAGTTAAAAATTGATTCATTAAATAATGTATTAATTGATGGGTTTAAAGGGTATAGATAGATTGATTTCAAAATAGGGAGAAAAGCAGAGTAAAAATTAGTTATTTAAAAGAATATATTATTGTATTAGATGAATTAATAAGGAGAACTATTTGTAATTAGCAAAGACAGTCGAAAAAGTACTTGAAAATGGTTTAAATTGATTGGTGTTTGATATAATGACTGTAGTTGTATAAAAAATAATGCTATGATGAATTCACGTATGAATAAGTTGGTATTAGTGAATAGGTAGTGATTGTTAATCTTCTCATTTAGTGATCATTTCTTCATCTTGTTCTTCTTCATCTTCATCTTCTTCATCTACATCTTCAACATTTTCATCCATTAAACTTTCTTCATCAAAACTTTCATCTTCATCACCAGAATCAACATCTTCATCTTCGTCTTCATCTTCATCTTCCTCTTCCTCATCTTCTTCTTCTTCACTTTCATACCAAAAATCTTCATCAATTGGTTCATCAATTAAATTTGAATTTTTCATATTTGGATTACTATAAGCATTTTCATTATCATCAGGCATTATAAAATCTTCAGGAATATCTTTTTTGGATCTTAAAACTTCCTTTGTTACTTTTTTTTTATATTCTTCAAAATTTTTTCTAAATTCAACACTTGCATCAATATTTGCAGGAGAATTACCATTTGGATCATCTAATAAAGAAATAATTGAAATTAATACACTTTCAACAGTTTGTGCTGGTGACCAAGTTTCACTTTCTGGTTCATCAGAAGTTGGATCACCTCCTTGATGTAATATACTTATACATAATCTACCATCTCTATAAATATTTGGATGATATATTGCAGGAGTAAATCTAAAACTTGGTGGTGAGAAAGGGAAATCTTGAGGAAATCTCATTTGACCTTTAAAATATCCTCCATGATATAAAGAATCTGGATTTAATACCATTACTCCAATATTCCATAAAAAAATATTATCATCATCTAATTCTATATAGAAAGATGGAATTCTTTTTTTAGGATCAGTTAAATCTTTAAATTGTCGTTGTAAAATTGCTGCTGCTGATTTTGAACTCATTTTTTGAAGTTGTAAATATTATTTGTGTGATGATGAAGTGAGGTGAAAATGATAAATTTGTATGTGCTGTTTTCTGTTACTATAGTAGTTGGAAATTTGTAGACTTTGATTTAGTTATATATATGTGAATGTGAGTTTGATGAAATCCTCTTGTGATTTACTTGTTGAGTGTTGTTATAAATATAAAATTGTTATTAAAGATAAGAATTGTGTAATGATTTGTAGTGTGATTTGTATTAATGAGCCTTAATGAGTCGTATCTTTTTTGCTCTTGTATGCGGTTATTATGTTTGTTATTCGTACTTCTGTAGTTTTAAGCTTGTTTGAAGTGAGAAGTGGTTGTAAATGTTTGTTGTAAATGTTTTAATAAAGTAATAAAGTAATAGATAATAATTAAGTAATTAATAATTTATTAAATTTGTTGATGATTTTAATTTTGTTATTTTTTCTTTTGTTTCTTTTTATTATTTATAATATATACGTACACTTAAGTATAAATATGAGTATGAGTATGAGTATGAGTATGAGTATGAGTATGAGTATAAGAAGATAGCTTACTAATGTATGATTTATACGTGTAGTTCACCGACAGTTTACAATAAAGACTGGTTCAAGAAAGGCACTGCACAATTAAACGCGTTGAAAAGTGCTAATCTATGTTATAATTTCATGATAATAAATTGAGGTGGCACACCTCGTTTCATATTTGATTAAAGAAAAGAGCGAGAAAAAAATTAAGCAGTCATAAACCTCTCGCTTTAATTTAGTACTAAATGAACCGTACTTTTGGCGATAGAGTCATTCCCGGACGGACGCAATCTGTCGACCTGGGGTTTTGATTTTTTCATTAGATTAAAAGTGAAATTACAATTAAATAATTTGGTTAAATTTGCTGTGTATATCATCTCATTTATTGTTATTCAAAATAAAATTCAAGAGTCATCCGGTCAAATTTCTCTCGTAAATAGCATATGATAAGGCAAGGCATTATATGAAATATTCTTGATGATCTACCATAGTTTAACAGAGGCATTAAATTAATATATTACTATGACTATTGAAAAAGAAATTTCTAGTTCGGAATTATGAATTGGAGTGTTAATTAGAATTATATAGCGCCCTATATCGGTCTAGATCTTTTTAGTTCTCAAACATAATCATTATCTCAATTCGGAAGTATAGGGACCCTAAATAAATTACTTTATACGTTTAGTATGACTAAAAATTGAAAGGATTGAATCATATTTGATACTGATACTGATTTTAGTAGTTATCATTCTCATCTGATTACCTCTCCAAGATTTAAAAACAACGTTTACTTTATTGTTTCAATATACTGAAGAGTACTCATAAAAATTCCAAATTTCACCCATAGAGTTTCATGTATCAACTATTTGAAGTGTCAACGGTTTTGGGGAGCGATAATGATTTTTTTGGAATGTAGGCTTGACGACTCGGTTTCATATATAACGATTTTTAAGGTCGTTTGAGCGTTAATTTGGAGAAAATTATGTATTTACACAGTCAACTCCACCATTAAACATAACTTAATTTAGTTGGAAAAGCAACTACTGCTTGGCAACACCCACTTGGCTCCTCGTTTGACGACCAGTCATTTTACTTTAGTTATCATGTCACATTTAGTCTGTTATCGTTACCTCCGACTATCGCTTGTAAAGATAAAAAAATTACGCTTTTATGCAGGTCGCGATCTTAAATTTATTTATCTGATCTATGTTTCAAATTTAAGCAACCACATTTATATCAACTATATACCAACTTTCCTTATTAGACTCAATATAAAATTAAATCAGCCACATCATAACAAATGATATGAACCAGAAATATAAATATAGCATGTTCTCAACTATACGGTGTTTTGCAACATCTTCAAATTCAATAAATCATTATCAACTATTAGAATTACCAATAAATGCATCATTAAAAGAAATAAAATTACAATTTAAAAAATTATCAAAAAAATATCATCCAGATTTAAATCAACATTTATCAGAAGATGAAAAAATTTCAAATACTGAAAAATTTGCAAAAATGGTAGAAGCTTATGATACTTTAAAAGATATTAAACGTAAACGACAATATGATCAAACATTAAGAGGATCACCTAATGGAAATGGATCAAGACGATCTAATGAATATAATCGATATTATGGAGAAGCAAAATATTATTCAAAAAATGGTACAACATATACAACAGCATCAGGATTAAATACAAAAAGACATAAAGTAAAATATGCAACAAATGATTATCAAACAACTCAATCAAAATTTTCAGGTCAACATATAAATCATGATAAATTTGATGTACCACATTTTGATTATGATAAACATTTAAATAGAAATTTAAAACATGAACAAAGAATTTTAGATAAATATTTAGATGAAAATTTAAAGAAAAAAATTTTAAATCAATTAACAAAATCTGGTAAAATTAACATATCTGAAGAATTAAAAACAAAACATTTATTACGTCATGTAAATCAAATAAAAGAAAATGATCATTATGAATTAGGACCTAAGATTAAGAGTCAAAAGAAAACTGTTAATAATTATCCAAATGTAAAATATGGTGGGAGTACAAATTATAGAGGTGCTGCTACATATCTGAATTTATATCAAAAACCTGTAAATGATGATGATAATCCATTTATTAAAGTTTTTGCTGCATTAGGTGCTGGTACATCATTATATATCTTATATAAAATAATAAATTAAAGATTTAAAGGGAATTAGGAATTAAATAATGTTTTTATTGGTTCTAACGATCTACTTCTCCAAACACTAAATCCATTGTACCAATTATAGCAACTGCATCAGCCAATAAATTACCTCTTGCAATATGATCTAAAGCACCTAAATGAGCAAAACCTGGAGCTCTAATTTTACATCTATAAGGTCTTTCACTTCCATCACTTACAACATATACTGCCATTTCTCCCTTTGGAGCTTCTATAGCAGTATAAGTTTCACCTTGAGGTACAGCATAACCTTTTGTAAATAAAAGGAAATGATGAATTAAAGCTTCCATATCTTCTTTCATTAAACTTCTTGGAGGAGGAGAAATTTTATAATCTTCAACTTTAACAGGACCTTGAGGCATATCATTTATACATTGAAATATTATTCTTAAAGATTGACGAAATTCAACCATTCTTATTAAATAACGATCATAACAATCTCCATATAATCCAACACCAATATCAAAATCAACTAAATCATAAGCATCATAAGGTTGTGATTTTCTAATATCAAATGGTATACCGGAACCTCTTAACATTACACCAGATAATGAATAATTTAAAGCATCATCAGCACTAACTACTCCAACTCCAATAGTTCTTTCTTTCCAAATTCTATTATCAGTACATAATTCTTCAATTTCATCAATTCTATCACCAAATTGTGTTGCCCACATATATATATCATCTAATAAACCTGCTGGTAAATCTTGTGCAACTCCACCTGGTCTAACATAAGCACTATGTAATCTTGCTCCAGAAACTCTTTCATAAAATTCCATTAATTTTTCTCTTTCTTCAAATCCCCATAAAAATGGTGTTAAACCACCAACATCCATAATATGAGTTAATACGGACATACAATGATTTAAAATTCTTGTAATTTCTCCAAATAATGTTCTAATATATTTTGCTCTTAATGGTATATCAATATTTAATAATTTTTCAACAGCTAATGCAAATACTTGTTCATTTGTCATCATAGAAACATAATCTAATCTATCAAAATATGGTAATGCTTGCATATAAGTTTTACTTTCAATTAATTTTTCAGTACCTCTATGTAATAAACCAACATGAGGATCACTTCTTACAATTTCTTCACCATGTAATTCTAATATTAATCTTAAAACTCCATGAGCTGCAGGATGTTGAGGTCCAAAATTTATTGTAAAATGTCTTATCTTGGTATTTTGTTTTTCAACTTTATCTGGTGCATCTGATTTATCCCACAACATATTTGTTTCATCCATTACTTCTGTAAAAGTAGTTTTTCCAAACATTCCTGGAGGTTTTGAATATTTATCAACTTTTTTACCCATTGCATTTAAAGCATTTGATGTGGTTGCTTTTTGTTGTTTTTCTTCTATTGTTAATGGTGTTGAAGATTCTGCATAAGATCGATATTGTTGTTTTGAAAGTATGCTGTGATTAAATTTGACATTATTTAGTCTTTTTGTTATTAAATTAATATGATTTGATGGTTTTATTCTTAACATTTTGCGGTATATGAGTATGATTTGATGCTAGGAGAGATAGTTATAATAAATGAAAATGATAGTGTATTAAGGGACTGGTTGAATAGTTGAGTAAGTGAATAATTGAATTGTCTTTGAATGTCTCTATGATTAGTTAGTTTTGATATCTACTGTTTCAATTGATGGTATGTATGAAAAAAAAAATTATGTACTATATCAGTGCTACCAGATATATAGTAATAATAAACTCTTTTTATTTAATTGGTTATAACCGTAAGTAGTAAAATTAGAACAGAGACACGACCTAATAATTGAATAATTGAAGTGAACACAATTTCAAAAGTGAACAAGATATTAAGAGTTAAAACCAACTCAATTATTCATTTACTCAACCATGCCAGCTGACCCAACTAACAATTCTAGTTTATTATTAGTTGTGGAAGTAAAATTATGATCTGGGTTGTTAATGACCGGAATTGGTGTTCCATGCAATGATAAAACCTTGTGTCAGCCAGGATTCAGATTTGAAAATCTTGTGTCAACCAGGTTCCATCAATTTCAAGTCTGAATTCTGGTTGACACAAGATTTAATCATCAGTTGTGATAATAACATTCGGGTATGAACTTGTTGAGATCGACAAAATCCTCGAAACCATCAATTTTCAGAATCGAAAATAGATGAAGATATAACTCGACCTGATAACTTACTCACTGGAGGAACATATTACACATGGACACATGAGAATGTACTTTTCAAATTCATGAAAAGCTGAACTAATAACAAGTCCAATACAACAATAACACTTTTAAATTACATCAAAGATCAAAGCCTTGAAAATGAATAGATGCAAGTAATAAATAGAATTAATGTTAGTAACAGATGGAAGTAATCCGTTCGAGCTTTTCGGACATAAAAATAGGAAAGAGTCAGAACAAGTTCTAATTTTCAACCTAATTTTCAATTCGGGATGGATCATCACCAAAACGAATTAATTTTTATTTCGGTCTTCGTTGGTTTAGATTGGTTTGACTTATTTATACAAAGCAGTGATCAACGGAAAGGAATTGGTTTTTTTTTTTAGACTTAATTCTGAACAGTTTTGTCGTTATAGTTGAGGTATTTCTGTGATGGTTAATTGATGATTTATGTCTTAAAGGTAAGGTGTTTCTTCAATGAGCAAGTCTTAAATTCACGTTCTTCATAAAGTGAATTACATGGCCTTTGGCTTTGCAGTATGTACAGAACTCAAATTTCAAATAGTTCGAACAGAATGGGCTGGTCTAGCAAACTTAACATCGTGACCTATGGCTTTGCAGAATGAATAGAACTCGAAGTCTGAAACTATGTTTAGCTTGTTTGACCAGTTTATTTACTTCGAAATATTTGGAATTTTGAGCTCCTTTGAATTCAATAAGATATTGATGTATCAAAAGAGGGAGAGCCAGGATCATTATCAGAGTAAAAATTAATGTTTGACAGTGATTTCAACAAATTAAGGAGAAGTATCACAAGTAATTGATGAGTGAAAGAAATTCAAACTATTAAATTTTGTACCACCTTGATAGGAAATTTGAAAAATATGATACAACTTAAGTTTAGTAAAAAGCAGCTATCAAGTGCCCAGTCAATAGTGAAAAAGAAACCGGGATTTATTCCTATCGTCAAAACTATAAAAAGAAGGATTTGGGTTTTAGACTGATCATTAGGTCAGCTACTGTTCGTTTTGGACTTTCTTAGGTTCACATCTCGTCCACCCAATTGAATTGCTTTAGCTGTCCAGTTGAGTTTGCTAGTTGGATAGATAATTGGATAGATAAAGCAAATCAATTATGCAAACATCATTCTTGAAAATGTTCGAAGTTAGATCTTACCAAGAAATAGAAAGAATTTGATTTTGAGTATACATATGAATGAATAGCAATTAAGTGTCATTTGAATGAGTGCCATCAATATATTCCTGATCTCGGTTTTGCATCATTCAAAAGGAGCCCTCAAAATATTATTCATGATGCAATTCCGAAATAAATTGAAGTAATTGAATTAAATCTGCATTATTGACTGATCCATTGTTATATTACCCAAGATTACAAAGTTATATCGAAACTGAAGTAGTCAATGGACACTTCAATGAATCAGTCAATATTGCAGATTCAATTCAAGACCACGAAAACCTTGATGAATTTCATTACGAAGTCCATTTCTTTCCACTTTTATAAGTAACACATCATAAGATTTCCAATAAAACGGTATAATTGGAAGTTGATCTATGCTATCGTGTAGAATATTTAATTATCAAATTCAAACATGACTATTTCTCCCTATACCCAAATTTGCAAAAGAAATCACTGAGGTTGTTGATCGATTAATACTCTGTTTATTATAAAAAATTTCAGCCTCTGTTGTCTTAAAGTCATTCCAAGAAGTAATTGTCTCTATATACGTACATCAAAACCTTTTCATCGATCCATTTTGCAACTCCATATTTAATATACAGAGTCGTAAGTTGAGAAATTAAATCAAGGGTTGTTAATTTTGTATTGTTTATGTAATAAATGATCAACTCAAAGAAAAAAAAAAAAAAAAAAAAGTCCTAAAAAAAAAACACGTCTTGAAATTCTCGGTTTAAATTAAGACGTGCTTTGATTTTACAAGTGCTACCAAATTTCATCTCATTTCATAATTAAACGCTGGCTAATGCAAATACATTTATGATAATATTCAATATATTTGATTATTACTTATCTACTAAAATCAATGCATCAAATACCGTATGATTCTGTTTTTTAGATTATTTAGAGTCACGAGCTACTTCATACGACCAAAAGTTTTCTCGACTTATTAAGTAAATTTGCAGTTACCTTAAAGTTGAAAAAAAAGAAATTTTTGAAATTAAAAAAGTTTCGGAAATTGTAAAATTGGTTTTAGTACTGCATATGAAACAACAATAATGGTACATGTACTACTTACTTAACATTATAATAAAAAATTTCATAAATAGCCTAAGATAATATTAGTAACATTTAACTCAATACTTACTTACATTATAATCCTTTTCAAATTTGTACTGTAGTAAATTTTACTTATGCAGTTCAATATATTATATTAATTCTTATATATTACTAAATACAATTTCCTTTCATTACTTACTTCTTTTTCTACTTCTTCTTAACTTCTTACTTTTATATTTCACCAACTATACTTCCATTTTACTTTCAACTATTTAAAACTTCCAATTAAAACTATTCAATCATTTTTCCAATTATTTAATCAATTTCATTCACTTGTTTCATCATATATTTTTGCAACATAAATTAAATTTCACTTTTTGTTTTTTTTCAAACTTTTACAACCAAAAACACACACTTTCTAAAACACGTATTGAATCAATTCAACCAACTTTAATTACATAAATAATGATAGATATAAGATTAACTCCACCACCTACATCAAACAACAACAGTATAAATCAACAATCAAAACGAAAAAATGAAGAAAATATAGAAGAATTTAAAAAATTAAAAAATTTAACAACTGAAGATTTAATAAATTCAAATCCAGAATGGCCACAATTTATTCATCCAGATGGTGGGATTCTAAAAATAACACCATGGGGTTCAATAAGACAATATATTGATTCAGCATCAGGAGAATCAATAACAAAATTTGAAGATTTAAATTTTGAAGAATATTCTTTTAAATCTGAAGAAATTGAAAAATTATATAATACTCCAAATACTCCTCAATCTATTTATAATCATCAACAACTGAATAATTTTAATCATATATCTCCTTTACATAATAAACCAAATTTAAGTCAACAAAGTTCTTCAAATTCAATAGGTTTATCATCAAATAATTCAATATATAATCAATCAAATCAAAATTTGAATTTAAGTCCAAGTAATGAAATTGAAAGTTATGTTGTAGATGGTTATCAATATAATCAAAATCAACAACAACAACATGATATTCAAGATCAAGAATTTCAAATTGAACATGAAAATTATTTTGGAATGAATTAGTTTTTTTGATTGGGGTTGTTGAGAAGGAAAGAGAGATCTATCACTGGTGATGAGTCTCTCTTTTTCTTTAAGTTGTTCTAATCTTCTTGGAACGAGGTGAAAAATTGTTGTAAAAATTTGGCAACCATCAACATTAGTTTTATTTTAAAACTTCAATGTTCAGTCTTGTTAGTTAAAGATTTAAATGAACGTAACCATTGTATAATTAGTATAGTTTGATTTTAAGAAATAAAAAGTCTGTAATATTATTAGAAAGAGTATAAGTATTTACTTTACTTTAATATTGCTTCATCTCTTAAATATTTTGACCGCGCGGTTTGAGCGTACGAATATACAGATAAAAATCGCATTTGAAATCAATTGTTTGAAAATTACAGCCTCTTTCAAATTACAATTGATTAAATAAAAATTTGATTCAATAGAATTCATCAAAATTGATTAATTAACAAAAATCCAAGTCATTAACAGACCACAAAAACTACAATCCATAAATTTAAAGCATGCTAAAGCTGAATTTGCAAAGAAGGTCAAAGCATACACACAAAGTTCAGACTTAAAAAATCTAACACAAATGACATTTCATAATTAGGTAAAAATATTAGATTTCTTTGATTCAACCTCTCGTGTGTTTATACCTAGTTTCTTCACGAAAAGATATTCAGTATTCCAATGCTTCATAGTTTTGGATTGAACTTTTCAATGATTTGCTGAATGGCTGGAATTTTGCTATTATTCCGTCTTGGTGAACTCTATCTTAATGTTTAAATTCGAAAATGAAAATGAACTATTTCGAAGTAACTTTAAAAATACTTGGTCGGTTTCTTAAATCATTCTTTGTAATTCTTATGAGTATCATCCCTTGCAAATTTTTTAAGGTTCTATTTATAATTATTTCTTCCTTCATTAAGCAATATTGTTGTTAAACATTAATCAATTTTGCACTTAAAAAAGCAACTGGACAAGGAATGTTTAGATCATTAGACTTCCTTGTTTGTACAAAAATAGCACCAATAGCCATCTCACTTGTATCACATATCAGCATTATTTCCCTGCTCCTGTCCACTAAATTTAAAGTTGGTAATGTAAAAGTTGAATTTCTTGTTTTTTCAAATGCTTTTTCTGACGCTAGTACGTGTTAAATAGATTGAGTTTTCGTCTGGATGCTTATGAGTCCGTCAATGGTGATCTCATTCTTACCTTTAGTACAAAAACATGAATAAATAAGGTCAATGAAACGAATAACCAAAGTTCCGTAATATTGCTTCATAGCATCCAATTTTTAATTGCTTTAATGTCTAATGAATGAGGTCTATTACTTTTATTAAAAATTGTAAACTACCAAGCAACATCACTGAACTTGGGTCATTCGTTTAATACTCATTCATCAAAATTCATACAATTCATTACCATCGGTATTCAAATACAAACCAGCCTATTCAACTTTCGGAACAATACAATGTCCTTACACAATCTCAAGCTCAACTAATTCAGCACTGTTAATTGATATTTTCTTTGATTCTGTAAATTTTTTTGCTTCTTTTGATCCAATTTTTGAATGAAAGTTTCATTGTTGGTCTTTATTGGTTAAATTAAAAATTTATACAATATCACAAATAGTACTTACTTGAAATCATTACATTAGGGGTTTCTTAAAAGTCTGGATCTATCTTTTTCCTAATTAGTCTATATTTCCCCAATCTTGTTCATCCATTAATGCTTTAAAAACTTTTGCTCTCTTGCCTTTGAATTGTACTTTCAAATTCAACGATTCCCCATGTTTATTGTGTGTATGAAGGTTATCAAAACTTATTCCTTTATAGAATCTTGGATAATGGAATACAATACATATATATTTTCAAAAATTTGCAGATACCATACATTCATTATTTTTGAAAATTTGTAGGTATTGTAGTCCATTATCGGTAACACTAGATACTCGAAGTTGCTTTTGTAAAAAATTCAAAGGAATAAGTTTCGTTAAGGTTTGATAAATTTTCGTCAATTTTAATTTTTTTAATTGAGGGAGAGATTTGTTGGGAACGAGTTAGCAAAGTTAATGGAAGTGTAGGTTTTCCAACACCCTTCAAATACAACTATGATATTGTTTTAATACTTAACTGTATTTAAGCATGTTCACTGAACGAAAATTGGAAGGACCAATACAAGTACAATAAATAGAATCCTCCAGTTTTTTAAAAAGACACTAGTTGTAAAGAGTGGATAAGCAATCTTTAATTGACAAACTTCAAAAACAATCAAAAAACATGTCCAATTCTCCAAAGACCTGGTAGAAATAAAAGTGAGTATTACAAGCCTAAAAACAACAACAGATAGCAAAATCAACATGGAGGATCTGCAAATGCAAATTCAAATCATAATGTCATTAATGAAAATTTTGAAAATTGCCGAAACTAATCAACAAAATCCTCAACATAGACAACAAGACTTTTTAATGTTGGATCTGAATCTAAATTTCTGATATGGAACTAGCTCAGTAAGCTGATTTTGCTGCAAGAGTAGCAACAGCAGCAGTAAACGAAGGGGAGGGGTAGTTGAAGAACAAGCATCAGGAGCTATAAATACGCCAGTGGATGCAGAAGAAATTACAAATGGTATAGTTAGTTTTCAAAAAGTAATTCAGGAGGAAGTCCATGCTCCTTTAGACAAGCATACTGAAGAATTTGTAGCTAAGTTTTTCTGGGTTATCCACTATGGTATTCTCCAAGGTACCATACATCAAGATGATAGCTCAGAAAAGCTTGGCTACAAATTGAAAAACATGGCTGGAAATACTTTGAATAATAACTTTTATTATAATCAACTAATCTCCAATTTCACTTTCCAAGATAGTCCAATATCTACATTATCCGAATTTAACAAATATTTAAGACAAGAAGAATATAAGATTTTAAAAAAAGAAAAGATGATGCAAGAAAACCAGGAGAACAAGATTCAAGAAATCAATTTGATTTTATTTCTGTCCCTTTCAAGTAATCTAGTTTCATTATAAAATTTAGGAAAGGACAGAATTAAAATCAAATTGAATTAGTTCTAACTAATGGGAAGGTGTATTTCTTTTATCGTTAGTTCCCGAGTTAATTTAAGAGGTGCTAACAAGATCAGCAATCCCCATTGTTGATTGATATTTATATCTCCCATTTTATAAAAGTGTTCATTTCCCTTTTTAGAGATCAATCTATTTTGTTAGGATAAGTTACATATATGACATATTCTCAACTATTGTAAATCTTATACATAACAGGGGTACTTTGCGACTGACTCATATAACATTCTACGTAATATCAATAAATTCACAACTACACAACTTGCACTGTCTCTCATATTTGAAGAAATTTTGATAATTTGAACAAGTAAAATCAATTGACTCAATTAACGTGAATAAATGGTTTCTATAAACATTGAGAGAAGTCAGTCATCACCAGCCGATACTACGTACATGGAGTATTTTTCTCATAATCACGTTGTTACATAGAAATTTTGCACCAAAGTTCGAACAAAAATTTTGATGTTTGCATTAAATCTGTATACACTCTTATTATGTTGATACTCATTTTATACAACACTAAAAGCCGTTATAAAGCGTATTGAGCTCCTTTGTATTCTCCTTCTTAACCACAGTTAGTACCTTCAGACTTGAATTGTTCACCGATATCAATCATTAACTTTCTCAAATTGATAAAAAATTTAATAAAGTGACATTACCCCTTAAAAAAGATCTAATATTAAAAAAAAAAGAAATTTAATCTTTCGCTAAATTGAAAGTTAAATTTTTTAGACTTATTTAAGATAAAATCTTAATTTAGTAACTCTTTTATATCATCTTATCATCTACAAATACCTACCAATTATCTTCAACTCACTCTCCTTATGTCACATCCAGATAGATCACCACCTCATCATCAATTCACTCATTCAAATCAAAGAAGAAGAGCATCTGTAGTATATGGATCTATAGGAAAAGGTGGATTATATTTACCATCTGATTTTATAAATAATAATGAAAATAATATTAATGGTAATAGAAAACATTCAACAAAAGATTTTGTTGATGAAAATTCTCCTTTAATAGATATACAAGGAGATTCTTCAATAGACATAGAGCCAACACTCAAAGATAGAAGAAGAAAATCAAGTTTTGATGAAAGAGAATTAATTGAACAAGAAAGAGAATTATTAAAATATAGTCATATACCAATAACAAATCCAGATAATGAAGATGATATAAGAAATACATTTGATGAAGCAATAAATAAAAATCAAATTGAAATAACTACACCATTAATTGAATTAAATGTTTTGATTAGAACAAGTTTACCATCAGTTTTAACTTTTTTATTACAATGTTCATTATCAACTGTATCAGTTTTTTCAGTTGGTCATATTGGCCCCACAGAATTAGCTGCAGTAAGTTTAGGAGCAATGATGGCTAATATTACAGGTTATGCAACAATTCAAGGATTAGCATGTTGTTTAGATAGTTATTGTCCTGCAAGTTTTGGAGCTAAAAAATATACTTTAGTTGGTATATATGTTCAAAAATGTACTGCTTTAATTGCAACAGTTATGATTCCTGTATTAATAGCTTGGATATTTTTTGGTTATGAATTATTAACTTTAATTATACCGGATAAACAAACTGCTCATTTATCTGCAGTTTATTTAAGAATTGTCGCTGCTGGTATTCCAGGTTATATTGTATTTGAAGTTGGTAAAAGATTTTTACAAGCTCAAGGTATATATAATATAGGAGCATATGTTTTATCATTTGCTGCTCCATCAAATTTAATAATGAATATTTTATTGGTTAAACATTTAGGTTATATTGGAGCACCAATTTCAGTTGCAATTAATTATTGGTTAATGGCTTTTGGATTAATTATATCAACAATTTTTTTAATTAAACCTGAAAATACACCAACTGGTATAAACCCTTTAAAATGTTGGGGAGGTATAAATTTAAAACAAGCATTTTCAGGTTGGTCAAATTTAGCTTCATTAGCTATACCAGGATTAATTATGTTAGAAGCTGAATTTATTGCTTTTGAAATTTTAACATTAATGGCATCATATATAAATACAAATGCATTAGCTGCTCAATCTATTGGAACAACAATGGCTTCATTAACTTATCAAGTTCCATTTGCTATAGGTATAGCATCATCATCAAGAATTGCAAATTTTTTGGGTGCTGGATTAAGTGAATCTGCAAAAATAACGACAAAAGTTTCATTAATTTTTGGAGGTATAATTTCAATTATAAATTTTTTAGCATTATTTATTTTTAGAAGACCAATTGCAAATGCTTTTACTAATGATGAAAAAGTTATTGAAATTGTTTTAGGTATAATGTGGTTAATTGCTTTAATGCAAGTTTCAGATGCTTTAAATGCAAATTCTGCTGGATGTTTAAGAGGTCAAGGACAAACAAAAATTGGTGGTATTGTAAATTTAATTTCTTATTATCTTATTGGTATACCATTATCAATTTATTTATCATTTTTTTCACCTTGGAAAGGTTCATTGGATGGTTTATGGATAGGTTGTACTGTTGCATTAACTATTATTGGAGTTGTTCAAAGTTATTATGCTTTATTTGCTGATTTTAATAAATTATGTGATGATGCTAGACATAGAACTACTATTACAGATGTGTAGATTAGACACTTATTATTTATAGAGATAACTTTTTAATTTTAAATTAATAGACAATTTTTAAAAAGAAGAATATGGTAATGACTTCATTTTGATATGCGTTTCCACTAAAGAATCTATGCCATAAAATGTTTCTTCTAAAATATAATAAACTTCAACTACCTAATCTACCATACCGAAGCTTTCATCCGAGCAACATTGAACCATTGGAAAAGAGGGTATCAACGTTAATAAGTTAATAATCAATTGGTCAAATGTTGATAAGTTGTAAGCTTCAATAATTGTAAAATGGCTTAGGTAGTTGGAGTTGAATTTTTGATGTAATATGATAGAAATCACCGCTAGCAGTTTTTGCTTTTATGGGCGTGGGGAGTTGATATCATTGAACAGTTGTTACTCCTTTGAAATCTTATGATGCTCTTGTATCCGATAGGAGATTTAAGTTATTTGCTTGGAAAATAACGATGCCTAGCATTGACTGTTACTTCATAGAAATCAGGTTGTATCTTCATCATCAAACTGTTTGGATTCTATTCAATCCACTTGTTTCAAAAGATCATCATCTCCATTATCAGAAACAGCAACTTCTTATGGTTCAGCAGCATCAGCGATAATAAAAAGAGTTTTGTATTTTCTTTCTATCTTTGTTATATACTTTGTAAGGTTTTGAGTTAAACCTCACAAGGTATGCAACAAAGCTAGAAGAGACCATATTCAAAACCTTACAAGGTTTATGTGTTGTTATTGTATTTTGGAGTAAATTGCAGGAAGTTGTTGTAGTAATAGGAGTATCGATTGGTTTTATAACGCCTGTTGTTGGAGTAGCCATTAAAATATTGAGATTGATTGTTGTTGTTGTTTAAACCATGAATAAATTAAGCTATATTCACATCCTAACATTTGTAATCCTAACAAATAAAAATAAAAGCTCCCTTTGGATAAATTTGTAAATTACATTTCTGTATGTATATTCGTTATCCTTATCCTTTTGTCTATATTTAGTAATTTGGTGCACAAAATTGAGGTTGTAATGAATTTTGGCCAATTATAAAACATTCAAATCTGATTACTAAATTATAGATAGTCCATTAGTGGGTAAGATCTGATATACGATTAAACGAGTAAACTTATCACAACTATTGACTATTTCAAAACTTTGATGAAACCACTATATTACCATTTTAAACATTTTGAAGAAAGTATTCTTAGATTTGGACCGCGGTAGATTGGTATTACGAAACTTTTTGAAGAAAATTTAATTTATTTCTCCAAGTTTTATATTAATTTTTATCGTATGTTTTTATAATTTACTCGAGAAAAAAAGTGGACTCGTACTAAATAGCGAGAGCTCGTAGGAATCAGCCGTATAATTCGATAACACGTCAGATCCGCAAAATTTAAGAAAACTCAATTGGTCTTAAATTACATCAACAATTGAGCTACATCATTAATTGTAAAACTCAATAAATTTATCAAATAAATAACATCTCCTTATATTATAAATCTATGTATAATTCTTCAATACAAAACAAAGTCTCCATTTTAAAAATTAGTTTTATAATAATAAGCACCAAAAGCAATTAAAAATACAACAACTGCAATTAATGGATAATTAATTGAACTTTCTTGAGTACTATAAGATTGAGCTCTTTTTGTTTCAATTGGTTTTGCACCTTTTAAATTTCCAATATATAATTTTTCTAAAATTTCATGAGCTTCATCAGAATGTCCAATATCTTCAAAAGCTTCAGTTGCATCTGTACCTGCACAATCCAATATAACTTCTTCTCCACCTGGATGTTCATCAATATATGAACTGACATTATATACTCTTCCATTAATTATAACCCATACATCATCATGAGTTGTATGTTTTGAAATTTCTTCATAATCATATACTTTAACTCCTTCGTCTGACATTGTGAATGATTTATCGGTGTTATTAAATATTAATTAGATCTTTAAATTGATGATAAAATGGTATCTATAGATTCTTATTTATAGTTTAATCTAATAGTTGTAAATCAAATTTGGTGATATTTGATAGTAAAAAAAAAAAAAAAAAAGATTTGAATAATAATTTTTTTTTATCTTTTGTATAGATTATTATGTGTTGATTATTATTTTTTCTCTTTTGGTTATAATAATGTATTAAGAGTTACTACAAAATGATATTTGATAAGACGATGTCATTCTACATACAAATGAAGATAGTGAACGTTATAGATCATTGGATACGTTCAACGCAAAAGCAGAGAGTAATCAGTAGGGGGAGATCATGGTTTGTTAATAAAAAGTGGTTCGATGTATGTGTTTTGTATTTTTGTTGTATTTTCCACAATGTCTTTTTTTTTTCACAGGCACCTCGTAAATTTATTACAGGACTTTACTAACTAAACGAATCTTTCATAAAACTTCAACAAATGGACTATTCTTGAGATTTTGATGATGGTATTGAAATGAGTGATCACTTACCTACTAGCTGGTTAGGGATTGACGTATCCAATTGAGCTTTTCTTTAAATTATACTTTTCGTTAATCTTCTTAAGTTTGTCCCTGAACCTTATCGGACTTAACGAGTATTAAGGAATTTTTTACTTAATTCGGTTAATAATTCATAGTTTGTTGAAATTTTAATCACATTTCGACTTAGTCTATACCAAGTTTGTATAGACAAGAAACTAACAACCACAAGGGTCCAGCTCAAAACAATGCATATTATGTATAACATAGATCATTTGGCTTTATTCAAGATTCGTGTAAAAAAATTATAACACGAACCATTGCAAAATACGTCCCAAAAATCAAATTTTAGAACAATTACAAACTTCGGTGAACCATGGGCAAACTTCAAAAAAATGTTGGGTATGATCCGTTCATATCCAAAATGCCTCGAGGGTTGAGTTTATGGTGTTGGTTACAGAAAAATATAAAGGGACTATTTATCATATACCTCGTATTCATGCCGGATTATTGAAAGTCCTTCCATCGAATAAAACAGTAACTGAAGTTGATTTCACAGATCAAATAGATCAATGCTCAAATAGATCTGTCAAGTCAACTTTGGTTACTGTTCTATCCGATGGAAGGTCCTTTGTTAGCTACTGTTTCCTGCGAGATATTCAACAAATAATGGTTTGTTTCTTAAGGGAATAAACCTTTTTCTGTTACTCCCGTAGGGTTCGTCTTCAACTCCCCCTTCAACATTAGTTCGTCTAGCATTTGTGAACAAATAATAATTTTAAAATATCGAACGTTATGATCAAATAATTTACTTTGAATATGGTTTTGAATCATTGATTGATTAAAGGATGATAAAACTTCAACAAGTCTACAATCAAAAACTTCTGGGCTCAAACATATAGAATACAACTTACGAAGAGATGATAATATAATCGAAATTTTGAATATTTTTATTGTCTCTATGCTAATAATTCAGCTAAATTAAAATCTATACCTTTAGATTTCAATTCTTCAATTTTCTTTTGTTTTGATTCTTCAAATTTTTGAGTTAATTTTTCCCATTCTTCTTTTGTCTTTTTATTATCATGTTTAGCTTTTGCAATTTTATGAACAGGTATTATTTTAAATTTTTTATTAGAATTTTTAAAAACATCTTTATGAGGATTTTCAACATATTCACAACGGATTAAATGACCATTTAATAAATAATTATTCATTGTATCTACTGCTATTTTTGCAACTTCAGATGATTCAAATTCAATATATGCATAATGTTTTGATTTTCCAGTTTTTTTATTTCTACTAAGTTTTAAATTTTTTATATCTCCAAATTGTTTAAAATATGTTTTTAATTCTGATTCTTGAAATCCTGATGGTAATCTACCTATATATATTACTCCACTCTTTGATGATGAATTTTTAGTTTTTGTTGTTGTTGAATCTTTTGGTTTTATAACTTTGTTGACTTTATGGCCTGCTGCCGTTGTGCTTGGTGGTAATTCTATTTCTTCTTCATCACTTGATTCCATATGAGGTGGTTCTTCTACATCTTCCTCATCTGATGATAATCCATAAACTTCTTCATCTATTTCTTCATTCTCTGACTCTGATGATTCTGATGATGACGGGAGCTGTATATCTCCTTCTGCTTCTACCTGTGCTGGTTTCGTCTGTACTTTGGAAGACTTACTTGTTTGTTTTTTAGCCATTGTGTGGGTCTTATTTTAATTTGATACTTTAATAATTACTGCTTAGTATGATGAGATGAGAAAAGATAATAGATCAAATCTCGGTACAGTAAATTCATGACACAAAATTAGAGTCTTAACAAAACATCAATGTCACAAAGTGCAATCAAATATTAACTGTTACAATCTATTAAACACATATACAATTACAGAATGACTGATTTAACTCCATTATTCAACCAATGCGTAGATATAATCCAATCAGAACCTAAAAACAAAGTCTACCTACAGCAACTAAAAACTGAAAAAAATCACAAACTAGATCATGAACCACCATATATTGTCAAAGACACATTCATAAAAGAATGTATAGAACTTTATGACACTTTATCTAGTCTAACACAATTCATCATTGAAATACAAAAGGAATATTTATCAATATCAGAAACTCAAAGTAACTCCCAATTGAAAAATAAAATCGATGAAGATTTTAATTTCAAAATTCAACAATGTTTTAAAAAGATTAGCTTTTTAGAAAATTATGAAAAGAAAAGAATTGAACTTGTAACTTCAAATATACTGAAAAAGAAAAATTGGTTTTTTGGAAGTAATGAAGAACAAGAACAATATTTTAAAACAATATCAGAACATAGATCAACAGTAATAAAATTTTTAAGTGAATCATTATTTAATATTTCTAAAAAATTTGAAAAAATTCAAAGAAAAAGACAATTGAGAGAAAAACAATTAAATTCATTAAATTTTCAAAATTTAGAAGATGATGATGAATTTATTATTGAAGACAATCAATTTATAAAATTAGATGAAATAAATCAAAAATTTGAAATTGAAAATGATAACGAAAATGAATATCCACAACAACAACAACAACAACAACAGCAATTAAATTCAGAACAAATTCAACAATTAGAATCAGAAAATCAAGAATTTTTAAATTATAAAACTTCACAATTAAAAAAAGTAGATAATATTCAACAATCAATATTAGATATAATAAATATTCAAAATGAATTAAGTTTTAAAATTCAAGAACAAGGTGAAACTATAGATAATTTATTAGATACTCATTCACAAGTTGAATATGAAGTTAAACAAGGTAATAAAACTTTAAATCAAGCTACAAAAAAAAATAAAAGAGGTTCAAATTATATTGTTTTACTTTGTATATCTTTAGGTTGTTTGATTGTAATATTTGATTTTTTAAAGTTTATATGAACCAATATAAAGAATCAATGACTATATAATTTCCGTAACTTTACCAGCTCCTATTGTTTGTCCTTCTCTTCTAATTACTATTCTACCTAATTTTGAATTTTCTTCATAAGTTGTTAAAGGTAATATCCCATCAATTTGAATTTCAACAATTGCAATTTGTTTTGAAGTTAAATGTAATATTTTTTTCTTCTTTTTAGTGGCATTTGTTATTTCAATTATTTTATTGATTCTTGCTGGTACTTGACTACTATTTCTAAATAATACAAATGGCATTCCAACTAAAAGTGGTTTATCTAAATTAAATAAATTTATTGATGCTGTAAATGTCTTTGTTGTTTTTATGAGAGTATTGGATTTGGTTAGTATATCACCAATTCTTATACTATCTGTTGTTTCATTTGATAATTGATTTAATTTGAAGAAAAATGTTACTAAATCACCAGATATTGCAAAATCAACTGTATTCCCACTAGATTTTATTGATTGTATTTGTAACAGTTCTTCACTTGGATATGCAATTACAGTTTCACCTGCTTGAATTAAACCATTCGTTATTTTTCCAATAACTTTTAATTCTCCTTTATCTTTATATACATCATGAACGGAGAAAAAGAATGGTTCATTTAATAAATTTGTTCTTTCGTTCTCGATTGGCACTTGTTCAAGATATTGACCTAAATTTGGACCAGTATACCATTCAAATGCTTTAATTGATTCATCTCTTTTCACAACATTATTACCAGTTAATCCTGAAATCGGTATAAAAGTAATTTGATCAGATTTAAAACCAATATCATCACTAGTTAAAAATTCTTGCATTTGTGTCTTTATCGTATCAAATCTATTTTCACTCCAATCTTCTTTGTCCATTTTATTTACAACAACACATAATTTTGTAATTCCTAAATTCTTGGCTAATATAGTATGTTCTTTTGTTTGACCATCTAACGCAAATCCTGATTCAAATGCACCAGTAATGGAATCAATCACTAACAAAGCAAAATCAGCATTTGAAACACCACCAATCATTTGTGGGACGAAATCTTTATGACCTGGAGCATCTATCGCAGTGAGTTTATTCAGTTCAACTTCAAAGTCAGTAGCACAAATATCCACAGTTACACCATGATTTCTTTCTTCTTCAGTTTGATCCATTATCCATGCTAATGCAAATGATCCTTTACCAATTTTTTCACTTTCTTTAACTAATTTATTCACCGTTTTAGCATCAACTATACCATAATCAAATAATAATCTTCCCATTAATGTAGATTTACCAGCATCTACATGACCTATAACAACAAATGATTTATGTGGTTTATTATAATTTGGATTATTTACAAGTTCTGATTCTATATCTAATTTTTTAAATGGTTTTGTTTCTTTTGTTTTCGATTTAAGTTGTGGTAGCACTTCCAGTTGAGTTGTTGGTTCTGTTGTATTTGTTTCTGCTATTGATAATTTACTAACTCCATCAAAAGCTTGTTTTTGAGCATTTAATATCTCATCATCCGGTGATGGTTTATTAAAGTTATCTTTTGTTTTATTGATTTTTTCTAAAGATGAGTTAGTAATTGAATTAAATAATGAATTATTCAATTTTCTTCTTTTGAGATCATTGTCTGAATTGTTTTGTATCCATATTATTGAAACGTCATCTTTCGGTACACTTGAAATTATGGAATTATCTAATGAAATGTCAAAAGATATCAGAGGAAGTGTTTCTTCTGTTGTGATTGATGGTTCATTCGATGGTGCAGTTTTAGGTGTTGTTTTAGGTGTTAATTTTTCTTTACTTTGAGAAAGTGCATTTCTCTTAAACTTTAGTATTGATGATGTCGAAGTCGTTGGAGTAGCGAGTGACTCATTTGAACTGTTAGATGAAAATCGATCTAGGATCGATGTGTTTGAATTATTTAAATTAACTGATTGATTTGATGATCTGGCTTTAGCTAATGCTGCTAATTTTGATGAGGATTCTGTCGGTAGTTGTGAATCTTCTGATTCTGACTGGTCTTGATTATCCTGAGATTCTTTTTCTCTTTGAAGTGCCCTCTGTTTTGCCAATTGGGCTAGTTTAGACATTGTTGAAAGTGATAAATGTTATTCGATTGTTAAAATTCATTTCCAAAATCTTTGTTTATTCCGATTTTCTCGTTTGCCATTTAGAACGAATCGAATTATTATCAAGATGATCATCTGAAGAAGAGGTGTTCATAACAATTGGATACATACTTTTGAATTTAGATTTGATTTCGTCAATTGATGGTTCAAGTTCAAAATAGTTGTTATATAATGCTTCTTTCAAATCAAGATCTGGAATCTCGTCATTATATGATCTCAATTTATTTCTCAATTGTGGTAACAACTCATATAATAAATCATATTCCTCGTTCGTTAACTTGTCTTCATCAAATTGATCAATCTCATCTTGGGAATTATAGTCCAACTCATCCTCGTCATAGTCCATTCTTTATTTGTCGTAGTGGTTTATCTTTGGTTAAATGAAGCGATTTCATAGTATTTCAATATTTCAATTCAGTTGTCATTTTTTCTACGTCTCTCACTTCTTTCTGACATCAACCAAATCCGAATATTTCGACACAGAAAGTCTGAGCCAAAATTTGCAACAAGATGATAGAGACATCAAGACATGGGATAAGAACCAACGTATACCTTTGATTGACTGCCAAAAAGTCGATTTAAATTGCAAAATACATTTCAGTCGATCTTACTCCAAATACTTTAGGATTGTGCCATAGGCAGCTTAAAAGACGACTCCACGAGAGTAAGATTGTTTAAGACAAATCACCAAACACAGAATTCTTTCAAACGAACTTTGAACCTCAGAACAATACACTTGATGTCTCAAGCTTCAACATGTCCCTTGACTTTTCAAATCTTTGGTCTTTATAGATGTAATTATAAAACGAATCATGAACACAAAACGGAATTTCGGGATTCAAAAAGTGTTCCACGGACTTGATCTCTTGGAACGGACTTCAGATATTCGGGATCTCGTAATTTAATTTTAGAGCGACGTTTGATAGTAATTTTAAAATATTATGCATAACTCTAATGTTTATCTAAAGAATATTTTATCTAGAATTCTGGAATTATATATTTGTTAATCTCGATTTAAGTTAAGGAAATTACTAATTCTTTAGTTCTATCATGAGGTGCATTTAGTCATAAGGATTGAACTCTATTAAATCACAATTCCCTGGGGTGGTAAGAATGCTAATTCAGATTTATGCTTTTGTCAATTCAGTTTCTCTGAATTGTTGTTAGAATTGCTATGTGAATGTAGCATGAATCAACAAATATCCCTTATAGTCTTCTCCTCTCGTGGCAATAAACTCTCTAAAATCTAAAGCTTGAAATTTATTTACAGTTCTTCACTCTTCACGATTCTGTTGAAATTTGAATTCTATTGTATATTTTAAAACTTATTTCCGGTTGAGACAAATAGTTATATTTGAACTATAATTAAACTAACGCATCGAAGATGACGACAACTTATTTGAGGCAAATTAAATTTCCAGAACTACTAAAATATTGTTGCACATTTCCATCTGTACTAAAATATATTAGTACTGTGATTAACAGAACTAGGGGATAGAGTAAGTCAAGTTTCCACATTTCCAGTGGTAGATTTATTAAATGCTCTCAGAACTTGGAAATCAATCTTGTAACCTTGAATAAATATTCTTGTAGTGAAAAAATTTACTGGTAAGTTTCATTATGATGTTTATATGTAAATTAAATCTATTAACTATTATAAATCAAACCTAAAAGCCTTAACAAGAACTGAAAAATGTAGATATTAAATTCATTAAATGTAGAATTGAAAATTGATTTTTTTATTTTGCATCTAGCAAATTAATACTTTACCAACGTTAATCCATCATAAACACTTCCTCTTGGAGTAAGTGAGGGAGTTGGAGCAGCTGAAGTTAATAATAATGAAGATAATGAAGATGATGAGGAAGATGTACTTAATTTTCTTGGTAATGGATTTGAAGTATTTGAAGTATTAACATAGGAAGACAGTTTATCAGAAAATATATCATTTTCTCCCATTAAATTCATATGATTAGCCATATATAATTTAACATATCCCATACTTTGTAAATCATCATTTTCAATTCCAAAATTTTCTTGTAATCTTTTTAATTGTTCTTCATTTATTGGTAAACCATGTAATGGTCCAATTAAAGTTTGAGTTGTTTTATAATAACCATCTAAAAATCTTGCTGAAGCCAATGCATTTGTTAATTTATTCCTCATAATTGGATCAATTTCAAATATATCATTAATAATCATATATTTTTTTATAAATGCTGAAGTTAATTCTACTGATGTCACTTTGCCAGTTGATAATTTTAATAATAAATTATTTACTGATGATGAAGTTAAATTAAATTCTCTTTCACTTAATAATGATTCATTTTGATATTTATTATTTGATAAAAGTTTCAAAAATCTTTCAATATCTAACATTGTAATTATTTAAATTGTTGATGAACTTGAATTTAATAAGAATCCAAGATCATATTGATGGTTTATATATTTTTGAAAACATGAATTTGAGTTAAATCAAAATTAGCCCAGCTTTAAAGTTTTTTAAATAGTCTATTAGTATTGTATTATTAACATTCATATATCCATTATGTTATTCGAATCTATTCTTAAAAATTGATTCATAACGCAAGTAAAAACTTTAATTTTTAATTAGTATTATCAAGTTCGAAGTATTATTAAATTTGAAATCATAGAATTTCAAATATTTCCGAGACTGTTTATTATGTTTGTATCCATCATATTGATTGATTCGTGTGAGGAAAAATTGAATGAGCTTGTCTTCAATGTTTTACATTCCGATTATAATTTAAACAAAACCTTAAATTGACTCTCCTATTTCTTCATAGTTTTTGATTGAATATTGAGAATTTTCAGATTAACACCCTTATAATTTATTGATTATTCTGTTAGTTGCTGTAATTGAAGTCTTGGTGTTACTACGCTTTGACCTAAACCCCTTGTGTTAATAAACTTCAACAAACTTTAAATAAGATTAAGTACATCACCAAAGTTTAAATTTAAATCCAAAAGGTTATCCCAACGTTACACTAAACTTTAATTTTCTTAATTGTGAATGTTCTAAATTCAATTTATAAAAATTGATAATAAGATGTATGTTTTAAATTGCTTAATATTACACAATTAAAAAATAAGTCAAAAATGTAAAAGTCTACTAAAATTTATTTTTATCAACAAAGAAATATAGAATTGATTTAGACATTAATAGAAACAAAACAAGTATTTCCGCTCGTATAAACTCTTTTCCTTATTAATAAAAATTAGGAAATTTGGACCATTTGATCATCAAAATTTAGATTCGTATTAATTATTTGTTGGGCTTTGTATAATTTTGTATAGATCTAATACTTGTTGAAAACTTTTTTAAAGTAGAAATCGAAAAGTATGAGAAAACAAGTAATCTTTCTTGGTTTACATATCTAGTGAAGTTCCAAACGATGATTTAATTCAACAATTTTGATATCAGCCATGGAGACTTTGGCTGTGCTCTATCAAGAACTGTCGATATCAGGTTGAAGGTAATTATTTTATCGATTTGGAGTATTGATTCTACAATGAACTTTATTGATAATCATTCGTAATTACGATTGAACCGAATCGAAATTAACGAGGCCGGGCGTGCCTTAAAACTCTTAAATTTTAAACATGTGGCTAATCCAACGGACTTCGGATCTTAATTATCTTTTAATTAAATGGGGTTTTCTTGATTTCAAAAAGTAACATTGTATTCTTCTTATCTAACTACATTCAACTACATATTTTGCGAGAGTAGAGTATGGAATGACTTAATACAACAGAGCGATTGTTGAATCAAAGCTATATTAAATCAAGGATATGTCATCTTATACTTGATTCAAAATCTTTATAATTAATAGAATTTGAAGTCCGTGAATCAACATCCACCCGAAACCTTAATTTTTAAACTTTAAAATATAAACACCTCAACTTTAAAGTTTAATTTTTAAAATTGGTATTTTACCTGCCACACTAACAACCATTTTTAATTCACTTTTTCATTGATCAAGAGTACAGGGCAAGGTTAGAACTTATATTTCATTTAATGCGCCCCGATATCGTGTCATTTTCTGATTATAGGCTAGTTGGTTTAGTATGATTAACGGTATGAGGAAAACATTGCATTTTTAGTATTAAAAATTCTATAAAGGCTAAGTTTATAGTACATAACCTTGTTCAATGCTTTAATAAATCAACACCTAAGTAATCTACTATAGCTTTTGAACCAGCAATAACCTCTTCATCAAAATATCTTCTTCCACTCATCTGTAAAGCAATTGGTGCTCCAACAAATTTTTCAGGTTTATAATTTCTATTTTCTAATTCCTCTAATCCATTTCTATATTTATAATTTTTATCATCTTCTCCCCAAACATCAATTTTAGGATCTTGAAATAATCCAGTTTGAAAAACCATACTTGGGAAATCTAAAAGATTATATATCAAAGTATAAGATTCATTAAATACATCTTCAGATTGTGGGGCAACATTATTATAAGCTGGTCCTAATATAAAATCTAATTTATTTTCAAATAAATAATCATTATATTCTTCTCTTAATCTATCTCGTATTGAATTTAATTCTCTATTTTCTGAAACTGTTAATTCTTTTGCTCCTTCTCCTACATTTAAATACCATTTAGTTAATCTTGATAATGGTTCTCCACTTTTGGAAAATAATTTACGAAGTCCTTTATTTCCATCTGCATTATATAAAGTCATTGCTGTATCATAAGCTAATTGTCCCTTTGTGGGAACAAATTCCACGATTTCAACACCAGCTTCTTTCAATTTATCAACAACATATTCCAAACCTCTTCTAATTGGTGGTGTAACCCTACATACTCCATCATCTCTCATTACTGCAATTTTAAGATTTGATAATTTTGGTATAGGAACATCTCTCCATCTAACAGGTAAACTCCAAGGATCTAAATTCCATGGCATACCTTCATTTATATATGATTTCATAAATAAATTAATATCATCAATAGATCTAGACAATGGTCCAATAACTCCCACAACACTTTCTTGTCCATCTTCATCATTACCAACGCATCCTCTACTTGATATTCTTCTAGATGTAGGTCTAAATCCATGACAACCAGAAAAAGCAGCTGGTGATCTTATTGAACCACCAATATCTGATCCAACCCCCAATACTGAACCTCCAAAACTAACAATTGCTCCTTCACCTGATGATGAACCACCACTTGATAATAATAAATTATAAGGACATTTAGTTAAACCAGTAATATTATTCCCAGAATCTAAATGCAATAAAGCTTGTGGTTCATTTGTTCTAATATAAAATATAGCTCCTAATTTACTTAAAATTTTAGCAGTAACAGCATCATCATCCATAATATTATCTAATAAAGAAACCAAACCTAAATGACCTATTCGATTTTTTAAACCAATATGTTCTTTTAAAGATATAGGTAATCCATGTAATGGACCAATGACTTTACCATTAGTTTTGAAATAATCATCCAATTCTTTTGCTCTTTGTAATCCTTCATCTATAAATATTTCAACTGCACAATTAGTAAATTGATGAGCTATTATTGCACGATGAGCAAATGCTTTGAATACTTCAGTTGATGTCCATTTTCCAGATGCAATATTTGATAATATTGTTGATGCTGATGAATCTGTATATTCGAACTCTTTCGGAGATAAAATTTTTTCATCATATAAATAATCTATAGCGTTGAATTCATCTTTAATTAGCTCGTCTCTTGGTTTTGGTAAATTCATAGTTAAATCTTTAGGTATTGCATCTTCTAAATCTTTTCGATATTTTTCAATTTTGGGAATCCATTTTTTAAACTCTTCTGGGTTTTCATATCCTTCTAGATTATCTTTGGTTAGCAATGACTTGAATAAATCGTCATTTTCGAAGTGTAACATCGTAGATCAATCGAATCTAAGTTTAATTGATATTTAATGCTATCCAATTGACGTGAGTTGAAGTATTATATAAGTATTTTAACGGAATCAAACTCTGAAGAAATCTGGAGTTAAATTTCGGAATAACTATTCCTACATTTTTTTTGTTCTAGATCGCGCGAGCGATAAGATAAGAGATCGAGTAATTCGAAGCGTAAACGGGGCGGATACAAGTTGATTTTTAGCGCACTATATACATTAAGTAATTTAATGATGTAACAAATCTACTTTCAAAATATCATCTACAATAAATTTACCAGCAGCAATTACTTCTTCATCTTTATATCTTTTACCAGTTAATTGTAAACCAATTGGAGCACCAATAAATTCTTCAGGTTTATAATTTTCATTTTCTAATTTTTCTAAATCTGATCTATATTTATAATTTTTATCATCATCTGTCCATATATCAATTTTTGGATCTTGATATAAACCAGTTTGAAAAGCTAAAGTAGGCATATCTAAAATATTAAATAATGCAGTATATGACCAATTATAAACTTCACCAGAATGAGGAGCAACATTATTATAAGCTGGAGATAATATAAAATCAATTTTATTTTTAACCAAATAATCATTATATTCATTTCTTAAATTATCTCTTATAACATTTAATTTTCTATTTTCAATTGATGAAAATAATTCAGAACCTGATCCATAATTAAGAGCCCATTTTGTTAATTTTTGTAATGGTTCTCCTGATTTTGATAACAATAATTTTTGCATATAATTACCATCACATGAATACATCTTGTTTACTGTTTCATATGCTAATTTAGTATTTGGGGGATTAAATTCAACAATATTAAATCCTGCTTCTTTTAACTTTTTCGCGGTATGTTCAATACCACGTCTGATAGGTGGTGATACTCTTACTAATCCATCATCTTTCATAACTGCAATCATTATATTTTCAGGTTTTGGGGTTTCTACTTCTCTCCATGGTGTATATATAGCCCATGCATCAATATCCCAAGGTTTACCATCATTTATACATGATTTCATATATAATTCAATATCTTCCATAGATCTAGCAAATGGACCATATACAGCTGGGACAGATTCTTGACCAGCTCCTGAAGACACACCACCTAAAGTACCTAATCTTCTAGTAGTAGGTCTGAATCCATGACAACCAGAATAAGCAGCTGGAGCTCTAACTGATCCACCAATATCTGATCCAACACCTAAGATTGATCCACCAAATCCAACAATTGCTCCTTCACCAGAAGATGATCCACCACTTGATAATAATAAATTAAAAGGATTTTTAGTAAAACCAGTAAAATTATTTCCTGAATCTAAATGCATTAATGTTTGAGGTTGAGAAGTTCTAATATAAAAAACAGCACCTAAATCTTCTAAAATTTGATTACTTGCACCATGTTTTTCAGGTATATTATCTAAACAACCAACATAACCACCATGAGTAATTTTGCCTTTGAAATTTGCTTGTTCTTTTACTGATATTGGTAGTCCATGTAATGGACCAATAAGTTTACCATTTTTAGCTTGATATTCATCTAATTGTTTAGCTCTTTCTAACCCTTCTTTTGGAAATAATTGAAATGCACAATTTGTAAATTGATGAGCTATTGTTCCTCTATGTGCAAATGCTTTAAATACTTGAACAGCTGTCCATTTTTTATTTTCAATATTTTTCACAATTGTTGAAGCAGTAGAATCAGTAATTTCAAATTCTTCTGGAGTTAACAATTTATGGGAATATAAATATTCAACAGAATTAAATTGATCTTTAATTAATTCTTTTCTTGGTTTTGGTAATTCAATTTTATATTCTTCTAGTATATTATCTTCTAAATCTTTTCTATAAGCTTGTAATTTTGGTTCATACTGTTTAAATTTTTCCGGATCTTCATATCCTTCAAAGTTTTCTTTAGTCAAAAATGATTCAAATGACATGACTGATAATTAATGTGAGTTTCGAGCGATTGAAGTATGTGAATTGAGATTGAAATCAATTGATCAAATCATTTACATGAAATCATATTTCTATTTATAATTTGAAAAATTCGTTTAAAATAATCTTACACAAAAATTGTATACTAATTAGATAAGAAACTCCAAATAACTTGTCACTCGAAGATCGCCATAACTTTTGTCCCTTAAGACCCTATACGCATCTGATCCGGTTCAAGTCTACTATATGCTACATTGGTTTGGTTGATCTTTAAATTGAGTTCCATCAATGAATGAACCAACTCGATCTATCTTGTGGGGCCAAAATATAATCTCAAATATAACCGCCTAGATTTTGTGTAAACTGTGTAAAATAAATTTAAAACAATTTTTAGCGCATTCAAGTAACCTAATTTGGTAACTAATTATTCCGATAAATTTACGAAGTAAACAGTTGTATATCGTAATTACAGGTCTTTGGACTCAGTTGCATATATATTTTAAAACTCTCTATAAAACTACTCTCTTCAAGGTCTAAGCAAATCTACTTTTAAAATATCATCAATAATTGTCTTTGAAGCAGCAATCAATTCTTCATCATGGAATCTTCTTGCACTTAATTGTAAACCAATTGGAGCACCTATAAATTCATCTGGTTTATAATTTTCATTCTCTAATCTTTCCAAATCTGATCTGTACTCATATTTCTTATCATCTTCTGTCCATACATCAATCTTTGGATCTTGGAATAATCCAGTTTGGAAAGCCAATGTTGGTAAATCTAATACATTATATAATGAAGTATATGACCAATTATATACTTCTTCTTGATGTGGAGCAACATTATTATAAGCTGGTGTTAATATCAAATCAACTTTATTTTTAACAAAAAAATCATGATATTCATTTCTTAAAAAATCTCTATCATAATTTAATTTTCTATTTTCAGCACTTGATAAATGTCTTTTACCTTCACCGTAATTTAAACACCATTTAGATAATTTAGTTAATGGTTCTCCAGATTCTCTTAAAAAATCTCTTTGATTCTTATTACCATCACTAGCATACATTTTATTAATTGTATCATAAGCTAATTTTGTATGAGGAGGTGTGAATTCAATTACCTTAACGCCAGCTGCTTTTAATTTTTTAACAGTCTCTTCTATACCACGTCTAACTGGTGGGGAAACTCTAACCAATCCATCATCTCTAATAACAGCTACTGTTAAATCTTCTGGTTTTGGTTTTGAAACATCTTTCCAAAGTAAACGAGGCATAGCTTGATCTAAGTCCCATGGTTTTCCTTCATTTACGTAATTTTTCATCATCAATTCAACATCATCAACAGATCTTGCTAATGGACCAAAGACAACAACAACTGATTCTTGACCTGCACCAGCACCAACACAACCTTTGATTGAAACTCTATAATTACTTGGTCTGAACCCTATACAACCAGAAAATGCTGCAGGTGATCTAATAGATCCACCAATATCTGAACCAATACCAAATACAGAACCACCCAATGTAACCAATGCACCTTCGCCTGATGATGAACCACCACTTGATAATAATAAATTGTAAGGACATCTTGTAGTACCATTAAAATTATTATTACCACATAAATGCATTAATGTTTGTGGTTGTGAAGTTCTTATAAAAAATACAGCACCTAAATTTTCTAATACTTGTATAGTAGCACCATGTTCTTTAGGTATATTATCTATAAATTGTACATAACAACCATGAGTAACTCTTCCTTTAAAATCATAATGTTCTTTTAATGAAACAGGTAAACCATGTAATGGACCTATTGTTTTTCCATGTTTAGCATAATAATCATCCAATTCTTGAGCTCTTTTCAAACCTTCATCAATAAATAAATCAAGAGCACAATTAGTTAATTGATGTGCAATTATAGCTCTATGAGCAAAAGCTTTAAATACTTCGACACTACTCCAATTACCATTTGCAATTTCTTTTACAATTTTTGTACCTTTAGAATCAGTAATTTCTAATTCTTTTTTTGTTAAAACATTTGATTCATATAAAAACTTTTTAGCATTAAATTGTTCATCAATTAATTCTTCAATTGGTTTTGGTAAATCTACTGTATATTCTTTTAAAATTCCGTCTTTTAATTTTTGTCTATATGCTTCTAATTTTGGTAAAAAAGTCTTGTATTTTTCAGCATCTTCATAACCTTCAAAATCTTCTGTCTTAAGTAACGATTCAAATAGAACTGGTTCTGACATTTTATTTTTTCAATTGGTTGTGATTATTGGGTGAATTTTGAAGATTCAATGATAAATATAGTCAAAATGTTGAGACTTACATATTTTAAACCGAATTTATATGATATATTATCTTTAATCTTTCACATTGAATATTCCGTTAACAACAAAATTGAAAAATAAAGTAAATAGTTACACAAAATCAACTTTAATTGATAACCGCATTAAATTACTTTAAAAATAATTTTTCACTCTTACAAAGAGATAAGAACAATCAACTTTATAGATACGCTTAAGAATTACAAATTATTTTGATCTTAATTTATAAATCGGTAAAGGACATAAGCCAATTTTCAATAGTAGGGATGTTACATTTCAAAATTGACTTGTTACCTGTTACTTGCCGACCTAATAGCTTCCAAAATTTTTAAGTTCCAGGCAACTTTCAACTAAATCTTTTTGGTTTTGAATCAACCTCCCAAATAATAATAATTTGACGAAAAGCTAGGTAATAATTTTTAGAATCAAGTAAATTATTATATTTTGTAAATATCTTGAATGTGAGTTGTGGAGTACCCTTGAATTATTTTTTTTGCTCTAAATTTCTTATCGGCAAACACAATCTGAAACACGACTAGTAGTGTTTTGAGCTTTTGATGTCACCATATCTCACTTATTGAAATATCCTTTAGACTTATGTTATGATACTACTATGAAGGTACTTTTAATACGTTTCGTTTATGAATGTAGCCAAATTATTATTTGATAAGTTTTTATGAAGTTCGATTATAAAGCATGCAAAGAATTGAGATTAAATCTACATGGAGTGATGATTTATCGATTTTAAATTAATAATAATATTTCTGATACCTATTTATATGTTATTCAAAACTTTTTAATGTTTTAATAAATCTACTTTTAAAATATCATCAACAATAGTTTTAGCAGCAGCAACTAATTCTTCATCATGATATCTTTGACCACCAATTTGTAAACCAATTGGAGCACCAACAAATTCATCAGGTTTATACATTTCATTTTCCATTTGTTCTAAATCTGATCTATATTTATAATTTTTATCTTCTTCTGTCCAAACATCAATTTTTGGATCTTGATATAAACCAGTTTGGAAAGCAATACTTGGAATATCTAAAATATTAAATAATGTAGTATATGACCAATTATAAATTTCTTCACAATGTGGAGCAACATTATTATAAACTGGCATTAAAATCAAATCAATTTTTTGATTAACAAATATCTTGGTATATTCAGTTCTTAAGAAATCTCTATCCATATTTAAATCTCTATTTTCTTTGACTGAATAATGTTTTTTACCTTTACCAAAATTTAAATACCATTTTGTTAATTTAACTACTGGTTCACCAGTTGATCCCATAACTTCTCTTTGGTAATCATTACCATCACATGTATACATATTATTGATAGTTTCATAAGCTAATTTAGTATGTGGTGGATCAAATTCAATAACTTTAACACCTGCAGCTTTTAATTTTTTAACAGTTTCTTCTAAACCTCTTCTAATTGGTGGTGAAATTCTAACTAATCCATCATCTCTAATAACAGCAACTGTTAAATCTTCAGGTTTTGGTTTTGGAACATCTCTCCATGGCATACGAACAGAAACTGCATCTAAATTCCATGGTTTTCCTTCATTAATATAATTCTTCATCATTAATTCTAAATCATCAATAGATCTAGCCATAGGTCCACAAACACACATAACTGATTCTTGACCACCAAATCCTGAAATACAACCAGCTAATGAAACTCTATGATTACTTGGTCTAAGACCAACACATCCTGACATAGCAGATGGTGATCTAATTGAACCACCAATATCTGAACCAATACCAAAAACTGAACCACCTAAAGTTACTAAAGCACCTTCACCAGATGATGATCCACCACTTGATAATAATAAATTATGTGGATTTCTTGTAAGACCAGTATAATTATTATTACCACATAAATGCATAAGACATTGAGGTTGAGCAGTTCTTACATAAAATACAGCACCTAAATTTTCTAAAATTTGATTAGTTACACCATGTTCATCAGTAACACTTTCAACTAAACTAACATAACCACCATGAGTAACTCTTCCTTTAAAATTATAATGTTCTTTAACAGAAACTGGTAAACCATGTAATGGACCAATAGTTTTACCATTAACTTTATAATAATCATCTAATTCTTGAGCTCTTTTTAAAGCATCATCAATAAAAATTTCATGTAAACAATTAGTTAATTGATGAGCAATAGCAGCTCTTTTAGCAAATGCTTTTAAAACTTCAACTGATGACCAATTACCATTAGCAATTTCAGATAAAATTTTTGACCCCTTGGAATCAGTAATTTCTAATTCTCTTTCTGATAAAACTTTTGAATTATAAAGAAATTCTTTTGCATTAAATTGATCATTAATTAATTCTTCAATTGGTTTTGGTAATTCAACTTTATAAGGTGATACACCATCATCTAATCTTTTTCTATAAGCATCTAATTTTGGTACCCATTTTTTGAATTTTTCTGGATCTTCAAATCCTGAAAAATCTTCTTTTGTTAAAAATTGTTCGTATGAAATTGTCATTTTTGCTTGTTTTATTTGAAATATAGTAGCTTGAATAAATCTAAACTTGAATTGAGATATTCATTCCTAATTGTCTAGGTCATATTAGGTTGACTTTATATAATTTTTCAAAATCTCCACATAGGCTCATAATCTTTATCATTAATCTATATCAATGGATTGAAAATCAACTGATAAGATATCTTTTAACAAAAACAATAAGAATTATAATATATTATTATAAATACTTTCGTAACTTAAATTATAATAAATGAATGGGGACTCATAGTTAATAAAATCTTGTTTGATCTGATCTAGGTTATCCAATCTTTAAATTTATTTTTATCTTGGCTTTATCTTTGTCGAAACTTGGGGTAGTTCTTTTGTTTTCAATGAAATTTCTGTTGAACTATTCCTATCGTTTTTAATCATCGATAAAACATATATATATCACCACAACTGTCTATTGATGAGAAACGATCATATGACCTTATTTTAACTTTAATCTTTTCCAACAATTAAAAATTGAGAAGTCGAAATAGTCTAACTAAAACTCCGTAGTACGATATGAAAAACACGTATACACTTGAAATCAATTAATTTTTCAAGATAGTAAGCCCCTCGATTTTGGACTGACATGATCTTGCATTAGGATCTACTTATGGACTAAAATCAAACAAATATACGATTAATCTATTGTTCTAATTTTCAAAGCCAAGCGAAACATGGTGCTTAAAAAATGGCGCGGTATATTATTTTTTAAAGTATGTGTTTCATGTTGAAATCTGCAAGATATTCAATAAAGGGGTTTGAACGGGGCCGATCTTGAAGATTCTATTTGATTCTGGGGTCACTCGCTGGTAGTTTAAAGGTTTTCAATTTGTGGGTGTTGGCTGGTGCTGGCTTTGAATTGAATCTTTTGCAACAAATGTACTTAGACCAAAATTGCTGCAAAATTGTTCAGTTTTATTACGAATAACTCTATCATCAGTACAATTTGATATAAATAAAATCTAATTTCAATGTCTAACAAAATACAAACAATATACAAACAATATACAAACAAATATAAATAATGAAAGGAAAATCCATCATGGATAATATAGGACTTTAACCTAAAAAAACCTTTCAACAAATAAACACAACAAAAAAAAACTCTTTAAACAACTAATGTATTACTCTTACTAAATGATTCATATTTTTCAAATGGGTCATTAGTTTCATTTGATACACCATTACCATTGGTAATAAATTTCCTTAAATAAATTCTTTTAATCCATTTCCAAAATTCAGCTCCAATAAAAAATAATATAGTAAAACCAATAGCTAAACCAAATTCCCAACCTATAGGATCATGTTGAAATACAATATCATTAATAACAGGTATAAAAATAACAGGAAATACTGAAACAAATCCACCAATAATTGACCAAAATAAAAATTGATTTTCCCATAAATCTTTACATAATTGTACCAACCAATTTCTTTCTGATTCTGGATGCATTTTAAAAAATGATAATCTTAAATGAATACATTCCCAAGCTAATAATAATGCACACCAAGTAAAAGCTGAAAAAGCTGCTGCTCTACCTCTAAATACTAATCCACATTCGGACCCAGATGTTGTATTACAATCAGATCCTAAATTACCATCTCCGGCACCAAATACAACTATAACAAATACACCTAAACAACATGCAGCCATCCAAATACCATAAGCAAACATATCAATCATTACTTCTTTTGTAAAAATTGTTTTATTTGGTGGTAAATCTAATATATCATGTTGAGCTTTTTCTTGACCTAATCCCATTGCAGGAAAACATGAAGTAACAACAATAATCCATAAAACTTCAACTGGTGCTAAAGGAAATACAGAAAATCCATCATTATCCATAAATACTAAACCAACCATTAAATATATAGCTTGTGCAACATTTTCAGCTAATAATTGTAAAACAAATTTTTGAATATTAGAAGACATTCTTCTTCCCTCCTTTATAGCATTTAAAATAGATGAAAAATTATCATCAGTTAATATAATATCAGAAGCATCTTTTGCAACATCTGATCCATTCATTCCCATTGCTATTCCAACATCAGCTTTCTTAAGAGATGGTGAATCATTAACTCCATCTCCTGTCATTGCAACAAATTTTTTTCTTCTATGTAATGCTTCAATCATACGAACTTTAGTTTGTGGAGCACATCTTGCAATAACTAATGGTAATACTGGTAAATTATCAATTTCATCATTTGTTAAAGAATCAAATTCATTTGCTGTCATTACCATTGATGAAACAACTTCTTTTGAATAATGATATAAATTATGAGGTAATATACCAACTTCTTGAGCTATAGCACGAGCAGTACCAGGATGATCACCAGTTAACATATGAACATTTATACCAGCATGATGACATAATTGTACAGATTTTAAAGATTCTGGTCTTGGAGGATCATAAATTCCAATTAATCCTAAAAATGATAAATTTGTTTCAACTTGTTCTCTTGAATTTAAATCTGTAATTTCTGGATTTAATGTTATTGAAGCAAATGCTAAAACTCTAAGACCTTGTGATGATAATGAATTCATATTTTGTTCAATTTTTTCAATTGATTCTTCAGTGAGGGGAACTAATTTATTATTTTCATCATCATACCAGTTTTCACAAATTTCTAAAATTCTTTCAACTGCACCTTTTGAATAAATTTTAGTTTTACCTTGAGGATTTTCATAAATTGTTGACATTCTTTTAATTGATGAATCAAATGGAAATTCAGAAATAAAATTTAAATTGTTATCTTGAATTAAATCTTCTCTTTCATAACCTAATCTTCTTGTAAATACATTAATAGCAATTTCAGTTGGATCACCATGAGCTTCCCATTCATCATTTATTTGTTTAACTTTTGCAATATTAGCTAAAGTTGCAGTTTCCATCCAATCTTTCAATTGCTCATTTTCAACTTCTGGAACATCACTAAATATAATTTCTTCATCAATATCATCTATTTGTTTAGGAGATAATTTATTAAATTTCACCTCACCAATTGTATGATTATAAGGTTCATTTGAATTTTCAACATTGAAAGAACCAAAATTTGGTATCCAAATTTTTTTTGCAATCATTTTACCTAATGTTAAAGTACCTGTTTTATCTGAACAAATATCATTAATACCACCTAAAGCTTCTAAAGAATCTAATTTTCTAACAATAACATTTTTTGTAACCATTACTTGTGCACCAATAGCCATTGTTATAGTTAAAACAACAATTAATGATGAAGGTATCATTGATAATGCAACACAAATAGCATATATGGCAACATTTCTATTAACATTCATTTTTTGAGATCCCATTACAACTATTGCAAATATAACAGCAACCCAAAATAATAAAATAGCTAACCAAGCTAATCTTCTTTGTAATGGAGTACCAACATTTGTACCTAATACATTAAAAATAATATTTAAAGTTGATTTCCAAATTGCAATACAATAATTTTTAAAAGTTGGTTGGGTAACTTTAACAATTAATTTATCATCACTATTTTTTAAAGAATCTGCAATTTTACCAATTTCAGTATCTAAAGCAGTTGCAACAACAATCCCTTTACCTCTACCTTTAGCAACAATTGATGAACTAAAAGCCATATTAATTCTATCACCAACAGGAATTGGATCATTTGTAATAAAAATTTCTTCACAATCTTTTGCTATAGGTAATGATTCACCAGTTAACATTGCTTCATCAGTTTCTAAATTTAAATTTTCAATTAATCTTAAATCTGCTGGAACAGTATCACCAACTTTAATAAGTACAATATCACCAGGTACAACATTTTCAGCATCAATATTTTGTTCTATACCTTGTCTAATAACTCTTGCTTCTGGTGAACTTAAATTTCTTAACGATCCCATTGTTTTTTCAGCTTTAAATTCTTGAATAAATCCAACAAATATATTTATACCAATAACAAATCCAATAACTCCACCACTTATCCAATCTCTAATAGCTAAAGCAATAATCATTGAAATTATTAATACCAAGATCATTGCATTAAAAATTTGATGAGCTAATATCTTAGTAATTGATATACTTTCTTCTTTACCTAAATTATTCTTACCAAATTCATTAAGATTTGCCAAAGCTTGATCTTCAGTTAACCCTTTGGTTAAATCAGTTTCAAATAATTTTGAAACATCTTTTATTGATAATCTATAAGGTTCCAAATCAATAGTATTCAGTTTAACTAATTGATTTTTCTTCTCATTTAGTTCCGATTGTTTTTCACTGCTTTGAATTTCATTTTTCTGACTAATTGACGAACCATCTTTATTAGTTATGTTTTCACTTTGATAAGACTTTATTTTAAATTACTTAAGGAAAAAAAAATCTGATGAACTTGATTTACTTTTTCTGGAAATAAAAGAAGTTCACTAAATGGAATTGGATAAAAGAAATTTTACTTTTGATTTGAAAATCTCTTTAAGTTGTGTTTGATGAATTCTCCAAAAATTCAGAGATATAAACTGGAGAGATTAGAACGGCTACTTATATAATGCAAAATTTATCTTTTTGAAACAATAGATTTATAAAACTTTTTCAGATAAATTCTATATTACACAAAAGCAGCTTAAAGTTTAGCACAAAAACATATTTTTTTCTTAGCCTTATTAATAGTTAAGAACCCTGATTTTACGAATAATAGAAAAAGAAACTAACATTTCAATAGTATATCATCATATTAAACTCTTAATATCATCTATCTAAGAACAACTCACTAACAAAATTAGCTTAAAGTAAGAATGAATTAATTCTTATCAACGTTTGCTCAATGGCTGTAGAAAAACTATGCGTAGAGTTTGTTACGTTGAGAAAAGTTCAAACAAATTTGACTAATGGAATAAGCTAGATTCAATTTTATAAAAATCTAGATGGTGATTTGAAATTTAATATTTGATACTATGAATTCTTTACATTTTTCAAGTTTTCTAACCTTGGATTTGAACCTGGATTAAATCTCATGTAGCCGTTAGAATATCCATAAAAACCAATAGACACAGAAAGTGAAATAAATAATATTGTTAACCCTAACCATATTAAATAAACCCTTGTCTCTAAATCTTTCAAATTTCCATGACTTATCTTTTTCACAATCTCATTATTATAAACAGCTTTTGATACCTTATGAGTATAAATTGCCATAATAGTTGAAAATGTAGTTCCAAATGGAATCCAAAATTCTCCATTTGTATATCTTGTTAAATCAACATTTGAAAATCCATATATTATGATAAAGATAGCAATAAGTCCAAATAATATTGATTGAAACCACACCATTATATCAACTTTTTCATTCGAATGATTTTATAAACCCTGAAAAAATGTGTCAAATGTAAAAAATCCACTTCTATTTGATGATTGTACTTGAATGGCTTGAGATTACTTGGTATTACATTCAATTGAGTCTTTATGGTAATCAAGCCTCGGTAATTGTGAAATCTGAAATTAGCTATCACTAAATGCTGAATCCAAACAAATGCCTTTTCAGATAAAGAGAGTAAGTAGTAAAGGTAATTACGCCATTTACGAAATTACACCAATTTTTACTAGACTAATTGTTTTTAAAGTTAATTCATTGTATGGTTAGGAAGTTAATTCATTGTATGGTTAGGCTCAAGAATCAAAATTTTGTATAACACAAAAACCAAAGTATGTAAAACTAAGGGACTATAGTCTAATTGCAACATCAATCAATCAGGCGTACCGTCTTCAATCTTCTGTACCAACTCACCCACGAAAATTGCATGTTGTATTTGCTAAAACTTTTCATATACGTAACTGAAACTTCTTACATTTTGAAATCTATTCATTGTAGAATTTTATTGAAACAATATTTTAATTTTATTACCAAATTATTGAAAAAATTTTAAAAAGAAAGTTAAATCAGCAGGTTGAATTTACTTTTGGTGCAGATCTATTTTGAGTCGATCAGCAAACAGAGAAAAGGTGTACAATTTCATTGCAGATCCAATCTTTGAAAATCTTGGTAAAACTAAGTATTTCAACATCTCTAAACACGATGTAAACTCTCTTGCTTGCATGAAGGAGGGAAGAGCCCACATGGTCCAAATTTCATTTAAAACTAATATTAGAGCCAAGATAATTTTGAAACTTCTATTTTGTAAATGATGAAGATATAAAAAGCTTGTCTTACGTGGCTAAAATTAATTAACCTTTCTTTTAAGTCGTAGTACAGTTTAAACTTCAATACGATCATAAGATCTAGGCTAAGTTAATTTTCAACACGAGTGAGTTGGTAGCAACATGAGATATTGGAGTTTCTAGAAAAACGCACGCGTTCAAGATCATACTATCTTATCATTTTTGTAACTTCTTAAATCACACATTTCCTTTAATCACATATGTTGATTCAACCTAATCATTTTAGAAAATGAGTAGTGACATAACCGACTTAGTACTTAATAATTTAAACAAGAGCTATGAAACCAAAGATCCAATAGATGAGAAATTAATTGATAATTATACTCTTATTTTAACAAAGGAATTGATTTATGAAAATGATAATTTAAATAAGTTAATAACAATTTTAAATCACATTTTAAATGATAATAAATATTTTGAAATCGATCCAAATGTTATATTATTACATTTATTAAATAAAATATTATCATTCTTGAATTTTAAACAAATTTTAGAATTTTATTCAGAAGAATTTATAACAAAACATTTATTTTCATTTAATAATTCAACTATTGATACTATTTTATGTATTGGAATATTAACTTCAAATTTACATCAATTTGAAACTCAACAATATATTTTAAAAAATGATGTTATAAAGAAATTAATTGAAGAATATTTTAATGAAGATACACCAATTGAAGTTTTAAATTCAATTGAAAAATTAATTGAAAATTTATATACAAATGAATTAAATCTACTAGATAATTCATTTGATATTTTTGAAAAGGTTAAGAATCTGGATAATTCAATATTGGTATCTCGATATTTGGATTTATTACTTATATTGTCTACAAAATTTGATAGTTTGAATTCTAATTTATATCAATTTAACACCGATGAGATTTTGAAATTTAAACATGATACATTATTCTTAGTTATACTAATTCAATTTTATATCAAATTATGTGATACAACATTAACTATCGATAAAACATTATTTAATATTATAACACTATATAGGAAAAAAGAATTTGATGAAATTATAAATTTAGAAATAATAAACTTAATTTCCAAAATGTCATATACTTCAAGATTAACTTCAATATTGGAACATTTTCAAATTTTTAAAACTCATAATTTAATTAAAATTTTTGATAAAGATGAAGAAGAAATTAAATTATTAAGTCAATCAAATCCAAATTTAATTTATAATTTAAATAATGATATTTTTTCAGATGTTTTAGTGAATTTACCATTATTTGATGATAAATTTTTCCCCATATTGTTAAATTTTATAAAATCTCCTGATGTATGGAACTTAATAAAACCAAAATTAAATGAAGATAAATTACAAAAATTATCAAAATATAAATTATTTTTATTATTATTAACTTTATCTCAGTATGAATGGAGTAAAATATATTTTTTTGAAAATTTATCAAAAATCTTACTGGAAGAAATTATAAATTCTGATATTAGAAATAATGAAATTTGGAATTTAAAATTAGAAATTTTGGAAAATTTAAATAATACAGAAGATAATGTATCAGGTTATGCAAAATGGAACACTCAACTAAAGCAAGCTTATGATAAGATGAGATTTGGTGAAAATTTCAAAAATATTCAACCAAAAGTTGAAGTAATTGATGAAGCTATGTAAAAACTGTAAAAAAATGATTTTGTATGCTATTTACTGTTTACCCAAGTATTACCACATATACAAGTTCTTTGAAATACCATTGTCCATAATCCAATAGTTACAGGAGCATCAAATACTAAAGGATCAGTTACTAATGAAATAGATCTACATCTTGTACATCTTCTTATTTTAGGTTCATATATATATATTTTTCTTAATGCATCAATTATACCTTGATTTGTTTTTAATCTTGGTATAATTTCTTGAATTTGATCTTGATTATAAATTAAATCAGCATTGGTGGGTTCAAGTAATTGTTGTTTTTCAAATCCAATATTTAACCAACTTGTATTATAAAAATATAATTCTGATAATTTAGTTTCTCTATTTATATTCATTGTATATCTATCAATTAACATTTTGGAAATATCTTTTAAATCATCAATTATTTCACCATGACAAACTAATTTTTGTTCTAATTTTAATCCAAATCCCTTTTCCCTGTTGGATAATTTATTTGCAAATTCTTTTGATATTAAAGCATCACATTCTCTTAAATAATTTTCAAAAATTGGTAATGTTAATGGTGCACTGTTATAAATATTAAAATAACGATTTAAAGATTCTTTCATTGGTGAAAATAATTTATTTGAATCAAATAAATCCTTGTGTAATTTTTTTAAAATTTCATGAGTTTTACTCATTGATGATATTGCATACATTAAAAATAATCTTGGAACTTTACTTAATAAAACAGGTAAAACAATTGAATTTTGAAATTGTTGATCTGACTCGTTACCATTAGATTTTGAATATGATAATTGTAATAATTCTTGATTCAACAAAGCCATTAAATCAATTAACCATTTTATATTACCAATTAATGATAATATACATTCACCTCTTGTAATTGAATCTTGTAAAGTATCTTCACTTGGCTTTTTTTTAGAAATTTGTCTATATATACTTGATAAACTAAACATTATACCAAAATTTGTACTTCTTAAATTTAAAACAATCCATGAAATATCAGTCATTATTTGATTATTTATAAATTCCCCCAAAATTAATTGTAATGATAATAATTTTTGTAATGGAGGATTTGATAATAATTTATCAACACTTTCTTTACTGAAAGCATCTAATTGAAAATTTATTGATTTATGACATTCACTTAAAATAGATTCAATAAATTTTTTTAAAATTATATTAATGTTGTCTATATTTTTAGACAGCATGCTCTCAAGTAATAAATTTTTTAATCTTTTTATCTCTTGTTGAATTAATATTATTAAATCATCTGAACATGTATTTGTATAACATGAATATGCATGTCTATATGCAAATGCAACTGATGTTGCAAATAATTCTTTTGGTTGGAAACCTAAATTTCTTTTTTTTTCAAGGGGTTTTATTGTTAAATAATCATTGTCGCTATAAATTTCTGTATATACAATTGATGTCATATTGGGTGAAACTGCTAAAATTAAATGATTTTTTTCAGGTTTGGGGAATTCAAATCCGACGTCAAACATTGTTGATATATAAGTTGGTGGGAATTGTTCTTCTTTTTGTTCCCCTCCAATTATTTTCCACGTTTTATTATCTAGTACATCTATATTACCATTTTCATACAATATTAAACTATGAAGATCTGATGGACCATTTACAATTGATTGAATTTTACCCTCTCGTTTTATAGTATCCATTAGTTGTATAGTTTGTAATGCTTTTTGTTGTTGTGGATTTGTGGTAGTGGATTGATTTTTAAATGCATCTGATATTATATCTGTTACATCTACAACTTCATATCTATGAATGATCAGTTCACCATAACTTATTAGTATACTTAATTTAGATTCTTTTTCAATTGAAGCTGTAATTATATCAATTGATGATAAAGGATTTGATAATTCTCCATTAAATTGTGGTTGTGGTTTCATTTGATGGATTTTAGTCAATGTTAATGTAGGTAGTATTTGATTTTCTTTTGGTGTATGATAATGAGGATCCATTTTTTGTCTTTTTGCAGATTCTACAAGAAATCCCCAATCTATAACTAGCGTAAAAGTCATTATATCATCATTAAATGAATCATATACAGTTATTATAATTTGCTTTTCATTAGTAAAACCAATTGATGCTTTTGTTATAGATAAATTTTCTCCTAAATTTGTTGAAATTTTATGATATTCAACTTTATGTTCTCCTTGATAATATAACATTAATATTCCATTACTTCTTAATGCAATACATGCTTGTTTTGTTGGTATTGGATGTGAAATTGAATTTGAAGCATATTGATTAACTCCATAAGTATATAAATAAGATTGATCTAAATTAATTAAATTAGCAGGTTTATTTAATATTTGAGGTTTTTCAATATTCAACCATTTAAATGAAATTATTGAAGCATTAGGATTTATACTCAGTTTTAAATCTTGATTTATAATATCTCTATAAATCATTTCCATATGATTATAAGAAGTTAATTCATAACTTGGTGAAGAATCTTTACTTTCTAATAATCCAACTCCTGCTAAAAATATATAAAAATTTCCATAAATATCTGATACAGCTAAATCAGTACTTAAAGTACTCCAACTAACCATTATAATTTCAGGTAAAAAATTATTTTCTAATTTAACATCTATTATTTGAGGTTTTGATAATTGCCATGATTTACCATTTATATTTTCTAAATAAGTTAATAGTAGGTTATGTTCTGATTTTTTTGTTGGCGGTACATATACTATATAACCATTTTTGGACCATGATATTAATGATGACGTTCGTCTTATATTTTCTAAATATTTATTTATAATCATCTAATTGTGAACTTGGTAGGCTAAGTAAGTTTTGGTGATTATAGCATAGATCTCAATTGAGTCCTTTTGTGTGAAAAATTAATTTTTACGCGAATTGATTTTAGTATCAAGTTTCCATGAACAGATAAAAGATTGGATTAGAATTAACTTATATTGAGGTGGGTAAGAATTCGATTCAAAACAGTCTTTGTTACAGCAAAGGAAGTACAGGAAGTCAATGATATTGCAGTTTCATATTTAGAATCAAAATAGTGTTATACAGATGTTTTATTAAATTAAGTTCAACAATATATCGCAAACGATTGACACTTGCCAAATTCACACAAATCATTCTAGATACCGTTTCGTTGATCAATTCATTCTAGATACCGTTTTGTTGATCCTTGAGAACAAACAACACTAAATGGGAGCAAATGACAGAAAGAAATTGATTTAAATAAAGCGTGTCGGAAGGGATAATCAAGCTGTTGAGAAGTTAATGTAATGATTAACCAAGATTTGGATGAAATTAATTATAAAGGAAACATCATCTTCACCCAAGACCATAGACGTACCTGATGAAGAAACATTGGAAAATGCAGGCAATCTAACTACTCATGCAGTATCAAGAGCAGAACTGATAATTGTGTTGAGTGGCATAAAACACTTCAACACATTTACCATTGCATAAAACATTTCAATACTATAAATAGTAGATGTGTTGAGCTGTTTTGTACCTTTCAATACATCTACCATCGGTTCGGGGATGCTGCATTAATAGTTTCCTTTTTATATGAAATTGTTAAATCACTGGCTTCCAGTGCTTCCTTCGTTGTAACAAAGACTGTATATTATCCTGTAAGACTTAGCATTATTATGAATGTGTTGTGAATGACATATATTTGGTCCAATAAGTCAACCTTGTATATAAATATTAACGTAAGCTAAAGTAACTTTAACAGTTCCAAGTTCCAGAGCTTGTCATTAGCACTACAAAGAAGTTATATGTAAACATTTTAACAATACATTACAATTGAATTTTCTCTATTTACACTTTATCACCTGGGACTGGATATTGACTTGCCCATTTAGCTACATCATCACCTAATTGTTTAACTTCTTCACTTTCATCAGCCAATTTTTTAAAATTAGCTAATAATTCTTTTGGAACTTTACCTTGTTCTTGTTTTTTTAAATTTATTGAAATTTCAACTGCTCTTTCAATAAAATCAGAAACTTTTGAAAATTCTTCTGGTCCAAAACCTCTTGTTGTCATTGCTGGAGTACCAACTCTTAAACCAGATGGGAATAAAGCACTTGTATCTCCTGGAACTGTATTTTTATTTGCTGCTATATTTGATCTTTCTAATACTGCTTCTACTCTTGCACCATCAATATTTTTTGATCTTAAATCAACTAATATTAAATGAGTATCTGTTCCACCTGAAACTAATTTGAAACCCTTTTTTTCTAATGCCTCGGCAAAATGTTTAGCATTTGATATAACATCTTTTTGATATTGTTTAAAATCTGGTTCTGAACATTGTTTTAATGCTACTGCTAATGCTGAAATTGTATGATTATGTGGACCACCTTGATGACCAGGGAATACTGAAAAATTGATTTTTCTTTCTAAATCATATGGTATTTCTTTACCCTTTTTAGTAACTTTTCTTATACCTTTTCTAAAAAATATCATTGATCCTCTTGGTCCTCTTAATGATTTATGTGTTGTTGTAGTTACAATATCTGAATATGGGAAAGGTGAATCAGTAACTCCAGCTGAAACTAAACCTGAAATATGAGCCATATCAGATAATAAATAAGCTCCAACTTTATCAGCGATTTCTTTCATTCTTTTATAATCTATAATTCTTGAATAAGCTGAAGCACCTGCAACTATAACTTTTGGTCTAAATAATTGAGCATTTTGTTCTAAAGTATCATAATCTATTATTCCAGTTTCTTCATTTAATCTATATGGCATTGTTTGAAAATATTTTGATATAAATGAAATCTTGGTGGTGTTTGTTTGATAACCATGAGATAAATGACCACCATGAGGTAAATCCAAACCCATAATTCTATCACCAACATCTAAAATTGCAGAATATGCATAAAGATTAGCTGGTGCTCCAGATAATGGTTGAACATTAACTCCCCATTCTTCAGGATTTAAATTAAATGCTTCTAAAGCTCTTTTTTGACATAATGATTCAGCTTTATCTATAATTTCATTTCCACCATAATATCTTTCACCAGGATAACCTTCAGAATATTTATTTTGCATTTCTGAACCTAATAAATCCATTACTGCTTTTGATGTAAAATTTTCTGAAGGTATTAAAGTAATTGAATTTTTTTGTCTAATTCTTTCTTGATTTAATATATCTGCCATTTCTGGATCTATTTCTTGTACTGATTTTGAAACTAATGCTTGAGCTGATGGTGAAACAGCATATTTTCTAATATTCTTTAAGGTTGTAACATTTCTGTTACTTCTTAAAGAACGAATGGTAGATGATAACATTGTTTCAAGGTTGGATCTGATGAGGACTGTGAGTCAAGCTGAAGAAAAGACCGAAAAATTTATTATTTTTCAGATCTTTAAAAATAAGCTAATATTCAGTCACGTGACTTACCCCAGAGTAAGAAGAATGAACGAAGTCAAAAATGATATACAGAAGTCGAATTTAAAACCTATAACCTTACCTGAAATTTTCATTATGATTATAACCACATGTAGTTGAGGAATTACAATACCGAATGTTTTCGAACCATAAAAAATAATCAAAGTCAAAGATTGAAATACGTTGTTCAGCATCTGGATTTAATATTTGACTCTCTTTGATTGCATCAGGTTCTAAGTTAAATAATGAGATATTTTCTTTTTCATTTGAATTGAATTGAGATTGATATTGTTTATAATTTTCATCGTTCCATTGTGCCAGTTTCCATGGATATTTCTTATTCATCAAATAACATAAAATGATTCCAATTGACCAAATATCCGATGCTTTACCATCATATTTTAAACTTGCAAAAGTTTCTGGCGCTGCATAATTCTCTGAACCTACTAACCCAATTGAATATGGATTAGTTTTTGTAATTTCATGAGCAGTTGTGAAATCGATAATTTTAATAAATCTATATTCCAAATCAAATACTAAATTCTCTAGTTTTAAATCTCGATGACAAATGTTTAAGTTGTGTAAATATTTGATTCCTTGACATATTTGTTTCCAGAAACATAGTAATTCATTTTGATCAATATCTTTATTTGATCTTAGTAGCTTTAACAAATTTGGAGAGCCAGCCATCATAAATAGCTTAATAGTAGATCCAGAAAACAGTACATCGTATTTATACTGTTGTATGATATTCCAATGACTTAATTTTGATAAAATATCATATTCATGTAAGATTCTAATTTTAAAATCTTTCTTTGATTCATAATTTTTACGTGAATAATAAGTCTTTACAGCATATTTTATACCTTTCTTGGTTTCAAATAATTCTACCTGACCTGATATTCCTTTTCCTAAAGTATCTAACTTCTTGTCGAACTTTGAAAATTTGGGTGTTTCATAATTCATACAGTTTAGAGTTTAAGTAGGATGATTCGTATTTTTTTCGGATCTATCAAACGAGATGTCACATAATAGGAAATTCAAATTACCACTTGACTTACATATTTATCTTCTTGATCAATACTTACAATTATCTATATTATTCTATTATAATCTTACAATTAGTCTATAAATTTTTGAATGCTTCATGAAAGAAAGCTCTAAATGGATTTTCCTTACCTATTTTTTCAATTTCTTCAACTTCTTTATCACTTAATTCAAAATCATATAAATCTAACGATTGTTTAATTCTATCTTTATTAGCTGAAGTTGTAATTGGTAATACACCTCTTTGTAAAATATATCTTAATAAAATTTGTGCTTCTGTTTTTTTATATTCTGTAGATAATTCTTTTAAAAATGGATTTAATGCTTTATTTTCAGCTCTTGTAATTGGAGATAATGGGGAAAAAGCTTCAACCAAGATATTATGATCTTGACTATATTTTACAATATCTTTTGATTGATTTTGTAAAAAAGCATGAAATTCAATTTGATTAACTTTTGGATAAAATTCTTTACCTGGTGAAACAGCAAATAATCTTTCTAAATGTGGTATAGCAGCATTTGAAATACCAATTTCTCTAATCTTGCCTTCCTTCTTAGCTTCAATTAAATCTTTCCAAATATCTTCCAATGTATGTCCATGACTTAATTCAGTTGTGAAAAATGGAGAATGAATTAAAAATAAATCAATATAATCAGTTCCTAATTCTCTAAGAGCTTTATCAACTGATTCTTTACCTGATTTACTTTGAGCTTTAAAAGTTAAAAATCCACCATTATATTTTGAAGTTATAAAAAGATCTTCTCTTGGAATTTTAGTTCTTTTAATTGCTTCTCCAACCGCTGGTTGAGTTTCATAAACTTCTGCAGTATCAATATGATTAAATCCAGAATCTAAAGCAAATAACAATTGATTCACTAATTCTTCACTATAATTTTTACCTTCTAATTTATCTATAGGTCTTTTCCATTGAGTACCAGTTCCAATTCCAATAGTTATATCTTTACCAGATTTTGTTTTCAATTGTGGTGATAATTTAATAGGATATGACATTTTTATGGATTAAAAACTTGAATTGATTTTTAACGTGTTTGATTGGATTTGAGAGTTAATTGATTTATCTGTCGATTGTTAGTGTTGGAGATATCACTTTTTCTTTTCAACACACTCCAAAACAACTTTTATAATATTGGATACTCCTTATACAGTGAATTATGAAAGATGTAATTTTTCAAATAATTAAAGACTATATTACTAATCCATGATTTTGATTTATTAATTTATAGATAATTCCGAAAAATAAATTTACACAGTTTTTCACGTAAGGACACAAAATCTAATGTTACGATAAGGTCTCAAAAATATAATTTATATACAGTATTTCAGGTCCAATCTTAGATCAAAGCGGATTTTTTTGAGTAAGAGGCTTATTTTATTGATCTAACAACCTGTGGATCTTATTGTCAATGAAGAGGCAACTGAACCAAATTAGATAATACAGAAAAAGTACTATCAATAACTCAAGTTACCTGAACAAAATATACTCGAAGATCTGGAATTTATTGTCATTTTTGCCAAATTTTTGTATCAAAATTGAAACAAGATCAAGTATGGGCATTATTGCATTGTATTAATTCAAGAATGACTTCAGAGCAAAGAATAAATTGATTAAATAATCTGATAATGAATTACAGAATTTAGTCTTCGGATCCTCAACCATTTCGTTGAAAATCGCAAAGTTTCAGTACTAAAACACACTTCCACGATATCACTACGGGATTCTATGTAATAAAGTTTTTCACGAATTAATAACGGCAAAATAAAAATATTGCACGAATTAATTCGTTTTTCTTAATTCGTTATTCGTGTGATTTCTATTTCTAATGTCTTTCTCAATGCTTCATTTCGTTTTACATATATAAGGAAAAATCAAGAACAATTGACTTCTTCCAAGCACCAAACATTCTTGAAAACATATCTATACCCCAATTTGCAGCCAACTTAGTAGACAAGTTGACTGGTTAACGAGTTTAAGAAAGAACAAGGATAACGGAATAACATCTAAGACTTGCATATGGCACCAAGGATACGAATTGATATCTCTTACCGCTCCAAAAGAGTTGTAATGCCAAATAAGTATTTTGAGGTTATGTTTACATATATGTTCTGTTTCATTGATCTTTAGTAGAAAAATCACAAATGAGGACTCTACTTTTAGTAATCCCTAACTTATTGTCATCAAAGAGGAGTTTGATTCTAATGGTTTTAGGTACAAATTAGATAATTGTATCTGTTATATTTTGTCGAGATTTCTCATCTTCGATGATCAAGGTCCTTTAGTCTAAAGAAAAACTCATATAATGTTAAAATTAATCATCAAAGGCGATCATGTAATCTCGGATTACCTTCAAACATATGTCAATTGACAGTGAACTCATATATTATAAACTCGACCATCAGTTACTATATGCATGAAGGTAATTCGAGATTACTATCAAAAAGACTTTGATCATTGAATAAGTAAAATCTCAACCGAATTTTGCAAAACTTATTCGATCTTTCAAATTCTTTATACTGAACTTTTAATAAAACTTCCAAGCAAATCAATCCCCATTTTGTTCGAGTCTTGGCATTGGACCATCTTTCAATGTACTGCAACAATTTGTACTAAAATGTCCATAGCCCACACATTGTGACAATAAATTTTTCATATTGATGAAGTCCCTGGTACGGACTCATCAGCCTTGTTGTAATATTTATTTCTATCATTTTTCATAACTATTACTCGGTTCATTTACTGCATACTTCACGGCGAATGATACAAACAATTATCACAACAAATGTTATTAATGCTGTTCAAATGATTAATAGTTATGGACATCACAAGTGTCACCTTTATGAGTTTTATTAAATTTGATTTTAATTGTGAGATAATCCACTTTACCGAACCCTCCATCTATTCTGTATTTCCTCGAAGTTTAATTCAATGTCGAGTACAAAGAATTAGAAAGATCGCATATCTGCAAAAGCAAAGACCGAGAAGCAAGATGACAGTCAATCTGATGATACGGTGGTACAATGCACCAACGAAAGTGTTATCATACCCACGAATGTAATATCGTACGCACGCATGTAATATCGTTAGTACATTGTACCCCTGTATCGTTGTTAGTCCTCATCTCACTCTGCTTTAACAATAAATGTAATTGTTGCACTTCAGAAAGTTGCAAAAAATGTAATTAAACTTACCTGAACTTTAAAGCTACTTCACAGGTGATCAAAACTTTAAATTTTTCACCAAATTATAAAAGTTAAAGAACAATATTCCTTAAAATAATGGTCTGGTGACGAAACTGCTAGTTGATTATCTTAATCTGGTGATGAAACTGTTAGATGATTATCTTAATCTGAGATGTAACAATTCCACATAAGGATTAAAGATTATTTGACTCTTGCAATTCAGATACTGTTTATTGAGTTATTCTTTAAAATTCAGTTACTCTATCTTGGAAAGTCAATCCTGGAGGATGATTGAAATTCTGGTGCTATTTCAATAATCAGACACGTGATGTCAGGTTACTGGCCCATGAAATGCCTTGGAATCAATCAATAGTAATCCTTGCTGTTGTATTTGTTGTATTTTCTCTGCTGAAGTTGGTGGGAATTTCGATGAAATAGTTTGTTCGTTTTTTTTTTTTTCGTTAATCTAATCACCAATGGATTTCGCCCATCGTATAAATGCCAACATTCAATGCAGTACTGCATATTGTTTTTCCTTATATATCGTATTCGAATTATTCTAACCTGAATACTAACTACTCTAATCACAAACATCGGTACTTGTAGCACATGTGGTTCAATGCTATGGGCTCGAGTGTACTACTTCTCAACATCTTTGATTATCTTTTTACACTTAATCTATTGTTTATGATTGAATATTTGATTGGTTATATTTTACTAATAATGTCTCAATTCTGTAAATGGCACAACACTATACTAATTCAGACACGGATTTAAGTAAGACCCCAATTAGGTTAATTAAATGCTTGATGTGGTAATAAATTACGTTGCCGCATTAATTACTTCTTTTAGACTTAATTGATTAGTAGTAAGTCGTGTTACATTTACTAATTAATTCCCAAATTGGAAGTACTTTATTTTAATTGCTGGTATTTTTTCTTATGCTATAATTATCGATTATCTCGAGTCAAATTCAAACGGCATCAAAACGGAAGGTAGTGTGATTTACTACTAATAATATTTTAAAGTCTTATCCCGCTCTCCTTACTTTATCTATTTAATTCCATTGCCACTAAGGTTTCATTTAATAATTATCAACATCTTTTTGAAATTACTTCTTTCTCACTAGTAACTTCTCTTTTTACAATCAAGAATCAAGATGAAGTTATCAATACTTTCAACATTAGCAATTGCATCAATTAATTCAATTGATGCATTAACAATTCAAAATCCATTTAATTTACAACAACCATTAAATTTAGAATTTGATAAATATACTTCACAATTATCAAATTTAATATTTGATGAAAATAAACAAAATGAATTTTTTCACAAGGTTTCAAAATTATTTAATGAACCATTAGATACATTAACTTTAGAAACCAAGCAAATTTGGTCAGATATGATATTAAATTCAAAAAAATTTTCAAATTTAAAATTTCAAACACCTGGAATTTCAAAAAATTTAATAAAAACTCAACAATTTGATTTTCATGTTGCAAAAGAATCAATTCCAAATCATAAATTAAGAGTTAAATCAACTCCAGAAAGTTTAGGAGTTGATTCAGTAAAACAATATTCTGGTTATTTAGATGTTGAAGATGAAGATAAACATTTCTTTTTTTGGGCTTTTGAAAGTAGAAATGATCCAAAAAATGATCCTGTTATATTATGGTTAAATGGTGGTCCAGGTTGTTCATCAACTACTGGATTATTTTTTGAATTAGGTCCTTCATCAATTGATGAAAGTTTAAAACCTGTTCATAATCCTTATTCATGGAATAATAATGCTACTGTTATATTTTTGGATCAACCAATAAATGTTGGTTATTCATATTCTTCTTCATCAGTTTCAAATACTGTTGCAGCAGGAAAAGATGTTTATGCATTTTTAGAATTATTTTTTAAACAATTTCCTCAATTTTTAAAAAATAAATTTCATATTGCTGGTGAATCTTATGCTGGTCATTATATTCCTGTTTTTGCAAGTGAAATTTTAAGTCATCCTGAAAGATCTTTTAATTTATCTTCAGTTTTAATTGGTAATGGTTTAACTGATCCTTTAACTCAATATGAATATTATCAACCAATGGCTTGTGGTAAAGGTGGTTATGAAAGTGTTTTAGATGAAGATCAATGTCAAACCATGTCTGATTCTATTCCAAGATGTCAATCATTAATTGAATCATGTTATGAATCAGAAAGTGTTTGGTCATGTGTTCCAGCAACCATTTATTGTAATAATGCTCAAATGGGTCCTTATCAACAAACAGGTAGAAATGTTTATGATATAAGAACAATGTGTGAAGGTTCTAATTTATGTTATGTTGGTTTAGAATATATTGATTCTTATATGAATAAACCAGAAGTTATGAAAGCTTTAGGAGCAGAAGTTTCAAGTTATCAAAGTTGTAATTTTGATGTAAATAGAAATTTTATGTTTGCAGGAGATTGGATGAAACCATATTTTAAAAATGTTATTGATTTATTACAAAAAAATTTACCTGTTTTAATTTATGCTGGTGATAAAGATTTTATTTGTAATTGGTTAGGTAATGAAGCATGGACAAATAAATTAGAATGGTCAGGTTCAAAAGGTTTTTCAAAAGCTCCAATTAGAAAATGGAAAGTTGATGATAAACATGCTGGTGATGTTAAAAATTTTGAAAATTTTACATTTTTAAGAGTTTTTGAAGCTGGTCATATGGTTCCTTATGATCAACCAGATAATTCATTAGATATGGTTAATAGATGGATTTCTGGTGATTATAAATTTTAAGAGACTTACTTAGTCGGAAGAAGAGAGAAGGGATTATTTAAATGAATAGACAATTTTGATATTTGTTGAAATTTTATTTATCTTTCGAGTTTACAATTTTGTTCACATACAGTAATATTACATATATAAAAAAAATAGATTGATTTTTGTTATTGAATCTTAGTTTAAGTGTAAGAAATGTTCAACTTCTCTCAATATGATTTTTTCATGACGATAAATTGATAATAAGATCAATTTATTTAGATTACTGCCTACTTTAATTTGTTTTAAAGAGGTCCTGATACTTCGTCATTATATTATATAATGCAATTATTTGGGAACTCCAATTACACAATAAAGCATAAATAATGATGAAGTAAGAATTATTTGTTAGCATAACTCTCCTTATCCCATAATTTTAGGATTTTCTATACGATTTATTGAGAGCCAATTGGTAGTATTTCAATTAGGCAAATTACACGTATTTTAAAAGATATACCGAATATCGCTCAATATAAAAAGGTAAGAAAATTTCAGTTTACCATTTTTTTAATCAATATGAAGAATTTGGATGAATTATGGTTAGCATTAACTCTTATTGAAAGAAGATCAGATGTAATAAGACATCATAGCGTTTATCCACAATCAAACGCAGCACTTTTTCATAACTTAAACGCTATGATGTTTTATTACATCTTAACATTATTTGAAGCTACGAAGGATTTTATAAGCTGGGTCACCAGCAAAGTAGTTTTACTCCCTGTCGGCGATTGAACTAATAAAGTCCTCTTTAACTGCGCATGACTTGATCATCGTAGTATCAAATAATGATCTGAATACCATCAAAAGTCTTATAAAGTGTCCACAAATAATACATAGATTAAGATTAAATTGAAATTCAAGTAAGAGTATGGGTCTTTTAACTATTATAATAGTGTCATTTGATCATGAAATGTCTTAGATATACGTTTCTTTTTTAATGTTTCACTTCTGTTTCGCTTTTAATGTTTCACTTCTGATGTAAATAAAGTTCGTACTTACTCTCTCCCCCCCCTGGAAATGATGTCTTAATTTATAGGTCGGGTGTACATGAAGAATTAAGGCGATACAACTTTTTTTGAATTTATTCTACTTTATAATTTCTCCCGAGAATTTATCAAAAGAGCAAAATAATATTTTTTAGGTAGTCTATATAAAAATAGTCATATGATTTGATAGGATCAAACAACTCAATATTGAGACATTACAATAGTTAATAAAAGATTTTACAGTATTTAATTGGAGTCCTTCGTTATAAGTGAATGTTATTACTCTTACAGGTATTAATGCTTCTGCCCTACCCTATATCTCTTTTCTTAATCAAGATGTAACTTAAAACTAAATAAGATTAGAAATAAAAACTTTAATTTACTTCTCCACATTATAACACAAAAGACCTCAACTCCATCTCCCCCACCTTTTCTCTTTGTCTTATCTGTACCACCTTCTACTACGATAGTGAGGTTTTGTGTATCTTACACCCCCTTTTTTGCTTTAATAACTGTCTTAAGTTAGATAAAGTATTATTTTTCTTTTCTTTTATCTTTCTCACTCACTCCTCGAAATTAATCATTCATTTTATATCTCAGTATCATAAGTTTGATTTTCATTTTTTTACAACCAACTTACTTTTTAATCGAACAATTAAAGCAACCATTATATAAGACATAGTTTATTACAACTCCATAGTATTATCTTAATAGCATACAAACAACAGATTTATAACGACACATAACGAAAGGACCCACTGCATTTATTCATACATTATATGTTAATATCCTTTTGTTTTAACTAACTAATTAAAAGTTTAAAAGAAGAATCAAAGCCTGGTTATGACAATAGATATAACTTCAAAATCAAATACAAAAGATTCTATTAATGAATCATCAAATTTAGAATCATCTAATAATATTAATAAACGAAATACATCTAATGAAGAAGAAGAACTAAATAATGAACTAAACAACAATAAAGACAAACAATCATCAAATTCAACAAATAAATCCATAAATCAACAATCAAAAACTTCATCATTAAATCCTCCAATTATAAAACGAAGGAGAAATAATAGTTCACAACATTTTAATAAAGTATATTCTCATTATAATAAATGTTTTCAAAATTATTATCATTCAAGAAATTTTTTAAAATCAAATCCCAAATATATACCAAATATAAAACCTTCAGTAAATCATTGGCAATTAAGAAATTTATTAAAATATAATTATAAAAATCAATCATTATTTTACACGAAAAATGATTGTATATATTCATATAATTTAAAAAACAATTCTAGTGAAAGAAAAGTAAAATTAAATTATTATCCAAGATGTTTTGATAATTATAATGATTTATTAGTTACTGGTGGGTTATTAACAAGTAGTTCAAAATTATTTTCATTAAACTTAGAAAATTTAAATCAATCAACCACCACCAATAATTCAAGAAGAAATATATCAAAAGGTTTATTTTCAATTTATAATCCTGAAAATTTATCAATTCATACTGTTAAAATTGGAGAAATGATAAATAATGATGTTAAAATTAATAAATTAAGTAATCTACAATATCAAAGTTATTTATGTAATAATGATTCAAATTTATATATTTTGGATATAAATAATAATTCAAATTTAAAATTAATTTCAAAATTTAATTGTGAATTAAATACTTGTTTAAATTCGAGTTTAAAAATTCCAAATTCAAATTTAATTACTTGTGTTGGAGATTCTTCATCTATATTTTTAATTGATCCAAAACAAGGGTCCAACCCCGTTGTAAAAACAATAAATTCAAAACATGAAGGAGGATTTGATATAAGTTATCATCCAAATGGTTTAATTTTTTCAACTGTATTTCAAGATGGTGTTTGTCAATTATATGATTTAAGAAATTTATCTTCCCCATTGAAAACTTTTAATTCAACAAGAATGGGTCATCAACTGGGTGCTTTCAGAGTTTGTAAAATTTCAAAACAAAATCAATTTAATGATATTTTAATTATTAGTGAACATGTTGGTAGAATTCATTTAATTGATTTAAAAACTTTTGAAAAACAAATTATTGTTATACCTGCTGCATTAGATCAATTTGGTAATTATAAAGAATCTTTAGTGAAGAAAGATAATGAAGAAGAAAAATGTGAAGAAGAACAAGAAGAAGATAATGAAATTGATTTTAAACAACATTATCCTATTAAAATTTATTCAGATGATGTTTCTTTCACTTCTCCAATAGTTTATGATTATGATTATTTAACTCATGTTAATAATAAATTATTTAAAGATTTAACTTATAAACCACCAATTAATCAAACAACTACGAATAAACAATCAAGAGAATCAACACCTCCAAAATTAAATAATCCAAATTGGTCTAATTCTTCAACATCAACATCATCATCACCAGAACGATATAATGATGAATCATTATTTTCAATGTCTCCAACATCAACATCACAATCAAATCCAACTTCAATATATCATAATAATCATCAATTTAATAGTTTAAGATCATCATCATCAATTTCTTATGATGTTGATATAGATTCTCAATTAAATGAAATATATCAAACTTATTCACATACAAGATCAGATTTATCAAGAATTTCATCATCAAATATAAGAAATTCAATATCATCATCATTAGGAACAACCACCAACAGTAATTATGAATCAGTGCCATTATCTAATTCATCATCATCATCATCAAATTCATATAATTATTATACTAATTATTGTGATGATTCTTATCAACAACAAACAAATCATATAAATGGAGAAATGGAAATTTCTGGAATTGAATTTTTACAAGAACCAACTACAAATAATTTGAAGTTAATTATAAGTTGTCAAGATGCTGGGATTTTAGAATGGGAAATTAATGATGTTTGTAGACGTAGTATTGGAAGTTTTGAATTTGTTTAATATTTCGAGAGATTAGGATGGATAGGTAAGGTTTTTGTTATTTTGAGAGAAATTTACGTTGGTTATATGGTGACGGTATTGGGTTATGATGGTTAAAAGTTACGTATTTTCATTTTCATTCTAAGTTTTTGTTAGTTTTTATTTTTTGATTTTGCTTTGCATTGGTTTTCGTATTTTATGATTTTATGTTGAATGAGTATAGCTTTTCTTTTAATGATACGTTACGTCATGTCTTTTGATTCATCATCCATTTCAATTCTTTATACTCAAAGTATTAATGTGATTCTGTTTTCAAAGGTGTAAATTTCGACCTCTTTAAATCGAGATTTTATTTTGTGTCTCGTAAATAAAATGATTTTTCACTTGATTAGTTATTAGATCATTCAAGTCAGAGACATCAAAGAACTCTTCAGCTTATTACCTACCATTACTGTAACAGTTCAATAAACGAGTACATTAATAACTCAAAAAACGATAGTTAGAACCAGAGTAGCAAAATAGAATTTACAATTTCAAAAGAAAAGAATTAATCAACTTATATTAGCATTTAGATTCAATCCAATCAAAATAAATTTTCACAATAAATCATCAAAATGCATCCACAATTAGATAAAAATAGATTTGATACATGTAATAAACTAATGGATGCATTAGAAGAATGTCATAAACAAGAATTTTTAAAACAATGTCTTGGGATGTGTAATTTTGAAAAAGATCAATTACAAAAATGTTTACATTATACTAGAATTAATGATTCTAAGCTTAGAATTAAAGAAAGTAGAATTAAGCAAAAAAAAATTGATGATATTGCTAGGCGAAGAGAGGAGGAAGTTTTTGGTAAGGGGGGGTATTTGAGAAAAGTTTTGGAATATGAAAATAATCAAAAATAGATATAATGATATGAGAATGAACTTGTATTAGGTTTTGACAAATTTGATGAATTCAAAGAAGAGTAAAGTGAATTGAATGAGAGAAGGGTGGATAAATTTCAAAATAAATGATTAGTATTTTGGTAAGTGAGTATTGAGAAAGATAAATATATAAACAAAAGTAGAAAAAATAAGCTTGTAAATGAGTTTGAAGAATCATGAGAGATTAATTGAATAAGAATGAAGAAGGCAGTAAATGAAAGTATACGCAAATTGCTGGAGTTTGAACTATGAAAGTTGATTTGAAATTGAACTTAATATTTTAATTTTTCAAACGAATACTGGAATTGGAATTAAGGTGGTATTAAATAGTTTGAGAGATAAAGGTTCGGAACTTGTAAATAGTTGGATGTAGTAAGTTAAAAATTGTAAATAATATACAAAAAGTTAATGAATAAATGACAAGGATTAAGTAGACTATAAAAGATATAGTCTACGAAAAAAGACGAAATCTAGATTATTATATAAGATAGTTATCACATGAGATGAAAATCATCTAAAAATAGTTTATTGATCATTTGATATGCATTCATGTATTAATTTAAGTCATAACTTATGTTAATTATTTACAAATTCTTTGATTAAACTCAACTTACTATATACTTAATTATTTAACTTACTTTTTCTTTTTCTTTTTATTATTTTTATTCTTTGAATTTGATTTTTTCTTTTTCTTTTTATTAGTTGATGTTGTTGGTGAATTTGATTTTGTTGGTTTTATATTCGTTGATTCTGATTCTTGTTCTTGTTCTTGTTCTTGTTCTTGTTCTTGTTCTTGTTCTTGTTCTTGTTCTTGTTCTTGTTCTTGTTCTTGTTCTTGATCCTGATCTTGTTCTGAGCTTGCAATTGGTGGTGATTCCAAGTTTGTTGATGTTGAAGGTTGATCTTCAATTGTTGTTGTTGTTTGTGGTGCTTCTTTTGTTGAAGTTTGAGATTCTTCGTTTGTGGTGGTTGGTTGAGGTTCTTCATGTGTAGTTCTCGTTTGAGGTTCTTCTTGCAAGGTTGTTGTTTGAGGTTCTTTAGTGGATGAAGTATTTGTAGGTTGAGCTACATCTTGTTCCTCAGTTACAGCGGCTTCTAGTGGTGGTAAGTCGGATGCATTAGTTACATTTTGATTTTGATTTTGATTTTGCTTTTGATTTTCGTTTTCATTTCCAATTTCCTGTGTATTTGATTGAGATGAATGATGTGGGTTTAAATTATTACTAATATTATGAGTGCTATCAATTTGATTACTTTGTTTATTTATATCATGTTCATATAATCTTTCTCTTAAATCCATTATATCTTCTGGATCATTAGTTATATTTATTTCATTATTATGATTAGATTTAATTTCTTCATGTTCTTCATCATCATCATCTTCAAGTTCTTCGTGTTGTGGTGATTGATTTTTAGAATGAATAATTTTATCATTATTATCATCAGTTGATCCATAATTTTTAAAATTATTATTACCACCAAATCCTTTTTCATTTAATTTCATATGTTGAGAACTTGACCCAATTCTAATAATATCATTTGAATTTCTACCAAAAAAATCTAATTCTTCTTCAATTATATAACGGGGTGGTAATTCTTCTCCTTTATCTAAAATTTTATCATTTATATCATTATTTAAAATTTTATTATATTGAGGTAAATTTGCTAAACCTCTATCACCTTGTAATTTTTTATAATCTATTGTTGAAATAAAACCATATTTTCTAACATTTGCTTCAATCCATACAAATCCCAGTTGACCTAAATTAACTTGAAATTTTGCATTTGTTGAAAAACATCCTATAGCGGGATATAAATCAACAAAACATCCTTTCATTACATCTAAAATTTTTTTACCATTTCTTGTTATGAAAATTGTACCAGTGGGGATAATATAACCAAATCCAATAACATCTGATTGTTGTAATGGTGGCAATACTAATGCATTATATTGACTTTGTTCATTAAGATGTTGTTGTAATGGAGTTGGGAACGGTTTATTTATTTTTAAATTTCCTGTACTTTCATATGCAATTGAAAATTTATTATAACCAGGTAATCTAAATGAAGTTGGATAAGGTTTTGTAATTAAACCAATTGCAAAATGTTGAGTTGATGAAGCATTAGGTGTTGTTGGTATTGCCTCCTGAAATTCAAATATTTTAGTTTCAAAATATATAGTATCTGAATATAATCTATTTTTAACAGGTAATGGATAATTTAAACTTGTTGTTGTTGTACAATAAGGTAAATCATTATTTATAAAATTTATTTCAGTTTTATCTTCAACAATATAATGAGGATTTAAAATATTATTTTCCATTTCAAATTTAAAAGCATTTATACCATATTCTTTTATAATTTTTTCATCATCTAATGAAAAAGTTTTACCTTTTATTTTGGAAAAATCAGGAGGATTTAAAATTTGAAATTCTTTTGATTTTAAATATTGTTGTTGTTCTTCTGGTGATAAATTTGTAAAATCAAATTGTTCTGCTAATTGTCTTAAACTTTCTTCATCATTTAAAAATTCTCTTGGTACATCATTTGAATGACTACCCATTAAACTATCTGTAATTGAACTTGATAAAGTTTGATATTCACCATTTGAAAATCTTGATTTACTATAAAATATTTTATAAATACAAAATATTATTGATAAGATTATTGTTATTGAAAATGATACAATTATTAATAAGATATTAGTTGAATCATCATAAGTTTTAATAATCATTTTTGATGGTTATCTTCTATTGTTTTCGGAGAACCCTAAAAATAATCAAACAATTGATACACAAAGGTGATATAAAACAATCAATTCAGTCTCAGGATGGTCTGTCTTCAAATTTAGAATGGTTTGTTCAATGATGTATATGTCTTCGGTCAAATTGTTAGAAATACCTAGTAAATAATAAGATCAAGAAGATAGGTTATTTATGTAAATTTTAGTATCGAGCAGTAAAAAATATTTTTTTTTAAGTCTCTAGACTTCTGGAAATAGTAAAAAATAATTCTAAGGTTAGTGTAATCTACTTTTGTTCATAGCCCTATTAGAAGCTGACAAAAGATTGTTCAAAAAACAGGATAACCATTAGCAGTTATCAACCATAGTTTATTTACTGAGAAAGATTACCTTATGAGAAAGTCCTACAATTTATATCTTCTAATTTACTAACAAAAGATAAATTTTTGCACCTCACTTGGTAGCAATTTATATTTGGAGATTTAGTTATATGGGGTAAATTCAAATAAAAGGTTTTAGTCTAGTCAATTTAGTTGAGTTATTGACCTAATTAATTGGTATAAATCATTTGTTTCTTTTTCAAATCATTACCCTAAAGATTATTGCTCAAAGTAAATATGAGTTTAATGAAAAAACACGTAAAATAAATGATATAAGTTCATTTTATATGACCTCAATACAATAATGTTAACTATAATTCAATCATTGTGCATGAACTAATCTCAAACTCTCACTGAATTCTTTTGTCGGTATTCTCCGACCAGTATGACTTTTAAAGTGGAATACGATTGTTTGTAAGTTACATATTGTACAGATTCTATCTTTGATGTATTGTTTATTTTGTATTATGTATTGTTGATGAGACGCGTTTTGTATTATCAAAATTAAAAATACTAAATTAAGCGGTTTTAGGGGGTAATAGTATATGGTACTCTTGTTTAGAACAATTGCGATTTATAATTTAATAAAGGAGAAATTTTACTTTTTATACTTACTTTTTTCTCATAGACTCGATTATGATTAATTGAATGTATTAAAAAAAAATAGTAGTTTGATTCCTGTTGAATGTTTCCCAATGAAATATATCATGAACAATGATATAAGTTAAAGCCCCGCTAATTGCGTTTTTACTAAAGTCATCACGTACTTCAATGAATTATACATAACCTTCTACATAAAAATAATCGTTCATGCATTCACTAATCATTGATCTAACCATTGATTACAGTAATGGTGTTTTAGTAGTGGATGGAAGTATTAGTAGAAATACGTTTAATAAAAAAGCTATTTAAGTCTAGAATATTAAAACAATAAACACAAGTGCATGCACTATAAGACAGACTTGAATGAAATTGATGAACGATTATTAATTTACAAATCACGAGTTTGCAATTTTCAAATTATCTTGATATCATTGAATGTAAATATTTGACAGTCCCCTCCATTTAAGATTCGAGTCTTTTGTCTATCTAACGTTCATTGAGTCTCTTTTTAATACCAATACGTAGTGCTCATCGACTTGTTAGTTGAATACATGTCTTAAAATAACCATAGATTTATTATCATAATTATCTCCGTAACGTGTTCCTCTATGTTGTTATAAATAAACATATTAGCGTAAACATAAACAACAAAACATCCATACCACAAAGTTAAATCAATAAATTGTAACACAAAATTGTTACACAAAAAAAATCTTTAATTTAAATCTCGAAAATCAATTTTATTATCAATTTATTATTTACAACCAACTTTAAAGATTAAGGATTTACAACACTCAGATCATAGTGGTTAACCCAATCAACCAACCCAACAACTACGTTAGCATCACTGTGAAATAACGATTACCAATAGTAATTATACTACTGGGTTTTACTACTATCACTCACTCACTTGTCACCAAAACATATCACTAGATTCAATAAGATAATAGATTAACAAAAGCAAAACCAGATTTCAAGATAGTTTCAGCCAATTTTCATACCACTTTACCTCCTTCCCTTCAACAATATACAAATAACTCATAAATCATGTTTTTTCGAAGAATAACACCACTGTATATATTAATTGGTATATTAGTTATACTGGTTATAATTTTCAATATATCAATACTAACTACATCATCATCTGATACTTTTAAATATACAAAAGATGGAGGAGCTACTTATTATACTGGTGGTAAAAAGGCAATGCAAGCTCATATAGATAAAGTTGATAGTGAAGAATTTTTAGCAAGTATAATGAAAGAATTAGAAGAAACTAAAAAAGAAGAAATTTTAGCAGATTATAAAATTAAAATTTCAAAATTAGAAAAACCCAAAATTATTCAAGATTTAAAAACTGAAATGAGACAAAAATATCTTGAAAAAATTAAAGATACTTTAAAAGATGAAATTAAAGAAGAAAGTACTAATGAAATTTATAAACAAAATGCTTTAAGTTATGATTTATATCAAAAATTAATTAATGAATATGCAAAAGAACATGTTAATGAGTTTAAACCTGCTGTGTTTTTAGACATATTATCAAAAGAAATTGATGAATTCCAAATTCCATTAGAATTTGAAAATAAAATTGAAAAATCTGTTTTAAAATATTTTAATAGAAAAAAATATTTTCAATATCTTATAAAAGATATTTTAATATCAAATAGACCAAATTGTGAACCTTTATCAAAAGATGAAAAAGGTAAAAAATTAAATCCTACATTTCAATGGGATACAAGACTTATATCAGAAAAATATTTAAGAGAATCAAATTTAAATATTCCTGGTGATAAATTTAAATGTTTACAATTTGCTCATGATAATGTTGTTAAACAGCTAAAAACATTACCTGATCCTCCAAATCAATTTATATCTGGTGATGGTATAGTTATAAATGCTGGTGGAGGTATGATTCCTGGTGCTTTGACTGTTATAACAAATTTAAGAGATCAAGGTTCTTCATTACCTGTTGAAATGATTTTAGATACAAAAGAAGAATATGATAAACAAATTTGTGAAGATTTATTACCAAATGTTTTAAATGGTAAATGTATTATAATTGAAAATGAAATTGGTAAAGAAATTTATGATCTAATACCGGGGAAATTTTCAAAAAAAATTGTAGGATTTTTAATATCATCATTTGATAATATTATTGCTCTTGATGCTGATAATTTTGCAATAAAAAATGTTGATAGTTTATTATATACTGAACCATTTTTATCAACAAAAATGATTTTATGGCCAGATGTTTGGGTTAAATTAACAAGTCCTTTATATTATAAAATCGCAAGAATTGAAAAAGGTGAACCAATACATAGATTTGGTATATCGAATGATGATAAATTTTATGAATATATTCAAAAAGATAAATCATCAGAAATTCATTTTCATGATTTTGCAAATTTACCAAATCCTATATCTACAGAAACTGGTCAAATTGTTTTCTCCAAAAAGGAACATATGAGATCATTATTATTAACATTGTATTATAATTTAAATTTAAAAGATTGGTATGAAGATTTATTATTTCAAGGAGCATTTGGAGAAGGAGATCGTGAAACTTTTGTACCAGCATTACATGTTATGAATGAAAGATATCATTTAATGAATCAAAAAATAAACAGATTAGGATATGAAGCAGAAAATGGAGAATTTTCTGATACTGTATTAACACAAACTGATCCAAGAGATAATATTGAATTTTATAAAGATTGGAAAAAATTTTTAACAACAAGAAATTTAGATACAAGATTGAACCCCTTTCAAAGTGGTGATTATACAAATAAATTAATTGAACAATTTAAAGATTATAAAAAAAAAATTATAGAAGACAAAAAAATTGAAGATGAAGATACAGCTCATAGATTAATTGAATATAATTTACCACAAATTTTATTTTTACATTGTAATCATCCTAAAATAGATCCCATAAAGAATTCTCAAGAAGGAGAATTTGGTACTTATTCAAGAAGATCAATGGGAAAACCTGAAAAAATTTATCAAATTTTACCAGATAAAGATTGGGAATTAAGATTTCATTCAATTGCAAAATGGATTGCTTGTGATGCTATAACTTCTTCGGATTATTGGCAAAAAATTGCCAAGTTGGATCAAAAAACAACTTGTTTTAAAATTAAAAAATATATTGATTTTTTAAAATTAGATACTTTATTTCCGGATTCTGAATTTCAAAATTCTGATGTTTTAAATTTTAAAACTTTTAAAAAATTAGGTAATGATGGTGATAAAGGAAATGATGATTCAAATAATAATGCGAATGTTAATGCTCAAGCCCAAGCTCAACAAGACGGTCAAATGCAAGCACAAGGTCAACAAGAAGTTCAAAAACAAGGTCAAGGAGAAGAACAGGCGAAAAAATTAGATTTAAATAAAGCATTAGATAAAAAACCAAATGGACCACAACCACCATTAAAAAATTCAGAAAAATTAAATACAAATCAGAATAATAATAAAAACCAAAATTTAAACGTTGCTAAACCAAATCCAAAACCTGAATAGACAAATTAGATCTAACAATTCAATAATAATAAATAATTTTGAAGTTCTTTATATCTATACGTATATATAAGCTTTTGTATATTAATAATAATACTTATAAGTAACAACTATAACTTTTTATAATACTCTATATCTATTTTATTTACAATGCAATGATTAATTTCTAATTTACTTAAATCCGTTAGGCTTATGATCTTCCATTTCTAATTTCATTTTCATTTTCTTCATCTTCTGAATCATCAGTTTCTGACTCTTCTTCACTTCCAGTCTCATCATCATCATCATCTTCTTCTTCAGACTCACTCATTCCTTCATTTTCATCTCCATCTTCATTATTATTTTCAATTCCTTGAATTTCTTCAATATTAATATTATAACCTTTCCCATTAAAAAATTCTCCAATTTCTTCAATTTTTTCAGTTGGTAAACTTGTGAAAACAACAGATTTTGAAGAATCAAATAAATTTAAAAAATATTTCTTCAAGATATACACAATATCAGCAGCCGTTAATTGATTTAATTGTCTTAGGTAATTTTCAATAAAATTTGGACCTCTTAATTTAAATAAATTATCACTTATTTTACTTGTAGCTGATTCATAATTTGATTCTTGATTATTTGCAATTTCATTTATAATAGTTGCTATACAACTTTCTAAAGCTATTGAATCTATTTTATTAGTTTCATCCACAAAGGATTTTATAATTTTTTCAGCTTCAATCCATGCTTGTTTTGCATCTGATCCTCTATATATTGAAAATGTTAAAAATCCAGTTTCTAAATTTTTTTTTATATTAACACCATATGATAATCCTGTACCTCTTATAGCTCTCCAAAATGGTCCCTCCACAGCACATAAAAATTCAATAGCTAAAGAAATTCTTGGAATATCATCATTTAAATAATCTGTTGGTATTGAAGTTATAGAAATCAAATGAGTTGATTCAGTTGCTGGAATATTTATTAAATATGCTTCATGATTACATTTTAAACCTTGTTCAGATTTAAATTGAAAAGATCTTGGTAAATTTGCAAATGGTTGAATATTTAGCTCTTGATTAGTTATTGGAGTTATAAATTGATTCCATGAACTTATTGGATTTTCTAAAGCTGGTGCATTACCTAATATAATAATTTTAATATTATCTAATTTAAATAGATTTGTTTTAATTTCTTCTAAATCTGATTTAATTTGTGAAAATTCACCATTGTTTATTTTATCTAAAAGTTCTCTATAAAACAGTTCAGTATTTATTGAATCTTGTTCTTTTCTTAATGATTTATTATTAAATAATTTTCTATATTGACAAGAATACATCATTAATTCTCCATTTCTTTTTTTATCAGGTAATGAATTTAATAATTTTTCAATAATAATTTTAATTCTTGATTCTTCAAATTCAATAAAATTTATAATCTTGTATAACCAATCAATTGCCTTTTTATAATTTTGATTTTCAAATTTAACTGTTATACTAATTAATTCTAAAAATTGATAATCATAACCATTATCTAATTGAAATTCCAATAAATCTCTATTTAAATCTGATATAACTTGTTCATAAGATATGTATTTACCATTTGGTAATTTTAAAGACATTGAAAAAATTTCTTCAATTATTGACATATATTTTAATAATTCAGGTCTTATTTTTGTTGATGACATAACTAATTGAATAGTTGAAAATTGAGATTTAAAACTTTCAAAATGTATAAACATTGGGAAATTGGGAGGTGTATCCTTCACTAGTACTTCACTAAATTCATCATTTTCAATATATTGATTAGTTGATTTATCTACTATTCCCTTTGTTTTACCTGCTTTATAAGATTTTGTCTTTATAAATGAAATTTTCAGAGGATCAGGTTTTATAAATTGAGTCAATAATTCTTCTGGTATTGGTCTATCATTAAAATTTTGAGCTTCAATTAATTGATTTTTTAATTTATTTAATCCATTTTCTCCTAAATTTTGTTTAATTTGTTTATTGAATTTTTTATTTTCCTTTTTTAAAAATTCATTTAATTTAGATGAAGGTTTACCTAAAATTGTTGCAGATTTATTATCAATAAAATATTTCCTAATTAATGAACTCCATTGCTCCGAAGTCCATGTTAATAATTCATCATATTCTTTTAAATCTTTAGTCCATTTTAATAAATCACTACCATCAGGGTTACCATAAATAAATTCTAATATTGCAATATTTGAAAAACTTGATGCTGATTTTTCTGTTTGAGATACAAATTTTAATCTTTGTTGATTTATAATTTGTCTAAGATATAATAAATTCATATTATCTGGATTAGTTTGAGTTTGAATTAATTCTTTAATTTTGAGTTGTAATTCATTTAATTTATCTGTTGGAACTCCATTACATGTGAAATTTAATGCTGTTTTATAATAATCATCAGTTGTGTATTCTATATCAGTAGCTAATGGATTTTCAACTTCAACTAAATGTTTATTAAATAATGATATGGGACCATCTGTGAAATAAGCACCAATCATATCAATGGCTGTATTTATCAATGAATCATTTCCCTCTGGACCAATCCATGAAATTAAAACTTCTCCAGTCGATTCATCTTTTTCTGGAAATTCAATCGTTTTCACTATATCTTCCTTAAGTGGTTCATCATGTTTTGAATCAACAAATGGCCTCCTACTTGTTTCATTAGATTTAGGTGGTAATTCATTATCAAATTCAGTCATTATTTGTAATAATTCATCTTGATCTATTGATCCCGTTATTATAACACATAAATTATCTGGTCTATACATTGATTTATGAAATTCTTTTATTTGATCATTTGTTAAATTTCTTAATTCAGACATTAATCCACCAGTTTCTGATGAATAACCTGATTTAGGTGAATATAAAGTTTCTTGCATTTTTTTAAAAGTTACAAACCATGATTGACTTTCTATTCCTTGCATTTCACTAAATACTACTCCTTTTTCTTTCCCTTTTCCATCAACATGATAAACTTCTGTTAAACGTGCTTCATCAGTTAATGTAGGATGAAATAAATGATCTAAATATATAGGTAATAAAGTTTTAAAACCATCCCAACCTGCTGTTGTTAAAGTATATACAGTTTGATCAACTCCAGTCCATGCATTAGTTTGTGAATATAATCTATTACCTAAACTATCTAATAAACCTTTATATGGATATTTTTTTGAACCCATAAATATTAAATGTTCTAAAGTATGAGGACATCCAGAATTATTTTCTATTTCTGTTGCAACTGCAAAATAACCATTTACTATAGGTGAAGGTTGATTGATATAAGTTATTTGTAACCCAGTTCTTTGAGATTTCCATTTTGTTATATAAGCTGGTGCATATTCTACTTCAAATGATGTTTGTTTTATGAAAGGTGAACTGAATCTCGTCATAGCAGTTGATATTGAGGAAAATCTTTTAATTACTGAAAGAATTTTCGGAATTTTTAAGAGAATGTAGGTTGATAAATGAGTGACTGAATGATATATGAAGTTTGATAGACTGTTTCAGGTTTAGATAATGATTGAAAAAATTGAAAAGTTAGTTTGAAACACAAAGACGGTTTATTCTATAAGCAAGAGACTTTAATAATTTATCCGAACGTCGTATCATTACACATTATATTCAACTAACCTAATGTATATCCTTCTCAGCTTCTTTAAACATTTTGAATATTTCTCCAACATCTTTTTTCATTGTTCTTGTTAATTCAACCAAATCTTCATCTGGTTTATTATACATTATACAATTAGCAAACATTAACATTATATCTCTTTCTAATTCCTTTATGGACAGATATTTTGGTGGATCTACTTTAGATTTTAAAGCTTTTGCTATTGATTTTAAATCTTTTGGTTGATATATAATGTCATAATAATTTGGTGCATCTTTTGCATTTACTGCTTGTAAAAATGGTGATGAAAATCTATGTTCCATGATAGAGTTTAATAAATTAACTGCAATATTTTGAAATCTTTTATGATGTTGTGCTGGAGCTGGTGATCTCGATCGCTGTCTTTTTCTTGATTCCTTAGTTGGTTCTGGTGTATGGGTTTCTTTTAATGATTCAGGGACATCCTCCTTTTCATTTAGTTTTGGTGTTTCTGTGATTGGTTCTTTGACCTCCAATGGCTCTTGTTTTTCTTCTTGTTCGTAATCAGTTGTTGTTTTTATACTATCTTCCTGTTCTTTTGTCTTAGCTACTTCCTTTATTTGTTCTAAATCTTCTGATTCCGTTTCATCTGCTTCCGGTTCAATAGTTTCACCCTCTTCTGTATCTTTGGTGGAAGATTTTGGTTCAACATCATTTACTGATTCCAGATCAATTTCTTTTAATTCATCATCTTCAAGTATTTCTGCCGTTTTAGTTGTTATTTCCTCCACTTCTGGGCTCTCTAACTCTTCATCCACTTGCTCATTCTCGGCCTCTATATCAGCTTCCTTCTCCTCAACAGCTTCATCAGCTTCCTTCATTTCAACATCTTTATCAATTTCTTTTGTCACAACTTCCTTATCTATTGGTTCCACTTCTTCCTCTTTCGTTTCATCAACTTTTTCGGACTCTCCCTTCTCTTCTTCCTCTATGTTTTCTTTCACTTCTTCTTCTACTGCTTCTACTTCTTGTGCTTCTTTCACTTCCTCTGCTTCCTCCGCTTGCTCTGCTTCTTCCACTCCTTCTGCTTCTTCAGCTTCTTGTTCTTCTTGCACTTTATCTGCTTCCTGTGCTTCTTCTGGGCCATTTGTTATTGTTTCTCCCACGTTTTCTGTTTCCTTTGCATTCGTTTCTTCGTTCTTTTCTCCCTCCAACACCTCAATTTCTTCAGCTTCTTCTACTATTGGTTCAGTCACTTGTTCTATAGACTTCTCTTTCTCCTGATCTGCATCATTGGTATTTGTTGACTCTTCATTTTCCGACGATTTAAGCTCGATTTCTTTCGTTACAACATCTTCAGTTTGGTCTTTTTCAACTAGTAACAGTTTAGCACTGTTCCATAAGAATTTTGAATATCTGAAAGTAGATGTTGCAACTATATTTTTCAAATAAGTTTCATATTTATCTCCAATTTCGATTACTACGGAATCTTGAGTAACTTGTACAAATTTGAAATACAACGTTCTATTTATGATAAAAGATAGTAGTTTTATATCAATTTGAGGGAAATGTATATCATTATTTGGAAATTTTGATGTGTATTCGTCTGTTTTATCGTTTAGATCCTTTAAGAATAAATTGACTGGTATCGATGCCTTTTTATCGGGATAGTCTCCTTTATATTCTGATAGACTTTTATTGATTACTGCACCCACTAGTAGTATCAGTAGGTCGGGGTTGATCTTAACTTGATCTGACATAAATTTGTTGTGCTGCTTTAATATGCTATGTTTTGTTTCAGATTTAAGTTTTTCTGGATCTATTTTTACAAGAATGAATTCAAGATGCAAAATCACCAAGAGTTAAGCAAACAGATTACACTTTCATAGAAATTATCCAAGGGAATAGAGTAACGTTAACCCTTCAATTTGTTTTTTAAATTCTAATGATACTTTATAACGGTAACGTAAATTATTTTAATATGTACAGTTTATTTAGTTTATATAAATTCCCACGATTAAACATCCTTATCGACATGGATAACCCGTTTATCTTTGACCTTGTTGCATCAATAAAGCACTAAAAAGTATCAAGTTAGTATTTGTTTCAAACTAAAATCTTTAAATCCAAAATGTACCAAAATCTGTTGATTCATTTTCCATCTTATAATATACATACTTTTGTTCTTGAAATCTTTGACCAACACGTTCACTATGTTTCAAGAATTTCTCGGAACATTTAGCAATACAACTAGTTTCTTTTGAAGTTAAACTATTTGAAGTGAAATCATTAACACAATCATCGAAACATCTTGATACTAAATTTGAATATAAATTCATAAAATCTTTCATTTGTTTTTGTTCAACAATTTGTTGAAATTCTTGTTGCTCTTTAACGTTTAATTGATCCATTTTATATCGTCTCTATTTGTATATATGACTGTAGTAACTTTCAAGTTGTAGATGAAATGGCAAAAAGATCGTAGTGTAATTTTTCACCGATCGAAAAAAATTTTTGTTTGCTGGGGGAGAGTTGAATCAAACGGTAAACATCTACATGTAGTCTATTGTATATACAAGTCTATAATAAAACTGCCTTAAGCGTTACATAAGTTCGGAGCTCTTGGGAATGGAACAATATCCCTGATGTTATCATGCCCTGATAAATAATTAATAAATCTTTCCCAACCCATACCAAAACCTCCATGTGGTATTGTACCATTTCTTCTTAATTCCAAATACCAATTCATATCATCTAATTTCATATTATGTTTAATCATTGATTCTTTTAATACCTCGTAATCGTGTTCTCTTAACGAACCACCTACTAATTCTCCAAACTCGGGTAAAAGTAAATCAAAACATGCAACTGTTGGTTGTTGTGAATCATAATTTTTTGATTTGGACATGTAGAAGGGTTTCAATGATTCTGGATAATCAGTTACAAATATCGGACCATTTTTAGCTAAAAATCTTTCGTGATCCAAATTTAAAGAATCACCAAATTTTAATGTATCTATACCTTCTTCATTAATCAAATTTAATGCCTCTATATAAGTTACCCTTTTCCATTCTTCTTTCAAAATATTGTCCCATCTTGATCTTATCACATTTTCATCAAGATATACACCATTTAAATATTCATTGTTGTAATTTTGTGCTAAGTCTCTTGTTACCCATTTTATCAAATTTTCAGTAAAGTCAAGCAAAGGATCTAACTCATTTAGATAGCACACCTCAGCTTCAAGCATCCAAAATTCGCATAAATGTCTCGATGTCTTTGAATTTTCAGCTCTAAAACAAGGGGATAAAGTCCAAACTCTATTTAAAGCTAATGCTAATGATTCTAAATGTAATTGAGAAGAAACTGTTAAATAAGTTTGTTTTTGAAAAAATTCTTCACTTTGAGCTATTTTAAAAGTTTCTCCTGCTCCTTCACAATCTGAACTTGTTATTAATGGTGGATTAACTTTTGTGAAATCATGATTATTGAAAAATTTTTGAACAGAAGTTTCTAAAAAAGATCGTAGTCTATAAAATGATGATACCGTTGATGTTCTATGTTTCAAGGATGGTAAGGTTCGTAAATATGACATTGAGGTTGCTTTTTTTTGTAAAGGATAATCTTCAGGAACTGGACCAATTATTTGATAAGAATGTTCAGGATTTTTGCAATTGTATATCAATTCATAATCTTGTTTAGCACCTTTGCTTATATTCCATTCCCCTTTTATTGAGACACTTTGACCTATTTGAAACTTAGGTGGTTCTTTACCTAGTAGCACCACATTGATCACTTTTGATGTTGTACCATCCGTTAAATCTAGAAAGCTAAGGTTTTTAGAATTTCTTATACTTTTTACAAATCCCTTTGTTTCGAGTAATAATCCGATTGGTGTTGATGATATTTGTTCTTTGATAGTCGGCTGTAGGGTACTTAATCCCCTACATAAGTGTCTATGTAAAATTCTTGAATGTGTGACGAACATTAATCACGTAATTCTTAGTTTCAAATTATTTTTCAATTTTTTTTTGCAACAATTAACTGAAATGGTTATACAAAAGATAGTTCATGCATACACACCATTCACATAGTGGTGATTATGTATCACATGCCAATGATCCATTAGAGGATATGGTAAACTTATACATTAAAAAGGGATTTAAAACATTATGTTTGACAGAGCATATGCCTAGAATTGATTCAAAATTTTTATACCCAGAAGAACTTGATAAGTCATATACTTCACAAAACTTGTTTGAAGATTTCCACAAATATTTAAATCATGCTCAAGAGCTCAAAATACGACATAAGGAAAAGATTGATATTATAGTGGGATTTGAAATTGAAGGTATTAATCAAGATCATATAAACTTAGCATCCAGATTAATAGATGATCCAAAGCTTGAAATGAGTGTAGGTTCAGTACATTTTGTTCATGAAATACCTATTGATTTCTCAGAAGATTTATGGGTAAGTGCTAAACAAGCAAGCTTAGGAGGGTCAACTAGACTGCTATATAAATCATATTTTGAATTACAATCTAAAATTATTGATCTAAAACCTACTGTAATTGGTCATTTCGACTTGATTAGATTATGTCAACCACAAGATGATTATGACGAAACGACTAACAAGCTTACAAAACAAGTAAACATAAAATCTGACTGGCCAGAAGTTTGGGAACTTATACTAAATAACATCATTAAAGTGATTAAATATGGTGGATTAATTGAGTTGAATTCTTCTGCTATAAGAAAAGGATGGGATGTACCATATCCACAAAAAGATATAGCCGAAGCTATCGTTGAAGCTGGTGGTAAATTTTGTTTATCTGACGATGCTCATGCTTTGTCTCAAATTGGACTAAATTATCATAGGGTCTTGTCTTATGCAAAGGATCTAGGAATCAAAAAGCTATATCATGTTGAATCAACAGATGACGGTATCAAGATCGTCTCAGATACCATAGAAAAAATAGAGTCTTCCCCCTTTTGGAATCAATACAAATAGAAATATACAGAGTCATTATAATATTATATACTATCTAATATGATCTACCAAACATACAATATGTAACAGCTTTATTATCGCATCTAACACATTTTTGACCTTCTTTCAAATCTGGTTGTTCAAATGGAATACATAAAGACTTAGCACCCATTGAAGGAGCTTTTTCATCAACATCACCATCTTCTCCTTGATCATTTTTACTTGATGCATCTTTTATTTCATCTTCACAATCACCATTTCCACACCATGGTGCTAATATAACATTTTTCTTATTTAAAGTTGGAACAAAATCTTTCCAATCTTCTACTAAAATTCTATGATCATCAAAATCTTTTTTAGCTTTTTCATATAATGCATTTTGTAATTCTTCTAATATTTTTGGAATTTCAGTTTCAAGATTATCTAATTTAACAATATATTTTTTATTATCATTTCTTCTTACTACTGTTACTTGTTTTGATTCTAAATCTTTTGGACCAAATTCAAGACGTAATGGAGTACCTTTTAATTCCCAATCTGCAAATTTCCAACCTGGATTATATGAATCTCTATAATCTCCAACAGCTCTTATACCTGCTTTTTTCAATTTCGATTCAATATCTTCTGCTCCTTTATAAATTTGAGTTCTTTGTTCAGGTGTAGATTTTGCAGTTACACCCACTGGAATTACAACAACTTGAGTTTGTGCAACTCTTGGTGGTAATACTAATCCTTTATTATCTGAATGAGTCATAATCATAACACCAATAACTCTAGTTGATAAACCCCATGAATTTTGATAAGCAAAAATACGTTCATCTGATCCATTTGGATTTTCAACAGATATATTAAACATTTTTGAGAAATTTTGACCTAAATGATGTGAAGTACCACCTTGAATACCTCTACCAGTAGATGCTATAAAACCTTCAACAGTAGTTGTATAATCACCACCTGCAAATTTTTCATTTTCAGTTTTTTTACCTTTAACAACTGGAACAGCTAATAATTCTTCATAAACTCCAGCATAAAAATCTAAAATTTGTAAAACTTCTTCTGCAGCTGCTTCTTTAGTTAAATGTACAGTATGACCTTCTTGCCATAAAAATTCTCTAGTTCTTAAAAATGGTTGAGGATGTTTAAATTCCCATCTAACAACAGAATTCCATTGATTTAATTTTAATGGTAAATCACGATGTGATCGAATCCATTTAGCATAATATGGATACATTACAGTTTCAGAAGTTGGTCTTATAGCAATATGTTCATCTAATTCTGAATTACCTGCTCTTGTAACCCAAGCAACTTCAGGAGCAAATCCTTCAATATGATCTTTTTCTTTTTCTAATACTTTTTGAGATACAAACATTGGGAAATAAGCATTTTGTACTCCCAAAGATTTAATTTTAATATTAAACCAATCTTGTATAGTTTCCCATACTGAATATGAATTTGGTCTTAATATATAACAACCTGAAACATCATAATAATCTAATAATTCACCTTTGACAACTACTTGAGTATACCAATTTGAAAAATCTTTTTCTTTATCAATAGTTATACCAATTAGTTTTGCATCTTCAATTTTGGCGTCATCTTTTGAAGTAGTTGGTTTTGAAGTTTTTGGTTGTTGGGTGGGGGTAGTAGTTCGTTCAGCATCGAAATTTGTATCTATTGTTTCGATATCTGTTGATTTTAAAAATTCTACAACCGTTTTGGCTGGTAAACAAACAGACGATGTTTCAGTTGATAATTTCAAAACTTCGTCCTTAGTGGCAGATTTTAAAACATTTTCATCTAATAAGATCTTTATTTTTCCAGCTAAATTTTTATTTAAATTGGCAATTGATACATCCTTTGTTGAAACTTTGAAAAATTCTTCAACAAGATCATTTTTAGCTAATCTTGGTTCTTTTACATTAGCAGACTTGGCTATTATTGAACTTGATGTATTAGTTGATTGTAATGCAAATACTAAAATTGGAATTGGAGTTGCAGTTTTGGCAGTTTTTGGTTTAAAAATTAAAGTTTTTGTTGGGATTGCATTTTCATCCTCAGCTGAAGTAGCAAGTGATAATGAGGCTAAAGATTGTGCTAAAGCCATTTTCAATGTTAGGTGTTTGATCTGTATAAGTTTCGTAAGATTTGTTGTTTCAAAATTTTTTCAGATAAGTAATGAAAAATGAGCTTATATGCAGAACGATGTTTTTTGATAACAACACTGAAATTTAACAGAAAAGTCAATTGAACTAGCTTATATGAGCTATCGTCGAGTCAGATACCTTAAAGTTATGACTCAGAAAAGACTAGTTATTAACAAAGTCCAAGTTTCATAATTTTAGGAACCTGTGCTTTCATTTTGAATTTTGCAACTACTCCCGCTCAGATTAAAAGTAACGAAATTTTTTTTTTGAAAAATTAGTCAGAGAGAATAATATATTTAACAGCCAAAAAGACAATTATCAAATACTTACAATTCAATTCTTTCTTATAAAATTGAAATATAAAAAATGTCATCAACTACATTCTACGTCAATGACAAGTCTGGTGTAGATACCAGTGAAGCAACAGGCTCGGAATCACATCCATTTGCAACCGCATCATATGCACTTTTTGTTAATCCAGATGCTAAAATTTTAATATATAAAGAAATTGAAGAAAAATCAGATAAATTTGAATATCAAGAAATATCAGCATCTGCTTTAAAAAAAGCAAAAAAGGGTGCTGAAAGTTTAAAGAAAAAAGCTGAAAAACAACAAAAATTAAAAGAAGACAAAACAGATGATTTACCTAAATTGGCAGAATTAAGTTTATCTTCAATTAATGAAGATTCATCATTACCAAAAGCTAAAAAAATTAAATTAAATAAAATTCAAGATAATATTGATCAAAGAGTTATAGTTTCAGGTTGGATTCATAGATTAAGAGTTCAAAAGGGATTAGCTTTTATAACTTTAAGAGATGGTTATGGATTTTTACAATGTATATTAACTGGTGATTTAGCAAAAGCAAAAGAAACTCAAGAATTAACTTTAGAATCTACTGTTACTATAAAGGGTACAATTTTAAAATTACCAGAAGGTAAATCAGCACCAGGAGGAGTTGAATTAAAAGCTGATTATTATGAAATTATTGGATTAGCTCCAAGTGGAGAAGATTCTTTTACAAATAAAATTCAAGAAGGTGCTGATCCATCATTATTATTAGATCAAAGACATTTAACATTAAGAGGAGAAACATTATCAGCAGTAATGAAAGTAAGATCAGTATTTTTAGGAGCTATAAGAAAAGTTTATCAAGAAGAAGGTTTATTAGAAGTTACACCTCCATGTATGGTACAAACACAAGTTGAAGGTGGTTCAACATTATTTAAAATGGATTATTATGGAGAAGAAGCTTATTTAACTCAATCATCTCAATTATATTTAGAAACTTGTTTACCATCATTAGGTGATGTTTATTGTGTTCAAGAATCTTTTAGAGCTGAAAAATCTCATACAAGAAGACATTTAAGTGAATATACTCATATTGAAGCAGAATTAGCATTTTTAACATTTGATGAATTATTAAATCATATTGAAACTTTAATTTCTAAAACAATAAAATATGTTATTGAAGATCCTGTAGCAGGACCATTAATTAAACAATTAAATCCAAATTTCCAACCACCACAATTACCTTTTCAAAGAATGGAATATATTCATGCATTAGATTGGTTGAATGAACATGGTATATTAAATGATGAAGGAGAACCTTTTAAATTTGGTGATGATATTGCAGAAGCTCAAGAAAGAAAAATGGTGGATACAATTAATAAACCAATATTATTAATTAGATTTCCAGGAGAAATCAAATCATTTTATATGCAAAAATGTAAAGATGATCCAAGAGTTACAGAAAGTGTTGATGTATTAATGCCAAATGTTGGTGAAATTACTGGTGGATCAATGAGATCTTATGATTTAGATGAATTATTACAAGGTTTTAAATCTCATGGAATTGATCCAAAACCTTATTATTGGTTTTTAGATCAAAGAATTTATGGTACTACTCCTCATGGAGGTTATGGTTTAGGAACTGAAAGAATTTTGGCTTGGTTATGTGATAGATTTACTGTTAGAGATTGTTCATTATATCCAAGATTTACAGGTAGATGTAAACCATAATGAATTTACATAGTTTGTATATTAATCAATTGAACGCTCGTAAATTTCGATTAACACATAACTTTGATGTAAACTAGACTTAGGAATAAATCTTCGCATGATGAAGCAAATCCGTAGAATGGAATGGTGTCCTTCATCTCTTAATCATCGAAATGACTCAAACGGCTGAAATTATAAAATACAAAAGTTTCCGGAAATTTTGTGGTACGGATGTTTTGTTCCGGTGTAAAGCTTTTTTTTAAGCCTGGACCCTGAAAATTTAATTTTGTACCTGAGATTTTAAATCTACTAAATGTTTAGAATTGGCCCTAAATATGAGTTAGTTATTAATGCCAACCAGAGGCAAGTACAGTTAGTCATTGATACACCTCTTCTCGAAAGCATTTGATAGTCTCGAACATATTTGAACGGAAAAATTATTCATTATATCCGTGAAACACAAATGAAAGAGAAGGTATTCTGATGGTACAAAGTTTAAACCAAACTGAAATAGAATATAGTTTGTGTTATGTATGAAAAACCATTCGAAAAGTGTTTTGAATCAGCCATCCTATTTGTGTTTTGAGTAATGAAAGAATGGTTGATATAATATGGTTTTAGAAATGAATGAGGAAAATCATCGTCTAATTTTATTTCATTTATTTATTCTTCGCGTAAATTACTCTATCTGATTAAATTTCATAACCATTGTACTGTTCGTGGTAGAAAATAGCGCAACATTCGTTCAAACACTCATGAAACTTAAGGCGATTCATTACATAAATTAACTCGACAAATTTGCACTCTAATTAATTTTAATTTACGAGTAAAACAAACGTTTGTACACTACCCTAATAATATTGAAATCATAATAATAAAATAAATTAGACTATTACAAGTAGATAATAATAAACTCTAAAACCACTTTTTACAACAAGATTGAATTTTTACAACCAGATACTTACCATTACTATCACCAAAACCAGTAACAATATATGACAGAAGTAGAATCAACTATAATATCAATATCTAGATCTACTATTAAATTAGTAGATGAAGATGAAGATAATAATACAAAATTATTAGATAAGACAATAGATGGTGAAAATAAAATACAATCATATTCAACTATTGAAAATTCAAATTTAAAACAAGAAGAAACTAAAGAACAACAACCAATAGAAAAACAAACCAAAGATGAGAAACCACAACAGCGAATAGAACCGGAATATCAAACAATAGCGAAAAGATTATTTAATGAAGATTTTGTATCAATTAAACCATCAGAATATACACAATATTTGGCAACAAATGATGAAGAATCAACTAAAATTAGAAATTATTATATGAACCTTTTCAAATGGTCACCAAATTTATTAATTTCAACTAGATCTTTATGTTCAAAATTATATTTAAAAGCTGAATCTCAAGAATTAGATCGTATTTTAACTTCTTTTACAAAATCTTATATCAAACAATACCCCAATAATGTATTTTGTACTAAAAATTTTGAACAAATTTATATCATTATATATTCATTAATTTTATTAAATACTTCATTACATAATTCAGAAGTTAATAAAAAATCTAAAATAAGTCAAACTGATTTTATAAAAAATACAATGTCAACTTTTTTAAATGGTGATCCAAAAATTAAAAAATCATTATCAATAAAACAAAAAATTGGAATTGAAAATGAATTATCAAGGTATTATGAAGATTTGAATAGGAATGAATTATATTTAAAAGATAATAAAAATAAAAGTAATAGAGAAGCTGGTCCTTCTCATAACAGCCCTAAAAATAAAGTTTCACAAACAGAAGAAGATATAAATGATGATGATTTAAACACTACAATAAATACATCTTATGATTCTCATGATGGAAATTTATCAAGACAATTATCAAATTCATCTATATGGTCAACTGATACAACAAATAGAAGAAATTCATTAGCAATGAAAAGAATTAGTACAACAACTTCTGAAGTTTCAAATTTTACTGCTTCTGGTCAACAAACTCGTATACCACAAAGAGTAGGTTTAGCAAGAGCTTTAATAGGTCAACAACAACAACAACAAAATCAACAACAATTAAATGGGATGTATAAAAATTTAAATCCTTCTTTACAATCACAAGCAACAACTTTACGTAATCGTTCATCATTTGATCAACAAAGATCAGTTAATAAAAGATCTTCAATTGCTTCAATTATGTCAAAAGAATCAAATAATGGTGCTGATGACACTATATCAGTTTTATCTTTTGATACATGTAATTTAGATTTAGATGATGAAAAAGTTCAAGAAATGGATAAATTTGATGTAAATGATTTTCAAGATGAATATGATTTACAATTAGAATTAAATGGTAGTCCTTATTTAAAAGAAGGTTTATTAAAATTAAGGGTTTTAAATAATGATTCAAATGATGAAGCTACTACAACAACTTCTCCAATACCAACAAATAATAGATTTTTATCATTTTTTAATAGACAACCATCAAGATCATCTATTGGTATACATTCATCTCCAATACTTCATAAATTTAATGAAAATTTTGTAGTTGTTTCAAAAGGTGAATTATCATTATATTCATTTGATCCAAAATTAGTTAAAAAATATAAAAAGGAAACTAGTAATCAAGAATCGGAAGAAGAAATTGGTGATGGTAATTGGTTAAAAAATGCTGCCAAAATAGGTACATATAATTTATGTTCTACTTTTGCTCAATTAGAAAAATCAGTTAATGGTAAAATCATTTGGTCTTTAACTTTTCCTAAAATAAGTAAGAGATTACCTAAAAAATTCATTTTTGAAGCTGGTACTAAAGATATTGCATTAGAATTTATAAATACTTGTAATTTTTGGGCTTCAAAAATTACTGCTATACCTACATTAGAAGAAAGTATATCATCAATAGAATATGGCTGGACTGATTTAGATGGATTAATAAAACAAAAAGATTCATTTAAAAAATTAAGAACAATACAAAAATGGGAACCAATAATAAATGGAGTATATTTATCAAATTATTATTCACAACAACTTATGCAAAATAATCATTTTGGTATGATGAAACAATTTGTTAAAACTTCAAATTATTATAATAATTTAAGAAAATTATATAATGACTTCGTCACTAAGAGATCAAAATTTTTAGAAAATTTTAATAAAATGAATTATAATTGTTCAAATTATAATAAAATTATAAATAATTATGATTCAAAAATTGAAATTTATAAACAACAATTAAAAATGTATAAAAGTTATATTATTATATTGGGTTTCGCATTACAATTAAGATTTGATTTAGAAGCAAGTAAAAGAAAAGAAATTTTAGATAATTCATTAGAAGAACAAGAAGAAGAAGAAATTGAAGAAATTATAGAATCATCAAGCTTAACATCTGTGTTACCAAATGATGATGATTTAACAAAATCTGTAAAATTAGAAATTAAAAAATTATTTTATAATATGAAAGATATTTCAAAAATTATCCCCACCTTCAAATCTTCAAAATCTATAAAAAATTTAGCTGAATTAGCTGCTGCAAATCATCAACAACAACAATTTTTAGCTGAAAATAATAAATTAGTTAAATCTCCTAAAAATTTTACATTATCAAATTATAAAGATAATGAATCTCCTATAGCTCAATTAATAGCATCAACTTCAACAAATACGAAAGATAATTCATCCGATTCATCAATATCACCTCCACAAAAACAATCAATGATGCAAACAACAATTCGAGAAGAAGATGAAGACGAAGTAGACCCAGAAGATGATGATGAAAAAACTAAAACAAATCTTACAGAAGATGATAATGATTTAGAAAGGAAAAGTTCAGAAATTACAAAAGTTGAAAAAAGTAATTCAAATTCTTCTTCAACAACAACTAGCAATTTAAAATTGGAAAATGGTAATGGTAATGTTAGACCTCCTTTAAATTTAAGTTCTTCTTCTCATAATGATTTAAGTAAATCTGCTTTAATTATATAGAGTTTAACAAACACCGCACACATCCGTACCGCACACATTTATAGATTCAGTGTCTCTGTAAGTTATTTTGCAATCAATTTGGTAGCTTTATTCTCTCGTTATAAAATTCATTTTATATCGCCACCAATTTAAAACAAACCATAAATCAATCAATCAACCTATTACCCATTACATATCAATTGAACAACATTTAAATATTCACAATGTCTGATCCTTTTTCAATAAATGGTGGTGCAGCAGTAGCAATGATAGGAAAAGATTGTATAGCAATAGCATCAGATACAAGATTAGGTTCACAATCATTAGGAGTAAGTAATTCATTTGAAAAAATATTTGAAATAAATAATAATACTTTTATATCACTTACAGGATTAGCAACTGATGTTATAACTCTTAGAGAAAATTTAACTTTTAAAACAAATTTATATAAATTAAGAGAAGAACATGAAATAGAACCATCAACATTAGCTAATTTAATTTCATCAACATTATATGAAAAAAGATTTGGTCCATGGTTTGTTACACCAATAGTAGCAGGATTAAATTCCAAAAATGGTCAACCTTTCATATGTGGATTTGATTCAATAGGTTGTATAGATTTTGCAAAAGATTTTATTGTAAGTGGTACAGCAACTGATCAATTATATGGAATGTGTGAATCATTATATGAACCAAATTTAGGACCAGAAGAATTATTTGAAACTATTAGTCAAGCTTTATTAAATGCTGTTGATAGAGATGCTTTAAGTGGTTGGGGTGCTATTGTTTATATTGTTACTAAAGATAAAATTATAAAGAGAAGTTTGAAAACAAGGCAAGATTAGACAGACAATGTTATGAGGTGTAGATGTATTTAGATGAAGATGTAATGTATATTTTTAAAAGTTATTTTGGGTTGAGCTCTTTGATTTGAGATTGATGTTTTCAAATTCATTGAATATGCTGTGTCCGCTATATAGCGCGTGCGTAATCTATATGATTCGTATATTGAAAAGTCTCGAGATATCAGTGAGTAGATCGTACCAGCTATAAAACTAAACACGATGTCATTGGTAATACTAAAGAGGTTTAACTCTAGTAAACCGATAGCAGACAAAAAACAACAAGCAGCCCAACTAGCTGCACAATCAATAAAAGATATAGGTTCAATTTTCTCATCATCATCTTCAAATGATGATCCATCTACACAACCAATAGATACAAAACCAATTTATGAAAATCCACAATTATTCCCATCATTAAGTTTATTACATCAAGGACAAGTTATAAAAGAACTACAAAATAAATATGATAAAAAATGGCATAATTTAACTCAAAAGGATAAACTTTTAGGATATTTTATATCTTATGGAAATTGGGGAGTTCGTGAAAATTTTAATAATTGGAATGATCAAACTGCTCCATTAGATTTACCATTTCATATTCCTTCAAATATTAAAACCATTTCTCCATCACCCACCGACATTATCAGAAAATTAAATCCAGAATTAAAATTAAGTGAAACACCAATTCGAATAAATCAATTTAATTATAAAAAAATGGATCCTGCTACAAAATTTATAATCTATATAATAATTTTTATTAGTTTATTTGCAATTTATAGAGATAAGGCTATTGGTGAAGCAGGAAAACCGAAAGAAGTTGTTATAGAAGATAAATATGAAATTGAAAGACAAGCCAAATTAAAACAATTAGAACTTGAATTACTTCTTGCAAAGGAAGAAGAAATAAGAAAAGAGAAGGAGAAACAGAGAAGAAAATGGTATTATCTTTGGTTGAAATAGATTTTGTATATAGATTCTTGTAATTAGATAAATTTGGTAATGAGTATTAATATTTAATGATGGTATTTAATACTTCAAATATGCTATTTGTAATCTTCGTGAAATCATTTCATCTTACTTTGTACATTCATTCTTCATTTGACTCCCACATTATTCCTCTTCTTCTTCATCGTCTTCATCATCACTACTTTCATCATTCCAACTAGTTTCTACAGTTTCCCTCACTCTTTTCACATATTGACTTCTATGATCTTTATATAAATTAGCAGCTTCAACATTAGCAGGACTTGAAATATTTGGATCATTTAATAAACTTTGAATACTAGTTAAAATACTACTAACATCATAAGTAGGTGACCATCGATTTTGTAAAATATCTAAACATAATTCTCCACTTGCATAAACATTTGGATGAAACATTTCACTTATAAATTTAACTACTGGTGGTTTATTTGGATATTGATCATCAAATTGTAAAATTAATCTAAAAGTTCCATCTTCAAATGGTGTATCTGATGGTCCTATTATTACTGCATTCCATTTCATTACATTGTCAGGGAGTGGTGAAGCTGATACTCCACTTGGTGGATCTTGTTGCATACGCTTTGGAACAGTTGAGTTAGTAATCATATATGTTGTGGTACTTCTGAGTTAAGTTACATACTTTGAAATCACGCATAAGTCTCCTTTTCGCTGGCGTCGACATTATTATGTATTATCTGTGTCTATGTTAAGTGTTGTCAGTGTATTTGATGATAGTATATATCACTTGTTGTCTATTGTATCTATATTGTTTGAACTTTGATTATCTAGTAGATTAAATTTCTTAATTCCTTTTTTTCTCGTGAACATTATTAATGTGTGAGATTGTTTCAGATTTTGCCATTACGAAACCACATATCCGAAAATCAGATTATAATATGCAGAAGATCATTAAATTCATTAGATTATACATAGGTAAATATATAGATAAATTTTTTATGCTTAAAGATTCCAGAAATTGGATAAATCTCTACCAGCTCCATTATATCCTAAGACATTTGGAGTATCTTTAGGTATCAAATTTAAAGCATCATGAGTTCCAAATGCAATAATTCTTTTTTTCAATTGATCTGGAGTAACTGGAGCACCACTGAATTCAGATGTTGTTTCAGGTTGTAATGATAAGAAATAAGCTTGTAATCCATTAATGTGAGGAGCAGCCATTGAAGTTCCTGATAAATATGCACTAGCATTATTTGAACCAATATATGTAGATAAAATATTTAAACCAGGAGCAAAAATATCAACACATTTACCAAAGTTTGAAAAACTTGCCATATCCTCTGCTATTGTTGAAGCACCAACTGATATTCCTTTTTTAGCACTTGCTGGTGAAGAATTACATGCATTAGCATTACTATTTCCTGCTGCTTTTGCAATAAATATACCTTCATCTGATGCGGCATCTATTGCGGCATTCAATGCATTTGAAAGTCCACCACCTAATGATAAATTTGCAGTTGAACCTTTAAAATTTGGATCATTTTTTGCAACTGATTTTTTATGTTCATTAACCACATATTCAAGACCTTTAATAATGTTTGCAACAGAACCAACACCAAATCTATTCAAAACTTTAACTGCTACTAATTCAACATTTTTAGCAACACCATATAAGTCTGAACCTATTGTACCACTTACATGTATGCCATGTCCCAGTCCATCTTCAGATTTAGTATTTTTGGGAATTGTAATACCCCATCTAGCTCTTCCTGAAAATTGAATATTTTCTATATAAATTCCAGTATCAATAACATATGAAATAACACCTTTACCACCATCACTATCATATAAATATTGATCAAATGTATCAATTGATAATGGTTCTCTATGTGAGATTCTTGCCAAACCCCATGGTGCATTATATTGAATAGTTGGTGAAGAAACTGAAACATTTTTTGTATCAACAGACAACAATGAATTTCTTTCAATAAAATCAACAATTGAACTTTTTCTGATTGCTTCAATGGTTGTATCTAAGAAGTATCCAGTATATCCTAATACATGACCAATTTTGAAGTGATCAGTGACACCAATTTTATCTTCCGACGAAGCTTTTAAATATGATGTTTTTTCTTTTATGTTTCTTAATTTACCTAAATCTTTATTACTTCTAAAGTCAACCCAATTAAGATGAGAATCAAAATCAACTTTTGAAGTATCATTTTTGACATAAACAATATATGAAAAGGGAATTTGATCATTTTTTGTTGTATAAATCTTTGCTATTTTATCATCTCTTTTTTCATATTTTTTTGCAACCAAATTACATTTGGTTGAATTTTTATATTTATGACAAACTGGATGAGTTGTATTAATTGTAATTGTTGAATTGCATGGGGGTCTCAATCTATAACAGAGGACTGTTGTACCAAAAATAAAGTACAATAATGGTAATAATAACATTTTGTTGGTTGTAGAAATGAATCGAATTTTGGTTGTGAAAAGAAACCAATTTTTTTATATTTTTAAATTCATGAAGAAAATTACACAAAGTGAGTAGATCTATCTCGTATGTTATATGAAACAAAGACAATATCATGAACCATTTTATAGAAGAATTTCATAAAACGAACTTATTTCAAACAACTTCATGGTATAGTTACTAATCTATTACTTTCATATTCAATAAGACGAAGGCAGAATAGTAATTTTGCTCAAAAATCACGCTAATTGGATTAGTTAATCAAAACAACTAAAACTTTAGAATGTTGTATTCGGGCACAGATTTAGCTGCTCATACTTATTCATTCAAAATGTTTTCACCAAACTCGAGATTTTAATGCATCAATCCGAGTATTTGGTAATCTCGGATCAGGGATTTTCGTTTGGAATTAGATTAATATATCTTCCTGTCTTTCACTAAGTCAGAAGCTATCACTATTACGTACTTTTGAATTCATCTTGATATAGATCTAAGCTCAAAAAACAAAGCAACGGCTTGGAAGATCACTTTCAATATTAAATAAAAAAATGCATGAATTAGACTCGAGGTTGAATCATTAATCGTTGGTTGTAGCAAAATTGTTTATAATATTTGGTCAAAAATCGGTTTCATATTTACAAAGGAATATATTATCTCCATCTTAGTCAAGTTGGTGAATTCTAAAGTTCATATTGTGGTGATCAGACATTTATTTTAAATTCAATCAAAGAGTCAATTTTTAGTCATTGAAAATCAACTACTCATTTTAAATTAAACTTGATCTATCCTTGTGTTTTCGATGACAGAAGTTGTCCACGTCATAACTAGATTCACACAAGAAGTCCTTTTCATCATCTAGTTAAGTCAAAATCCTCCAAACTTGTGTTTTTGACTCAGGTTATAATTCAAAAACAAATCATTAATGCCAATTGGCCAATGCCTAGTTGATTGATGTTGGCGAACTTTTACAAATGTTGAACCAAATGCATTTTGATTCCAAAAGTACAAAAATTACTGTCAATATCATTTCATTTGAAAGTTTTAGGATAAATTACATCGTGTCAGCATATAATTTGAAAGATACCTAGAGGCTAATAAGATGTTTTTAAGTCAACCAGAACTGGACTTGTAGCTGAATATCATGAAATAATTAAATTAAATTACATTGATTAAATTCAATGTGCAATGGGTTAAACAATTCATGAAATATTCGCAAGTTTAACGAGTATTAAAGAATAATTACAAAAACAAAATCAAGAGAGATAACAGACCCATATTTATGAGTATTTCAACTGACTTGGTCGAAAAAGTAGGATGTATAGCTATAATCTAATCTTAATCTTAAACTTCATCTTCATGTTCATCCTCATGTTCATGTTCATCATATTCTTAATCTTCATCATTATCAAAAGCATTACCAGCTGTCATCTTTTAGTGGAATAATTCAGGTACTAAGATGTTTTGCACATCTAAGAAGTTGACAACCAATAAGAGTGAGGGCGAAAATGCTACTGAGGGAGCAGCATTTTCTTCCTCACCCTTGTTGATTGACAGAGTGTTAGACATGGAAAATTTCTTACATAGTTCCACCAAAAGATGATGCAACCAGGTTGTGAACCCAAATCACGACCAAATTTGGTCAGATTCTTTACTTCCCTTTTTATTCAACGGCAGCGGCTTGTGTAAAAATTAACTCATACTCAGCTGTATTGATTGGTGAATAGCACAAGGTAGTTAATGAATCAAAATATCCATTCTTGATGCTCAAGGTAAAGATTGATCGCATCAACACCCATTAGTTACAGAAGAACTAAACAGATTCAATTTCTCCTTCATGAGCCCTTCTGTTCAGTTCTTGAGTGACTAATGGATATAGAAGCGAACGATCTTTGCCTTGAGCACTAATTTTTCATGGAGCTGCCTTAAAAAGAGTTGCTCTTCTTTCAATAGCGTCAACATTGCAAGATGATTATAAATCTAAGTTTTTCACAAGAAAACCCTTTACCTATCGGTGAGAATTTAATTGGTTTGTTGAATTAATCCAATCAAAACCCATTTACATTATGAATAACTTGGAGTAGATTAGTAACAACATTTCTGTCTATGTAATTTCACAATAATCGATATCCTCCTTTCTTTATTCGTTTTTTTTAATTTTATAAGAACTGATTTTTTGTTCATTAGGGACACCTTATCTTCTGTACGTTCTAGTTGCTTCTGAATTTCTAAATTCTAATAAAATAGTCGAGATTGTTGATTCGACAATTAATGATGCTTTGTGATAAGTGTTTTTCGTACCTTTGTCATTGGAAATAGTATCAGATTGATTGTTCAAAATTTGATTCTTTAATCTGTAACTCCTTCCAACGACAAAACGAACGACACTTTCGAAAGATTACTTGGTTGGGGATTTCTAGTAAATGTAGTCCGGATTAGATTTCAGAACTCGAGGAATTTGATTTGTAAATGGTTGGTACTCTCTGATTTCACTTATTATCGGACATGATGAATTGAGTGGAAAGGTTGTAATTGATAATAAAAAAGAAGTATAAAAAAGAAGTGGCAAATTTTTTATTTTTTTTTTATAAACAATACGCGTGAGTGATTCCTTAAATTTTACTTTATCAGGAAAAGTTGAAAATTAAAAGTTGTAGAAGTTTGGAGGTGAAGACATCTGAAACTATCTAATTATATGAGATAGTACTAAGTTCTGAAAACTGGTAAATAATTGTATATCCAATTGTATATCCTTTGTAGGGAGAATTTCCTTGTGAGAAAATCAATTGATAAATATTAAGAGGTAAAAATATTGGAGATTTGTCTATATTTAAGAAAATCTTTGAGCCTTGGACGAATTTCATATGACGGTGAAAGTAAATAACAATAAATTGAAATTTGCATTGTAATGTAGAGATTTCCATAGTTAATACGGTAGAAACAAGCTTTTACAATTACAATTTGCATGATATATTATTCCAATAGTATGCCGGTTTACTATAAATTATATCATAATTTTTGGCATATTCTGATTTTGTTAAATTCAATCAGCATACAAATTCAATCAGCATACACTGATACTCCACTCTGTTACCATAATTAGCTTGTATGTTGTGGTTGATAACGAGCCAATGACAAAATTGTAAAATGAAATCGCGGTATACCGCAGTATTATAAAATCTTCACCTTTTTTCACCAATTCTTCAACTTTTTTCACCAGTTGTTGTACCACCATCTTTCTTTAACCGATTGCAAACGTTTTCATAACTTATTTTTGTTAACTCTAGTTCATGAAGCAATGTTCTTCTTTTCATTTTCAATAATAATTCATAATTTCCAATTGAGCCATCTATTGCATTAGTTGAATTTCGGGTCATAGTTGTATTCAAACTCTTTATTCGATTTTGTAACAAATGAATCTCCGATCTAGCATCATTCCTCATGTTGAATAATTTTAATAACTCATTGTTGTTGTCACCAGCATATCTTAACATTACTTTTTCACTATTATTTCTTAATTCAAACCTCAGGAAGGCATGATCTCCAATAAGATCAAATCCCATTTCCGAATAATTTAGCATTTTTCTATCTCCTTTTTTCATGAATACAAAATCTGGGGAGCTGCAGGTGCTCCCAAAACGAGTAAACCGTGTCCCAATTAATTCAGCAAACTCAGAATTTTCTGAAGAAAAAAAATCATTCAAAACTGGATTAGATTTTTCGGTGTTCAAATCACCAGAACACAAGGTCAGTATCTTGGTCAATTTCAAATTTTCAACTAAACTATTCAATTGAGTATTTATTCCATTCATTTCATTTGGCAAATAGCATGAAATTAAAAGCCACTCTCTATCGAAAAGTGTGATAGTTATGTCAATAATTCTATCTTCTAATGATTTATCTAATTGAGCTGAAAATTTATTTAATTTAACAAAGATTGGATTAATCTTTCCATTTTTATCTGGTACAATTAATCTACCTCTTGAATCCTTAATAAATTTATTGGCAACAATTATACCTACTTGATCATCATGATAAAATTGAAATTTGAGTTGGTTCTTTTCAATGAACAGTTTAATCATGTTTGATGTTTCCCTCCCCAAATCCTGTAGCAATATGATGCCATTATTTTTTAACATCACACCTAAATCCATATTTTTGTTTTTTTGAATATTTTTATTCAAAACAAAAATACCTTCATCGACAGAATCAAGATCCTTGTTGACCCATAAGTAATGAGGAAATTTTAAGTTAGACATTTCAACATTTATATTGCTTTTACACATAAACAAATCCAAAAATTTATATTTTTCGAGAACACTTTTAGCATTAAACTTACCACTTTCCGGAGCCACATTGTTTTTGTTGTTGTGAGTTGAACTTGATATGTCTACCAGTTTCGAAGTTCCGTCATTTAGTTTCAACTTTTTTGTCGTTTTTTCCAATTGATCATACTCCCTATCCAACATTTGTACTGATGCTGAGGATGTACCTTCGTCATTAGACTTTAAGATTGAATTTGTGGAATTACTTTTGGTTCTATTTGAAGAATCTAATAAATTTGAAGATTGGTCATTAAACTGTAAGTTAGTTTCAAGAAATGGGTATACTAAGTTAGATATTTTATACTTTTGAGCAAATTGTTGAGCATTAATTAATGGGATATAAGTACCAATGAGATCTTTTGGACCTTCTTTAATAACCACTCTACCATTTACACCACATAATACTTCTCTCTTTTGGTTGTTGGTCAATCGGCCTAAGTCCACAGCAATACTTAACAAATTTGTACCATTAACCATGGCATTATCAAATCTTCTGGTAATAATTGTTTCGTTCACTGTGATTTCAAAACAATCGACGTCTTCACTGATCCATTTAAGTTTGCGAATTCTTGGGGAATTGACTTCTTGTTTATTAGGACCACCTTTTCTTCTTTTTGTTCCAGTAGTTCCTGAATTTGTTATTTCTAATAAGATGGACGAACTTGTTGATTCAGTGATTGATGATGTACCAGATTGAATAGTCAAATTCTCATCATTCAATTTTTCGAAAGGATTTGGTTTGGGGTTGCATGCAACTGTAGTCTGGATTATATTGTTCTGGGGTTTGAAGACATTTTTGGGAGTTATAAAACTTGAGGAATTGGAGTTATTATTAGCTGATGCTTTTTGTTTGTCTTTATTGTCAGACATGATACATTGAGTGGATAAATTGTGATGGATAATAGAAAAAAAAAGTGGTTGCCCCCTTTTTTAAAAAACAATCTTTAGGTGATCCTTTAAAATTTAATTCAAGACAATTAAAAGTCAAACAAGTCCATTCTGGCAATCATTAATGAACACACTTTACTGTTTTACCATTCCAGCATATTATTAAAAGGTGTATCATAGTTTAATGTAGTTTAGTAACATTGTATTTCAAATCTCATGCTACTAACCTATTTCGAGCTCCACTTCAAATCCAAATTTTAACGCTGGTTAACTATTAAAACTTTGACTAAAACTCAAAACTTTGATTGAAAAGGTACTTGAAAATGAATATATCCTAATTCAATATTATTATCAACTTAATAAAGAATAAACCTTTATCTCCTTTCTAGTTGATTTGGTGGTTTTCATTACTTTTATCAAAATTAAAAATATGGTTCGCCTTGGTTGTTTCATGTTAAAAGCTTCTCTTGATGATTCAATAAAACATATGATGCTTCAAAATCTTCATTCAGTATTCATTTGTCGAAAGACTGCTTTGTTTGACCACCTAGTGAATTTATGCATTGCCTTATTTTGTATAATGAAACCTTGTTGAGGATTTACCAGTAGGCTATAAAGAAATTGATGTAATATTCTACATAGTTCAAATAGAAACATTTTCGTAAATTTAACATCTAAAGAGAAGTACCGGTTAGACTCACTTAATCAGGTAGTCGAATTTAGTTACCGATCCATACGGGATAGCACAAAGTTATAATAATTTGTACGCAATTCGGTTCCCTCTTGCTCCGAGAAAATATTTTTGCCTTATCGTACTTTGCGCTCTATCGTGTATAAAGATTCATCGAACTACTATTACTTTAAGATATATAAAATTCAAAAACTAAGTATAAAATATTATTAAAAAGCTATGTATTCTCCACGAATCTATTTTTCATGCCAAAATTCAGTTAAATTGTGACCAGCACCATTAAATGCTAAAATATTTGGAGTATCAGTTGGAATATCACTTAATACATCTTCTGTACCATAAGAAATTAAATTCTTTTTTAATTGAGCTGGAGTAACACCATCTGCTGCAACGAAAAATTCTGATTCTGCTCCTGGTTGTAATGATAAATAATAAGATAATAAACCAGCAATATGAGGAGAAGCCATTGAAGTACCTGATAAATAAGCAGTAGCTGTTTCTGAACCAATATAAGTAGATAAAATATTTAAACCTGGTGCGAAAATATCAACACATTTACCATAATTTGAAAAATAAGCTCTTGCATCTGAAATAGTTGAAGCACCAACAGTAATAGCATTTTCAGCACTTGCTGGTGATGTGTTACAAGCATCTTGGTTTTCATTACCTGCTGCAACTGCAAAATGAAGACCTGCTTTAACAGCAGCATTAACAGCTAAATCTAATGCTGGTGATTTACCACCACCTAATGACATGTTGGCAGTTGAACCTTTAAATCCTTTCTTACCTGCTTTAGCAGCATCTTGATGTGATTTAGCAGCAAATTCAACTCCTTTAACAACATCTGACATTGTTCCAGAACCATTTGATCTTAAAACCTTTACAGCAACAATTTCAGCTTTCTTAGCTACTCCATAGTCTGCAGAGCCTATCGTGCCCGCGCAATGTGTGCCATGTCCATTTGAATCTTCGTCATTATCACCAGAAGGGATAGTAGCACCCCATTTAGCTCTTCCTTGGAATTCTTCGTGTTTAATAAAAACTCCAGTATCGATTACGTAAGCAGTAACACCTTTTCCACCATCTGAATCATATAAATATTGATCAAATGAAGATAATGATAATGGTTGTCTATGAGAGACTCTAGCTAAACCCCAAGGAGCACCTTTTTCAACATCAAATTCATTAGCATAAACCATTGAATCTTTTTCAACAAAATCAACCAATGGGTTTCTTCTAATTAAATCAATAGTAGATTCTAAGAAGTAACCAGTATAACCTACTAAAGAGTTATCAATATTAAACATATCAGTAATACCACCTTCAACATTTACACCTTCAGTAGTGGCAAAAAATTCATTTTGAACATTTATATCTTGTTTTTTCAATTCAGCAATAGATTTAGAATGAGTATCAGCTACCCATTGTTGATGCCAAGCAGCTTCTCTATCAGCTGTACCTTTTTTAAAAACAATAATATATTTATTTTTAATAATATCTCTTGTTGAATCAATATTAACAATAGGAGCTAAAGTTTCTTTTGATAAATTAATACCCATATGTTCAGCAGAATCATGAGCAGCATTTTTTAAAGAATCTAATTTATTATCAATAATTTGTTCATAATTTTGTAAACCAAAAACATCAATAATTTCTCCAACTGATGGAATAATTAAACCTTGAACTCCTAATGAAGTTAAAATTGAAATGGCTAAAGCTTTTGATAATCTCATTTTTGATTTATGTTTTGTTTATAATAAAAATATATTTGAAAATATGTAAATTTATATAATTTTGTAGTGGCAAAGTTAATGGTTTCTTTTGATTTTTTTGTAATTTTTAATTTTTTTTTGGGGTTTGAAGCTCGTTACAAAATTTGGGGGTATTTATTTCTAGTTTATAAAATCTCTTCAAAATCAAATAATGAAGAGAGTTTGAATAGGAATTGTAAAAATAAAAGAGGAAAGTCGATAAGATAAAAAACTATGGATATAATTCAATATTTATATAAATATAATATTTTAGTTTGTTGATAATTAAAATAATAATAATAAAGGGGAGAAGGCAAGTAATTTCTTATCAGTTTTTAAAAGAGTGAGACATTTCTGGTATTGTTCGGAAATTGGTTAAGTTGCATTAAAGAGTAAGCTTAAGATTGGCCTAATTCTGAAAGTGAGTGAGAAATTAGTAGAAGTGTTAACCGAGTCTAAATAGGTTTAAGAGTGTAAAAAGTCGTCGATGTTTTAGAATAAAAACCAGCAACTCAACCGATACGACTTTTAAACAAAGCTAAAAAAATATGGCTCCATTTTATGTGAGGTTGTATTCGTCGTGTACTTTCTGCTTATCTAGAGTAAACTCATAGAAGTGCTTTACAGAGTATTTAGATCTATCTTGTTCATATCTTGTGAGATTTAAACAGTTTCAATGACTTCTTTCAAAAATTCGACCTAACTTTCTCTTGAATGAGTCTTGTAGCTTATCTAACTCCAGATAATTCAACAAAAATACATAATAGATAAGATAAGATAGCGTGCACAAGACAACAATTAGTTTTTGTGAGTAATTCTATAATTTCTATAAATATTAATGACGTACTTACGATTTACTAATTTGTAGTAAATTCCGTGTATGGGGAGATTGTCTTAATTTCATCTTACCATTAGACTATTATTAGGCTAAATTCTTTTTATTCCATTATTATCTAACCACAGTCTTATCTTAAATTCATCAGAATTTAAATTTATTGATTTATATATTAATGATTCATCATATTCATTTTCTGAATTTATAATATCAAATATTAATTTTTTATTTGAAATTGATTCATTAACACAGAACCATAATTTATTTTTAGATTCAGAACCAATATGATTTGAAAATTTTGAATTTATTGGTAGACTTGGTTTATAAATATTTTTAAATAATTTATCATTTAACAAAAATAAATTATCTTTCATTGAATTTTGTTGTAATTTGGGGTTACCAGTTTTACAATATTCATTATTACACCAAGAATTATTACAACCATTATTTAATTGAATCATATATTTTCTTTCAATTCTTAATTGAAGTTTTAAATTCTGGGGATCATGTTGATTAATATATAATGGACCATAACAAATATCACAAAGTCCTAATTCATTTGATGATGATAATTCTTGTATACAATTTAAATTTGAACATTTATTGAAGTGTATATCATTATTAAATTGAATTTTATTAATTTCATGTAATTTTAAATGTTTTGGGAAATCTTTAACTCTTATTATCTTGGTACATTTAAAACATTCAATTGTTTTATTTCCACATATATTTTCATGATGTGATAAATTTTCAAATTTATCTTGATAAGTTGATAATTCTTGTGGTACAATTAAATGACAAAATCTACACTGATGTAACTTGTGGGGACAATTTGTAGATTTATGATGAGATAATTCAAAAAATGTATTAAACTGGGTGGTGCAACATATATATTGTTGTTGTGAATGATATAATTTGTAATGTTTAAATTGTGATATTTGAGTATCTCCAAATGCATCACATTTATCACAATGCCAATGAGTTGCGGGGATAGTTTTATGGAAAATTGAATTACAATTGGGACATCTGATATTGTTTCTCTTACAGAAATTTTCATGTAATATGAGTTTATCAGAAGGAATGAATTTTAAACAATTTGAACATTGAGTCGTCGGTACGTTTGGTAAATCAGAAGATGTTTCTTTAACGATTTGATCAGTAATATTTATACTTACATTTTCTTCTTGATCCCAAGTGAATGCAACAATGTAAATATATTTTTCATCATTATCAGTATCGCCATTAATCTCCGTAATATCTTTATATTTAAGTAATTTATTTTTAAATATATCTTGTTTCAAATCTAATTCAACAATTTTCTCTTCTTTATCCATAGTTGAATATGTAAATGAGTCAATTGCTAAAAATTTATCCATTCCAACAATAAAATCAGCATCTCCCTTTAATTCAATTTTTAAATAATCAAGTTTGGTAATATCAACTTTATTAATTGTAGGAATAAATCCACCATTTAAAATAGATTTTAAATTTATAATGTCAAGTTCTTCTCCAATTTTTATCTCCTCTATGATTTGTTCATTATTAATATATTCTAATTGAGTTTTTGCTTGTTCATCATTTATTGGAATTATTTCAAGCACCACATCTGTATCAATTATACTTGCAACTTTTATCTTCGGGTCGTTATTGATTTCTTCAACTTCTAATTCATATCGCAAACCATCAATTTCTAGTATTAAATCGTCACCTTTGATTAATAATGTATAAAATTGATTTAATTTATTTTCTAAAAAGAATTTCCAATTATTTATATTTGCATAAAATTGTTTTGGTTTTAATTTAAGGGAATTTGATTTTGGGATGTGTTGTTGTAGTTCGATCACAATTGTTTCAGGATTAGATAACTTTGTAAATATATATTTCGGTAGTATTATTTGATCTTCTTCACTTGTAAATTGTTTAACTCCAATATAAGTGTATATAGATGAATCTTGTGAATTTATAATTTTGAAAATTAATGGATGTGGTAATTTATTTTCAGGAATTTCATTGATAATAGATGAAAGTACATGTTGAGGTAGTATTACTTTATCTGAATATGGAGGTAGTAAGTCACTACTACTTGTATTCAATATAAATTGCATTTTTGACTGCAAATGAAATGGTGTTGCAAAAGAGACTTTTTTTTTTCCATGTAGAATTTTGCCTCTATAAACTACAGACATATTTACCATTACTAAGTCATTAACTCATGCTCTATAAAACTATTCTACCTACCTTCTGATTTACTATTCTTCATTAAAGACCTTGAACCATCTTTAACCATTGGAGCATAATAATTATCTAATAAAACATTTTCCCATAAAGTAGCTGAACCAATATTACATCTTTCTAATCTTATAATCAGTTCATCATTTTTTTCAATTCCTAATATATAATTTCCTTCACCAACACTATCTTCTGTATTCCATAATCCTTTTAAATTATTATCATATCTACTCATTAATTTACCAATAAATTTTAATATTGCTAATGATGTCTTTTCTGGTGTTTGTAAAGCTAAAATATATAATCTCTTAGTAAAAGCACTAGCTCTTGATATAGTACCATTTTTAGATCTAAAAAATATAAAATCTAAACATCTTAATAATAATTCTGATTTTGTTGAAACATTTACTGATGGTTTATTTAATTCTTCTGTTATTGGATCAGCTAATCTTAATGTTTTATGACTAAATTCTAAATCTGGATCTAATGCAATATATGTTAATAATTTATATAATGTATCAATGAATGAATTAAAATCTATTGCTATTGGTAATCTACCCATTGATCCATGATTTAAAACTAATGAAAATGATGTTGCAATACATAGTAATATAATTTTGATTTCTTTACCCGTGTATATTCCATCTTGTTCTTCCATTATATCTACCATAATTTCTCTTAAAACTTGTAGGAAATCACCTAATAAATCAAAATTTGCCATTTGTCCATATTTACTTAGCCCCTCCAAAACACTTCCAACTAATAATACAGCATCATCATTTTCATCTCCCTTTTGAAAAGATCCTTGACCAGCTTTTAAAATTTCCAAATAACTCATTAATATCATTTTTAAAACTTGCGATTGATATTTTTCTCTTTGTTCAATTGTAATAGCTTGTTGAGCACTTCTCATTTCGTCTTCAATTTCTTTTCTTTCTTTTCTATTTTTACGTTCTTTTTTTGATAAATGAATTCTATTTTTTTTTTTCAATTTTGGTTTTATATCTTCTTTATTTTCATTTGGATCATAATCTTCTAATAATGAAATTGATAAAAAAATATTTAATACAGATTCATCTATTCGAAATTTTTTATCCTTTATAGTTTTTGTCATTATTTTTATAATATCAAAAGTTATATCTCCATGTTCTTCATCTTCTTTTAATAATGTTTCTAAAGTTCTTATTGATTTTATAAATATTGGTAAATCATTTTCTTGTTTTGGCTTTTTGTTGAGTCTTTTTATTAATATGGTAAATAATTCAGATCTATAATTAAAATGTCTCAATGATGATAAACATAATTCATTTGCTGCTTTTAATGCTAAATTTCCCCTTTTTAATTGATCACTTGTAATTTTGTTATTATTTAATGAATTTGAATATGATATTTTAGAATGTTTGTATAATAATTCAATATATGATTTATAATTTATAACTAAAGATTGTTCAAAAGTTCTTAATCTTGAAATTTCTTTACTTACTTTTTCTCTTTTTTCCATATCAGTTAATGGTCTAATTTTATATGATGGAGCTAAAGATTTAAATATTGGAATTAATGACATTATTGATAATTGTGAAGTCATAAAATTTTTTGATTCACTCATTTTTCTTAATCTTGTTAAACATGATATATTTTCTTCTGGATTTTCAATTAATTTGGATGCTAATTCTGCTATTTCTTCTTTTGTTTTGATAAGTTTTTCTTGTGGTGTTAGGTTGGAGTCTTCTTCTTCTTCTTCTTCTTCCTGTTCTTGTGGTGGTTCTTGTTCTATTTGTTCTTCTTCATCTTCTTCTTCTGGTTCTTCCTTTTGAACTACTTCTCGTAGCACTCTTTCTACAGTACCATCACTTTTTTTAATAGGTAAAGATTCAACCATATGTTTTTCTTTCATTTGCCTAGGTCTTAGTTCATATTCTTGTTCTTCATTTTCCCAATCTTTTGAATTTTCTTCTGCTTCCCCGTCTTCTATATCACTTTGAATTTCTTCATTAAATAATCCAGTAGATAATTGTGCATCTTGATCTTGTTTAAGTTTCTTCCTTCTTTCTATATCTTGGGTTTTGATTTTTCTTTTACCCATTTCTTGATGGTTTTTCTTAATCTTCTGGTTGTGAAAGTATAATTATAAGTTTTTGGTTAGAGATGAGAGAGAATTGAAAAATGGTACAAAATTAAAATTTTTGAAACATCAATAATTTCGAGATAATATTTTCAAGTTGCAAAAAAATATTGTCAATCTGATGAACCCTCTACTAAAAGCAATTGCAAACTATTTTGTTGACTTCACAGTATTTCTCAAAACATTTTAAATAGTAAAGCCTTTTTAAAGTAATGGAAAATTAGAATAGAGATGGAAGAAGCGTCTTTTAAGTGTTAAGAATGCGCATAGTCATACTCATTGAAAAACCAGTACCAAGTCGGTTTTTATTACATCAAAAAGTACTTGATTTGATGCTAATTTTAAGGAATATAAACAGAAACCATGAAAGTTGGGTGATTTACTAATTTTTCTACAATAGCAAAACTTCATAACCCACATTAGCCAAATTCTGTAGTTTAGGTACTATACTTCTATGAGAACAATTTTTAAAAAATATTTGCACAATGCACTCAGTGAAAGTCATTCTTATATTTGGTCCGGGTGAGTTAGTTCAATATTGATATTCTATTTTTGCATTATTAGGTTTAACAATGATCAAACCAAGTTTAGCTATAAGAAAGAAAATTGGATTCAGATTTAAGATTATCTGGTAGCGAAAACTCCAGAGTTCATAAATTTTCACGCGATAGTTTTTTTCATGCGATTCGGCCAAAATTCTAGATCTATCTCACGTAAATTAGGTCGAGGAACAAACGATAAAATAAATGTTTTCTGAGTCAGATTAAATAATTGATCGGATATAATCGTATATAATTTATATGCAGTAGCTTAAAAAATTAATCTCATTTCGTTTTGTGTTTGACAGTAGATAAAATATACGATGATAGAAAAATTTAAAATCAATAAGGTGAATCAAATCTTCATTTGGCTTAAACAAACTTGAATTAGACTTGGTGTAACATTTCGACTTATTCTCAAATACGACTCATTAAAATTATCTTCCTCTACTTTTTTGTAGATTACTAGAATTTGCTCTTCTTAATTATTTTTTGTTTCGTCGTATAATTTTACTATTAAACGGTAATAGAAATAGAAATAAATCTTTAAATTTAAACGACAGAGAAAAAAAGAATAATACAAAGAATTTTTCATTTTTATCTTACTAATTAGAATTGTGTTATCAAAAAATAAGTTATAGTTTAACCAATAATCTTAGATCTAGAGATCTATCAGATCCATAGGGTCTTAGGTATCAATCATTGTTAGATACAACTTAGTGCTTTCAAATTACTCTAGTTTTTACTCTTTATTAGAATTTATTGGATATAGGATATTAAATAAAGTATGGAAAAGTATATCGGTTAGTAAAAAGTAAAAAATAAAAAAATAAAAAATAAATAACCACAACAAAAAAAAAATCTTCTTAATTCACTTTAACTTTATTATTATCATCATCTTTTTCTTTTCATAAGATCTTTTGTACCAACTGGCCTACAAACAATTGCACAATTGCACAATTTGGGAAGAAATATCATCTTCTTCATTCTACCTATTAAAAGAATTTAAAGGTTGACTAGGGTTTAAAATAATCATTACATTCGCTGGATTCAGTCCTATATTAAAAGAGAATAAGAAAATATAACTAATCGACTTGCTATTTATAATTTCCATTCAGAAACTCAAATCTATTACTGCTTAAGATGAATTTCAATAGATCAACACCATTATTTGTTGATAAACTCCTAAACGATCAAACAAAAACATTCATATCATCAAACCAACATATCAACTACATTTTAAATTTATTTCAATCAGCATCATGGATTCAAATTATTATCGCATCAATTATTTTAATTTTTTCATATGATCAAATAAAATATCAATTTAATAAAGGTTCAATAGCTGGTCCATCTCTAAAGATTTGGCCAATTATTGGACCATTTTTAGAATCATTAGATCCAAAATTTGAAGAATATAAAGCAAAATGGGATAGTGGAGAATTAAGTTGTGTTTCAATTTTTCATAAATTTGTTATTATTGCTTCAAGTAGAGATTTAGCAAGAAAAATTTTAGCATCTCCAAAATATGTTAAACCTTGTGTTGTTGATGTTGCTATAAAGATTTTAAGACCAACTAATTGGGTATTTTTAGATGGTAAAGCTCATACTGATTATCGTAGATCATTAAATGGTTTATTTTCAAGAAAAGCGTTGGAAATTTATATACCAATTCAAGAAAAATATATGGATATTTATTTAAAAAGATTTATAAATTATGATGGACCAAGAGAATTTTTTCCAGAATTTAGAGAATTATTATGTGCTTTAAGTTTAAGAACTTTTTGTGGTGATTATATAACTGAAGAACAAATTGCTTTAATTGCTGATAATTATTATAGAGTAACAGCTGCTTTAGAATTAGTAAATTTTCCAATTATAATTCCATATACAAAGACATGGTATGGTAAAAAAATTGCTGATGATACTATGAAAATTTTTGAAAATTGTGCAGAAATGGCTAAAAATCATATAAATAATGAAAATGGTAAACCTACATGTATTATGGATGAATGGATTTATCTTATGAAAAATGCAAGAGAAAATCATTTAGATGATCCTGAATCAAAATTATTAATTAGAGAATTTTCAAATAAAGAAATTTCTGAAGTTATTTTCACATTTTTATTTGCTTCACAAGATGCTTCAAGTTCTTTAGCTTGTTGGTTATTTCAAATTGTTGCTGATCGACCAGATGTTGCAACTAAGATAAGAGAAGAACAATTAAAAGTTAGAAATAATGATCCATCAGTTCCATTAAATCTTGATTTAATTAATGAAATGCATTATACTAATTATGCAGTGAGAGAAAGTTTAAGATATAGACCACCAGTTTTAATGGTTCCTTATGTTGTTAAAAAATCATTCCCAGTAACTGAATCATATTCAGCACCAAAAGGTTCAATGATTATTCCAACATTATATCCAGCATTACATGATCCAGAAGTTTATGAAGATCCAGATTCTTATATACCAGAAAGATGGGAAAATCCCAAGGGAGATATGAATAAAAGAAATTGGTTAGTATTTGGTACAGGACCTCATGTTTGTTTAGGACAAAATTATGTTTTAATGTTATTTACAGGAATGTTGGGAAAATTTTTAATGAATTCTGATATTATACATCATAAAACAAAATTATCAGAAGAAATTAAAGTATTTGCAACTATTTTCCCAAAAGATGATTTAATTTTAGAATGGAAATCAAGAGATCCATTAAAAGTTTAATTTATGATTAAAGAATTAATCAAACAAAACAATTTGTAATTATATAGATATTTAATTTAATTTATTTTCTAAGATTTTAATATATAATAATACGTGATGATATACTTATTATCTGATATGAGATTTCTGAAACGCGCGAGTTTTACGATAAGAAAATATCTGAATTTATTTCATACAACTTATTATAACAAACATTGAATCATCCATAATAAATCAACATGTCTGATCAAACACCAACAAATCTACCTCCGATTCAATATAATCGAAAGAAATCAAAAACAAGAAAATTATTTTCAAAAGATATAGAAAATCTTTTATATTCAATGGGAGATCAACCATATTCATTAGATTCAACAATATCAACATTAGAAGATTTATTAATTGAATTTATAACCCAGCTTTCAACAAAAATGGTAAATTATGCCTCATCACAAGGAAGAAATAGAATAAAATTAAATGATTTAGCATTTGTTTTAAGAAATGATCCTTTAAAATTAAGTAGAATGTTGTATATTTTAGAACAACAACAAAGAATTGAAAAAGCAAAAAAATTATTTGAAGAAGATAATAATACTACTAACAATATTAATGATGATGGGATAGATAATGATAATGATGAACTGAATGATGATGAAAATGATAGAGAAAACGACAATTCAAATGAAAATGATGAAGATAATAATGAAAAAGATAACACTAATCCTTCTGGTAGAAAAAAATATAAAAAACGTGCTGTTGAATATGACGAAAATGGGAATGTTATAAAGAAGAAATATAAGAAAAGGGAAAAGAAAGTAAAGGAGTAGAGTGTTGTGTGGTGTATAGCTTGTATATTAGTTCAGTAATGAATGTCTCAAAATATATTGTACTGACATGACAATCTCTCTTACTAAATTTTAAAAATCTTGTGCTGCTTAATCAATTACTAAGTTTAATTAATCAGTTAACTTTACAACCACTTGTTTCATATACTCAAATACACATATCTCAAATATATAAATAGCAAACATATTTCATCATTAGCACTTTTCTTGTATATATACTTCAAAATTAATCAAAATGGCGGTGGATATAGAACATACATGTCGTATTTGTCGTGGAGAAGGAACTTTAAATCAACCATTATATCATCCCTGTAAATGTCGAGGTTCAATAAAATATATTCATCAAGATTGTTTATTAGAATGGTTAAAACATTCAAATAAATCAACTGAAAAATGTGATATATGTAATACAAATTATAAATTTAAAATTATTTATGATCCAAATATGCCCAAAACCATACCAATAAATTTAATTTGGTCAAAATTTATACAATTAATTTCAGGAACAATTTTAAAAATTATAAGTATATCATTATATATTATTTGTGTTTTAATTCAAGTTCCAATATTTTGGAAATTTTGTGGTAGAATATATACATGGGCAATAGATGGAAATTTACCAATAAATAATAATCAAATTTTTTCAAATGCTTTATATTTTGGAGAATTTGATATTTTATCATATTTAAATTCAAATAATCAATTATCTAATATACAAATCATATTGTTAAAATTAAGAAAATTTTTTAGTTATACTTATTTTAGTGGTGTAAGATATTTAATTGTTGCAATAATTATTCATATAGCATTATTTGTTGAAAGAGAATGGGTTATAAGAGATGAAGGTTATTTAAAATTATTAAATAGAAAAATTGGTAAAGAACCAAAAACAAAATTAATTGATATGTTACAAAATGCATTAGATAATTTAAGAAGAAATGGAAATGAAGATAATAATGAAAATGGGAATAATGATGATCAAAGAAATATTGCAACAAATTTACAAAGATTAGATCAATTAAATAGAGCTATTAATGATTTACAAAATCAAGGGAATGATCAAATGATAAATTTTGAAGAAAATTTAAGAAGAGCTATGAATAGAGGTGAATTATTTAATGCTATAGAAAGAAATGATCAAGAAAGACAACAACAAAGACTACAGCAACTACTACAACCTTTTCATGCTATTGAAAGAAATGAAGAAAGACAGCAGCAACAACAACAACAACAACTACAGCAACCTTATCATCAACAACAACATGTTGAAGATTCTGACGAAAATGATGAAAATAATCATAACATTGACAATATTCAAATAAATGAAGATAATTTAATAGTTGAAGAAGATAATGAACAAAGAGAACCAAATTTATTTGATCAAATTTTTGATAATCAAGATATTGATAATGATGGAGATATTGATGAAGATGAAGAGGATGAAGATGGAGCATTACCTAACAACCTAAATAATAATAATAATAATAATGGAGCAATTGGAGAATTTTTAGAAATTTTTGGTTTTACTTTAAATATTAAAACTCCATTATTTATTATGATATTATGTGATTCTATAATTACTGCATATTTATTTTTAATATATTTAATTCCTCATATGATTGGCAATGCATTTGTTTTTATTACTGGTTTTTTACTTAAATTGGGGGCTTCATTTATACCGACAAAAACATGGGATTGGATTTTAACTGCGTTGTATACAAAAACTAATTATGAAATATTGGATTTTTTAATTGCTTCAATTGATGAAATTTTAATTAAACCTACTTTTAAAATCATTAATAATTTATTTTTTGAAAAACCTTTACAAATAAGTTTAATTGAAAGAATTTGTCTTATATTAATTGGTTATGGAATTATAATTGGATTTATAATCCAAATAATGAAACATTTAATTTCTAAAAAAAAACCAATATTAGGTACATCAAGAAAAGCATTTAAAATATTATTTGAAATAAGTTCAACAGCAAAAGTATTTTTAATTTTTGCAATTGAAATTTTTATTTTCCCTGTATATTGTGGATTATTATTAGATTTTTGTGCATCACCATTATTTTCAAAAAATTTAAATTCAAATTCAATTTTATTAACTTCTGGTTCTGAAATTTCTCAAATTAATTATATTAGAATTGGATTGTATTGGTCTTCTGGTACTATTTATATGTTAGTATTTGCTTTATTTGTTGGAATGGTTAGAGGTACTATTTTAAGACCAGGAGTTTTATTTTTTATAAGATCACCAGATGATCCAAATGCAAGATTAATTCATGATGCATTAGTTAAACCTTTAAGTTTACAATTATCAAGAATTTATCTTAGTGCTAAAGTTTATACTGCTTTTATTTTATTAGGAATTGGTGGAGTTACTTGGGGTTTAAGATATATTGTTACACCAGAACATGGGAAATATAATGTTTTATTACCTATACAAGTTGATACTACTCATTCATTATTTATATTAATTGCATTTGCTGCATTAGCTAATGAAATTCAACCAATTGTAACAAAATATATTAGATTATATTGGAAAAAGGCATTTGAAATAAGTTCACATAAATTAAGATTATCACATTTTATATTAGGGAAACCAATACTGCATGAAAGAGGTCATATAATTTATAGAAATTTAAAAGAACAAATTTTAGGTACTTCATTACCAGATTATACAAATCCTGTTACATATAGAGAAGCACAAGAAATTTTTAAAACAGATCCTCAAATAAATTCATGTTTTGTACCAGATGGGTATTATGTAAGAGCACCAGATAATGATACAGTTTCAAGAAAATTTGTTAAAAAATTATTTGTTCCTGTTACAAAAGATGATAAATTATTAAAAGATATTAATGAAGAAGATTTAAAACTGTCTGGTTATGAAACTCCTTCAAGTGAAGAAGAAGAAATGAATACTGATGATGTTCATACTATAGTTTATAGACCACCAAATTTTAAATTACGTTGTTATGGTTTAATTTTAATGCTTTGGATATTTGCTGTAATTTTAATTTTATCAATTGGATTAATTGGTTTATTATTAGGAAGACCTATTATTCAAGTAGCTCATAGTTTAATTAGTCTTATCCAATTTGCTCCAAATAATGACAGTTCAATTGATTGGAAATTAGCTGATCTATCAAGTTTATTCCTTGGTTTAATTATAGAATTAAAATTATTACAAATGTTTGATAAAGAACATCAACAAATTGGAAATAATGAAATTAATGAAAGACCAAATATTTTACAAAGATTGATTAATATTGGAAATTTTAATTTAATTGCTACTTCTATGGTAAGTTTTATTATATCATTTGGTTTATGGTCAATTTGGATAGGTACAATTCATCAAATAAGTATAAATGAACCATTAAAAAAATATTATAATTTATCATTTATGAATTATGATTTAAAAAGTTGGATTATTCATCTTGTTGCATCAATTTGGACAATTTTACCAATTTTAAAATCGGCATATAGATCAAAAAATTTAGAACCAAATTTTTTAAAACAATTAGAAAGAAATGGATTTTATGAAGTTTTAAAATATTCAATTATAACTCATTTACCTGCTTTGGTGGTTGGATATTTTAATAAAACCAAATTAATTCCAACTTTAACTATACTGTTTATCATATTTGTGATTATAAAATCTTTAGGACATTTAATTAAATTATACAAAAATTTAAATGAACAAGTTAAAATTGAAAAATTTGTAAAAGGTAGAGCTATAGAAAATGATAATGATGATGAAGATTAATTTAATAGTGATGTAAATAGAAATAAATAAAGATATCATACTAATTTGTATATTATATTTTGTATTTTTCGATTTACGCAACTATTTCTATTTTCGACGAAATTTGTTCTTCTTGTTTTATATCTTTTTCCTTAGCTGGATTTTCTTCAACTATTGGATTTTCAGATGGAATCTCTTCAAGAATTGGTTTTTCAATTGGTTTTTGTTGTTCAACTTTTGGAGTTTCTGCTTTGACTTCTGGTGGAGCTAATTGTTCAATTACTTTTTTTGGAGCTTCTTGCTTAGCAGTAGGTGGACTTTCAATATGTTTTTCTTCCTTTGCTAATTTTGGAACTGCTACAGGAGTCTTTTTAGCTTCATCCAATTGTGGTTCTTCTGCAGCTGAAGGTTTTGGTAAATCATTATTATAAATATTTGAATATTCACCAATATTTTTTAAAAAATTATTACAATCATAATCCCATGATTTAAAAGGTTTTGAAATTTCACAACTTGATTTTATCCATGGTGAACCATAAATTAATGGTGAATAATTAATATAAAATAATGTACTTAAACTAAGGAAAATTACAACTATACCCAAGGTAATTTGTTGTAAAAATCTTGATTTTCCTGCAACATAATTTGTAAATAATTGGAAAAAATGTCCTAATGTTAATATACCAAAATATAATGCTGGTAAATAATGATGTAAAAATAATTGTCTACCCATTATAAAAAATGGGAAATAATGTAAAAACCAACCTAAAACAAATGAAAAAGTTTGATCACTAAATTTAATTAATTCTTTATTATTACTTAATGGAGTACCTAAATGCCATTTTAAAATTGTTATAAAAGCAGCAGTGATGAAACCAATAATTGCTATTGTTGTAGCCCACCAAGTAACTGCATTACCTAATAAATAAACTTGTCTATGATCTTTACCCCAATAATTAATACCTCTTAATAATAATGGCCATTCAGATGGATCACTTTGCCAATGATGATGTTCAGTTAATCCAGAATTAATTTTCCACATTCTTTTATGTGATTCAATAAATTTTGACCATAATGAAAGTTTTGGATAATTTACAATAGTTTGTTGTTCTTTTGGTAAATATTTATTTTCATTAGTTTCAATATACCAATGAGTTAAAGGTCTTTTACCTTGTGATGCTGCTGTAACTTCTTGTTGACCAAATCCCCATTCTGGTAATTTAACTTCACTCGAAAATAAATAATTACCAGTCATTGCATGACGTAATCTGAAAATTGAATCTAAAGCTTTTACAAATACTTTTGCATTTGGATCTTTTGTTCTATATTGAACAATTTCAACTATCCAATCATCATTTGCATCACCTGAAAACCCTTCATATCCATAACATGAACATTCTTTTTGCCAATCACGTTCACTAACTGGTGGTTTTTCATCATGTGAATGTAATCTTCTACCTGAATTAATATGTTTTAATCTAATTTTCATACCATTTATTAATGGAACAAATGTATCATTATAAATAGTACCATTATATGGTTCGATTAACCATTTATTATTTGAGTCTAAATGTGGATATAAAGTAATTTGTTGTTGTTTTGAACCAGTTGGATAAAAATGATCATGTGAATGTAAATAACCACCTTGAGTATCAATATGACGTAAAGTAATAACAGAACCTAAACCAACTTCTGAAGTTATATTAGTTGGAATTTTGTTTCCCTCTAACCCTGCTCTAAAAGCAGAACTCATAAATGCTCCTCCATCACCTTCTTTTGATAAAACATTAAAATGTATAGCAAATGAAACAAGATAAATAATTATAGGTATACCTAATAATATAATACCTCTTGCAAAGAATTGACCCCATATTTTTTTAGCACTAACTTTTAAATCTCCAATTAAAAACCATAATTGATAAACACAAAGAAATCCAACCCATGCAATTGTAAATAAACCAACCCATTTTGAACTAAAAGCTAAACCAAGCGCAACACCTGTAGTAATTAAAGCTTTATACCATCCAAAACTAAAAGGAACTTGATTTTCAAATTTTTTCCATGCATAAACTGAAGCAGCAATAAAAAATAATAAAGGAGAATCTAATAAAATATATCTTGAAATTGTAACATTTGAATTTTCAATAATTAATAAAAGCGAAGTAATAAATGAAATTATAATACTAACTCCACTTTGTTTTAAAGTTAAAAAACATAAAATAACAGTACCAATTCCTAATAAAGCAGGAAATTGTCTCATAAATACATAAGGAACAGTATCAGGAAATTCATCACCTATAGATTTAAATTCAAAATTTCCATTAAATCCTCCAATTGATGCAACAGCAGCAAATAACATTTTAGCTAAAGGAGGATGAACATCCATAAAATACAGTTTTAAAATATATTTTCTTGCAAATCCTCCAAAATGAACTTCATCAAATACAACTGAATTTGGATAATTTAAATTTGGTGCTCTTACTATTATACTAATAATTATTAATAAACCAATGAAAAAATATTCATATTTATCAAAACATGAAGTCAATTCCTTCTTAGGGCTTTTATTAATTTTGTTGATGCCCATTGTTTCACGTAGATGGTTTGATAGTGGTGGTGAAGTAGTTAAAGGAAGGGTTTGATCTATTAAAACGATTTGTTGAAAAAATATTATTTCAATACAAAGAGAACTAAAAATAAAAAAAACATTTTTAAAATTTTAATTACGAGATTTATTAAAATCTTAAAACATCATATACTATTCAAAGTGCTTTGCTAAAGCTATGAGATTGAAGAAGAGAGTATCAAGTAAGTTCTAGCAATTGTGATTTAATCTCAGTCAATTCGAATCATAGACAACATTTCGATAGTTTACGATAATCTATCTAAAGATTGAACTCAATTATAGTCATTAGTTTTGTAGTAGTTAATCAAAATTTCTAAGAAGATAATTCTCAAGGCCATTAAAAACAAGAGTTCATTCTGATTTACAATTAGTCCCTCTGAAAATTTCTTACATGGTTTAAATGTTGTACGCTGATATCGTTCTAATACAATCCCGAGAATTGAACAACGCATAAATTAATTTACGAATGAAAAATAAAAAAAATAATAATAAACGCGTCTTACACCAAACATGAAAATTTATATCCGCAATATGTTATAATGTGATAATGTCCGGTAGACTTAAAGTAGTAATAAGGTAGTTTAAGAGTTGGTTGTAAAAGATTTAATTAATTAGGATTCGAAAAGCCAAAGTGATGAAACTCTAGTATATTTGAATTCGAATCGATCAATTTAAATGTTGACTCAAGTCACGTTAATGTAAAACAAAATCTGGTAGCTATTTATGTTATTTTTTTTAATATGTGATAAGTTGTTACATAAAAATTTAAAATTAGGTTAAGCACATCACGAATCTATATAAACTTAAAATCCTTTTTCAACCTGATTATCTTTCTCCTCTTCATTCTACATTTTATACCTCTTTTAGCCTAATATGAAATGAAAATACATTTTACAGTTGTTTTTGTACTTGCATCAAAGTGATTGAAAACTTGAATACCTGTGATCAAAAACCATTCACTAGGTTATAAATAGCTGTAAGAAAATTAATCGTCAGAATTTTAGCAGGGCAAGACCCGGTTGATCATTGTATAATAATCCTATCAATCCATAAGGCAGTGTTTGGATGATCTTGACATCTAGCTGTTGTAGAACGTTTCCTCAAAACTGTGATTAACGATTGATGACCACCCTTTGAAATACCAGAAATCATTGGATGATAAGTAATTGAAAGTTTATGATTGACATTACGAGTTAGTTTGAGGACTTCGATGATTGCTCTATAAAATTCAGATACATTATTTGATCTAATTTTTATCAAGCTATCATTAAAATACTTCCACAAACGTATAATATTAGTATTATCTGATTTTAATTTACGAAATTTACCATATTCTGTATCAGTGTCTTTGTATAATAAATTAGCAACGTCATTTGCATATATATTCCCTGGGGCACTGCCTTTCAGTCAATTTGTAAATTCATCACTAGTAATTATGATGTTCTTTTCTTATAACAAAATCAATAGCTTCACAGTAATATGGTCCGATTGAATAATTAAAAAATATTGGATCATAATCAATAAAATTGTAAAGTTAATTCGGCGAGTTTTAGCAAATATAACAAGTAACAATCAAATGTTGACATAAGCGTTCTACCTCAATCATTACTATTATTTTATGATATGAGCAATAGCTGGTTTTAATTGACCTTGGTCATCATGAGCTAATGAAAAAAAAAAATTGGGATAAAGTTTTTCGTCTATAAAAACCTTCGGATGAAACCTCCTTTGAGATTAAATTTGTATACTTCACCTTTAGATCTCAATTGAAGAATTTCATCAATAGCACATAAATTAGTGATAAGTAGTTATGAATTTGATGAAAGTCTTCAACTGAGATCTCAATGTAAACGACAAAGCTGTTCAACCTTCAAGGCGTGCAAGTAATGCTCTATTTGTGTTACTGAATCTTCTTCATTAGTTGCTTCTTCATACTAAATACGAATTGTTTTTAGATGTAATATGAGTCTTGTGATTTGCGATTTGTTAAAAAAAATGCTGATAAAATGTTGTACATCATATTGTTCGAGTAATAGCACCTAATCTAAAGCCTTCTGTCATAACACAAATTGTAGTTAAATATTGTATTGTCCAAAATACCACAGCCATTTGAATGTTCCGTTTCTTAAATGTCCCTTGTCTGTTATTGACAATAATCAAAATGGTTCAACAAAATATCAAATTCGGAATATTCAAGTAATAAAATACTTAAATGGCTATGGTACCTCCGACAATATAATAGCATTCTCTAATAACTAAAATGGAATCATGTGCATAACTTTATTGTAAATGACAGACGTTAAAAAATCCAAATATTCTCATGGTTGCTGACAATTATTGAGATACTTGACTGCTTCCTGAATTGCACTCACGATTGACAAAAAATAAGTGCAGTTGATTCTTACACAAGTCTTTTCTAATTGATGAGTGCAAAATTAGGATAAGCCTAATCTTTAGATCTAATACTTTTTCTGACTCTTTGATAAATCTGAAAATAATAATTCTTTAGTAGATTTTGGATTCCGAATTAGACATGGTGAATATTAATTTATTGTAAAATTGAAAGCTTTAATTCGAATTTGTAATAAAAGCGGGCAACAAATTATGAAATTCTAAATTGCATATAATTTTTGTATTTATATCAAATTAAATTAACCTAAAAAATGTTAAATTAGGTATGATTTCAATAAAGTGCCAATTTGAAAATAAAGATTTGTATCCTAACTTCTTATTGAAATAACAATTGTAGCTCTAAAGGAACGTGGTATATAATTCTAACTGTTATGAACTTTAACTAACTTTCGTAATTTCTTTAATAATTCTGAAAGATCGCTACTAAATCCAAAAATCAATTTTGAGTCACAATGACCCCTTCCTAAAATGTAGACTTGGTAGCCTCAAAATCAAGTTGACTAATATGGAAATTGAAAAATTTGCTAAGCGCCCGATAGTAATAAACTTCTACAAGTTAATTTCAGAAGAGTAATTGAATTCAGATATCAACAATCTTTCTAATTTTGAAAAGCCTCAAAGTTTTAGTTAGTTACTCAATAGGCTAAGATGTCACAACCTCAAGAAAACAAATTATGGGGAGGTAGGTTCACAGGTGAAACTGATCCCTTAATGAATTTATATAATGAAAGTTTATCATATGATAAAATTATGTATGGTCCCGATTTAACAGGAACTAAAGTATACACGGAAGGATTAAATAAATTAGGATTAATTAATGATGAAGAATTATCCAAAATCCATGAAGGGCTTGAAGTTATTCGTAAAGAATGGGAAGATGGTACTTTTAAAGAACAACCAGGTGATGAGGATATTCATACTGCAAATGAAAGAAGATTAGGTGAAATAATTGGTAAAAATATTGCAGGAAAAGTTCATACTGGTAGATCAAGAAATGATCAAGTAGCTACTGATATGAGAATTTTTGTACGTGAAAAATTAAAAGATTTAAGTGGGAAATTAAAATCTTTCATTGAAACTATTATAAAAAGAGCAGAAAAGGAAATTGATGTTTTAATGCCTGGTTATACTCATTTACAAAGAGCTCAACCTATTAGATGGTCACATTGGTTAAGTTCTTATGCTACTTATTTCACTGAAGATTATGAGAGATTACAACAAATTATTAAGAGAGTTAATAAATCACCATTAGGATCTGGTGCATTAGCTGGACATCCATATGGAATTGATCGTGAATTCTTAGCTAAAGGTTTGGGATTTGATGATGTTATTGGTAATTCCTTAACAGCTGTAAGTGATAGAGATTTTGTTGTTGAAACATTATTTTGGGGTACATTATTTATGAATCATATTTCAAGATTTGCAGAAGATTTAATTATATATTCAACTGCAGAATTTGGATTTATAAAATTAGCTGATGCTTATTCTACAGGTTCTTCATTAATGCCTCAAAAGAAAAATCCTGATTCTTTAGAATTATTACGTGGTAAAAGTGGTAGAGTATTTGGAGAATTAGCTGGATTTTTAATGTCAATAAAATCTATTCCATCTACTTATAATAAAGATATGCAAGAAGATAAAGAACCTTTATTTGATGCTTTAACAACTGTTGAACATTCAATATTAATTGCCACGGGTGTTGTGAGTACATTAAATATAAATGAAACTAAAATGGAAGATGCATTAACTATGGATATGTTAGCAACGGATTTAGCTGATTATTTGGTTAGAAAAGGAGTTCCATTTAGAGAAACTCATCATATATCAGGTGAATGTGTTAGAAAAGCAGAAGAATTAAATTTATCGGGAATTGATAAATTAACATTCGAACAATACCAAGAAATCGATAAAAGATTCGAAAAAGATGTTATGGAATCATTTGATTTTGAAGTAAGTGTAGAAAGAAGAGATGCAATTGGAGGAACCGCTAAGAGTGCTGTTTTAAAACAATTGAAAAATTTACAATCTCAATTAAATTAAAAATAGATCTAGATCAAAAAATCTCGAAATTTTCAATTTCGACCAAGGTGAATCAAAGAGAATCTTCGAGAAATTAAACTATGCATTGAATCAGCCGATCTATCCAAAAAAAGATCCACAATCAAAATTTAATTAATTATACATATTATACAATGTTTATACAAAACTATTTATCAAAATTATTATACAAATCTCGTTAATCTTTAAATCTAAATTTACTTAATGCTTTTCTTATAGCTTTTTCTTTTTTTTGTACATCTGATTCTTTAATATTATAATCAGAATTATATCTATCTAATAAAATTTCTGAAGTTTCTGGTAATTTACTTGAACAAGTCGGACTTAAATTTGATGTTTCGATTGGAACTTCTTTCAAAAAATTACACCAATGTACCTCTTTTTGCGCTAAAATTCTTTGATTTTTTTTAAATTCTTCAGTTATTTTATCTAAATCAATAACTTGTAATTCAGGTACTAAACCTAAGGATGATTGTTGTTGTTGTTGCAAAGTTTGTTGCGATTGCTGCTGCTGTGGATACTCATAAGGTTCTCTTCTTGATTTGTAGAAATTACTTCTATATTGATTTTGTGGTGAAGCTGGTGGTGTACTATTTGCACTTTGTGATTGATGTAATGATAATATTGAACTTACACTTCCTTTTCTGCCTAAATCTATTGAATCTGATCTTTTATGATGATGCCCATAAAGATAATTTACACTTGATTCACTTTTTCGTCTTGATGATGATGGTGATTCCATTGTACTGATGATTTTTACTCAAATTCAAAAAAACAAAAAATAACTTCGAAATATTTTACATTATATATGGTTGCAAATTCTCAGCAGCTTTCATGTTATAGATCAAAATTTCTTTTCAAAGATATAGGAGAGTAGAATTAAAATATTGCTTGAACTTGCTTTTTGAATAAAACGTATATCTACATAAATATATATATTATCTAAATCTAAATAATTCTAAGACACATCTATATATAGTTTAATAAATTAACCGGTTTAAAGCATAAACGGTTTTATGTGGTCGAAATTTGAAGTATTATAAATAGACCTAAGTACATCAAATTGCATAAAAGTAAGTTTTTCCGCCTTACCATGGAATCTAATCTAGATCAAAGTCCATCTAAGATCAAAATGCATAGAATCCAATCTTGACATATATATACTTTTAATGGACTTATAGATCTAACTTTTGGGTGCAAAATAATGCTTAATTAAGTATTGTGGTTTAAATTGTATTTTGCGACACAAATCTTTAAAAAAGTCACGTCTTCAAAAATTTAAGAATTTGTGTTGCAAAATTTCAACTTTTTCAAAACAATTAAATTAGATTATACATATCACAACTAATAGATAAAGCTTTACTTACACCACTCATACACCACTCATACACAAAATAATGGACACATAGACATACATATATACATTTTTACTTCATAAAACCTTTTAGTTATGAATAACCTTACCAATTCAGAATTAACACTAGATGAAAGTCTCAAATTTATATTGGAAACTATAGATCATGGAAAGATAATATACACTTCAAAAACAATAACAAAATTAAATAAATGTTTAAAAACAATTCAAAATAATCCCAAATTAAAAGTATATTCAGAATATAACAAATTAAAATCAAGATGTTCATTAATGACAGTATTTAATTATTTAAATTTTATAATTAGTGATAATATCATGACTTGTCATATGGATTCATTACCTTTATCAATAGATAAAAAATTTGATTTTTTTAAATTACCACCTGTATCAAAACCCGAAGAATTTTTGGAAAGTTCAGATGATTATGAAAAACATGAGCAATTATTTCAATTACAATCAGATGTTTTATCATTAATAAGTGGATACATAAATGAAGAAGCTAGTTCTTATAACCAAATAACTACAACAGTGATTGAAAAATTAGTCATTATATTTCACGAATTAACATTATCAAGTCTATTATCATCCTTAACTTGTGCACAATACTATCAAAGTTCTTACAAAAATGATATTTATACAATAATCCAAAAACTTCTTCATATAACTTACACTTTAGTTCCAACTTCAAAACTTTGGATTTGTTTAATAAATATAGCTAATGACATTTGTTATGATGACTTAAGACATATAAAATTATTTATTGAATTATTTCAAGATCAAATTGATCGAGATAATTCAATATTATCAAATGAATTAGTAAGAGGTGGATTACAATATTTTATTGAGACTTTTAAACCGAATCATCAATGGTTTGAGGATTATAAACAAGATGAAACAAATCAAGAATTGAATGCTGGTAATTTTAAATTCTTGTATAGTAAAAGTATTGAATAATATCTTTCATAAAAAATCATTATTACTGTACTTATCTATGTATTTGTGTTATTACTATTTTTTCTCTTTCAATCTCGAAATACTCGCCTCAAAATTTATTAACACATCAGAACTTCATCCAGAAATAATTCTTAAATCTACATCAGTCGGAAATGTGTCCACATATCAAGTATTCGGGTCAAATTCCAAGTCAGAATCAATTATTGCGGAAGAATTCAGATATGAAGGCGACAATTCGCTGAATGAACTGATATCTGAACCAATGTCGAGTTGAGTAATCGGACTAAGAAAAGATCAAATGATAAAGATAAATGTACTAAAAGCTGTTCACTCAATCAATGAAGAAATGATTGAACCTATGCCTACCGATGAATCAAATTAACAAAGCTGGAGAACTAGAAATATCGAGTTTGCTGAGTTAATATAAACTAGTTTGGCATGGGTGTCTTAATGATAAAGAGAGGAGAATTACTAAAGCAATTCTTTATACCCATACATGAAGAACAAACTCCTTCACTATCATTTGGAAACCCATGCTAAACTGTTCATAACAACTCAGCAAATATCTTCATAATTAATCATCAAGCATTATTTATTTTTTTGTGTTACTATTTTTTCTCTTCTGATCTTGAACCACTCATCTCAAAACTTACTTATATCACGACTTCAACCAAAAAATGGTTCTCAAATCTACATCAGCTGGAAATGTATCAATATATCAAGTATCTGGGTCAAATGTATCACGATCTTTGCCAGATTGGATAGCGAAAAAACGTAAAAAAGCATTAAAACAAGATATAGATTATTCAAATCGTATTGAATTAATACAAGATTTTGAATTTAGTGAAGCGTCAAATAAAATAAAAGTAACACCAGATGGTCAATATTGTATGGCTACTGGAACTTATAAACCACAAATTCATGTGTATGATTTTGCAAATTTATCATTAAAATTTGAACGTCATACTGATTGTGAAAATGTTGATTTTATAATTTTAAGTCAAGATTGGACTAAATCGGTACATTTACAAGTAGATAGAAGTATAGAATTTCAAACTAAAGGTGGAATATATTATAAAACTAGAATACCGAAATTTGGGAGAAGTTTATGTTATAATGAAGTTAATTGTGATTTAATGATTGGAGCATCAGGAAATGAAATTTATAGATTAAATTTAGAACAAGGTAGATTTTTAAATCCTTTACATTTAGATACTGATTTAGGAGTTAATTCAGTAACTATAAATAAAGTACATGGATTAATATCAGCAGGATTAGAAGATGGAACAGTTGAATTTTGGGATCCAAGATCAAAATCAAGAGCTGGGAAATTATTTATTGACGAACAATTAAATGAACCTGGTATACAAGTATCATCTGTTAGTTTTCGACAAGATGGTTTAAATTTTGCATGTGGTACATCTAATGGTAAAACTTTATTATATGATCTACGTACAAATCAACCATCAATAGTTAAAGATCAAGGATATGGATTTGAAATAAAAAATATAGTATGGTTAGAAAATACATTAAAATCGGATACACTACTAACGAGTGATAAACGTATATGCAAAATTTGGGATAGAAATACTGGAAAACCTTTTGCATCAATGGAACCAACAGTTGATATTAATGATGTATGTCATGTACAAAGTTCAGGTATGTTTTTTATGGCAAATGAAGGAATGCCAATGCATACTTATTATATACCGAATTTAGGACCAGCACCATCATGGTGTTCATTCTTAGATAATGTAACAGAAGAATTAGAAGAAAAACCATCAGATACAATATATTCAAATTATAGATTTATAACAAAAGAAGATGTTAAAAAATTAAATTTAAGTCATTTAATAGGATCAAAAGTTTTACGTTCTTATATGCATGGTTTTTTTATTGATACTGAATTATATGAAAAAGTTAATTTAATTGCAAATCCAAATTCATTACGTGATCAAAGAGAAAGAGATATTAGAAAGAAAATTGAAAAAGAAAGAGAATCAAGAATTAGAAGCACTGGTGCTATATCAAATACTAAAATTAAAGTTAATAAAGATTTAGCTACTAGATTACAAGATAAAGTTGGAGGAGATATTGCAGAAAGTGTTATTAATGATGATAGATTTAAAGAAATGTTTGAAAATCCAGATTTCCAAGTTGATGAAGAATCTCATGAATATAAACAATTGAATCCTGTAAAAGCTGTTGAAAAAGATATAACTAGATCATTAACAGCTGCAGAAGAATCAGAAGAAGATAGAGCAAATGGAGTAGATTCAAACTCTGAAAGTGAAGAAGAAGAAGAAAGTGAATCTGAAGATGAAGAAATTACAAAAGCCAACAAGGCTAAATTAGATAAAGAATTAGCAAAATTACGTCAAAAGAAAGAAGATGATAAAAGATTTAAAAATCAAATGAAAATATTAGCAAAAGAAAGCCCCAAACAATCTGAACAAGCTAAACAGTCATTTGAATCACAAATTAAAAAGAATTCAAATAAAATTTCAAAACCAAAACGTGATGATTCAAGATTACAAAGACATGCAAGAGGTGAAGCAGAATTAACTTTTGTTCCTAAAAAGAAAGAAAAGAGATATAAACCCAGGAATGATGATGATGAAGGTGGTGATGTCGATAAGGGAAGAACAAAACAAAGATTTGATGGTCGTAGAATTGCATCTAGAAATCAATTTAGAGGTATGTAGAATAAAAATATGTGTATCATCGATTCGTATTATTTTTGTGTAAACATCTCTTCTTCTACCAAAATGTCTATCAATAACTTCAATCAATATAAAAATAAAGAAGCAGGAGTAATAGAAACTAATCCTAAACAACGACCTAAAAATGTTAATCGAGTTTCATCAATTCCACAAGCTGATAAATGGAGAAGTATAATATTAAGTGAAATATCATCAAAATTAACTCAAATAAATGATTCCACAACAAATGATCAAAGATTAAGAGAACTAAATGATGAATTGAATAAATTATTTAAAGAGAAACGATCATGGGAATATAGAATAAAAGAACTTGGTGGAAATGATTATATACTAGCTACTAAAAATGATATGATTCATTCTGGTATAAATTTAGCAGGTTGGAGATATTTTGGAAGAGCAAAAGAATTACCTGATGTTAAAAAAATGATTGAAGATAAACAAAAGAATGGGAATGACAAAAAGAATAAGAAACCTCATAAAATAAAATTAGATGATGAATATTTTGGAAAAATTGAAGATTCTAAAACATTAATTGATTATGAAACAGAGAGGACTAAAGAGTTGATAGAAACTTATGATTCTTCATCAATAATATTATCGGATATTCCTACTAATGAACAAATTAAGAAATGGTTAGTTGATAAAAAACGACAACAATTGATGAATAGATTAGGTTTGTAATATATCCAGTATATCATTGACTAAAATTACTCCATTTTTTTTGTAAATCTCATCAGTTTTTGAATCAGATTCTGGTGAAACACTTTCAGATAAATTCTTTACAACTATAGTCTTGAAAGATTTAGCACTATCTATAGCTGAATTTAATACACAATAATCATAAGCTAATCCAACTACCACTACTTCATCAATTTTATTATCTTTTAATAATTTTTCAATTTCTGTATGATGTAAACCCCAAGAATCTTGAAAACATGAATAATATTCTCTATCTTGTAAATAACCCTTTTTAACTATTGCTTTGGGGATTTTTAATTTCTCATATACTTCTAAAAATGTATTTTCAATAGTAGCTCCAAATGTTTCTTGAACACAATGATCAGGCCAAACAAATTGTTTTTTAATTTCTTTAGTTTCAGGATGTTTGAATTCTAATTCAGTGAAAGGTTTAACATTATGTTGTGATGCAAATGATGTATGATTTATTGGATGCCAATCTTGAGTTGCAACAACTAATGACCAATTCTGAACTAGGGGTTCTTGAATTAATTGAGTTATTGGGTTAACTATAGATCTTCCATTTGTTATAGCTAATGATCCATTTGGTGGTAAAAAATCTTCTTGTAAATCAATTACTAATAGTGCTCTATTGACCATGATCTATTTTTTTTATAATGGAAAAAATCAATTACCCGTGAAACCGTCGGACCTTTTCCACATATTATTTTATTGATCCAAGAATTATGATGTCATGCAAGTAGATGCAATTGATAATTCATAAGATTACTTTCATGAGAAAATTAACTTGAGCCTAATTGATCTAACGGAACGTCGTGTAGTTTCAGAAAATCCCTTAAGAGCGATTCTACTCCTATCTTTACATCAATTCATTATCAAAATTTCATAACTATTAGCAATTCCTGAAATGTGGAGTGACGATACTAAAAAATCTTAAATTATTATATCACAATCAGGTTCAACAATTAGTTACTGATAAGAGAATAATTGTAATCAATTGAGATAAAATAATAAGTGTACGTTTATGGATATGAATTAGTTTCAATTTTCATCCGAGGCAACTTCAAAAGTTTAGTACAAGACAATAAAATGTTGATTGTTTATCATATCCCCTAATTTATAATTACAACCAAAATAATTAAGAAAATAAAGTTTTTAGTAAAAAAGGGATAATCAATAGGGAAAGCACTTAGGATTAGCCATAATTTTACAAATTTTATGCGTTTACAGTGACTTCTTCATATTACTTCAAATAATATATAAAGAGGTCAATATCTCCATCAAATTCTACTTCCATTTTTCAATCTATAACGAATATCCATATTCACACTAACAAACAACAAAAACTAACTAAAGAAGCTTATTATAAAAAAAATGTACGGTCAAATTGAATCTCAACAACCAGTTCAATCAGTTGATGCTGCTGAAAGACAAAAACAAAGACAACAAGCTGCTAAAAAATATTAAATGCCTTCAGTTTGATACTTCAAGTTGCATATATTAGCTATTAGGGAGTTTTATCTTTTGACAAGTATATCAATTATATACTAGAATACATATTTTTTTATTATTAGAATCATGGACTTAGACTCGTTTGTCTCTTCTCATTCCTTCTTCGTTTCAGGGGTTGTAAATCTAGATTAATTTTTTTTGCAACTAAATAACCTTCATAATTGTTTAATATAGCTCATTTTTCATGAGTAAGTCTATGCAACGAAGCTTACTCCTTTCACCATATTCTAGTATAAATGAAACAATGTAGGCCAAAGTTTAATCAATTTTTTGGAAAGTATAATTAATTGCCTATATCAATAGACCAATTAACTTTTTATTACAAATATGCCAAAACATTATCCAGAAGATTCTGTACAAAGAAAAGCTAGACAAACAGCAGTGGATACTCAAGCTCATGTATTAGAACAAAGAGCTATGGATGATGAAAGATTAGAACAAGTTGCAAGAGATAAAGCTAATTGGGAATCGTCTCAAAAGTTTAGTGATTCAAAAGACAAGTAATTGAAAAAGAAGAGGAAAATGTTGAGTATATAGGATATATATAGGTATTTATGAATCAATTAATTCATTTGATTTATCATCCATCATTCATGAATTTCTAACAGTTTACTTGTATTATTGAGTCAAATTTATATCTCCCTCTTTCATTCTTTATTGATGATGCTTCAAGTCAAAGATGGCTAATCAGTGATACTTTACTTTCTTTATTGGATTGAACGGGTATATTATTGATATCATCCTTGCCCAATAGAATATAAGATTTATTATGTTTAAAATTGTTTTCTAAATTTGAATTGTTTAATTAACTTTTTTACTTTCTAAAGGATTGATAATATAAATCTTGGTGGGTGTTTTCTAATAAATTTTTGCAACCAATTATAATTAACCAACTGGAAAGTTTAATGTTTATTTTTACATACCTTTTATAAGTAAATTTATTCAGAAAAGTTTACCCCTTTGACTAGAAAACAAGTATAAATAAAGGAGCAATGTATTAAGTTGGCAGACTTCAATTTTACATTTAAAAAGGTACAACTAACCAACTATTATATCAATAAAAAAAGTAACATTTAATTCAATACAAAAATGCCAAAACAATATTCACAAGATTCTGAACAAGGAAGAGCAAGACAATCTGCAATGGATATTCAAGCTCATGTATTAGGACAAAGAGCAATGGCTGAAGGTAGAGCTGAACAAAGTGCAAGAGATAAGGCTAATCATGGATCTTCTCAAAAATCTGGTGGTTCTAATAATAAGTAAATTAAGAGAAATAATTGTTGAGTATATGGTATGATATATATAGGTGTTTTTAAATCAATAAATCTGGTTTATAATGCATAATTTATGAATTTCTAACAATTTATTTGTATTACTTCTTGTGTTAAATTTATCCTTCCTTTGTTATTCTTCGTAGATGATATTATAAAAGCGCTTAATTTACCACCTTTATCACAACCAGAATCTAAACCTTTTGTATATTTTTTTAATTTTAAACCTCTTCTTGCATCATGTCCATACAATACAATATTATTAGCTGGATAAGCTCCATTTTTTGAATTATATATTTTTGACCAACTTTTTGAATTTGGAGTATCTGAATCAGAAGTAGTTTCATTATAATATGGACCAACCAAGTCTCTCATTTCTAAATTATCTACAGGATTTTGTTCTTCCAAAGTTAAATCTGGTCTCACACCTGCATGAACAGCAATACCTGGAGCATTTTTTTCATTTGTTAAAGGAACTGGACCTAATTCTTTTATAATTGAACAATTGTTTATATATTCAACATGTTTAGGTTGTAATTTTTTTGCAAATATAAATTCAGGATCATTATTAAAAGATTCTTTGATCCTAAATGATGAAATATTATTATTTAAAAAAGTAGGTTGATCTAACATATGAAATGTAGCATAATTTTGTAATAAATAAAATTCATGATTTCCCATTATACAACTAACTTTATTATCAATTAAATAATCTAACATTTTAAAATTATCTGGCCCTTTAGTTACAAAATCTCCTAATACTAGTAATTCATCCTTTTTGGGATTGTAACTGGCTTTCTTCAAGAGTTTTCTAAATTCATTATAATGTCCATGAATATCTCCAATCATTATTAATCTATTAATATGTGATTTATCTTGGTGTGGTAAAACAGAAACATTTAATTCTGAAATATGAATAATTGGTTTTAATGGTATACCTTTCGGTATATAATAATTTGGCAAAAAAATTGTAAAAAATAGTAGTACTGTTAAAGTAAATATTCCTATGATTGTATAAATTATTATTTTAGTTCTTGATGACCATGAATTTTGATAATTATATTCTTCACCTATTAATTGCTCTTCGTCATTATATTTTGGTATATTTCCATTTAATGGTGTGTTTTCACTCATATTGGTACAGCCCGTGTAATATCAAACCTATAATATTGAAAAGTTTTACTGTTTGGAATGATTTAGATGATGATGAATGGCAATTAAAGTGGTTACATATTTAAAAAAATTTTATTTTTATTAAATTAAATTTTAAGTTACACAAAATATACAAATACGACACACACACATGGTAACAGAATAATTTATAGAACAATCTACAGAATGTTTATCATTTAATCAATCATACATAATTACGATAGAATTACTAACCATTTCTATATCAGACCTACACAAACAATGATGATATCTTGATCTAGATTTGTTCAGTCATACCGATTTATCCTCAAGTGCTTCATTCAATGAATGATTTAAGAAACCGACTAATTGCTTTGCAATGAAGTTTATGAGATCATGAGACAAGACAATGAATTCAAATACGGTGTTTGAATCATTCAGATTTAGGATATGCATGATGATGCAAGATTTACAATATCAAATTTTAGTCGTTCCAAAGATTGGTCACTAACATATGGATGATGATAAAAAGGTGATTGCAACTGATGAATCACCTAATGATCAATAGTAAGGAAGATGAACAAGGTAAATAATTAACGGCGTTGAAATTTGTTTACATATGTTTATGTAATCTATAGAACTGTATTGATGACAGTATGTTCTGATATAAGATAGACTTGTTGATAATATTAGTTGCTGATAAAGTCAAGTTGAAACTGGAAACTTTCTACTTCAAATCTAATCCAGAGGATTTCAGCAACTTCAAATAATAATTTGAATCCACAATAATCAAAATCCAACACCGATAGGCTTTTGAACATATTGCTTGCGACAGTATCGAATTCATACGTAGGATTTTTTATGAATGTATGTACATAAGAGTTGTTCTTATACATGAAAGTTTTTTCACTCATTATTTTCACTCTGATTTTTAAACTTTCCGGATCTGGCTCAAACAACTTTGTAATCCTATCCTAGTAAGGTTCAACATCATGGAATAAGCAATAATTTTCCTGAAAATATTCGGTATATAACTAATATAAGTGTGGCATGATCTTGAAATTTTCGGCATCTCCTGCTAAATTAGTTATATATTCAACCTCAAATGCTATCTCTGAGTTTACTGCTTCAACTTCTATAACTTCTGCTTCATTGGGAATCAAATTGTTTTCTTCCGAACCACTTGTCATCTTTCAAGTGGTTTTGGAAGAAAGATGAACAAGTGGTTCCAGAAGAGAACAAATTGATTCATCTTCTAATTCATCCTCTGATTCATACATTCTTGCAATACTATGAACTACAATGAGAAGATCCAACAGATTTATCTAACTGAAGTCCCACCAAATCGAGCCCACGTCAAATTTAGATGTCAAGTTTGGTAAAGATCAAAAAGATCATGAAACTGGTTCATCAACTGTTGTTAATGCAGATTTCCTTATGTTTATCACCTAAACTTAACTTAGTCATTTAATGTGGACTCAATTTGGTAGGACTTTTGTTAGGCTGTGAGTTTTTTTTATTCAACCTGTTTAATCTTCTCATTGTAGTTTGTAATATTGCAAAAATGTTTTTCAGCAAAGTGATAAACAAATGTTGATTTACAAATTTTGAATTAATTTTTCCGAAAAAATTTTATGTTCAAAGATTTTAATGAAATAAATTTTGCTTTTTGATTGCTTAACCCTAAATTTTGAAAATCATTTTGCACATTTCTTTATTTGAATTTCCAAATTTGAAATTGTACAATTTTGTTTTTGAATATTAAAAATTAACTTTGCACAATCTTGTTTTCACAATCTTGTTTTAGAAAACTCATCTTTCTGCTCTATTTAGTGTAGAATTACGGTGAATGCACGCTTTATTATTCTGAAATTCACCAATTTACTTGATTTATCAACCCATCACTTGAACTTACTCCTAATTTTTTCATTCGATCGTGAATATTCGATTTCGTAGAATCTTTAGTAGAACTTGGTTCTGTAATAAATTGTCATGGTTCATAACTCGGGTAACAAACGTCATTCGTAAATAATTTTTTAGAATTGACGCTTGAATGTTTGTAAGAAATACTAGCATCCAAGCAAAGATACAATGAAAGATAGACGGAGAAGAAGCTAAAAATATGTTGAGATTCAACGAATAAGACAGTGCTGCTCCGTTGATCAAGAGTTTAAAATGAGGATGCTAGAAAATATAATTCAGTTTGAATAAAACCCAATAAATATAAGTCATTTGTGTAGAAAGATGAACAAGTGAAAATGTAAAAGCCAGTTGATATTTTGAAGAACTTAATATAGAAAGTAAATTGATCTTATCGATGGGAGAAATAAAATGAAATCAGAAGTAAGATGTAAAGATTGGTGTATCATTCAACAATTCAACCACCACCGACTCCCTCTGGTCTTTCAACTTCTTTCTGTATAACCAAGTCTCTTTTCAATAGTTCCCTCAAATCTTCACCAATTTCATCAGACACATTGGTCGTTTCATAAGGATCAGCTCCAATTTTTTGTAAACTATTATCTCTATCAATAATATTTAACATTCTTTTAAATTTTAAGAATAAAATTTCTGATCTTATTAATAAAGGATTTAATTGTAAATGACCCAGTAAATCATTAAAATATTTTAAAACTTCATCAAATTGTTTTAAATTTTGTACTACTATTCTTTCATTATCACTTAATATTCCTAAAGCAAAAAATAAATGAAATTGTGATGAATAATAATCAGTCCATAAAATTTCCCATAATCTATTTACTTGTTCCCAATTTAATTCTCTTTTAAACCATACTAATAACATTCTAAAAAAGAAAAATAAATCATTTGATTGACATGATTCTAAATGTTTATATAAATTAGGTAATGTAAATTGTAATAATTTATTTAATGTATTCATTTGTTTTTTCATACCACTTTGATCTCTTAAAAAATTTCTTTCCATTCTTATCATAAAATTAGAAAATGCCCAAAAAGTTAAAACTTCATCTTGAAAAACAACATATAATGGTGATAAAAGATCAGTCATACCTTGAACATAACCTAAATTAGTATTATATTCATTAAACGTTAATAAAATTTCTCTCATTTTAAATAAATGTTCATTTCTTATGTTTGAAACATCAAATTGATCATCTTCTTCTAATAATTCTCCACCAACGGGGTTTTTAAAAATTTCAATTCCTCTATCTGTTCTTTGTACATCTTTTTCAATTCTAAATTTTTGATCTTTCCAAAATTCAGTATTTCTTTTATCTTCATCATTTACCCATTTTAATTTTAATTCTTCATATCTTGTTGCATAAGATTTATTTAAAATTTCTCTTTCTTCTGTTGATGAATCCCATGGATATACATTTAATAAAAATAACCATGCTTCTTTTCTAACTTCTGGTGCTAATCCACCATGAAATATTCTACTTTTAACTTCTTCAACTGTTATACATAATCTTCCAGAATGATCAAAAAATCCTTGCCATTCTTGTATACTTATTTCTTCTCTTCTTGAAGTACGATTTATTTCTTCTTGAGTTAAAATTTCTTCTGAACCTAATTCTTTATTTAATTTATTATAAATATCATCATCTAACATATATTTTTGAGAACTTAATTCTGCTTCTTCTTTAACTTGTTGAGCCCATTTAGCTAAATATATTCTTGCTGAATCAAATTCATCACCAATTTTAGTTACTTCTGGTTGATATATTATTTCCTTGATTGGAGCTGGTGCATTATCTTCAATTAAATCTAATACTTGATTCTTAGTTCTTGCTGAAAATGTAGCAACTGTTTCTAAAACTTTCCATTTAGCAGTTGTAAAAATTTTATTAACATCAGGTAATTTAAATACATCATTATTTGGTTTTGGTTGTTCAGGTTTTTTTTTGAAAGGTGCAAAATTTCTTAAATCATCTGATTCTGGATTTATAAGATATACAGTTGGTTCCAATGAAGATTTTTGAACATTTATTAAAGATTTTAAAACTTTTAAAAAATCAATTGCTCCCCAATATAATTCACCATTATCATCCATACCAAAAGGATTAAATTGTTGATTTTGTAATTTTTGATTTTTAATAGTTGAAGAACTTTCATCATCATGAAAAAACATTATTGGTAATTTTTCACCATCTTGAGTATTTATTATTATACTTCCATACCAATATCCATGACTCGGATTTCTAAATTGTATACTATAAATATATGATAATGTAGTTGTAAAAGAATATGAACTTAATATGGATGCACTAGGTTTAGGAACAATTCTATTTAATGGTGCTTTACCTTGTTTATTATATTTTAAAGATGCTAAATTTAAATCAACTTGTTCAACATCAATCTTATTATATGTATCTATTTCTTCTTTACTTAACGTATTTTCTGGAGAATATGATAATATAATATCTAAATTTGTAGAATTGGAAGTTCTTGAAAGTGTAAGGAATCCAGGTACATTATCCTTTTTCGATGGTGTTGGATGTAAATAAACTTTTGATTTGACGAATAATAATTCTACTTCACCTTGATGTAATATTCTTTTCGCTGATAATGACATTGATTTTGATGATTATGATAGTTGTTAACTTCTAAATATATGATTTCGGAAATTAGATCGATAAAGAAATCGCAGTTTATTTGGTAGCCCTGAATATTGAAATTAAGGGGGTATTATTATCATGAAATTAACAAACTCCGCCCATGATAGCACATCTTTTATTCAATCTAAAGCATAATCCAAAAACCTCTCATGCTCGATTATTTCAATTATGATTGAAAAAAGAAAAAGGTATTACAAGCTGAAAACAATTTAGTTATCAGAGCGTTGAGTCCAGTCACCAAGCTTGTTGGGACTGAAATCAAACACGGAAGAGCAAAGGAGAGTTTATTAAGATAAAATTGGGTCTAACGGTTGAATATGAGCAAATCCTGTCCTTGAAATCCAAACACGGTATTTTGAGAAGACTCAAACAAGATAAAAAATTTAGACTAAAAGTACACAAGCAAGTGTAAGACCCTCGAACTTGATTCAAAATCATGTTGATAAATTCGTGATTTATCATTTTTCAAGTATGATAACAAGTTTAGTTGATTGTATAATTTGGGCTCTTTATTGGACATTTGCATTCTTCAGTTATTGCTCCGATTAAGTTTCAGATATAAAATTGGTATAATTAAACAATTTTTGTGTTCCATACTACTCGTACACAAAATCTAATATTTAAAACAATCATAGACTCAAAAATGTTTGAGATTCAAGCACACTTCGTTTCCATATTCATGAAACAAAACTTGGACGATAATTGTAAAATTAGATCCCACTTATTGACTTTTTGACTCCTTAAAACTAAAAATAAATACAAGCTTACCAAAATAACAATTTTGCAGTTCAAATCGGACTTGATACAAACTGTAAACAAATTTATAATTTTGTTTTTGTACAACAAGTTGCAAACTCATAATAATTCAAATCATATACATTTTCGAATATTATTCAATGAAAGAATTGAGTTCAAAGTAAGCAAAATTTAGTTGTTGATTGATATCTTAACCAATTTGAGAATTTTAATTGGCTATTAATGAAGACTTTTGTTGCTCAGTGCTCCTAAAATTTACATCCTTATTGTATTATTTCTCTTTCATTTACGAAAAAATTAAGGTCATCAATTTTTATTGAAGTCTTATATGAAATTAACTTAATATCTTCAGTTTTGAAGAAATTGCAAAAGTTTCCTTCTTCAATATCCAACCGTTCAATTCAATTACTATATGTAAAAACAACTCTAGATCCAGTACATGTAGAAGACAATCTATAGTATATACGTAAAGCAATTCAATTAAAAATGAATAAACCGACTACGACTTTAATAAATTTAATTGTATCTTGAAAAGAAAAAACACCATCCAAATTTTAGATAAGTCATTGGCATTCAACTTCGGTCAATGTGTTTTTCAAACGCCTCGAGAAGTAACTCACTAATTAACTCGTCCAACTAAAAACTAAAATATCTACTTACTCACCCTAATCACAAAATAAAATAAATTTATAAAATCAAAACAAATCTCGATAGAGAGAAAAAAAATAAAATAAAAAGTCAAAACAAATTCCCCAATTTTTTTTTTTTTAATAAACAACAACTTTTTCATAACTTATACAAGTCATATCAGTTAGATTCAAAGAATAAATAATTATATCATTCAACTTACTCTTCATCAAACGAATTAATAATATCAATTGCAAAAATGTCAACCGCCACTGCTGCTCCTTCTAAAACTTATAAAGGTATGTTTATCAAATAATCATGTTTTTTTTAAAATTATCAATAATTGTTCATGAACCTCAATCGGGACAAAGTTCTTTACAAATTATGAATAAATGGTTCTATATTCACAAGGCGATGGTAAAATGGAACGATAAATTTCAATGGCAAATTACTGGTCATACGCGTTATTTTTTTTTAGGATACTGATAACATTTGTTTAGATATGGTTGTTTACATGTTACAAAAGTGAATATCTAGAACAATGATAACACCATGATGAATAAAGATACTAACAATGATTAGAAATGATTACTGAAGCCATCATTACTTTAAAAGAACGTAATGGATCTTCAAGACAATCATTAAAAAAATATGTTCAATCAAATAATGATGTTAAAGCAAATTTTGAATCAAATTTTAATTCTGCTTTACGTAAAGGTGTAACTAATGGAGATTTTATTCAACCAAAAGGTCCATCTGGTCCAGTTAAATTGAATAAAGAAAAAATTGCAAGTGAAAAAAAACCAACTACTAAAAAAGTAACTAAACCAACAACTGAAGCAAAACCAAAATCAACAAAAGCTGCTGCTACTACTACTAAAAAATCAACTACTTCAAAATCTAAAAAAGCTACTGCCGCTGCTACTGCTGATGCTGAAGCTGAAGCTCCTGCCGCTAAGAAAGTTACTAAAAAAGCTGCTCCTAAAAAAGCAGCTCCAAAAAAAGTAACTAAAAAAGCTGCTGCTAAACCAAAAAAATAAATATTGAAATTTTATATTGGTTAAGTTGAAATTTTCTTCAAATTTTTTTATACCCATTAATATTTTGTTTCTTCAGTTGTTTTTATTACTAATAATTTTGTTTTGTTTAAAATTTTTTTATATAATCATTTTTACTTTGCCAATGAATGTTGTGTTGTTAAGTTCTAATTTTACATTGTAGTAGATTGAAAATTGAACAAATTCCAACTATTGAAGCGTTTGACAATTTTTGCAATTCATGAAGGTAGCAGTCAATACTTTATGATATTTTGCGTGAAAATCTAACACAATTGTACCTTTTGACTCAAACATGCAAAAAGGAAATAAATTAATGGAAACACAAAACTTTGCAGTAAATTGAACCCATTTTTGAATTCCGATGTCTTGAAAAACTAGTTAAATGTTGCATTGGATTTTGATATTGTTTCATAATGGTGACTTAAAGTTAATTCAAATTTAGAACACCAAACGGGGATTTTTTCTTTTGCGTCATGAACTCCGAAGTCTCAATTTGAATAAACCCCCACAAGTAATGTGCTCGAGTTTGGTACATCTAAAACTAAATATACAAACAAGCCAATAGGAAATTCAAAACTTATTCAAAATCTTCATATTCAAGTTTTTATGTATTAGGTGTCCTACTCTTCCTTTTTTTAGATGACGTACTACAGTTTGTCTTTTCAGTTGTTGTACATATGGAATGAAAATCTAAAAGTCGATAGGTACTTTTTTTTTCACAATAAATTCATGATAATGTCAGTTATTGAACAATGGTGGATAAAGTTTAATTGAAATTTTTATGGTGGTTTGAATTAGTCATATAGATAAACCTGATAAGTGATACCGTAATACTTTGAAAAAAACTTGAAATGATTGTTCTACGGTGTTTCAGATTTTTATTATAATTCTTCTTTGTGTAACCTTACTAACAATACATCGTATTTCTATTTTGTGTTACATATTATATCACAAGACATTCCAAGTAGGATTTCTACCTATCTTCATTCTGCTTATCTGATAAGAAGTTAAAGGAGATGTAACAGGAATAAAGCTTCAAGCCCCCGTTTATTTGAAATAGATTCAACAATAAAGAACAGGAAGACGTTGAAATTGTTTAAAAGTATATACTAATTTTGTTAAGAAAGCGAAGATGAACGATCTAAGTTTGAGTTTGAACAAACGAACATGTAGTTGATTACATTTCACAATGTGTTACTCCCACAAGGCTGAATATTCTTGTATTTTAGGCAATAACACATTCACTAATTAGTATATTTAATCAAAGTACATATGTGTGTTTACACCTCCTTTTCTTCAAAATTAATTGTTGGCGGATATTATCTTCCTGGGATACACTTAATACAAATGACCCCAACTCAATAGATTTAGTTTATGATCAAGTCTCATTTTCACGTATTATGTACGAGGGAATACACGTATTCCTTCGTTGTTTGTTTTGTAGGGTAGGTTCTAAAGTCCTATATCTCTTTGACCACTCAAATCCAACCTTATTTCATCATAAGCTTCGAATGCACCATGAGAAATAGCCATTTCGATGAACTTCATCAGCTTTTTTTAGTTCAACTGATCTGAATATAAATTTATTCTTTCCAGAGTCATCAGGGATGTGTGTGAAAGGTTGATTTCTTTTCTAAAATTATTTACATTATTACATTACTTATTAAATTTAAACTTGTAAACTAGTATGAGACTATTGCCTAGTTATCATATAATTCAAACTTTATATTCATTAATTAATTACAATTTTTCAAGGACATACTTCTTTTTCTTCCCAATGTAATTCATCATTTAATTCATAAATAAATCTTTTATCTTTATCTTGTTCAAAATAATCAACATAATTTATAAATAAACCAACAACAACAAAATTTTTAAAACCATCATCATCTTTTTTACCATCAACACCTCTTTGAATTTTTGAAATTAATTTTAAATTATCATCATTCATTTCCAGTTTTGGATAAGGTTTTCTAAATGATGTTTTCATTGTTTTTGATAAATCATTCCAATTTCTTTTTAATTCTTCTTCCCATTCTTTATTTGTTGGTGGGATTAAGTTATGCACGTTATCTATATGTGAATCTTCTTGTTCTTGATTATCTTCTTGCGGTTTTTGATCTACATGAGATGGTGATAGTAACGATGATTGAATTGAATTATTTTGAATATTTGAATCTTTATTAGATGAATCGTTATTGTTAGTACTATTATTTCCATTAATATGACTTAAATCAATATTTGGTATATGTTCATTATCAATGATTTTTGCAACTCCTCTTAATCTAAATTGTTTTCTAATATGACTAAACCAAAATACTGCTTCAATTTTATCATCTAATAATAATTCTTGATATTTTTCCATTCTTTTATCAGTTGTAAAAATTAAAACATTTGAAGATTTATTATTAAATAACCAACCTCTATATATTAAAGTTCTATTTTTGGGATATCCTGATTTTTTATCGATTGTAGCTAATTGAAAAGTTGTAAAAGGTGGTTTATGATCTGTTGCTGTTAATTCTCCATTAACACAATTATTAAATATGGGAACCCATGGAGCTTGATAATTATATTGAACCATTTTGGTTATGATGGATTTAATGGAATGATTAATTGTGTTTGAAATATGATCTCTTTTATTTAAAGCACTATTTATATGATTTGATACTCAGGGGGTGTATATGCTTTGGTATACAGTTGCTACCGTTAACTTATATTAAAGTTTAAATGCTATAGTAATTAATGGTCGTATGATGATTAAATTGTAATGTAAAGTTGATCTCTTTTTTAAATCGTAAAAAAAAATTAGAAAAATATTTCCGAACTTAACAAGCTTCAAAAAGAAGAAGAAGAAGAAGTGTCGGGAATTATAATTAATTAGTGGTAAGTTACACTAAATAAATTAGCGAGAGCAGAAACCACGTGGCTAAAGCATAGCTTAGAGTCGAGTTGGTGTACGCTTGAAATTGAGAAGACAACTTGTCCAAAAGTACAGGTTTAGTTGAATGGATACTACCTAGACTTATTGAGATAAAACTAAATCAAATTTTGAAATGATTTGGTTGATTTTTTCAAAAGATAAACCAAGAGTAAATTTATGAAATCGTATTCTCGGAACTGTAACCGAATTAAGAAAAAACTCGGATTTAAAACAAAAACCAATCTCACAATAATCTATACACTTAGTCTACTCTTTGCTAAGGAGAAACAAACTTATCACTAATACAGGTTTGCTGAAATCCATATTCACAAAGTTGAATCAACAAATTAAAGTCCTTACGTGTCTAATGAACTAAGTATCGAACAAAAGCGGGTAAATTTACTTGTTCCGATGTTAATAATCCATATATTTCTTCTAGTTGGTATATATACGAATGGTTGTGAATAAAGGGAATTTTATTCACAGCCATTCGTATATAGATAAGATGATGAAGAAGTTAAATCAGCAAAGAAGCCAATTTTAGATAATAACAACAACATCAAACTTTCTCAACATGAATTGGAAGAATTAACAAAAGCTAATCATGATTATAGACTGGTCAAGTTTGATTTTGAAAGTTCTTCTTAATTGCAGCTTTCCCTTTCTCCAGCTCATCCCTTACAATTTTATCTGAAATTAATCTCTTAGTAGGCTTAGTAACCTTACTAACACGATGGCATCAATTCATCACTTTCACTTAAAATGTAGACATCAGCGGTCTTTAAAGACCTTCTCGACCATTCAAATATCTCTTTCTCTTACGAAGTACCGTTTTATGGAGTTTCTTGGGGTTAGTTAATTATTATAGGTCATTAATTACATATCAGTAATTAATGACCTATAATAATTAACTAACCTTAAGAAACTCTCTAACCTCTTTTGAACTTCTAGCAAAAGATAATTCTTTAAAGCATCCACTTGACCTTTAATAATTGACAGAATTGCTCAAATAAGCTGTAAGTTTGAATTTGCCATACAATAGAATGGCTCAGTATATTATTTGCCTTATAATATACTTAACAACTCTATTGTAAGGCAAATTCAAACTTACAGTAGGAACTTCAAAGCAGACATATAATTTTGTTTGGAAAATTTGTTTAGGGTTTTTGATAGTTCTGCTTATGACTTTTTGTTTAGATTTTTTGATGCCCAGATTCAATATATTACAGGTTTGACCATATCCTAGATCGGCATCCCAATTTTACTAAAAACATTGAATAAATTTGAGTTTTGATTGATTGATTTTTGAAGATAGTGAAGCTTGTATACTATGGTGGTAGCTGACATTGTAGATTGTTGTAGCATCAATCATCTATTAGTGAGATCAACATAAGACAAAAATCATGTATAAACAATGGAATTTCTTAATAGTGGTTGATTAAGTAACACCCATTTATTTATTGTTAAATTCTTACAATATTTGTGTGAATTTTACAAGTGTCAATTGGTTTCTGGTTATTCGGTGTTGTCTTGTTCAATGAAAATTTTCCATGTGGAAAAATTTTTATTTCTACTTACCAAATTTCATGGTACAAATTCAGCAATTTACATTCATCTAAAACACTTCGGTAAAAAAGGTTGTCGTGAAACAGTGTCCTTTGACATTACCAATAAGACATTTAATCTCTCTAATAGATTTACGACATGCTCAAAATCTAAAAATATTGTCATCTTCACCAGATACAAATTGATCAATTGAATTGATTCACTTTCAAATTACAAATATTAAGTTCCACTCCTTCACTAATTTTTGAGAAAAATAACAACACTTCTCCCATCCCTTTTATTAATTCACCAAATTATATCAAAACTACATTTCCAAACACAATGCCAATTAGATTTATAATAGATAAAAGAGATGAAGGATCAAGAATTCTAGCTATAAATTGTTTTTTATTAGAAAAAGCATCATATTATAATAAAGTTATATATTTAACAGATGAAATAAATAAAGAAGAATTATCTTACCCCATACATTCAGAATTTAAAACGGAAATTATAACTAAAGACTTGTTTAAATATTTAACTGAAAAATTATCAAATAATAATAGTGATGGATATTTAGAAATAAAATCAATAGAAAGTAATAGTGAGTCTAATAGCGAAGATGATTTACTCAAGAATAAATTAATTATAAAAAATCTTAGATTTAAAGAAATTGAAATTTATATGAATGAATCAACTTATCAAACATTACCAAATTTTAAAAAAAATTATAATATAACAATAAAAAAATTAAAAAATTCATCAATTGGAGGTGGTAAAAATAATTTAAAATCAGTAAATTATAAAATAAGTTTTTTATCAAATATAGAAGAATTTGAAGATATTTTAAATATTGTATTTCCTCCAGAACAACAATATTTTGTTCAATTATATAACAAAAGTAATGCACCAGTTGAAGTAAAACAAGATATAACTTACCTAAATAATTTAAATTTTATAATAAATCAAATTGAAAAAATAAGTGAAGATGATACTGATTCAGAATTAATTGAAATTTATGAAGAATTAACAATAGATATAAATTCAAACGACCAAAATAGAATAAAAAATTTTGAAAAAATTGAATACAAAAGATTTGAAATGGAAAATATTTTTTCAGTAAGTTTAATTGATAATTGGATAAATTATCCAATTATAAATTTTCAATCTGATAATTATCAATTATTATGTTTATTTAAAAATGAAAAAAGTTATATTTTTGAAGTTACTAGTTGAAACTACTGTAAATATATAAATAAATAAATAAACATATGAAACGAAATAAATGAATGAAATAAATGAAATGAAATAATAAGTTACTAAATTAACTATATACAATTTAATATCACATAATCTATATACATAAATACATAATAATAATAATCTTCATTAGATCTATTACTTATAAGTTTTCTTAAAAATTGAATTATAATTATGAAAAATCTTTTAATAATTCATCAAGTGGAAAATTTTCAAACATATCTTTATCATTAAAATAATTATTAAAATCTACTTGAAATTGTTGTGGAATTAAACCATTAGGACCAGCCTGAGATTGTGATTGATTAGGATCTTGTTGTGTTTGTTGTTGTTGATTTTGATTTTGATTCAAAGGTGATTGTTGTTGTTGAGTTTGATAATTATAACTTGGAGGACTATAAGATAAATTATTTATAAAATTTGAAGGAGTTATTGGATTTATAATTGAATTCATTGTATTATTTACTTGATCATTATATTTTAAGTTACTACTCAAGTTGGTATTATTAAAATTTGAATTTAAATTAAAATTAAAATTATTATCATTTTTTAAATTCATCATTTGTAACCATATACTATCTATTTGATCATTTGGTCTATGATATTCATTATCTGAACTATTACCAGAACTTGTTGAATTTCTATGATTTAAATTTTGATTGTTATTATAATTCAAATTATTTAAATTATTATTCTTATTTTCTGGTTCAAAATTTAATTTATCTAATTTATATTGTTTTTTAATTTTATTAACTTGTAAAATAGATTTTTCAAAAATATATTCTAATTGTTCCAACATTTCATTATTTAAAATTTGATCTTTAAAGCTAGCATTAGTAGGTTGATAATTTTTAAAAAATTCATCATTAAAAGAAGTTCTTAAAAAATTTTGAGCTTTTGTTATTCTCCATGCATAATAATATCTATAACTTAATTTTGCAATACCATTTCTAAAAATATCAATACTTTTTAAAATTAAATTTTCTAAATTTATTAATTTTTGAAAATGTAATTTATACAGATTATCTTGTTCATCATTTGATCTTAATTTTGTATTATGATTATATTTTTTTTCTAAATTACAAATCCAAAATTTAATTCTTAAATAAAATGATGTTAATACTATAACTGATTTATGAGCAGCTGTTAAAAAACTTGGTGTAGCAATTAAATCAATTGAACTTTTAAACATATTTTTTTTATGATTTATACATTCAACAAAAAATGGCATAACATCATATATTATTATACTAATCATTTTTTTTAAATAATAAAATGATAATTTTAAATTTTTCCTCTTTTCATAAAAATTAAAAAGATATAAATATATCAGTACTAAAAAAAAATTTCCAGTAAAATATATTTTAAGTTTTATTGTAGATGGCATTAAAATATTTGTTGAATTTGAATTTTCATCATTTAATGAATTACCATATTTTAAAGTTAAATTATTATGTTTTTCTTTAAAATGTAATTCCATATGATTTAATCTCTTGGTTAATTCAATCATATTTATTGAATTTTTTATTGAAAAAATTGTATTAAAAGTTTCTGACATTGGTTCATAAGTATTATCAAAATTGGGGAAACATCCACATGCAACTTTTTCAATTTCAATATCTAAAACATTTTCATTTCCTGGTCTATAAAATGGAGGTTTTGTATCAAATGAATTAAAATTTATTGTACATGGTGATCCATTAGCCATTGAATTATTCATATCTTGAATTAATAAATAATACCAAATTTTTCTACCTAAATTATCTAATCTATCATCATTACCACTAGTATCATTATTTTTAAATTTATCTGGTTCTCTATGTAAACCAATTGACATTGCCATTTGAATTAATGTTGCATTAAATATTTGTGCATCTCCTCCATCTATACCATCACCTGCTTCTGGAGCATAATAATTATATAATCTAAATAATAAAGCTAATTGTAATAAAGTTAAATTTGAACCTCTCATTATATTAAATTGATCTAAACATAATTTTGCAACATTTATAACATCTAAATTTATTGGATTATTTAATAAAAATTTAATTTGTTGTTTTGATGGATCATTAGTTTGAAAATTTATTTCATTTATTGATGAATCTTGTGAAAATAATGATATATAACTAAATCTTAATATAATTAATAATATACCTAAATTTGCAAAATCTAATTTTTTGGTAATTTTAACATTAACTTCATTATTTTGATAATTTTCTTTACCTATTAATTTTTCTAATTCAGATTTTAAAATCATTTGATCTATAACTGGCATTGCAACATATAAATGACTAAAAAATCTTTTAAATAATATCCATATAACTTTTTGTTTTGGTAATACTAATCTTATTTTTTCAACTAATTCAACTTCTGTATCTAAACCACCTTTATAAAATGATAATCCTAAACACATTGCTTTTTCATTTAATTTAGATTGACTCATTATTAATTTTGATTTGATTGGTTTATTTATATTATCAAATTCTGTAAAAGGTTTTACATCATTATTACCTTCATCATCATAAGCTTTTTCACTAAAATCTTTATCAACTTGAGCACTTTGATCAGTAATTTGAAATCCATGAACAAAACCTCTTTCTTTCATTTGTTTTTTTAAATTTGCCATTTCACTCCAAACAGAATTTATTGCTGAATCAATTTTTAATAAAGTTACCCAATTTAATGGTCCATAATTTTTTTTTCTAAATTGTTCTTTTGAATTTGTTGGATTATAACCTTCAAAAAAATTAAACCAATCATTTTCTGATTCATAAGGATTATGACCTAATAAATCTTGAGGATCTAATTTATTAATTAATATATCTTTATTTGAATAATTATTTGAATTAGGACTAATTTGATTTGTATTTGAATTATTAAATGGTGAAGTATTTGAAGAATTTTGTTGACTTTGAGTTTGAATTTGAAATTTTTCTTCTAAATCTTGTAATTTTTGTTTTAAAAATGATAATTCATCTGATACTGGTTGTGGGATTGTAGATGATGTTGTTGGATGTGATGGTTCATATTCTTCTGGAATATCATAATCATTATCATTATTGACCTCCTCATTATTACCAATTTCATTTTCATTTGATAAAGTTGTTGTTCTTGATAATGAATTTGAAAAAATAGATCCAACACGACTTCCATTACTATTTAAAGTACTTATAGTTGAATTACTTGGTATTCTTGATCTTTGAGTACCATTATTTTCAAATACAAATTCATTATCCTGTTTTTCAGTATTACTATTTGTGGTAATTGATGATGTTGGAAAATCTGAATAAATACATGGAGATTTTTTATACTTGACACAAGTTGAACAAGGATTACCTAAATCACATTTTACTTTCCTTTTCCTACAAAAGTCACAAACTTTAACTGTTCTTGCTCTAATTTTACCCATTCAAAAAAATTAAAATGAAAATGAAATCAAAATTTGATAATAAATAGTTTATTGACTTTTATGAAGAATTAGGTGAAGAATTGAATGGGAATTTAATTATAAATAGGAATAGTAGTAGTTAAGACTGAATCAAATGAATCAAAGAATTTTATTACTAATACTTTCTTACTCACTATCTTTCACATTAACTTTATCTCCTCTTCTTCTATCTTAATATTATTTATAATTGTTCTTGCCAATTGTAACTTTACAATGATCTTTGATACTAGATGGTTGTAAATTTTATATTTTGTTCCAATTAAATGTGTATTGTGAAATTAATAATGTGTTGCAAAAAATTTGAACTTTATTTTTGAAATGAAATTGAAAGACACGTTAATATGTATTTATAGTAGACGTGATTTGATTACTTAATAGCAATTGAATTGATTATGAATTGAATCTGATTAAACTTGATTCAAGTATTAAAACAATATTTTGTGTTGAAATTGAATTTGTAATATGAAAATTTATAAATATTGATATCCTCAATGGCAAATAGTTGATACTATATATATATTCCACTAAGTTTAATTTAGTTAGTGATTAATACATAATGTTAGTATATTGTTCTTATTGTATTAGTCCTAATGTTAGTGTTAATAGTTAATAGTACTATTAATATTTTTAGTTATTATACATACATACATACATACATACATAATAGAAAATAAGCTTACGTAATAAATTACATAATATACTAATAAATTAAGTAGTCAAATACGGCTGAGCAATTAATACAGTCAAATCGGAAATTTTTCCTGATTAAATATTTTATTTTTGTGTTTTACGACACCTTAAAAATACGACTTTTGAAATAAATTTATGAAGAAAAAAAATTTTAATTATCAAGAATTGAACTAACAAAAAATCCAGATTTTAAAATAATAAAATCCTGAACTTACATTTTAATTTTCTCGCTTGAGATCTAAAATAAATCAGAAATCTGGGTCGAGAATAATGCGACGACTGAAAAAAAAAAAAATTTTACCGAGAACTATATTTATCCTGATTTCGAAAAAATATTTTGCTCTCTATGCTCAGTATAAAATATTGTGGGTCAAATTTGAAAAGCAAAAAGACTCTCAAAACTAGAACTAGTGAAAAGACCTCTCAAAACGAGAACTATAACAGATAAGGCGATAAAGAAACCAGATATTTTATTGAAAATAAAACTATTTAGTTATGAAATTAACTTGAACCAAAAACTCGATCATTTCGCTATAGAAACTTTTAATTTAATAACTCTTTCACATTTTTAGCAGCACCATCTATTGTTGACTTGGCAAAAGCTCCATCAACAGAGCAAATCATATCATGAATTATTTCATTAACATCATCCAGAGAATTTTCTCTCAAACTCAAATGGTTCAACAGATGCCACAATTCTTCAAGTGGATTCAATGTAGATAAAGGAGGTAACCATATAATATTAAAACCAGTATTTTTAAGTCTTTCCCAAATTTCGTGCTTTTCAACAAAAGTGAACTGATTCATTACAACATTTAGATTCAGCCCAACCAGTTTCTTACCGTCGTTAAGCAAAAAGTCTTCACAAAACTCAATATACTTACCAGCTAATAATGCCACGTCTTCTCTATTAATAGTTTTGTTTTTGTCAAATCTGTATGAAACGAGTGAATACTTTAAAATACCTGATGTATCCATAGCTGCAATCAAAGCTTTATCCCATGTGAGTTCATCATCGTAATGGAAATTATCTGCATCAAAACCAATAAAAACGCAATTCTGACCAAAATCTATGTTGTTGTTTGAGATCCACTTGGCTGCTGAAGTATTTGTGGTGAACATTGTATGTGTTTAATTGATTCGATATTTGATAGGCGATACACTGAATTTCACAATTAGTTGAATACCATGACAGTGACTCCTATTTATCATCCTGTGAAACTCTCACTCCCTACAAACTACTGTTCCTTTCGAGTCTGCATTTGGTAATTTATGTCTTCGTCAACTTAGTTTGTTTTGAAAAAGTAAGGTTTTCGTCAAGTGAAACAAATTTTAAACAAAGTTAATTTTTTTTATCACGGTCTAGCATACTATGGTTTCAAATTTACACAATGAAGAACTCAATAAAAACACCCTCAATCCCGTCTAATGAGATGATTCTGATCTATGTGAAATCACAGATATCAAAATTCAATGTCATATCAGTTTGTTTATCAAGATGGTCTTAATAAATTCATTGATGAAAAAGGGGAACCCACTTTAGATGAAAATGACAAAGCTGACGCACTACCATTGGACTCTATTATTGAATTTGATTTTTATCAAAAGGTGACTCAAGCCGAACTTGAAATGGAAGTTGATGATGAAGAACAGGATGAGGAACAGGATGAAGATAAGGAAGAAAACGATGTTGATATGGTCGATATTACTGAGACAAATAAAGCAAAAGGTGGAAACTCCAATAACGCAAATGGAAGATCAAATCGAAAATACAATGATCTGGACATCACTAGGGTTATAAATCTTTATAATGAAAAACCATTTGTCGCAGCTACCGTTATTGCCCGTGCTGTTAAAGTTGATGAAAGTACCACTAGAAAATGGATCGATAAATACAAAAAGGATGGAACTATACCAACCATAAGATAAAAGGGGAAGACAAAAAAAGGAGTTTAGCCAGGAGCACAAAAACGCAGTAATATCTTTCTTTGATGAAAAGCCTACTGGAACAATTGATGATGCTAGAGAAGAATTGACCAAATTATTTGGGAACCTTGAAGTTGGAAAGACTAGATTGAGAGAGTTCGTTAAAAATGATTGTGCGTTGTCGTTTAAACAAGTTCGTCATGATAGTAGTGCTCGAAACTCGGAAGAAAAATTAGAGTTGAGATGTCAATTTGTAAAAGACGTGATAAATTTGAGAATTAATTATTTGGAATGCATATTTATTGATGAAGCGGGATTTGACATTTCATTACATAGATCTAGAGGCTGGGCTAAAAAAGGGGAAACACCCGTTGCTGTTACACCTCAATTAAAATCTGAAAATAGACTGGTTTTAGGAGCTGTCTGCGCAGAGGGAATTATCTTATTATCATTACGTCCACCAGCAAGTCTGGATAAGAAAAGAAAACTAGATGATGGTTCAGTTTCTAGATCCAAAGGTACAACTACTGGTCATTTTAAAACTTTTATAGATCAGGTTTGCAAAATCTTAAATACAAGGGACGACTTTAAAGGTAGATACTTGGTCATGGATAATGCTAGTATTCACAAAAATGCAAGCATACAACGTATAATTGAGTCACATGGTTTTAAATGCTTGTACTTGTCACCATTTTCACCAGAGTTAAATCCAATTGAACAGGTATGGTCTATGCTCAAAGGAAAAGTTAGAAGGCATACTTTGGAAAAAGACACCTTAAGCAGCCGGATCAAAGAAGCGGCGACACAAATCAAACCATATCAAATAAGAAATTGTATTCAGCATTCAATCAATTGTTTCGAACAATGTTTAAATAAAAGACCTCTTTAGTTTAATAAGATATAATTTTTCTATCTTTATTCCCATCTTGCTTTTTAATTTTGTTTAGTAGTTTGCATAATGTATCTTTCAACAGAGAAGATAGAGATTTAAGCATTCTTGATATTTTTGAAATCACCGTTTGCATTTCATCGAGTTAATTACTAGCAACAAAATGAAGAATAATTTATTCCCGTTATTTCAGCAAATTTTTGTTTTGAGAGGTCTTTTACTTACCTATTTGACCTCAGATCTGACCCACAATATTTTATTCTGTACAAAGAGTGTAAAATATTTACTCGTAATCAGGATAAATATAGTTCTCGGTAAAATTTTTTTTTTTTTCAGTCGTCGCATTATTCTCGACCCAGATTTCTGATTTATTTTAGATCTCAAGCGAGAAAATTAAAATGTAAGTTCAGGATTTTATTATTTTAAAATCTGGATTTTTTGTTAGTTCAATTCTTGATAATTAAAATTTTTTTTCTTCATAAATTTATTTCAAAAGTCGTATTTTTAAGGTGTCGTAAAACACAAAAATAAAATATTTAATCAGGAAAAATTTCCGATTTGACTGTATCATAATATATCAAATATCTCCTATTTCTAATAACAAAACAACATCAACTTTCAAAATACACAGTCTAATAACAACGACTGATGAGAGTAGGGGATAAGCTTTTACTCAATATACATGTTACTCACTCAATCGAAAGATTACTAATATCAATTAGTAATATTATTTGTTATACATTTTCATAGTTGTATGTAAAAAAAGATTCGTTTCTTTTATAAAAACCCTGGTCTATAATCCATATTTTATGTTTCATGTATTAACACTTCCATGGTCTTAAAATTCTGAAAGATTTACGAGTTTATCTATTATTTCTTGCAAAGCCATTTTAATCTTCAAAATGCCATATGGTTGTTATCAACTATCTATTTGGGTAAAATCATTAACCATCTTTAATATGTTTGAATGACTTATGTTTTTAATTTGTTTATATCCATATATTGAAAGTGAGAAAAGCTCGGATTTAAGAATGAACAATACTTTATTACCCATAAGATCTTAATAGATTAAAATATGGGTGCTCTATGTTTAGAGCGGAATAATTTACTTGATTCAATTTAGTCTATATTGTATTATTGAAAATATTAATGACCATAAATTTTGAAATATCAGAGTTATAGATCAAACAATATAGATCGTTGCTAACATTTGTTAAACTGTGGTGGGATCTATGCTAAATTCAATTCAATTAACCAAGGTCATTTTCAAAAATTCTAGTGATAATGTTGGTTTCACACCGAGATATATGCAAAAGGCATTTTTGAATGATTCTAATTAATTTACAATTGACGTAAGTCTTACCCTAATTATATTAGCAAAAGACGTTTTATAATAATGTAAAATGTAAATATGTCTAATTACTTATTCAATCTAATCTTCTGTATAATGTATTATCTTTTTATTCTGTTCGATTTCTGATTGATACGATTATGGTTTTGAAATTTGTATAAATTCTTCGTAGAATTAATCAATACACATGTATTATATTGTTCTGTTATTAATTACTAGTAAGAATTTTAGTAAATGTATAACGGACTATATTTATACAGAACTAATACTACATAGCTACACTCCAATTCTTTCGTTTATTTTTATTTCTATTTCTATTAATAGTCCTGGTTCAAATCGTGTTGAATAGCTGGAATATTTATGAAACTCCTATTAATTGACAAAAAGGTACAGTGTTTCAGATTTAATTATTTCTCTCTTCATCTACTCAATTGAAAAAATCTGAAACAAGAATCCTGAAGTTTAAATAACGAAACGATTTTTGAACGAAGTTCCACCAATTACTCCAGATACTCTTAAGATATAGAATTTTGAATGATTAATATTTTAAAGTTTCCGTTAGCCTAAATTGAAAATCCAATATTCATTCCGAAACTTACATTAAATTCAACAATTACAATTCATTACAAATTTGAAAAGAAAGTTTAAACTTTTATAATGAACCATCTAAGGGGGGCTATACCACTTTTTCACGTTAACGTTATTGATTTGTTGTTCTTTTTTCAATTTTGATGCCTATCAACTAAATACATACATACATATAACTAAGAATGACTAATTTTTAGTCGAGACAATATAGGTTTAAATCTGAAGATCAAAACAGTTCAAAAAACTTTAATTTTGAACTAAGTATACCACTATAATGGTTATGAAAATTTTAAAAAATCTAGACGTACAACGGATGTACCGCACACATCCATGGCTTTATTGATAAAATGCAATTTTTCTATTTCAAATTTTAGTCATTTTATGTCATCATATATTTATCAATATACCAATTGATCTACTATTCTTTTATTTAGAGTACCTTGATTTTACTAATAATAATAATTAATAATCAATCAATCAATAGCTGAATTGGTTTAAAGTTTAAATTATCTAATGTAGAATGGATTAAACTTGGTGTACCAATGCTAAAAGTATGATAGTCACATACGCGTAAGGCATTAAAGTCAATATGTAAACATAACATACATATATTCAAAATTAGTCATTCAAAAAATAAATAAACAACTAAATTTACAAAAAAGCTAAGTAATATACGAACTCAATAAAATCACAAAGATCTTTGATCATATCTCAATCAATAAGACCAAGAAAGGAACATGTGTGTTGTGTTAGATATCAGATCTCGATTAGTCACACAAAAAATTGAATCTAAAATCAGTTTCTATCTTTAGATCTCGATTTTGCAAAAACTCATTCAAATAGAAAAGGAATTGGATATGAGAGTTATGATTATACAAGCCAATGTGAATATGATTCGATATTATTTTGAAATCACTTTTCCTTTTTTAAAGTTTTTTGCCACCCAATTGTTCTTTGAAATATTGCTTCGATTTTGAAGATCTTTTGAAACTAAAAAATTAATTAGTAAAATGGAGTAATAAACCCTTTAAGGACGATAAATTAGGTTCCGAAAAAAAATTGACTAGTTGTAGTATGTGATTTATGTGAGTTAATATGGTAAGTACGGTATGTATTGATATGTATGGGGTAATAAAATGATTTTCAATTCTAATACTTGATATTATTAAATGTTTTGCATGATATACTTTGCTAATAAAATAAAATAAAAGATCAAAAAATATGGTTCCTTATTTTTCCTAATAAGCTTAATGCGGAATTATTTACGTTTATAGATTTTTTGTAAGTCTAGCCTAAAACGAAATTTAATGAGTTAGTTTTAAAAACTCAAATCAGTTAAAATCCGCTTTATATATTCATATTTTAAAAGATCTAAATGTTTATCGGAAACGGCTTTCAAAGACTTTTGAAGAATCAGAACACTTGGATGACTAAGTACTTTTTCATTTTAGTAAGTATATTATCTATTTCATCGATTTTAGTAATCTTCCCTGTCTAGATTATACGATGCTTAAAAGATTAAGCTCGGTTCATATTGGAGGGGAGATTTTTCTTAAAATTATTCTTTCTTCTTTATTTCTTACTTCACGATAATTTTACGGTTTTTTATTGAAAAACCTGGGGAAAGAATGGAATTTTACGGAGATTTTCTATCACGAATACGAACATTAAGTACAAATTGAATCTATGAATGATTCAAGCAATTGTAAGTTTCAGAAAAATGCATTGAATTTGGTTTCCTCTGTTTTTGAATTTTGTAGAAATTGAGTTGAATAAAAAATTGTTTTCATCATCATGGATTTAATGATTAAAACCGAAAAAATGAAAATAATGTTGAAAAGACGCAAAAACAAAAACTAAATCATGAGCCCCACTCATTACTAGATTTGTCTTAAATATATAAGCCTCACTTACTTCCAAATTAGGGTGTCTCAAAAATAATAAATTTGTCTTACAAAATCAAAAAGTAATCAACTCAAAATCCCGTTATCAACTAATTCTTCAACTTTTACAACCAAATACAAATAATGTCATCAAATGATCAACAAATTCAAATTATAATCAAATCATTACAACATTTAGGATATAATGAAATAGCACAAAATTTAATAAATCAATACAGAATAAATTTACAAAATAAACAAAAACTGGAAATTCCAAAATTATTAAATTGGTTTAATCATTTAATTAAAACTTTTGATTATAAAACAATTGATGATTATTTAAATAATTTAAAAAATCAAGAAGAATTTATTAATATAACAAATTATAAAGGTAAAGATTATAAATCTATTATATCAATTATATTATATTTAATTAGAAGATTTAATTTTTATGAAAATTCAAAAGAATTGGGTGATATTACATATATATCTGAAAATTTATTACCATTACTTGAACAAATTGATAAAAATGAAATTAAAGGATTATTTGATCAATCTTTAATAAATCAATTAAATTATGAAGAAGAAAGTCAAATATTATTAAAAGTTAATGAATTATCAATAAATCAATGGTTTTTTAATTTATCAAATAATAACAACGCAAATATAGAAGAAATTCAAGATTTAATATTTAATAAATTTTTTAAATATTCAAATATTATTTTTAATTCTCCTAAATTTATACCATTATTATCAACAATTTTAGATCAGTCAATAAAATATCAATTATCACAATCTCCAACTTATTTACCTCCAAGAAATCAAAAAGATTTAAATAAAATTAATAAAACTGGTAGTAATATAAATTTTAATTCAACTAAATTATTACACACATTAACTAATCATTTAGATGAAGTTTGGTTTTTAAAATTTTCACCACTGGGGAAATATTTAGTTACTGGTTCACATGATGGTAGATTAATAATTTATGATGTTTTAAATAATTTTAATTTGATAAAGATATTAGAACCAACAAATTCTGCTGATTCTATTGCTTTTGTTCCATTTACAACAAAACCTTCAAGTGGTAAATCCAAGGCAGTTATATATTGTACTTGGGATTTAAAAGAAGAATATTTAGTAAGTTGTTGTTTAGATACTGTTATTAGAGTTTGGTCATTAGGAGATTTAAATAAAAAAAGACAATTAAGATCAGATAGCTCAGTAAATAATCAAGAAATAAAATTAATTACAAGTTTTACATTAGGTCAAGATATTAAAACTTGGTCAGTTGAATTTTTACCATCAACACAACATAATAATTCTAATTCTAAATATACTCCATATTTTATAGTTGGTTCACCTGATAAAGTTTTAAAAATCTTTGATATTAATGGAATTGAAATTTTTGATTTTTATGCAAATTTAGAAGATGATGAAATTGATAATGATAATTTAAATAATGATTTAGATGATATTTCAATGAAAGATGTTGATGAAAACACTAACACAAATACTAATACTAATACCAATGCAAACACAAACACCAACTCATCGGCAAGTCAAAATACAACCTCCACAACAACTCTTAATAAAAAATCATCATCAAAGAATCCAATAGATAATCCATTTAGTAGAATAAATGATTTAGTAATTACACCAAATGGTAAAATTTTAATAACAGTAAATAATGAAAAACAAATTTTATTTTTTAGTATCCCTGAATTTTTTGATACCAACGGTGGTGATTCAACATCAACTTCAATAACTCATAAATTAGCATCATTAAAATTAAATGGTAAATTAACTTCAATTTCAATATCAAAAAATGGTCAATATATCTTGATTAATTCAGCACCAGAAGAATTACAAGTTTGGGATATTTTACCATTATATTCCAACAATCCACCAATATTATATAGAAAATTTTTAGGACATTCACAAAGTTCATTTATAGTAAGATCATCATTTGGTTATTTAGTAGAGCAAACAAAAACCGAGGAGCTAGTATTAAGTGGATCAGATGATGGATTTGTTTATTTTTGGAAATTACATACTGGTCAATTAATTACTAGAATAAAAGCTCATGATGAATTATGTAATGCTGTTGATTGGAATTTAAATGGATTTGTTTTTGGTGGGGTTGATTATGGTAAGATTTGGGGTAGTGTTGGTGATGATAAATTAGTTAAAATATGGGGTGTATAAATTATGAAGAACAAGATTTTAGAGAAGTAGTTTAATGAATTATGATTTTTATAATATATTCTACTGGAAAAAAGCATTTACTTTCCCAAAGTACTGTAATTGAATCCTTCAATGTACACACATCTACAGCATTCATTTAATTCGGGTTTATTTCTTTAATTCTTTTATTTATGATACGTATGATTATTTATTTTACTTTTGATTATTCAAACTATTTAACAACAAACATATTTACTTAACTTACTTATAATTCATCATGTTCAACATCTTCTTCACCTTCTTCAACAATATCATCAACTTTATCTTTTATTTCATCTTTTTCAGTTTTTAATTTTTCTAACAATTCATTACCATTAATTTTTAAAGAACCTTCATCTTTTATAAATTCAATTAATGAATTTAATTCTCTTTGACCTTGAAAAACTTTTGGTTTTCTTATACCTGTTTTTTCATCAATTTCTCCATTTGCTGGAAACAACAACAAAGTAGGATAACCTTCAATTTCAAATGGTACATCAACATCATTTAATGTATGATCAATATCAGCAATTAATACTTCACTATTATTTTTATTTGATTCATATATCTCGGCTAATTCTGTCCAAGTTGGAGCTAATTTTTTACAATGTCCACACCATGGAGCATAATATTTAACAAAAATATCTTTATCTTTTTGATCTAATATATCTTTATAATTATGAGCAACTAATTTAACAACTGGATTTGTTTTAATTTCTTCTTCAGTTGGTAATTCTTCAGATTTTATAATTGGTTGTAATTTACCACCAAAATAATCTTCAATAAAATCAGCTATGATTTTAATTGATGGACCTTCTGGATTTTCTTTTTGATTTATACCAAATTTTTTATTTTCATTTAAATTTTGTATAGCAAAAAATGGTACAATATCAGCATCCATAGAAAGAGCTTCTGCATGTCTACCATATAAATTAGCATCTAATCCAACAAAATTTAATTTTCCTCTATATTTTTTACCTAAATTACTTAAATCTTTAGCGATGCTTTCTCTTTGTTCAGGAGTTTTATAAAAATAATAAGCAATTGGTAATGGTGATGTCATATATTTCATATATGAATCTCTATCAATTTCTCCAAAATATGGTAAACTTTCAATATTAATAAAATCAGTTAATTTTTCTAAAGTTTTTTCTCCAGTATATTTTATAGTTTCAAAAATTTCATTAGCTGGATGAACAATTAAATAAGAATCATTTTTTAAATCAATATTTAATTTTTTTGCTAACTTCTTAAGATAATCTTTACTAACTTCAATAAATGAATAATCATTTCTTTTTGTAGTTGCAATTTTTTCAAAAATATCATCAACTATACCATCAACTTTTAAAATAAATGGTTTTGTTTGTTCACCAATTAATTTTTCTAATGATTCCCAAGATTCAGGAACTTGTACAGATGGTAAAGATTGTTTAATCATATAATCAGCAATTCCTTTAGATTCTCTTGGACCTTGATAATCTTCTGCTTGTTTTGAATCACCATTTCTAATAACTTTTAAAGTAGGATAACCTTTTATTTCATTTTCCATACATAAACTTTCATCTTCAGTACAATCAATTTGAGCTAATTTTATATTTGGATAACTTTCATTTAATAAATTAGCAGCTTGAGAAAATTCTGGACCTAACATTTTACAATATCCACACCATGGTGCAAAAAATTCAGTTAAAACTAATGGATTTTCTTCTAAAAAATTAGTAAAATTTTCTGTAGTTAATTTTACAACTGCTGAATTTGGATCAGCAATGGCTTCACCTTCACTGGGTCCACTTGCATTTGTTATTGATATAATAGCTAATAAAGTAGCTAATGCATTTGTTGAATATTTCCAAAATTGCATTGTTTAGTTGAGTATGATAATTTTGATTGATGAGATACAAGGGTAAGTTCAATTGATACTTGGTTGGTCGATTAATTGGGTTGTAAATTGTTGATGAAAGAAGAAAAAGATATGTGTTATATATATTATTAATATTAATAAACTGAAAAATTAAATATTTGTTCGGAACTTGATTTAAAATAATTTACGTAATTAATTATTTATTAAGTATGGAGGTAGTGTAATATTAACCAATACTTTGACACGGTGTTATATTTAATGATAGTACGTAACTAACACCTTGGTAACAACTAACTGACTAAAAAACAATAGAAGTGAAACAATTATGGTTTCAAATTAGAAAAAACAGGATTATGTGTCAACTGCTTGTCTTAAACGGCTTAAATTTTCAAAATCTGATACTACTATATCAAATCTACTACCACTCCCCTTATACTTCATAGATTTTTAATTTTCTATAAAGATCTATTTTATATTTCAATCATTGATTTGCAACCAATTGAATGAAAAAGTAACTCCACTTTCCAACAACACGGAGGTGAAACAAGTTAATTACAAAGTTTATTGAACATCTAACTTGTGCCATTGAGCCTAAATTACCATAGTTGATCGAAAAAGATTTAGAAGATCGTATCTTCCAATTGAAATCAAAAGAACTAAGGGGTCTTTTTTCTTAATTTTAATTTACTAAGTATTCAAAAAAGTCCGATATCGATCTACGATATATTTTTTTGAACACTCAATTATTTCTCAAAAATTCTTAATATTTGATTCTTCTTAAAAGTAACAAATTATTTAACCATGTAGGAACATATTGGTAAGTAATAGGTCTTTTTGGTTCTTGTCGTCGTCATTTGATTAATTTCATTTACGGCGACGAGTTGGAAGAACTACAATGTCAAATTACTTATCAAAATATTCCTAAGATGAATAAATAACTTTAACTATAATTGTCCATTAAAATTGGTGATTATAAACAAGACAAATTGAATTGATCTGGAATCCCAGATATATTAAGTAAATCTTTGCTATCCTCTGGATGATGATAACGGTTTTTTTAAATCGCAGGTGAAATATAAGCGTTTATTTTGTAGGTTTACAATTGTGTACATACTCAAATTAATAAATAGGTTGAAAGACAGAATAAAAACAAAGATCAAATTTGTTGAGGAGTTGTAAATTTAATGTATTGTAAGAGCTTATAAAACACTATATAGGATGAATTGGGAATGGAATTTGAAATTTGAGTAGACTGCTGCAGTTAAAATGACTCTATGAATTGTTACCTTGATTTTTTCTAATTATTAATTGAAGATGGAATAAAGAAGTAATTAGCTTTTTTCAAAATTTCAAAGACCTACCTTCAAAGTTGCTTGAAATTATATACTCCATGTAAGTATGTGAACATTTCCCATATGAATGAAGCGACTGGACATTTAATTGTCAGTTTAATTTTCAACTACCATTTCTTCCTTTTCTCCTAGTGCTTTCCCATGAATAAATCATTTTCTCGATGTCCCCATAAGCATTCTTTGACCCCAGATACATCAAGTTAATCATATCTCCTTAACTTAAACTCCAAAAAATTCTCTCCAATTATTCCAAGAATCCATTTCAACATCATATATATAAGCCATTGAATGTCTTAAAGAACTTTGTAAATATTGAGGTTGATAATCATAAATAAACATAACTAAACCCCAAACAATTATAGCAAAATATTTCCACAGTTTATTATAAATCATATTTTTTAATTTTTTTTGTTGATTCATATTTAAATTTTTATAACTTATAAATTCACCTGAATAATTCATAAATTTTGGTTGATAACATAATAAAAATTTATCTAATATTATTTTCCCCAAAGCTATAATAACTCTTGAAAAACAATATAAAGTAATTTGATGAGTTATACCACTATTAAAAAAATTAAAATGTCCTGAATAAACAATCCATGATCCAATACAACCAGATAAAAATTTTATTAATTGTAAATTTTTTGAACCTAAAAATGAATCATTTAATAATATTTGTACTGTTAATTTATATATTATTGCAAATGATGCTAAAACTTCTGCATGATTTTTTGTTGCTTCTAATACTGATTTTAATCTTGGTAATATAGGACCTGATCTATATAATAAATTTATAACTAATGCATGACTAAATCTTAATTTACCTCCATATACTATACCATTTCTTGCTGATCTTATAATTTCTAATAATGGACGATATAATGGATTATTTAGTATTGCAGACATTGAAGTAATTGATTTATATATTTATGAATTTATGTGTCGAAAATAAATCGAATAAAGCTCTAAAATTTGGTGTAAATTTGAATAAATATTGAATTATTGAACCTGGTTGAGTGAATAGTTTCAATTGAGGTAAATCCAAGTGATTGATCGTATATAACTTGTATGAAGTATTAGTCTTTGTCGAATTGATATATTTTCTAATTCGGTTTAAAAACTTTTTGTTTATTGTTACTAAGTACAAATTTTTTCTATGGGGTAACACACATTTCTTAAACTGGTAAGTTGTGCGGCAGAGGTTCATTTTTTGAAAGTCGACGATCTCAAATGATTAATATGTATTTTTAAAAATGGATCAACTTTGAGCATTTCTACATTATCATGGATAAAGTATTACTGAATCAGTATGTGTGCATGAAAATTATTTGGGCCAACTGTTTGATGAATCAAGTGTATTTATTCATGGGAATTGAAGGACGAGAAAAATCTACGTGAAATCCTTAAAACTTTTGTTGGTTCTATAGAGCACACACTTGGTGTTAACATTGCAGAACTACAAAGCCCAATTTCACTTGCTTTGTCTATTATGAATCAACTATTATGGTTGAGTTTTAATTCATAAGGTAATTTGTACGATTTGATGTCAATTTGATCAAAAGTTTGAAAATAGTCCCGAATAAACAATTCAATAAAGCATTTGAATTATCAGAATTAAAAAGATATTAAAATTCCACTTCATTTATCAGATCCAGTTAGGCTTAATTATAAGATAACTTCATATGGTGGAGTAGAAGGGAGAATTCAAATTTGAAAGAAGAACCAAGTGTTGTTTAAAGTTGGGTCTTCTTATTTGGCATCATGAAATCATTCAATGTTACCTTAATCGATGTGTTTCCAATTAGCATGGACTATTGAAAGTAGTTCTTTTAATATAGTACTGTCGTCCAGTTCATAGGAACAAAGTGAACTTGATATCATCTCAAGTGGTCCATGTCTCTGATCCACGTCATTTAGCTCACATGAACTGAATTATAGTGTTAGTCTAAAAGAATTACTTGCAATAGTTTATGCAAAGGTGTTAGTATATCTGATGAATCCATTTTTAATTACAGAGACATAAAAAGCTGAGGTATAGAAGAATTCATTTGAAGGTTCATCCAACTAAATCAAAGTAATCTGGTTGAAAAAAATGTCGAACTAAGACAAGTTTCTGGGAAATATAACTGATACAATTGCTTCAACCACCAAGCTTGCTGTTATTATTGAATTAGTTGAGCGGATTAAAATGATGCTCAAGTTGAACCAATATGATCAATAAATTTGAAATTGATCAGTTTCGTGGGTGGCTATCTATGGATCACGTTTTAAGGCACTAGATGCTTTATAATGGGTCTATGCAATCAGTTCTTCAAATTATAATCCTTAGATAGCTACGCTCAAAAAATTACCATGATTCTTTGCATCAAGTTAATGAACGTGTAAATGTAAATTAATGAGAATAAAAATCAAAAAAGAAGTTCTCGGGTTTTTACCGTAAACAAAATAGGGAGTACTGGTTTTATTGAACAATAAGTTAATAGGTAAATATCTAAGCTAAAATTGGTTTCAATATATAAATAACCCGTATAACTTTAATTAATAACGGTATTATGATTGTTAGACGGAGAATCATAAAGTTAAAGGCTACCAAATCGTGCGAAAAAATCAAAATTTAAGAGATATTAGACCTAAATTGAATCGACCAATAAATTTCTATGCTTTAACGAAAACCTCTGCAGTAATTGTGATTTTGATAGTAAAAATGGAGTTTAAAAAAAAAATTGAAGAAGCTAATGGTAAGAGTACACCTGTCCGATCTTAATAATCAGGTTCTATTGAAGAGTTTTCGAGATTAATTATGGTGAATAAAATGAAATATTTCAATACAGTGGAATAATGTTAATTAATTTTCCTGTATATAAACCTCACTTTATTTATTAACTTACCGAGTAATTTAAAAGTTAAAAATTGAGTAAGTTATTAACAAGTAGAATCTCACTTTTGATCCACAAGGAGCAGGAGTATCACTGTCAGCAATTTGAGCGATCTCTCCATTCTATCAAATAATTCTTGATTTGCTTTAATTCAATGCACAATTGTGCGTATTTACTTCTTAACTTAAGCTTCTATAAATTTAGTATTCTACTAACATTCTCTCTCTTGTGTTAAGATTTCTGTCTATAAAAATTTTTCAGTTGAAAAAAAAAAAAATGAATAGAAAATTTTTTATTACCAATAAAACTCAACTTCATTCCACTTTAAATTACTTAAAAAAAAGAAAGAAGGATCAACTTATTGCTAAGTGAATTCTAATACCAGTTACCGCTTTATCAAACTTTTAATCATTCAAATATCAAAGGAAAATTACCAAACTTAGCGAAAACTTTTATCAATCGATTTAAAAATATTCAAATCAAAAATTTAAAGTCTAGTGATCTAATCCAAAAATTATCTGAGGGATTTAATTTAACATCATAGACTATTTAATTGAATCACAGCATACACTAATACAATAATTGCTACATTTCATTAGCTCATTATACCCATTGCATTATTAAAAGAAAAACCAACCAGATTTTTCTTTCCCCCCAATTTCAATTTAAAACCTAATTTCAACGTTTATTAGCACACTTTCATTAACTAATCTTAAAAACAGTGGAAACAATGACTACAAATGTGTCTTATGCTGCTATAGCAAAGTCATTAACTGAAGAACCAAAACCTCAATTAATTAAAGAAACAAAACCCGTTTCAGAATCAACTGAATCAAACAATAATTCTCAACCTTCATCATCATCATCATCAAATGAATCATCTGTTGAAAAATCAAATTCAAAAATTTCTTCAAAATCATCATCTCCATTAAAACCAAGTTTAGCACCAGCTCCATTACCTTCAACTTCAGCTTGGGGTTCAATAACAAATAATTTTAATGAATTAAATGTTAATGATAATAATTCAAACAAGAAAACTCCATTATTAGGTGAAACATCGCCGTCATTTAAACAACAACCAAATCAACCACCCAAAAAATTTGTTAAACAACCTGCAACTACAAAATGGGTTCCATTAGATGTTAATGTTACTTTACAATCTAGATCTTCTTCAAAACCAAGAAGTAAGAAAAGGCATGGTAGTGGAAATAGTGGAAATAGTACCAATAATAATAGAGAAGCTAAACCAAGAGTTACAAAGAAGAAAGATGAAGTATCAAAAGATAATGTAGCTAATGGATCAATTAAAACTGATGATCAAGTTGAAAAAATAGAGACATTAAAACCTGAAGAATCACAAAAGGAAGTAGTTGAAGAAGAACCAAAACAGGAGAAAGTTGAAACAAAAGAATCACCAGTTGAACAAGAGACTGAAGAATCTCCTGTTGTTAGTAAAGAAGAACCACGAGCCGTTGAGGAATCAACAGCAGAAGGTGAAACTAACTCATCAAATCAATCTCCAGATCCAACTCAAGAACAAACACAATCCAATAAACCATATAACAACAACACTAATAATAACCCAAATAATAGACGTTTTAATCCAAATTTTAACAATGGTTCAAATAATGGATATCAGAAGAGATATAATAACAACAACAATAATAACATAAACAATCATTATAATAATTTCAATCAATCACAACAATTCCAACCACGTCCATATAGATCAAACAATCATTACAAAAATAGAAACTACAACAATAACAACAATAATAACTCTCATAATTCAAATGGTTCATCATCAAATCTTTCATCACCAATTCCAAATTTCCAACCACAACATTTTAATAATTATGTTCAACCAATGTATTATATGCCAATGCAACCACCATTTATACCAAATAATTATCAAATACCACCAAATCAACAACAATTTCCAAATTCATTCCAATCATCTATTTATCAACAACAACAATATCAACCACATAATCAGTACCAACATCAACATCAAAGTCATCACCAACAACACCAACAACAACAAAATATTCCACCACCACCAATTTCTCCACAACAAAATCCATCAGAAGCATTAAAATATCAATTAAATTATTATTTTAGTCAAGAAAATTTAATAAAAGATTTTTTTTTAAAACAAAATATGGATCAAGAAGGTTGGGTTCCATTAGATTTAATATTAAGTTTTAAAAGAGTTAAAATTATTATAAATCAAGGTAATATTAATTTTGATGATGTTTTAAATAATTGTGAAAATATTGAAATTAGTGATGATGGTAATAAAATTAGAGCATCAAATAGATCATGATAGGTTATTTGTTGAGTATTAAGGTATCAATTTTGCTCATATTTCATATATATAATTTGCATGTTTTTATTAAAATTTAGGTTTAGTTATTTATTCCATTCAATCATCTAACCATCAAGGTTAGAGCATTACGAATTTGACGTTATATTGTTCATTTGTCATTATTATTATTATTTTGTTAAAACTATTAATCAACTCATTTTACTAAAAAATCAAATAAGAAAAATTATAAAAAAAAAAAAAAAATAGTACTCTATTCAAGTCATGTTAAGAATATTGCCTTTAACTTATTCATAAGGTGAGCATTACATGTTCATGGGATCTTTCCTACCCAAAGACATTTATATGTTTTTTTTCAAATCATTGTTTAAATTTTTGGTTTTTTATTTTTATCATTACGATTTGTATTAAGCAAATTTATATTGATTTTTTTTAACCATAAAAATTTTTTTTTTCTAAACAAAAACATTTCATAAAAAAATCTATTAAATCAATCAACCTTGTTCATATATAGTAGCAGTAGTAATTAAAAAGAAAAAGAAAAAGAAAGAAAAGACAATCTTTTTTATAAAATTTTTGAATATATATTCATAATCTTATTCCATTATCATCTCATTAAACTATTAACGTTTCACTCTTTACATAACTTATTTTTATTATACTCCCATTCTTTTTATAACATATTCTTGAGCTAATATACCAAAACCTAAATTTAAACCTTGTTTAATCCAATCTTTTACCCAATTTTTTGGATCAACATTTTCTTCTTCAAAATCTTCATTTTGTAAATTTAAATGTGAATTGTTATTTTCTAACCAATTTGACCATCTAATTGGAAATGGTTGAGTTCTTGTTAATATTGTTATATCATTTGTTATATCTTTTAATATTAAAGTAAATGAAAATGATGAATTATTATTTGATTCAATTATTGTTTGTTGTTGATTTTGATCTGGTTGATTTTCTTCCTGGGTTGTTGTTGATTCATTTTTTGTAGTTATCGGTTGAATAGTTATAAATATATTTGACTTGACTATATCCTGCTGCTGTTGTTGATTGTTATTTTCTTTTTCTTTATTTATTTCAATTTTTTTATATTCTTTTATTGAATTTTCTAAATTTGCAAATGCTAATTTTTCACCATCAATTAATTTCCCATAAAACATATTTAAATTAATTAAATTTGATTCTTCTTGGAGGTTATTATGATGATGATTTAATTCATTTACATTTATATTAATATTACCTTCAACTTGATTCATTGTTAATTTAAAATTATTTAATATTAAATCATTTAAATAATTTATATTATATAAATCAGAAACAATTAATAAATTTAAAATTTCATCTGCATCATCAATTAATCCTTGTTTTAATTGTGATGATATATTTAAAAAAATATTATTTAATTTATTACTTATTTGATCAGTATCAAGATTTTTTGATTTTTCATTAATTTGATTTGTTGTATTTGATGCTAATTGATAAGTTTGTTCTGAAATTTTTTCTGCATTTGATGTTATTGTACCCCATAAATTACTTACTTTTTGATTTCCTTCTTTTGACCACCATGATGATAATGATGCTATAGGATTTTCTAATGAATCTTCTTTTTCTCTTGGTGAATGTTGCTGTGCTTGATCATCAGTTGTATCTGATGATGAAGTTCCAGTAGTTGGGTCATTTTCTTCATCATCATCTTCTACTTCAACTTGTTCCTTTGTATTTTCACTTTTAGTAGTAATAGTAGAATCACTATCATCTGATTTCTTCTTAGGTTCAAATTTTTTCTTTGGTTTCTTTTGTTCATGTTCTGCAATTTCATCTAAAAAATCAAAAACTTCTTTATCATTCTTGGTTGTATTGGTTGATGTTGAAGGTTTTGTTGATGATGATGTTTTCGATGGATTTGTCTTACTATCTGGTAATGATTCAAGAAATTCTAAAACATCATCCGATTTTGACATGCTGCTTATGTTTCGGTTATTACTATATCTTCAATTGAGTTATTATGGTTGTCAAATTTTATTAATCAAAGATGTTGCATAATATACTCAATAAAATTGAAGAAAGTCTTGGAGTAATACAATTCTCGGTTTTATAAGTACTAAGTCACGTTTAGTATTAGAAGTATACAAATAGATTTCCTTTTCAACGAGGTACTCTCGATGGTGAAAATATTATTAATAATGTATATTTCAGACCACAGCTACTTCTCAGCTTACCTGTAAATAAAGGTAATTGACGTATTTTTATGAAAACTTGAGTTTCTGGTTTTAGCTCAACATTTTTTTGAATAAATTTGTTTCAAAATTCGCATGAAAAATCAAGAGATTTGCACCAACATATCCATTCCCAACTTGCTATGAGGACAATAAATCATTTCTATTGAATTTATATATTGAATAAAATATAAAAGTGCAAGTTGAAGAAAGCAATAACAAATCGAACCAAAACTAAGTACATATTGAAAATTTATCTCTAGACTGTCTACAGTACTAAGTCGTATACCTCGTATATGAAAGATAAAAATAATACATCTCTACCTCAATACAAAAATAAATTCAAGAAGAAGTCCAAAATTTCACGTCCAAAAAATTCAAAGTCAAATTTGCAAAAGCTTATAAACAACAAAATTTTAAAAATTAAAATGACTGATAAGAACAAATACATTTAAAATTGAAAATCAAAGTTAAATCTTGCAAAAAAGAGGAGTAGGGTCGTTAACTGTCGTTTAGTTTACTACAAGAGTACTCTACAATTTAATTAGAAGTGATTTATCAAATGAGCAATCTTATTAAAACCTCCTTTATTGCAATATTCCATCAATAAAAATAAAAATACAGAGATGGGTGAGTCAAAAGATGAAACAAATCAAATACGGAAAAATTATAACTATTAAATCAATACGTGTTTATATTAGTATCCATTTATATTTAATCCCCTCTTTTTTCCAATGTTAATTATATTTGCTGGCTGAAATTATATTCACCCCTATATCTAAAAATCTAATATAACCTCTATAACGTGTTACGCACTTAGGTAATAAAACGAACGTATTAAACGAACACATAGCCTAGACCTAGATTAACCCAATTAAGGAGTTAATTAATCCGAAGATCAAATATTTGGATGGCAAATATATTTACTATTAGTATTATTATCGTATCGTGCATTAAGGATTTTATTAATTATTTTTTTAATTATGAAACATCTATCCTTATCTTTCTAAATTATTATTTTTATTATTAATGCTTTTACTAGTAGGAAAACGTTTCAGATCAGATAAGTTACATGAAATTAATTAGAGATGAGGTAAACTTTAATCTCCCCCTATACCTTACGAAATTTGTCGCAGAGTCAATTGTTGTTAAGAAAGAATAGTACTTCACAACTACGAATAGGGTTATATGGATGTTGTCTATTCAACAAGATAGTAAGATTGAGTAATTATTTTGTTGATTAACGAAGGGGGGTTAATTCAAAGCCCATTTTTTTTATCAACAAAATCTGTTTGTTTTTTTTTTGTATAGAAAATCCTGTATATAAATACAACACAATAATCAAAAAATACCCCTCCTTAGATTTTGCAACTTTTGAAAAATTTATAAAATTATAGATAAGAAGATAAAAAGATCACCATATAAAATCAACATCTATTTTTCAATTTACTTTCTTCTTCTTCTTTTTATCACCAACAACTACCAATACCACCATCAGTAAACAACAAGCTACAAACAAATTCCTGAATCAACCAATACATTTCTCAAACAAATTATTCTTTCAACTACCTCACTAAGTTGTGTTATGTTAAAACAATTTACAAATACATTAATCAATATAGCTAAATCAAATAAACAACAATTAAAACAACAACAAAATAAATTAAACAAACCCTTTATAACAATATATCATAATAATCAATCTATTGTATCACATAATTTATTAAAAAATTTAGAATCTTATAGTTTATTACCTTGTACTCAATATAAGCAACAACAATTTATTAATCCTAATAACTATCATAATAATAATGAAAACAGCTATGAAACTATAAAATCAAGTTTTTTACCAACTTCAAATGCTAATTCATTATCATCATCCTCATCAACTACCTCCTCATCGTCATCAAAGGATAAAAATTCATTAAAATTTAATATTGAAATTAAAAATAATTCAAATTTATCAAAAGATGATTATGATTTTATTGTAAAAAATTGTTTAGATATTCATCCAGAAAATAATTTAATAATGTTAAAATTATTAACCAATACAACGATTGATAATCAATTACAATCATCACCTCAACAACAATCTCCTCAAAAATTATTAAAAAATTTTGAATTATTAGATAAATTATATAATTATGAAAATTTTATAAATTTAAAATTAAATCAACCTTTAATTATTGATTATCAAAATAAATTATTAGGTAATTGTGATTCAAGTTTTAATAGAATTATTATAAATTATTTAAATTGTGGTATTCAAAATTTAAGTTTATTTAATCATAATAATACTACAACTAATAATTATAAGAGAAGTAAAAATAATGATGGGTTGAGTATTGGTAATTCTAATTCAAATTCAGTTCAATTAACTAATTAGAGAATTTAATTTGATTTAATAATGATATTGTTTGGCTTTTTTTTTTCTGATTTTAATATCAGTTTATGGGTGTCTCTGGGTAGAATTTTGCAATTTATAGCTTTATAGAGTTCTAGTTTTAGTTCTAAATATATAAATTCAAATGCAAGTAAGTCAATTTCTTCTCTGTAGATTTTGGTTTTAGTCTAACAAAACGTATTTGGACTTGGTTTTGGTCTTGAAGATAAAAAATTTGGTGGTTTTTTTGAAACGTAGTTGGTAGCTCACTCTGTTTCAATACACAAAATCAAATTTTATTTTGCAACAAAACTGAAACACCAAATTAGGAAATAAAATAAACAAAACATAATAAATCAAGGCAGACACTATCTACACACATAATTAACGAATCTTAGCTTGAAAAAAAGGAGTTTGATTGATTTACATTATTTTGAAAGATTTAAAATCATAATTTTAAGTTTTAGAATGCGTTTTTCTTTCTGGAATTTAATTTCAATTATAAACAAATAAAAATAAAAAGAATTAGTTTCATCTTTCTTACCTTTTCATCACATACATATTCCCCACCTTTTGGTAGTTACAATTCAAATACAACCTTACACCAATATTATCATATTCCATTAATAGTAAATGTCTACAATTAAATAACAACATAATCAAATTAATCGAGACTACTTCTAATGTATATACGATATTTTCAAATTATAACAGTTTTACTACTGTTTATTCTATCAAATATACTGGGAATATTTACAATTATACAATCACATACCAACACTTATAATCTACTATATTCAATAACATCATTTATTTTATCAATTTATTTAATTATACCTTTATTTTATGTACATATTTTATTAATTTCATTTCAATTCTTTTTATCAATTTTAAATATAATATCAGGAATATTATTGATTTTAAATACCAATCCTAAAACACAGGTTATTATTTTATTTATTATAGACATTATTTTTATAACTTCTTCATTTATTTTAATTTTATTTATTTTTTTCATAAATTCATCAACAACGAGTGATATAGAAAATCACATAAGTATAGAAAATGATCAAATTTCAAAAAAGAGATCAGATGCTACTTTATTTGATAAAAATTATACAATTGAACAAAATTGGTATCAAAAAACACAACAACAACAACTAGGAGAAAAAGAAGAAGAAAATAGACAAACTATTCAATATTCAAATTCTTCAAATACTATACCATTACAAAAATCTCAACAACATGAATCATTTATAATGAATTTAGATGATGTTCATAACATTGAAGAAGAAACAAATTTAAGTTCAAAAAATATAATACCCAAATCAAAATCACAATCAGCTATAAATAATAATCAACAACAATTAAAAAAACAAAGATGGAAACTGTTTCATGATGAAAAACAATTTATATCAAATTTAAATGAATCTTTATTACCTTCACTTTTAAAAACAAATATTAATCAATTACAAACAGAAGAAATCGAAGAAACAATGAAAGGTTTAGAACCTATTGGAATTGGAATTAATGGATATCCACAAAAAATACAAAATAATTCTTCAATTACTTTAAATGAATTTAATCTTGATGAATATACGAAATTTAGAAATTTTACTGATTATAATTTAATCCCAGGTTTATATCAATCAAAAAATAATACAAATGATTCAAATTCAAATTCACCTACTTATTCAATGCAACAAATTCATTCAAAAGATATTATAGATAATATTGATGAATTAAGTGAATTATCATTAACTCAAACAAATGAAATTCAAGCTGCTCCTTCATTACATACTTTTAGAAAAGAAAGTGGAAATTCAAAATTAAGTTCTCAAATTGATTATGATAATTTTGAAAACGATCTTGATTTAAAATTATATCAATCTCCACCAAAAACTCCACCACAACTAACACAAGATAAATTTATAATTCAACCTAAATCAAATTCACCAATAAAGAAATTCCTTAATGAATCACCTAAAAGAATTTTTAGATCAAATACAACAAATTTTTCAAATCATAAAATTCATAATAGTCAACAACAACAACAACAACAACAAAATCATAAACATTCAAATTCAATAATTTCATTAAAATCAGGAATATCATCAAGATCAAGATCAAATTCTCCAAAAAAATTAAAAAAATCCATATTAAAAATTCATAAACATAGTTTAAGTGTACCAAATTTTAATCAATTATCATTAATTTTACAAGATGACAATAAAAATTCGGCATCTTCATCTTCAGTAATTCCTTCTCCTCAAGATTCAACTTTCAATCATTCAATAACCAGTAAAAATAAATTTATTGAACCTATTGATTTATGGGAAATTCATAATATTTCAAATTTTAATTATAATGAAGAAATTGATATTCAAACTCTAAATAACAACAATAACAAGATAGAGAATATCAATCTTGATAATGACCAGGCTATAAAAATTAATGAAGAAAATAGTGAATCCAGAGTTAGTTCATTGCCTAGTCAAGTTATTGGTCAATATGACAAAGAAAAATGGAAACAAATTAAAGATTCAATATAATATTAAAAGTAGTATACATGATTTAAATCTATAAATATAATGAACCAGCTGATACAATATCTCTATGAACTAATTCTAATGATTTTTCCATTTTTTCTTGTAATTCAATATTTCCAATTGCTTTTGCAGCAACAATTAATTGTCGAATTAATTCCTCAAGTCTCCTAAACATTCTAATTAATGAACCTTCATAAACATCAGTCATTTTACAAATTTGTGTAAATGTAGCACCTTTACACCAAGCAAATACAACTTCCATTAATTCAGGTCTAAAAGATTCAATATAATCTTTTTCAATAATATCAATTTTACATTCTTTTGAAATTTTAGCAATTTTATTTGCAATTTCTTGCATTGATTTTAAAGGTTCTGATAATTCTGGTTTTAATCTTGGTACTTCTTTTGCTCTTTCTTGAAATACAAAACATGATAATAATGCTGCACATTGTTCACTTGTCAAATCATTAAAATTACCATTGAAAATTAATTCTGTTAGTAAAAGTTCATCACCTGTACTTATTTCACATGCAACTCTACCTTTTAATTCAATTATATCATTTTGTGTTGTAAAACCTAATCTTCTTAATACTCTTTTTCTATGTCTTAAATCATCTAATTGTATAACTGCTTCAGCTTCTAATATTTTTGATTTTAAATCTTTTATTTTATTTTCAATTTCAATTTTATGATTATATTTATCATATAAATCTTTTAATCTTGCAGTATCATGTAATGGATTACTATATAATTTAGATTCAATAACATCTATTTTTCTTAATAACATTTTAAAATCATTATCATTTATTTTCATACTTTCAACTGGATCCATTAATGGTATACCATCTTTTAATCTTTTTGGTAAATCTTTCATTGTCTTAACTAATGTTCTTTTAGCTTGTGCACTTTTAAAATCATCGGGGACTTTCAATCGTACACTACTTATTTGTGCTATTGAATCTAATGTTATTGGTATGTATTCGGCTCTTGCTTTTTCACCAAATTTAGCAGGCCTTATACCTGTTGGTAATAATGGATTAAATGGTTTTATAAGATTTATTGGTGAATCAACAAACATTGTATATATAAATACATTTACAACATATGATTCATGAGCAGTATATTCATGTGGCTGAAATTTATTTGGATTTCTTTTAACAAATGATGTAACCATACCCCAACCATAATCAAATTCACCAATTTTAACTTTTATTACTCTACCATCTTGTAAAAATGGTAAAATATGACCAGGATGAGTTATAACTTTTCTAACATCTGAATTATATTTATTTAATTGTTGTGTTAAATCATAATATTCTTTTACAATAGATTCATCATCAATATGAATATCTTTTTTTTCATCTTCTAAATTTTTTAATTTATTTTCTAATTGTGGTACACTTGAAGCATTTTGAAATTGATAAAATGAATTTTCTAACATAAATTCAGGTGATATACCTTCAACTCTCATTAGATTTAATATCATATTATAACCTAAATGAAAAGCAGAATCTAATCTATCTGCTTGACCTTTAACCATTCCTTTTGCAACTTGTGGTTCCATTTTTTCATCAATCATCATAATAACTATACCTCTATCATCTAATCCTCTTCTACCTGCTCTTCCAGACATTTGAATATATTCACCACCTGAAACCCATCTAAATCCAACACCATCCCATTTACGGACTGATGTAAATACAACTGTTTTTGCAGGCATATTAAGACCAATTGAAAAAGTTTCAGTAGCAAATAAAACTTTTAAAAATCCTTCTTGAAATAAAATTTCAATAATTTCTTTTAATATTGGTAATAAACCAGAATGATGAATTCCAATACCTCTTTTTAATAATGGTAAAATGTTTTTTATTTGTGGTAAATCTTTATCATTTTCTGGTAATAAACTTATTGCATTATTATAAATTTCAGTTAATGCTGATCTTTCTTCATCTGTATTAAAATCTAATTTAGACATTTTTAAAGCTAATGATTCACAATCTCTTTTTGAAAATGAAAATACAATAACTGGATTATATTTTTTTTGATAAATCATTTTAACAATTTTATAAATATCTGATTTGCCATCTTTATTTCCACCTTTAAAACTTTGACCCTTTTTTCCACGACTAGTTGATGAATTTGGATCATCTCCTGTATTATCTCCTATAGTTGTCATTGCTTTTTGAAAATTTTCCTCTCTAAATGTTCCTTTTTCATCTACAACTAAATGTATACCATCACCTCCAGCTGGAAATAAATAATGTTGTAATGGAGTTGGTCTAAAATCAGTATATACAACATGACATGGCTGATTATGTATTTTAACAATCCATTCTGCAAATTCCATAGCATTTGGTATAGTAGCTGATAAAAATACATAATGAACTTTATCAGGTAATAAAATTATAGTTTCTTCCCAAACAACACCTCTTGATTTATCTCGCATATAATGAACTTCATCAAATATTACCCATGCAACTTCTCTCATTACTTCTGAACCTCTATAAAGCATACTTCTTAAAATTTCTGTAGTCATAACTAAACAACCAGCATCAGGATTTATTGTAACATCCCCGGTCATTAATCCAACATCTTTAAATTCAGCTTGTAGTTCTCTATATTTTTGATTTGACAATGCTTTTATGGGGGATGTATATATTACTCTTTGTTTTTCTCTTAATGATTGAGCTATTGCATATTCTGCTACAACTGTTTTACCAGCTGATGTATGAGCAGATACTAAAACACTTTCATTTCTATCAATACATGATATAGCAGTATCTTGAAAAGGATCTAAAGTGAAAGGATACGTCCTTGCATCATTCTCTCTTTTATGCTCACTTATAGGTATATATGGATATGATGGCGGTACAGCTACTTGATGTCTAACTTGATGTCTTAATTTTAATTTTGAAGTATCATCTGATACAGTTTGCTGTAATCCTCCACTTGCTTCAATTTCTCGAGACGCTTCAATCTCTACTGAATCAAATACTACTGGTTTTATTTCTTGTTGTTGTTTGGATTTTTTAGTAGTTGGTTGTTTTTGATTATTTTCTTCCTCATTACTTCGTTTTCTGGATTCTTTTATTGGTTTTGAGTTTTCTGTTGATTCTTGTTCCGTTATTTCTTCAATTTTTGGTACAGACGTCTGAGGAGCTTCGTCAAAGACCGAGAATAAATCCATTTTGTTTTATATATATGTAGTGGTTGTAGCTCGAAGAGTATGAATCCCAATCAAGTTAAGTAGATTTTTAAATTTTGATTATTTCGCACAAAATTAAAAAAATTGAAACAGACCCGATGAGAAGAAGAAGAACATAGTCAGTAGCTGAAATGAAGATCATAAATGAAGACAATATTGGCCGTTACATGTAGATCACTAAAAGCAGGAATCTTTGAATCTAACCAGTATCAGAAGCGATAAATACATGGGTAATTAAGCGAAATTTGAAGAGCTCTTCGAGTACCAAATTTGCCTAATCCTCGAAAGAGGTTTGGATTCAGTGTAAAGTCTAAGAATCAATCACAGCTTTGATTATTAGGACCCCAAGATTAATTAGATTCCTTTTTGATTCTTTGATGAATTCGATACTATAACTGCAAAACCTAAATCAAACACAAAAGCCGTACTACTTATACGCGTTTCAAAATATTTGAAACATCATTTTAACCAAATATCAAAAGAAAATGTCCAAACAATTACAACCCCAGATATCAGTAGTAGTGGCTGCGCTTAAACCTTCATATGGTATAGGTTATAAAGGCTCTTTGCCATGGAAATTGAAAAAAGAAATGGCCTTTTTTAAAAGAGTCACAACAAATACAATTGATTCATCCAAAAGAAATGCAGTGATTATGGGTAGAAAAACTTGGGATTCAATACCGACTAAATTTAGACCTTTGCCCAATAGATTGAATGTCATAATATCTAGATCTTATCCTAATGTAAATATTGTTGATGAAAATGTAATTCAAGTAAATTCAATTGAAGAATCTATTGAAGTAGTTAAAAACCAAAAGAACATTGAAAATATCTTTATAATCGGTGGGGCTGAAATATACAATGCATTTATGAATACTAAAAATCTAGTTGACAATTTGCTTATAACAGAGATTGAGAATTCAAATGAAGTGATTGAAATGGATACCTTCTTAAATTTTGATGCTGATAAATGGGAGAAACAATCAAAAACGAAATTAAATTCATTCATAAATGAAGAAGTCGAGGATGACATAGAAGAAAACAATTTCAAATATAATTATACGCTATGGCAAAAAAAGAATTAAATATATATTATGTACAAATAGTCTATTTATTTTTTATCATCAAAAACTTTCAACCTAGATATCACTCTATCATCATAACCTAATTCTTGAACCCATTCTGATCCTCTCTCAGTGCCTTTTTTCACCCAATTCTTTGGCCAGTCTAATTCTTCCTCTTTTGCCATTAAAACGTCTTTATATACAAATGGTCTAGTTTCTTTATTTACAATATGGTTTGTTCTCTCACTATAATCTTCTGCTAAGAATCTTTTTGTAAAATAACGATATATTTTACGTGGAATATTTTTAAAACCTTGGATTGCCGGTATTGGATATGCATAGACTGGTTGTTCAAAAAAATATGGAACTCCTGTTTCGTCTTTTTGAATAACATCCATGTTAAATTCAGGTGCTAAAGGAGCTAATTCATAATCTTTTGTACTTATATATTTTAACGGCACTGGCTTCAAATTGAATTCTTCATCTTCATCTTCAATATTTGGATTCTCTTCTTTATCTTTAATTTTTTGTTCCTCTCGTTTCTTCTCCTCTTCTTCAACTTCTTTAGGTTTTTGTAATGGACCTAATAATCCTTCATGCAATCCACTTAAATACTCTTTATAAGCTCCTCTTCCTATACATATAACACCACCTGCTATATCCTCATTTGAGTCATCAGACTTGATTTTTATTTCCTTGGGTATAACTTTGTAAAGACCTAATAAGTCAGTTGGTGAATATAATTTAGATCGACTGACATACTCTGGTTCCTCTGTTTTTGATGTTTCTTCTGTTTTTGTTTTCTCCAACTCTTTGATCCTCAAATCTCTTATTCTTTGTGCTACATTAGATCTAATATCTCCTTGTCTACTTTCAGTAAAAATTTCATAATCAACTGTCCCAGAATTTAAAACCGGTTTAATGAATTTTCTAAAAATTTTCAAACTTTCTTCCAAAAAATCATTTGGAGGTGGTGCAATATATATCGTCAATTTTCTTGGAATTTTGTCATTCGAATATATCTCTAACCCTAGATTTGCTACTTCTGCCATCCATTTTTTTCTTATTTGTTTTTGTTCATATTTATCGTAAGCTATTGATGATCCAATGCCTACCAAAACAGACCAGAATATCATCCAGTTTCTTGATGGAAGTGAGATTCTCGGTATTCCTATCATCCGAAGTGCAGGATTTGAGAACCCCTTTTTGGGTTTTGGTGGCAATGGTTTTACTTCATCAGGCATGTTTCTTTAGTGATGTAGTAGTCTAGATTGTCTAGATCGAAATCGTACTTAAAAAAAAAAAAAGTTTCATAAAATTCGTTACACATTAAGTTATATATTATCATCGAGAAATCTATGCAACTCTATTGACAACTCCTCCCTGTCTAGATCTTTCCCTATAAAAACCAATTTATTACCTTCAACTCCCTCTATCAATGTACCATTTTCAATAATTTCGTAAGTATCTCTAACACCTTGCACAACTCGCACATCATTTTTATAAACTAGTAGACCTTTCAACCTATGAATTTCAATTCCTTCCTTTTCCCATAAAAGATATTGAATAAAATTTTCTACCTTTTTAAACCCTGATGCATCATTAAAAAAAGGAAAATCTATTGCGATTGTTGTGATTCTATTATCATGAAAACTGGCATTTTTATTTATTAGTTTTGTATTGAAATCAAATGCATGTAAATCCAAAATTTTATCTAAATCAATGTCACCAAAGCTAGTTGCATAAATTGGGGCTGTTTGATTTATACTCTCTATTCGTCGTTTTATTTCATCTGAGCTTTCGATCTTGTCAGACTTATTTAGTAAAATGGTATCTGCTAAAGCAATTTGCAAATGAGCAGTCGTTATACCATCTTCTACTTGCTCCAAATCATGTTCTTTATGCCAATGACCACCAACATCATCCAAACATTTCAAAATATTCTCCGAATCAACAACTGTAACAACACCATCAATATAAATATTAGATGCAAGACCATCGTCCAACCAAAACATCTGAGCAATTGGAGCAGGATCTGCAATCCCTGTAGTTTCTAATAATATGTAATCTATTTTCTCTTTAGAATTTTCAACAAGATTTTCAATAGCTGTAACTCCATTATCCTTTACTGTACAGCATAAACAACCATTTCCTATATCCAACCATTCTTCAACACTATCGTTCTTATCTTGTATAGTTACTGACTTTTCAATTACAGACGAATCTCCAAATTCATTTAAGATAATTGCTAGTCTTTTCTTCGACTTTAATCCAATTTGTTTTAATAAAGTTGATTTTCCTGACCCTAAGTATCCTGTAACTATTGTGATGGGTATCTTCTTATTTACCTTTGTAGGTGTCAGAGATACAGGTTCATATGAAGTAGTGGTGATTTTTTCAGTCCTAATTATCCCATTTGTTGGTAAATCTGTCACTAGCTCTGGTATTTCATCTTCCATTTCTTTAAAGCCGTACCAAAAAGAGCTTGAGTTTATAACTTTTTTTGCACCTAATTATGTTCTGAATTCTTTACACTCTCAACCAACGAAAGATGTATAGATTCAACAAAATACTCGATGCTTGCTTGGTGGCATTGATGTCATACCATTTGGTCATATCACCATATACAAAAGTAGAGGAATCTTTCAATATTCAAGCTATACATGATATACTAAATTATGGGGTATTTCCATCAGACGTCATTGAGAATTACGACCATAAATCATTTCCAGGAGTTGTTCCAAGAACGTTCATAGGGAGTTTGTTAATAAGTCTTATAGCTAAACCCATAATCTTTATTACTTCGTTCTTTGGCTATGATTTATTGACAAATCAAGATCAATTGCAACTTATTGTACGAGCGATTTTAGGGTTAGCTAATATCTCAATGTTGATACGTCTCAGAGATAGTTTGAATAAGATCACATTCAGGGATAAGAAAAGTGCAACCAAAGGTTTAATAGGATTCTGGTATTCGATACTTTTGCTTTCACAATTCCACATATTTTATTATTCATCCCGTACTTTACCAAACTTTATTGCATTACCATTTGTGAATTATTCTTTGAGTCTTTTACTTGAAGGAAATATTGCAGGTTTCACATGGTTAGCTATGGTGGGTGTAATATTCAGATCCGAAGTTGGATTGTTTGGAGGAATTATTGCAATAGTTTCATCCTTAGGATTTGGAGAATCGAATATCTTCACGAACTTGTTATTTTTATTTGCTGGGACTGTGTTTGGTAGTATCACGTCGGTAGTTATTGATTCTTACTTTTGGGGTAGAGTCTTGGTCCCTGAAATTGATTCCTTCATTTTTAACGTTATTAATGGTAATTCTCAAGATTGGGGCACTGAGCCTTGGGGTGCTTATTTTAAGAAGTATTTACCTCAAATTTTTAGACCACCAATTATTCTAGCATTGACTGGACCTGGGTTAATTAGTGATCCTGCTGACGATGGAATCGAGGATACTAAAATCAGACACCCGGCCAGAAATTCACTTCGAATTTTGTTCATTTCATCAATAATTTTTGTTGCACTTATGTCGTTTCAACCTCATAAGGAATGGAGATTTATCGTTTACACAATTCCAATTTTCACATTACAAGCTGCAAATGGTATGGCTAATATTACGATGAAGCGGAGTTTGAGTTTTTCAAATAAATTATTGACTGTCATAATATCATTCTTAGTTTTACTTAGTTGTGTATTATCGTTACAAATGGGGTATGTGTCAAGCTTCAATTATCCAGGTGGTCATGCTTTGGCTTACACAAATGATATAATCAGAAACAATCACAATAATGCCCTCAATGTTCATATCGATGTGCCAGCTTGTATGACTGGAGTAACAAAATTTGGAGAAATTCATGAACCATGGGTGTCTTATGACAAGAGTGAAAATGACGATTTAAATTTGAGCCAATTCGATTTAGTCATCACAAAAGATAAATTGGAGAATTGGAGGTTATTGAGAACATTTAAAGTATTCCACAAGATAACCTTTGATACGATCTATAAATTACTTGTTTCACATAAACTCGACAAATCTACTTTTCCAACTTTAATTTCAATGATTTTTCAAGATTTCATACATGGTTCTACCGAAACTTTTAAAAATTTATTAAAATCTACCATAATGCTAGAGGATTACATAAACGTATATGCAAATAGAAATTCTAGCATAGACGTTAATAGTTTAAGGAATTAAATATAATACATAGTAATAATACAATCTGTACAAAGGGTTAAGTAATTCTCAACTTACTTGCTGGTGAAAATTTGACTTCGTTCTCTTCATTAGTTGGGAACTTTATTGGTTTAATCCTTCCCATTCTCTTAGCTGTTGACAATAATGACAATTCCGGATCATCAAATGACAGATTACTAGCAGGACTTATTTGAGTTGGACTTCTATATTTTGGTGGGGATAATGATACACTGTATTCAAGTTTCATTGGAATAACACTGTCTTCTTTCTTTGGAGTGGAAGATCCTCTTGCTCTACTAAATCTTTCTCTTAAATTATTGATTTGCTGGTCCCTAACTCTCAATGATGTTTCATGTAGTTTCACAGGGCTGGTACCACTTGATCTTGGAGTTGAGACCTTTCTAGGTGATGGTGGTTTATTCGGAGTAGGCGGAAGGATATATTTTTGTCGTTGTTGTTGATAAGTTCTTTTTGCAAGTGGTGACGAGTTGCTAACATACGTTGAGTTAGCTAAAAGTTCTTCCTCCTCTAGTTGTTGATCATCACACTTTCTGGACCATAGATGAAAAACATTTCTTTTTAATCTATGACTTCTTCTATCTTGAAAACTTTCACATAATTGATAATGACGTTTAATATTTTTATTAAATTGAAAAATCCAACTTTGAACTTTAGACTTGAGAAGAATAAAGCTTCTTTCAGTAAAATAATCGTCAGCGTGATCATTCAATTCATCTACCAATTCAAGCTTGCTTTGCCAATGATTAAATAATCTTTTCACTAACTTGTTTGAAATTTTATCCACATTATCTTCCAATGCTAAAACGTGTTTCGACTTCTCCAACCAGTGTCTAAAATATAGTGAAGCATTGGGTGTGAATAAATTTAGTCTATCATTTAGCTCATCCACAATAGCTTGCTTCTCTAAAGATTTTTCATTCCACATCATTAGAATTCTTGCTATCAACCTAAAGTCAGCCTGAATCCGGAACTCTAATAAAATTTGCTCATTCTCATGCTCTTTGACCGCTTCATGTTTCTGCTTCCATTTAGCCAAAGCAAATCTTATCAACATCTTGTCAGAAAATAATAAGCCTTCCACCTTGATGTTCCATCTTAGCATACTTTGATGCCAACCAGTAATATACTTGTGAAGATAAAATTTTTCCGCTTCAATATGGAGTAGTCTATGATTTTCGTATAGTCGAAGCATATTCCTTAAGTATCGTGCCTTTAAGTTTTTATTTAAAGCATTGTTAGCTTTCGCTTCATTCCCAATCACTTCATCATTCTTTTTTATTAAAGTCAGCAAAATCACATTTGTAATAGCTCTATTTTTGGAACTAACCAATCTATTTGCTTTAAAATTGTTAATGAGCAATCTAAAATATACGCTCTTCAAATTATGCTCTATTTTCATCATAGAAAAATTGAATTTATGATTCAAACTCCAGTGCTGCAAGCAACCTTTTATCAAGTTTGATTGGTAAAACTCATCAGCTTTCAATATACTCTTCGTTTTTTTATTCCATTGTATTAATATTGTACGAATTTGCTCAATCAGTTTAATTCTCAAAAAATTGTTCGCCTTCCTTTCTGAGTTTATTCCGTTTTTCCATGCTTCAAAAATGTTGGATCTGAGTCTTTCATCTCTTTTGGCTGCAAAAAGTTTACATTCTTTATTGATATTGTGAATAAAAAGCCATCTTTCAAAATACCGTTGAATAATCCCAAACTTTCTAGCCTGTAAACATTGGTTTAAACTCTCATTCAAGCCAAATATATTTGCATTTCCTACTCGATCTTCCCACAAATTGTAATACCGACGTAATGTTCGTGATTTCTGTTTGGTTATGAAATCAAGCAACTTATTTTCAATAAACTCTGTTTTTGATGTTACCAATTTGGTTTTCTTATTCCAAGTTTTAATAATATTTCGAGCCAAATTTGTATTTTCATGATTTTGGGTATTTTCATATCTTTTTATTAAACTAAGACAGCGATTTCGCATAATATTAATATATTTGATCTGATCATGCAGAACAGCCAAACTAGCCAATTCCGCTCTCTTCTCGACTGTCAGTTTGAATTTTTTAAACACCAAAGATTTTATTCTATTTTTATCTTCCATAATTGCAAGCTTTAATAAATCGTCGTATAACTTTGAATCATTCAACCACACTTTAAATATTTGACGTGTCTTACAAATTACTTGATTAGTTTGATCCAAGTTCTTGACAGCTTCAAATTTGTGAACCCAAAGCTCAAGTGTGTTTTTTTTGACAGATTGGATTTTTGCAAACTCCAAACAACTTAATTTCATCAATAAGGTGGCTGAAGTAGAATTGAATGATGATTGTAAATTAAGAAATAGTTCTATTGCTGATTGAAAAGTATCACCTGCTTCTAATTCTAATATATTTGTGATTGAATTCTCAACTTGTTTTACAAATTCATAATCCTCCTTACTATTCAAAGTTGGGTACAATTTTTGAAATCTTAAAAAAGTTTTGTAGATACGAATAAAATTTGGATTGACATCAAACTTGGAAGCAATTAGCTCATTCATTACTTGTGATAATTGAGGAAGAATCATGTTTCCTTTGGACTCACTGAGGTATTTCAGATTTACTTTTTTGAAAAACTTGGGGAATAATTGAGTTATATTGACGTCTATTCTTTCAATGTCATAGATTGATACGTCTTGACAAGATCTAAATAGGTTTATAATAATTCTGGCTAGTTTATGAATTGATACATCTTGCTGTACTATTAAAACGTTAGATATAGTCTTATATATGAAAGTGAGTACATCGCTGCTTGAGTTGAAAGACAAAGGATGGTATATTTCTGTTCTGCTGTATGGGAATGTTTCGGTGGTATCAAACATTAAGTGTGGATTGATTTTATTAACAAGTACATCAATGTGTTTTGGAATTTCCATCTCATTACTTTTGTAGTAATTTAAATCATATAAAAGACATTTGCTTAAATAATCAATGAATTGTATTTCGACATTGTCTTGTAATTCTAATAAATTTTCGACTATATCCAATAATTTCTGAGCTGTTTGTTTATAATGTTCCATGGGTGTGTCAACCAAGTTATGATATATTTGATGCAATTTAGAATTGTTGATGAACAGTATTTCCAAAAGCTGAATTACGTTTTTAAAAGATATGATTTCATTATTTTCACTATGATCGCTATGACACCATACTGTTAAAGTTCCAATACTTTCAATATTAGTTGTTATAGTTAATTTTGATGATATTTGATTCAAATTCAATAATGTAAACAATTCTTTTATGATTTGCTTTAACGCGATTTCATATTCTTTGAAGTCCTCAACTGCTTCATATCCGTATAAGTGTTCAATGTCACGAAATATGTTACGAAGTTGTTCCTCAATCATCATTGTAGCATCACATTTGTTTATGATACTGGTTTTGATGTAATCAAATGCATTTAATTTAAAGAGGTTTTTTATTTTTTTTTGTTTTCAAGTCTAAATTTAGATTTCATACCCACACCTATCCAAAATTTGACTAAAAGTGCTGCAAAATCATCCTTATTCGAGGTTTTCAAATCCCTCCAATGGGAATTTCAACGATAAAAGAAGATCAGTTAGTTATGACACACAAAGAATCAAGTTACCGTTTGCGCAATATCCATCTAATTATTCTAATCTAGATTTAAGAGATCCTCAATTGCAACCACAACAACAGCAAATACCAATAGGACAACCAAGAATTGCTTCGGATGGGTTCATATATAATTCATCTTTTGATACGCCATATCAACAATTTTCAACCAATTCTGGGTTAGGTGGAAATCCCCATGATTTTTTTAGTGGTAAGGAAAGTCCTGAATTAAATTTCAACACAAATTCACCATATATTCAAGATCAAGGATTTCTCAGTAGTAATACGAGGTTGAATACAACATTCATAAGTCCGGTAAGTGAATCCCCTGAAGGAGGAGACTCTACCATTGTTGGCGAGAGTTCACCTTCTCCTCCTAAATCAATCGCAACAAGTTTAAATTCAAATGTACTTGACTCAATTATTGGAAGATACAATTATAGTAAAAGCACTTTAGATTTGGGAAGGAAAGTAACTCAACCTGATTTACTGCAACAATCATCAAGAGAACTAGCACAACAGACATCTTCAGACTCAAAGAATTCACAATATGACCTACATTATAGACAAAACTCTGATACATCAACTTTATCAAATCAGTCTGACCAGATAAGCAAAAGTAAAAGGTTTGTCAAGTATGCAATGAATACTCATTCTCAATCGGTAAACGCTTCCAAGAAGTGGGAAATAAATAATGTTTTGAGATGGTTAGAGAGAAATCAGTTTAATAAGTCATGGCAAGATACTTTCAAAAATAATGAGATTTCTGGTAATAGGTTTTTAGAATTGGAGAATTTTGAAAAAGATTCAATGATTTGGAAACAATTTTCGAAATATTTAGAACTTGATAATAATCTCAATTCAATTGATCGATTTATTGAATTATTAAAACAAGAAATTACTATTGAAGAGTTCAGTGATAATATATCACCAGTTAATTTAAAAAATGAATACAGAAAATCAACCCCAACTTTCACAAAACATATATCCAGCTCATCGATATCTTCAACAAATTCGTCCACATCCATCCAAAGACCTGCTTCATTCATAGATAATAAAAGCAAAGATCAAACGCAATCTCATCATCTGTTTTTCCGAAAGAATCATAACAAATCAGAAAAAAAAAAGAATTCTGTTGATGAAACAAAACGACAGTCAAAATTGGATTCTAAATTAGCGGGTGGAATTTTAAATACAATAAGAAAATATGGAGGTGATAAAGCTGTAGGAATGGTGAAATCATCTTCATCTACGAAAAATGAAAGAAATAGTCTTACTTTTTCTCCACTGAATATACCACCAGCATTAGACCCAAATATAGACATACCTCCACTACCCTCGCCATTGGCTCAAAATAAAAATGATCAACCAAGGAAGTCGATGGATAGTGCTCGCTCAGCTACATCAGTACCTTCATTTCGAATTGATAATTGTTCAACAGATCAACCTTCTTCTTCAACTCAACTAGACGCAATTTATGCACCAAAGCCGTTATCTGAACAAGAAACTATAACTACTACTATCTTAGTAAGCTGGGATAACAAAACTTTTGCTCCAATCACATTGACGAATGATGAGTTAACGAATGGATTTGTTATGAAAAAGGCGATTATACGACAGTTAGGTGTAATTGATATTAATTCTGTATCTATTCATTTGACAGATTTTAATTCTCAAGAAGGAGAAGCATTACCAGAAGAACTTTTGACTAAAATAGTATCAGAAAATACGCTTATTAAATTACTTATCAAACAAAATCGGGAACCTCCATCACCTCATGGAACTAGCACTATATCTACTACATCATCAGATTCAAAGTCTTTTGAAACTGGAGGTGATGCTTGTACTTATCCTGCAACTCCACAATATCTTTTACAGAACATTAACAACCCTTCTGTCGACTATTTAAATTTCAAAGAACAACAAGCCAATTTATCAAAAATTGTGGAAAATCCTCCTCAAAAACAAGAAAAAGTCAAAAGTCGGAATAAAAGTATTACATCTACAAATACAGTTTCTAAACAAACACAAACTATTGAAACTGCTTTTGATAGTAATATATTCAAAAGTTCTCAACATCATCATGGATTTCCATTAAAATTTCCATTTGGTTCTCATACTAAGAAAAAGACTCCAACTTTACAAATCGATACTACAAAATTTAAACAAGCATCACTTTCCCCAGATTCGGCATCTTCATCATCATTTAAAGTTATAAGAAAAGGAGTCAATGAGATTGATTTTGATGAACGCAGGAAATCACCATATGAACGGAAAGCTCCAAAACTAATAGCAAATATTTATGCATCATCTGTTACAAATATGGAGAAATCACCTATATCTGCAACTACAGTTTCTACATTACGAGATCCACCTTCATCGATGGTCAATAAATCATTAAGTAGTAGAAGTGAAAGATCAGATTCAATTATTGCAAGAAGAGCAGCTCCTCCACCACCAAGTGATCGAAAAAACCAACTTCAAAGACAACATAATAACTCCAAGAAACAATCTAGTCTGCATAGTGGCTTGGAAACAACTAGCTTGGATGATAATAATAGTGTTAATGTTGATGATAATGATGAGGAAGATTTTTTTGTTAAACCATTGGTGAATAAAAATTTAGAAATTCTAAATTCAAATAAAGGTGATGATACTGAAAATTCAATTAATAATTCAGATTCAGAAAATGATTTTTTTGTTAAACCATTAGAACAAAAAAGACAGGTAATGATAGTTCGACCACCGATTGAAGAAGTTTATGATCATCTTGAAAGATATTTCCCAGATACAAATCTTGATAAACCTATAATTGATGTTGATACTTCTTCACCAGTAGTATTACAAAGGAAACCAACAATATCAAGAACATTTTCAAATGCAAATATATCACCAATTAATCCTGAATTAAATGAACCAAGAATAAGAAGAATGAAGACAATTAGAGGTGTAGCTAATGAAGCAAGAAGAAAAGCACTTTTGAGAAGACAAGAAAGTCCTCCTATAACATTTGCAAGTGTTTCAAGAGAAAATAGTTCAAGATTAACAAGATCAAATACCAAGATGTGGGGTCAAAAAGTAGTTGAAGTAACAAGTAAAGAAATTGAACATGGTTTTATAAGTAAATTAAAAAATAAAAATGGAATATATCAAGAAATAGCATGGATTAAAGGTGAATTAATTGGAAGAGGATCATTTGGAGATGTATATTTAGCATTAAATGTTACAACTGGAGAAATGTTAGCTGTAAAACAAGTTATTTGGAATAATAATTTTGATTGTGGTGGAATTGAATCATTACATAAAGAAATTGAAACAATGAAAGATTTAGATCATAAAAATATTGTACAATATTTAGGATATGAACAAAAAAATAATATTTATAGTTTATTTTTAGAATATGTTGCAGGAGGATCAATTGCAATGTTATTAAAATCTTATGGTAAGTTTGATGAACTTTTAATTAGAATTATAACAAAACAAATTTTATTAGGTTTAGAATATTTACATGATAATAATATAATTCATAGAGATTTAAAAGCTGATAATTTATTATTAGATATTGATGGAACTTGTAAAATATCTGATTTTGGTATATCAAGAAAAAATAATGATATTTATAATAATGCAAATATGTCAATGAAAGGTACAATATTTTGGATGGCTCCTGAAGTTATTGATAATTTAGTTGAAGGATATAGTGCTAAGATTGATATTTGGTCATTAGGTTGTGTTGTTTTAGAAATGTTTGCAGGTAAAAGACCTTGGTCAAATGAAGCAGCAATAAGTGTTATATATAAAGCTGGAAAGGAGAAAAAAGCTCCTCCTATCCCCAAAGATATTAAACATTTAGTTGGATTAGAAGCTGAAAATTTTATAAATAGATGTTTTACAATTGATCCAAATTTAAGACCAACAGCAGAAGAATTATTAAATGATCCATTTGTTAATAGTAAAGTTAAAAATTTTAATTTTGAATCAACAGAATTAGGAAGGTTAATAAAGTTTAATAGTAAAGTTTCAATTTAAATGAACTTTTGATATGTCATTATGTTATCTATGTACAATTAATATAGTTTTTTATTATTTCAATTTCAATTCATTTATCATTAATACAGTTTGGAATGGTTCAACATTAAAAGTTTTCGTTCTTCTACATCTTTGCTTTTTTCTAATTACATGATATAATGGTTCTCTTGTAATTTCAACAACACTAGCTTGTAATTCAAATAAGGAAGGATCAATTCCCTTTTTATCATTAAAAGTATATGAAGTAGATCCTAAAGTTATAACATCATTTAATTTTAAAATATCACCTATTTTAACATTTTTTAATTTAAAAGGTAAATATATCTTATCTCCTTTTGTTACTAAATATGGCATATTATATAATCTGAATATAGCATAAAGATCTCTTGATCCATTTGATGATAATTTTAAAGTTGTTATTGAATTAGTTATATTTTGAGATATTGATTGATTGTTATTGGAATTTTGATTTATTAATGTTGGTTGTGTTGTGTTTGATGCTATGGTGGAATTTAGAGTTGATTGACATCGTATTAGATTACTTAATACTGGGTTTGTGAAAGGTTTCAATGTCCTCGTTATTGATGTCCTGAACATTCTTGTGATTTGAATTATTGATGGTTGTAGATAATCCTAACCTTTTGATCTTACTTCATTTGAAAATTTTGGTCGTAAATTTTCACTGATTAACTTAAGTAATATACCTGTATATAAACAACAACGTTCATCGCTACCAATTATCACATCAATTCCATTTTGCAACCGAGTTTTTCTTACTCATTTTATTAATTTATCATATTGAAGAGATTGGCGAAGTTAAAGTGATACATCTGAAAATTTATACATAGAGAGAAACACAATTTTCAAACAGGATTTAAGTGAAGTCAATCACTCATAGTGGTGGCAGATTTAGCTCAACTACATCTAGTTCTGTCCGTTCGTCCCAACGGTAAAAATTTGAAAGATCAACCTAAAGTTTAATTAATATGTAGAATTTTTCTTCAATTTCTCATTTCGATCTCTGATATAATGATATTCTAAACCTGAAATATTGACTCACCATAATCTTGAAATATTTGTAAGACTTTGTTTTCTATATACTTAGGTATATACTGTTCAACCCACCCTTTAAGTAGACTTCGATATAGGTGTGAAGTTCACCAATAGGTATCTAATCTCATATTCCACTTCTTGAGTAAAATACAAACAAAAAACAGAACACAGAAAAAAAATAAAAAAAAAAATTTAATTTCTTCAACAAAAAAGTTTCAATTAGATTAAAATCAAATAAAAGAAAAAAGATAATAACAACTACTACTATTTCAATTCCATAGAGATAAATCAGACATTAATTGATGGTTGAATCTACTTAGGATAGTATCACTACACATTTTTGCATAAGGAGAGATTAAGCATTGGATACTTGGAAAATCATAGGATTAAATTCATTGGAAGTTTTATATCAAAAGATATATTAATAGTTTTCCTGTTTTTCATCATCAAATAGTAGCTAATTTAATTTCAAAAGTCAATTTAAACGTTCAAATAATTCAATTTAGTCATTCTTTTTCACCGCTTGCTACATCATTGCAACAATCCTTTGGCATTTTATTTTTTTTTTTGTTTTCAATACCTAGCTATTCATCTAATTACGTTGTATTTTTAATATCACCATTTGTATTTTTTTCATCAATAAATTACCTCCACAGACCATAGGAAAAACAAAAAGTTCAAAGTTGGAAAGCAAATATATATATAAAACATGTCTGGATCATTTTGGAAATTTAGTAATGGATTTACTTCACTCTCAAATATAACCACATTGTTGGAGAATTTTAATCTAAGTCAAGAACAGCAGCAACAACAAAAACAACAAGATAAAGAAAATGATCAAAAACAAAATCAGAATGATGAAGAGGATCAATTACAAGAATCTGAAGAAACACTGGATGATAATGAATCTATACTGAAAAAGCCCTTAAAAGATCAACAATATGATGTATTAATTAAATTATTGGATGAAAATGATTTATTACAAGAACTATTATCAAATAATCCTATGTTATTGGAATTTTTAAGAGATGAAAATGTACTAAGTATGTTAGTTGATATTGTAATATCTGATGAATTTAAAAGAATTGCAGAAAAAGAACAAAATGAACAAGATAAATCTAGAATTGAAGAGGAAACAAAAGCACAAAGCAATTTGGAAAAAAAGGAAGAAAAAGAATTACCAGCAACTCCTGATGAAGAAAAAAATGAGGAAACAAAAGACAAATCGGAGTCGGATAGCGTCGTAGATACAGAAAAGGAGAATGAAACCGATTCGGAGAAAACTAAATCGGAGAACAAATCAGATCAAAAGGATGATGAGAGTGAAGAAAGTGAAGATAATGATGATGAGGAAGACGAAGATGATGAAGAAGAAGAAGAACTTCCGGAAGATAAATTCAGACGAAGAGCAACATTAGCATCAGAAGTTTTAAGTGCAGATGTTTGGTCATTAACAGATACAGTTATGGAATCAACTTCAAATTTAAATAAATTATGGGGTGTATTAGATAGTAAAGAATTACTTGATATTAATGTATCAACTCATTTTATGAAAATTATGGAACATTTATTAGATATGAAATGTGATGAAATGATAACTTATCTTATAGAAAATCAACCAAATTTAGTTGAAAAATTTATGAATCATTTATCAAATCCTCCATTAATGGATTTTTTATTAAAATTAATATCAACTGATAAACCTGATAATTCAACTGGTATAATAGATTTTTTACAAAATCAAAATTTAATATCAAAATTAATTAGTGCATTAGATGTACCTGATGATTACAATGATGAAAAACCTATAAATCATGAATTACAATTAATAGAACAAAGTTCAGCTGCTGATTTTTTAAAAGCATTGATTACTATATCTGCAAATTCAACTGCTGATAATTCTACGATAGGACCAAATGAACTTACAAGAGAATTAGTTTCAAAAGAACAAATGACTCGTTTATGTGATACAATGTTAAAAGGTGGATATGCATTAGCTAATGGAGTTGGAATAATAATAGAAATTATAAGGAAAAATAATTCAGATTATGATATTTTACCAGTTTTATATATTACTTTAGAAAGTCATCCACCAACGGGGAGAGATCCAATTTATTTAGGACATTTATTAAGAGTATTTGGTGAAAGAATACTGAAATTTAATGAACTACTAATAAAAGATGATAATGAATCTAAATTAAGAACACCATTTGGAGTTATAGAACCATTAGGATTTGAAAGATTTAAAATTTGTGAATTAATAGCTGAATTATTACATTGTTCAAATATGGCATTATTAAATGATAATAAAGGACTTGATGTAGTTACTGAAAGAGATGAATTAAGAAATAAAATGAAAGAATTTGATCCTATAAGTTTTAAATATAATGAAATTATTGTTTTACCAAATGAAAATGATAATGATAATGATGATGAAAATTCTAATTCTAAAAATAATAATAATAATAATAATGATACAAAATCTGAAGATTCTGCAAATAATTCAGCAAATGATACAATTGAAAACTTTAATAATATAAATGAAATTGGAGAATTAGATGAAGAAGAACCTCATGCAAATTCAAATCTTACAGAAGAACAAATACGATCAAATCCAGTTGTTGGAGATTTTTTAAAAATTGCTTTATTTGATACTCAAATTATTTCAAATATTTTATCAATGTTTTTTAGATTTCCATGGAATAATTTTTTACATAATGTTGTATTTGATATTGTTCAACAAGTTTTAAATGGTTCAATGGATATTGGATTTAATAAATTTTTAGCAATTGATTTATTTCATTCAGCAGATATAACAAATAAAATAATTGAAGGTCAAAAATTATGTAATGATTATGAAACAAGTCATAATGGTTTAAGATTAGGATTTATGGGTCATTTAACTTTAATTGCTGAAGAAGTTGTTAAATTTGTTCAATTATTTCCTTCAAATACTTTAAGTGATTATATAAATGAAAAAATTGAAAGTGAAATTTGGGAAGATTATGTTAATCATGTATTATATGATACAAGAGAAAAATATAATGCAATATTAGGTGGAAATAATGATGATGATGAAGAAGATAAAGATGAAGAAGAAAATACTACATTTGATGAAGGATTAGGGGAAATAATAGAAGAAGTTAAAACTGGATTAGTTTTTCATGATGATGATGATGAAGAAGAAGAAGAAGATGGTAATGAAAAAAATCATAATAAATTTGGAAATAATGTTGATGATTATGAATCTGGTGATGACGAAAATAAACATAAAAATGAAATACCAAAAAAGGATTTATTAGATAGTGATGAATCTGAATCTGATGATGATGATCAATTTTCAAATTATATGTCACAACAATTAACAAATAATAATCAAGATCGAGAAGAAGATGAATTAGAAAGTTCAAGTGAAGATGATGAAGAACAATCAACACATCATAGTAATGATGAAGAAGAAGAAAATGAAATTGATGATGATTATATTGATCCTAACGATGATGGATTATCTTATAAAAAGAGTAATCATTTATATGATATGAAAAATAAAAATAAAAATAAGAGAAAATTAGAGGAAAAATATGCAAGTTCAAGTAGTAGCTCAAGTAGCTCTTCGGATGATGATGAAGATGAAGATGAAGATGATGTTGATGAAGACGAGGAAGAAGATGGCGAAGAAACAAAATTGAAGGATACGCCTAAATTAACACGATCATCAAGTAAGAATTAAAACACAAAGAAACCAAGAATAGATGATTAATAATGACGATTTTTTGATGCATTAAACTTAATAATTATTTAATGAATTTAATGAATTTTATTACTTTACGATTTACAAACATTTAATGAACTGTAGTTTTTAAATTAGCTCTACCTTCTCTTTCTAATGGTGGAACTTTTCTAATTATATTTGAATCTTTTTCACCATTATTATTATTTTCTGATGGTACACCACCCATTAAACCTTTACTCATTGCAAAACCAGAAGATCTTTCTGTTGAACCTTCACCATAAAATTCATCTTCTATAGGATGCATTAAAACAGTATTTTTATTAGTTATTGTAATTAAAGTATTTGTTGGAACACATAACCAATCACCTCTTTCAAAAGTTAATGGTTCACTTGCAACAAATATAACATCTTGAGATCTATTTAATCTTTCCATTTTAAATAATCCTGGTTGATATTCAAAAAATTTTGAACCAGTACTAAAATGTAATGAAGCAGCTTCATCAGTTTTTGAAGTTATGTATCTACTTACAACTATTGATTCTCCATCTGTTGCAGCAAAATTTAATAAAGATGGTTCATTTGTAACTTCTAATTGCCAAATTTTTATAAGTTCAATAGTTTTTAATATTGCCTTTTTTAAAATAATATGAGAAAATTTTGTTTCTTTTAATTCTGGATCATATCCCATTTTATCTAATGTATCCAAGAATAAAGCAAAACAACATTCAGAATCTGTTGAACCTTGTAAATATAAGAAATATTTATCATTTAAATGATTTATTAATTTTTTTTTAATTAAATTAAAACTTGATATACTACCATTATGCATAAACATTAATTTTCCATAACTAAAAGGATGACAATTAGTTTCCGATAAAACACCTTGAGTTGAAGCTCTAACATGACCAAATACAAGATGAGATTCAGTACAATGTGATAAATTATTTAAATTTACATTATTCCATGCTGGTGTTATAGCTTTAAATATACATGGTTCATTATGTTCTGTATAATATCCTACTCCAAATCCATCTCCATTTATTGGATTTCTCATATCAAGTCGTAGTCTTGAATCAAATGATTGATTTATTATTGAATGTGCTGGTTTTGTTAATAAATCTGATAGTACCATCAGTTCTCTTCCTTTAAATATCATAAATCTACACATCGTTGTTGTTTGTAAGTTGTATGGTTAGTTGTAATTCGTGGATGAATGGTTAATAGTGATTCGATAGTTCTATAATGATATAGTGGCAATATTGATGTTTTGAAATAAAAATGTGTGTTAAATAGATAAGATAAAATTTGAAATATTTTTTTTTTCTTTTTCTCATTTTGCATCCACAATTAAATTTAGTATCTTAATACGAGTAATAGTCTCTAGACGATTGATGAGTTTGATTCTGGCAGTCATTCTCAAGAAAACTCTTGATTCCAGAATAATTAGGATTCACAGAACTGTATGAATCTATAATGGAAAGTTAGAATGATTTGATCCCTTACTCCATGATAATATATACGGACGAAAAGAAATTTGGAAGATTTTAGTACGAAAATTGATGAAAATCACAATGTGTTCTGAACTTCAGTCATAGTATCTGTTATTCTCAATTACATCTTATCATTATTATGAGTTGATTATTTATCAGTTGTTATAGACTATAAGAATTCAAAGATCGAGTTGATGAAATATTTAAAGAATGTCGGAAATATGAATTTAATGAAATCGGCTTTACTTTATATTTTCAATTTTGTGTCAAGTATCTATTGTATCAGTAAATTTATCAATTGCTATTCATAAACCTCCTTAATTATTTCTTTCTATTTAATTCTATAAAGAGAAAGTATTGTCGACCAATTGACTTTTAAAAATTTTAATCAATTTTACAGGAGTTATTATACTTAAATTGAATCTTATAATTTCATCGTACACTTATACAATTTTTTTAAAAATTATCACAACTTAATTCAATTCAGTTTTGACCTTCCCATTCAATAACTACAATTAAATTACCATTGAATTTATAGAAACTAAAACTCAATTAAATTTCAGTAACAGAAAATGTCATTATTTAGAACTTTACAATCATCACCTGCAACTATAACATTATTTCATAATGCAAAATTACCATTATCAAATAAAGTTTATGATATTTTAAACAAGACATATGAAACATTACCAGAAAAACCAAAATATGATTTTCAAATTGATTTAGCTAAAAATCAAATGCCAACATATGATCAATATCAAATATTTGTAAATAAATTTTTGAAAACTGAACAATCAAAACAAACATTACATAATTGTTTCCCATTTTTACATGATAGACAAACTGAATTATTAAATTCAAATGGTAAAGTTATAACTGTTAAGGGAATAGATTGGTCAAATAAAATTTTTAATCAACATGATTATCAATTAATTTATGATACATTTAATAAATTAATTAATGAATCAACTGATTTATCTATTCATACTAATCCTGCTGATATTTTTAAAGCTCCTTTAGTTGTTGATTGGGATCAAGATTTATTAGCTGGTGATGAAGAAACTTTAAAAACTTTATTAGCAAAATATACAAATCAAGAATAAGATTTTATAATAGCTTGAGCATTGTGTATTATTAACCACTTTATAAGCACTTTATAATAAAACGATTAAAAGAATTTACTTATTTCAACATTGATTGAATAAATTGTAGATACTTACTAGACTAATTAAAAGAATGTCAAAAGTTAGTTTATTCGACCCCCGGTGTATCTTTGTCTTCTCTTAAGTGTTGCGGTACGGATGGAGTATTAGATTTTTACTATGTTGGTACAGTTGTTGTTTTTCCCAAAAAGGGTCTAATTAAAAGTATGGGGTATTTCTCTTAGTAAAATTCTCGCATGAAATAAAATAAGTATATCAAATCTTTCAAATTATATTTATTTCTTTCAACAACTTTGAAAGGCAATTCAATAAAAAAATGAGTGGTAAAAAATCATATTTACTAGCTTATAATGGAATATCAACATTACTATGGTCATATATATTATATAATAATATAATTGATTTATCAAATGGGTTTTTTTCCTACAAATTAAATGAAGGAATCCCTCATAAATTTATAATAATAACTCAATTGATTAATTCATCTTTTGAAATTTTCCATTCAGTAGTGAGGCTTGTTCCTTCTCCTTTAGCTACTTTATTTTTACAATCTTTTGCAAGATTAATTATAATGATTGGGATATGTTTTGTTATACCTGAATCTCCTGCTAATTTTAATTTATATATTTTTTCAGGATTAATTTTTGCTTGGTCTATAACTGAAATTATAAGATACGGATTTTATTTCTTGAAGTTATGGCAAAAGAATGTACCTTTTGCTTTAGTTTGGTTAAGATATTCTGCATTTTTTGTGTTATATCCCCTTGGATTAATTTGTGAAAGTATAACTGTTTATGATTCTTACCTGGTGATTGAAAAAAGATTACCTTTATATTCAAAATTTTTAAAATTTGCATTACCTTTATATTTACCTGGTTTCTTGTATCTTTATAATTATATGATTAAACAAAGAAGAAAAGTTTTAAGAAATGAAAAACAAAAACTTCTATAAATTTAAGGTGAATAGTCTATTTAGTAGTGCTATGTTAAGTATATACAAATTCTTTAGATATTTCATTTAATTCATCAAAATTATATACATCATCAATTTCAGCTTCTTCTGTTTGTTCTGCTTGTTCTTGCTTTTCTCCTCCTTCTTCAAGATCACTTGGTATATCTGTATTTTCTAATGAAAGCAATTGAGTTCTCTTTCTAACTCCTACTAAAGTATCAATTTGAATTTTTGTTTCTTCAGAAATATTTGTTATTCCCTTTAACATTTTTATACCATCTAACCAAACATATCTTTTTACATCAGAATCAGTATAAAATGATAATAATTTTTTTTCATCACCCCCGAAAATTATAATTTTATCATAAGAAATTGAACCTTTTATTGAAATTAAATTTGAATGTTTTTTTTTAATTTCTTCTCCCATTGCTTCACCAATTTGAATAGATTTTAAATCTTTTATATCTGATAATTTTATACCACCTAATTCTTCTAATTCTTCAATTGTTGGATTATTATTTTTAGGTTTTTCTAAAAATTCTTTATAATATATTGATTTTCTATTGGGTGATAATGAAATATAACTAAATTTTGGTGTTGTGTTTGTTAATTTTTTATTTGAAAATAATGATTCACCAAATTGTTCAGTATAAACCCATGAACCTTTTAATAATTGAATAATTCTTTGTTCACTAACTAATTTTAAAACTTCTTTATTTAAATTATTATTAAATTCAATGAATTTATTTTCCCATTTAACGAAATCATTTTCATTACTTATATTTATTTGATGATTTCTCATTTCTTGAGAATTTGTCATATCTAAACATTCTTCAATATTCATACCACTCCCCAAATTTTTTTCATAAATATCAATATTTGATTTTAATAATTGTAAAATTTTATCAATATCTGTTTCATTTAATTCAGCTTTTGTTTCTTGCCATAATATAAGACAATTATTCATTGTATAATAAATCATAAATTCCCAATTTAAAATTGATGAATAAATATTAGGGAATTGATTTTTTTTTTCAAATATTTCAATCCACATTTTAGAACATTTTTCAATAAATAAACTTAGCGGAAAAGTTCTTAAATGATCACTCATCATTAATTCTTCATGAAATCTTTTTTTAAATGTAAAATTTGGATCTTTTAAAAAAATTTTTAAATCCATTGCTAATAATATTGTAAAATTATCTATTATAAATTGTCTTGGATTTTCAGTAAAACCAGCTTTTATATATTCTTTTGTTGTTGCAGGAGTACCATATTCATTTAAAGAAATTTCCAAAAATATAAATAAATTATTTAACATTGTTTGATGAGATTTTATTGATAAATCAAATTTTATTGAATTAAGATATTTATTTAATTTCATATAAGAAATTTTTAAATTTTCAATTTCATTGTTTAGGTCGTTATTTGTAGATTCGGTGGTGTCTTCTAAATTATCTATTGTATTAAAAAATAATACATGTTTTAATCTACCTGCTATAGTTATAATACCTGAATAATTAAATTTTAAAGATTTATTTATAATTTCAGTTATAAATTTAATTGACATATAAATAATTTTAGAATCTTGTAAAAATAATTTTGATGTTATAATATCAATAACATCTAAATATTCAATTAAAGATTCAAATAATGGTAGATAATTTTCCAATTTATTTGATATAAAAATTTGTCCTGAAATATCTAATAATGAAATTTTTAATATTGCTTTGTATGTTTCTGAAGACATATTTATACTTATTATTGAATATAATGTCTTGAATAAATCATAATCTAATATTGAAATAAATAAATCTGATGATATATTTATACAATCTAATAATTTTGCTAATACAACTATTGAATTTACTTTTTCTTGTTTATCTTTCCCCAAAATATTTGATTTTAATATTGTTGCATAATTTATTGATGTTATTTCATCTAATTTTAATTTTGTTATATTATTTTTACTTAATAATTCATTTAATTTATGATTTATACTTCTTGAAGATTCAGACATGATTGTACAAGTGGTGTGTGCTTAGTTTGGTGAATAGTGAGTGGTTAGAAGTAACTAGTGATTGGATAAATGGGTGAATAAGTGTGTTGTAAATGTTGATTTGTTCAAAAAGAAGCTGAATTTGAGAATAGAATTGGTTGTAAAAAAAGTTGAAAATAAATTTTGATAATAAAAATCAAATTTTTTTTTTGTACCTGAAACTTCAATTTAATTTTAATTAGGTTAATTAATTAGACGAGTAAATCTATACTGTAAATCTATACAATAATAGATAGTAAGTAATAAAGGGTGCAATGATACAAAATCTAACTACCTCTGCAATCAAATCCTAAACACAAGCTATATCTGATAAGAACCCCTGAAACTTATTGGAGAAAGTATAATAATACAGTTTGATTCATATCTAATCAACTGTGAACGTTTTCCTTATCATATAGTCTATTTGATTAAATCACGTTAAACATATAGAAATATTTAATAATTAAACGTAAATGGACCCCTAAATAGAATTTCTCGTTCCGATTAAATTTATTCTAGACTAATTAAAACATATTGGTAGCATAATCTTTTTTCTCTCCAATTTAACAATTAAGTAAGGTATTACATAAGATTCAAACAGAGTATTATGTAATCTATTATATTACTAGAGGTCCAATAAGTAATTACTTCAAGTGCGCTATTACGCGCTAACTTATATTACAGTAGTCTATTCCCCATAATAAATTACATACTGTAAATTAATTACATACATTTTTTTTTACAACCAAAATATTTAATAAATTATTGAAATTGCAACATATTTATACCACATCTATAGAGGAATACATCAACCATTAGATTGAATTGATAAACCATCTACCATATAGTATCATATCATAATCATTGCATATCACATCATATCATTCTTTATATAAGAAACTCCTTTCACCCTTAAATGAGTTTTTTAAAAAGGGATAAATCTAAAACTAATTTAAATTCTGCTGGTCAGAGATATTATGAAGAACCTCCTTCTCCAACTACTAATTTTACATCAAATGATCCATTTTATGATCCATCTAAAATATCAAGAAGTATGACTACTACACCTGATATAAATAATGAATATTCACCAAGATCTTCAATAATTTCAATACCACAAATTATTCATTCAAGTAATAATAATAACAATTCTCAAAATATTTCAAATATAAATAGTAATACAAATTCAACTACAAATACTAATTCAAATTTACATATAAATATAAAAGATAATTATAAAGGATTTCATAGACCAAAAAGTATTGGTAATATTCCTCCTTTATTACATCCAATAAAACCAAAATTTAAAAAAAAAAGTAGTTCATTATTTAATAAATTAATAAGTTCAAAACAAAAAGATGGTGGAAATTTAGAAGAAGAACAACAATTAGATGAATATACAACTAATACAAATAGAGGTAGTATTGGTAGTAGTAGTATAAGTGGTACTAGTAATAATAATACTAGATTTATTTCTTCTTCTTCAGAAGGTTTAACTTCTCCAGCTCAATCAGTATCATCATCAAGAGCAAATTCAATAACTTCTGCTGAAGAACAACCACACCCTCAACAAAATCAATCTTCAACTACAACTAATGAACAACGAAAGAGTAATTCATCATCATCTTCATCAAGTCATTCTAAACATAAATTCAGATTACCTTCATTATCAGATTATCATCCTCAACATGGTTCACAAATACTGGCTCAACTGTTACAAATGACTCAAGCAGATTCAAATCAATCAAAACCACCACCACAATCACAAAATTTTGCTTCATCATTACCAACTAATTCTCCAGAAAATGTAATGTCAATAGATTTAAATTTAGATGAAATGCAAGATATAATTAAATCAAAAGATTCTTTACCAGTTCCAAAACAAAATTGGAAAGCACCAGATAGTTGGGATGTTAAACAACAAAAAATTGAAGAAGAAATAAATGAGGAACCACAAGAGGAAGAATCTAATAAATTAATTCCAATTGAAAATACTACTTTACCACCTTCGGAAAATACTTTACCATCACTTTATGGAACAAGACAAACTCATGTTGTTAATAATGTTGTTGATCCAAGACCGAGTCATATTGTTAAAATATTTAAAGAAGATAATACTTTTACAACTATATTATGTCCATTAGAAACTACAACTACTGAATTATTAAATACAGTTCAAAAAAAATTTTTTTTAGAATCTGCTTCAAATTATCAATTATCAGTTCATGTTGGTAATTGTGTAAAAGTATTAGAAAGTTTTGAAAAACCAATAAAAATTCAAATGGGATTATTATTATTAAGTGGTTATACTGATGAAGATAATTTAAGAATTATAGGAAGAGGAGATTTATCATTTGTTTGTAAATTTGTTGTTGAAAATATTTATTTAAGAAGTTTAACTCATGATGAAGAAACAATTTTATCAAAAAATTATGTTGATGTTAATATATCAGCATTAAATTTAAAAAATATTCCAATAATTTTTCATCAACATACTTATGAAATCGAAAAATTAAATGTTTCTGAAAATCCTTCAATTTATATTCCATTAGATTTTATACAATCATGTACTAATTTAACAAGTATAAATTTTGCAAGAAATGGAAGTTCAAAATTTCCAATAAATTTTTTAGAAGCTAAAAATTTAACTCATTTAAATTTAGAACTGAATTTTATTGATGATTTACCAATAAAAATAAATATGTTAACAAATTTAACTCATTTAAAATTAAATTCAAATCAATTATCTCAATTACCAAAATCATTTGGTGAGTTGAAAAACTTAGTTTCATTAAATTTATCATCAAATTATTTTAATATGTATCCTGAACCAATAAATGATTTAGAAAAATTAATTGAATTAGATTTATCATATAATGATTTATCATATATTCCAGAAACTATAACAAATTTAAAAAATTTACAAAAATTAAATTTATGTACCAATAAATTAAGTAAAAATTTACCAAATTTTTTATCAAATTTTAAAGCTTTAAAAAGATTAGATATAAGATATAATCAAATAACAAATGTAGATATATTAGGAGAATTACCAAATTTAGAAGTTTTATATGCTTCAAGAAATTCAATATCAGCATTTTGTGATAAAATGCAAAATTTAAGATTATTACATTTTGATAAAAATCCAATTACTGAATTACAATTTGTTTTTGATTTACAAATGCTTAATATATTAGATTTATCAAAAGCTAAAATTACATCAATGCCTTCTGAATTTATATCAAAAATTCCAAATATTGAAAAGTTGGTGCTTGATAAAAATCATTTAGTAAATTTACCAAATGAAATTGGACAATTAAATAAATTATCATATCTTTCAATTTATTCAAATAATTTACAAATTTTACCAAATTCATTTGGAAATTTATTAAATTTACAATATTTAGATTTACATTCAAATAATATTCAATCATTACCTGGTGAAATTTGGAATTTAAAATCGTTAATGTTATTAAATGTTGCAAGTAATAATTTAACATCATTTCCAAAACCTCCTTTCGCTATAGCTAAAAGAATTTCTTCATCAACTGATCTTAGGGAGATGCCATCATCTGGTTCAATGGCTGATAGTCTTTCATCATTAATAATATCAGATAATAGATTAAATGATGAATGTTTTGAAGCTATATCATTTTTAATTGCATTAAAAACTTTAAATGTTTCATATAATGATTTAATTGAAATTCCTGAAGGTTCATTAGCAAGAATGAATAGATTAACTGATTTATATTTATCAGGTAATGATTTAAGTACTATACCTGCTGATGATTTAGAACATATAAAAACATTAAGATTAATTTATTTAAATAATAATAAATTAGTTTCATTACCTGCTGAATTAAGTAAATTAATAAATTTACAACATTTTGATGTTGGATCAAATCAATTAAAATATAATATATCAAATTGGCCTTATGATTGGAGTTGGCATTGGAATAAAAATTTAAAATATCTTAATTTTTCAGGAAATAAAAGATTTGAAATTAAACAAAGTCATGTTAAAAATCCAGAAACTGGTGAAGATTTTGATAGTTTATTAGTTTTAGATCAATTAAAAGTATTGGGGTTAATTGATGTTACTTTAACTACTACTTCAGTACCTGATCAATCAGTTGATAAAAGAATTAGAACTACTGCTTCTGAATTAGAAAATATTGGTTATGGAGTAAGTGATACAATGGGTCAAAGAACTTGTGTATCAAATAGAGATTTATTTATACAAAAATTTAGAGGTAATGAAAATGAACTATTAATTTGTGCATTTGATGGTAAACATGGAGCTCCAAATCAAGGTCATAGAATTTCAAGTATTGTTAAAAATCTGATTACTAAAAATTTAACTGAAGAATTACATAAAATTGATGATAATCCTGATAAAGTTCATATAGCTTTAAGAAGAGCATTTTTATCATTTAATAAAGAAGTTAATGGAGTATTATTAGCTAAAAAGAGTCATACTTTTACACCATTACCTCAATATTCAAAAGATATGATTGATTTAAATTTAATTGATGATGCAAGAACTGGTTGTGCAGTAACTGTTATTTATATAAGAGATAAAAAATTATATTCTGCAAATATTGGAGATATTGAATCATTATTATGTCAAAATAATGGAAATTTTAGAGTTTTAACAAATGTTCATAGACCAACTAATCGTCAAGAATTTGAACGTATAAGAGCTTCTGGAGGTTATGTTTCAGGAAGTGGAGATTTGGATGGTGATTTAGCTATTTCGAGAGGTGCTGGTTTTTTTTCGTATTTACCTCATACTCATTCAGGTCCAGATGTTAGTGAATTAACTTTAACTCCAGCAGATGATTTAATAGTTATTGCAACAAAAGTATTATGGGATTATATAACTCATGAATTAGCTGTTGATATATTAAGACAAGAAAAAAATGATCCAATGATTGCTGCACAAAAATTAAGAGATTTTGCTATATGTTATGGAGCAACTGATAAAATTACAGTAATTGTTGTTACATTTGGTGGTAAAAAAGTTAAACTGAATGCATTATATAATAATTTAGGTAGAGAAGCTGATTATTTTAAAAGAAGAAGAGCTGATAGAGTTGGTGATTCATCATTAAGAAGATTAGAAAGTGAAATAGAACCTCCAATTGGTGAATTAGCTTTAGTATTTACTGATATTAAAAATTCTACATTATTATGGGATTCATATCCAGCACCAATGAGATCAGCTATAAAAACTCATAATTCAATAATGAGACGTCAATTAAGAATTATAGGTGGTTATGAAGTTAAAACTGAAGGTGATGCTTTTATGGTTGCTTTTCCTTCACCTACATCTGCTTTATTATGGTGTTTTAATGTTCAACAAAATTTATTAACTGCAGATTGGCCAACTGAAATTTTGGAAACTGATCAATGTTGTGAAGTTACTGATGGGAAAGGGAATGTGATATATAGAGGTTTATCAGTAAGAATGGGAATACATTGGGGATCTCCAGTATGTGAACCAGATGTTGTTACAGGTAGAATGGATTATTTTGGACCAATGGTTAATAGAGCTTCTAGAATTAGTGCTATTGCTGATGGTGGTCAAATAGCTGTTAGTTCAGATTTTCTTGATGAAATGAGAGCATTAACTGCAATACATGATGATATAAAAAATAATGTTAAAACTGTTGCTGATGCTTATCAAGGTAATGAAAATGCAGGTAAAATAATTGAAAGAGAATTAACATCACTTGATGATCATGGATCAAATTTTTATAAAATGGGAGAAAGAAAATTAAAAGGTTTAGAAATTCCTGAAATGATAACATTAGTTTATTCAAGTAGATTAAAATTAAGATTTGATATATTTCAAAAAAGATTAGATATTGATGAAAGTCATAGTACTAGAGTTATTGGAACTATACCAATTGAATGTATTACTGCTATAAATAATATATCATTAAGATTAGAAAATTTATTATCTTTTATAAATGGTGGTACATATACAAAAGAAGGTTTAAAACAAAATCAAAAATTATTAGATGTAAATGTTCAAGATTTATTAAATTCAGTAACTAGAATAGAAAATTCGGTTGCTTCTTTATATTTAAGACAAATTGTTAATGATAAAAGATATGGATTTAATAATCAACCATTATCACAAGTATTGAATGAATTAACAAAAATGATCAAACATTAATTAATAATTATTTATTCCAATTTTTTGGTTTTTCCAAGAACTTTTTTTCTTTGTTTAATCATATAAGTATAAAGCATGTAGAAACCTGGAATATATGTAACTAAAATGATTTTCAAAAATAATTGATAATAATATCCAACATTATTTAAAGATAAAAGTATTTGATATATCTCACTAAATACTCCAGTTGGATATAATATATAAAATGTAGAATAACGTAACCAAGTTAACCAATCAGGAACGTCATTTCTTAAATTCTGAGCATAATATGAATATCTTATAATTTCAGTAATTGACCAACTTAATAATAATGTTATATAACTCCAATGATAATTTGCTGGTGAATTTGGTATAAATTGATGTATTCCCCAAACAATTAATAGTCTTGAAAACACTTGAGTTACAGTAGTGAAAATAGGTGATTTAACTAATCCAATTGCTGAATTTATAATTTCAAATATTGCAAATGATTGAATTATTGTATTGATAAAATTTGTTTTTAAATATACATATGGTTGACCTAATACTAATGATAGAAATATAGTATTGAAAAATATTATGGACCATAATGATGCTGAAAGTGAATTGTATACCACTAACCATCTATTTGGTTGTGGAGTTGTATTTGACATGATTGATGAATTATTTGGAGATAGCCTAGTTGAATTGAAAAAAATAAAGATTTTACGATAATTTTGGAGTAAACAAATTCAAGATTGTACTCAAAAATGAAAATAAGTTCTCAATTTTTACAGTCGAACTAAGAAAGAACATAGATTGCAAGGATACTTAGGTTCTACTTACCAATCAACAAAAATTGCATGTCAAACTCTCCTCATGATTAACAAGAGCTTAAAGTTAGAAGATAGTGCTCACACAATATTAGATTTTGAAAAATAAAGTTGCATTTAGTTAAGAAATAAATAAAACTCCGGTATACATTAAAATTGACCTAAACAGCTCATTTCTTCTGTTTTGTCTTCGTTGTATAAAACGTGTTTGTCTTTTTATTCTGCTCTAACTCACAAATCCCTGCCTTGAAGTATTCTTCCAATACTAAATAATTCTAACAAGTTGAATTCTTTTTCGTATTGTATGCTTAGCTCGAAAATTATAGTTTGGACTTTTTCCGATAGCTGAAAATTCGAAAAGGCATATTTTTTCAAGGTCTAGTAAAATTGACATGGATAGCTCACAAGCAAGTGTCTCAGTCGAGCATTGAAAGGCCAAGTATTTTTATTGAGTAGCGCTGCTCCCGAATTCCCGTCCATTACAAACCTAATTTTCGTCTTAGTCTACCTGTTATACAGGTGTATCACCAAAAATATAAATATAGGGGCTTATGAGGTAACTTAAATACTACGTCGGCTTCTCTTCCATCTTAGAATTAAACAGCGCTGGAAATATAGAAAATTCATTATTCTTAATGAGTGTCATGTTATTGAAAAGTTTCTTCTGTTAATTGATCTATTACTTTTGTATTGACGTGTGTAAGTAAAAGATCTGGCTCTAAATTCTGTATATAATTTTGTTAGAGACGGAATATACTCGATACTTCACTTTCAGATTTGTATATAGTTGGTTGTATGAAGTACTGGCTTATATACATCAATTCTTTTAATATCATTGTGTTTCTTTCCCTAATGATATTGGATAAGAGCTTGACAATTTGGACAATAATTTTGTGTTGATTTGAACTGCATGATTGAGAAATCCTGGGGCAACACATGTATTAAAAATATTTAAGATTTCAAATTCCCTCGAAGCCTGAAGGCGTGATATTGATCTGCGATCAAAAATTGGAGGACTTAAGTTTTGTACCACCCCTAAATTGATTAAAGTATTGTATAAATTCTTTTAAATCCTCGTTTCACATTTTGAGACCGTGCATATTTGTCATAATGTGTGTTTACTTTAAGAAATTTTTTGGCTCTTATTATTCGATGGCTGGTTATAGGAATATGTTTGATACGACAATTATTTTATTTAATTTAAAAAATAATTGATTTTGGGAAAAAAAAAAATATTCAGACTGTTTGTAAGTTTAATATATATGATGTTTCAGATTTCAGATTTTTGCCTCCGTACTTACTATATGCAGTATTGTAAGAACTTTTTTAGTTTCTTCATTCGAATTCAGTACCAATTTAAGTTCATCTTACTTAAAACTGTTACATTAAAAGCCATAACTACCTATAGTATGTTTGCTTGTAAAGAGTTATTTGAATACTCAATAGATACTCTTTGAATAAAGAACTTCATTATCGCATCAGATTTATGAAAATTCACTAAATGTGGAAGGAAAAGCCGGTTTTGAAGCTACGTAGTTCGTTGGAAAGAGTATTATTATCTGCTGGTATCTACAGACAAACTATTTGTAAAATTCGTACTAAGGTGAGTTAATGAGCATAGGGAGTTCTACTAACCTACTGCTTAAATGAAAACTTGCAAGACTAAAGACAATTTTACTTACGTATAAAAGATTATAAATTTCAAGTAATCTCAGCGAATGGAGTTAATCTATTTCAAATTTGAATCTGCTCGTTTCTCTTGAGAACTTTTAAAACAGACTTTTGAATGTCAAAAGTATCAAAAAGATCCATTTCATAAAGTTCCTCAATTGAATATTCGATTTTCAAAACAATGTCAAGTTGTTTTGAATGATCGTTATTGATATAAAGACCTTTTTCATCAAAGATTGACTCAAGTCTTTTAATTGAGATTTTGTCACTCGTGAAGAAATATGATGGCCATTGACAAGATATAACTTGAAAATAGTCAGGCGTATTTATCCGCAAATTATCCCATGTACAAAAGGTATCATTTGCTTGTTTCATAAATCGAGGCCACCAAGACAATCTTAAATTTGGATTTATAAGATATAGTTCGGCAATTTCTGCGGCATACGTATCGTTAGCAATTTCGGTGCATATTAGCAATTTGTGTAAAGTTGACACATCAATCAGTTTCAAATCTAAAGTTGGTGATGATAGAACTAAATTTCTCAATTTTGGTAAGTTTGCATTGCATAATATCTCTTCAAAATTGAACTCTTGAAAAATATAATGATCTCCAGAATATGTTTTGTTATGATAATCTAATGACAACGAGATAATTTCTTTTGTATCAAAAAATTCATTTAATGTGAATAACCATTTTCCAGGTTTCGATCGAGCGTAAAAGGCTTGACTATCCCAATGATCAGAATATTTGAGCTTTCCCCAAAATGTTAAATCAAGTTTCTTCAATTTGCAGTTTACTTTATTCAATCTACCAAGCAATGATGGATCCATCAAGTCAATTAGGTCTTCAAATACAAGATGTAATTCCTCAAGCTTTTTGAATGAATTGATTTTATTAAATGTATCAATTGATCTAAATAAATCCCTATCACAATTATACCTCAGCCCTGCACAATGGGTTGGAAGAAATTGAAATTTGAAGCTTTTGAGATTATCATATAAGAAATCATATGACACTTGATAATCCCGCTCTAAAACCGCAACATGGTCACGTAAATCACAACAGTATCCAGAAAAATTTATACCTACCATTACATCATGAGAACTGTCTTTATTTTTTAAATCAAGTTGGTTGTTTGACATAGCAAAACTAACATAATCTAAATTTTTGAAATATTTCAATATTTTCCATAAAGATGGAGGTCCTTCAGGATACTCTCTAGATGATGAGTGTCGAGGATAAAACACTGATTCCACATCTTCAATACTTAGATGTTGAACATGCTGATATCTATCGATTTTTTTCCTAATTATGTTGTTATAAAAACTACATAATGAAATTACAGTAAACTTTTTAGTAAAGTCATTCAAAATGTCCTTATGAGCTCTCCACCTATTGCCGGATGTGTGTTTTAGCTTATTTGCTTTAGTAGGGGAATCTCTAATTGAGTTACATTTGACATAAATATGAATATTTTTGTATAACTTTTTTTGACCTATTTTGTGAAATTGAGAATGTAATGGCATTAAGGTTATTACCATGTGATGATTTATTCGTTGGAATATTATTTCCAATACTTCAAACGGAAAATCTACAAGCTTTTCCATGTCTTCTTGAAATGTTTGTTAATTGGGGAAGAAATGCATTTAATGTTGTTTGTTTTCTACTTTTTGTAATTCTTAATTGGTCCTTGTCGTTATAACATATTTAGGAAATTTTAGCATGCACAATTTAAATTGGCTGCAAATTAATAAATACTGGAAAAAAGATTTCACACAATTATTAACCGAAACTTTTGAGTCAAGACTTGACGTGGCTTATTTCCCAAGCTCTCAATCCAATTAAAGGGTTATAGTGTAGTTATTGATACTTTGAAACTTAATTTTTTTCAGAATATTAAATACAAGCAAACCGACACTGTCCCGAAATATCCACTATTATAATCATGTAATTTTCGGCCGTACTCTGATATTGCAATTCAGTACAATTTCTATAACAACACCGGATATTTTTTGGTTATTTTTCAGATCTTTCCGAGTTTATATTGTATCGACCGCGGAATTATTCCATATTAAGTAATTTTGAATGTGGCTAGTGAGATCTTAAAACCGAAGTTTTATTTTTTTTTTGTTTTTTTTTTTTCTTGAAAGCAATTTATCAATTTAGGATAGACTACACACATACAAAGTTATAAATTTACAAAATAATGCTTAAGTTTTTGAACCGACCCCGGAAATATTCCACATTAAGTAATATTGGATGAGGCTTATAGCAATTCGGAACATAGAATTTTCCATCCAGACCCTCAATTCGATCTATTTAAACCATAAGCAATGATTAAAATAATATAAATACAAGCTGATTTTCAAGGTTTTTGACCAACTATTTCTTTATCATTATCATCATAACAAATACAACCATTATTCACTACGAAAGCTAAAAATGACTTTATCAGATGACGCAAAAAATATCTTGATTATTTAGTTAATTTTTCATGGCATGGTTTACGTACTCCAGTTTATAGAACTCCCAAGGAGATTGATCTTGAATATGAGGATATTTATTTTCAAGCAGATGATGGAGTTCCGTTAGAAGGTTGGTTCATACCATGTAAAGGCTCATCAAAATTAATTATCAGTAATCATTTCTTGCCAGGTAATAGATACGGTTTTGCAAGTCATCTTCCGGAATTTCTGGCCCTTGGAGGTTTTGAAGTTAACTTTTTACCTCGATATAAAGCTTTACATGATGCTGGTTATAATGTATTCTGTTATGACATAAGAAATCATGGATTAAGTGATTCAGCTAATGGAGGAACTATAGGGTTTGGACATTTTGAATGGAGGGATGTGATTGGATCTATTAAAGATGCTAATTCGAGGGAAGATACTAAAAATATGACAAAAGGATTGTTGAGCATATGTTTAGGTTGTAATTCGACTTTGCAAGCAATGGCCAAAAAACCAGATTATTTTGATGATTTCAAATGTATGGTTGGATTACAACCAATAAGCTTTAGCAATTATATTAGAAGAAATTCTGCAGATAGAGGAATAAATGTTGAAGAAACTATATAGTATTTCAACGAAAATTTGAAAGCCAAATGTGGTGTAACATTAGATTATTTTGAAACATGGGAATACGCAAAAGCTGACAAATTACCAACTAAACTGTTACAAGTTCAAAAAGATACTTGGACATATGCTGAAGATGTTGAGAATATTTATAATAGGTTAGGTACTGATGAAAAAGAATTATATTGGATCACTGAAACAGATAGAGGATTTGATGGATATAATTTCTTGGGAGAACATCCAGAAGTTGCTCTCGAGTGGTTTAATGAATATTTCATATAATTGATATACTCAGATTAAATTAAACATTTTATTGAAGTTATATTGTAATGATCTAATTCTCATTTGCTGCTAGTTGTTATTTGAAAATTAAATTTATATTACCTTGCTTTGTATTAGTATTAATTCAATTCTTTTATAGCACATTAAGCTAGCTATGTGTAATTCGTACCACAAACTTTAGAGTGTTCATTAGGATCGAAATATCTCGACATTCAGCACCAAATTGAAAGTCTTGCAACATCGTTATTATTAGTATTACTTTGATCCGTAGTACTCAAATTATTTGTAAATATTATCTGATATAGTTATCAATATTATCTATATCAGTTATATTCATGTTTTAGGTGGGATATACATTCTTATATTTTAACTATTAGTAAGGTCTAATTAATCTTGGTTTATCTAATCTTACCATTGGTATATTAGCATATGATTTGATTTATCTTATCATAAGCTTTTTATCTTACTTTTTATCTTATGCCTTATTTTTTTTTCCTTGATCTACTTATCGTTTACTTCTTGATTAAGTAAGGCATTGAGCCTCAGTAATCCAAATATGGATGTAGTGTATATCGTACTAGAGAAGTTCAACATGCAGGATCAGCTGAATGTTGAGATTTAAATAAGTAATAAAAAAAA